CATCGTTGGATGGATCCCGGGGATCCGTTATATCCCTTTCCTTTCTTATTCTCTCTTTTCTTTTCCAGTTAGAAGTGCGGGATGCATTGACCATTGGTGCATGATGACCGTGTCCAGTCCGGTCCAGTACAAGACAGAACAAGACTCGGTACATACAGGGCTGTGCCAACTTCATTTCAGAGCCAAGCCAAGCTAGCCTTTCCTGTATTATGTATCATGTATCATGTATATGTACATGTACATATACATGTAGTGCTGATTTAGATCGTCAACGCAAGACCAGATCGGTTCCTTATCATTGCCCTTTCTACCCTGCAGGATGGGTTGCATTTGCATTTGCATTGGGTTGGTTGGATTGGTTCTTCAGATGTTTGCGAGCTGCAGTATTGAATTTCCTCCACTTTTTTACACACTCTCATTTCAACTCAGGTCATTTTATTTGTTAGTTGTTAGTTGGTCAGGTCAGGTCAGGTCAAGTGGGGACTTGAAAGTTTCTGCACTAACTAGGGGGGTCTGGTCTGGTCCGGTCTGGTCGAAGCAAAGTTCTGACTGACCGCCGCATTTTGCAGGAGAAAAAAGACCCATAGGAAAAGAAAAAAGAAAGAAAAAAGAGATAAAAGAGATAAAAGAAGAAAAAAGTACTAGTAAAAGTTCATCTCGCCAAGATTCCCGGTCGTACATAACGATAACATATTATCCAGATCAACGGGATGCATATTCAGTTCCGAAGATCTAACGATTACCTTTTCTCTATTTCCATGTCCAACCATGTACTCCGTACGTGTGGACTAAGGACCAAATTTTGCGTCGCTAGTGGACGTTCAGGACCGTTGAGCCAAGCACCCGTTATGGGTCTGGGAGTCTGTGCGCCCATATGACCAGTCGTGAATGGTGCAAGAAAGCCCACCTAGGCATTCATCTGCCGATCCAGGATTTGGAAAGGTACCGTGGACATGGAGCCGAGGATCTCCGAATTAAACTAGAGCTCTTGCGACTATGCCATCTTTGTGCAGGATAACTAGCGGTAGCTTTAGGGCAGGGCCATTGGACTGGGTCGGGTCGAGGGGAGAAGGTGTAGGGGGCGGAGAAATAATAGCGAATAACGGGTATGACATACCAACGGCTGTAGAGCGGGTCCACAGGGGCCAAAGCAACGGCGTAAGGTTTTCTAACGGGGAGGGGGGGCAAGCTTGGATACTGTCTGTAGTAGGAGGGAGAGGGGGGGGAGGGGAAGTTTTCGCACTTTTTTCATTTCAGTCTTCATGATAATAATAATTGGCACTCTGTATACTGTATACTCAGCTAAAGACTCAATTTTCCATCCCTATTTTTTAAACTCCTAATAATATGTATACAACAGACAAAAACAACGGATGTTGATCCCTGCCGAAGGATTCCACGCCCCGATAAGCTTAGGATGAGGACTTGCCACGCCCCGGAATCTTGTCCTTATTCTTGTTTCTTGTTTTTCAGGTTCTTTTAATTTCCATTATCCCCCTCGCTACATACTCAGTTCCCGCTTTTCTGGCATGGCTAACCTGACACATAACTCGCTAGTGCACGCGGCCGGGAAAGGCAACCGCCACCAGCCAGAACAGATTAAATAGACATCGGGACTTGATTCGAACTCCTACGTCACTGCTCTTGATAAAAACAAATGACAAGCAATGCGATGTGATGCCCTCGGGATTTGACTTGAACTGTGGCAGCACGATCTCGCCATTTATGCCCCCGTAGCCCGATCTCGATCTAAAGCTTAAGCGGTGCACAGAACATGAAGTGCAAGCCGCAGTGAGGTCTATTTCGGAGGCTGTACTTAGAGGGGAAATAAGCACCGAGCTGAGATGCTGATGTATGATGAATGGTGAGAAAGAGAGGGGTGATACCGAGTCATTATGGATGATAATCATCCGACATAGTTATGGCTAACCGGTTTTTGATCATTATTGTTTAAGAATAAAATAAAATTAGGAGGGGAAAAAGTGAGCAATTATGAGATTGACGGTTTTTAATTCGAGATCGGGACTGGTGGGCCTTAGAATTCATCCTGATAACCTTGGATTAGATGATGCCGAGAGTGACGTCGCAAGGGATGAACTACACCAATAACCCGGATAGGTAGGCGAATAGATGTATACTGTGTGAGAATCAGTGTACAAGTAATAACAGATTAAGGGATGAGATCTATTTATCATTTTACGGTGCGGCACTGCCCGAGATCCAGCAAGGGAGAAGGCGTTGAGACCATGGAACAAGATCCAACTATTGGATCTATGCAGTAGACAGGGTTGTTCAAGCGTTTATTAACAATTATGATAATAATAATTAGTGTACTCCCAGAATGAATCCAGATCTGATTGTACATGTACCACCAACGCGGCCATTTGCATGGGCAAGTCGATCCACTTACGATTTCAAGAGGAGGGGAATGGTGTGTGACAGTGGCTTTTCTCCACACGCCCATTCCTCAGATCGGAACACAAGCGACATTCCATTCCCCCCAGTCGATTACTGCCCTGCATCTGATCGTATGAGGCTTTTTCTGCTTGATTTGTTTTCTGTTCTTCTGTTCTTTTTCTAGCCCCTTTCGCAGGATCAGGATTCTACAATCTGATCTTATGTATTCTCCCGAAAAACCCTGTTGATCGGGTTGACATCATGGCACGTATGTACATGTATACTTGTCTTCCGACCTGAATTAATAGCTTGAAGCTGCGCCCAGGGGTCTGAACACAACTAAATACCCCTACAATGAATGGATCCGAGGCTGACAAATTGCGATTTGAAGCTTTGGACTGCCAGCACCGTAGATCCGCCATGTGACACGACTTAAGCAACATTGTATCATGATGTTCGATGAGTAGGTACTGTAAATGGAGAGGGATATACTAATGGATAATGTAATAGTATTGGTAGCATGTAGTAATAACTTGAGTAAAGTAGGTACATATAGTTTAAGTTGTAGTAGTATATATAGTAGAGTTTAAGTTCAAGTTAGTTCTGTGCTCCCCAGTTCTGTGTGTTGTCTCGGTCGTTTCTGCCACTTATAGCCGTCCAGGTAATTAAAGGCTGAGACAAGATTAACTTGTGGGATGATCGAGATGGAAAAGGGGAAGACAGGCTGATTGCGCACCGAACCCGGGGTGACCTCGATTGGAGCCGGCAGTTGTACCCGTACCCATGTGTTCCTGAGCGGGGTTGTACGGGGAATAGCTGCATGGAGTATGTGAAGTCTTCAAGGGAGGTGTTAATTAATATTTCAGAATAAGATCGGATGAGTAGAGCACACTCTATGCTATTAATTAGGTAGCTAGAGTACTAAGTAGAACGGCTGATTCATTTCTCAGGATAAACTCGAGGGATGCATGAATAAGAAGCTAATTAAGTGGTTAATAATAAATCAGTAATAATCAGAATCATGATTATTTCTATTCTTCTCCAACCCCTGTCTCCACCCCGATATCCAGCAGTGATAGGTATGATCCCACCACTCCACCTGCGCCGATCCGCAGTTCGTGTATGGTAATTTGCCTCTCAGTAAAACGGGGTCATGACCGATCTGGGTAATTTATGTACGATAGTTTACGATTTGTGAGGAAATGATTATCAAGTCTGAGCGAATAATATATTAATATCATTATTACAAAATATTCCCTATTAATATATTGTATTAATATCTTATTTACTGTATGTATCTGAATGCAATCTTGATCCATCTCGATCCACTTGATTCCTCCGATGAGCGAGACGGTTGGTGAATATTCCGATCTTTATTATTTTTATATTTATATTATTTCTTATTTATTCATATTTTATATTTTAATTCTAGTCTTTATGATAATTATATTTTAATTCCTCCCCATTCTTCTGCCATTCCACTCCAGGCCCGAAAGGACGTAGCCTCGATCCCCGGGGGGATTTTGGGGATTTGCACTTTTCTGATTTGATTTGGGATTTTAGCAGTATTTTATTATTTGATTTGAATTTAAATTTATTAATCATTTATTCCTATTTATTATTTTATTATTTTTATTTAAATCCATATTTGATTTTATTATTATTATTATTTTATTTACTCTCTAGGTCAATCTTCCCCCCCCTCTCCTTCCTAGTCTTCCTATTATTACTTAACTATATATCGATCGCTGGATCGAAAATCTGACTTTTATTTAACTAAATCCTCCCACCCCCATTCCCACCTCGTGCTCATATTTGGATTGACATTCCCTGTGAATTTATATCCAAATTCCCTCCCACGCGACGCAATTCGACCCATCCCACCCCTTGCGTTCACACTTTGGCCCCTCCCCTCCAAGATCGATCTCGACATTCTCTCTATTTTCCTATTCTATTCTATTTGATTTCTCTCTCCTGGACCAACATTCATCAATTTATATTATCTTGATACTGACGCCTTACACCTTACACCTTACTCTCTCTCGTTGAGTGGGTGCCTCCGCGTTCCCGGGAACCAGATAAAACCTAAATACTGCCTATACTTCCCGATCGCATCGGACTTATCTCGCTGAACACCGCCACCCATTTCAACTTCAATCTTGGTTCACCAGACTTGGTTTTTCCCCATCCGATCTTGCCGTCGAACCTGCTCGATTTCCGCCGTTTTAGTTCTTTGAGAGAACAGAAGCTACTAGTCTTTTATCCCCGAGAAACTGTTATTTCGGCCGGTTCTCTGCCTTATTTATTTGCCCTTGCCCACCACCACCACCACCCCCGGTACCTGGTCGCAATTCTACTGGTGAAGAACAAAACAACACAAATCGACAATTCAGATCTCAGATCTCAGATCGCAAAGAGCAAAATAAATCCACGGATCGCAATTTGAATATCGGTGGAATCAATTCGATCACAGATACTGTGCTCCACCCTTTCGCACACCACCACCACACCACTCCCGTTGTTGATGAGGTCAGGAATCCAAGCGTGACACTTTTCCCCTTCGTTTTTCTCTCTCTTTCTCCTCCCCACCTCACAGTTGCGTGATGGGGTCTTTGGAAGCCGCCCCTAGGCACAGGTTGGTTTGGCTTCTTATGTCCACCTACTAGTGACTCAATGCTGACGGAACTCTTTCCTCTTTTACAGAGACCCTTTACCTGCCATCGGTTTCTTAGGCAAGGACGGTTCAGGGTATACACCCAACCACTCATCGATCGCGTCTCCCTCCCCTCTCCTATCTCCCAACAACATGTACGCCGGACAACAGTTACCTTATTCCTACGCGCCGCCTGCCACCAATGCTCCCCCTCAACCCGGATACATTTCACCACCAGAGTCGCGTCGAGTGTTGGAGGAAGAAAAGGACAAGGCTGCCTCAAGACAGTCGCTCCCATCTATACACGAAGCCCTGGGAAAAGATCCTCACCTCCCATACCCAGCACCTACCTCCGCACCACCTCAACAACCCGGCCATGCTGCGCCGCCATCACACCTCATCGGCCGACCAGGCGCAGAGGGTCCCGCCGGTCCTCCCAATCCATTCTCCAACGGCCCAGCTTCAGGATCGCTGATGCGAGAACCAACATACCCTCACCAATCTCAGCTTCAGACGGATCCATCGCGCAACAGCCTCGTCTCGGTCAATACACAAGAATCCCGAAACGCGTCGCTTCACTCCCTCAGCACCGGCAAATCGCCCACCCAGAGCGCCAAAACCGGTATCACATCAGTCTCTGGGTCACAAAATTCCGCCTACGATTACAGTGCGCCTCCATCTGCTGGGAGCGTGGCTTCTCCAAATGGCTACAGTCATTTTCCTCCTAATTATTCCTTTTCGCAACCGAGTGGCCCGTCATACCCTCCCACGTCTTACGATAATCGCCCATACATGGGAGCGCCACGTGTGGAAGAAGTCAAAGGTGGATTTGTGGGTCGTCCCATGCCTGGTCAACCTCACAGTGACTCGGTGAAACGACATCTAGAAGTCTACGATGTGGAGACATCTTTGAATGAGGTATGGATCATCTTTCCTTTTTTTTATTTTATTTAAAATTGCCTGTTTCAATTTTTGAAGATATATTTTTTATCTTCGGGGTCTATTGTGTGTGGTTTTTTTGTGTTCCATGCTCGTGTTTATTTTGCCGCTGGTGGGGGGAAACAGATGATGGGAGATTGTCATCTGTCGATCCATTCGGCGAGAATTTGTGGCGCTAGTGAATGGGTGGGCTGACAATTTGCCAAATTTGAATAGATCGTCGAGATGAGCACACGAACATTGGAATTTTCACGGCACTACGCTGCCCGGGCTCATCAAACACAACGGTCTGGACCGGTCATGGGCTCATTGCCCTCGCTCAACGAAGTGGAGGACATTCTCCATATGCAGCGTCGGAACCAAGATGCTTTGATACGGATACGGACGGCCGTGGTGAACCAGGAACAGGCACTAGCAGAAATGGCCCAACGAAAGGCCTACAAGCCCGAGGACGAACACATGGCTGGAGGATTGTACCAAGAAGACTTCAAAGGTACGGGTGGGTTCGCTGGAGCGGACTCAAAGAAACGGCGTGGAGTAAGTTTTTCCTATTTTGAAGATTATTTCCCTTCTTTACCCTTATTTCCTTGATTTTTGTGATTTTGCTTCTATTTTTTCCTCTGGAATCCCAATTTTTGGGCTCCATTTTACCCGTTTATCCCCTCCCCGTCATATTCCCCTGTCAGTGCGGTTTAATCCGTGCCCATGGTTCTCCACTTGCCCTGTCATTGAATCTGAGTGGCTAATAATATTCTTCGTTTGAATAGAAAGCGGCCCCTCCTGGTCGTTGCCACAGTTGTAACCGAGCCGAAACACCAGAATGGCGTCGGGGTCCAGATGGTGCCCGAACGCTGTGTAACGCATGTGGTTTGCACTACGCCAAGCTGACACGCAAAATGGGCGCCAACAAGGCGGCAACCCTGGGATCGAATCTGAAGCCCAAGTCGATCCTTGATTCCGCCTCTCCAACCAGTCATTAAGCTTAACTTCTTAACTTTTTCTCATGTGGCGTTGGAACAAAGGTGGGAAATAGAAACGGGAGGCAAAAAAAAAGGCGTTGAGCGGCTACTTTTTTCACCTTGATTTGATTTGTTCTGGAATTCTTCTATTATTTCTCCTCTTTTATTCCTTTTCTCTTTTTTTTGGTTCATTCCTCCTTCCCCTTTGGATCTGTTATTTTTCGTTGGTTTTCGGGGATCTCATGAAGCATACTTTGATTTTTCTATTGCCCGGCATATTTTGATCTTTGCCTCTTCCTCCATCTCTATCCTTGTCACCCCCCCCACCCACTTCTCTCCCGATGTTATTTTGTCTTGCTTCACCTTTGCGTGGACCTTCTTAATCGGTGCTCTGCTCTTATATAATACCCTCGCAGCGTTCAAGGAGCTTGGCTTCCATCAAAGCATAGATTACCCTCGTTTTTGGATATCGGATTCTTAAGGCTTATGTTTCTCTGATCTGTCAAGACTGTTCTGATCTGTTACTGTTGCTGTTTGCTTCTGTTTTATGTGGTCTATACCCAGCATTTTCGTGTGTTTTTTGAGCTCTCTTTATCATCATTGCTGCGTGTCTGAGTATGTCCCTGTGATGTGTGTATGATCTTGATCTTGATTCCTAGCATCTTCCACGGTCTATATTGAATGAACGTCGCTGAACTCTTTTTGAATTGATTTGTTTTCTTTTACCAAAATGTTAGTTCAAATAGCACTGTTATATACGACTGATTCTTCTTCGCACTTCTGATCCGATTCATTATACATACCCGTCACTCTGATTACACTGGAACTTACTTGCGGGTGGCGACTATAGTAAGAAAACCATCATCCCCATAAAACTCAACTCATATTAATTAGACCAGAACAAAAAATCAATTCATCATGCCGAGTTCCGCGATCAGAATCTAAACTTGTATACTGTACAGAGATAATCGCCACGCGAAGAATACCATGTAGTCATAGTTCCTTCGGCCGAACAACATCATCGGCAACCTCCGAGCTTCAAAATCCGGTTCGACCCAAAGATTCACTTAACCGAACCAAAAATAACCATCTAGAAGAATCTAGTACCTACTACCTAGTAGATACTACATCTACATCTACATAATACGTTCTCCTACCCTGGACTTTAACAACTCATACGACACGTGGGGTGGGAAAAAGGATAAAAGGCATCTGATATCATTATTCTTGTCCGTAGTTTGACTCGGGGCACATAGTGAGTTAAGTTAGTGGCGAAGGAGCGAAGGAAGGCAAGGCCAAGACCGGAATCCGTGGTCGTGGCTCAAGTTGTGGTCAGTTCTAACACAAAAAATGCGCTATAGAGTGTACCGGGGTGATGGGTGAACTAGTTAATATATACGTATGTTTTAGATGAATGGTTCGTTAGAGAGATCGGGTTCAGATCCAGATCACAGATCGAGATCGGGATCTAGATCGGCTATCGGGGATGATGCGATGGCGTTTTTTAAGTACAAAGTACAATGAACACTATATTGGATAATTTCAAGTTTGTTGATAGAGAAGAATGAACTTAGATTAAATAATTAATCAATATAGTATAGTGTATAGTATAAGTGAATTGATAATTATACATGCATTAGATGATATTAGACTCGCATTAAGTCTGATCATCTGAGAGGACGCACATGCACTCCATAGAGAAAAAGGTAGATTTGTACTCCGTACATGTACACAACATAACACAACACACGCTACGTGTCCATTCTGATCGCGCTATACATTATTTGAGCCAATCTCGAATAGAGACCCTTTATCTCCACACATACATGAAAATATCCCAAAAAATCAAGTTAACCAAGTTAATCAAATTCAAATCCAAATCCAAATCCCAATCCCGTTTACGGATAAGTTCCACTCATTCAAGTTCCCATCAGACTAACCTGAGTCCATACCTAGTTCAGTAGGGAGTCCCATCCAGTCCAGCGACTCAAGTCTCAAATCTCGAATTTCAATCTCAAATCAAATCTCAAAATCTGATTCAAAACGGAAAAATAAGCCCCCTCCACCGCGAATCAACTCCGCGTCCATCTCCGCGGGTCCATCGGGATTTGTCATGCCCCATGCCCCATGCCCCGTTATATTGTAGGCTTACAGGCGGGGCTTGACAGCCCGCTCGGTGGCGGACTATATGCACAACGATGGGGTAAGGTTGCTCGAGGGATCTGACCGATAAAGGAGTAGGAAGTATACTTTGGACAGGAGTGTAACCTAACTTATTGAGTAGGATAAGGACATGGGATACCCCTGTTCGGCGGGGGGGGGGGGGGGGGTCCGATCGACATGCCCACATGTAGGTATGAATCTGATTCATGTTTAAATTTTACGTAGATGCAGGCGGCGATCGGGGGTACATGACATGACAGATGGATAAGCGCTGCAAGCGTACGGAGAACCCCGAAACAATAATGTAAGTATAATTGGCACTTGAGGTAGTGTACATGTACATACATATCCAAGATACTTTGTACAGGAGCCACCATGTCATTATGTATCCATCGATTAAATCGCCATTTTAGGAAGCACGAAAACAAATTCAAATTCAAGACTAGAATTTTGGAACCCAATAATAGATACAAGATCTCTTTTCCATCCCAGAGCAAAAGCGAGAGCGAAGAGTGAACCCCTTGCCTACGCTATGATCGACAGGATTTTCATTTTCAACGACTAGGAATTGGAAATGGAAAGAACGGTGTACCTAATTGTCCCCAGAACTCGGTAAAGGATGCGCTAGTGAAGACGCGATCGATCAATGCAAGATCGATCAAGTATTTGAAATTATCTACGCTAACCTGAAGGATGCGAGGCTATCCTAATCGGTATGGTGGATACCTGTTCAAGTTCAGTTCCACAGGCATGTTCCATACACACGAATTTAAATTTTCTGTCATGGTCGTCTTTCATTATTGTTTGGGTTTGGTCTACTTTACCATCTGTGTGGTTCGTCCGTGCCGTTGCGGTGATCTATTGATCGATTTGGGGTAATGGTGTTGATTGAGTTCCAACTATCGGGGATACAGCGTTTTTGTATATTACCCGACCGAGGATTTAGGTAGATATAGACATGTAGATAGGCTCTGCGATAAACATTCCAAATATGAAGGGGAAAAGAAAGGAAAAGAAGCAAATAAAAGATCGATCTATACCTTGTTTAAGGCCCTTATCTCAGTTGTACAGCGACGCCAGCATGGCCTAAAAGGGAAGAACAAAGACTTAATCTAGCAAACGCCTGCTTAGGCAATAGAAGAAGGATTCATGTGCAGATCCACAGAGTACAACATGTCTCGGGTACTCTGTACAAGTCATGTTTTAACAGTACAAAGACAAAACAAGATATGAATTTACTCATTATTTCTTCCCAAAAACAAAGACCAATTTAGTCTTGAATTTACTTTTTCCTGACAAATCTTGCCATGTGCTCCTACCTAAGATGATCTCTTAGCCTTAACCTTTTCCAGACAGATCCATGGATTGGACCAAAACTTACCCTAATCGCGGGACCTCAAACCCAGATTTTGGAAGAAATCCATAATCGAAGTTGGCGCGGAAATAAGTGCTATAATCACGGAGTAGGCTTCACTTTTCGTTACGTTCCTATTCTTGATTATTTGTAGATACATGATTGGAAATTCAAATAGTGGACTTTCCTATCAATGGGCCTGACGTAGTGTATCGGGAATCGACGAGATCCTTCCGAGCCGCGATCTCCGTCGTTTCCGTGGCTCTGGCAATATAGCGTGGGGCAAGGTGTGAAAACGCACAATGAGCGTTAAGAGGAAATAATAGCCAGAATGAAGAGAGAAATGATAGGATCAGAAAGAAGTGTCGGGATGACTATTGTTGTTGATCTGGGGTCGATCGGATTCCTCGATGGTAATTGACGCCACGTTCGCACTTCAGGATCATGATATCCGTGCATTTTGGTGATGGCGTATATAGACTTTCATTTGTGTTTATAGGTGGCTCTAGTACTCATGTAGCGTAATCCTGTTGTATACGACCAATTTGATTAGCGCGCTGCCTGCGAAACAGAAGTACACCGAAAATGCGACCATTCAACAAAAAGTCAACAAAAGCGATCGGTATACCAAAATAAACAACAACGACAGACGAATCAACTAGGGAGTATAGTCTCCGACTCTACCAAAGAACAACATAAGGTGAAAAAGACTAAGTGGGACCAAGTGGCGAAGAAGCGGGCCTGCTACGGCACGTCACGAGTCAACTCTGCGCGTCTGTACAAGCTAACGTCGTGTAGTACATCTCGATGGTCGGCTAATATGGACTGAAAAGATTGCCGAGAGACTAAAATGCCATCAACTTCACAACTTTCACCTTTCATTTCACTCATTCATCCCCCCTAACATGAAAAAGGAAAGAGGGGCGTGAAAGAGTATCAGTTTGGAAGTACGGATCGGCCATGCGGCACACAAGCCTCGGGATCCGTGCCTATTACAGACCCTATCTGGAACTAGAGGGGTCGATTGGAGTAAGTAAGTTGGTTCGCGCGATCGTCCCAAGATTTCTATTATAGATCGTACGTCAAATTACCAGGTTCATCCTTGTTCGTGGTGAGATCTCAGGCCCACCATACAACCCCTTTTCGAGGCTGAGTATGTACCTATACGTATTTATTATAGGTCAATACGTTAAGGCTCCGAAAAGTCGGTCAAAATCTTTCATTTATCTTTATCAAGCATGAACTAAAATATCTCTAAAACAGTAACGTTTTAAAAATCAAATCCTAAAATGAAATTATCGATCATCCGAACCTTGTAGTCTTTCTCCAACTCTGTGATCCGTACACGCGGGATATCAAACGAAATGAAGATTGCAAGGGCTAAACTCCGTAGATCAATATTTTAATCGGGCTCTCGGGCCTCACATCAAACCACTCTGGGGGCGAATCGACATTCGAGGGCCGTGCGACCATGCAGTGGATCTCAAAGTTTTGTTCTGTGGACGTTCTTCTGGTCTTCTCTGCGTTAATAGTTCGCTTTTAATTCGCGAATACAGTTTAGCTGAGAATAATCTTGGAAAACCCCACTCAATGTACTTCGTAATTACCCTAACTATCTTTGTTCCCAAATGTGCCCCATACTCCCTATTGGGAACTACACGGGACGATTTGGGTACTTGCGCTCGTGCCTCGTGAAGAAACAGACGATCCTCTCCACCGGATCTACCCGTTCAATTTACCCAAACCACAGTCTGTAACCAGCTAAGACAAAGGCGTTACTAGTTCATGTTGAATAAAATGAATTTCCTAATATCCTTCCCCATGTATTCCGTGTGTTATATGTTATATTCGTATAGGACCCATAAGAACCATTAAATGAGGCATGTGTGTAGGTCACTAGAATAAAATTGCTTCGTATTCGCCTAACATTATACGCCCCTTATTTTTCCTGCATTGTAACCATACCACTGCGCGGCACTGACTCGACCTAGCCATCCTAGTTCAGATCGTGGACACCGTACCCGCATACAAGAATATAATTGGTTTTTTCGGCAGACAAGCGGGGGAACCATTGAAATCATTAGGGGGTCGGGACAGTTCGCTTACATTCAACGGTGATTCAACGACGAATCTCCGAGGCAAGATGGGTTCCCAGAACGTGACTTAGTGGCGGCTGAGGACCATGGGTCGAACAGAAACTGGGCAAAAGTCTATCTGAAAGCTAGCAGGACAGGTCCAATCGAGTGGGCTAGTGGCGCGGCGGTGGAGATGAAATCGATTTGCCGGGATCCTAGGTCGGACTATTGATTTGATTTTCCCTTTTGCGAGGCTTGGACTTGCAATCCACAGTGCGGACGGTTAAAGCATCGAGGGTGGACTGCCGCTAATGTGGGTTTGCCTCGCTGCCTTTTTTTTCTTCCATGTCTAGTTGACTTTATTTTATTTTATTTTCCTATATTTTGCTTTGTTTTTCTTTCCTGTTATGGAGTAGATGCCGTTACGCTGGTAGCGTACATGTATGAGACTACTGGAAACCGTCGTCTTTCAAGGTTGTATCGATCGTTATTTTGGGTGCGCGATTAATATTGTTAATTTCATCATAATTTCTTGAATCATCTAAATGAGCTAGTAACCCAAGACTACGGTGTATATGCAATAGTAAATGCAAGATAGCATCCTGTTTCCAACTCATGCCCCAAGGCTCCAGGTTCCGAGATCGAGCCAAGCCTTGCTATGTACTGTATTCTTCCTCCCCGACTAAAGTAGATTGAGCAATACTCATTCGTAAACCTCTACGGAGTACAGTTCCGTATGGGGTACTGCAAAGAGTGTTCTCATGGCATGCATCGTGCATGAAAGTATCCCGCGCGACCGTGATCGCCCATCTACAGTACACTGCCCTACAAAGGGTATATTCATTTTTTGATCGAATATTTTAGTTTACGTTTACGGAGCAAGTACACCGCATGTACTCTGTACAAATCCCGATGTGTCTCTGATTGGTATCCTGGTCGGGATTTGATCTTCGCGGTGCATCAATCTAGTCAATCGTTACTCCATCTAGGACTCCGCTGGCTGACGTGGGATCTTAGATCGGTTCCTAACAAACCCACGCGCAGGATGCAGGCAGTGCTGCATAGCGGTGTGAGTTCAGGTATGTTAAATATTTGTGAATGGTTGGTTTTCGACCATTTTCGACTAAATTAACACGTTTACATTATTTGGAATCAAATTCGAATTTTCTTCTTACTTTTTCTTTTTCTTTCTTTAACAGCCTCGTACTTATGTCCGATTGTGCAGTAGTCTATTTATTCCACACTAAAAATGGGCTTTCCTGGCCACGTCACTAGTGCCATCGCGATCGGGATTTCTGCGAGTCAAGGCGCCCGAATCTAGCGATGGCTGCAGATATTCCATGCAACCTTGATGAGAAGATAATGAAGAAAAAAAAATGAATGAATCAATAAATTACAATAAATTAAAAATCTTACTCTTCTTGGCTCGGTCCGTTTACCATCGGTTTATTATCCTCTTTCACCCTGAGAAGCCTGAAAATAGGGTACATACCAGAATTGTCCAGCCTCAGCTTCAATTCAACTACACACTAAAACCATCTCGGCACTTTCAGTTGATATAAGATTGAACTCCGAGCTTCCTCAGCCACTCCGTAATGGATCCTACTACCGATCCACTCAATAAGGGTTCTCAAGACGATGGGTATAAGATCCGACCACTCAATCATACTAGGCCCACCTTCTAGCAACACCCACTAGCCCCCTTTGTCTCATTGTTCCCATCGCATGGCCCCAAAAAAGCAAAGAAGCGCAACAGAACTCCAATGGTGTGCGGGGTCTCTTCTTTAAAACTATTGAATCGGGCTCCATCGGGTGCCATGGAAATAAATAGCGGTGGAAGGCAAGTCGTGCGCGAACCCCACGCGAGATCTCGATCGGCATCGGTTTTCCGATCTGCATGGATTGGGTGTTTCTGCACACGCCCAACCCGGCAAATAGTCCTGTCGTACATCATCCGGGTATTTAGAACGTCCTTTTAATTTATTATAATATGATTTTTTTTCTCTGTATTCTATTCCGTATCAAATATCTTCCTAATTAGTGATAATTAAGGGCCTTGAGAAACCGTTTTGGTGTGCCCCCGTTAGGAAGACCAAGACCAAGACAAATCCCAAGACCGAAGACCCAAGCCCCGTCTTTGGTTGCAGTTGAACTGCATTAGTTCGTCCGAGATTTGCACTCCGTAGTGGAGAACGCTTGACAAATTGAGATTGGGATTGATTGAGATATGGATCCGTTCCGGCCGGAGATGGCTGAAGTATAACTGTGTGCTATTGAATCCATGATGTTTAATATATAAATAATATATGAATTTATGGAACTTATGCTCTAAGCACTCTCTGTGTTAGATTAGTTAGATTAGAATATATTAATTCCTCGGCTTGAAAATGACTAATCTGCAATATCGAGATGGGATTCTTTCGGCCCCGTCGGATCCGAATTTTGTTGCTTTTGAATCCATGGGTTTGTCTCAAAGCCACGTTGTTCTCGCGTGGCGCTGGAACCGCCCGAGGACCGATCTTGGGTCCAATCGTGGTGGATTAATATACATTACTCCGTGGATGACTTCATATTTTGAATGAGGCTTTTATGTAGGTGCCTTGGTAGGGAAAGTTACGGAATACAGTGGATGGTATTACTTTCGTCTTGAATGTTTAATACGTAGCTCATATTTCACTCCATCATTCAAGTTCCACTCTATTAGTATGCCAGACTCCGATTAGAACCGAGAGCCTTGCCAAGGCTTACTACGCCTGGGCAGTAGTTAAGGTTGAGTGATCTCATGTACGGAGCAACATCGTGACTATATTCATACGAGGTAGCGATGGAAGAACCTGGAATGCCCCTATACACTGTAACACTCGAGGCTATTCACATCATGTTGTTACCAATCCACAAAACTATCGCCAGAAGGCTTTAGCCACCGAGTTAATATAATCGATGCCCTCCTTGCGCCATGTATCAGCCTCCATATGACTGGTCGTATTGGCGTTGAGAAAGAGGTCCACGGGCTTTTCTTTCGCATAGGCAGTCCAATGCACCGATTTGTTGACCACCCCCGAGTTAGGATTTAGATCATGAATAAAAGAGGCCCACATACTTGTCATCATCGAGCTAAGATCGTAGTACGACCGCGGAACTCCGGCGAACGGTTTCCCGTAATGGTACCCAAGTCCGTCGATATTGTTAAACACAAAAGAAACTTCCTCGAAATGTGTTGCTCCACTTATTACCGGAGTATCGGCTGAATGGACATTAAACCGATAGCAATACGCCGGTGTTGAGGTTTCCGTCCACGCCTCACACTGTCGACGCCGGTTCGCATGCATAGTGAAATCACCTGCAAAGGCACTAGTCCGTCGCCACTCATAACCCATGGAAGGAACTCGCTCATCGCCGAGAAATTCCGGGATGCCCAACGAAGGGTCATCGGGATACAACTGCAGAATTTCCTCCGCGACAGACGGTGGAGTTTGGAAATCGAATCCGCCATCTAGTCACCGACCGACCAGATATCATTCACATCGTTAGCCATTGATTACCCATGTAGAACCGAAAAGAGGTAGACATTTGTTTGAATCCAAGATACCACATACTGGTTAAATATTCATACCACTGTTCCGTAGTATTTATCCCCGTAGGACCAAATGCAGTCCCCTCATCTGTGTTACTACCAGCAAGAATCGGAACCTTAACAAATTCATGCTTGTTCAACTGGATACTGCCCCAGTTCCGAATCAAATCGCCGTCCAGCACGGGCGAGAAATTATACTCCGAGGACCCGTCAGTCCCATTCAGAACAGCGTTCAAATTATCAAAGGGCACTTCACGTAGACATTGCATTGTATCCACCTCGTTGCTGCAGTTCACGGCAGAGACAAGCTCATCATAGGTTGATTGGAATGTAGTGTAGATTTCTGGACTGGCTGCGATAGAGCCGCCAGATTCCATTATTCCAGCCCGGAAGAGCTTGTCGTCTCGTCCTCCGTACGCTGTGAGATGGTAGCCCACTGACATGGCCCCTGCGGACTCGCCCCATATCGTCACTTTGGTAGGATCGCCGCCAAAAGCTGCGATATTCTCCTGGACCCATTGTAGGGCTAATCTCTGATCACGTAGGCCAAGGTTTGTATTTCCACTGCCCCAGACCTGACTTGAACTAATCCAGCCCCAGGCTGAGAGCCTGTAGTTAAGTGTGACAGCGATGAAAGGTTTTCCTGATTTCAAGGGGTAGATCATGAGCGATGAACCTGACTAACTTCTACAATTATCAGTGACGGGAATACAATATCAACATACCAATTTGTTCTGCATTGTCCACGATTCTCGACATATTATACCGCTGATCAGCTCCGGATCCCTCATAGAATCCACCTCCATGAATCCAGACTGCAACAGGAAGCTTGGAATTCCCCGTAACAGATGAGCTACGGATGACATTGATGGTGAGACAAGCCTCGGACTGGGGATACCAGATCGAGTCGGTCTGCAGCATGCAGTGTTAGAAGTATAATCGTAACCGGACAAAATTAAAACACCCACTCCATAGCCAACACAAATATCCGAGAATTCTTTCGCATCGCGTGTGCCGTCCCAGCTCTTATTCAACGATCGCGGCACCGTAAACCGCAGATCACCAACCGGCTGCTGGGCATAAGGCATTCCCAAGAAGTAATCCTGGTCATAATGTACATTGCGTGTACCCGCATAAGTTCCATTGAGAATCTTCACAGTAGGGGCTGACTTTGAGGCAGGAGCTGCATGGGCTATCGCGCATACAGCAAGAAAGCCGATCGGAAAAGTGAGCATCATCGGAGATTTCCTACCAGACAGATATCAAGTGTGTCTCACAGATTCCAGAGATTCTCGGAGTCAGGGATCATTCGAGACCCTTGCGATGCGATGCGGGGAGCAGATTTATATGTGCTTCACCCGGGGCCTTCAGGCTAATTGCTCTGCAAAAGGCCACGCCGAATATGTGCCTGATCAGCGTTCATTTGGGTGAGAATGCTATATTGCCGCTGTATGTTGACTTAGCGGACGGAAATGAGCCGACTAAGGTTTCGTCAATTGGCCATTTCGGGACAGACGGATGTTAAATGCGGGGATCAGGGCTGGGGAAGAAGCGGGGAGCGGCGTATAAGCCCAATCAAGTTGAATAAGTATAGATTGATTAGTGGATTTATAAGCGGAGAATTCATGGACATTGATCTTGGAAGGGTCAGATTCGCGGGGAATTGGCCCTTTCCGTGCTAGAGTCTTCAGAATGTTGGTTGCTCCCGAGGTTTATCCGGGGGAAGACGAGGGAAAGAGAGAGACCTATTTGGGTTACGATCTTCACTGATTCATAACTAATTGAAAGACCGAGGCTTAAACTTGGAATAATATGGGATGTTTATTCGCAATTCTAAGCAAATATCAAATGATGGCCCTGGAATGAGCTGTTTTTACTTGGACAATTGAGGTATACAACACATCGTAGGCATTGCTTGCGAGCCAACAAAAGTGAACTACTGATGGAATACTTTCTCATACTAGGTTAGTATTTAAATGTGAGATTCTTGTTAATCAATTTTGCGTCTTAAACCATTAACCGTTTTTGGTTTGGTGGCTTGGTTTCTAAACGAAGCAACCAAAGAAACTTCCAACTTCCAACTTCCAACTTACCAAAACATTCACATTTGCAAGAGTCGTTATTCCAAGCTCCGATACTGCATCAGGAGTATAAAGCTTCGGAATAATGACATTGAAACAGCGGAATATCGAGTCACCACCTGGCTGTGCTCAAGTTGGTAGACTTAATTTAATCTTAACCCCCCCAAAAGCTCAACCAAAAGAATATAACCCACCCATACTATTACTATGTATGATCAATTTGAGCCAACAATTCTCAAAGCACCAAGAATCTCAACCTCAACCTCAAATTCAAGGCTAAACTATTCCATCTCTCTCTCCTCTCCAACAGGCCTCCTACAAGAATCCGCCAACCCAGTAACCTTCCACTCCCCATGAATTTTATGCAAAATAAACAACTCAACCCCAACATGATCAACAACCTCATTAACCTTCGCCCGAAAAGGCGCCCAGACAGCCGCTAAATTCGATCCCTCCTGTACCTTGATCTCAGGGTCCCAAATCCGTTCATGAATATCACCCTGCAGTGCTGTCATGTATTCGATGAAAAACCCAATGGTGCAGAACCGAAGAGGTGTAGGATATGGCGGGGAGAGAGACATGCCACCTGCACTGATACAGTGCTTTTCAAATTCGTGGCGGCATTTGCTGTTTAGGGCTGAGAGGAAGCCGTGTGTTACTGCTAGGATAGAGTCGATTTCAATTGAAGGGGGTGGGAAGGTAGAGCTTGAGGTTTGTATGGCCCAGCACATGGTTCCGAGTCCAAGGTTGGGGTTTAGTTCAGGTTCAGGTTATTGTTGGACAGATTTAGCTGTGGGGTGTACGGGTTTGACTTGTAGGGATCGAGGAGCTTGAGGTCAGAGATTAGAGAGAATGAGATAAGGAGAATAGAATTTACTGGTGATATATGGCAGGACAAGTCATTTATTTCTTTGATTCCAAACATTTCTCGAAGATTGCAATTATGGTTCATTTTCTGTTTTGGGTTTTTGGTGATTATTGCTTGAATAGGAATTTTGGAAATGCTTCATCTAAGAATATCTTGGATAACCTTTGATCAGGAGATGGCGCTGTAACCGTTACAATATCCCCTGGTAAATTGCATGTTGTATAACCCTGTCGCATCCTAATCAGGGTCAGATCTGACTCTTTGTAGGACAGTTAATATCGATCTCGGCTTCCAGCATGATCTAAATTAGATACTCAGGTCGAGAGCGATACAAGCCCGATATTCGTAACAGTCAGAAGACATGCATGGATCATGATGTATTGAACTCAAATTGGATTTTACCCGAAACACTGTTTCGAAAAGAAAGTAGAAGAAAAGAAAAGAAAAGAAATACTGTCATGTATCAAGTAAGTAATGCCCAAAGACGTCTGCTTCTGGCTGCTGCAATTATGTGCAAATTGAAAATCATCATCTACTAGTAAAATGTAATCGGAAACCCCTGCCACCCGGAATATTATGTATCTATATGGGTGAAGGCACGGTTTCTTCTATCTTAATTCTTTTTCCCTCGCAGAAGCTCCCATCCAAGAGCACCATTTCGACCTTCCTTTTCAGTCACCTCCTCAACTGCCTTGACAAGATCGTAGCAAATCTCTTCAGACACAACACTGTCATGATTGTAGCTTGGGTGCTTGGCTACGAACTCGCGAATCCAGCGAGCTCCAGTCCAGAGAGTGCCATCAGCTCGTTTGCGGATGAGATCTAGGTAGGTAGCAAGGAAGCATCGTGTTTCGACATCCACATTGACGCTGTTCAAATATGATTCTACCAAGGGAATGAGACCGGGGAATGTCCCATCAGAGCAGCCGTTAATAATGTCGGAGATTGTCATCAGCTCGTATTCACTTTCAACGGGGCTGAGAGAGGGAGATGAAGGTGGTGAGTTGACCGCTGAAGAATTTGCGGAGGAGAATGTGCTACCATCAGGCGACTGTTGTGCAGAGCCCTTTGGCACCCGCTGAGAGAAAGGGTCTTTGCGGAAGTAGAACTTTTCATCAAGTACAGCATTGCGAGCATGAGCAGTCTCCATGTTCTCGGTGGTGCGTTGAATGGGAATGTAAAAGTTAAGGTCGAAGCTCAAAATCGCTCGGGTGATGAGGACAATGAAGATGCTGAAAGCTGCGTTCTCAAAATCTGTAATTTGAATCTCCATGGAGCGGAACTCCACTCGCCAGCCAATGTCGTCTTTATCGGACGGAGGAGGCTTGAAGCGCATATGTTGCCAATTAGTAGACTGGAGATTCTCAAAATGATCGCCCTTGTTCAGGTCAAGTTCCTCCAGATCTTCAGAGAAGATCACTAACGGATCGCGAATAAAAAGGTGCGCAAAGTGAGTGGCTAGCAAATCATCCATGCCGCCATCCATCAATCGCTTCTTAATGTCATGATCAACAACCAAATCAGGATCGAAATATTCTTTTCGAAGTCTAGGATCTTGTGAAAGATATGTCGAATTAGAAGCATAGCGGGACTTTGGAATTCTCCATCGATCATTTTCAAGAGGCTATTCGAATGTAAGTGAAAATTCCAACTGACAACTTTTCGATGGGACCAAGGGAGGCGCAAAACAAAAACTTACAGCTTCACCAAGCTCTTCGGGCGTTCTATCATCCACTGCTCCACCGATTTGATTCCATCGAACATCCGTGTCGACTAAGAAACCCTTATAAATCGGTGTTGCAGCCGTGAGAGCCAGAAGAATCGGCCCCAATGGACTAAGCTGATCATATAATTTCCTTCCTTCGGTCATATTCTTTGCCTGGAAGGTAATCTGCAAGCAACAGCTACCCATTCCAAAAGCCATGGCATCCATATAGACATGGTCATCCTTGGCAGCGCCGTTGCGAACATCGTCATCTTCCGGCCAGAGATGCAGATCATAATTGACTGTGGGGTCTTTGAAAGGCGAAGGCGTATTCTTATCTTTGAAGACTGGCACATTCAATTCAACCTTGCGGCCTCGACGTGAGCGAATATTGGCGGCTAGGGTCGGGAATCGAATGTGTGGGTTGGCAATTTCATCTGGAACAAATTGCGAGCGCAATGCCGGACCGGAAGGAGGGTAATAAGGCTGAATGTAGTCATCCTTTGTTCCCAATCGAGGGAATGTCGTGAGAGTAATGGGAGATTCATTAGGTGCCATGTGTGCCTTAGCAACCTCTCGTCTTGAAACTAATTAGTACCCAATATAATGATCCAAGACCGAAGAAAAATATACCGCCATTTCATATTAGATTCCACTTTTAGTAGATCTTTAAATCCAATGCCCCACGGGCTTCCCGGTGTAGCTTCCAGCATAAATCGCCCGAACTCGGGGTGGAAATGCGGTGGGTCCTCGTCGTCACTGATTCGCCGTTAAGACCTGCTGTAGAGTTTGATTCACATATAAGTCCACTCACTGCTCGCCATTGCTGTCGTTGCTGCCAGAACCGGATTTCCACAGAGCCTCGTCCCTAGCAAGCGATTTCAGAATATCGGCTTGCGCCAAAGATAACCGAGCCTTCTTGGCCTCATCATCGAGAGCCACCACTAGGTATTCGACCTATTTTCCAGGAAGTCCACCGTCAGCCGCCGCCAATTCAATGTATACCGATTGTTGATCGTACTTCGTCGCCCCAAAGAAGTGCATCACGTTCCTTGCCCTTTGCTCGCCGCCAGTTCGCTAAGAGTTGCTATACACATCCCCAGTTAGAAACCAACAAGCCAACCACTTCAGACAAAGCAGCGCATACCTCAATTCCCCACTCGCGCACCTTATGCGCCTTCTTCTTGGCCTCGGGCCATTCTAGTGCAGTTCCGAGAGCACTATACAAACATGTTAATTGAGGCTTATGCGCTACCAAAGAAAGAGATCCCATACAGGAGACCCATTGTGGAGGCGTCTCGAGGTAGCAATCACCGCGAACACGTGCCGATCAAAAGCCGATGAAAGATCCCAAAGCGGTCGAGGAGTAGATATAAGGCACGCTCTGAAGGTTTGAAGTCAAAATCGCGGGGAGGCGGGATTGCGTGATAGATGCAGATATAAACAAATGAATCTCGAGAACTAAAGAAAAGTCAGACAGCATGCATGGGGCCTATTCCGGCCGATTCTTTTGAGTTCTTGCATTGAGGGGGAATTTTCGTCCGCAACGGCTTTGCCGGCGGGGCACGATCTCGGTGATAAGCCGTTGGATTTCTAAGCAATCAGGTGATGTGCATTCCTGATTACTGATACGAACTATGTATAAGGTGAGATGGAAGTTATATATGTATACCAAGGTTCTACAGGAAATGATTTTGAAGTCCGTGTTGATTTCTTCATTATTAAGATGTGGGGGGTAGGAATATCCTCGATGCTGTCTATACATGCATATGCAATTCACACCCTTGGGGCCTTGTGAGATGGGCTTACCGGCGCCACTTAACAACATTCCCTGGCATATACTACGCTCTGGCCCGCAAGACTGAGAAACGGGTTACCCTACATGACCCAGTTGGATCTGCATGCCGCTAGGACAGTCCATGTCGCACTGTAACACTCGCTGACAAATTTAATATGGTTACCGCTGGAGCCGCCCGGTAGTCTGACTGAGTTTAACTGACCAATCCTCTGAGGAATGTGTAGTCAGAGCTCGTATAGCTACTCCAATATTCCGCGGAGTTGACGAGAGTTCCACTGAAAGGACACGGGGGTACTGCTGTCATTTGTAATATGAGACAGCCATGGTCCGCATTGGAGCAAATCAAGGATAGCTGCCTCCAGATCAACACGAAAAAGGCACAGGAAAGGAAAGTGGCCCAACTCCATAAAAGGAAGTTCAAATGAGTAGTCTCAGAATATCGTCTATGTACATAACATGCTGGTTGTTCAACAGCCTTCCAGAAAAACACATCAACAAATTCGGCAAGCTTAGTTGCTACGAGCACCGTCCTTAGCGGCCCGCAGCTCGTCCATCTTGGCCACACGTTTCTTGAACTCGTCATACTGGCACTTTTCGTAGGAATGGCGCTCATCCTAAGCAAACACAATAAGAGTTAGCCAATATTCTTCTGCAGGCAACATGCGACTAAGTCGTTCAATCGTGCGCGTGCGCGGGTGGGCCTGGAACAATCAAATTCGTACCTCGCACTTCCAAGGAAGGTAGTATTCAGCTTGTCGGCAGCGGTTCAGAGGGATCAAAAGGTGTGCACATGAGTCGCGGTATTGCATAGGAAGACGAGCCTCGGACATTTCCTGACGGGTGGCTGGATTGAAGATCGCGATTAGCTTCGTGTCAAGTTTGAGACGGGAGTCAATTGGAGATCATTCGCACCGGATGTGTCCGCGAGGCCGACGGCGCTCTTGACCGACTCGATGACAGTCATTATGATAATAATTAGAGAGGTGAGGAGGTGGCGGAGGACGACAAGACGGGGTCAATTCACGGATAGGTGGACCTAGCCTTCACTTTGAGGTATCTCTAGTTTGCTCCCGATATACGGTCATGTGATTTATATATCACATGATTGGACGAGTGAATGTGGATTATGTAATACACTCCTAAAAGGGGTTAGACTCTAAAATCCACTTAACGCGGTCACGTAAAACGCGTAACTGCGACCCTAGACTCCACTCAGCAAATCGTGTCTCTACGCTCTGGACCAGGCTTGTAAATTGCGTGCAATGTGTCAAATGCTGGAACATTCTTGATCGTAATTAGCCTCGTGGACGCCCTTGATACATTTTGCACCCATAAGTGCGCGCCATCTCACAGATTCAAAGGGTATATCGGGTGCCTGTGGCTCACGACATTCACCATGGCGGGGATGGAATCGATCTATTCTGCTACCTACAGTAGTGTAAGTCCTCTTTGATGGTGTGGATTGCTGCCTGGGATAATTATTTCAATTGATGGCAAACATTGTCCTCTCTTATCTTGCATTGAAGGCGCTAATACCTCTTTCATTCAGGTGCCAGTTTATGAATTCAAGATTGAAGGAGACAGTGTCATGAGGCGAAGAGGGGATGATTGGGTCAACGCAACACATATTCTGAAGGCTGCTGGATTTGATAAGCCAGCAAGAACTAGAATTCTTGAACGAGAGGTGCAGAAGGGTGTACATGAGAAAGTACAAGGTGGCTATGGCAAATATCAAGGTGAGCTTCAAATCCAGAGCAACGAGAATCGGCGAGAATGTTTTATCACAGTATTAATTCACTAACATATTTATAACCAGGAACATGGATTCCCCTTCCAGAAGCTCGCATGCTGGCAGAGCGGAACAAAGTCCTCACGAAACTCTTACCCATCTTCGATTACACTGCTGGGGACCGGAGTCCCCCACCTGCTCCAAAGCACACTTCAGCCGCCTCAAAACCAAGAGCACCTCGCAAGTCTAACAATCGCAATCTTGCATCGGCATCAGCGCCAAAGCCAGCACCACCGCCAGCAGAAGTATTTTCTGTCATGCAACCAAATCCAACGCGGAACATGGGACCCCCAACCCTCCCTCATGAACAATATGATATGAGTACCACCTTTGATGACAACGAGTCTATTGAACAAGCCACCATTGAATCATCATCCATGGTCGCCGATGAAGATATGTTACAAATGTCTCATCACGGTGGGCGAAAGCGCAAGCGCGGCGCGAATGAACCCCACGGCATGTCTCTCACTGAGCAGGAACATATCATGTATGGAGATCAGTTATTAGACTATTTTATGACCGTGGGCGACGCGCCGCAAGCAACACGCATTCACCCACCCGATCCTCCTTCTCATTTCCAAATTGATCGGCCTATTGATGACTCTGGCAATACTGCCCTGCATTGGGCTTGCGCTATGGGTGATCTTGCGATTGTACAGGATTTACTTCGTCGAGGAGCCAACCCCAAGGCGCTGTCTGTTCATGAAGAAACCCCACTTGTTCGAGCCGTATTATTCACGAATAACTACGAGAAGCGGACTTTCCCTGCTCTTTTGGATCTGTTGTTTGATACTGTTACTTTCCGAGACTGGTTTGGAGCCACCATATTCCACCATATTGCTGAGACGACCCGAAGCAAGGGCAAGTGGAAGAGCTCCAAGTATTATTGCGAGATGCTGCTTGATAAATTATGCAAGACGGCTTCTCACGATGAGGTGGATTTACTATTGTCATGTCAAGATGACAATGGTGATACGGCCGTTCTTGTGGCTGCACGCAACGGTGCCTTCCGTCTCGTAAACATGCTTCTCACCCATTGTCCTCGAACGGGCGACCTGATGAATAAAAAGGGTGAAACTGCATCAGGCATCGCTCAACGATCTCACATTGACAACGACATCCCTCCCCCTCCATCATCAGTTACTATGGCCAATGATCACATGGATGGTGAATTAGGCACACTGCTGCCTTCAGACCGTCAATCAATTGCTCCCCCTGTCGATTCGACCGCGACCTCCGATCTTCTCTCTAAGATCGGTACCATAATGGCAGATGCGAACAAGAAACTCGCAGTCACATACGGCAACTCCAGGATGAGTCAACAAGATTCCACCGATGTTGCCAACCCAGAAGCCCTATTTGAACAGCTTGAGTCCGATCGCGGAAAGATCAAGCAACAAACAGCAGCTCTTGCAGCTAAGGAGGCTGAGTACGACTCCAGTGATATGCAGCTCGCCCGCTATGAGAAATTACGCGCTCAATACGAGTCTCTTCTCGAGCGCGTACAATACGGCCGTCTCGTTCAGCAGTTGTCGGCCACAGCCATCAAAACAGAAATCCCTGCCACGGATTCATCCACACTCAGTCAAGAGGAACTGAGCGCCCGATACCAACTTGCTCGTGAATTATGCATTGCGCAAAAGACACGACGCAACGCAGTACGCGATCTAGCTCAACAAACCGCGGATGCAGGCGTGAGTACCAAGTTCGATGTGCATCGCAAACTAGTTGCTTTGGCCACAGGGCTGAAAGAAGAGGAGCTTGACCCGATGGCGGCTGAGCTGGCCGAAACGCTCGAGTTTGAACGAATGAATGGCAAAGGTGCGTCCCCCGAGCCAGGGCATCGACAAATAACTTCCCAGATGGACTCCGCCGCGCTACCTCCTGGGGCTGTTCCCGTGGATGCCTAGAGTGATATATGTCTTTGATGCCTCTAGGCTTGTCCTCTGTAATGACTCTCCTTGATGCTACTCCTTATTATCTTGTTCTTTCTACCTCTTGGTGTGTGTCTCTTACATGACCAGCAGATACCCCTGACGCTGCGTTTCTTTTCTCATTCTGTTTTTCTTTTTGTGTGTCTCATGCCACTTTCTTTTTATCTCATCTTCTGGTTTCGTTATTATCTTCTCTGTCTTTTTTTCATGATCATTTCTCTGTTCCTATCATGATCGCCACCTGTTTGTGTGTCTCAGGCGTACTGAAGGATTTTCGGAGATGGCGGAGAAGCGGTTCCAGCCACGATGTACCGGTGTACATACATAAATTATATTTGTTTATTCCGAATCCTGCTTAGCTTGTACATGCTTGTTTACAGGTAAAAAGAGACAAAAGGGGAAACAAAATAGAAATGACATATGCATGTAATAATGGGAATATATTCAAAAAGACCAGAGTTAATTCGGCCATGGGTTGTTCTGTACATAATGATTTCGGCTGACATGGTTCAGCAGCTTGTAGATCATAATCACGCTAAGGCCCCAGTCATCTCCCCCGTATCCAAACAAACCCCATTCAAGAACGCCTCCGATGAAGAGCAGTCCCACAATGGCCGTGTCCACCGCACAAATGACATATGAAAATCTTTACTTGCATTTTCATGTTCGGAGTCCACTTGTACAATTCCACCACTAGTACCAACACAACACCTGATTTACCCCTCTCTTGCCACCAGTCCACGGAGAGCCTCCGTCAGCGGTTAAGGTGCATCGATTGGCTGCAGGAAAGAGGCTTGGCAACAACGCCGGGCGGCTCCAGGGGCATTCTGAGACGAAGAAGCGGGCATGTCGGGCGGCGCTAGCGGCCCTTAGCCAATGACACGGTGGGGGATGTGATGGGAGGTTCTGGGCTGCGAATGGGCTCATCACGCTCTGGGCGTGTATTCGTTGGTGATTGGGTGCTGGACCCCAACTTTTCATGTATCCCAGCTCCCAGTGGCTTCCAATCCCATGAGGAGAAGGTCTCAGCTCTGGTAGCTGGGGTTAAACAGGAAGCTTCATTGTCGAATCGGACATGATAGATCAAGTAGGGCTGTCTTGAACTCGTACAAATAGAGGTGAATCCCAGAGCCTGACAATAATACTGAGTATAGCCCTGGAGGTTGGAGGTTACCTGGTAACAGTATACTGTATACATATACGTTGCGGTGTCCAACCGAAGTTCGGCCTCAGGCATCAACTCCCGCGCTCCTTCCCCACTGACTTTCAATCCGCACCGTTTCCTTCTTCCCTCTCTTCCTCTCTTTCTCTCTTTACTTCTTCATCTCTCTCTTCTCTCCCCTCCCCTCTCCCTCTCCCCCCCATTCTTCTTTCTTTTTCTTCTTCTTCGCACTCTTTCATTTTCCGTCGTTGGGACCATCAAAAAAGAAAAAGATTATTTTCCATAATACCTATAAAAAAATCCCTTCCCCACCTGCAAATAGTTCCGTCCGATTCGTTCCGCCCCTGAAGAAAAAGCGTTTGCTCGTGTTTGGCCGAGATCCGAAGATTCGATTCGACTATTTTCAACCCCCAAACTTCAAACCCACACGATCTTCGAATCCCGCATTTGTCGTTCTTGCATTACCTGTGCCTGGGGCCATTTTCGTTTCGTCCTTCTTGCCACCACTGCGAATCTTACCTTATCTGGGTTTGCCTTGGCCAGCTGGTCGTGTTTCAGAATCGCCTCCAGTTTCCTCTCGATACCATTACCCGCGTCATCTCACGTCGATTTTCCCTGGGATTTGCAGAGCATCTCCCTTCTATTTTTTCTTCCCTGGTGCTCTCTGAGAGGCCTCATTTCCCCAACTACTTTCTTAATTCCATTTTCATCCATTCATATCTGCCTTCCTTTGTGCTGGATTACCCCCCGGATTCTCGGCTTCTGCTACCGAGACAAAAGAGAGAAAAAGAAACAAAAAACCGAGAAAAAACATTTCTCCAACTACTATAACATCTCCACATCGCTATTGTACAGCTTGATAATATCGTCGTCGCACTTTTGTGATCTTCGTCGAGTCTGTCCTTGACACATTTTTTTGTCCTGCATACCTTCGTTTGTGGTCCGTGACCTTACTTTTTGACTGCCTGACGAACTTCGCACTGACGGATTCCGTGATTCAAGATATCGCGTCTCCATCGAAAATCCCTTCGACTCTACTTTCACCTCATCTTCCGAAAACTTCCCTTCGGTCGATCAGTGTTCACATAGATTATCCTAATCATCTAATCCCTCGGAAAAAGCTCGAAGCTTCGTGGTTGATCCCAAGCTCGCATTTCCCGACCTCACGGATATTTTCAAAAACGCGTCTCACTTCACACTGAAGTCTTGCACATACCCTCCCTGATACCCATCTCCCTCTCCTCCGCGAAACATGAGTATGGACGCTGGCGGTCTTGCTCAAATGACGTACAACAATTCTTTCAATAATGGCAGTTCCCTCGGGGTTCCTGGCTCTGGCTTTGCTTCCCGGGGAAAAGGCTCACACATCAAGCGCTTGAGTGTTCCTCCTCAGGTCGCGACCATTGATGAGTCTCAGGCATCCACCTCGGTCGCCACCCCACGTACAAGCCGGTCGCATCTTCTCGCTGGTCTTCGCACGGCACCCCGATCTGCAACAATTCCCTCTCAACAGCAACGCACCGCTATGGACAGTCTTCGAATGCCGACCCACCGCGAGTCCGACCGTGTTCCTCAAACCGCTACGGGAGCTGGATTCCCGCAGCACACCTACGCTTCGCATAATGGATCGCATTCGCAGCAGTACCAGCACCAGCACCAGCACCAGCACCAACATCATCAGCATCAGCATCAGCATCAGAACCAGCACCAAAACCAGCATCAGCATCAGCATCAGCATCAACATCAACATCAACATCAGAGGCAGCAACGTCAGCCTCAGCATCGGAATCAGAACCAGAGCCAAAACCCGAACCGCCCCGTGTATACTATGCCGGAACAAGTGCTTGCACCCCCAATGCTTGACATTGGTGGCGGTGAGGTGATGGATGAGAACCTTTACGCGGAGCTGATGTCAACCAACCTGTTCCTTGCGGCACAGCAGCAGCGTCTTCAGCAACAGCTGATCAGCGTCACAGCTGCAGCCCAGCAATTCCAGGGTCTCAACCTGGGAATGTCTCCTCAGCAACAGCAATTGTCACAACAAATGTCGCAGCAGATGTCTCAGCTTCAGATGGCGAGTATGGGACTTTACCAGCAGCAACTTCAGCAAGGTGTTCAGCCAGTCGTGCAACCAGTTCCTGGTCAGCCTGGCCTGTACTCTGTCTTCAATCCACTTACTGGTCAGCAAAGCTACCTTATGGACAACGGCTCTCAGGATGATGGCTTGGCAGCCTACGGAGGAAACCAGTCTATCGACACACAGGTGCCTCAATTCCGTGCTGAGATTTCCCCGCCTGCAGATTCCGCTCCGTCGCAGAATTACTTCTCCCAGCCAGTCTCTCCTCCAAGTGGTTCTCCTTCCCCACCCACTGATTCATCTGCGAGCGCTTTCCGTCGCAACCACCGCAAGACTCCATCGTTCAACCCAGCTCTGAGAACCAACATTGATACAAGCAAAGCAAATGCAGGAGCCGGTCCTCGATCCGCTGTCTTCCCTCCTACCCCCGCCACTGGAACTTTCGGCCCTGGCCAGGCGCGTGCTGGAGAACACCCAATCCGTCAGCCTCGTGGCCCTCCCTCGCTTGAGGATCTTGTGGCCAAGCCGACTTCTAAGCATGAGGGAAGCCAGAACTTTGCTACCCGCCAGCGACGTCGGGCAGTCCACAACCTGGTTCGTGCTGGAATTGAGCGCCGTGGTGATACTCGCAGCTTTGGCTACAACAGTAGCGGTGGCACCAACACTCCTGCCAGTGAGAAGGAGTTCACTTTCTCGGACGGTGACGATGCAACTGTGCGTAGCGGCAGTCTCTCTAGCAAGCCTAGTCTAGGCAGCCTTCGTGCGGCTGCCAATGGCGCCATCGGCTCTGAGCGCAAGGAGAAGACCGGTCGCAAATCGCTACCTGAGAGCCCCTTCACCAGTGTCTCCCCGACAAGCGAGGATGGATATTTCTCAGCCAAGTTTGCCGAGGTTCGCGCTGAACAAGTCTCCTCTGGTGAATCTTCTCCTTCTGTGGCGGCTGTTGTTGCTGGCCAGGCGCAGGATGCCCAAGCTCCTGAGCGCCGCAAGACTCCAATGCTTGTTTTGTCCAGTGCTGAAAAGCGCAAGACTCCCCTCATGTAATGCCGACCATCATGTGACAGCGACGTATGACTTTTCTTTTTCGTTTCTTCTTCCTTGGGAGGGCTTTTTTTATCTTCATTTATTTTCATGATGCCCCCCACTCTTTCATTCTATTCCATCGGAGATTAATAAGTTTCCACGAGCCATTGGCCTTACCATTCATTTTCTTTATCCTATTATCTTCCGAGCCCATGGCACCTTGAGTAATGCCAGTCTTGATGTGGATCAGTCTCGAATGACTTCTTTCTACAGTATCTTCTTTTATTCTCTTTCACCATTTTTCCTTTCTTTTCTTAGGTGTCTATTTCTCACCGTTTCTCTACTGCTCTTCCTCACAATCTCCACTTGACTGGTGGCATTGACGAGGCCCATCCGCCTTGAGATGCAATTCAAGAATTGCATTGTCCAAGCGCTGGATTGAAGCGGCGGGCATGCCCGCCGCTCATTACTTTCACTTGTTTAATTTTGGGTCTCGGACGTACATCCGGTCATGTACATTCTACCCACGAATTCCTGTAGCCTAGGGCCCCTACTGCAATTTAAGCATGGACTCTTTACCTGGATTTATGATGTTATTAGTCTTCAGCATCAGATACGAGTGTTTCCATTCAATTCTCTACAAAGTACAACCAAACCCGTAAACCAACGTGCCAAAACGCATCCATATATCCCTATAACTACCAATAACCCAAGTAGTCTTGAAACAAAGTCTCCCAAACACGTCCCACGAAAGGCAAACCACGTGGAGCCCAAGCTCAGCAACAAGCATGGCAAGCATGCTCGATTCGATCAGATCAGATCAGATCAATCTCCCCCGACCCGGAACCCGAACCTAGGCCCTTGGAATACACATGGCATGGGTAGATAAGGTCGATCGGAGGACGGCAGGTGCATGATGCAAGATTGCCAGATTCAGCGAGAGTCTCGGGTGGGAGGTTTGGGAGATTGCCGAGTCTTATGACGACAAGGGTTCACGGGTCTTTCAATGAGCGGGAGTCGTGACTTTTCGTCACGGTTCTGTGTACCTGGTACCTGGGTTTAGATGGATAAGGTAGTGCTGCTATCCGAGTTTTAGTGAGGAGCTAGGACCAGTAGATTGTGATAGGAAATTTTCAATCTTGGGAGGACTGGGAAGCATTGCATACCTATAGATCTCTATGTAGAGCCGCAATCGCTATGTATAAATTACTGCATATGGCTGCCAAATGATTGCATACCATGGCTAATAAACAATAACGTTAGAATCATACCATGTCAAATATAACTTGGAACTGAAAGCCCTTCTTTTACGCATTCTAGAATAAAATTGATCACAATGAGAAACTTGAAACTTGAAACACTTCAGCCCAGAAAGCGAGGCATACCCAGCCTACCTGAACTGAAAGCTGAAATGGAAATGAGTAACTATACAATAGCCACTCAAACACAAAGGTAAAAAGAAAATTAAACTCCACAATTCAACAAGACTCCTTCCAATCTGGGACTCTGGTGGTAAACCTATAAAAAGCTCACGATATTCAAGGATCCACACACACCAGCCCGATGTAAAAAGCAAAAGCAAAAGCCAAAAAAAAATCTAGACAGCCCGGCCAAGACCTACATAGACCCTGCATGAAAGTAAACTTAGAACCAGCTAGGATGTCTGCCAGTGTGGATTTAGTGTACATGATATGATATTCTCGATCTCGACAGAATCTTGAAAAAGGGCTATGTACCCGCTCATATGTAAGAAGTCAACAGAAACTTTTACAATTAGAATGATGGCGTTACTAGTGCTCACTCTAATACGACCTAAGTCTAATAGTTCCAAAGGAAAAAAAAAAGAGAAAAAAAAGATGAATAGCAATAGCTGACGTGCCAATTATGCAGTTCCAGTTCGGGTTTCAGAGATATGAATAGTGTTCAAGTTGAACGTCGGAGGACTCGGAGCACTACCTACATCTACATCTGCAGGATTATGAATATAATTATAATTGTGACTTGGGTGTTTATTTATTTGGGTCGCAGATCCACGGTCTGGAATAGGGAACAGCCATGATTGAATCCATGGTTCAGAAGTACTATTAAGTTTGGGAGATACATCGGAGGAAAAGGTCCTCAATGAATCATTGACTACCTAACAGGCTGAGACTCAGGTTGTAGAAACAACCTCCAAGTTCGCAGCAACATTCTAGTTAAATACAAACATAAACATCACACAAACAACTATGATTGAAACGGAGGTCTCCATTGATTTGAAAATCCTACTTTCGTTTCCAGCTAGACCGTTGTCCAGACCCGCCAAGATATATATTATCAAGCAAGGAACGCGCGTAAGACATTACTTATCACCATGACGGGAATCCGGACCAAAGCCACAGATTAGATATTGGTCCCTGCGTCTTTCCAGGTTGAACAGACATCCTCGGTCCCCCAGCTGGCGGAGGGGCTGTGTGACATGAAAAGAGGGTGAAAGGTAACACGGGGAGGTAGCGCAGTCACATTTCTGTAGTGAAGCCGGATAGAGGGGGTGAGGGAGCTTGCGTAGAGTGTTTTAGTAGAGTTCCAGATCTCTCTACGAATATAGCTAGAAATATTAACTGAGAAAGACGAATGTATACATCAAGTTACTCCAACTTGAATGTATTTGAGTGAAACGAGAGCGAAGGTATTAAAGGTACTATACTACATACTGCCTTGTACTCAGCATGCCGAGAATACATACACAATATTGGTACCTATACTGCGAAGGCCAACATGCATTCATATCTTGCAGAACTAATCGTTCTAGCCGTTGGCCAGGTCTGGAGGAATCCAGGGCCGCGGAAAGCTTAATCTGGTCAACCTGCTTCTTGCAGCTGTCACTGGCACTTCTGGCGTCTTAGTCTTGGCTTTGGCCCTTGCTGCGGGGAGGATTGGGAAGATTGGGTAACACAATGACGCGCAAGGAGGTTCCAAGGTTGTTATATGGTACTAGCTGACATCATGAAGAGTGAGAGTCTGTATTTTTCCTCTTCCCGTTTCTCGTCTGAAAAAATAATTTACAATTTGCGAATGTAGGTCATAGATAAGCCATGGGATTTTGGGAACGGAAAGAGACAGCAGATGATGTATATTCCAAGTTTTGTAATGAGTAGATCCTGGAATTCAAATTTAAGATTTGTGGGTAAGGTGGATAGATGGATATTACTATTTGTTTATTTATCTGGGTCACGGTCAAGTATATTGTAATACTACAGTAATCGTGTCTTCAGATTGTTATTTGCAGAGCCTGCCAATCAGGTATGCGGATCCACGTATGTTCGTCCGTGGATGGATTGGCTACATTTATGCACTGTATTTATCTACTGTAGGAGGTGTCGACAGGGTGAGATTCCTTCCGATGGTGTGATTGATTTCTCTACTTATCCACCTATAGGATTGATGAGGGGCGTACGCGTATACTGTGTTCGGAACACAGTCCTGTTCCTGATGAACGAGGCGTCGTGCATGCAGAGCATGCATCACTTCCCCTGTCGGTTGATTTCCAAGGTACTATAGTACAGGGATGGAGATCGAATTCGTGTCGTTGTCGTTGTCGATGTCTACATATACTAAAGTACTTTTGTAAATACTTCATACTGCGGATCTCTAGGTACATCATGTAGACAAGCGTAAGGATTTGATCTCCTAGCGCCGGCTCCACCCAGGGATCCTAAAAACCTTCTCTCAACTACTAAGGTCGATCCCTGAAACCCTCTAATTATTCCTTTTACCACCTAACACACTACCTACCCAACAATGATCATGATTTCAGGTCTTGTCTGAACCACTTGTGACTTGTGGTACCTCATAGCCTCTGTGAAACCAGCAAATAACACTGAGCCCTTGGGACAAGGAGTTCGGATTAAACCCGCTCCTAGGTTCTTTCGCCTTACAGCTGACTTGCTCTCTAGAGTGACTGTAATTTCTGAAAAGAATTCTGGAATTCTTTCAAGATTCCGTTGATTCGGAAAGCTTCGATAAGCTAATAAGCTACAATCCAGACTGTCGATCTTACTGTGGCGATCCAAATCGAGAGTAGATATGGGTCTTCCGTCTCGGAGCATACCCGGCTAGAAGAGGCACGATTCAGAGCTGTTTCGAGTCAGGCCTGTGCACTTGACCGTGCTTCGTGACTTGTCTTGTTCGAGGCTTATGAGACTGCCAAATCCCGGCGATTTATCACTGTGGCAAAAGTAAATCAAATCTAAAAGTAATACACAAACAATAATCATAATCATAATTAAATTAAATTAAATTAAATTAAATGGGAAATCGGCACAGACGGCTTTTTCCCCCTCCAACCCAAACCTCCTCCCCGGCCACATGTACATTTGCTCCTTGCTAGTAGAGGAAAATAAATGTACGGAAAAAGGGAAAAAAGAATAAAAAAGGCTTTTTCTTCATGTGCTCAGTATGCTTTGTTATTGATATCGTAATGCACTTATTTGTTTTTTCCTAACCATGTCTCTAGCCGCGTAAGAAGAGAAGATAAAAGCATGCACGGGAGTTCGGACCTCACGATCTTTTATACTCGCCCAAATTCGCAAGGTTTCTTTCCCTCTTGCTTTTGTTCAAAGTGTACAAAATCCATCATTTTCCCGATCTCACTTGTTTAATCTCGAATGATGTTGTCTGTGACATAATTATCATTCCTGGCAGCGGGCCTTCCCTTCAAACTAGTCCCCCTGTCCCGAAACTCCCAGCGAGAGACGTATGGGATAACTCCCTTGTGGCCACCACTTACGAGCTATAGCTTGTTGCATGCTGAATTAAAAAAACAAGCTTAGAAGCAAGCTTGACCAGTCATATATCAATAGAAGCTCATGTGGGTTCTCCAAAGAGATGATCGTCCCTTATAAAGCGTGATCTCACATAACTGAAGCGTTGCCAGGCTACAATATCCTCAAAACGAGCCCTACCCGATTGATAGATAGATTCAAAACCAGACGATTGAACTTTTACGCCCACAACTTGTGACAAAAAGGCCTTTCCCCTCCTAAACAACAAAAAAATCGCCTCAGGACATATGCAGAATATAGAAACAAGAACCAAACAAAGATATACACATAACAAATGGTGGGGGGCTACTTCGAACCATTAGTCTCCCGCCCTTCAAGCGTTTCTGATACTGGGCTAGGGTCAAACGAAATATCTCCAGTGTCACGTCAAGCATCACTGCCCCTGTCTGATGATGGTTCACAGGCCCACCAGACGTATCAGGGCTCGAAGGTGAATGAAGTTGGTGCACAGGGCAGGCCTCGGAATGCAAGCATTCTGAAAACCACCAATCGTGTCAAGTTTACTCTGGATAAACCAGAGCAACATGAACCCACTATCGGAGCTACGGTCGAATCCCGACTGGATCGAAGGGGCACTGTGCTCCCTCAAAGACCACAACCCACAGCCAACATTCCATACATTCAGGAAAAAGGGTCCGTGACCTCCCATGCCGCACCATCACTGGAGGAAAGGAGCTCTGGCGCGCCATCCGATGTCACTGGCCTGACGATCGGCTACCAGACAAGCTCATCGGGAGCCGGGAGAGAGGGGGAGCAGCTCAGCTTTAGTACAAATGACAAAGGGCAGGCGATAGCTTATGCACAGGAGAGAGCTCAGCGACTGACATCTATTTTCAGTCGCGGTCCAAAACCTCCGAAAACCAGTCCTCGGTCCAGCCAGAATTCATCGATTGCTTCTCTCCCAACTGAAGTAGTCTTTCCTTCCGAAGATGGGGATGAGATCACTGTGATAAGCTTCCCTGAGAAACAACAACTATTTGACGACCTAACTGCTGATGAGGATGATGCGGATCTCGTAAATGGGCAATTTACACCGCACACGTCCGAAGCATTCAATATCGTGCGACAAATGTCCCAACGAGACTTCTCCTTCTTGACTCGCGTTCGTCCTCCGTCTCCTGGCCCTCTCTCCGGCCAAGAGACACCGACCGAGGACAGAGACTCCGAGACTTATGTCGAACGGCCCTCTCGTTACCGAGGTGGCATTCTGTCCTCCCTACTTAAACTACACGACGGAGGTAGCCACTCTAGCCAGGATAGTCGATGGAGTTATTCCAGGAAAGGAAGCTCCTCAGAGTACAGTGGACGTGGATACTCCCCTGATCCTCTCTGGAAACCACATCGACCCCGAAAGTGGTACGAGAAATCACCAAGTCGGTCGAGCAGTACCTTAAACGGCTCATCGCCCAAGACCACATCCCCCATTGCTATGCTGAAGCGATCTCGAAGCAGCGGTGCAATTGGAGGCGTAGCGCGTCGATGGGCAAAACACGACCACTTCGAAGATGAGATCCGAATTACCGTCCATATCGCTGAAATCTTGTCACGCCAAAGATACCTGACCCGGCTCTGCAGAGCCTTGATGAAATATGGCGCCCCGACTCACCGGTTGGAGGAATATATGCGGATGACTGCTCGTGTGTTGGAAATTGATGGTCAATTCTTGTACTTCCCCGGCTGCATGATTATCTCCTTTGATGATGCCTCAACGCACACCACGGAAGTCAAAGTCGTACGTGCCAGCCAAGGAGTTGACCTGGGCAGATTGGCAGATGTACACGAGATCTATAAGGAAGTGATCCATGACGTGATTGGAGTGGAGGAAGCCATTCAAAGGTTGGATGAGACGTCGAAGAGGCCTAACAAGTACCACTTGCTGCTTCAAATTGTTGCGCACGGCTGTGCGAGCGCTTCCGTGGGGCCCTTCGCATTCAACGCTCGACCAATCGACATGCCCATCTCCTTTTTACTGGGCTGTCTTCTCGGTATCTTACAACTCATCCTCTCACCAAGATCGAGTCTATACTCCAACGTGTTCGAGATCACCGCCGCTGTCTTGACTTCATTCCTGGCCCGTGCATTTGGAAGTATAAGATACCAAGGCGACCCGCTCTTCTGCTTTTCCGCCCTAGCACAGTCCTCGATAGCGCTCATATTACCAGGATATACTGTGCTTTGCGCGAGTCTGGAGCTACAGTCAGGCAGTATAATTGCTGGATCAGTGCGTATGGTATACGCAATTATATACTCCCTTTTCCTTGGCTTCGGTATCACCATCGGTACCGCTGTCTATGGTCTTTTGGACTCGCAAGCCACAGTGGCATACACTTGTCCTGCCAGCCCAATAACAAACGAGTACCTCCAAAGATTTCCATTCGTACTCCTCTTCACTATATCCCTCGCCCTCGTGAACCAGTCCAAATGGAAACAAATCCCCATTATGATGGTTATTTCCTTAACAGGCTACGTGACCAGCTACTTTAGCTCGAAGCGTTTCTACGCCAATACTCAAGTCTCGAATGCCCTCGGTGCCTTTGTCATCGGTACAATGGGTAACCTCTACAGTCGACTTCGCCATGGTCTTGCAGCTGCTGCAATGTTACCTGCCATCTGGGTTCTTGTGCCCTCCGGCCTTGCAGCGAGCGGGTCATTGATATCAGGCATCACCTCGGCAGAAGAAATGACTCGCACCCCATCTACGGTCATAACCAACGGGACTCAGGGATTTGTTGATGCAGCGAAGAATTTATCAGCTGCCGATGCACGCAATCAGAGCTACAGTACTGTCTTTGACATTGGATATGGCATGGTCCAGGTTGCTATTGGGACAACAGTAGGCCTTTTCCTAGCTGCCCTCGTTGTATACCCTCTTGGCAAGAAACGCAGTGGACTATTCAGTTTCTAGCCTACAAGTCTTGTTCCTGTTCACTTCTCATCTTCCTCAACGTTGATACCGAATACCCGAACATCTCTCCTTGGTCCCTTTTCTTCCTTGATACTCTCTTTCATTTGTTCCTTCAGCGTCTCTCGATATCATCGGGTTCCTTGGACATTTCGCATCTGCAAATTTGACACCAGATCTTCTCTTGTGTCAAATCCGCATTGTTGCCCTTAATACCTCGAACAGCAACCGAGGCGGGGGCTTGATTGCTGTTTTACTTTCTTATTGTTATTTGCCTCCTTTATTTTATTTTTTGAAATTGTTGTATGGACGTTCGGATTTACCACGCAGGAGGGAGTACAGTCACACGCTCATTATCCTTTCCCTTTCCCTCTTCCTGTTCCTTTCTCTCTCTTCATCTCTACTACTTCTATTCCCATCTTTCGTCCCTCACCGACAAAGTCTGTATCGACTCCCGCCTTATTCGGACTACATATACCCAGCTCGTCCGAACATACATAGAAGATACGAGTCTACGAGTCATGACCAAAATCATTGAGGCCCCCTTTCTCACGTATTTGATCTGATCTGATTACCTGATTACCCTTTTGAAGTTTCGTTCCCGAGTTACTAGGCTTTGTTTTGACATTTGATCCCGAGGTCTTTTTGTGCTTAAACTTACTTGTTCGTTTGAATGTGATGTTGCGGGATTATCTTTATGTTACGTGTTGGGGGTCTTCTTGTTTTTATTGCATCAATGCCCGAATCTATGGTTGTCTTGTGTATTAGACCATCAGAAACTGAGAAACTGAGAAACTTAAAGCTCTATTTCTACTGTCTACGTATCAATACCTTGTCTAGCGATGAGCCCAAGGAAAAATAATACTAAGTAGCAACAATATACGTGAACAGAATATTCAAGCCTTGACGACAAAACCTGCAGTACCTGCATATAATTGGTCCAACAAATCACTTCATGCATACTTCGCCCCAATCAGCCTCACTCAGGCTGCGGGGTCATTTCAATGTTATTAGTAGGTGCGTCTCCCACTTCTCATCTTTTTTCGACACTTCGGATACAAATTACACTCAACAAAAACAAAAACTTTATCCCAAAACAATGTCAAACAAATCCCATCTCTAACACCCACCAAGTTTAGGCTAAACATAAACCTAGCCCAAAAATGTCCTTCGGTGTCTCCGTCGGAGACTTCCTCTCCGGCGCAAACCTAGCCTACAAACTCATCCGCGCACTATCAGAATCCAACGGCTCAACCATGGAATACCAAGAAGTAATCCAAGAGCTAAGCTGCATCCAACAAACATTCTTGAATGTCGAACTCATAAACTGTCGAAAGCTCTTCAGCCAAGCAACCATGAATGCAATCGCACATATTCTAAGCTCATCAATGGATATGATGTAGAGATTTCTTCAACAAACGGGGAAATATCGAAAAAGTCTTTCTGGAAATGAGAAGTGTATAGCAACTGAGAGCTGGAGAAAAATTGGATGGGGTTTATTTCAGAAAGAGGAACTTGTTGGTTTGAGGAATACGTTGCAGTTACGATTAATTGCAGTTAATACCTTGATTACTGCAGCTAATAGGTAAGTCAACGTATCTCTTGGGTAGAATTTGAACGGTGGAACTAACAGGCAAGCCAATGCCAAAATTATTATATCACGCCGCATGCTATTGAGAAGTTCCAGACCAGCAATCTGGACTCGGAATCATTGACATCTGGATCTGGATCTGGATCTACGCCAACAAATACATCATCTGGTGTCTCAACACATAGTACACATGCAGAGGAATGCGCTTTGGAGCCTAAAGTCTTACCTCATCTCCGTGCAGTACACGAAAGCGTCCCAAATTCGAAAGAGCTCGATGAAACCCATCATCATTCCAACGTCTCAAATCCAAATATAGACTCGGAAGCACTCGCAGATCCACCATATGACGCATATGAACCACCCGATGAGCCTGTATCCACAAAATACACGTATCACGATACTAGTATTTCAGAGCCAGACCGAAATGACAACCACGAGAAAATGCAACGCAAACAAGCCGAAAGAAACGCCATCCAAGCACTAACAAAACTAGGCCTAATTAAAGAATCTGCGCAAATCAAAAGGGAGAAGATGAAACCAATCAAATTCAAAGATGCAGTGGGTCGAAAGTTTGCTTTTCCATGGGAATTATGCTGGAACTGGCAGGTGAGTTGAGATTTCTTCTTAATTTCTTTTATCTGGACTCCTTATTGTAGAGTTTATTTTGTCATATCTGGCTGAGATGAGGGCTAATTTCTATTTCTATTTCGGGCATTAGGGAATGGAAGATCTCATCAAACAGGCCTTTCTTCATATTGAAGTTATTGGTCCCCATGTAAATAAAGGACATTATGATCTTGTAGGACCTAATGGGGATATTATTCTTCCTCAAGTTTGGGATGATGTTGTTGAGCCAGATTGGACTATTACGATGCATATGTGGCCGATACCTGAAGCCTAGCCTGAGACTTCGGGTCTGGATGAATCAAAGCATTTATATCATGTTTTTGACGGAGTTGGGAGTCTTCACCTTCCACCACCAGGCTCACGACAACTAGTGTCAGAATACATACGTTTTGCCCACGTCTCTTTGCCCTGGCATCACTAATTCAGTACGGCCATCAGAAAATGATCTACTTTATGTATGATTAAGGTACAAAAGTCGAAAGATGGAAGCTGAAAAGGAATATAAAAGACAAAGAAACAGATTCAATTCATTCAATCCCGGTATATTAGAAACATCCACCAAAACTCCATGCTTGCTAAAAGTGCAACTGCAATGCAAACCCAACCAACAAGTCAACCTCAACACCTTAACCGACTATGTAGGTACCCACATCATAAATGCGCACATCCCGGCCTTGAACTAGAACAAGAAGAAAACAAGGGCATCATCGTAGACCAACTGGTCCGGTATCCCTGAGCTTAAACTCAAACTCAACTCCTCGCTCAAGTCGAGAAAAAGAAAATCGAATTAACACGAGAAAGAAACGCTGAAAGAAACACTTCAAACGGTATTATAGTAGAATCACTATACAATGTTACCCATCACCGTCTCTCAACACGACTCAACGCCCCAAGAATGATACCCAGATCTTCACGAGGCCGCTCAGGATATTTCCCTGAACGCAGTTCATCATGTTCCCCTTCAGTCTCGCCTTCAATCTCAAGACGTTGTCTCGTATTAAGCGCATCACGTTCTTCAAGACGCTCAGCGCAAATCCGAAGTATTGTTGATGAGACCGAATCGGCACTTGAACGATATAGTTCGATATCATGGATTCCTGCTGCAAAGGCATCGAGAGTTGGAGCGAGCTTTGTTGTGATTTTGGAGAGGCGGGATGAGACTGTAGAGGGGGATAGAGGGTGGTGACTTGTTGTGGATGCGGAGGGGGGTGATGTGTTGTTATTCGATTGTGATTGGGATTGGGGTTGTGACTGGTTTTTGGAGGGAGCGGAGGATAGTAAGGATGTGAGGATTGCTTGTTGGGAGGGGTCGAGAAGAGAGGAATCGATTTGGTCGTGAGGTGAAGAAGAGGATTTAGGTTGTCGTTTTGGATTGATTTTGGAGGATTTAGGAGATTCAGACGCGACATTAAGAGGTGGAATTGGTGGTTGTTTTAGAAGGCCGTTAAGAGCATGTCTCTCTTTTTGAAGTCTGCAACGAAAATATTAGCAAAGGTTCTTGTCAACAATAAACCTGAGTCCCGGATTGATCGTCATACTTTTGTATTTGCTCTTCCAATTCCTTGATCTTCTCTGTGTTTTGCACATTTCTCGGATTCGGCTTTTTAACAACCACAGTAGGTGGATTGACATCTTCACGATTAAACCAATTTGAAAGATCTGCATTTGACGAGAAATCCTTCAATAGTTCATCTTGAATAACACGAGCTATAACCATATCTGTATCAGTATCGTCACCATTGAAATAGATTTCTCCAAAGAAGAAGATCATACCTGCTAATCGCGCACTCTGATCCTCCTGGGAATATTTCGAGCCCATAGGCTTATCTCCCAACGCACGCGTCGCGCACCAAATAAGAAGTTGGCGCATTCGCCTCGGCTCAGAGAGTCCCTCATCAGCAATATGCTTATAAAAATCCGCAGTCCCAACTTCTCGATGAGGCAATGCTGAAGAAGGAAGTTAGCTCAGTACGTTTATTATTCACACTCGCATTCAAGCCCAACCCAGAAAAAGCGAAAAGACAAAGAAAGAAACTCACCATTAGATGCCCCCGAGTCAATCAAAGAACTGGCTCTCCTTCCACGCATCCCCAAGCTACTCCGTCGCCGTCCCTTCCCCTTCGCACCTCGTAATTCCTTATTGCGCTGAATAACAGGTGTATCAGCCGCAGGCAACGGTATAGTTTTACCCGCAGACGGTTCAGGAGATCTAAATCCATTCGTTTGAGTCTCAACCTTCGACCTAGCAGGCCGTCCTCGTTTCCCTTTTTTCTCATGTGTCTGCGCAGGCGATTCGTAGTTCCTTGAGCGCGTCGGTTCCGGTTCCGGATCAGTCTCTATACTCTGTACAGGCCTTTTGTTCGTTCTCCTCGGTAATTCTGTAGACTTTCCCTTTCCGTTTGACCTTGTCGCAGAATCCCCACCATTCAAATTCGCATCCTCGACTCGTTTCTTCGGTGGTCGCCCCCTTCGCGGTGTAGATTTAGGAGGCGCATTTTCCACATCAGATCCCTCCTCAGCAACGGGTTCAATAGACGGTCTCGACTTCTTTACTGGTTTTCGCGAGAATCGGAATCCCTCATCGTCTTCCTCGTAATCTGTCATAATAGCGCGATTAGTAACTGATCTGATCTGGCCCCCGTTTCCGTTTCCGTTTCAGTTTCCATTCCATGTCCTCGCGAACATGGACAAACAGAAAACAAAGAAACACCCCCCTTCGCTCGAAAAGAATCACTCACTCGCTTTACGTTTCCCCTCATGTTGATGCTGGTGTTGTGTAATATCATCTAACCCCTGTTTCGAAGCACTGAGTCGCGTAGCCGGTCTCCCGCGTCCAGATCCAGAACGCGCCGTCTGAGCATGAGCAGCCATTCTAATCGTCCCCAGCGGTTCACGGCGCTTTTCTTTCGTGATCGAAGTCGCCAAGACAGCGGTGGTCATTTCACTTGACTGACTGATCTATCTGGTAAGGTTCGCAGTCTGAGTCGGTCGGTCGACCCCACGGTAGTGAGTTGAGTTGAGAAGTGGTGAAGCGAAGGTCGAATTGCGCGTTATTCTTCACAATCGTATTAAAGTGATCGTTATCACTGAAAGAATTGTTTCGTTTTCGCGATCTTGTTTTGAATGTTTGTTGACACTGGAGCCGTCGTTTAATGGAATTACGTCGTGCTGCAGTCAACCCGCTCGGCACGTGTTGCTTCGTGGAGTCCCCAATTAGACTTGGCGAATTAGGACGTGACGTGAAGGTCGCTTGAAGAGAATGATTCAGTTGAATGCGCTGGTGAGAGGAGAGTGATTAGCCCGCAATGAAGTTGCTGCGGGCGGCAAGGAAGCGCAGAAGGTGGGTTGGAGGGATTCGGGCACGCGGTTGTTTTGGTCGGGGCGCGTGGGGCGCTAGTCCGTTTTGGGATTCCCCTCGACGGGCCGTTAACAAGGTTGGAGATAGTACTACACATACTACATATGCATGTTATTACGGGATAGTATGTTTAGTTGAGTTCTTATTTCGGTGCATTGTGATCTGATCCCAGATCTAATATTCAGTTCATTAAATTTACAGGAATTACGTACCAATCCTCACTTCAGTGTCACCTCTCGTCCATTTCGCCTCAACGGCAATGGAATGCAATGTCATTGAAAGCTGCCAGATTCTCCAACTGTGCAGATGCTAGATGAGATAAGAAAACACGCTTTGTAGTCTCGAAGCGACCAACCCAAAATTCGCACACATATAAGTATTCAACATGTTCAGAGAAAAGAAGAGAAGAAGAGAAGAAAAAGAACATCAATAAACCCATTCACAAGAACAGAAATAGGAGACTGTCACCTCGACAGTCCAAATCACACAAATCACACAGTTCCAACAATACTTTTAGTATGCTTCTGTTTCAATGGCATCTTCAACTGTCGGCAACGTGTCCATACTGTCTGGAGGTGGTTGTGTACTACCACCAATACGACGTCTGGCTTCTTGCATCTCCTCAGCAGTAATATTTTCTGCTTTCTTAGGCATATCCGGTTCATGTTGAGGGATATCCGGACTGTGACCGACAGACATGCCAACTCGGATCTATTAAAGAAAAAGTTAGCACAAATCGAACACACAAGGCAAGTAATGGCACAGGCGCAGGGGTTAGTTAATCTTACCAGTGTCTCCAAAGGTCCCTTCGAGTTATCCACCAAATCACTATCAAAATTGATAACTCCTTCCTCAAACAATACAAGAAGTGTACTACCACCGAACTTGAAGTATCCAAGCTCTTCAGCCCGGCTAACCTTCTCACCGGCCTTGCGTGTAATAACCGTACTACCAACCATCATGGCACCAACACAAACAACCATAACACGCCCATGAGACACAGAGTCAATGGGAACGAGGATTCGAACATTTTCACCATAAACATCCAGTGCCGAGCGAACGGCCATCGGATTAACCGTATAATATTCACCTTCAATAGTCTTGGGCTCGCCAACAATTCCATCAACAGGGATATGGAATCGATGGTAATCCTGAGGAGCCAATCGGAATACACCTAGAGCGCCATTTTGGTATCTTGCTGCGTCTTCTGGGTAGGCGTTTCCGAGAAGTCTCGCGATGGAGAATTCACGGCCCTTCACCCAGATACCGGTGGCTTCAGTGATTTGATCAAAGACCACTGAACGGCAGTCGGCTGGTGAGACGACGACTCTGGGATCGTCGGGAGCTGAGCATGGTCGAGCCTCGGGTTTGAGTGCACGGTAGAAGAACTCGTTGAAGTTTCGGAATTTCTCAATGGGGAGAAGAACTTCGGACATGTCTAGCTGGTGGAAGTTGATGAAGTCCTGGATTTGACTTGTAGAAGCTGGGTCATCGTACTTGTTACCCTGTTTTATACTCAAGGAGCGGAGAATGCGACGAACTAAAGAGATTGGTTAGAAAAAATGGATGTTGAGTCAAGATAAGACAAAACTTACTTCGTTTCTTCTCCATCTCCTTGCTTTTGAGACCCTTATAGAGCAGTCGAATTCCAAGACGAACATAGACACTCATGCGCTCCTCATTAATATGACCAGTAATTCGATCCTGCACAAGAATATTGGCCGAATTGGCTCCCAACTTATAACCACCGTATGAGAGTTTAGTGATAACCTTGGAATACCATTTCCTCTGGGCCTGACTCGCAGTTACAAATCCACCCATAACGAGGTTATCAACCTGTCGCCAGTCACGACTAGCACAAGTGGCGATGTGGGTAATAATATCGGCATCTGATCGTTTGGCAAATCGTGGCTGATGGCACAAGGGACATTCACGGATTTCAATAACATGCTCCTCACCTCTCTCGTCTGCAAGGTCGTCGGCCTGGATTCCTTCATCGTTCGAACTAGTCTGTTCCTGCTCCTCACTCGAGATAGTCGGCACCGCTGTTGAAGTCGTGTTAGCATTGTATTGATTGACGGTGCTGGGTTCTAAAGCGAGCTCGTCGCCGCTGGATGGCGCCTCACTGTCTTGACTGCCGACGGATGATGGACCGAGGGGTCTTCGGGGGACCGCGGCGGCGTTTTTCTTTTGTAATTTTTGGAGCGTGTCCTCGAGGGAAACTACGGCCTGATCAAAGGTCAAGTCGGCGACTTCGTCGGTTTCATTGCTGGCTCCTTTGAAGAAGCTGGAGATAGTCGATTCTTTGAGTGTTGAACCCAGGGTGTCAAGCATTGTGGTCAGCTCAACCTTATCGATGCGATCGTTGTCATCAGCATCGTATTGCTTTAACATGAGTCTCCAGAACTGTTGTCGGAGAGCGCTATAGGGCAAGTACTTGGCTTTAACAAATAATTCAGGGTTATGCTTAGCTTCCCAGCGATCCCGGTTCTTGAGGGTTAGAGGAATAGTATAAGGACGCAGACCCTCCTCATCAGCAGGAGGAATATCAAAGGGGACCGGGTTTACCGGGACTGTCGATGATACCAGAGGTACTTGCAGTGTAGTGCTGCTGTCAGTCTGGGATGCAGTTTCTTCTGGGACAGAGGTAGCTCCAGCCCTATTGACCATCTCCAGTACAGAGTTACTGGAAAGCGATGTAGCAGAGTCACGCGACTTCAAGGTGGGTCGTGACATTTTGGAAAGACTGGATGATGAGGCCGAAGAGGTGATCCGAGAATTAGGCTTGGCTGGTGGCACAATTTCTTTTTCTACAGACTCAACGAATTGATACAAACCCGTCTCAGGGTCTGCTTCTGGGGCGGCTTGAATAAGAGCCTGCAAAGGGAAACTTGCAGAGGCAACAAAATCATTACCGGAGAACTTGTCTCGGTCCATTACCGTAAAGCCAAACTTGTATGATTGTTCGTGTCGCATCACTTGGAAGACCATTTTCTCGTTGTATATAGGGTTCAGGTTGTGACGAATAACGGGGGTTCTGAGTGTTTTTCGGCCAAGGGTGGTCACAACAAAAGGGTCCATATCAAATGATGTTCGTGTCACGTTTTTCTCTGGGGGAAGATCTGTCACCCTCATGATTTCCATAAAGACAATGCCTTGCACACCCGTTCCTGCACCGGAGAATTGATAAGCTCTCGCAGCAAGAGACTTCTTCCTCAAACGAGCCAAGCGAAGCCGTCGTCGGCGTTTTTCAACAACCTCAGGCTTTGTAGGATCATCAGTCTCATCGGAAGTCTCTTCATCACGGTCAAGGTCATCGAAATCGGCCGCCGGTATCTCAATCGCATCGTCCTCGTCGCCCGCACAGACGGCCTTTTTAAACTTGCGGTATGTATCCGATGAGGAAGCGGAGGGGTTCGCAGAATCAGCCAGTGAGAACTGCATCAAGATCTCCCCGGAGACATTACTGTCCTTTTTGCTTTTCTTCTTGCTCTTGCGACTTGAGACTCGTTTTGACTTTAGGGTGTACCATGTGGGCTAAGAAGAGATTATGCGGTCAGCCATTGGAATGCACCTTGGGGATGGGAGAGTTCGTAAGGGTATTCGTAATTCTCCAGGTATAATTGCATACCTCTTTTTTGATTTGTCCATCCGAAAATATATCCTCCAGTGCGATATCGAATTCACCCAGGTAGTCCTTGCCAAAGCGGTCATGATCCCAGCAAATACATTCCAGCAGTGGGACGCCCCTAACGGGCATCTCAAACGACACGTTCCATTCCGGGTTTAACGTTTTAAATATTGTCGGTGTAGACTGGCGTCCTTCTCCTAAATTGACGACGAGATACTATAATCACAAAAAAAAAGAAGATGTTAGTCAATTCGTCTAATCCGGGGTCCCCCACAATCCACCAATGCAATACCAGGGTCCACGCAGTAAACATACCGGATCACTCGTACCACCTCGATCTTTCGCAGCAAGGTTTCGTCCCTAAGTAAATAGAAGCACGCGCCGGTCAGCCTATGTCGTCGAATTCGAATTCGGTTCCAATCTGGAGGGGTAAGGCCAGGTGTTTTGATCACAGCCTCGCGGACCACGACCGAGACGGAATTGGGGCCATTGCCTTACCCTGATGACGGTGACTTTGAGTAATAAAGGTTTTGGTTCTGTCGGGGATCTCATGGGACTTGTACTCCTACTCTGGCCGGGTGTTGAACTCGCGCTTCGTGTGGACAGGTGCGAGCTCAGTCGCTGCGGGAGCGGTAACCGGACCATGGCGGCATGTGAAGGGAAATGGCGGTGGTGGAGGAGGAGGAGGAGGAGGAGGGAGAGAGAAAAGGAAAAGAGAAAAGAAGGGGAAGTTTAGACACTAAGCCCCGGGAAATCAAAAAAGGTTTGAGCAAGCGATGAGGAGTGGCTCTGTCTAGGTTTCTTCCTTCTCCTTCTCCAGAGTCGATCCACGATCTGCTTCGGGTCGATCCCACAAGAAAAAGCCAAGACACGGTACCACAAGTACCAAGTACCACAGGGACTAAACAAGATCAGATCAACAGATCAACAGATCAACGCAGAGAGTATACAATCATGCACAGAATAATAGATAAATAAAATTGAAGTTGCCAGATAGAAATTGTGGGAAGTCAAAAACAGAGGTCCGGGAGCCAAAAGGGGAGATTAGTCTGGAGGCTACAATAGCCTGAGCCTCCGTGTCTCCGTGTCTTGCTTTCTCTCACCAACATCCAGGGTTGTCTCGAGACTCCACTCCGTTCCCCACCTTCAACAAAACTGGTGCCTACCGTGTTCTACGAAACTAGGTTCAAAAGAGAGACAGAGACAGAGCACGGTCGCTTGTGCCCCAACCATACTAGTGCATTTTTCGATGCTCTGTACACCTGGTATACATCCATGGGCACTGGTATACCACAGGGCGACAGGATCTTGCAAGGGTTATAAGGCTACGTCAAGATCGATCTTTACTTTACTACAATTCATGTAATTCATGCAAGGCGTCCATCCATCTCATACCCCGCACTACACCTGGCCATACTGGAATGCGCTATATTCACCGGGCGCACTATTGTGATGTGGCGGTCAGGATGAACAAGAATCGGAATTGATTGAATTATAATATTCCAAGATTTCATGCTTGCTTTCTCAAGATTGAGTTCAGTTCGATTTGATTTGATTCAATGCTAATCCTGTAGAGCAATGTTGGCTTTGGCTTTCTTTGTGATACTGAGTCCGAATGGCGTAACTCCATTAACATTCCACTAAGTACCACCCCTACTATACCATCCCACTATACATGGACTACTATGGAGTCAATAGATAAGCTAGATACGTCAAGGCATAGATTGATGAGATAACCATGCATGTCATCCCACTTTGGTACTGTTGACGCGTCCTCGGCACCGTTGAGGTCATAGCCCGGGGTTATAACTAGAATGTGGGTATGCCTGTCACTGCCCAGGTGGATACGTTTTCCGTCAGCACTATCCTGAGCCTTTATATGGTCAGTTATATTTTGCAGTTATTATGATCAGTTAACCATTTTAACTGTGGAATCAAGTTGCTCCCTGACTGCAGCTATAATTATCCCCAGTCAAAACCAGTATAGCCAGTATAGATCGAAACAAATAACCCCACTAAGAAGCTGTCCCGAGGTCCACCGATGCAAGCATAGATGGATAGCACGGAGATGAACCTCCGCTTTTTGAATCCATTCATTCATTTTATCCATCGCAAATTTTACACTCCAAAGTAGGACAAAATGTGCTTGTAGTTCACCCACGTTGGACGAGTGACACTCAGGCTTTTGCATCGCGGAAAGAAAGCTATTATCTACGATCTGTGATAGAATTGCCGAAACCCTAAATTTAGACCAATGGCCTTGTTGTTAAATTTGATTACGAGATATACAGGAGTATAACTTATCTCCTGGATCATTCCATATACTAGACTCATGTGACTGTGACTAGACGTTTCGGACCGAGGCAGATCTTATCATGATCTACTGAAGCTAGCTACAAGCAGCTGCTTGGACCCTGTAACTGAAAATGACCAAGACTTTAGAATAATAAGTCAGTTGGAAACTTTCAAGCAAAACAAAGAAAGAGATATTATGGCTATACGACGGAATTTCTAAGGACTTTCTGAATTATCAATGCGGTTTTAAAAGATAATTGCTCCAGTATTTGCTAGAGACCTGACTAGATAAGTTGAAGTCCTTTGTCATAGTAAAGTGAAATTAGCTATTGAATTAAGACCTTGAATCTGTAGCACTGGGGATAACCTGATGGTTGACGAAATTGAAGCTAGGATACCGGCGCGTAACTTATTCTTGGAGCGTAGATATTTGCTGCTTGTCAAATAATCCAGTTACTAAGTTAGGTGTCTGGCTCTAAGGCAGAAAACCGTCAATGAATCTTCTTATTGGGGGTAGATCCAGTGTCATAGACAATTATCTAATATTGATCTTCGTCTTGATGGTTTTGTGAAAGCCGGGTTGTTGAAGCTTTCAAGAGCTCCAAAAGATTCGAGTTATCAGTCATGCCTGGAAATTAGACAGACCCCCTGATTGACCTAATTTTTTTTTTCCGGTAACATTGCAAATTAAAATCAATTGCAAAAGATTCCAGCTATTCCACATATAGCTTGTCAGATAGAAGGATCATAGACATATTCTATGTCGCCGTTTTAGATCCATGGCTTGCCGCCGTTGTCTTGTTCAAGTTCAATTTGAAGTTGGAGAGAGATGTGGATGAGAAAAGCCAAAGACGAGATAAACTCCGTGTACATAAATCCTCCGAGCTAGACCAGTAAATGTGAATTGAGTGGTACTAGTACAAGTTGTCTTTTCAAAGTTGTTCCTTCATATGAGCTGGGGAGCACATTACTTTCCGCCCACCTAGGCAGTAATATCTACTAGCACTATGTAGTATGAATATTTCAAGTTGGTATCCGAGTACTTGCTCTGCGACCGGGGTGTGTTGCGATCAACTTTCATTCGCAGCGTGTTGGACATGATCAGAAGATGTATAATGAGTTCTTTGAGGGATTTGAGTATGTGAATCTCTGCGTTGCCGTGAATCGTGGTAGATCATGGTAGTATGCTCGAATGATTACTGATTTGTACATTTAGGCCACTTATTGCTACTGATATTGCACAGGCAGCTATTTACATGCTCCAGCAGCCGCTGAATGTGTCAGTGAAAGCAATGGATGTTGTTCCTTCAGGTATGTATTGTCGAGTCCAGGTTCTTGTCTTGTCTCGTGGTTCTAATGATGCCTTTCAGCGCAACGATCGATTAACGTTTTCGATCGAACATGGAACGAGCGAAGGGGATGTATATATGGATATTTAAGAGCCTCGAAGTAATAAGCAACATAGTGTTGCTTTTTTTTTGGATATCTTTTGTTATATGTTTCGGAGTTGCTGGAGACCTCGGCAGACTCGAAGATTGTATAAAGGCATTGTTTGCCGAGGATGTTCTCTCTTCGCTATCACTCTGTTTGAGAACTAAAGAGAGTATTAGACAACAAACATATTTTGATTAGCGACTTGATCTTATACATAAAAGTAAAAGCATCGTTGTATCTTGCATTGATCCAAATGTTGATCAATGTGTCCTGCTGATCTAATCGTCCTCGGAATCCCGCGCCTCGAATACCCGCTTGGATCGTCGGTCTCCGCCATTTCCCCCCTCTCTAACCAACGGGCACCAAGATTTGCCCCAATAACCTCCAGTGCTCCAATCCAATAAACCCACATCTCCTGATCTCCTTCCAGCGCAATCGGACCTCCGCACAACACCAATATCGCATCGTGCCACCCACCGCTGACTAAGACCGCCTCCGAGCCCCGATATATCCAAACCTCCCGTGTACGCTGTCCGAAATCGCTGTTGGTGCTTCCATATGGACCAGTGACGCTCCAATGAGCTTGACAAACCCTCCCTCTTCCGGTTCGCTCTCTGCCCGAACGAGGACGGTCGGTCAAAACTTGAAGCGGAGCTTGCAGGCTACTGTCGACGGTAATTATATATCATATCCTTTCTTGGATTCTTGCTTCGTCGCATGACTCGCCTGCTCTTCTCTCCGCCCTTTCGTCTCATTTCTCGTCTGTTTTTGAATGTGATTTGATTTGATTTGATTTCATCTGATCTGGTTCACTGTTTTATCCCTACTGCATCATGTTTGGCAAGGGCTTTCCCTTCTTGAATCCTTCCGGAGGCTTCTATCCTCGGGGTAATTTCTTTTCTTTCCTATTCAATGCCTATCTTTGGGTATTTGATCTTTGTTTGTTACTCGTTACGGAACTTTGTCTGAGTGGAACTGGAAGAGAGGGAATCCGGCATATATCTCTGGTTTGCGATCTTCATTATACAGGGCTGGTTTCCTATCCTAAAGACGCGTGCATCCGTTGATTTGTCCCCGCTGCCTTCTTTCCCCGCAACACCGTGGCGATCCGTGCAAAAAGGCTAACCTATTCATTTCTCTCTCCACAGAAGCTCTAGACGCATCACGAAGACCCGGCGCATACGTCAGCAAAGTTCGAGTCCGAGACCGGTATCATATCGTGGGATTCATCAGCAGCGGAACCTATGGACGGGTATACAAGGCGATTGGCAAAAATGGCCACAAGGGAGAATTTGCCATTAAAAAGTATGACGCCGGAGAATATAATCAGGTTTAGAACTGAAATATCTGACAAGATGCGCAACACAGATTCAAACCCGACAAGGAAGGCGAAACGATCCAATACACAGGCCTCTCACAGTCTGCCATTCGAGAAATGTCACTATGCACCGAACTGTCACACGCAAACGTCGTTCAATTGGAAGAAATCATCTTAGAGGATAAATGCATTTTCATGGTCTTCGAATACACAGAACACGACCTACTCCAAATAATCCACCACCACACCCAACCACAACGCCACGCCATCTCAGCCCCCATGGTCCGATCCATCCTCTTCCAACTACTAAACGGACTCCTATACCTCCACACAAACTGGGTCCTCCACCGCGACCTCAAACCAGCAAACATCCTAGTCACATCCAGCGGCGCAATCCGAATCGGCGATCTAGGTCTCGCCCGCCTATTCTACAAACCCCTCAACTCCCTCTTCTCAGGCGACAAAGTCGTCGTCACAATATGGTACCGAGCACCAGAACTCCTCCTCGGAAGCAGACACTACACACCAGCCGTCGACATGTGGGCAGTAGGATGTATATTTGCAGAACTCCTCTCTCTCCGCCCAATATTCAAAGGCGAAGAAGCCAAAATGGACAGCAAGAAAACCGTCCCCTTCCAACGAAACCAGATGATGAAAATTATCGAAATCCTCGGTCTTCCCCGGAAAGAAACCTGGCCTGGTCTCGCCTCCATGCCTGAATATCCTCAGCTCCAGTCTTTAGTGCTACATCGGCAACCGGCACATTTCCATCGTGGTCCTAATCTTGAGGGGTGGTATCAAAGCTGCTTGAAGAATGGTGCGTACTCTGCTTCGTCGAGTGTGGGTACACCCGGTGCAGATGGGTTTGATTTACTCTCGCGTATGCTGGAGTATGATCCTATCAAGCGAATTACGGCTGAACAAGCGTTGGAACATCCCTATTTCGCTAATGGCGGGCCTATTAGCGGAAATTGTTTTGAAGGGATTGAGAGTAAATATCCACATCGTCGTGTTACTCAGGATGATAACGATATCAGGACTGGAAGTCTTCCTGGTACTAAGCGGAGTGGGTTACCAGATGATTCAATGATGAGGGCTTCAAAGCGTCTCAAGGAATGATATGTCTCGATGCTTCGGCATTGTCATATCCCCTCTATATACCTGGCTTTTTTGAACCTCAGCCATCAGGGTGTTTCGTATTCTTGTAATTATCATAGCATCGGCGTTTGGATCAGATCTCGCAAGCTTCTACAGGTAGCTTTTCTTTTTGGAAATAAATGTACATATTTGATTTGGATTATTGTCACTAAGCGCCATAAATCATGTTCACCAGCCCAGTGCCGAATCCACAATCCCGTCATTCTAGGTTCATGACCTATCTCAGTCAAGAGAGGTGGGGAAAAAAGCGTGAAAAGAAAATAAAAAGAAGCTAGAATACATCCAGTCAAGCAGCACGTTTTCAGTAGCCTACAGCAGGGGTTAGCATCAAATATTCCCGATCAAAAGTGTCGAGTAGAATTAGTATGTCGGACTCACCATTCTGCTCGCGTCGATTATCCTCTGAATCACCACCCTCAGCCTCAGCCCGACTAGCCGCATCCTTAATACCATTCTCATCACCTCTCAATCTCTCAAAGTACCCCTTAACATCATCCGCGCTAACAGCAGTCCCAGACTCCGCAAACGGACGTAAGAAATCCTTAACTTTATCACGAAGGTGGTTATAAATCATTGCACCTTCAATAGCTTTCACACGATCAACATTGCTGAGCGCCGCCTCGCCACGTTCAAGAATACTACCCGTCCCTGTGCTACCTGGACCAGCATCCCCATCTTCAGAAAGTGGTGGTTCGTAGGTATCTTCTTCTTCACGGAGTTGTGGGTAGGGAACTAGCTTGGGAAAACATTCTGCACAGCGGCAGAAGGAGTCGAGGAATCCTTCTTTCAGGAAGAGGGAGAATGATTCAGCTGGGGCGGAAGTGGGGAGGGAGGTGTGTTTCGGTACGGTTTGAGAGGGGATGGTGGATTCAGGTTCATCTTTGGGTTGGGTTTCCTCAGAGGATTCCTGTTTCGTCGATGGTTGTTCTTCAGGGATAGATGCAAGACTTGAAGGCTCGGCTTCAGCCTTAGGAGATTCTTCCTTGGTGCGCTTTGCATTTGACTCTACGGCAAATGGCTCGCCATCAGCGTCATCTTCAGCTTTACGCTTCTTGCTGTTCTCCGGATCTTTCTTAATCTCCTGAGATGTGTCCTTCAAGCCTCCATCTTGATAGACAGGCGGCATGAAGCCCTTAGTTCCGGCATAGCGCTTCAGCCAGGGATTAGAGTCGATACACTTGAAGCAAATGAGGTGCTCGAAGTCATCCTCAGCAGGGAAACCAGGTGGCAGGGGAGTTTCATCATTCTCATCAGCGGCAGCATCACCGCCACCTAGGAGTTCTTGTTTCTTCTCACTCTCCATCTTCTTATACCAGTCCCTGGGGAGACCAATAAGACACTCAGGATGCCACCAATCTTCACCACAGCCACCTGACTCAACAGATCCAAGGCCCATGCACTGAAACATAATACCCTTCTCTTGGTTTGGGTCGTACTTTTCGCTGCAGCCACAAAATCGATTCTGGAAATTCTGGTTGTACTTGTTCCCCTTAGCGGCCTCTTGAGAGTGGACGCCCTTCTGATTTGTCTTGAGATCTTCGCGCAGTGTGCAGGGTGATGTTGCGGGCATACGGGTGGTTCCACAGTCACAGATAAAATCCCGCTTATTGAAAAGCTCTACCAGAGTGTGTTCGCCATGGCAAGCGATGGAGCAAGAGTAGCATACGGCTGCGGTTTTGTATTCTTCGTTTTCGTTTCCGGGGGGAGGATTGCAGGTTAAGCAGGCGAAGAGGATCTGGCGTAATGGGCCTAGTTCATAAGTGCATGAATCGAAAGACTGGGATCTGGTCAGTACTGCTTCAACAGATGGACGGAAAGAGTCAGGAGTCAAGAGGTAGGACAGTTTGTGACTCACGTAAGGAAGGGCTTCGCGCGCGTCTGCCTCGAGTCGCAGTTGATCCTCGAGGAAGCTATTGCAAGACGTCAGTATGTGTGTTTATGTGAGGTGAATTAAGTATGAGACAATGTGACGTACTCTTTGGCAGTCTGAGAGTTCTGCGATCCGAGACTATCGCGACGAACGCCTTCGAACTTAATCTGACTATCCTTGTTTTGCTCCATTGTGGGGTATTTGTTGTCGAGTCTTAGGATTGAAAGCTGTGTAGCTCGAGTCAAGTGAGGTTACCTCACAAGTGTGTGATGGGTCGGGACGTGAATGAGCGTTGTGACGGAATGTCTATTTCAATCGTAGTGTCAAGACAAGATTTTGGATAGCACAACACGAGTAGATTTATGTCAGACGAAACTGTCCAACGGCAATATAGACCACGTCGAACGCAAATGATGTTTGAAGGATATCGAATTCGAACAGATATCTCGCAGATTCGACAGCGAGATTCTCTGTCAACGGCAAATATGTCGGACAAATTGTTCACTGGATGTATATTTCCGGGTGTCGTATTTCAATCTAAATAGAAGCTTCTTCGAAGGAGTGTGTTTGCGATGGGAATCCTCGGATGAATCGGTCACGTCAGAGGCCGCTGGTCTGTTCAATCGGTGCAGGTTTGTTGTCACAACTCCGTTTTTGGAGAGATAACCGCAACTTTAGGAATATCGAGCCTCGTTCAAGAATCAAATGATACTATCAATGCGATTTCACGTTGATAAGAACTTGCGATGTTGGTCCAGAGTTCATGATGCGGCGAATCGCGCAAACGCGATGCGCGTTGTTTGGACTGTTTGCACTCGTGTGGGGAGCAATTAAGTTTCCCCTTTGGGTTTAGCCCGATAGCCATTCTTATACAAAGTCAAGTCAATAGATTTGATAGATTACAATCAAATATATGTCTGAATAAGAAAATATGTCTAATTTTGCATTGGTCTTAAGAATGACTCTCTAAATAATATCCCAGAGCCTTAAATATACCGATTGATTCAAGGTTGAATACTGGCGTTTACGAGGGTCTGCACATACCCTCACGCTGAATACCCATCCGAAATCCCTTTCTCAATCTCCAACCGTTGCCTCCCTCGATTAGCTTCCCACCACCACCTACTGGGCTCTTCAATGTTCTCCAAAGTGTCAGAGGGCTGAATATCCTCTTGCCAAGGCTTTTGCGCAAAGATATAGTGCACAGCTTTCACCTCTTCATCCCGCCAGATATCCGCATGCACTGTCTCCCAGCGCAATGTCTTTAAAGCATTGTAGACATAAGGAATCGCCACCCATCGGCCCTTGAATACGTCCGAGAGTAGATCTTGGTCTGGAAAGCTATACCCCTCTATGCGCGCGGTATCTTGCAGCGCAGATGTGATCTCGCTGTAGGCCTTCTCAGAGGGCGTGATGACGAGGACGCCACTATTCAATAGACCAACTCCAGATGATGGGGGAGGGGCGACTTTTTGGGCATTTTTAGGATTTTTATGCTGGGATGTGTAGGCACAGTTTTCCGGAATCCTACTCTATTCATTAGTAAAGAGCATTTGAGGCGTTGATATAGAAGCGATCAAGGGTGAACCAGGACACGAAGGCAATAAGAGAGAGATAAATCGTACCAATCATCGGGATAATGTGGCTTCTGCATTGGATTGCACGCACAAGCATGCGCAGCTGCGAAGACCCTCGTAGCAGTTCCTTTCTCTAGCTTCTCCTTAGAGTCCAACTCTATCTCCATTAACTCGTCCATATTGCGACGAACAACAATATCCGCATCAAGAAGCACCACGCGCTCATACTGCCCCAGAGAAAAGACAACCAACTTCGTCCAGGTATCAGCGAAGCGTGGGTCCTGTGTATATTCCCGTGTGCTAGCTGGCATCACAGCGGACACCAATTGCACCGGAATCCCACGTTTTCGGAGTATATCCAAGCCTTCTTCTGGGAATGCGGACGTATAAAGAGCGACAAATTGATAGCGTGAGGGTTCGTTCGGAGGCGTGTCGTTATTCGCCGCATTGGCTTTTGTATCGGGCGTTGGGTGGTAGAGAGAATGGTGGATGGTTAAGAGACCCGGGAGGTAGTTCATGTTTGTAATAAGAGAAGCCCAAACTGTTTTGCTTGTGCAATGCGTTAGCATTTGTCTCGTTTCTCTGCTGTCCTTCGTCCCCGCACACCAGGGGTATTGTGAGTTGATTACTTACCCCGCTTCGGAGGAGAAGGGGTTTGGCTTTGAGACTGTAATTGGGTCATGGTGAACGTAAATTTCGCATTCAATCTGTTCTTGAGTTCTAAACCGACTTAATGGCAATGCCTGGGTGGATTGTTGGAGTTCCCAGCGAGATGCGATATCGGGAGTTGTCCAACCTGGAATGCGTGCGGAGATAATTCCCTTGCGATTATGTGGATCCGCATTGGCCATATAAAACCCCCGCCAAAGCGGGGCAGACTGTTTCCCATTGAATTGGAGAATTCCGCTTTATCATCATTAATATTGACAGGCCAATTTCGACTGGATTTCTTGTTCTCACAATGTCTCAACCAATCAAGAATGTCATGCTCATGGGTGTGGGTATACTCTCCTTGTCGGCATCAAATCTGGCACCGTGTACTAACACAACAAAATAGGCTGGAGGTCTCTTCGGCACTGAAGTTCTGCTCGCACTTCAAAAAGAAGGCCAATTTAACTTGTCAATTCTTTCACGGAAATCTTCAAAATCAAATTTCCCGTCTAATCTGAAGGTTTATAATGTGGACGATGACTATCCGATCGACCAACTTGTTGACGCCTTCAAAGGTCAAGATGCCCTAGTTTCGACACTCCCGGGTAGACCATATACCGTTCATATACGGATGATCGATGCTGCGATTGAAGCAGGTGTTAAGAGATTCATTCCAACAGAATATGGAAACAATACATGCGCTGCAGCTGCCGAACTCGTCACACTGTACGAGGACAAGGCCAAGGTTGCCGCGTACTTGAAGAGCAAGGAAAGCACAGGGTTAACCTGGACAGCTGTTCATACCGGACAGTTTTTCGATTGGGGGCTGGAGGCTGGATGGCTCGATTACTATATTAAAGAAAAGCGGACTACGATATACGATTCTGGTGACACACAGTGGTCGACTTCGACGCTCGAAACTGCGAGTGCTGCTGTAGCTAAAGTGCTATTAAAACCAGAAGAGACTAAGAACAAGCCTATCTTTGTGGCATCGTTCACCGTGTCGCAAAATCAGGTTCTGAAGGAACTTGAGAAAGTAACTGGTACTACTTGGAATGTCCAGAGAATGTCTTCAACGGATGCGATAAAAAAGGCAGCAGGGCTTAGCGACAAGGACTATTCCGATGGCTTGAAGCTGTTGATTCTCATGCTACTTTACGCAGATAATGCGGACAGAGGAGCAAATTTTGAGAAGTTTGGATTGTCCAATGAGCTCCTTGGGCTCCAGGAAGAGAGCCTGACAGAGGTCATCGATCGAGTTGTGAAACAACAATCTTCCTAATTACGGTGGCGGTTGCTTGAGGCTTCTCTTGACCGAGGTGGTAGCTATGCCCACCATAACAAGTGCATGGGAGTGTGCTCTTCGCCCCTTCAACATAATGGGAGTTAGACTAACGGCAGTTGGCTACCCATTCTTGTATTACTACTTGCTGCCACTATTATGGCCAGTTGATTGGTTACGACCAGTAGCTCTAGTCTAGTCTGATTGATGAAACTCTTCAGGGGTACATGCATATAAGCACTAAAACACTATTACGAGGGGAGGCAAATTGTATCGTTCTTACCAGGAACGCTCATCGTAGACAGACATAGATCAGTAATATTCACCTCAGGCAGGCATGGATAAGGCGCACTCTTGGCGGGAGTGGCTTGGAGTGGAGTTGATTCCAATGTTTGATAGACTAAATAAATTCTCAAAGTTCAGCAGTTTCCCTTCAAATTCGACTTCATGTGAGATAGTGAAATTCGCTGAGTGGAATGTGATTTCTTTTGGTTCCAGACAAAACAGGATCCCCAACGCACTAGATGGACTACGACTGCAACATTGGATACATCATCCTATCAATCTCGGAATACTCTTGGAATGACACAACCCAGAAGAACGCGCACCGCAGTGAAACGGTTAGAATGATTGGTCATTGTTCAATCACATTAACGTATGTACCTGCTTTTCAGCGCCGCTTTTATTGCGGCGTAATCAACCCAAGCCAGCAGATTCCCACCTTGCAGAATAATATGTACTCACTAGGCTACTTACAGCAGGTGGTGCAATTTACCAATTTAAACGGAGTGATTTCAACAATTCTTGCTATTTACACTTTACAGATAAAAGATATTCAGTGCTTTCCCTCTGATTGGAAAGAGAGTAAGCTCCTCTAATTGGCAAGAAAGTAGGCCATGACATCACTGTATTATCGGCTTCACCGAAATTGCGGGGTGATGTTTCAAGTGTTCTCTGGTTTCCAGTTATGCATTTAAAAAAAAAACTTAATGCCAATGAACTGCTACTTATCTAGTGTTGATCATTATTTCAAAATCAAATTGTATGACACTCAAATCACAAAATGCAGCTAGATACAGTACATTCTGTCATTTAATGCTACCCATGGACCTCTTCACATAGAAATAGCATTCAATAACGCGAACGTCGAGCCGAATTCCCGGGTCTTGCGTGACTTGGCCCGAAACTTATACTTTCTAGTCATATGCAAGAGGAAACTCCTCACCAATATGAGAGGAGACCAAATTCTAAGTCTGTTCGTGCCAAGTCGGGTTCCTAGAAAAAAAGCATCAGATAACCTTGGAACCTATAAGGTTTGACCGTCTATCCTAAGACTGAGTATCTTTATCGACGACAAAGCCGTACCCATTGTGCAACCAATTTAATTCAATATGCTCCATACCCTCTATTGTAGGAAGATAACGGCACATCCGAACTGGTGGCGTACCTCCCGCGTAGGTATAACAGCAACCAAATGCAGTAATATGGACCACTTTTTAAATGAAAGTATAACTAGTTTGAATGTGGTAGCCAAAATGCGCCATATGGATATTGAGAAATTACAGGGACCAATCGGTCGCCAAGAAAAAAGATGTCGCAGATTCATTAGTACAGTATTAATCATATTCTACATACGGAAAGCCAAGTGCGGACTAAAAATAGCACATCAGCCCTGGAGGAATCGTATACAGCTTTTACGCAAGAGTTAGTAAAGAAGTACTCTAATCTCAAGCAACAGACAACAAGAGAATTTTCATGCTGTTGCAACACGGAAATGTGATATCCAGAAGGTGGGTTTTCACTACATTTCCCCAATATTATTCGAACAGGATAATCCCATGTCGGTCGGGCCGGTCGCATATTCGCTCCAAGGCTTCCCCTCTTCACATCATCCCTGCGACGACGCGGGCGTTCGATTGGGCCACTGTTCTCAGCCCATTCGCCGGCAATCCCGTTGCAGGATCCATGACAAGAAGCATTCACATTGCTGGGCGCTCAGTGATTGGAGTGAGGGGAAACAATTGCATAATTGGGGGCCTGAAGGATGGGCAAGCTTATTTGTCGTGGGTCGTCCTGCAAGGTGAAAAAGAGGTTCGAGTCTTCAGTAAAATGCAGCCAAGCCATCGCTGATTGGTGATTTTGTTCTTATCCCAAGAATGCAGGGGCCCTGAGTGGGGGCTTTTTGGGGGCCAATGACGAAATATTCCAACACGGGAAAAGAGGCTAGGTAAAAGAAACTTTTGCCTGTGAGTTAGACTATCTTCAAGGCGTAATAAGGATGGATACGAATCCTGGTACTACAGGTGATCCGACATGGGTAGGTGGGTACAAGTGGTGTTACCCAATTTAGATGGGTATCCGAGTTTTACTGAGGGGTTGGTAAACTTGATAATATGGCCCCCACGACTATTAATCTGTAGGCGCCTCTTGCAGCATAATCAAACCATAATCATCACCCTAATTTGAGCCACGTCACACGTCATCTGCGATCCGTGCGCTTCAGATTCATCATGTAGGGTTACATGACACTACAGTTGAATCCTTCGAGGTGTGCAAGTATATCGACCTTTTACAATGAATTGTGAATGAAATCAATAGTAAATCTTGGGGGAACGAAGGATGATCATTAATATTTATTCCATTTGCGTCAATGAAACCATTAATTATGGAGCATGTTGATTTTTGTCGGTATCTGGCCCCCGTAAGCAGAGCGCAGTAATATGCAGAGTGGCAACAATGTGAGCTGCTAGCCCCATCGCCCTGCAGATATGCATGACGGCTTTTATCCTATTGATCGTCAGAGCAATAACAGCTAAAACCGTGAGATCCCCATCAAGCTGGCCCGGGCTCCTTTTGGCATCTTACACCCTGCAATGCACTACAATGTCTTCTGCTCAACTTAAACAAGAAGAGTTGGCCTTATGGCCTCAAGACAGACGACCAGCAGTCTATGGTGTCTGCGCTACGATGCTCGTCTTGTCTAACACAGCGGTCCCAGGGCGTCTTTGGGCACAATATAAGATTCACAGAAAGATTTTCATCGAGGATTACTTCCTTGTCGCTGCATTAGTAAGTTAGCTGTTACCCATACATACAGTGTGGATTATGAAGGCTCATATTAACGACACTTCTAGTTATTTACCAATATTGTCAACATTACAACGATAATCGCAGGAACTAAAGGCTTGGGCTTACATACCTGGCGTGTGGTGGCTGATGATCCTTCTTATAATAATCTCGTTGGAGTGTTTGCTGTGAGTTAGAGGCCTCGATATCAGAATATCGCCTCAAGTTAAAGATACATATGCTAATGGATGATCGCTTCCACAGAGTATCTGGGTGACCGCTCTCTTCACCGGTCCATCCCTCTTCTCAACAAAGATCGCCCTTTTAACTTATTATCGTCGCCTGTTTATTGTGAACCAGACATGGATCCGGATATTTTGGTGGATCAATCTGGTATTCGCAACAATGTGGGGAATTGGTAGTACCCTTTTCTATATCTTCCAGTGCTCGCCTGTCGAATACTACTGGGCAAGAGGCAACCCAAATTCCGGCGCAACAGGCCATTGTGCCGATAGCGGATCGCTGGCCGCAGTCGCTACTCCTCAAATTCTGAGCATGGTGTCAGACTTCTTTATTCTCCTTTTGCCCATCTTGACTATTCTGGGTCTTAAGATGGACATGAAGCGCAGGCTTGGTCTAATGGCTGTATTCTCCGTGGGTTTCGTGTAAGTGATAAACCACACAATATACAATCGGGATGATCATTGAAACATGTGACTAACGCGGTTCTTTTCAGATCTTTCGGCTGTTCAGCTGCACGTATCGGAGTAGCATTGGGGGGAACTGAGATGGTCGGCGACGATACATGGTCTCTTACAATCTTTGAGATCATCAGCGCAACCGAACTCACCTCTGGCATTCTTTGTGCCTCTGCTGTGCCCATCTTCTCATATCTGCGACTTACTATTCGTGGAGCATCGACTCAAAATAGTCAATCCTCTTTCGGATTTAAGGAAATGCCTTCGCCAGTGCGTCGAAGGGATCAACATGATCCTTTAGCTTCAACAAGTGAGGAGCATCTTCGTGATGAATATACAACAAACGACAAATTAAATGTTTAATATGAATTTTGAACGATCGTGATACCATATTTTTCTTTTATCTCAATACATATGTTATGCACGAAAATACACTCATTTCATTTATATCAAAGACGAATCAATTAGTCACTTATACCTCGTATGCAATATCGTTATAGATGCAAGCTTCCTGGAGGAGATGAAAAAGGTTAAGAAAAATCCACGACAAACATCTCCAAAATATAAAATACGTGGCCAGTATTATAAGGAGGGCGGATTTTCTTAGCCTTTCATCTCCTCCAGAAAGCTTGCATCATCACTGGCCTTCTTCCATCACCCCCCTCTCCATCACGCAGGAATACCATGTAGACACAGTCTCAGTATTCTCCTCTCGCACCTTCAAAAGAAACTCTATAATACTGAGTTATATTTCGTATTGCCTCTCTTTAGGAAGCTTCTCCACGGCTCTTCGTGCCCTTTCAATGGTAAACTCTCCTCCGGCACCATCCTCTATGCTCAAAGACAGAATTGATTGCGATAGACATCTTGTTTCCGCAGAAAGCTCTACAGATGAAGCTCTGTAGATGAATCTCTGTAGATACTTTCCAATCTCATGGAATTCTTCATCATCTTATACCTTTTTGACCATAGAAGATTTCCACACCCTTGCCGGGCAGTAGAAGCAAAAGAAACAAAAAAAATGGTTCAGAACAAAGAAAAAACTGCCACCCAGGGCACCCACTCCTATCTCTCGCTTCAAATGCTGGCTGGATTTGGAATAGATTAAATAACTTGAACCCGCAACCATGACCGAAAGAATTTATTTACACATCGCCTTCTGTCAATTGCCGAACATTCCTTGGTTGAGCCTAAGTTTGTGAGGAGCCATCACCTAACCCACTATAATTTGAATCCGCCGGTAAGCATAGCGTTGAACTCTGAGGGTGCGCCCTCGCATACGACTGGCTTAGGACAAGTAGTTTAAGTACTTGTCCTGGTTTTAATGTTAGAAGGCTATTGCTTTGATCATTGGCAAAGAAAAATCCATGTGATGAAATCATTACCACGACCTGTTGACATAGATGATACAATTCGTCACGACCACTTAAAACCATATTGACAAGAATTTTCCTGCAACCCTCTGCCTCTCCCCGCATGATGCTTTTCGAGGACTTGTTTTTCCTCCGCGGTCGTGCGTTGTGATTGGTTTTATGATTTTCAACAGACCCACCGGTCAAAAAAGCCGACCAGTTATATGCCAGAAGTGCCGATCTACATGACGAAAGAACTAGTTCTGGTTCAAAGAAACATCGCGGATTTCGATCCGAAACTTTCCAGTCTTGAAAATGCACATCTTGTTATAACCTGAATTGTAGATAGCCACTTATGTCACAACGAAATCAGTCCACCTCAGCTGAATTTGTTGACTGATTGTACTACTTAAATCAGCGTATATTCGTTGAGCGCCTTCTAGAAGGCAATCTCATACCATTTGCATTTTCATACATGACTGTAGAAGCCACCTACACATAGTTTATCTTCATACAAATACCCTTCCAAAATATATATCTCTCCTAAGGCTTGAAGGCTAGCCAATCAAAACCATCATGCCCGTTCCGGATACTATTCGCCAGTCGCCGACTATGGGAGAGGAGATGGCTCAGTTCTCAGAACAGAACATAATGGGCATGAAATTCGAGACCCCTGAAAGGTTCGTTCAGTTATCATTCTATATTATAATATTATCAATGATATTTACTTGCCTGCAGGTATTACGAGCTTGAACCAGTTGGTATTGGCGTCTCTGGACTTGTATGGTATGTCACCCATAGATAGTCCGAATAATTCGGGCTTTTGCCCCCTATGAAACCCAAGAGCGTAGCTGACTAGTATATCAATCAGCTCTTCTAAAGATATGTTTACACGAAAAACGGTTGCCATTAAGAAACTGGCAGAGCCGTTCAAGTCCGCGGTCGTTGCAAAGCATATGTTTCGGGAAATAAAGTTGTTGAAGCATCTTCAACATGACAATGTTCGTTCAACTCCTCACCAGCCTCTTTATGATACTAGTACATAACTGACTTGTCATTTTCTTCAAATTTCAATGTAGATAATTCACTTGAAAGATATTTTTGTTTCGCCATCAGAAGAAATGTAAGTGCATGAAAAGCTCCCGTCGAAGAGTAATGAAGATTGCTAACATACCTTTTAGTTATTTGGTAACGGATCGTTTCGCTGTTGATCTGCACACACTCATAAGATCCAAAAAACTCGAAGATCAATTTACACAGTATTTGCTGTATCAGATCATGGTAAGTCTTGTGGAAATCCGCCTTCTCACTACTACGACTTACAGTCTATCAGCGAGGTCTAAAATATGTACATTCTGCGGGTGTCATTCACCGTGACCTGAAGCCAGGGAACATCCTTGTCAATGAAAACTGTGATCTCCAGATCTGTGATTTTGGACTGGCTCGTACTCAAAAGGCACAAATGACCGGCTACGTCGTCACGAGGTACTACCGCGCTCCTGAGATAATGCTTACTTGGCGTCGGTATGACGAGAAGGTGGACATTTGGAGTGCTGCTTGTATCTTTGCAGAGATGATAATCGGAAGGCCCCTCTTCCCTGGTAAGAACTATATTGATCAATTCAGTGTAATTACACAACTATTGGGAATGCCGCCAGAAGAAATAATGTCAAAGATAACAAATGATAATGTGCGTATAACATGCTTGATGGACACTGCGGCCATTTACTTACATACTCTTCCAGACGATGAAATTTGTCCGCTCGCTTCCAACGCGAAACCGAAAGCCTCTCTCATATTATTTCCCGAAGACTGGCCACAAAGGTATCGAAATTCATAACACGAACATATAATTTTCGATTTTACTAACTGGCCTAGCTTTGTCACTCCTTGATTCCATGCTCCAATACAATCCCAGATCACGACCCTCCGCAGCTGAAACGCTTACATCTTCATATCTTGTCCCTTACCATGACCCTACTGATGAGCCAAGTGCGCCCGAAAAATTCGATTGGAGCTTTCTGGAGTCGGAATACCCTCTTGACCTTTGGAAGTCTTTAATGTATTCTGAGATTCTAGACTTCCACAAGGGCAATGTTGGGAATGGTAATGAAGTACCTAGTAACATTGCATCATACTTAAACTCCATGGAGTTAAATCCTCCAACTAGCCCGGATATGGATAAAGAAGCTTCAGTCTCACCTAAGAATATCTCGCATTCAAATTGAATAGATCAATGAAGCAGTCCGCTCTGCGGTTTATTTAATCCCTTGAAATTGATCCCCAGCCCAGGTTTTCTGTATTAAATTTTCAACAAAGCTATAAAACTTCAGGGTGGTATTTATGTGAAATCACCCAACTTTCAAATCAGGGAAATAAAAAGCCAAGCCTTGTTTATCTACTTTGAGACTACTTCTGCCACCCTAAGTCTGAACTCGACGGTCTATCAAACCCTCCCAGACCCGTTTTCCATCAAGAAATATAATCTTTTCCCCTCATACTTAAGCGGTGCAACCCTGGAAGGAAGAATCCAGGGTCTTTTACGCTCACTAGTTCCAGGGTCCTGCGAGGCTGTAAACAAAGCTCCGGCTATGATACTGCGCCCTCTTCTCAGTGCTGATCCATGACTGGCTGCTTCCGACCCTCTACACCACAAATCTTCTCGCTAGCGGGCAGATCTTCATTAAAGGCTAAATATGTAAAAGAATCTTTGCACAATACTTAATACTCTTTCAGGTAAAAAAGCTACAAGCGCTCTAAAAAAAAGAGTGTGGATACGCCGCGCCGGCATGATGACGCGTCTTCGTCATTCAAACAGCCCTAACGCCATTAGAGATAACGACATCTCTTGGCTCTCCATACGCGCGGCCATATGCGTCCTCGGCCCTCTTAACCTGATTTAGTTAATCTTTCTCCGGGCTAGATAAAAGAATGAAAATCCCCTCTTTACTTTACTCTCATCAATATTGAATCTTCTTCATCTCAATCCTCAAGGGGAAATACAGCATTTACTCTCCTCGAAATGCGGCCCCACACCACCTTATTTACGGCCTGTTCCTTGGCCTTATCAGCAGCGGCTGGTACTACTAGCGTTGATCCCACGACGAAAAATGCCAACCATATCTTCAACGTCATTCACGATTCCATGCGACAATGGGGATCCTCATTACATCATAACGGCGTCTCCTTTTTCCTTGCTGTTGTTCCAGCGGGCACACAACTTTATCACGGTACTTCTTTGTCTTCACCTGTGAACGGGACGGAGTGGTTAGCCTTTGAGCCGGAACATTCGTTGGTGTTTGCTCGACCGCATCGAGGACCGCCTTCTCGTCAACCTGATGAAGGGGAAGATGGAGGGGAGGGACGTCATGAGGATCTTCGCCGCGACCGTCATAATCGTCGTGATGATAAATCAGATGAAGACGCAAAGGGGTATTTGCATACATATGCGGCTGCTAAGCATCTCCGTCTGTTATACATTGACGGTATGTCAGCTGCGAAGACAGATAAGGGAACTCTCGACTCGCAGGATGCGCTCCTGTTCGACAACACCATTGATATGAACCAAGATGGCAAGCCTGGCGGACCGCTTGGGGAGAGGGAGCGAGCGATAAGGGCATGTGAAATGGCTAAGGACGAATTCGCCGATCGAATCGATGGAATTCTGCGCATGGAAGCTGGATTCGAAATTATCCTGTGTGATTTCGAACGTGATTTGGTGAACGTCGAAATTGTCGAGGTTGCTTCTCAGTCTCGCGAACCGGGTAACGAACAAGGGGATGGAAAACAACGAAAGGGTCCCGGTGGTCCTGGTGGCCCTGGTGGCCCTGGTGGTCCAGATTCTGCTGGATGGGCACGCGCCGTTGCCTCTCGCTACGAAGGCATTGGAGGAGGCCGTGTGAATCTGAACTACGAGCACTTCGTCACAGCCTTCTCATACGACCTTGATCTCTTCCCTGAGGGCTCAGCTCACCCCCGTCTCAACCATCTCGCACACTCAGACCTAGAACGCATTCGCAAAGATATCACCTCGACACTCTTAACCCACGACCCCCGGGAATTCACATGGAACTGGCAAGCAACCACAGACATGATTGTCCTTCGATATAGCGATGAACTCTCCTACCTATCCTCCGACAAAATCGAAACAACCGAACAGCTTAGCAAACACATCAACAAGCTCATGGCACCATTCACCGATTTCCGAGAGCGAAACGCATCTGCCGAGGCAGAGAAATGTGCTTCCCAATTCATCCCATTCACGCTCAAAGATAAACAAGACATTCCTACCCGGGCTGTGCTTGCAGTTGCCCACAGTGTTTGCTCGACTCTTATTGAAGCTGCTGCTGAGCAGGATCTGGTATCCGCTCAGAAGGGTATCAAAAATCTCATGGCATATCTTGATTGGACTACCTGGAAAGAGTGCCGTGGGTGTCAAGACAATGAGATTTGTGCGGTGCCTATCTGGCCTATGGGGAGTATAGAAGATTATGAGCAGCCGCAGTGTAGGGATGCTTCGAATCCATATGGCAATGATGGTGAGAGTTATTGGGGGAGAGAACCTCGCCATTGAGGTCGTACTTTCGCTTTTTTCTTTCTTTTTTTTCTACTTTTTGAACATTCTTTCGGGGCATGGATAGCTAGTTTTCTTTTATTATGATACCTTGTCGTTTAAATTATTTTGCAATGAAGAATATACGAGTCGCACAGCACAAGATACCCAGCTGTGGCTCATCCATACAACATCTATGACTTCAGACAATTACATCTCCTTTAACAATAAATATAACTCCTCTCTCGCCCGCCTATACTTCCATCACCTCGCGGAATCGCTCACGTAGCGGACGTCGCAAGCACGGTGAACCACACTAAGGAAACGGCCGATTCATATATACACGCAGCCAAATAGGCACTATCTTGCGCTCCGATGAGCATTAGAGTATTTCAAGTTTCGACAAAGTGATGGCGATTTCTCGGGGTCAATTGAGTTAGTGATATATATTATACACCGCCGATGGGAATAGCTTAAGCTCCGCCACCACTGCCAGTCGCAAAATCTACTATGTACCACCTGGGCAGCCAATTTCTACAATTTATTTACGATTCAAACACATGCTCTAGGATAAATGGTGCACACATTGTTTTAAACTTTCTTGGAATGAAATGCACGCTTTCAGGTATAATAGGTACAATTGAATAGAGGACGTAAAAGAAAACTGGGAACACCTCATGTTCAGTCGTTGTGGATGCGTTAGCTCGAAAGCCACAAACAGCTCGACTTTCGAGACATATTAACAGAGGGCCCATAGAAGCGAATGATCAAGTCCCTTCGAGGGCAGTCGTCATGTAATGGGAAGCGACATGCTTAGGCGGAGGTCACAACGGTACCGACGGTCTTGGTAAGGTCACCAAGGCCGAGGGTGGAGAGAAGACCACTGACAAGGGAGGTGACCTCACCACCGAGACCCTCAACCTTGACGAGAAGAGCGGAGCCAGTAGAAGTAGCGACACCAATCAGCTGGGTGGGGTTCTCACCGAGCTCCTTGGCCTTGGAGGCGAGGGAGGAGACACCGGGAACCTCAGCGAGGACGGAGCCAGTAACGGAGGAGAGGTCGACGTTGCTCAGGAGACCCTCAGCCTTGACGAGGACGCTCTGGCCGTTAAGGCCGGTCAGAGAGAGGAGGTTGGAGGTGGCATCACGCTTAGCGCTGGAGGCAGCACCCTCGACAGTGGAGACAACAGTACCGACGGTCTTGGTGAGGTCACCGAGGCCAAGAGTAGACAGAAGACCGCCGAGAACCTCAGTGAGCTCACCACCGAGACCCTCAACCTTAACGAGAAGAGCGGAGCCAGTAGAAGTAGCGACACCAATCAGCTGGGTGGGGTTCTCACCGAGCTCCTTGGCCTTGGAGGCGAGGGAGGAGACACCGGGAACCTCAGCGAGGACGGAGCCAGTAACGGAGGAGAGGTCGACGTTGCTCAGGAGACCCTCAGCCTTGACGAGGACGTTCTGGCCGTTAAGGCCGGTCAGAGAGAGGAGGTTGGAGGTGGCATCACGCTTAGCGCTGGTGGCAGCACCCTCAACGGTGCCGACAACGGTGCCGACAACGGTGCTGACTTCGCCGAGACCAAGGGAGCTGAGGAGACCCTCAACAGTGCCGTCAAGCTCAACGAGACCGAACTCAGTTCCGCTAAGAGCAACGGTGATCAGGCCAGTGGCACCGCTGGGGGAGACAAGGTCCTTAGCGTTGGAAGCGGTGTCAACGATGGTGCCAACGGGGCTGGCGACAGATCCCAGACCAGAGCCAGTGAGAAGGCCAGCAGCCTTCTGTGTGAGCTCAACAAGCATCTTCTGGTTGGTGACACCGTGGGTAACGGTCAGGACGCTGTGGACCTCGCTGGCGACACCGCTGGTGCTGGACAGGGTGGAGGAGAGGACGTTGCTGGGGGTAGGCAGAGCAGTGGCAAGGGCTGCCATCATGGCAGAGATAGCAAAAGTGGCCTTCATTTTGATTGTAAGGAGTGACTGTGCTTGAAAAAGCGGTAATGAATGGACGGTATGAACCGGAAAAAAAGATTGACTGGAGTAAAGAACGAGATGCAAAAGCTTCTTGGGTTAAGGAAAGAGAATATGAAAGTCAATCAAGGTGTGCTGCTCTTTATACATCGCCATCACTTTCAGGGGAAATGAACTCTATCCCCCATCCATTGTCCACGGGCCTGACGTCGAGGAAGATAGTATGGTCTCCACCTCAGAATGGAGTACTCCATACACAGCCATCCATAGCCATCCAAGATGGCGGTAACCTCGAGAGTTCCAAATCAAGTTCCAATCAGGAATGGCCCTTTAATAGGGGATCCTATAAAATCAAAGAAGAGTTGCCCCACAAAGTGAGGCTAGTGGATTAAATCCCAGTTAATAGCGGAATTGAGACTCGCGGACGAGCCTGAACCCACAGTAAACTTCGAAGGAAGCCCATCATCATTAACCACTCCGCAGATCTACCTCACTGCTCCGCTCGGGGTCTGAAAGTTTGGGGGCATTTAAGTCGTTTATGGAGAAGGGATACGCCATGCGACGAATCACCGACTTCACGACTCCTTGACTCAGATTTGACCGCTTGGGCACCAAGATCCATGATAATGGTATATCCGTTATGCACTGTACGAAAGGAATCAGGGTCCAAAGGTACTTCAAACATACAGGAACGATATGTGCCACATGGTTCCCATCCAAATGCCGCACTGGGACGGTAATTTGACTCTTTTAGGCCCAAGCACACCATCCCACTGGGTTGATAAAGGCTGCAAGCCGTTTGACTGAGAGATCGACATTGGTACCTTCCTGGCCCCGCAAAAATGCACCAATAGTGTGCGGTCCTAAATGCTCAGGCGCAGACGATCTGCGGTACTGTTTACCCCAAGTAAGCTTGGCGGAAGCGTTGACCCCACAACCCGGGAAACATGAATGATGATTGCAATCAAAGTCTTTGGTTGCTAGTGAAAACTAATGTTGCTAACAACAAATAGTGCCGGACAGCGGGCCACGGTGCGTTTTTCCCGGAGTGGAGTGGATCCGCCCTACGTATTATATCCTCCCAAGTTCAAGCCCATAACCCGCCCATTGATGGCAGGATTCAGGGATTCAATCTTTGAGAGCTATTGCATCATCGATTTTTCTTCGAGGGATCTCCAATACACTAAGTATTTGCCCCAAAGATGTGGTTCATTCGACCCCCTCCACCCTCCCCGTTAGCGCAATTTTGGTTCATGAGATGTATCGATAAGTCGTTCAGGGGCTCTTGGCGGTGTGTACCTGAATGCGCCACAGCGGATAAACAGACGTCAGGCTCATTCGAAACATGAACAGGAGGTGGTGACAACCTTCTGCCGACAGGTGGAGAGCGGCAGGAACCCCCCTGAAAATCACTGGGTTTCTATTGCTGTGATGTGAATAAGCTCCGCTAATTCCTGTCAAAACCCAAATTCTGCCTAATAAAGAAACTTTACTATGGAAGTTTATAGGTGCGGGGGTTGAAATCAAACTTGGGAAGTTTCTACAGAAGGAAATACGACGTGTGGCTATGCCTGCCTTCTATGGACGAACAACCTGTGGGAGATACCTGCCGTTCACGGGTGTAGTATGAATTTCGGAGTGCCCCGTTGTTACAGGGTAGACATAAAATATCTTTAATGGACCCTGATTAATTACAAAAGTCCAGTTTCTGCAAACAGAAATTCAAAAAATTATTTACTTGCGTTCAAAGTTCTCTAGACCAGCCCAGGGGGGTAATCATTCGACAATCTCAGCTAAAGCGCCAAGCTTTGAAGCGCGCCTTGTTTTTGCTTCTTTATCTCTACAGACCTTCAATTCGACCTCGGCACGTGTGAATTTCTCATATGGCTCAAGATCCCTTAGTCTCTTAGCGCCAGGCATTATTCCAGCCTGCCTGTTCAACAACAAAGGCGAGGGCCAGCTCGGTGAACCGTGCCATGTGCTACCATTATGTTTAGCTAATGGTGGCTCAGTCAGGGGGTAAAATAACTCACATCCACAGAGAAATAGCCTGTTTCATCATCAACCCACATGGTGTCGTGGGACCCATGGACATACGGATCATACTCACCTGGGAAGTTGCCTCCAGCTAGGGGGTTTCCCTCCGACGCAAACGCAGCCGGGTAGTTTAGCTGCGTGTACGACATGTAATCAGAGCCAGCGGATCTGTTCCGTCAGTATACCCTGCATGCACAAAAAGATCCATTTTGTCGACCAACTTACGGTCCAAGGTCATAGACTTTAGCGGGAATCGAGATGTATTTTTCACTCAGATTCACCGTCCAATTCGTGAGGGCCTCATCAGCTTGAGTGGAGATGAAGCCGATAGTCTCGGTTGCGTTGCGGCTAATGTAGGCAGTCATATCCTATGAATAGTAAAACCCCTGCGTCAGCACTCTCGCGGCCAGCGGAGTCAGTGGACCCACAAAATGAGGAAGCGGTGCTACTATACTTACAAACTCCATCATAGCTCCAATTCGAGCCCCCTGCTCTTTCTTGTAACGAGCAATCGGCTGGCTGCCGAGCAAGCCGCCTTCTTCCGCGGCATACCAGTGGAACTCAACTGGGCCATTCAAGGGGGTGTATCCGCTCTCGGCCAGAATGCGGAAAGCTTCCAGAATACTCACTGTACCGGAGCAATCATCATCCGCACCGGGAGCCGGCAGCAGAGGGAAGAGATAGTTGGCGGAGTCTTGATGCGCTCCGAGAATCGTCAGTGGGGCCGAAGCATTGCGGACCTTGGGCTCAAAACGAGCAATGATAGATGACTGAAGGAAAGGATGGGTAAAGTATTCAAGCGAAATGTGAGTGCGAAATGGAGAGTCGGCGATTATCTTAATTCATATCAATCCGGTCAGCATCTATGTTGTGTCTTTATCGGTTGTTTCAAGACCACTATACCTGCGCAATATGGTTATGTAGCCACACAGAGCTCAATTCGCCATGAATATCTCCAAAGTATCGATTGTAATAGCTTGTCATATGGTGGAGCACACCTTTCATTCGCTCCTGGTCAACTTTGGGGAAAAGCGGCCGAACAAGGCTCTCATGGACCAAAGCAGGAAGATCTATCATATGGCATGTCAAAAAGACGACCCAATGAAGAGTTAGCAAGGAAACACTTACGAGGCTTTCCAGCCGCCATATCGTGGACCTGATCAGCATAGAAATCGGCATGCTCTGTAATATCTACGAATTTCTTGCCCTGTTTACGAAGCCGCAGCTTGTCTCCTTCAGTCATCCATTCTGCCTCTGCTTCACCCCCTACGCGCAAAAGACGTGGTTCGGAGAGAATAGACCGATGATCCGGACGCAAGTGGATCATCGCTGCGACTGGGTCGGAGAAAGCTTCTATCGCGTCAAGAATAGCCTTGTCAACATTGTGCTGGCCTTGCTCGTATTGTCCGCCATGTGGGGCCAGGGCCACTTGCGACTCAGTCGCCTGTGCAATGTGAGAAGTGCCTAGAAGCAGAGCCAAAATTGGTTTCAACATTGTGGATATGGCTGAAGAACTAGAATTGAAGATCGATGCAAAAAGAGAGTTGGTAAGTTGCAGCCTTGCTTCGATGTTGATGTGATGTTGTCCGTGCGGAGACCGTCGGTGCGGAGATAAGGTGAATGCGTGATAACCCGAGGAGGATCTTGGCATTCGGCGGGTAGTCAGACTAAGTATAGACGCTTTACCTGATGAGGTAGACTATTTTAGTGATAAATCAAATGCTGGGGCATCTCTTTTATAAGTCGAAGGCTGTATATAACGCAGTATGCTTGTATGTAAAATTAACCCGTTCCGCATTATTCTCTCCAATATAGCCCCGAGTCGTAAGACAGGTCTAAGGAGCGTAAACACAACTGGACCGGCGCGTTTCTCAATAAAGTATATAAAGAAGGCCCACTATCTAAGTGTCGGTACTCATCGGGTTTCCAATCGTCACCTGGAGTCCAGGCTGTCTGTGTTGTCTAACCATCTCGGATAGCTTTCTTTGAAGACCATGGCTAGAGGATGGTTTGAACAAATTTTTTATACGAATCGAGTGAAGGCGATGACTGAGGAACGATGGTTAAATTGAACTCAAACTGATTATTCTCTCTAGCGATTAAATTTGTCTTATATCTCAGTTCGCAGAGTTGCAGCGAACGTTCTGAGCGTTTTTCAATTTTTCCTTCAGAACCTCTTGCTTCTTTGATTGGCCTTTCACTAGGATACCCACCCTGAAATTGATGAAATCAAGTCAATAGTGATGAGGCTGTCTTCGCCAACTTGGTAGCACAAAAGGTATTGTAAAATTTGCTCAGAACGGCATATGGAAAATCATTGCCAATGAGGCCATATGACTCATGATGCACTTTCAAGGTTTCTTCATGTAAACGGACCCAAACAGAGCCCCTTCAGCGTTCTGGCCATCTGCCACCAAGCATATATTTTAAGTGGAGTGCTAGTAGGAGTAAACATATTGAGCGCTGTTTTGGCAGAGCTCGGCGCATGCTTCAAGTTGGGCGGAGCGGAAGGGTTGGAGCTCCATGGTGGAGTTTTTGACATATTGTAGATGGTTTTACAATTGACGTGGCAAGATGGACTATTCAAGCTACTCTTGGAGACCTACGTCATCAAACATGAATTAGACGATGTTTCTACAATCTATTTTACCTTGCAGTCTCCAAATTCTGCAATGTATGTGCCATAATTGCAATAAGGGCCACTCTCTTCCAACAGAAAATCGAACATAATATATACTACTACCTAGTGTTTCCATCCCTTTCCAGCGTAGAACGAATATTGTGCCAGGACCAGATTTAGATCGCTAGCTTTAATAAGTAGTAATAATCTTCCCCAAAAGTATGGGATCTATCATTGAAAATTATATGTTAAGGTTTGCTATCCAACGTGAGCGTTTAGGGTATCCAATGAGAATACTAGGAGCTTCGTGCCCAGTGCCGCATGATTATCGAAGATTTTACAGATTATCAGACAGTCGAAGTCTGTTTATATTTTTACAAGTTGCCGTGAGTAGAGAGCGTATCTCCATGTGACTTAGCATGTCACCTACTGCCCTATAAATATCGAGTTTATGCCCCCTCCTTCCACTTTCCCTTCCACCCATCTGAGCACTCTTACTCTTTAACCTCAAGACAATCAAATCCTATGAGCCTTTTGAATTCGCAGAAACATTTGAACCAATACTCCTACCAAAGCACCAAGGTAACAAGCAAGAGGTAAGTGGAGCAGAGACAGAAGAACCCAGCCAATGACTCCTTGACCTGCGAATTTCTCTCTCAGGGCGAATGTTCCCCTGGGTCTTGCAACGAACCTCCTACAAGAAGATATTGAAATACTCTTTACGAGTTGAACTGACTGCAGGTATGATAGATCCTGGTACTGAAGCCACCACTTCAGTGAATACATAGCCAGCACTAATCGAAGTACACAATCGAATCCCCCATCAGTCTACCGGTCCTCAAAAACACGACATGACTAGTCAACAGCGCCAAAACTACCGCATGAGCCAAGAAGAAGTTGACTCTATCGTGTCCAGATGGGCAGCGTAAACGGGGCATAATTATCTCCCACGTCCCCTTCCAGAGGAGGTACGTGAAGATATGGAGATCATCAATGATTACACTATCACCGCTACCAGGCTTCAGGGGGCCATTAAACGCCTCAGAGATACCGACACCGAAGCGAGGAAACTGATGCAACAGGCTTGCCAATTAGCCACCCAAGACCCACAGAAAATGGGTCTTTTAGGTGACTACCTCTTTCAGGCCTTTCGTGCCCAGACCGCCTTGAAGAGTTGTGAAACAGGGATCTCGTTCTTGGTTGGATACTCAAGCCTAATTTCGAAGAATCTGGATCAGCAACACCAGTAGAAGAATAGGCCGCGGCGAGGAGAAACTAAATCGGCAAGGCGCGCGGAACCAAACCAAAACCCAAATACGACAGCGAAGAGGATGAGATGGGCAAAATCTCCTAGAATGAAGGCATATCAAAGAAACCAGGGAATGGAAAGAGATTACTGTTGTCGGAATTAAAAACCTTCAAGAGAAATGGGTTTGAAGCTTTGACAGACTCTCTAACTCTTTCAGTTGGGGGGAAGCGAGTTTCCTCTTTCTCTCTTTCTTAGGTTGAGGCATTGGAATATCTTCGCTCATTGAATTAAATAGTAACTTGAAGTTTCAAGTTGATATGAAATCAAATCGAGGTAGCCAAACCAAGAAACTTGAGACAGCGGCCTGCAAGTTTCTAATTCCTAGGCATCTGGATGTGGAGGGTCGAGACTACTCGGGATTAAAAACCTGGTATCTGATGCTAACAGGAAGCCGGAAATGAGAAGGAACCTTTAACTAACTCAAGATTGAAGGTTTTTTCTTTGTCACAAAAACTAGCTTCATCGAAATAAACGAGTCGATGTCTATCTACAGATATAGCTCTATGTCTGGGTAAATCTCAACTTTGGAAAGACGCCCATACACTGGCAGAAGGTAACTTCTTATGAACACTTGGAAGTCTCTGCTTCCCAATCTCCCACCTCCTCCAATATATGCTTGATCTCCTCCCTTATATATGGAATAGTTTCAGATCCCATGAGTAGACGCGTAGGAAGTGGTCTCTCATTTTGTCGCACCACACAATCAAAAAGAACACGAGCACAGTTATCTGGATCACTCCAGGTTGTTTGAGATTGTATATATGCAACTAACTGACTGAACGCCCCGTCTGGGAGGTTATATGCCGCATGTCGAGGCGGCGAGAGGAGGCTTGACTCGGCGAAGTTCGTGCGTACTCCTCCCGGGGAAAGAGTCAAGAAGTTGATGTTCCATTCTGGGCGGACCTCCTTTGAAACGGACTTTGTAAATCCCTCCAAGGCGAATTTACTTTATCCTGTTAGTAGAAAACCCGAAGACGGAATGTTCCATCACGAACCTGGCATGATAGAAAGAATGGCCAGGTGCAGTCAAGAAGCCTCCAACGGAGGATACTTGAACTATTGTACCGCCTCTTCCCTTAGGATTGATTTCTCGAAATACCTTGAGGGCTTGTTGAGTTACGTGGACAGGACCCCAAAAATTGGTCTCTAGTTGGTGGCGAGCATCCGATTCAGTGATTGCCTCCATGTCCCCCATAAGACCATATCCAGCGTTGTTGATGACGACATATATCTCATTGAACTTTGCCAATGCCTCCGTAAAGCCATTCTCAATAGCTTGCTGGGATGTCACATCTAGCTTGATCTTCAGCACGGTAGGACAATCTGGTAGGTATGAGAGCGATGTAATATCTCGAGCGGTGGCCACAATACGATGACCGGCGCTATAAATGGCCCGCGCGAATGCTTTGCCCAAACCGGATGAACAACCAGTCACTTGTCATTTGTTAGCTACTAGTATACTGTGATGCAGAAGACCTGTCATAGAAACCTACCAAACCATACTGTTTGCTCGCCCAAACTTGTGGGGGGAGCCATTTTCACCAGCCGTGTGCAAATTCTTTTCCAAAAATGAAAGTTTTAAAGTAATCCGATTTCCATCATCTATCCCTTTATATATCCTTCTAAAAAGCACCACATCTTCGAAGCTCTCGTATGTAAGCACAGAAAAGGATAGCTACAAAGGCTTATCATTTTGGCATTCAGCCAATAAAAATGAGCGATATAATGCGCTAAACCAAAATTAGAAGGTACACTAACGAGAAAAAGTGGGACTGTGCATCGCTTATTCATGAGGCGTCTCAGTCGCCGAATTCGAGCTCTTCATCTTTTCCATGATCCGAGAGAGTTAGTGCACTTCCTATTCTAGGAGTAATTTTGAGTCCTAAAACATTCGGAAACAATGAGTCACAGGTCTGATCATTCTACTTTTGTTGTATTGACCGGGAATCCTGAACAAGGACACGGCAAGCGACTCAGCCAAATACGCTCACATACTGCCAAAAAGCAGCATCTGCGACGGGCCACCAAAACCTCAAAAAGTCATTTGAAATATGGCATACGGGAAGATACTCTGCCGAAACTTCAAGCGTCATTACAATGTATAGACCAAGGGGTTCATGTTAAAATTGTTTCCCCGCCTTTAACCTCATCACCGACGGGGTATAATAGAATGAAAAATTGTAAGTTGGATGGTCTTCAGATGGAGTATTACAAGGTTGCTAATTCATCATTTTGTCTCCAAGTTATGCATCAATACGTACTTTATAGCCACCATGTGCATCCATTTTTCTCAACGGTGATACGAGCCGCTGTTTCTCATCCAGTGCTTATGAGCTCCAAGATATTAAACGCCTCGGCCTGGGATGATCTTAGCACCCACGGCAAAATCAGTGATATGACATTACAACAGTGCAATACCACACGGATCTTATTGTCCCGAGCCTTGCAGAGCGGGAAAGATTCCCTCAGCGACGCGAACATTGCCAGTATGATAGCACTTCTGCTCTTCGACGTCAGTATCCACTGCCTTTTGATTAGCTTGAGTTAGGCTAACGGGTGGTCTCTATAGATTGTCGCGGACGATCAAAGGCTTTTCCAGTCAGATGAGCAAGGACTACAGCTTCTAGTAAATGCTCGAGGGGGAATTCAATATCTTGGATTCCAAGGTCACTTGAAAAATAGCGTCTTACTGTGAGTACGCATTAGATACATTTCTGTTTTCGATAAATCACCCTGACAATTACTCAAAAGTATTGAGGAGATGAAACATGCTTTCAGGGCTTCAAAGACGCGAGTCTTTTCACTAACTGCGAATACCCAGCCATGGCCTCTACTTGATATGTCTCTATTCAATTTCAAGACTAAAAATAATGTATCCACATTACAGAGAGATATTACGCCAATTTTCTCTGCTTTAAGTGATCTTTATGCCCTCGTGATGGGATTGAGGGAAGACTATCACTGTTATTCGACCAAATCGGATGGGAATTGCTTGTCCTCCACTGCTCCAATGATTATTAATACACAGTCTCCATTTTCAGCTTTTGACGATGAAGAGTACCCACTTTATGACGCCAGGATATCTGTTCTCCTCCGAGCAATTCAAATCTTGAAATGGTCGAGCGGAATGCCCTCCCATCCTATGGAAGACTTCCACCACGGCTTAAATGATTTGAAAAACTTCTTAATGATGACTGATCTAGTCGGATTCTGGTCAAATTTCTCTGGGGCATTAATTTGGTGTCTTATCATTGGCGTGCGATCATCTCCGGGATCTCTACGTAAATGGTTTATGATGCAAACTGCAAGGGTAACTTGTACGATGACCATGCATTATCCCGGGGCAGTTCTGAGAAGCCTTCGGTTTATTTTGGAGGGGTTGGATGGTGCCGAACGACGAATCTGTGGGGTAGATGAATCACAATGATTATGCGTACATTCAGTAGGGTTATACATTTTCACGGCTCTCATTTCTAGTCCCATGGGCATGGAGGGGACAACTGTTCCCAGCGTGGAGAATCAGCGCTACAGAATTAGAGTGTGGCGAACCCAGAAACCTAGTAATAGGTCGGCAGTTCCATTGCAATACAAGAACCAGACTTACTCCGACCAGCTCCGCAGAGTCCGGAGAAAGCGGGATGTGGGGAATGTCTGGGGCTACTAATGGCGGGGCAGACTCCAGAGATTCCAGAGAACCGCTAAGAACACAGGTAATCTTTGTACTGGACTCTGCGTAATGAGATGAGCAAAGATTTGATTATAATTATTTTAGTGTCTATTGTGTTACACTCACTAATATGCGTCTATTCAGTAGGACTGTAGTTTAGCCCTACTTCAGCCCTTTGATGCGGTTAAAATCTCTGACCGCTGATTGGCTGGGGTTGGAAGGCCGAACAATATCACAAATGCCCCAAGTTCTCACACACGCTGCTAATATTTTCTTCCGTGTAGCAATATTGCATAGCCAATGTGTGGCCACGGAAATCCACAGTCGGATAAAGTCCAACCAGGCCCATTCTCAGACGTCCAGTGGCGCGCGCTGTAGCCCACCCACCCATAGAAGGCATGTGGGGAGCTGTGGGAGAAGCGGGAAAAATCTCATCCGCCCTCGTCATGCTGAGGGTGGCCGAATGCGACGGCAAAAGCCCTCGGTGAGAGATTTTTAAATTTAAGACTCGCGTGTCGTCGACATTTACTTTAACTTTTTGCTTTTCTTCCATTTCTCCCAACCTTTTGACTCCCACTGTCTGCCTGCTTTCCTTTCGCAGCTATCTCCGCCACCTCTCCCACTATAACCCACCTTATCTCCGGCACAATGGCGAAGGCTCCTCAAGATTTGCAAATCGCCATTCTGGGCGCTGGCATGGGCGGTCTTACCTGTGCCCTTGCTCTTGCCCAGCGTGGTTTCAAGAACATTGATGTTTATGAAAATGCGCATGACCTTGGCTTCGTTGGCGCTGGTATTCAGCTTGCACCTAACATGGCGCGCGTCCTTGACGGCCTTGGTGTCTGGAAGGGCATTGAAGCCGAGGCTGTGAACATTTTAGATACATCCGTCCGTGGTATGTACAAAACACGAGACCTATCCCACTATCTATTGAAGATTCAACCCTCAAAATGTACCCGCTAACAATTGGTATTGAATAGTTGGCGCTGCTAACAGCGAGCTTGCTCACGTTGATTTGAGATACGTCGAGGAAACATATAAATACCCCCATATGGTCGGTCACCGTGCCTCTTTGGCCAACGGGCTCTACCAAGGCTGCTTGAAAGAGTCTGCTATCAAGTTCCATTTCGCTACCACCGCATCAAACGTCGACTCGTTCGGCCCCCGTCCCTCCTTCACCGCGACACCTCGCGAGGGCGAAGTCGCTTACAAGGTTGAATGCGATGTGCTCCTGGGCGCCGATGGTATTAAGAGTGAAACTCGTGAGGCCATGCTCAAGCGCCTGGGCGTCGAGGTTGGCATTAAAGATACGCAGCAGGCTGCCTACCGTATCATGATTCACAAGGACCAAATTAAGGACGACCCTGAGCTGCTCGCTTTGATTAATAGTAACACTGTGACTCGCTGGATTGGTGAGAAGCGCCATATCATCGCCTACCCTGTTTCCAACAACACCATCTATAACCTCTCTACCGCCCAGCCAGACACCAACTTCGCCGCTGCTACCAACGGCACCTACACTACTAAGGGCTCCAAGAAAGCCATGCTGGAGGTGTACTCCGACTTCTGCCCTATGGTTCAGCGCATGCTCAACCATGTCCCTGAAGGCGAGGTCTGCGAGTGGAAGCTGCGTGTTCACGACCCCATTCCTACCTGGATTTACGATCAAACCGCCCTAGTCGGTGACGCTTGCCACCCTACCCTTCCTCACTTGGCTCAGGGTGCCGCGCAGGCAATTGAGGATGGTGCTGTCATTGCCGTGGCTCTGTCCCGTCTTCCCGACACTACCCCCGAGTCTATTAACAAGGCTCTCCGCGTCTACGAGAAGGTTCGCAAGGTTCGCGCGGAGACACTCGTTGACATTGCCGCTGCCTCTGGACGTGCCTTGCACCTCGGTGATGGTGCGGCTAAGGCAGAGCGTGATCGTCAATTTGCCGAGCTTAAGAACAAGGGTGGCAAGGGCCCTGTACCAGATAGGTGGGCCGATGCTGATACCCAGCGTCAAATCTACGGCTTTGACTGCACCAAGATCACCGAGGATAACTTCACCGAGTACTTCTCTCAGATGTAAGCGGTTTTGTCTATCTTTCTTTCTCTGCATAAACTTTGGCTTGGCTGCTTTGCTATTGGCGCACGTATGTGAAACTATTGAATTTCACTTCTTGAAATGTACATCTTTTTATTTTACTTATGTATTTCAACGATCTTGACAGAAATGAGAATTTATGATGATATGTTCATTCCTCTATGAAAAATTTATGATATATTCCTGTACTAAGAGTTTTTCTCTTTTAGGGGCAGAACACCACGTGAAACTAAGTTAGCATAAATTGCAACGTTGGACGTATAAGTGTATTCGCAAGTACCACGATACATTTACGACATTTTGGTCCGAGGGGCGTGACGCGAATTCTATACGTAAATATTCTGACTATTGTATATAAATTCAAACCGTTATCTGTTGGATTTACAGCTCAGAAGATAAAAAATATTCATAAATTCACGAGTGGACCACATATTACTTAATATTTCTAGGTACCGCTCTGGTGCATTTAACTCCAAATAATTGATAGAAGAAAAAGACCATAGACGATCGTGGTCAAATTTGCCATGCTGAACAGTTGACTCTTAGAAGCCTTGCTTTCACTACCAGTAGGTGACTGATCCTCACAGCTCACTGAGCCTTGGACTTGTCGAAAGGTAGAGCTGGACACTTCAAATGGGCCTGATTGTATTGTTCTGTCAGCGAAATTGTTTTGATATGACAGAAGAACTCCCTCAATGACTTCAATCCCATCTAAATTAATTTGCGGAATCGTGGTTTCAGTGAAGGGGCCAATTTTAATGCTGCAATTGACTGCTGAACAAGTTTGACGTGAATTTATTCGAATTCGAGGGTGGAATTCTGGCAGGTATGTAATATGGTGCAAGGATAAGAGATGTATAGTTGCGCGATGGCCACTGATGATCGCCACGTTTCTTATCTCCGATCTCCGACCTGCAGCTTCCCGTCTCAACACCAAGACGCGTCCGCGACACGGCATGCGACATATTGGAGACTTCTATCCAACAAATACAGGGAGTATGCCCAGCCAAATAAATGCCTTACCCGGCTGTATGTGCCCAATTTCAAAAAGTCCACTTATCTCACGCACTCACTAATAGGTTACAGACTCCCTCACCATTCCGACTATCCCGCCGCCAACCGTCCACGCGCCGGACTGCTGGTCCCCAGTTCGCTAATTCCCCACGATTTCTGTTCTCACAAACCACACAAACGACAGATGGGGACTCAGACATAGCAGATGATGACTTTCCACCATCAACAGCACCGGTGGGACTGACACCGAGGACGCACCAAGACGACATCCCTTCTCGTTCTCGGCGTGATGTCATCGTGGACTGGGATGATGAAGATCTTCCTAGAAGTACTTGCACGCAACGAAAACCGAATAACCCGGCATGCGATATTATAGACAGCACGCCACCAGAAGCACTAGAGGGGCCGGGAATCTTCGACGCAGGCGACGAGGACAATCCCGAGGTTCATCAAGATAGCAACAAACGCCGACGCATATTGGAGGAAAATCTACCATTCCCACAAAATTTGGGAGAATCTATCGAGGAACAGTCCGAGTCATCACCAGATCGCCCGCATAATGTCGTTACCGCTCCCCCTGCCACACCCGCAGCTCATCCTCCTCCCGACGCAACGACGCAGATCTCTTCCATGCAAGCCCCAATAGGCGGCCCAGCCGGGTTAGGAACGCCAACGCCAGCCAGCACTAGAACTCCATTTCATGTCAAACCTCGGTTCATTCTATCAGCAAAAAAGCCACCTGCCAGCCAGCCGGCATTTAGAGCCGAGACCCCAGCGCCATCATACCCAGCCTCAACTCCGGCTGAAAAGCGCAAGCCGACATTTGTGCTGCCGGCGTCACCGTCACCGAAAAAACCGGTGGACGATATTCCGGCTCCTTTTTCACCTTCTTCCCGCAGTCTACGGCGTCGTGGACGGCCTCGCGCAGGCGCATCGGGCTATACGTCTGGTGGCATGGCGGCAGAGGTACGAAGCTGGGTCCTTGATATGGGATCTAAACGGGAACAAGCAAGACATACAAATGCGGAGCTTGATGAGGTTAGCAAGAGCTCCGATGAGTTTAGCCAATATGTCCTGGCTGCTCGAGTTCTTAGTGTGGCTCAGGGGAGCTTGAGCAGTTCTGGCCCACTGGCATTCATTCAAGTAGAGCGCGTGAAAGACTCATCGGGAAAAAAGGACGACTCGAATGTCCTTAATATATTGGCTATGGGAGATCCCAGGTCTAAACCACAATCATGCTCTAGATCAAGTCCGATCATGATCCAAGCTGGGGATTGGCTTGGATTTCACCGAGGTCTAGCATGGGACATGGACTTAGCAAGCCCCAGAGGATGTGAATCTACCGAAAGTATGCGGAATTTATTGCGTGATACAGATGGCATTGAGAATTGCAAACAACACTGGCTTGTAGCTATGGAGTGGGACCTTATATCCGAAGCTACTTGAGATCATGGATGTTTATGATTATGAATAATGCCAGCAATGAATAACATGCGATATGCATAAAATGATAGTATCTATACACACAATATAACTTTTTATTATTATGTTCATGACGGGTATATTCTAAATGCGAATCCAAAGTGATGAAAACAGGGAAATGTACAAGCTTATCTCGTACTGATCAGTCGCGGATCGCTTTTAGCGCGTCAATAGCCACATTGCAACCCCAACGAATCATCTTTTGGTCGCTCTCTGATTCCAAAAGATCGCTCTTGGATACTTCTTTGCGAAGGAAGAAGATAATCCCCTTGGCGATATGTGGCGTTTCCTGCACGCGCATAAAGATCTTCATAAGAGACTCCTCGTCTCTTGGGAGCTCGCTTGAAGCAGATTTGTCTTCCTTCTTTTCCTTTTTCGATTTTTTGCTCTTCTGAGACTGCTGGATGATACTGATGAAGAGTAATTCAGCGAACATCTTCGTTTTCACTTGGAGATAAGCGAAGTTAAGATTCTTAAGCACACCAAGCGTCAGAGACCCGTCCGCAATAAGCATCCCGAACATCTTGGCCAGGTTAACGGCAGCCTTCATGCTAATCCCGTTTTCCTCGTCATCGGGATCGAATTCATCCTCGTCATCCATATCGCCGCGCTCGCCCATCTTCTTGAAGATATTCCAGAGAGCGAACATGAAGGACATTTTAATACGGCGTCCCATCTCACCACAAATCCGGCGCGCGATGAGAGTGTAGTATGGGTTGTGTGCGTCTTCTTCCATTGCACAGTGAAGAAGAACACGGGGGATCTCGAACTCCTGGGCACGCTTCAATCGAAGCTTCATTAATCTGACCTGCGCATCTTGGTAGTCCGTGGCAGACATAATGGCCACGAAGATTGAGCGACGAATATCGGTATTCATACGATGAGCCCTAGCCAGATCGCCTAGGTCAGGCTCAGCTTCGCTATCATCCTCAGCTTGGGCAGCTTGTGATGGGACACCGGCCAGTTCCTTGCGGGCTGATACAAGCGGGTCCTCCTTCCAGCTGGCACCAACAAGCCACCATTTTCCCTTCTTAGAAGAGTTGAGAATATCAGCGCGTGTGATGCTGATGGGCTCCGAAGCACGGATGACGCGAGAGTTATTCAAAGATCCCAAAATCTTGCGCATCTTGGTAATATGTTCAGAGGTGATATTGGCACCAATGGCATTCTTCACCTTGTTGTTCTTGAGATCCGTAATAGTTTCAATCATAAATTTCGTGCGAACGGAGAGACGATCTTCTCCAATCTTAGCCACGGCAGGCTGGATCATGAGAACAATGTCCTTTAATGAAGATGGATCATCCTGACGAAGTTGAGGTCCGGAGTTGCGGATAACCTTGAGGAGAAGTTCTGTATTGTCTTCTGTAATGTCTGCAAGGAAGTCACGGACATAGTCAAACATCAAGGGGCTTCCGATCACATGGAAGTTGTAGAGTTGCGAGAGGAGTGAAACCAGATTGACGACTTCCTTGCCCGCGAAAGGGCCTCGTTCATCACCACCGGCATCCAGGGTTTCCACGATTTTTTGCACAACTTCAGCACCAAAGTCCATACCCATGAGTTTGTACAAAGCCGCAATGAAACCCGCGTGAAGGACCATGAATGTGTCTTGAAGCACAGCTCTTTCACAAATAAGTCCAAACAATAGATTGATTACGGTGGATGTGACATGTTGGCGTGGGTAGTCGCGGTACAGCTTTTCAAACTCGGATACGATTGAAATCATGTTGGCCTCTGAAAGCTTGTTCAATTGACCCTGAGCTTGGCGCTTCAAACGAGTGAGAGATTCGCTCTCCGAGCCCGACAGAGCTCGTAATGAGGGAGGAATATACTTCTGAGGCAAGGCGTTTTCGGTCTTGGATACAGGTGCCACATATGGATTTTCCTTTTTCTTCGGCGGAGCTTTTTCTCCCTCGTCGAAGCCCTCAAAATCGCTTCCTTCCCCGCTCTCGTCATCTTCACTGCCAAATATCTGATCGTCGAGATCATCCTCATCCTCGTTGCTATCCTCTTCACTATAATCTTTCTCCTGTTGGGCCTTGAGATTTTGGGCTTTCTGTCGCTTGCTTTGGAGCCACTCGTCCGCTTCCCGTTTTCGCTTTTTGCCCTCGTCCTCGGAGGCATCGCCCAATTCACCTAGGATGTCGTCTAACCCATCCTCGGCGAAGGCCTTGGGGAGCTTGCTTCCCTTCTTCATGCCAAGTTTCTTCTCGAGGGCAGCAATCTCAGCATCATCTTGTGCCATTTTGCTCTTGTCTTTGGCAGAGACATGGGTCGTTGATTCGTCTTCGTCGTCTTCAGGCTCGTCAAGGTCAAAATCACTTTCGTCCTCTTCCTTATCGTCATCTTCATTCAAATCGATTGACATATTATCGTCGTCTGACTCCGAGTCTTGGTGTTTTTCAGGCTGAGCCTTTTTCGTAGTTGTCTTCAGCTGAGATTTGCCCTTGGCTGCAGCCTTGGGTTCGTCATCGGATGATTTCTCATCGAGGTCAAAATCATCCGAATCCGAATCCTCCTGCTCATATCGCTGGTTGTTCTTTTTAGGGGGCCCCGTGGGCTGCTTAGACTTCTTTCCCGTTCGCTCGGCGCGGCGGCGATCTTTGCGTGTAGCAGGCCCATTTTGTCGCCGCTTCTTTTCGCCGTATGTATCGCGGATTCCTAGTTCCGATCGGAGGTCCCGAGGCAGGCAGGTTGTCTTGTGCTGAGGGCGTGGGCGACGCATTTTGACTGATCTTTGGCAAACCAAGTGTCTGGGGATTCGAGCATCAAAAAAAGACCGATAGTGAGCGGGCGGTCAGCACACTTTTTCTTCGGTGGCCTTTTCTGCCAGCCAAACCGGAAGGCGGCGAGCCCAAACCCACAGCGGAGTTTCTTCCCCCACGAGACTCTCTTCGGATTGCGTGTTGTCTTGATACAGCTATTGAATACCCCGAGCGCATCGAGAATTGATTCAAAAATGGCTCCTCATCTCAGCCATGAAGACGTATGTCTAACCCCTCCCAGTTGCACTATTCACAGGTTCCATTTGTTGGCCACGCGACCATTCCAATCCTCGAATAGTTGTGCTAATCATCTATCACCGCTAGTTCTTCTCAGCTCTCACAACCCTTCTGGAGAAGACCACTGGCAAGGCACGGGGAACAGTTCTGCTGACCCAGAAGCCTTTGCCTACCTCCGAAGCCAATGCCTCACCCTCAGTCCTTATCCGCGCCACGGATGCAAACAGCAATGCGCCAAACCCCAAATCCGCCGACAAGGGCAAGATCACCAAGGACAAATCCACAAAAGTCAAAATTGGCACAGTCGTCAAGTCAGAAGAGCTGGAGCAATTCTACACACGCTACGCTGAAATTTGCAAGACTCGCATGACTGGATTGAAGAAGCGAGATCGCAAGCGTAAGGCCAAGGCCAAGGGTGGAGCTGCGAAGACTGCCAAAGCATGAAGCTCGGATTATTTTATTGCTTTATAATGGTCTCGTGCCACTTGCGCCTTCATTCCTCTTTGCATTTCTAGGCGTTAATCGGGGGCTCTGTCTCAAAACAATCGCAATGACTATGAACGATCTATCTACTTCATTGGTGTACATATCTCCTCATAAAATTACACTGCACAATATCGAATCGTCTCATCTTTAACTCCAAGGCCAGATATCTACTTACCATCATCCTTTTTATGGACTCAAGTGGTTTCTCCTTGTCCTCCGTGCGCTATAGCCCAGGCTTTTTGCAAGTACTCAGCCCAGAAGGTGTTATCACGACAATAGAAGGTCTGGTCTAGTGGTCTTTGCTTCCAGAAAAGAGTCAAAATTCGTGCAAATTTATGAATCTATCTAACTGTATATTATACCTTCCAGGAAGTCATCCATGTGGAGATGTATCTATCAACCAAGCCGTCCAGCACCGGATTTCCAACAAGAGCCAACGAAGGGCAGTCCCTTGTGGTACTATCAGTCCTAAAGGAAAGGCCCGCTGTTTCTTCCTGCTGTGCACTCTGGCCCCCATACTTAGACTTCCAGAAATCAATCAGTTTGATACTGGGATTTGTCTCCGGGTTCTGGTCGCTCTTCGATAGTCTTTCCAGCCACTCCTGTGGACTAACAATTTCAAACTCCGGTAGAGCTGATCCTTGCTTGAGAGATGGAAGCAAATCATCTTTCCAGCTGAAAGTTAGCGGATTGACTAAGTGATAGACCAAATCAACTTCTGGTCGGAGGGAGGAGGTATTTAAAGAGATTTCCGCGATTGCCTCGGCACATTGGTCGACTGGGAGCCAACTTGGTCTTTCATTCAAGGTAGGCAATGCACCTGTTGTCAATGCGCTGCGGAACATGAGAGCTACAGCCTCTGTCTCATTCCACTGTGCACTCTTAGTATCGCCACTCAGCTGGCCAATTCTCAATACTCTAGCATGGAGACCAGCATCGCGCATAGCATTGTGAGTGATATGTTCGGTAACCAGTTTGGATCTTCCGTATCCCATTTTCTGCGCGTGGGACAGCTCTTCGATCTTCGACTCTGAAATTGATGAGGGCTTGGGGGTATTGCTGGCAGCGCTTACGCTGGAGCAGAAGAAGAAACGCGAGGGCCTCGGCAACTTCGACCGCAGACAAAAGTTGATTAGATTATAGGTACCACGGATATGTTGCTGCTCGAATGATCGTACGCCAAGATTGAAGTTGACTGCCCAAGCGCTGTGTATGATGCTTGTAGTGCACGAGAGCAAATGCTCAACTACATAGCTATCTAGACCCAGGTTCTCCTGTGACAAATCACTAGGGACTGCGTGCAGCTTTGCAGACTCTGCGTCAGCGAGAGAAATTTTCCGATCGGCCAACGCTTTCCAGAGACGAGCTCCTGCGGCCACCTGTCCAGGTGCGCGGACAAGTGCCCAAACTTCAGATACACTTGGTCGTTTCAGCAACTCTGCAATTATAAATGCTCCCAAATTTCCCGTTCCCCCTGTGACAACCACGACTTCTGTCTCTGGTTGCTTTTGGATTGTGGGATAGTGGTGGGTGAAATTCGAGTATTTGTCAATCAGTTCACGCATAGTTTGCACTTCATCCTCAGCGGCTTCAACTTCTTGACCAGTGCGAAGTTGATAGAGGTGCCGAGAAAGTGCCCTGACTGTCCCTTTCTCAAAGACGATATTTTGGGATAAGTTGTCACCTTGTTCACCGAGGTCAAGATCACGCACTATACACCTCCATGCTCGTGTGGTTTGCAGGCTATCCACTCCAGCAGAGAAAATATCGGTCTCGGCTGTCTCGAGTGGAACATCCAACTCATCCCGAAAGCAAGATAATAGCCAATCTTCCAGTTCGGGGACACTGAGTGCTAGTGTGCCCCTTCTCTGTCCAGTTCCTTCAAACCCGGCGTATGCTTTCTGTATATCATTTTCGAACTGCTGATAAACTTGAGCACGAATGCATGTTCCTTTATCGGTTTTCGCGTATGGAACATCGGCACCCTTGATGATAACCAGATCCTTAGGAATGCGGGAAAATGTTTCAGCACGAGCATTGGCTGCCTCCACAGCTGGCCAAATCCTTTCTAAAAAGTCCTCGTCGTTCAAATGAAGTGCCTTTTCAGGGGCACGGAATATGAGAGCGCCTGGCACCGTTCGCTGGAAGCCAAATACCACACATTCTCCGACAATTACCTCTTCTCGAACACGACCTTCAATTGGAATCGGCAGTACCTTCTCGCCGTTCACGAGAGTGATTCTGTCGTCAAGGCGGCTGAGATACTTATAATGGTTGCTTTTCTTCGGGTCGGGATGTCTAGTGAACAAGTCGGCAGTCCGAAAACTGTTCTCTGGATTTTTGTCGCTGAAAGGTGGTTTCGAGTTCGAAGGTCCCTTGCTTGGTAATCCATCCAAGGCAACACATTCAAAAACACCTGGTGATATTTCGTCCATTAGAGTGTAGTCTGCAACAGGGCGATGCAAGCGCATATACTGCCACTCGTTGTCACCCTCGCGTCGGAAAGAGGTCATGATTTGTCCAGTCTCCGTGGCGCCATAGTTAGCGACAAGATTGACACCCTGCGCGACTAACCTGTCTCCCAGGTCATCTGGGCAACTTGATCCACCATAAATTACAAGCTGTGGTCTGGCAAGCGCTGATATACCTTCTGGCTTTTCCGCCAGCAATTTGATCACGTATGGTACAGCACTGATTTGACGTGGCTTCGCTACCGCTAAGGCGTCGATGAGGTTTTGATACGTGATTGGCATTGAATGATTTCCAAGAAATGCCGGGGCACGGGTATAAAATGCTCGTCCTAGTTCCATCAGAGCATGCGAATGAAATAGAGGGCTGATGTTGAATAGACGCAGACCGAAGCTTTTTCTGAAGTTGGCTAGAGATTGATAATTCGTTAGAAGTATAGGCTTAGGGAAGCCCGTACTGCCGGATGAATGAAGTATCCAAGCCATCTTGTTGGTCTCCCGTGTTGGGTCCACATTCACTCTCCGAAATTGGGGACTCCTCGCGGGTCTGTTGAACCAGTCTTCACGCTGGAGAATTGGGAAGCTACCACAGCCGGGGCGGTCTTCGTCAATATCATGCACCGTTTGTTCATATTGCTTTGCAATAATGATCTGGGAGCAATCTACCATACTAAGTAGTCGTGCATATGCTGGTGCTGTAAGTCGAGTAGACAGGAATAAAACAGCATAACCTAGGCGATTCAGAGCGAAAAACGTCAAGATGACTTCGAAACTTGACCCAGCAAGCATAGCAACAACTGGTGCTTTTTCAGCCGTTGGATCCTAGAAAATATTTAGTCCAAGTTCAAGAAGTAGGTCAATTGTCAAAATTACCGCTGGTTGCAGTCCTTTGTCCATATAATAATGAACCGCAAGGTCCGTATATTGGTCCAGATCACCAGCTGTATGCTCTTCGAAGTCCGCAGACCCTCGGACTGGGTAACATATCAATGGTTTCTTTGCTTGATCTGGCTGGGCCGCGTGGGATTTGAGTAAACCATCGATTGTCATGAATTTTTCAATAGGAGGATAGCTAGCATGGAGAGTCCCGTTCAATAAGCGGGTAGCGATGTCCTCGCCTAGAGACGGCAGCGACGCTACCGTCGTCGTTGTTGTCATGGTCGCCATTGGTAATTTCGTCAGAGCTGGTTTCATTCAATCCTCAAGGGGAAAGACTCATTTAAATGAAGTTCTACGTGGAGATCTCCAACTCGCCGCCTCCTCCGAGAACCGAGAAGTGCTTTCTCGGACAATTATCCGGCGGGTGTGGCCAATGTGCCGGAAAAACCACAAAAGTGTTTTCCACCTCACTTTGGCGTGATATAACATTACAACCAGTAATAGCGGCGATCGTTTCTATTTGTCATTCTCTTTTTTAAACATAACATGCAGTTTTCTGGTGTCCATGAGTCCTTTGTGGATTTCCGGGCCTTCAATATCGCACGGAAATGCCCCACATCCACTGGCATTTCCCCGCAATGTTGAATGGGCCATACAATGCGGAGACACTGCCTAGAAGAGCCTCTAATTTTATTTCGTTCTTACTTCAAGTTTTTCTCACACAAGACCAGGTCGTTCAACTCGAACAAAATTAGTATATTCTGTTCGAATGGGAGCGTTCAGATCTCCTTGAAGACTTCAAAGTTTCATTTACGGGCTCGGAAATTCGTTCCCGTTGTAATCAGGGAACTTGAATTGATACATAGTTCTTTTTCACAGGAAATCTTATTAAATACGACTGTCCATTGTTTACACAGTGAGGGAAGGAAATAGAGTTCGTTATCCCCGAAACCGAGAAGATCTTTGTCATCGGTATAGCTCTAAGCTAGGGCTTTATAGAGATGTCTGCTATTTAGGAACTGGGGTCCGGGGCAAAGGAGAGGTGCACGTCCAGATAGATTGACTAGTAACTATTTCGACCAAGTCAAGATGGATTTGTTTGAGATATTTCAGAAAGGCATTTTGAACTCTACGGCTGCAAGGAGTGTTGTCTCTCGTTCGTGTAGCCTTTACAATGGTGGTTGTGAACGGAGAATGATCATGATTAATACTACTACGATGGGCACCAGATTAAGACGAATTCATGTAGAATTGCAAAGAAGACATCTAAAAGCAGCAAGTTATTACCCTCATCCATCAACAAATGATTGGATACTTGTGATATTATGCGGTGAAGAGTTGAGATAGTCAGACCAGGGAAATCTAAAATAAGGTTACAATCCTCCATCTAAAGAGATTATTCTTCCCGAACCTCACTGAGATATTGTGTAATGGCTGCTGGGTGCGAGCCTTTGGGCAATTCATTCTTGATTCTTCATCACCGATCTGCTGTCACGATAGGATCCTATCCTAGGTGGCGAAGAAGCCTATCTTCACTTGAATCCTAGATCATTATCTAGGGCTTGACAAGTCTAGACAAATATTGTAAAACCATGTTTGAAATTTCATCTCTTTTCAGGCGACTGTTTCCCTCATAAGCCGTTATGGCTTCCATTTATTTGTCGACGAAGTCAATTGGGGCATATTAGATAGCCAGACCATTGGCACTCAGTGATAAAAAGTGGGAATACAAAGCAGGTTGTATCAAAAATGTTAAAGTGCTCTGATAAAAGCACGGGGAGCAAGACCGAGGAAATAACTCTATCAATCAGTCTCTCTCGTGACGTACCATGATATCTATCGGAAGATATCCATTTCAAAACGGGAATTTTGTCTACACGCAGCCCAATCTCAACCTCCTGTTTTCCACCGGAGAAGCAACCGGACATCGCTCGGATATGGAAAACAATCCGGGCCCAAACCTTCCCTCGAAGATTACCCGCCCATTATGTGGTGACACAGCGATGATCTGCATAACATGCTCATCTTAGTGGCTACAACATCAGAAAATCAAGCCTCAGGATGCAAGATGACGAGCTTTCTTCACGAATTATCCACGAATGAAGCAATATGTCCACTTGGCAGGATGCAGCCTCATAGAGCATGTGCTTCATAGTATTGGCTTGACGGCTCGTCCTTCTCCACGACCCCGGCGTTTCCCCAGAATTCCCAGATTCTGTACTCTGCCCATGAATAGCTATGCCCAGAAACTCTATTCCAGCTCATTTTAGTGTGGTATGGGGGGGGGGGGGGGGGTATGCATTGCAAACTAATATAAGCTCAACCAGTGCCCTCGTGGGGTGAATGTGCAGAATACTGACCTCGCATTTGAGTGAAAAATTCTGTACTCACCATGGAGCGCGCTGGAAATACTATCTCAGACATGGAGCTGATGGGGGAGAAGGCGGAAATGACGCATGAAGAGACGGTTCACCTCGCTGAGCTGAGTACAGAGGAGAAGGTGATTGAGAAAAAGCTTCGCCGTCGCATAGACTTTTTGATTATGCCACTCGTTATTCTAGTTTATTTGATGAACTACATTGATTGGTAAGATACTCGAGAGTTTTCTCATCGGAGGTTTCAACAATCTCACGGAATCACAAGTTGCTAAGTACTAGTACTAATCACCTCACCATTCCTAGAAATAATTATGCCGCTGCAAAGCTCCAAGGGCTTGAGACCGATCTTAATTTAAACGGCCAACAATACCAGACCGGTCTTTCTATTTTATTCGTTGCCTACATCCTCATGCAAGTCCCGTCGAATCTGCTTCTGAATTACATGGGCCGACCATCAATTTACCTCGGATTCTTTGTGGTCGCATGGGGGCTTGTCTCAGCCTGCACCAGCCAGGTCAAAGGCTATGGCAGTATTGTTGCTTGTCGATTCATTTTGGGACTTGTTGGTAAGGTATTTGCCTCTCAATATCGCTTTAGATATTAACCTTCTGCTTAGAGGCACCTTTCTTTGCCGGAGTTCTATTTTATCTCTCGAAATGGTATACCCGAGGCGAACTAGCCTTTCGAATGAGTCTCTTCTACTCAGGCTCCTTGATAAGCGGCGCATTTGGTAACTTGATCGCTGCTGGAATTTTAAGTGGTCTTGCTGGTGCACGAGGAATGGCAGCATGGCAATGGCTCTATATAATTGAAGGTGCAATAACTGTCTTCATAGGCATTATCATATGCTTCATCCTACCAGACTTCCCCGATACGTGGCGAATACTTTCGCCTGAAATGCGGGCTGTTGCTGTCCGAAGACTTGCAATCGAGGCAGCCGAGGCAGATGTTGATGACCAGACCAATGCTGGTTTGAGCCAACTGAAGGGATTAAAATTGGCCTTGACCGATACTAAGACCTACGTCTTCGCCTTTGCATACATGTGCATCGCCGGAGGTGGTGGTTTTCAATATTTCTTCCCAACACTAGCAGAAACCCTAGGGTACAACAACACCATCTCCCTATTGTTGGTCGCGCCACCATATGTCTTTATGGTCTTTTATAGTCTCTTTCACAGTTGGCTATCAGATAGACTTGGTATACGTTTTTGGTTCTTCTTCTATCCCATCCCAATTACAATCATCGGATTCATTATATTCATGACAACGGACTCCTTTGGTCCTCGATATTTCTCTCTGTTCTTGATGAACTTCATATTCGCTCAGAATAGCTCTATCTTTTCTTGGTTGGCAACCTCTATGCCTCGACCGCCAGCAAAAAGAGCCGCCGCGTACGCGTTCTTTAATTCCATTGGAAATTCAGCGACTATTTGGACACCGTACACATACTATGACTCTCAAGGGCGCCATTATCCAGTTGCACTTGGAATTTGCATTGCATTGCAAGTTCTCGCAGGGCTGTCTGCTATTTTTATGTATTTCCATCTTCGTGCGCTTAACAAGCGCCAAGAGCGACTTGAGAATGAGACTGGAGAGGTGCAGCTCACTGAAAAAGAATTAAGGAGGCTTCAAATTACGGCTGAGTATGAAGGAATTGATATTGCTGCAGCTCGGCGACTGCAGAAAGGCTTCCGATATATGCTTTGATGGCAAGGAACTGGTTAAATAAAGCCTATGCTACTATGAAAGTTAAATAAAGCCTATGCTACTATGAAATGTACTACTTCTTTCGATCATACAATCCAATACTTCTATTGATTTGAAAGTTCCACCTTTCTATCCGCTACTGATACCTACTAACCTCACCGACCTACCTTGAATGACATCCCAGGTGCCATGACTCAAGTGCTGGGAATGTGTGTGATTGGGTAGAAACCTTTCGATTACCCACAACTTTTTCAGGCAACCAATCAGTGCTCGGTAAATTTCCCTGAGGGGCGGCGGCACATAAGGTGCTTGGCAATTGTTGGATGAGCCACATCTCATGAATTAATCCACTTCAAGCCCTGCTATGAGTTCATCTTACCCAAGGGACACTAGAGATTGTAAAACGCGGCGGAGAACAAGATTTGGCTGCCGCAATTGCAAACTCAGAAAGCTCAAGGTGGGTGCTCCTAGCTGTCCTGGATCGTATCTGACTGATCGAATTCTCTTGACCTCTTAGTGCGACGAAGGCAGGCCACATTGCAAGAGATGTATCTCATTTGGAGTCCTATGCAACTTCATGTCCAATGCATCCGATTTACAGCCCATTGTTGCAGACACAGGGAAGCCATTAGTGATCCCAGAGAAAACATTGCTTCGTTCCCCTATCACCAGCGCTGTCTGGACAGCTGACGAATCGACATCATTCCAATTGGATGCAAAGTGTCAAAATTTTATCACACGATATCTTGGACTAAGTCTGATCACGCAGAATGACCCTTCTATGATGAGCGTTAATCGTAAACTGTTGGAAATAGCTTTCACCGTAAGTACTCCACCACATCTACTGCCCACGCCCACGTAGCAAAAAGACATAATTATCGACTGTGTCATGCCACATCTGACTCGAAACCTTCAGTGCCCATTACTCATGCACGCCTCCCTGGCCGTGGCATTTGCATACGATCGTCATCTCAATAGCGACCCTGGCTCTCGTCGCAGTCTAGAAGAATGCTATCACGGGTCCCAAAGCATAGCTCTATTCAACAGACGATTATCAAAGCCAATAGAAGCTAAAGATAAAGATCCAATATGGGGCACAGCAGCCTCTTTAGCAATTTTGGCATTCTCATCCCTTGATACATGCACGTCAGATGAATCCTGGCCTTTAAAGCCCTCCGGATACTCTGATCTAGCATGGCTTGATATGATAAATGGTAAGATGTCGTTGTGGAATACGATAGATCCGCTACGACCGGATAGTATTTTTCACGTGATGGCGGCAAGCTTTACAGACATGTTTTCACCGTTGCCGACGATGGGTGTGGATGGAATACCAGAGGCCTTGGCTAATATGTGCCTCCTCAACGGCTCATCTACGCCGGAAAATAATGGATATTTTTCTGCTGCTCACGCGATATCACGACTTATATGTCTTCCAGATTGTGGGGTTACAGCGGGCCAGGTTCAGCTTTTTGCCAGCAGTATTCATGGTCCTTTCAGAGAATTGCTCCAGGGAAAGGATCCCGTTGCACTTATACTGCTATATATGTGGTATTGCAAAGCAGGTCGTTGTATATGGTGGATTGAGCTTAGAGCGAGAGTTGAATGTCCGTCTATTTGTAAATACTTACTGCTGTATCACGCCGAGAATACTGCTGTAAAAGATTTCCTGTCAGGAAGGATCGATACCGGAGAATGCACCTCTGGACCTGAAGGTCTTTTCGAAGACTTTTTCGAAACAAAATTGACCATGTGTTCATCTTCGAGCGGACTTTAGGCTGAGACTGGAGATGTGCAGATTCCCGGAGAAGAATTCAAGCGGGTGAGATGGGTACGACAAATTGGGACTCATTCTGCACAGACTATCGGATAAATAGTCTGCGGTTCTTTCATTCCCGCTAAGACCCGAATTCTTTTTGAATGTTTCCCCGCAAAATAGTATCTACTAGATGAAGTGAACTATTTTTTGTGACAAACCCGACGTTAGACATAGTTGCTCAATTTAGCGATGCAAGCAATATCGATATTAAATCTCTCACTGTCCACGTCAACGCCGTTTCAAACATGATGTCGTCAGATCTATTCCAATAGAACAATACATAATCATCCATAAAGCTTACTTCCACGCCACAGTACTTCGGTGGTTACAAAGTTTCTTCTACAATCTACATGAAACGCACTACCAATTAGGTTAGATAATCCTTGCTGAATTTCAAGTCAAATCTTTCTTCATAATTCATTAATGGTTGGTCTATATGCACAAAATGACACCACTAACTAGTCAGCGTCCAAACTATCTCCAGCACCTGCGGATTTTCCAAATCGTTCCCCCAATCCGGCTCACGGGCGTATATTTGCCGGACTCGATTTTTCTCCGAAACAGCTCCAATAAGTTGATACGTCAATTTTTTGTTGTCCCGCGGTCTTAAAGGCCCAATGCTAAACCCGTACTGATCATCTTCTGTCCACCGGTAATATTCCCACGTTTGTTCTATACTAGCCAGATCTTCCGGCGACATCGGAGATGAATATTTGACCAAAGAGAATCCGTTGATGAGAAACCATTCGTCGGTTAGCTTCCATCGTCGAAGTTGACATTCGTCGCCGCAGATATCGGAAATTTTGCTCATGTTGACTATGTCGACTGGGTACCAATCGGGAGATTTCCAGTGATGCACCGACAATGGAAGGGGGCGTCCGGACTCGTAAAAGCCCGACCCATCATTTGTGAGATCAAGTTGGAAAAGGCGTCGGTCCCATGTAAGCTTGGTGGTTGTGTATGTATAAACACACCAGGCAACACGTTTATCACCAGTGTCTTTGTTATCATAGCAATCATCGTAGTGGACATCAATCTCTTTCAGGAGAGGGATAGATAGAAAGACGCCTGCACCACCGTACGCCATAAATGTGAACGAGGCCATTTGCTGTAGGCTTTCAGTAGGTGCTCCGATGTAATATGGTTTTGTATGATCGTATGAAGTGAGGTCATTGACGAGTCCCTCCATAGAGGGAAAGAATGTATCGTCATCGATGATCACAGCCCATTGCGTGGTATCGTCATGCAATTCCAACAAAGTCCTCGTGAGCATGTAATATCGATCCAAAAACTCCTCCTCGCTCTCAATGATATGAAGACGAATATCCAGTTGTTCCGCATGTTGTAGGACCTCGGTTGCATTTTGAAACTCATCGGGTTCAACGATCGAGACAATCCGGGCTTTCGTACCGCTTGCCCAGCGAGAAAAGGCATCTAAAGAGCTGTCTAATCGTTCGATCGTGGTTGCGACACCGAAAATTATGTGGGAGGCATCGACAGGTGGTTTAAGTGGGGGTGCTTGGATGGTGATCGGCGGAGAACATAGAGCCTGGTCTAACCTCTCGACGTCTTCTTTTGTATCCAGTCGAATAGGATTAAATGTGGGTGGTTGGATGTCCATTCGTTCGGAGAATTCCGTAAATTCCTTCGACTGCATGACTTCGATATTCCATCGCGCATAATCTATAGTCCCGTTGTATTCCAGAGATCTTAAAAGTCCAAGATCAACATCACAATTAGACTCTTTGGGGTAGTTCACAATTTCAATAGAGGCCTGCTCTGTTCTTTGATATAGGAAGATGCATGCTAGCGAAAGCAGCACCAGAGCACCGATAAGTGACCTATATTGTGGGTATAATCGGGTCATTGCGCATGACTCGGATGATGCATGGGAAGGTAAAAGTAAAAGTCGAACCCATTTTCATGTACTATCATGAGGTTTTTGTTAGTTGCAAATTGAAACGATTTGCGCAGGAGCTTACGCGGCGAAGATGTGGAGGACCCGATTTCTGAGGGGCCAACCGAGGGCCCAAAATAATCACTGCGACGGACCACGACCCACATCGTTCGATTTATAAAGAAGTTAGTCACGCAAAATTCCGCAATTATTTCCCTATTGTTTGCATGTCTGGACCCTCGCTAGCAGCAACATCCTCGGAGAAAAACTAGGTCGAGTTCTCCCTTGAACTTTTCCAGCAAGATCCGGGGGAAATCTCACAACACCATATACATAAGCTGAGTGGATATTTTAGAATATCCCCCAAGACTATTGTATACATGATGAAGAAGGCCAAGCCTTGATAATTATAGAAACCCAGCTCGAAGTCTCTAAAATCCAGATGTTGGCTGCGTCACGCATCCACGAAGGGACTTGGCCGACCCGCACGCCAAGACATCGCACCGCGTCATTCGCCACTCTTACAGGCTAGATCATTGAAGATCGCATTGAGGGCCACATCATCCTGCCTTTCAGGGTCAATGGCGAGTCTTAGGTCAAGCCAGGCAGGCCTTCAAAACGAATGGGGTTTGCACTATTCTGTAGGCTGGGATCTGCTGCCGACTAACCTGCTAACCAATATAATCGGCTAAATACAGCGTAAATAGCCGACAACCGTGATGCTTATGTTTGGGCCCTTGTAGTGATCCATGTGAATCGTTAACTCATGCTCCTGATAATGGAAGGAAACTGCTTTTGGAGTTCAAATTATGAGGCTCAAAGACTACCCAACTTTTACTATTATAAGCACGGGCGCTGCACCACGAGCATCGGAGTTACCTCCTTCATCTTCGGTGTTCTAATCGCCTAGGAGTGTACATCGTATGTATAATGGGCTATAAATTTGGAAAATAGTATAAATTAATTTTCAGCTCGAACATTCTCAACCTTGCAAGGCTGAACTTCGAGTTGAAGTCCCCGCGCTTCGAGTCCCCACAGTTCCCGAGCTACCTCGAGTTTCATGTCATAGACTCATAGTTATACTCTCATGAAAGAAAAATGAAAGGAAAATGGAGATGATTTTCAACTTGAACTTAATCGCTTCGTAATACGTGGAAGCAACCATGGCATCGCGGTCAGGAGGAAACAAGCCAATCCCACACTATTCAACACATTGTCCCGACTATACTTGTTGAAATATGGGATAGAAAGCTTTGACCGACCGGTACTTTAGTACTTCGAGCTACGTAATACAAAGTGAGAAGGTAGTATCCATTATCAGGAAAAGTGTCCCTATCTACATCAAACGGCCAATTAAAAGTGTTAATTGCCCGGAATTGGGGTAAACGGCCGAGGGATCAAGGTTTATCTTGAAGTGATAAAGCTAGTACTATGGGGGGCTTTACCCCTCTGCGGAGAAGTGAGCCCATGCGCTTATCTCCTCCTCGTTCACTTTCCCTCAATCGATAACTCGTTTTCCTGGAAATTATATGTTGAAGACTTGCATCTAGCTTGAACAAGACCATTGACAGGATTCTCAGAAAATACGTGACAACTAGCGACTAGCTCTACTCAGCACTTATCAGTATGGGTATCAAAGGAATCCGAACAGCTTTGAAAGTCGACTTGGACAAACATGCCCGTGAACAGCCCGGCTTACATGTATGAATTCTCCTGTTTAAATACAGCTGCTTGCAGTTTATTGACTCACATTGATTAGAACCGATGGCATCCAGACAGTACGTTGAAGCCAAGCATCTCCGACAATGGAATACCCAGTTATCTGATGATGGTCTCACTTCATAACAGTTCCGGCCTGTGGCAAAATTGCCAACAATGAAGTCGTGAAGATCGAATGTCTCGATTGGACAGGCGGGCAAATCAAGAACAATGACTCCGCCGACGACATTCAGAACGTTGATCTAACCGAGATTCACTATCTTTCCGGCCCATTCGACATTGAAACTGCCGAGCCAGGCGATGTCTTAGTGGTTGAGATCCAAGATGTCCAGCCTTTCCAGGATCAACCATGGGGATTCTCTGGCATTTTTGCGAAAGAAAATGGCGGTGGCTTCTTAGATAAGCACTACCCAAAGGCGTATGTTTTCACGCCCGAAAAATAGTATAGATATTAACAGAATTAATACAGAGCAAAGGCAATCTGGGACTTTGAAGGGATCTTCTGCTCCTCCCGCCACATTCCGCACGTCAGATTTGCCGGATTGATCCATCCTGGTATTTTAGGATGTGCTCCTTCAGCGGAGGTCCTGGCCGAATGGAACCGACGAGAAGGCGAACTGATTTCCGCAAATACAGTTGAAGATCAGATTGTTGCGCAGCCACCAAACCCCACGAATGCCCATGCCGGTAGCTCTGCCGAAGATATCAAAGAAAGAGTAGCTAAGGAAGGAGCTCGAACTATCCCGGTACATAAGCTTGATCATTGTCATCTAAACGTGGTGCATAGCTAATCTAACGACTTTTATAGGGTCGCCCTGAACATGGAGGCAACTGCGATATCAAGAATCTCTCTCGGGGATCCAAAGTCTATCTCCCCGTTCACGTCCCCGGAGCGAAATTTTCAGTTGGCGATCTTCACTTCTCCCAAGGAGATGGTGAAATTTCATTCTGTGGCGCCATAGAAATGGCGGGTGAGATTACCTTGAAATTCAGCGTCATGAAAGATGGCATGGCAAAGCTTGCTATGAAATCACCCATTTTCCAAGCTGGTCCAGTCGAGCCCCAATTTGGCCCCGGGCGCTATCTTACATTCGAAGGATTCTCTGTTGATGAGAACGGTAAGCAACATTTCATGGATGCTACGGTGGCTTATAGGCAGACTTGTCTGCGTGTGATTGAATATCTGCGCCGATACGGGTATAGCGATTATCAGATTTATTTACTCCTCAGTTGCGCGCCGGTGCAGGGGCATATTGCTGGCATTGTTGATATACCTAACGCATGCACCACTCTCGGGGTACCCATGGATATCTTTGACTTTGATGTAAGGCCCGAGGCGGATATCGTTCAGAGGGATATGGGCACGTGTGCATTTACGAGTCAGTGAATTGCGGAATTGATATAGGGCCTGCCTTGTCAAACTGATTCTCGAATAAATATTCATTCAACCGAGACATTCTGTGCGTCGCCTTTATTTACCTTATTCTATCTGAGTCCACCCATCATCTTTCACATTTTGAAAGTCCATAATTTCGTTTGGCCCTCCAAACCGATTCTGCGTAGAATGCCAATCCCGATCAACTGCTATCTCAGGTCTCCACCTTACTACGTCTTTCAGTTCCTTTTGTAGTTTTCCTTCCAACGCATCCGAAATAAATCCACCAATAGTAGGCATCTGCATTGCTCCATTACCAGATCCTCCCACAGCAACGAGCAGAGAAGGATGATCAGGATGGCGATCAATCAAGAAGGCACGATCCATAGTGTCTGCATCCCAACAAATGCGCGCGAAGGCAAAAGGTCGATCAGCAAGATGCGGCATTGTATCTCTTAAGAAGTCTCTCGCTCGAGCCTCAGCCTCAAGGGGAATTTGGTGCTTAGCAAACGGCACACTTCGTACTTCCCCTCCAAAATACGTGGGTTCTTGAACAAAATTGCAATACCCAGGATGCTCATCGCAAATCTTTAGTTCATGTTTGTCCTCATCTGGCTCCATAAAAAATCCTTTCGCGATGTTGAACAGGACCGGAAGGTTTCTGTAATTGTCCGCCTCCTCTGGCGTCATCTTGATATGGGACAATGTCCAAGCAGTTGGACGTAATTGCTTCTTGAAATCTAGCAGACGATCACTTCCAGCCCCGGCGGCAAGAATTGTATGATCTGCCTTATGGGATATGCCATCCTCCGTCTGTGCACCAATAACATCGCCATTCTCATAACTCAAAGTCACAACTTTGCCAGGTGTTCCTGTGATAAAATTGACACCCAGTCTCTTAGCCTCTGTATAGGCAGAAACCATTGCTTTGCGTGCATGAATCCAGCCAGCTCCTTCCTTGCTAAACCACCCTTTCCAGCCTGGAAACTCTCCTGTGAGGACACCCGGTGGCATGGTACGACGAAAGTCGTCGGCAGTCTCAAGTAGAGTGTACTGAGCATTAGAAGAATCAATTTCGTCCTCTTTGATATGCTGAATCAGAGCAGGGGTATGGCCTGAGACGATGAAGCCGGTCTCATGAAAATATGGCTGGAAAACTAGATCCGTCTGCCAGCCCTGTAATGCTGCTCGGGTGCAAGTCGCAAAGGCGACACTGATCGGGTCAGGATTCTTATCTGTATTCATTGTCAGCTTTTATTCTTTCTAGAATGCAATTCGGTAAAATATAATGCAACATGAGACTTACTCCTCAATTCCTTGTGCTCCATAATTTTGTTTACATCATTACCGGCCGCAATGGGCGAAGGTACTGAGTAAGGGTCCAGCACCTTGACATTCTTGTATCCACGGCGAGCTAAATGGAGAGCAGTTGAACATCCCCAAGTACCAGCGCCAATGATAAGAATTGAAGAGCAATGGTCAAGTGATGGTGACATGCTGATATCCTTAGGCTCGGAACCCAAGAATGAAAGAATGATAAGTGGAAAATATGAAAAAGAATGATGGGATCCGCAGGGGTAAAATGAATACTCCCGTCAAGTTATCAAGTCAACTTCCCACTGAAGAGACTAACGGGATAAATCATTCCGACGGCTATCCGACTAGCCCGACGCTTATCAAGAGATCCATCGCGTGGACCTTCCCGCCCCCAAAAACCCGGGGTAACCAAGCTTCTCCGCACCACCCAACACGCTTGTCTTGCCAGTCCCGCAGTCTTGGCTAACTTCGGCTACAGTCCTATCTAGATGAATCGTTTGTTTTGCTGTCAGTGCTGTCGCTTGGAACTTCCATCTCATTTTACCCCTCACTGTTGCCGAAGCTATACCAGAGTCAGAATGATAGTCGTATCTGAGTCGGCTTGTTCCGACCAATCGATCCTACTTGTTCAGCCGATCACGAGTCAAAGCTCGGGTACGAGATAATGAATGATCGAGTATACATAAGGCACTTGTCCCTTGTTCTGGAGCAATGGAATTGAAGCGAGAATCGACAAAATGACTCGTTCTAATGATGATTTCCTTACCGACGTCCCTGGGACCGTTTACTTGGTTGATGGTAAGATCAATACAGCCATTCTACTATCAAGAAGGCCCTTAATTGATACCGTTTGCAGCATCCCATACACTGCGAGATGCAGCTCACGCTGGGAAGCAAGATATCATCCTCCTACCCCAGCCATCCCATTCCTTAGCTGACCCACTGGTAAGTTACCAAACGGACCTTCACCTCTCCAGCTAACTAACCAGACATAGAACTGGTCACGAGCAAAGAAGTTCTGGTCACTGTGTCTTATATCAGCGTATGCATGTATCTTTTCATTCGGCGAGAATAACACAGGCGCAAGTTGGACTTTGATCTCCGAAGACACCGGAGTTAGTATCAACAATATGAACGGTGGATCTGCACTGAACTATCTGCTTTTGGGATTTTTCAACATAATATGGATCCCCTCGGCAATGAAATTTGGTCGCAAGATTGTCTTTATTTTGAGTTTGTTGGTCCTTTGTGCGGGTAGCATATGGGGAGGACTATACCATGGTGTTGCTCAATATTTTATTTCATCGGCTCTTCAGGGAATGGGAACTGCTGCCTACCAAGCATTGATTCAACTTACGGTCAGTGTCCTGAGAAAATCCTATTTTTATGACTGTACTCATTAATTGTTCTTGTCTAGATTTTCGATGTCTTCTTCGCCCACGAACGAGGTCGTATGGTCGCGTTCTATATCTTCTTCCAGCAACTTGGATCTATTCTAGGATTGATATTAGGTGGATACATTTCGGATGGAATTGGTTGGCGTTGGTGTGCCCCAATAGTAGCCATTGCTTGTGTATGAATTCATGATGTTCCCAGACACCTTACTGCAATACACTAACATCGCCAGGGCATCTTAATACTTCTTTTCATCTTCACATTCGACGACACGATGTTCCCACGGTACCGATTTAACGGAATACCTATCATTGAATCTGCAGATACCGTAAAGCCCACGAAAAGCGACGTTGAAGCCAAGACAGACAACTCGCTCGAGAATGAGGTGTCCGAAACTGGAAGTACTACTATGGGCGAGGAAATCCCTCCTCGAACATATAGACAAAAGATAGCCTTGGTTCATTACTACGAAGACGACCATACAACATGGCTCCAATACTTCCGCCGACCATTTTACCTCTTTGCCTTTCCTAACATTGTCCTTGCTGGCATTCAATTCGCATTTGGATGCACAGCAGGTATAGTGACATTCAACACCATCTCCGAAATCATGACAGAAGCTCCTTACAATTGGAGTGCCGGATCCGCTGGCTTAATCTTCCTCGCTGCCCTTGTTGGAAACATAATTGGGTACGTATCTTCTTTTTGCACCGATCATCAGTCCTCCATGCCTAGTTCTACATTAGCTAACTTGGATGTAGTATGGGAATCGGCTCATTATCCGACTGGGTAGTCCTTGTTCTTGCAAGACGAAATAAAGGGTACAAGGAGCCCGAAATGCGACTTTGGACATATATCTTCCCATTCATCTTTGGTGGAATTGGATATTTCACTTATGGCTGGGCTGCTACGAATGGCGATCACTGGATGGCGATTGCAGTGGCGTTGTGCTGTATGATTGCTCAACAGGTGTCACTTACTAGTATGGCGACTGCGTATGCAATGGAATGTTTCGATGGGGTAAGTTGCAGATTCAGCCTAATGTTACTTTTTGATTCTAACAAGTTGATGTTTGACACTTAGATCTCTGGCGAATTAGTCGTTGTACTAGCCATTTGTTCCTCATTGATCAATTTTGCCATCTCTTATTCCGTACAACCATTTATCGATGCAACGAACTACGGTTGGACATTTACATTCTTTGGTATTCTTGTTAGTATTGCTGTGCTCATGGGTATTCCGATGATTATTTGGGGTAAGACCTGGCGTCGAAATTGCAAGGCGCGATACGAGAAGTTCTTGGCAGAGGCTGGTGCAAATGCTCACTGAAATTAAGGCTGCATGAGGGCTCAAATATTGAAATCAAAGACTGAGATTCATATCGGATAGCAAATAATGTCACATTGAAATTCTTTCCTGGGGCTTTTTGCAACGGACCTCTCGTACCGGATTTCATGTAAGACCCAAGAGGCCAGCAAGAACATCACTGGGACGGACCTTGACCAGATGTCAAACGATATAGTTCTCTACTTTAGCTCCATGTCAATTTGACATGACCACTGTCGACGCCAAAACGACTATGACGTAGACGGTATACCAAGGAGAGAGAAAATGAGCAAAAACCTGCCACTTTTGGGGTCATTGTACAGCATCATAATCATGTCAAAGCGCTCAACAGAATGGCACTTGGCGTGAAAAATGCAAAATTTGGACGGATGTTACCATATGATGAATCAAACAAAAGCTCGGCCAATTTTTGGTTCAAAAGGACTGTTTTATTTGTAGACAGAGCGAACCTAAAAGAAAATGATTACATGAAATGCTACATGTAGATTGATAGCGGGGCCAGATGGCTAGTCTAACAGTCCAAAATAAAGTAATACATGGGAACAGAGGATATCAGGAACACAACCACAAAGCGAGATTACGCTTAGAAGTGGATGGGCTTGGAGTAGGTGGCCATGGCGGCCTCCTTGAAGGCCTCAGAGAGGGTAGGGTGGGCGTGACATGTACGGGCAACATCTTCACTGGAGGCACCGTACTCAATGGCAAGGGTGGCCTCAGCGATCATCTCACCGGCGCCAGGGCCGATGATGTGGACACCGAGAATGCGGTCAGTCTCGGCATCAGCAATGAACTTAACAACACCCTCGGTGTCAAGGTTGGTCTTGGCGCGGGAGTTGGCGCTGAATGGGAAAGAACCGACGTTGTACTTAACGCCGGAGGCCTTGACCTCAGCCTCGTTCTGGCCGACCCAGGCGACCTCGGGGTGGGTATACATAACAGAGGGGATAGCAGCGTAGTTGACGTGTCCGTGGCCGGTCTTGATGTACTCAATCGCGGCGACAGCCTCCTCCTCGGCCTTGTGGGCCAGCATAGGGCCGAAGGTGACATCACCAACAACACGGATGTGAGGAACCTTGGTGCGGAACTCCTGGTCAATGACGAGACGGCCACGGTCGTCCTTGTCGATACCAACGTTCTCGATGTTAAGACCGTCGGTGTATGGGCGGCGACCAATGGCAACCAGGACAACATCGGCGTCAAGGGTCTCCTCCTTGCCACCCTTAGCGGCCTCAACGTTCAGGCTGACGGTAGCACCGCTGTCATCACCCTTGACGACCTTGGTGTTGGTCTTGAATTTAATTCCCTGCTTAGCCAGGATCTTCTGGGCCTGCTTGGCGATCTCAGCATCCATACCGGGACCACCGATCTGGCCAAGGAACTCGACAACGGTGACCTCGGCACCAAGACGGGACCAAACGGAGGCCTAAGAGAGAGAAATTGTTAGGACTAGACTTCGACTAAAATTTGAATGGAGAGTTTTCATACCATCTCAAGACCGATGATACCACCACCGATGACAACCATCTTCTTGGGGACCTCCTGCAGCTCAAGAGCACCGGTGCTGGTGATGACGCGCTTCTCGTCGATGTTTAGTCCGGGGAAAGGAGTGGACTCAGAACCAGTGGCAATCAGAATGTTCTTGCCGCGGACGGTCTGCTCACCACCGTCGAGCAGGTCAACCTTGATGGTGTTGGCATCAACAAAGGAGCCAGCACCCTTGATATAGTCAACACCGTTCTTCTTCAGAAGGAACTCAACACCCTTGGTAAGACCATCAACGGAGGTCTGCTTGGCCTTGAGCATCTGAGCAAGGTTGAGCTTGACATCGCCAACTTCGATACCGCGCTTCTTGGTGTCGTGGAGAATCTGGTGGTATAGATGGGAGTTGTTAAGGAGAGATTTTGAGGGGATACAGCCGACGTTCAAGCAAGTACCACCGAGGGTACCGCGCTTCTCGATACAAGCAGTCTACCAAGATGACCAAATTAGTTTATGTTATGATTTATGGGCCACGCTTCACTCTCAACGTCTCAATGGAAGCGTGAATGATAAGAAAGGCCAATATATACCTTCAAACCCTGTTGTCCAGCCTTGATAGCAGCGACGTAACCAGCGACACCACCACCGATGATAACCAGATCGTGGTCTCCTATTATCCGGTGAACCGGAAATCAGCAATCAAGTCCGGGAAAGACCAAAACGCAGACTGGGTAGGTTGTGAGAGGCTGGACAGCAAGAACTCACCGGAATCAGAGGCGTAGCCGCGTTTTGAGCTGCCAATCCAAAGCATTGGGGGGAGATGAATGTAGAGGAAACAGCCTTAGGGCCGCAGGCGCGGAGGCTGGCCCGCGGCGCAGCTCGGGGGAGGGCGGCGCGAAACATAATAATAAACGAAATTAAAGAAGGATTACAGGATCCGGTTGAACCTCCAACAAGAACGGCGAGGAGGGAGAAAGAAAGGGTGGGATTGCGCAAAGCACGAGTGGATATTCAAGGTACGGGAAAGAAGAACAGCTTTTGCGGTATTTTGAGATTGGCAGGGTTATGTAAGCGGATCGGGTCGACTCGGTAATGTCTGTGCCACTTTACCGGGATGACGATGCCGGTCTGTTGAGGCTTGTTGAGGCTGCAGGCGAAAAATTATATGGAGGAGTTGTATTTTTCTTGTAGTCAAGTGGGATATTTTTGTTTAATTGCAGTGAGGGCTATTGGAAAAAAGACCAAAGAACGACCACAAAAGTTCTCCGATGGATCCCCCCATATTTATACTGAAACTACGGAATAAGCCACCTGGTGTGACGGGAACCTGAGAAGGCGAAGACCTTTCCCGCTCCACCTATCCGGCAAGATCCATTCTACCCCGGGGAGACCTACTTGATCCCTAGCGCTTGTTTTTAGCGTTGAGATACAGCCCCGGGACCCAGAAGATCTCGAATATCCGCGGGTTTGTTGAGGATTGGGTCATGTTTGCCGGCACCGGCTATACTCGGCGGCTCTATCCACCTTGAAAATCTCCCCGCCTTTCTGGTTGCTCAAAGCCTTTATATGGTATATGAAGAATTGGATCATCTAGATATATCTCCAAATCTCGGAGGGCGCCGATACCTGTATGTATCCCTTGGCCATCGGCATGGGGTCATGTCGCCGACGGGTGGTCACTGATACCATATACTATAGACTGGGCAAGCAGAACATTTCAATGTACCCAACAAATTAACTGAGCTTCCAAGGTTCAGTTCCCAGGTGGCAACATTATTACAAATCCATCCAGGACATCTATCTACTCCGAGTCGGAGTTGGGATTGCGTTTCAAGTTCAAGCTGCACGTAATGGAACTCTTTGGAAAGGGCGCTTGAGGCAAACCCTGGACTCGGAACGGTTGAATGAGTGGATGGTTTGTAATGCGGGTTGTAATACTAGTGAGTTCTCAGGCCGAGGAAGATACCACTCTACTCCCGAGTGAATCTTTCAGCACATATAACCTTGTCGGTATCTTCTCAGGTAAGCCTCGATCTCGCCTCCTACCGTGGAATATCTCCACCATCTTGAGCCGAAAGGTGAGGATACGAAATAGACTCAAACTACGACATAGAATCCATGATATTGTGACCTCTGAGTGGCGGCGGTGTAATTGGCTGGATAAGCTGAACAGTAAATACAGCCTATTTTGGTGGAATGGGGTTTTCTTTATGCATTCATATCAATTACTGAAATGCCCACTGAGGCTTGCAGCTGCATTGGTGGTCTTTAAATGTAGCAGGTATTGGAATGGCACAAACGTCTGGCTGATGACCCTCGAAGCTTCACTCACCAACCCCGCTACTACAACTATTAACACTGCACATGTGGGCAAACATTATTTACATACATCATGATGATCGTCCTAAGGCATTAGACCCACCCACCCCACCCACATGTAGTCTCTGAATGCCTTCAGCCTTTTGAACACTATTATTTTTTTTTTTTATCCTCTTGGAAACTTTTTAGAATGTGATTCTCACGCTCAAATCCCCAATTTTCAGCTCTAGTCGGTGATTTTGCACACCGATTCCCGACAGCGGGACCGTTTCACCGATGGTTGCTGGGAGTGGGGGCTGTTCCTGAGAGCCTGGTCTGAGAGCCTTTTCTGACTCAATCAATCATTATTTTTAAGTAAGCGAAGACAGCGACTCCTGATTAACGTGCAAATTCGAACGACCTCAAACTCCGAAGGCATTGGATTTTAGACTGCTTTAGACAATGGCTTCATCCGGAGAATGCCGCTTCATATGGATCTAACTATCCAGACCTGACAGATACAATTTCAGTTTTTAAAAAGCTTCAATTCTGCTATGGATACAATATCGAGTAAGATAATTATCTCCGAGTCTCGGGAAATTCTTATATATAGATGAATCGAGACAAGAAAGCTTAGAAATGGCCCCTGGGTCTGCCGTGTCAGACGGAGACGGAGCACGCTACTCCCGACCGTGAGGCTATACTGACCAGATCTATGAGTATAAATACGCAACAAATTCCCTTGAATTGTTTAAATAAAACATTCTCATTTATAACATACAAAGAAGTTCCAGTCTTTCTTCAACACCATCAAAATGCCCAATCTTGCCTCTTCTCTGATCGAAGGATTCAAGGGCCGCCGCTCCATCTACGCCCTGACCAATGAATCCACAATCTCCGATGCCAGAATCGAAGAGCTTCTTTCCGAAGTCGCAATCAACACACCTAGTGCCTTTAACAGTCAAACTGCTCGGATAGTTGTGCTACTGAAAGAAGACCACGAGAAATTATGGGACATGGCTCACGACATCGCCAAAGCTACATTCCCTACTGAACTATTTGAGAAGCTTTACGCGCCTCGTACTGCTATGTTCCGAGCCGCATATGGCACAGTAAGCAAGCCCTTGGTTAATTGAACATATTCAAGGATATCATCCTAACAGTTTCATTAGGTGTTGTTCTATGAAGATCCTGCGCCTCTGCAGTCCCTCAAAGAGAAGTGGCCAATGCTCGAGAACCAACTCCCTGACTGTATGTACACAACCAAGATCAAGAGTCTTTTGACTTTCAGAACTAACATGAATGCAGGGTCTAACCATTCTAGCGGAATGCATCAATATGCCGGTAAGTTATTGCCCTCAACAATATCAATATATTCATAAAAACTAACCCTTCAAATAGCTTGGACACTCCTAGAGGCCGAGGGACTCGGATGTAGTCTCCAGCACTACAGTCCACTGATTGATGCCGGTGTCTCAGAGAAGTGGAATGTCCCAAAGGAATGGAGCCTCAAGGCACAGTTGGTATTCGGCAAGCCGACTGGGCCTCCTAAGGAAAAGACATCCGAGCCTCTCAGTACACGGTTATTCGTTCATGGAAAGTAATCAATCTTTAAATCCCGAAAAGATTCACATCGCATGTCGCATGTCGCATATAATAGATATATATGATATTCTAGATTCATTTTGTCACATAATGCTACAGATGATACTTTAGAATTCCTCTGATTTGTAACTTGAGTATTGAAAAGGCGTCGTAGTAGTGATCGGTTGCATTACCCTCAGTGATATTTGGAGCATAGATTCGGATTTCAAAGGTACTAGTCATAGCCAAGTAAATATTCATGTGCAAGGCAGCCTTAGGTCTTACATGGGATAGATGAAGCTCGCAGTTAAAGATAAGGAGAATTGGAATTGATAGGACTAAATTTGGATATAGACTAAGGCACGCAGATCGTTACCAGAATCAGAATTAAGACCAGGATAAGAGGTAGGAGCGTGACCAGTTATGAAATAGAAAAACGGGCCAGAGCAGAGGAAAGCAAGCGAAGAAGCAAAGTAGTATCGCGGAAGGAATAGAAGAAATAACATCATTCAGACAAAGAACATAAGATAAAGATACATAAGTGTTTAAGAAAATCAGCTACACATGCTAGATGTTCCATACCTCTGTTGCGACTTTGATCAGTGATTGTACCGGGATATTAACGTCAGTTTCTGGCGGAACGGGCGCACGGCGGAGTACTTCTTTCGCAAGATACATGTAGAGGTTCGGCCGGCACACAACTAACTGGCATTATTAAGCCGCTGGGAGGACGTGAAACCTCAATTTTTTGGTGTGTAACTGGCTGAAATTGGGGCTGGCCATTGCGCAGAGTTATGATCAGTTGCGAATTAATGATACTCTTGAAAGTAAGCTTCGCTCGTTCTTAGTCAACAAAAATCAGAATTACAACTTTCACCTCACCCTAGGAGTTAGCAAGCCACCAGCTAGAGTCAAGATGGAGTCTTCGCGATGATTCAGAGTATGCAACTTCCACTACAACAGAAGGCCATGTATCGTCGGTTGGGGGAGGAGTTGATGAGATCCATAGCATATGGAAGATTGAAACGGTCATTATTGATCCTTTGGAGTTCAAGATCGAACATTTCCTGTTCTGTAGGGGTTTGGTTTTGGCCGGTTTGTGGTCTCAGTGGGGTAGTAGCTGTAGGTATGATGAGGTGCCTACGATCTACCAGAATGGAGAAGGTACAAAGAACAACAAATAACAACGTTAAGGAAAAGGAAAGAAGAGAGAGAGCTATGCTACATACATGTAGTTATACTACATCAGGGATGGGCGCGATATCGTTTGGATGACGATATCGCAACACGATATCATTATCGTTATTATTATCGTATCGTAGGGCTTTTGCCTAGCGATATCATTTATCGTACGTCTTTGGTCGTGATTAAAATAATGTACTATACAAGTGCTGTGCCGTAATTATATATATCTGTACATAGTATATATATATACTAGTAAGATGGTGTATATCTATAGATATAGCTATAAAATCTCTTCGTATGATTAATAAGTATTAAGACAAATCTTGACAAAGAGGCTACCCTGGTGTTCAGGTTGGGGGGAGGCAAATATATCTTTATTCATAGGATGGGCTAGTGAATTAAAATCCGTCCATGGACGTGTGCGAGTGATTTAGGTGGACAGAGTAAAGGAACCCCATAAGAGCTATCTGCTATCTCTCATCTCTCATCTCTCATCTCTCATCTCTCATCTCTCATCTCTCATCTCTCATCTCTCATCTCTCATCTCTCATCTCTCATCTCTCATCTCTCATCTCTCATCTCTCATCTCTCATCTCTCATCTCTCATCTCTCATCTCTCATCTCTCATCTCTCATCTCTCATCTCCCATCTCTCATCTCTCATCTCCCATCTCTCATCTCCCATCTCCCATCTCTCATCTCTCCGGGTCCTATAGTACCTAGCAGTAACATATGGTGGGATGTTAGGTAGCCAAACGCATAACAATATAATTAAATTAATATAATATACCTGGTAGCCAGTCGTTCAGATTGTATACTAAATAGATCTAGATCGATCAAGCCTTACAGAATGGATTGTTTCCCTTATTTTTCTTATTTCTCCTATAGCTTGCACTCGGCATAACTCCGATCCAGCCAAATTCCATCCAAGTCTAACCCGAGAGCCTCACAGGCAAGCAAAACACTGCATGAAGATTTACTAAACAAAATAATTAAAAATAGCATCTTCCATTTATTTCCCAATTTTCTGTCATCCGCATTATCCAAAGTAACTTGCGGCTTGCCGAGTACGTGAAAGCAGTGTCATACAGTAGGGTCGCCCAATCTCCGAATGGCGGGGATCAGCCAAGCTCTTCATTGGCCACACAAGATGTCATCAATTGTGCAAACACCATGCGAATCGCCTTTCTCCCGCTGATGGACACATTCAATCCCCTCTTTCGGCCAACAAACTCCAAACTTAGGCCCACTGGACTCCTATAATGACGACGTGGAGGCACATCCAGCCCAGATCAAACCAAACCATCATCTCAGGTGGTCTTGAACCTGACCAATTTAACCGGATGAGGATCAACAAGAACGCCATACCCGGATTCAATCAGGTACAACCAATGAAAAGTACCAGATGTTTCTTCGGATTGCCGAGTTCATTCACGGCTAAAAGCCAAAGAGCTTATTCCGTCTCCGGATCCATTGTCCAGACCCGGTTTTTTCTCTCCAGATTGTGGAGATCCCCAGTCCCCAAAGTCGAAAAACCACCACGTCCCGCCGGGATGTAACCATAACTAGATCGACTTCCCACATGACTTTCTGCTGTAGGTCCAATCGCGGCCGATCCTCGTGGAGAACTTTCCTTTCCGTGCCTATGATAGTACATGGTCTTGGCTTGCTTTTAAAAGACGGCTTGCCCCGCTGATATGTCGCGCGACTTGGAGACAAGTTTCTTACCCCGCGGGCTGACATTTACCTGAGTGAACTGCTTGTGCATACTTCCCCACCATCCTTCGCAGCCACCTTTTGGAACACGTCAATATGAGTGACCGTATTCCATCATGGAATATCGTCCACAAGCTAGAGAAGCGAAAGCTCCTCGTCGCAATTAATTGCGTCGCAGCGCTATCAATTCTATTCTTCGGATACGACCAAGGAATGATGTCCGGAGTCAACAATGCAGAAGACTATATCAAGCTTATGAAATTCGGATACACGAAGATGGAAAACGGCGAAGCCACTCCTGTCGTGACAAACTCGCTCTTACAAGGTGGTATTGTCGCTGTTTATTACCTGGGCACGCTATTTGGTGGTCTATTCGGTGGATGGCTTGGAGATCGTGTCGGAAGAATCAAGACTATTGCGGCTGGTGCTATTTGGGCAATCGTGGGAGCGAGTCTGCAGTGCTCAGCTCAGAATCACGACTGGATGATATGCGGTTCGTATTGGCACTGTGAATGAATAAAGAAGTCAATAGAGGACAAGAATACTGATTTGATTTCTACATGTAGCGCGTTTTATCAACGGAATCGGTACCGGAATCCTGAACGCTATTGTTCCTGTCTGGGCAACAGAGACAGCAGAACATACGTCTCGAGGCCAGTTTATCGCTATCGAATTCACTCTGAATATTTTCGGTGTCGTGCTAGCCTATTGGCTTGAATTGTATGTTCCCTTCTACCAATCCAACAAACAGATCATTCATCTAATAACTCCAGTGGTCTCTCATTCATCGATGCCGGAAAATCCGCCTTCCGCTGGAGATTCCCCATCGCATTCCAGATTATCTTCCTCCTAGTCCTTTTCGGAGCGGTCTGGTTCTTCCCCGAATCACCAAGATGGCTCGTAAAAGTCGGTCGAGAGCAAGAAGCCCGATACATTTTACAACGTTTACGTGGAAGTAGCCCGGAAGACCGAGTCCGCGCTGAAGCAGAGTTCCTCGATATCCAAAGTATCGCCGAGATGGAGAAGACAGTTGTTCATGGAAATTCGTACCTTTCTATGCTTTTTGGATGGAAATCTGGAGATCTACATATCGGTCGTCGTGTACAGCTTGTTATCTGGTTACAAATCATGCAGGAGTGGGTTGGTATTGCGGGAGTCACAGTTTATGCACCTACTATTTTCAGTATCGCCGGTTTCGATTCGACGAAAAGTCAGTGGATTAGTGGGTTGAATAATGTTTTCTACATGGTATGTGACTTTGTCTGAACTTAAATATATTGACTGACTGACGACTGCCTAGTTCGCTACGCTTGTTTGTGTCTTTACGTTGGATCGCATCGGACGTCGATGGACATTATACTGGGGCTCGATAGTACAGGGTATCGCCATGTTTTTGGCAGGTGGTTTCTCTCGACTGGCTATCAATGCTAAGGCAGCTGGTAATACGGGACAAGCATCTTCATACGGTGCAGCTGCGGCTTCAATGATTTTCATCTTCACCTCGACATTTGGCGCAACCTGGTTAACTGTTCCATGGCTGTATCCTGCTGAAATCTTCCCACTTGCAGTTCGCGCTCGTGGAAATGCCTGGGGAGTAGTTGGATGGAGTATCGGCAATGGATGGCTGGTAAGTGTATCCCTATTTTTCTATCCCTCTCCTTTCTACTTTGGGGGAAACAGTATTAATGATAGGCTGTATAGACGCTGTTATGCCCCGTTATGTTTAATGCTATCGGTGAAAAAACACTGTACATCTTCGCTGCCAGCAACGTTATCACGATCCCGATGGTCTGGGCTCTCTACCCCGAGAGTAACCAACGTACATTGGAAGATATGGATCTTTTGTTCGCGGCTAGTACGCCTTGGGCCTGGGATGCGGAGAAGAACTTTGCTCGGCTGAAGGCTGAAAATCCCGGTATGGTGCAGGCTGTCAGTCGCAAGGGGAGTATTCTAGATCCGGAGACGGGCAAGGTATTAATGGCTGCAGCTAAGACTGATGAGAACGCTAGTGGTGTTGAACATGTAGATAACCCTTGATTTGATTTGGATAATCTGCAGCTCTTTACTAGATAGACCTAAAATGGTTATATAGACAGGGGATCGTGAACTTAAGACCATCATGAATGATCATGCTAGAATCCTGATTAAATGACAATCAATGAAATACGCTATACATTTATGAACCAGTGAAACTTAATCTGGATTCTTAATCCTGTTGAATTAACCCGCGCGTGCACATGGAGCTGCATTCAAGTTGATTTTGTACTTGTGTTTGTCCTTGAATTACTATATCTATCTCATGACTTTTTGGTAGGCAAAAAAAAGAAAAAGAAACGAACACCAACAGAGGGAATCGAATCCTCGTTTTCTAAAATTTCATACCTGGCATTACCTTGGATTTGACCAAAGTTCAAGACCAAGGACAACCAGGGCCATATGGAGTAGACGTCTTACCACTAGACCACGTCGGCGAATCTTCGGGGAAACCACGATTTCTCAGCTTAACTGTTTATCCGTGTTAGTATAGTATGGATACTAATACTAAACTAATTTCCAATAAGACTCTAAGGTTAAAGTCTCTATATTATGTGATTTTGATTGGCTATATAGGAAATATTTAGGCTGGAAAACCTGTATCCAAAATCCATTGCGACTAGCTGTAGTATAGCTGCATGGAGAGGCTGTGGCGGAGAGGGATGTTTGTCTGGTTTGCAGCCCCTCGCACTTGAGCACTTGGAGTGTGGGGGGGAGGACTCTGATTGGTCATTTCGAGAACAACGTTCCAGGCTCCAAACGTGCTGGTGACTCCTTCATCTACAAGCTATTATAAAACCCAAGAATTCGCGTCAAATAATCCAATATACTCTCCATTCTTCACACTGAACTCACCACTTCACTCGAATTTCCAACCATAATTGCCAGTAAGTTCCCGCACCGCACCGACGCGAAAAAACGCGTAAAACATATGTGCACCACTTTAACAACTCAACCAGAATACCTAAAACACCAAGAACCTACCTCAACATTTAGCTAGCCTAGCTAGTCCAGGGATCAACCACAAATCAAAAACCACAAACAAAATGAACACCCTTTCACCACAAAAAGAATCAACCTCACCCTCAAAACCAACACCACCAGAACCCAAAACACCCTCAAAGATAAAACAAAAAGAATCTCAAATTCAACAAAAATACCTCCACCGCATATCAACCCACCCAACCCTAACCCCCTACCGCCGCCGCGTCTACCGAACCCTCCTTTCCGTCCCACCAGGCCGCTGGACAACCTACTCCGCCATGGCAAAGTATCTCAATTCCAGCGCTCGAGCAGTCGGAAACGCCATGCGCACTAATCCCTTTGCGCCGGAGGTGCCGTGTCATCGGGTTCTTGCTGCGGATGGGTTTTTAGGTGGGTATAAAGGGGAGTGGAAGGTTGATGGGACTTTTCGGGATGAGAAGAGGGTGCGGCTTAGAGATGAGGGGGTGGTTTTTGAGGAGGGGCGAGCTAGGGGGGATTGTTTTATGGAGTTTCAGGAGTTGGGGGTGAAAGTGAAGAGGTGATTATGTTTAACTTGGAAATTGTGGTTTGCGGATTCAATGGTGTTTTCTGGGTGTCCAAGAGGAGGAGATTGTTGGTGTTGTGCTTGATGCCCGCTAATTTTATGACTTAATGAATATGATATTTTTCTAAGTTATTTTGGTGGCTATCTTTTATATTTACAGATTTCCATGTTTGGACCAAGGCTGATTCGGGTTATTACGTAGTAGAATTTATGGATCTTTACCCGGGTGAAAACCACCTATCCAATATTAACCATTGACAAGCTAATGCTTCAATTTTGACTATTTGACTTCAGTTATAGAGGAGATTGTTGGCCAATCGATCCCCTTGTCTAATTCTATACCTTTGCTGTCGAATCCTCGTTGGCGGCTACGTGCAGTTAAAACGATTCTATGGATATACCCGTCTCCGTATACCTAGCAACTTGAAGGCGGGAATTTCAAATGATCGACTGGGTATTAATTCTCTGCCAGTCGGCACTGGTATCCTCAAGCGACTAGGCTACTCCCACATTCAAGTTAGCCTGCATATTTCCAAGCCCAGGGGGCTCAAGTTGGTCATCAGGACTCGTATTCCAACGCAGCAACTAATGCCGACCAAGCCAAGCCACGCCGCATGATCAAGCCTTGGAGACGTCTCTGCCAATTATCGCACTGCTTTACACCGCAAACAAATTGTATGTGAAGACCTAGCGGGCAGATTATAGTCACACGGAGATACGTGGACCGAGTTAAGATACTCCCTCAACTGAGCGTGCATGGGTATATGCAAAGGCCAAATTCAGGCCATGGGACGATGATCTTTGTCCGAGGGCCAGAGCCGCATATAGCGATCGATAATCCGGCTTGTTTGAGTAAAGCCCTGGTCCTCAAGACTGGTTTCGAAATTCATAGTCTAATGAGCATAAATTCGATGGATTCCATTACTTTGACACGTTCAGCCCTTGGAGAAGTCGCTAGTATCGGAGACATTTACGAAGCACGATGCGACAAATTTATTGCGGTATCTCTTTTCCACAAGTCACCGCCGCTTTCTACCGTTACTCCTGTGGTTATTGCGACTACAAGTACTGGACCTTCAGATGCCTATGTTTTGGACTGAAAGAGTTGGAGGCATTCGAAGAATGTAACATACTCATTCTGGGTTGTAATGGCGTTTGCAATTCGACCTGGATCAATGCGCTGGTTAATTATCTCACTTATTCTACTATGGATGATGCTCTGGAGGCCGGTTCGCTGTCATGGATTATCCCATTTGCCTTCAATGTGTACGATGCTAATGAGAGGGGAGACTAAGAATGGACCAAGGTCCAAGTTGGGCTCGAGAAAAATTCCCTTCATATGGCCGGCACCAAAAACTGTGAATGAGGATGAGATGATCACATTGGAGCAAAGCAAGGCGAGCAGAAAGGAACTCGAAAAGAGCCTTAAAGCCAAAGTCAGTACAATAACTGCTAAAGATCTTTATAGGCCAAGGACTACATACAGTCGTGCGGATTGCGTGGTTTACACGGTCACCGGAGTCTTGGGTAGCGATGGAAAGAACGACCTCGAGGCGATGTACGTATCTAATTGCCACAAGCCCTGTACCTTTCAAACGTTGTAATCAGCGATGTCGGCAACTCAAAACTGCGAAGATACAATGCCATGTTTTTGGGAACATGTAAAGTTTGCAAACACGACTGCTCAACGCATCTTCATCAGTTCCATGAACAGGTAGAAGGAAGAGCCGAGGTTGACAAACCCGAGATCGTCGCGTTGCTCAACGCAAATGCCGACTTTAAAGAGCAGAAAAAAGCAGCTATAGCGGCAAAAAAGAATACGTTCATAAGCTTGAATGTGAACTTCAAGAGCTCACCTCGGCAGCAGCACAGTTCAGCAACTTCCTCAAGCGAAACGCCGTGATGACCTACAATGATGCGACGCTAGATTACATCGACCGGAACATAGAAGAGGAGAGAGATAAAATAATGGCTGGTGGAAGCAGAGACAAGTTTGAACGGTTGACTCAATATCGAAAGCAGTATCAGCAGGAGATCAGAGCTTTGGATGAGCAGATGGCCAAGGGAAAAAACAGCAAGCTTCTCGAACAGCCAGATGTTGAGAATCTAGTTCTGAAATTGCACGCGTTGCCGCATTATGGCAAGATGCTGAAGAATCTTGGGAATGTTTTTGAGGTGTATTCTTTTTGTGAGCAGCGAGAGAAATCTCATGTCATAAAATCGAAACCGCATTTCGCGAAGGGGAAAGTGCTGGTGAAAGTCCCTCAGAGTGTGCCCCTATCTAAGAAACCGTCCAACCAGGTGGCAAAAACAAGCAGCAGTGGCAGCATGGGTCTATTTGGAAAATTGCCTTTCGTAAACAGTGGGAAAAAATGATACATCATGGAATTCCAGAAGAGGTGCAGAAAAAGGGGGAGGGAAAGAAGAAAGCGCCACAAGGAAGGACCACATGGCGAAACTTTCAATAATTACTCTACAAATAATGCGACTCAAGTTGCAATTCCGGAAATAAAGGTCTCTTCCACGCTAGAAGGGTTGGAAACTTAATTCTCTACTAAAAGTATCATGAGTCAACAAGTATAATCTGCTTATCTATTCCACAATAGTCCGACCGACTCTGAGGAGCCAACTACCAACCCAAGCATGGCACTGTAATAGCTCAGCAATCAATATTGCAACATGACACGAGTCAAGAAAAATATAAAAGAGTTTTCTTCTGAAAAACAGAAAAAGAAAAATCGCTGACACCTCCACACCAACTAAGTCTCGTAGATCAATTCGTAGATCCCTAACCAAGCACACACCAACAACAATTAGTGCCACCAACCATCGGCAAACCAGAGGCGACATTGTTTCAAATGTTAGAAATTTCGACAGCTAATCACCTCCTGTCATCATCATCATAGTTTCTATTCGTAACAATAGACATTGTTTCAAACGTTCAAGCTTATTCTCGCCACGTTGATCTGTGGCGATAGCCGTTAAACGCGATACGGCGCTTCAATAAATTGGGCTTCCACCAGTGGATCTTTAGTTTACAACTACTACATTGGGAATAGAGACTAACTACTACTGTATAATCGTATATAGTACACTGACAAAAAAAACTTATTTCTCAATCCAGTAATAGGTCGTAGTTCAAAAAAAAAAAAAAGAAAAAAAACTCACCCTGGATTGTAGCCTACCATTGGGAATCCATTCTACATACGCCAGGATTTGTGGGGGACTTTCATCTCCTGTGAGTACTATTAGTAGGTCAGTAGCGGATAGACGATATCATATCATATCATATCGCATAATAAATACAACGTTCGAAAGTAAGTATCTCTCATAGTAACAGTGACATTAATATTAACGGCTAGCGCCGAAAATCGCTATGAGTTATTTCTTTCACACTAGCACCTTTCAGCAAGAACAACTAATCCCATTTTGACTGAGATTACTACTTATCGAGCGATCCACCGACCGATGCGCTGTTTGTTTCGGTGGTGGGTCTGGTCTGTGTCTGTTTGGGTTCAAAGGTGTGGAGGATCCGATGCGATCGACAGTCCCGGTAAACCATTATGCACGAGCGGCGCAGAAGGATCACACTAGGCCAGGGCAAGAGGGTAGGTCCGAGGACTAGGCGGCATCTGTGCGCGACCCTGGTCATCCTGTCTTGGCCTTGGTTTTGGACAGGTTGCAGGGTTTGTTTCTTCTTTGTTTTAGATGAATGTGCATGGTGATGGAGATGGAAATAGAACTAGAGATAGAGATGGAAATAGAAACAGAAACCAACCCACTGAAACGAAACGGACGGTCGGCACTTACTCACTTACTTTGATCACCCCACCTAATCCAATGATCGAATAAAGAAAAGAAAATCATTATCCCTGGAGTGAGCATGAACGTAGCCGTTATCCTGTGGAGCATGGGCACACCACAAGGAAGGATTCTCGACTCCCAATCTCAACCAAGCATCTAACATTCTCAAAGTTTGGCTAATATTCCTATTTCTCTTTGTGAATTTGCTTTTGCTGTTCTATGGCCAGAATCCTTGGCGACTGTCTTGGCGCATACGGAATCTGCCTTCGGTATGCGTCGGCCGAGGCTGGTTATGCAGACGTTCAGGTTGTACAGAGTGCGTGGTGTTTTAGATAGGATATGGTTCGCATGACATACGTATAAGATACCTATTTTTGTCAAGAATGCGAACCTTTTCATACAGCTTAATAATAGTTTTCGGGGTCTTGAGAGTGTCAGACAAAGTACAGTGCGGAGATCCATGTATACCTCCACAGCTACGAATAGTATTGTTCTTTTCAGATATGCAATGGTGTATTGTGTATGTTACTGGATGAACCGTAGTTCGTCTATCTGTTCTGTCTGTCCTGTCCTGTCCTGTCGTAATAGCTCTAACTCCACCGTCTAACAAAATGCGAAAAAAAAAGAGGAATGAGAAGGGTAGGTAAAAAGGCTCGTATCTTCTATACATGGAAATGTAAACCAGTGCGATCTATAACAATGACAAGAGAAGAGCGAAAAACAAAGAAAAATCGCAATGCTAATGATATCGCGCCGTGACCTAGAAGTGAAGCGACCGAATAATTGGGAAGAATGGGAGGAAATTGAAAATGAAAAGGTACAGAATACACAGGGGATGAAATGTGGTGAAGTCGAATTGAATCGTGATATCGTAAAATCGGGGGTAACATGTAGCGTGTAGCATGTAGCATGGTAGGTAATGTAATGGTAAGGTGAATGAAGATAAGATGAAGGCGTGGAAATAATTGAAAAGTGTTCGAGTTGTCGCACAAACATGGACATCCCATTTAAGCCATATCCTTGGCGGAGCGTTTCAAGGCGCGTCGAGGACGTTTCGGCACATCAAGATGGTGGTAAGAACGAAGATGCTCGACCAGGTGGTCCTGGCGGGGAAAGCCGTTGCTGCCTTTACGAGAGCAGTGTTCAACAGGACAGTTGCGAAAGACAGGGAAATGGACAGAAGTCTGGTGACGCTTTAGATCTGCGAAGCGCGTGAAGGTCTTATGGCAGTTGTCGCATCCAAAGGGCTTAGCAGGCCTAGACAAGAAAAGAAAAATGTTAGAAAATGTTCTATTCTTTGTTTTGGTTCACGGTCGCATGAGTTTGACTATACTAGACTGGACTTACTTCGAGGCAGTGGGTGGGGACTCAGGGCCCGAATCCTCGCCCGGGGCGCTGGGGAACATGCCTGCGGGAACGGGTACCTCGTCGGCCATATTCATACTTCCATAGCTACTTCCGCAGCTGCTACTCGCGGCTGGACTGGGGAGACCGGTAGCCAAAATGTTCGCATCGTAGATGGAAGGATGGACATATGGAGCGGGGGCGCTAGTGAAGCTATAGCTCATGGGCTCTGATACGAACTCCGGGGCAAACTCTGGGGTGGAGAATGGGCTGGCGGCATCTATGTCGTAGAGCTTGTCATAGACGGATGGACCGTAGAAGAAGAAATCCATGTCGCCGGGAGAAGATGAGTAGGAGCCTGAGGAGGAGTAGGAGGAATCAGGATAGTTGAAGGAGGACTGCATATCGAGTGGAGGGGCAAAGAAGGCGAAGGATGGAATTGAGACAGGAACGGCAGTCTAAATAAAAGGATTCGGAATCAGCACTCTAGTAGATCTAGAACCGAAAGAAGAAGGGGAATTTAAAAAGAATAAAAAGAATAAAAAGCAAACACGAATTAAACGAATTAAAAAAAGATGGCAAAAATGGACAGAAAAGGTCAAAATGGACCAGAATAATTCAAAATAATCCAAAAATAATAAATCACAATAATAGAATTGGATCAGCAACAGGGGAAAGACCAACCATGGTGAGACGACGGTACGAATCCTTCTCAAGCTGGCTTCCTAGTCAAGAAGTGGTAATAGCAGGTTTGGTCGTTGGGGGCGAGATGCATGGAAGGTGGAAAGGTGGAGTGCGTGAGTGTATCAAGTCTGAAGATCCGGAGTTGATTCAGAAAAGAATAGAATAAAATAAAATAGACACTTTCTATCGAAATCGAACAAAATAATAAGGTAAAAAAGAAATTAAATCCTCAAATCCAGAGGGAAAGTCTGATTCTTTTATGTCGCAACACTGCACACTAGGAACGGTGAGCCAAGAAGTAACTTCCTACTCCTCTCTCTACCTAGTGATGCAACTAGCATGAAAGGAATGAAATAAAATAAATAATAAAATAAAATACAAAATAAACGGAACCACAAAAAAGCAACTAAACACGAACTCAACTTACTCAATCCCGATACAGATCACGGGTAACAACATCACATCTCGAATCGAAAGAATGGCTTCAGCGAGAACATAACAGCAAGCACACGGTGACGCTGCACAACGACTGGTGGAGTTCCACACACAGCCCCCGCCCTCGAACAGCGTCATTAAGGAGATCAATGCGGGAATTTCTGCAAACCCACGCGGATCCTCGACCAGGTGCATTAGTCTGTTTGTTCTACCCAATCTGCGCAATGCTGACTTTTTCTCGGTGTCTCTTAGCGTGGAAAAGAACATTCCATCTTCCTTCTAGCGCGAGGCCTTAGCGTTTCTTGTTGGCTTAGCTTTTATTGGTGTCCACTGGTGGGGAGGCTGGGTACACACAACACGGACAACAAAGAAAGTACGGAGACATTAACCAGTTATGTAGAAGGAGGGTTTGACGGGGATTACATTATTGGCCGCGATAAGCTGTGGGTTGGATTTCTGGAATTTGGGAATGGTATTTAGGGATAATGCTCCGGATGGAGGAGCATTGGGTTTACTGGGTTTACGTAGTGTCATGTAAGTACAGAAGAAGATGGACAAGGGCAGGGACAAAGTACCTCACTAATACTGGCACTACCAACGCACGCTGAATACATTATGTAGCGTGAACTTGAACTTGAACATTCCAGCGGTCAGACGGGCGCTCGACCCTCCAGTACAAAAAGATGAACTAGAACCACTGGCACTACCACAATTATTATTGGATTACGATTTAATATCCATTATTTAATAATTATGAGATTTATTATTGACTCTGATTAAATTAACTCGTTTTTTTCTTTTTCTTTCGCCTCTGAATCCGAGTGTAGTCGATCTTGTCTTCTTCCGTCCTAGCCCTTTTCTGGAAGACTTCTAGCGTGTCAGCATCCTTGTTCTTTCCTTGCTCTTTGGCCCCCTCTTCTTTTTCGGTGTCGTTTGGTCGTGTTTGGCCGTTTCAGGTTTCGCTGTTGTGGCGCTCGAAGATGACTGCGTACAGCTGATAGTAAAATGTACAGAGTATATTTCGTACCTAGGTAATTCAGGTTCAAGGCAGACTAGTCTCTAGACTAGATTTTACCATATCCAATTCATTGATTATGACTAGATCACATCCATGTAGCGTATCACTCGGCACCCGCGAGCCGAAATGAAGTCACCGATCTACGATCAAGGCATAAAGTGGATCGCCAAGGAGAGCGAGCAAGGGGAGCAGTTCCCTTTTTAATCGTTTAATCCGGGGATGCGGGATCGACGGAAGAGAATAATAATAAAAATAGTAAATAAATGAAAACAAATGAGAAATCCTAGAGAGTAATAGTGTACTAGGACATGATTCATGATTGCCTACTTCCAGGACTACCTATTCACCACCGCCATAATCACCAATAAAAAAAACACAAATAACAAACAACCCACAAAAAAAAGGAGCAAAAAAAAGAAGCAAAACGCAAAACGAAGTCAAAAAAAGCAAACCCACACAGCCCCTGGAACGTAACCTTCTAGAAAACGAAACCGACAAAAAATCCCGCATCAACTAGTGGCCTAGCGCCGCCAAGACACAGCTGAGAGCAACGGGTTACCTAGTGTACTCTCGTGCTGTACTGCACTCCGTTCCTACATGTGAGGCAACTTGGCAACCTGGGGTTTAGTGGCATATGACTGGTCAATAGAGTCTGGGTATCGAGCCATTTCATGCATCGGAGTGGAGAGACGGATGCACCTTGGCAAAAGGGTACGGAGTACAGTAAAGCACTGTCGTAGCCATTCCACTTCCAGACCGATAAGTCGTGGATCCCGTCATCTGTCCCGTGCAGGGCCGAGATAAGTACACCCAGAGAGCTGCGGAGTATATGTACTGTAGTTCAGGTATTTTATTGGTAGATCGGATCGTAACTAATGTGCTGTCGGGCGAACGTGGTTATGTAAAGTGTTTTCTGTAATTCTTCCTTTCTCCGCGGGTTGGGCTGGGTTCAGGTCAGGTGGTTTATGACGGAGATTATTGGATTGTAATAGAATAGGGACATATGAATATGTGCAGTGTGGTAGAGCTTGAAGGGTTCCTATTCCACCCTCTTGGTTTGGGAGTTGACTACTGTAGGTACCGGGTACCTGAGGAAAGGGGGGTAAACCGGGCACGAATACCCCGGATCCTGCATCAGCTACTGCATCTACAGTGCATTTTAGTAGGTATTGGCATTAGCATTAGCGGTTCATGATTCATGATCTATGGTTACATTACTGTGCTTGCTTTTTCTACAATACTGTCTTTCAGGAATCAAGCTTAGAACTAAAACTCGAATCCACAATGACATCTGTAAAGCCTGGTTCAATTCGCGAACAGCCGGGGATAACTCAAAATTGCACTGAACTCCCGTGTCCCAGAGACCCATTCGTTGTGCTCGTTGCCCGATGCCGTGTTCTGGCATCCTGGAAAACAAAGGATGAAAAAAAAAAGAAATTAGACAGAAAAAAAAGACAGAGAAAAAACCAAATCGGGAATACAAAAACTCCCGAGCCTCAACCCACTCCATGACACATCTATTCCTGATTTGCGGGAAAGCAGAAGAAAAAGAAAAAAAAGAAATAGAAACAAAAGTACCCTATTCTAGCCATAGTGTGAGCGGGACGGGGAAACGCTTCCGTAAACCTGTATGGTATTCAGCGTGACTACTACGCCTCATTCAGAACGAATTATAACTCGTCCTCGAGGTATTTGTACACGAATTTGAAATCTGCCTTGCGCCGGTTCATCCTGTCGGGCAAAATAAGTTAACACGTGCCCATTTCTAGATAACAGTGTGGATCTTTGTTGGATTGAATGTGAAAAGATCGGAGTGATCGACGACTGCGCTTGAACTTGAACTTACCATGTACTCTCATAGTCGAAAAACCTGTAGGTGCCCTGCTCGTACTCCTCGGTGATATTCTTGGGCTCCTCATGTCGTTGAAACCATGTTTGGTATTGCTTGTGGAAGCGCCAGCTCTGGTTCTTGAGGGCTTTCGCGGACAGATATTGCTGATAAGAATTTTGGCGGTAATAGAACAGATAAAACAGTGTGTCCGTGTCGATCCGGCCAGTATCGTACAATCTAGGGTCATCGAAGATGGAGAGGGGCTCTTGCGGGTAGTAGAGGGGGGTGTTGTATGGATTTTGAGGCTTGTAATGCCTTGGCTTTTCCGCGTCTGTGGGATCGGGACAATGTTGCAGGGACGTGGCTAGGAGTCTTTGAACGGCTGGTGAAGGATTGGAGGAGGCTCGTTGCTTGGTCAATTCAAACGACTGTACCAGATCTTGCAAGCCTGGTGGTAAGTGGAATATTGACTCGTCGCTCTCGCCGCCTTCTGTTGTCTTTCCATTCGTTGTTGGCTCTCTGGAGGGTTCTGTCGGAGGTAGAGCAGCTGGTGATGATGTCCCCGAGAGTCCTGGCGGAGCCATCTTTGATCGGAGAGCCTGGATAGGCTCATCTAATGAAGGAGCTGTTGTAGCCGTGGGCATTTTGTGTACAGGTAGTACTGAAGTGACATTTGGTGAGGCAACAGAGGGTGCTTTTGAGACGGGGAGGGCGGCTGAAAAGGCTGGGCTTGTTCCTGGTGGTGGTGGGAGAGGCAAGATACCAACTCCGCTCTTGTCACTAGCAGCAGCTGCGGCCGCGGCGGAGGCATACTTGAGGGTCTCGCCAGGTAAACGGGTAGGAAGAGGGGCGGGCTTCATGCCTGGTGTGGTAGAGGCTGAAGTAGAAGAGAGCGTAGCGAGAACTGGCAATGGTGATTTCATCTGTGTGGACGGTCGTCTCGTTGTTGGTGGCTCTGCCTTTGGCTTGGGCTTTGGCTCTGCTGGTTCATCATCCGGAATAGACTGGGCATCTTGTGATGATAGGTGATCGTTCTCAGCGCCCATTCCAAATTGTGCCTCGACTTCCTCTCCAATTTCCAAGTCATCATACAGCGTCTCGTCCTCCCCAGAGTAATCTACATTGCCGCCTTCCTCAACGTAGTACTTGATGCTCTCCTTAAGATCCACCACCGCGTTCACTTCCAAGTTTCCATTTTGCAACGAGCGATTCAGGAATTCGAGTTTGTTGATATGCCACTTATGTCGCTCCGATACCCGCACGATGTCAGCTAATCGGTTCGCTTTGGACGTATCTTTCTTGCTCTTCTTCATTTGCGCATGCAATGTCTCCTCCTCAACCTCCATAGCCTCGATCTTCTGTTGGAGCTCATCCACCATTGACGCTAGAAAATCCGAAGCCTCCACCTTCTCCTTTTCCCTCGGATCTAATCGTGAAGCGGCTGATAGCCCCTCTTTCGAGTAAGCTTTTGTCTTCATTTCCTTCTCGACGGCCTTGAATTGCTCCATGCACTGTGATAACGTCATTAGTCGCCCGATCATTTCGAGCCATAATGCCTTGGCCAATAGTTCAATCGCAACATACCGTTTCAATCGCCTTCCGTTGTTCTAACAACGGAGCTTTATCCTTGACTTCATTGCCGGCTGCCCATGATTTGATCTGATCACGAAACCTTTGAAGCTTCTTGATTTCCCGCTTCAGGTTTTCCTCGAGCTTGTCGCGCTGCGTGGGGTTATTGGCAGTCTTGATCTTTTCGTAGATACTCTCGAACGTTTGAATCCCTTCAGAAACCTTTTTGAAGGTCTTCTCAATCTCTTGTTGTACCTTTCTGGACGCCATGGCGCACTGGGATGTGGTCTGTGGTTTGTGGACTAGGCCGTTTCCAATGACGAATCAGGCGGACTCGGTGCGGGCGGAATCCGGGGTGCAGGGCTCAGCCTATCTCGGTCAACACTGCCCAATGGGGGAAGTGAAGGAACAGTATGCTGGTCGGGGAATTCCCTGGATTCAAGAACAAGGGAGAGAGCGGATAGCATGCGGATTTGAGGATCCATTTGCTTTCGCTCTCACAGCTCCAAGTATTGCCCGGTATAGTAGGCGGTGAATATGGGCGATAATGATACCCGGGGAATGAACACCTGAATTCTAATTACTCCAGCTCATTAGCCTTCACTTACTGCTTTTATTATTGGCAGGGATTGTTTGGAATCTTCATACGCTAGTTAAGCCTTTCTAGGCTCTGGTGGTATAATTTGAAGGGGTTGAAATACTGGGTTGATTGGGTTGACGGGGGAAGGTTCGTTCAGATGGTTATCCGGTTTGTATGAGGCAATCCAGCTAATTAACGTAAGGCAAACTTAGCTTCTTCCTCACTCGTCTCACAAAATGAAGAGTACGTGCACCATTCGAAGCTCGCTTGCCTTTGGGTCAGAGGATATGTACTTACTAATATACGTGCAGTTGTTATCCAAAGAGTTAAATCGGCTTCGGTGTCCGTGGATGAGGAACTGATCTCCTCCATTGGGAAAGGACTACTTGTTTTTGCTGGTATTGGTCAAGAAGATACCGAGAAAGAAGCGGAGAACCTCGTGAACAAAGTCCTCAAGGCCAAATTCTGGCCGGACGATAATGGAGTACAGGTAAGCATATATCAGGTTCGCCCAATACTAGGTACCAAGTACTGACTGCCCCTCTCTAGTGGAAGAAAAATGTACAAGAGATCGGCGGCGAAGTGCTCTGTGGTATTTTATTCTCTCTACTCATGCTCTGCCCTTCTGGGGTTTTACTCATACGATCTTTTTCTCTTTAGTCTCCCAATTTACCCTCTATGCCAAAATGAAGAAAGGCAACAAACCCGATTTCCACGATGCAGCCAAGCCCGACGATGCCCGCAGAATCTACGATCACTTCTATAATAAGATGCGCTCTTCATACGTCCCCGAGCGCGTTAAAAACGGCGTTTTTCAAGCTATGATGGAAGTCGAATTAAAGAACGACGGGCCGGTGGGTGTTGATTATCGCAGTGAAGACGCGGCGGTATATATTGCCTTCCTGGCTTTTAAGTCCTTTTCGCGTCATGACAAAATGGAGACTAACCGGGATTTGTTTTCATTCTCTAGGTCACAATCGAGATCAATACCAATCTTCCCAAGAAAGAACCCAAAGAACCAAAGAATGACAGGACGGATAAAGATCAAGATGAGGGGGGGCCAATTAACCGGACATTTGAATTCAAACTGCCTGCGGAATTGCTCCAATGAGAAAAAAAGATTACAAGGAATGATAATTGGATTATGACCATGTATATAATATAGATCTGGGATTATACCCGTGAGCATTGAAAAGGCGTTCAACTGGATGTAAATATACATGACTGCGGCATGGAAGCTTCCTGAAGCGCCGCAGTCAAATCTTCCCCACCTTGAAATGGATCAGCTAGAGCTTCTTCCTTTTCTTTCCCCTCCTCACCTTAAAGTTGATCTTCTCTCTACCTTCCAACCTCACTTTATCTCCACTTTTTCCAGACCATCGCTTTTCCTTATCCTTTTAAGAACTCACACATTCCACTTCCTTTAAATCATGGCGGAATCTCGTACGTTTCTCAATGCGGGGTTACTGCCCCGGTCTAGCCGCCCGCAGATATTGCATGGATTTGCCGACTAACAACCCAGGCAACAGAGCGCTCCCGTGTTTTCTTCGACATTCAGATCGGTGATGAGAAACCTGCTCGCGTTGCGTTTGAGTTGGTAAGTCTTAAAATTGACTATATGGGTCTATTTGCAGCAGCTAACATACTCCTTCGCACAGTTCGACGATGGTACGATCCCGAAGCATTTGCGCCCAGTCTCATAACAGTCAACTAACACCCAGCGATTAGTCGTCCCCAAGACCGCAGACAACTTCCGTGCCCTCTGTACCGGAGAGAAGGGTATTGGCCAGCAGGGCAAGCCATTGACCTACAAAGGTACGATTTCACACTCCAAACCCCCGCAATTACCAGGCAACAGCCCACTAAATCAATGCGATAAACAGGCTCAATCTTCCACCGTGTGATCAAGCAGTTCATGATCCAGGGTGGTGACTTCACGGCATTCAACGGTACCGGCGGCGAATCGATCTACGGCGAGAAATTCCCCGACGAGAACTTCGACCTCAAGCATGACCGTCCCTTCCTTCTTTCAATGGCCAACTCCGGCCCCGGTACCAACGGCAGTCAGTTCTTCGTTACTACCGTCCCTACTCCTCACCTTGATGACAAGCACGTCGTATTCGGTGAAGTGATCAACGGCAAGAGCATCGTCCGCAAGATCGAGAACATGCAGACCTCCTCCGACAAGCCCAAGGTGGACGTTACCGTGGTGGACTGTGGTGAGCTCAAGGGCGAAGACTTTGAGAACGCCAACAAGCGTATCCAGGACGCGACTGGCGACCCATATGAGGATTTCCCCGAGGACTTCCAGGGCGAAGAGCTGACTGCGCCTCTGGCATTCAAGATCGCGTCCGACCTGAAGGGTTTCGGAAACACTGGATTCAAGAAGGGAGAGCTCGCCTTGGGTCTGGAGAAGTACCAGAAGGGTCTCCGATACCTGAACGAGTTCCCCGACCCCGGCGAGAACGACCCCAAGGAGCTGGCCGAGCAGATGAAGTCTCTCCGTTTCATCCTGCACTCCAACTCTTCCCTGTTGGCTGGCAAGCTTTCTCAATTCCGCGATGCCCAGACCTGGGCTACATATGCTCTCCAAGTTGCTGAGGCTGCTAAGGCCAAGGACGCCGATAAGGCTAAGGTTCACTACCGCCGTGCTGTTGCATACATTGGTCAGCGTGAGGAGGATGAGGCTCTCAAGGATCTGCAGACAGCTCTTAAATTCGCTCCTGGAGATGCGGCTATTACCAACGAGATCAGCAAGGTTAATGCGGCTGTCAAGGCTCGCGAGGTTAAGGATAAGGCAGCTGCTAAGAAGTTTTTCTCTTGAGCTACTTTCATAATTAAGCTCATTTTGCTTCTTTGAATACGACTCATGAATTATTTGCGGTTTCGGTTATGAAGTATCATGCATGATATAGCCATCGTGCCTTGGTATACCCTGTAGCTACCACGTCTACAAATAGTACAAAATGGATTCTATCTTCCGGTGGTAACATTTCCAAAGTCAATACCATAGCATAAAGATTCAATGCATCACAGGTCCACCTTGCTCTGACGCCTTCTAATAGAAATCATGGCAGATGGATTAGCTTGGAGACCTATTCCCCTAGGACACGGCTTTCTTGGTAATCCATCCACAAAATTGAAGTCATAGTTAAGTAGGAAATGACACATGATAATTTTGATCTGGTTCGTGGCAAAGAAACGACCCGGACATGCATGTTGTCCATATCCAAATCCGACATGCTTCTCACTCGCAGCAGCAAATTGTGTCCACTGCTCCTGCGCACCAGACTGTCGAATATTATAGAATCGATGGCCATCGAATTCTCCAGCATTATCATAGGTCCCAAAGTTTTGAGTAAACATATGATGACACGATACAATGAGAAAGGACCCTTTTGGAATGAACGTTCCCTCCGACAGGACAGTATCCTTCTCTGCATACCGCTGGAGCCCTAGTATTCACCTCATCGTCAGACGAAATCCCAATTCATAAACGACTCTAAGGACTTACCAACAATACCAGGTTTCAACCTCTGACTCTCTTTCATCACACTATCAAGCAGCTGCAACTTATACAACCCCTTCTTACTCCATCCCTCTTCACCAAGTACAGAAATAATCTCATCCCGAAGTTCCGTAACTAGTTCCTCCCGCCCACAAAGATCATATATCAACTGAGTTATCATATCAGAGGTACTAGAGATAGAAACAAAAGCAAGATTCAAATGTGTCGCGGCAGGATCATACGTGCGACCCTTCGAGCATTCTTCAAACCAGCTCATAATACCAAGATTCTCTTGAACTGATTTCTCGCCCTGAATGCGCGTCTTATCCAATACAGAATGAAAAAGAGTTCTTGTTTTCACGACACGCTTACGGAGTCGTCTTACTGCTGGCGAAAAGTGCGCGGCGAAGGGTCTTAGATTCTTCGGAACAAGATGGAGAGCTTCAGAGGCATCGGAGGCATCGACTGTATATTGGAGGATATTTTCGATCCATTCTGGGTTTTGGGAGAGCTCTTTGCCTACGAAGACTTGTGATGATAGACAGGCGACGATGTTGAGGATTGGATCTGTGAGCGAGATTTCATGCCAAACTGTTTTGTATTTGTTAGCTAGAGTAGATGTAATTGAGTAATTGAACTTGAAGTCAAAGTTGGTATGATTTTCCATACCTTTATTATCCGTGAAAGTATTCCGAACCACGGAATCCGCAATTTGAATCATAGGATCGACAATATTTCCTGTAATCAACGTCAGACGGACTCGGAGCTGGCAATATCAAAGTGTAAGGACTTACCAAGTCCCCGCGCCATTTTCGTCTTAATCGTATCTCTGAAGACCGGTCCCGTCAATGACGAGTAAGCAAATGGCTCAAAGCCAGGAATCGTGCTATGGAATTTCTTATGCCGTCAGTACACAGTTTCGACTCTAAGAATGCATTCACTCACCTTCTTGACAACAGGCTCAAAACGTAGACTTTGGTTACTGCGGATTTCATTGAGGTATTTCGGGGCGAGGAAGAATTGCGTTCCATTGTCTGTGACTAGACGAAAGCCTTTGCTTGACTGTGCAACCGTCACATTAGAATCAAAATTATTCTTCGTGAATGTGTGGTTGTTGAACTGACGGTCCGGAATCCGATTTCTCGTAGACGAGCGATATCATTGAAGAATCTTTTCTTTGCGCGGGAAAATGTAAATTCAATGGGTCTTCTGGAGTTGATTAATGGCAGGCTAGATCCATTTTGTTGAAGAAGGATGTATACTCCGAAAAGCAGGGTGCCAAGGGTCAAGATGCCTAGGTACAGGGTTACTCGGCTAAATTGGGTGAGATCTAGCTGCGAGAGTCTTGCTGCTAGCTGTGTCATCTTTTCTTATTGCTGCTCTGGACACATTGAAATAATTCAGTAGGTGGAATGGATGTTGTGAGGGGAGGGAAATGATGTGAGTGCGGAATTGTAGTAGTTTAGCACATTTGTTGAGCTAGAACTTGATGAGGCAATTCAACTGCCTCTTAATTGACTCTATGTATTCCAAATCTAATTCTTATCAAGGGAAGAAGAATCATTATATCATTCCAATTGCGAGACCCCTTATCCCTTACTTAGGCATCAATTGCTACGGTAGAAGCATCTGTTATCCGAATACAGAAACTATTGATTTTCAACGAAGCTGAATGGTGGGGCTCATTCCAATAAATTGCTTCATGGCGATCAAATCCATGATCGGCTGTCGAAGGGCGTGTTTTGTCTTTTTTAGATGGTTACTGAAATTTGGGTTGAAAGTAATTCGTCATAGATCGATTCTAATCTAGCGGTGTGGAAATCGCATGCATGATGCATTAGATTATGCAGGCCCATCCAGAGTGTGTGACGTTCCACTGCAGCTCAAAGCTAATAATGCAGCGGGAAATCAATATTGAGATCTCATTCGATCTGACCTATATTACCCGCTATATTCTCAGCTCCCCAATACTAGTATCTCGCTCTCATCTTCAAATAGACTCCATTATGACGATATTTGAACAACAATGATAATTTCATGTGATTTTTCGCGTGCGGTTCTTTCCTAGCCCCCGAAAGTGGCAAGCGTGAATTTGGCGCTTGCGCCATCTCTGTATGATCGTATGTCAACCTACCCGGTCGACCTCTGATACTCTACTGCGCCCGAAGGATATGAATGCCTAAATAAAGTCGAATAAGTTAGTGGCGCGAAGTCAAATGCCAATCGATGTATCTTGAGTCTTGACCCACAATATTCTGACGAGGAAGAAGTCCATCGCTCAGCTTCCACTAAACGTGATTTTTCCCAAAGGTTGCACTTATCATCATCATCGTACTTGTAGCTTTGAACAGCCAAGACCTTCGTTTTTGCCGGGAGGTTTTGTCCCCCGACTTTGGTATCTTTCAATGCATAATAGTATTGATCGTGCGAACGCTGATTATCATTCCACTCGCCCTTAATTTCCCAATCGTCAAGTTTGAAGGCTTCATATCCAAGTAAATCGTTTGCCTTGAACAGCCCATTTCGAATGAATTCGTAATTCAATCCACCCGGGTCGTTATAAGCATCGTAGACTCGCTTTCCATCGGTGCACCCATCAAGGCCAAGCAGAAAGGCTGGTGAGCGGGTCCCTTCTCCTAGCTGCCATGTGAAACTTGATAGAAAGTCTGCGGCCTCTTCTCGACTCATACTGCCAATTGTCGATCCAAGGGATACAATGGTCTTGGGCCGCTCCTTTAACTCAGGTCGAGTTAGCCACTTCTTGCCGTCGTCGTAAGTACCCAGCAGTCCGAAGCAGCGAACGTGGGTAAAGCAATTCTTTGGCAGGAGTGATAACGTTCTTTGCAACTCTTCCTCGGAAAGATCGAGAGCAAAATAGTCAACCTCTTTTTCTTGATGGTCTAGAGCATCCAACAAAAGTTTGATTTTGCGCAGGTTTCTGCAAAGATCAATAAGCATGGCGGAATAAAAGAGTGAAGTGGGGCCAGCATTCTATCATACCCACTGCCTAGCTCTACGAGCATACTTCCGCTTGGAATATGACTCGCAATTTCCTGGCATGATCGGCGGAGGATCTCGATCTCGTCATTTGTGAGGTAGTAGTCTGTTAAATAGGTAATCTGTTCGAAGTATCGTAGGCCCTTTTCGTTCCAGAGAAGTAAATTTGGGAGAGAAGGCTTTTCTTGACGTAGTCGATGGATACTGTATTGGAGAGACTCTGTCAGGCTCCCTTCCAATGACTCGGAGCGAATGTCAATGATTTGAGGACTAGGAGAAGAACGAAGTTTCTCTGTGATGGTTACAGTCGTTGATCCCATCTTGGTGTCTGGGCTGGTATAAAAAATTCTTGTTAGGACAAACTGGTTTGGTCGAGAAGTTAAAGGCAGAGTTTTGAAGAAAGCACGTTATTTATTTCTCCTGGAACACGGGGCTTCACTAGTTTGAAGATAACTCAATCGGCAGAGAAAGTGACTATGTTTGCTCAATCGTCATTGACGTATGCATGCAACTCAGCTCAATATTGCATCATGTGTAGGTATAGAACGTATCAATTCATATCAATCATGCAGGTATTCCGCATGTTGCACGGGAAAAAGCAAAACCAACGCTACCCAGCCAGAAAAGTGTACGCTAAACGCCATTTCTTCTCGTCTCTGCACGCATAAACGTTTCCAAATGATATTTGCTAGTGACTAGAAGCCTTGTCGATAGATAACACGGAAAATCAATTCAATAGCTGCCTACTATGCTTGAGACGCTAATGCCGGTCAAGAGTCCACGTAACATGCTGGATTACTAAGAATAGCTGGGGTGGAATAATGAGTATCCTGGAAGCTTCGACCTTTTTTAGAAAGTTTATGTTCTTCATCTTATACATAATATTGATTCTGGACCTGCAGTCTACTATGCATTCTTGGAAAGCTAATTCACAAAATTCCCAATCGACGGTCGCATTCGATGGAGAAAGATGACACTAAAACATAGTCTACGAAAAGAATTGAGATGGAGAGTTTCTTCTCTTTTCGCATCCTAGCCTATTTCTCTTTTTGTTTTTCTTGGTTATCCTAAATATTTCCATGTGCTAAAGCCCACCACATCTCATACAGGGTAAAATAAATGAATGATGGCTTAGCAACAGTAAAGCTGTGCCACTTCAACGGAATCACTAAGGGGGCAGCAATGATGTCTGAGTGGGTTTCAGGACTTTCCATAAGATTCTTTGGAAAAGTTCCAGGGTATTAGAAATTATTTTATAGTCGTCATTAGGCTCTGTCAGCCTTGATGAGTACAGTAAGCCACGGCGTAAATAGATCAATCTTGAGGACCCATTTTTCAATTATACGAAACAGCCAATCAGTAACTGGCTTCCGGCAATTTACCATCGGTCATGTTCAGCCGTTCAGAGGCTATACCCGTTTGGGTTTGTAGATAACCCCACCTACGCTCCATTTGCTCCCTAATTTCCCCAAAGAATCCATCGTATAAATATGACGGTGAAACGTTGTATGATCATTCTAAATTTCTGCTTCAATTATTATACGTTCTTCACATTCACTCACTTTTCCCAAATAGGCAGCCTGGCATCTCGTATCGCTTTGTCCCTCGACGCGAGCCATCCAGGTGATCATGATTGAAACACAGACAGAGATCAATGCATCTCCGTCTCATGTGCGAGAGGTGGTATGTCAAATTCAAGTCTATCTAGTCTTCACTGACTACTTCCAATATATCGAACATCATTCTTACTAAGAAAATAGCTCCTTGATTTCGCAAATTACCCCGAGTGGCAGACCTCAGGCCTTCTTCGTCTGCTCGAGCCAGAAGACTCAAGTAAAACATTGCCAACCTTGCAACCAGGCGACAAGATAAAATGTGACGTTGATGGAATGAAGTTCACCGCTGAAATTAAGGTTATTTTATCAAACATACCCTTTGAGCCGTCCTATCCATGGCTAATTACCTGTCACCAATAGGAAAACTCCGAGAAACTCCTCCAATGGCAAGGACCTCCTGTGATGGGCCTGATTTCTGGCTTGCATACATTTAGCTTTCAATTCTCTTCCTCTGGGGGCACATTATTTACCCATTCAGAGGAGTTTTCTGGACCAATTTCATTTCTGATGAGTCCCTTGTTACTGGGACGAAAGATGCTTGGCCAGTACCGGAGATTCAATGAAGAGTTGAAGATACAAGCAGAGAAGTAACAGCCTCACTGAGGGTCTTTCAATGGCACTCTTTCTCATTCTATGTTTGCCATGTCTATATACCGAGGCATTATTAATTTTGTTTTGTATAGAAGTATGAGAGGCTAAATGACTATCATATCCCAGAGATACATTTCAAACGCGTATTTAGATATCTCTAATGGAACGAACCTTGGGATTAGACTAACATTTTGTATCGGGCCTCTTGGGTTAGAAAACGCCAAACTCTCTACAAAATTAGCATTGCACCAAAGAGTGCAGGGACAACTGTGTAGATGGCTAGACACCAGATACCAGATGTAGTGCTCATGGGCGATACAATGTTGTTTGCAGCTCCTGAACTAGTTGAAGCGGCGTTCTTCCCAGTAGCAGTTCCAGTCCCGACATCTGTTCCAGTCGCGCCATTAGTTCCGGTCCCTCCAGTAGCCTCTGTTTGAGCTGCAGTTCCCGTCCCTGTTTCCTCCGCGTTCTTCTTGTTATATGGCACTGGGGTAATGACGGTAATATAGCTTGGAAAGATCGAGAACGTATACGGATCTGGCGCACTGGTAAGGCTTCCCGCATCGGTAGTGGTGGATAGAGGTGCTGTTCCTGGAAACCCAGATGGAAGGTCACCTGGGTTGTACCACGTCGATGCACCAGTGTCCAGGCTGAAAGACGCAACACACTCTTTAGGATCGGAAAGAATGGAACACTGATCAGAGGCGGACTCATTGTAACCAATTTGAAAGGTTTCCACCATCGTGTCGATGGCGATGAAGGAGAGGTCGTTGTGGGGGCACCATTCGATAAATCTATCATCCAGTCAATTAATATATATTCGGCAAGGTTGCCGTTAGTATTACTTACTCGGATAGGAAAGATGAATCCCAGCAGCACTGGCAACTAGCCACCTCAGAGAGAACACCATCTAAAGCATAATCCTCACAAGGTGCATTGAGGGCGTAGGTTTCGGTAAAGTTTCCCCAGATATTGCCTAGATTGCAAACTGTGTTGAAGAAATTGTTAGTGGATGAACTCCGTCATGCAAGTCGCAACATGAAGGTGTTGCTTCTTACCACATCCACCAGGCGCGTTATCCGGAGCAGGGTAATAAGGTATTTGGGATCCTTGGGTCCGATCTGCGCCAATGAGGTATTGTAGGGCTGTTTCTTGGTATGCGCATGAATAAACCTAAAATCAATCCATGTCAGAGAGGAACTTCTTGGCTGGAGGGAGCTTGTCACCTACCTCATTCCAGCAGCTGGTCAACCAACATCCAATATTCGCAGCCAACTGAACATTTCCGCAGGCCAGAACACATATGCTGTACTCATCATCTAAGCAAGTCTTTTTCGCATCATCCATGCATGTGGCGAGAGTGTTGATATTGTCTTCATAACATTTGAGGTATCCACTCGGGTCAACGCAGCCGTCGCCCTTGGAGTTCAAGTTCGATGCATCGGCGGCAACCAGAGACCAAAGCAAAGATTGTCCCAAGAGGAATAACTTCATGGCGGCCATGATTCAATTTCAAAGGGTAGAAGCCTCCTTGGGAATGAAAGAGTTCAGCCTTCAAAATGGCCAAGGGTCCTGATCAAATACATAAGCACCACCCAGGGTTTTTGTGGCTGCTTATGGTACATGACTAGTACCTGTGAGGCTGACAGATGCTCCGTTGGAAGGAAAACGCAATCTGGAGTTATTCTACAAATGGCTAACTTAACCGACTCCACCGGCAGAAAGGACCCTGTTTTCATCGATCTAACCCAATATGACTGATAATGATAATCTAGCGTGAGATATTTCCGAACGGGACTACCGTATTGGATAATCCCATTGGGCCGAAAAGCCTGTCCAGGTGGTTTCTCAATCAGTGTCCTGAATTTACTGCTACATACCCCCTAAATCCAGGAAAATACTTCCTTGGTAAACTGGTAGAGGTGGATATTTTACCCTACTCTCGGTTATTCCAACTGAATCAATGCTCCGAGCAACACCCCAAGATTCCTGGCAGGGTAGGAAGGCCTACGTGCTTCTACTATTTCATATGTAACAAGGCATATATAACATTTGAAGTATCAAACTCGTATCCTCACCCGTCAAATTGCGGGTAGGGTATTGTAGGTTTGCGGGTTTGCGGGGGCTCCAAGCTTCGTGCCGAAGCTTAGTACCCTTGATAAATAACATTTGAAATAATAATAGAGAAACTACATGTTGCGGTTATGTGAACCAAGTCAATTTTCTAAAAAGAATATATAGAATTGTTTTTATGTTCGATAATTAATTCATCATTTATGGTATATAATCATGGATTGATAAGTTAACAATTCAACCCCAGGTCTAGTATTACTTCCGGCACAAGCCCTCGTTATCCCAGTCCTCGCTACCAACACCAGTCCGCACAATAAACAGACCTTCCGGGTCCCATTTCTGCTTGATCTGACGAAGACGCGGATAGTTAGGCCCCCAGAAAGTGCTCTTCCAATCTTCATCGTACGCATCAGCCTCGTTTAGGTATGCCCCACCTTTAGGTGCAGGGTCCAGCTTCTTCAAAATAGGAACTTCAACCTGAGTTAAGTTATTTTGAATTATCTGTTGCTCTTCAAATGGCGTATCAACATCCCAACCGCGCGCGATGATGAGATGCAATTGTGTCTCGCGCCAAATAGGATGCAACGCACTGTCAAGGTCAGAGTTGGCCCATACCTGTGGTCCAACTGTCACAAGACCTTGAATTCCTTCGTAACCAATAGATGTGTTTCCGGGAATTGTCTTCAAGCTGCGCACGGCATCTGTGACCTGCTTTGGTCCATCGGCTGATTTCAATAGATCTCTTGTTATGAGACGCGAGCCAAGAATGACGGGGATACCACCTCCGTCGGGGCCTTTGAAATTCGTGGTAAATAGGGAGGTCGCCTTCGGTGTCAAAGTCGCGGTATAGTTGAATGGGGAACCAGTGATTTCACCAAGCTTCTTGATGAATGGTTTCATCAGTTTGTTCACTTTCGCCACATCTGAGTGGTTTGCGAAACCGCCCTCAGCGTAGAACATTGATACTTGCTCGCCAGATACAGTGTAATCCGGAACTAAGTAGTAGTACATTGCACCACCAGCTTCGTTGAACTCAGGAAGGAACGAGTTAAGATACTCTACTGCGTCCCAATAGGAGTCCGAGCCAAAAGCACCGCCGCCGCTGAAGGTGAACCCGACAATGGGAGGGTCAGGGAATGCTCGCACTGTTACCGAAGTGACGACACCCCATGTACCACCGCCTCCACCACGGAGAGCCCAGAATAGATCGGAGTTCTGGTATTCATTTGCAATTACATGTCGGCCCTGGTAGCATGTTAGTGTTGGGATCGCTTGTAAATGAAAATTCTACTTACATCGGCAACGACGACGTGGAATTCCAGGGCGTTATCAGAGGCCATCCCAGCAACACCGGCGAACATTGAGTGCCCACCTCCTTGGATGTATCCTCCAGCGGCACCGACACCATGGGACGATCCGCCGACAGCCATAACACCGTTCTCACCGCAGAATGTGTACATATCAAACAGCTGCACCCCAGCATCGAGCGTCACTGCAAGAGGCTCAATCTTACCCTTGCCATTGTAGCCAGCGGGTTTAAAGTTCTTGTGCAAAGTCTTGTTCTTCATAAGATGGGTGTTGATCTGCAGTGACTCCGGGGCAGTGGATCGACCTTGATAACTGTGGCCTGTGTTGCGAATAGCAAGCCGCAGATTATGTGTTCGAGCGAAGGTTACGCCGGCTTGGATATCGTGGGGGGACTCGGCTTCAATAGTGTATAAAGACACTCGTCCCTGCCCGCATGGAATTGATCTCTTAGCGTCAATGTAGCATGACTGGTTCTGTTCTGGCCACATTTCCCAGTTCGAGTATTGCACGGCAGCTATTAATCACATCATCAGAAGATATTCATGGAGAGTGGCTCAATTTCCAAAGCTTCCACAAAAGCTTGAGCTGATCAACGTACCTGGGTGATCGGCCCTCCAGATGGAACTGCTTTCGTACTCTTTTGTGACATTGCATGCCTTATAGTTGTATGCGGAGCCATGACAAACAGCTCCAACCGGCCTCAGAGTATGCAAGCGACCTTGTGTTGTTCGATTCAAGCTCTCCCATTCCCTTTCAGCTGGCCAGCAAGATTCCTCGGGACGGCAGCGACAAGAACTAGCGGATACTAGACCTGTCGAGGCCAGAATCAAAGATGAAAAAATAGCCAAACGCATCTTGGCGTATTCTCTCGACGTCGAAAAAAATATCGACCTGATTATCGTGTCAAACAAATATTAAACTGCAACTTGAACAACTGAAGGACAACATAAGCAGAGCCCAGTGCTGTCTTCTATTTAAATACCACCCACGAGGCATTGATGTATGCCCAGGATGATCAGGGGCCGGTCAGCCTTGGCACCATACATCTTGTTTCATGGGCTCTTGACCAGGCTGTCAGATTATATTCATCACGTTCCTGATTATAGGGTATTTGGATCAGCACGAGGCTTGCAGACCTTGCTTAAAGCCGTATCGCTGTTTTTAAGCGTAAAATCTTGTAACCTAGTAGCCACTCCTAGAGGCCAAAGCTCGCCAAGTGCATGTAATGTGGGCCGTGGGGGCTTGCATTTCTTCGCTGTCAGCTCAGCCTGGGGGCTCTTTTCTCATCTGAGTGGGGGCCAATACGGAAATCGATACCTAAGGGGGCGAAGTTGTGGATTCTTTCGCCTCTCGAAATGCTCTCCTAGTAACAATTTCATTTTCAAGGTTATTTGGACAAATCCGGGGTAGCTTCAATTACTCCGTAAATAGAACAGATGTGCCCGCGCCAGTCGAAATTCGGTTGAAGACGCGTGTACCTCTACAATAGTACTATTGGGTAATTTTTTACTTAACATGAGTGAGGCTAAACATCTGTCAACAGAGACATTTTGTCCTACTAAATAACAAGTATATCGTATGTTATTTATTGAGGCTATTCATTGCTTATCGCAGCATGATTTAAATAGGGATATACCGTCCTGTACCCACCCTTTGTCGCTGAACAACACAGCAGAGCAATTTTCAAGCAAGAGCCGAGAATATGTTAGACAACCCAAAGTCTTCATTCAGCTAATTTCTTGCCCTAATAAAGACAGTACCTTTTCAAGTAGGATCGTTAGTGTTCCGTATTTGAATAGGTTCATGAATGGTGGAAGGACTTGATCAATGAAATGCTAAGAGATCCTAAGAAATTCTAATGCACAGTAGTATCTCATGCGTAGAATTGACGAATGCGTACTTATCATCCTCCTTTAGCACACTCCTTTCGATTCTCAGCATTAGTAAATTGCCAATCCCTGTGACCGCTGACCACCACCCAGCTTCTCCAGCTCAAAATGCTGAATCTGCCTCCCCTCAAAAGTGTCCACCACCGTAATTGAGGCTTCAATAGTGCCGTTTCCGGGGGAAAGAGCGTAGACAAAACGACCAGCAGCTTTGAGCTCAGTAAGACCTGGGTCACCATTTCTCAAGTTCAGCGTTGTCAAAGTTTTCGAGCCATCGGGTGTGATTTCGATGAGTCTGTCGAGCGCAGCATCGGTTACAAAGACGCTTCCTCGCGCTGGAGAGTAGGCAGCCCAACATGTAGCTTGCTGGTTCGCGATGACAAGCTTGTTCTTGAGTGAGACCTTATCGTTGACAGTGTCTAAGCTAAGAACAGTTGCTCCAAAAGACGCATCCGTTATGAATAAATCGGACGTGTGGGGGATTTCAACACCACCAAATAGTACTGCTGTACCAGGCAGTGAGCTCCGGACGTCATGGCTCTGAAACACCGACGAGTGCGAATCTTGGAATGCGAGGACAGAAATGAACCCGGTGTTGTTAGTGGTCGGATTCCCCTTCACTGTGGTGACTAAACGAGTATCGCTTGCAGCAAAGAAAACTTGCGCCACAGTATTTGTTGGCCCGACAGGAGGAGTGGTTTGATTAAGTCTGAAATCAAGTACTTGTGCCATTTGCTGCAGTCCCTGTTCTGTGAACCTAGCACAGGAGACACCGGACCTGGCCCCAGTGTATCCAACACAGGCTGTTTTGCGCTTCATTGAAGCGGCCACGGTGACTGGGAATTCGCCAGGAATGGTGGCCGGCTCTCCAACCATTGATATCCTTGTAGGACTGGATGGATCGATTCTGAACATGCTCAAGGTGTTTGATCCTGCGTTGACTGCGAAGACAACCTGCGGATTGAAATGAGCTTAGGAATAATGTGATAAATTGATTAAACAACTTACATCATCGATGACAAAAACGGAACTTTGCGATGAGAGAGCATCAGACTCAGCAGGTGCGTTGGTCATTGCGTTGATGATATCGCTACCCATGCCGCCTGACAAAGTCGCAATGCCGCCATAGAGCTTGCCATCACTTCCAATTGGGATAGATATGACGGAATTTTGTTGTTCATTTGATTGAAGATAGAGCGCTTTTGCACCAGGACGAACGGGACATGCGTCTAAATTGGCGTTGGTACCGCTGGCAATGAGAGCCACGATGAGGTGAATTGGAAAGGAAAAGTGCATTTTGAGAGAACAAGTAGACCACTGATAGAAAGGGACTGGGAAGAAAAAACTAATCTAATATTTGCTTGAAATGTCGAGCATATCCAGGGCCCTTAAATAATATTCCAGAAATGAATACTAATCATACTCATCGCAAGGGATGTTCAGATTCTACCGATTTAGGAAACTTTGATTAAGTCAACAATCTACCCCTAGGTTCCATACGTCGATCTGTTCCTTTAAAACATCATCATCATCAATAATTATAATCCCGCTAGTCTGAGAAATACATAGGTCAATGCTCTCTGCCCAAGTGGTTGTAAGTGCATACAAGCTGGAGGCTAACAAGGCATGATATATAGAGTTTGAGCTAAGCCTAATTGGGCAAAATGATCAGGTCAACAATCCGCCTGATTAAGGGTCCAAAGATTAAGTCAGCAACGAGAATCAGTACTATCGGTATTGGCGAATCTCCATGTTGATTTACAATTTCACATTCTAAGGCTACTCTATCTTCCCTTCACCTTGTGGCCGACCTCAGTGACGTGAACCCAAGCTCTGCATAGGCTCCGCTCAGGCTTCTTGGCGCCTGCTCCGCACTATGAAAAAAGCGTTTACTTTTCTTCCCGGCCTTCGGTCAGACAAGCCGGATTTACAGCCAAGTAAGCAGGATAAATATTACTGCCGGGATTATTTCTAAGCTTGAGAATCACAGAAAATCCCGGGTCGGCTCTCACAAAGCGCAGAGAACAACTTCGCAAAGCTCAGCAGTAAGATACATTGTATCTCTCCTTATAATGACAGGCTTATGCTGACCCGGCAAATAGCACACATCGTCAGCGTAAGGATAAATATTTCAAAGAACTTGAAAGTGAAGTCTTGCGCTTGCGTACGAGTGAAATGGCCTTGACGCTTCAAGTTCAAGAACTTCAAAATCGTGTCGAAGCACTACAAAACACGCCAGAAAGGCAGATACCAACTTCCTCATGCATATCGCATCATAAACCCGATGTATTCGAAGACGATGAATATTCCACTAATCTAGATTTCCGGGACATCCAATTGCCAATGCATCTGTGCATTCAGAATACGCACATTGAAGAACTCACCACTCCACCAGCAGAAGCCAATAACCAAACAATTGGCTTGATGGATATTCATCAAGAGGCTCCTTCATTTACCCCTGCAACCTCTTTGGACCCTTCACCAGCAGCCAATGCCAAATCACAGAGCATAAACATGATTGACGCAGGCATGGAGTTTGTTCTAGCGTATGTGTCCCCTTGGAACAGACCATCACTCTCTATCGTATCCGCCTAAAAACCCTTGAATAGACTTGAGCATCCGTGTCGCCCCCATCTGGAACTTCACGCAGATAAACCTAATGGTCATTGCCTCCTTGCCTCTTCAATTCTCATTGATCCGCACCAACAGCAAGCTCGGTCAATTGCTGGAAACAGTGCATCCTTGGATAAAAACGCAACCGCGATATTTGCTAGACTGTTAGTCTTATCCGAAGAGCTTGTTCTTGATCATGAGATTAGCCCCACTCAAGCTTGGTGTTACATCCTCCAGCAACCGTGGGCCCATAGGCTTGATGGAAATCAGCTAAAAAGGATGAGAGTGTTGCTAATGGAAACAATCAAATGTTACGGGTAGGTTACATTCTATGGTACTGGACGAGTATACTTCATCGGAAAAGTATTGACGCGGTGATATAGGTACGGCGCTGTGATGAGGAGAGATGTTTTTAACGATTGCCTGTTTCAGATTGCGGTGGATCTTATGTAGGATTGGAAGGGTTCTTGGACAAAGAATCATACCGAGCGTCAACGTCGTAAATAGAATGAATGTGCCCGCGCCGGTCGAAATATGTTTGAAGACGCGTGCGCCTCTACAATGGCACTAGTGTGCGAGGGCAACTTTATATTTACTATTGATAAGGCTCAATATCTGTCAGCAAACATGTGGTCATACTATGCAACAAAAATCTAGTATGTTAGTATTGTATTGGGTACGTCGAACTGAAAACTTAGGTAGAATAGAATGCACAAATCATGGAGGTAGCGTAAGAAAAACCTGATAGATTGCCTATTGATATGACTAAAATTTAGTTCAATGGCCCATAAGCACCTCATGGTGGCGGGGATAAAGCACTCGGGTATCTTCTCAAACATCCGAATTGTATATGTTGCCAGGGAGAGGTTCAATCAGTCGCTCGACCAACCTTGTTCTGGTTGACTCAAACTTCTTTACTTCCTGAGTTTGTTGACGCCTTCCCGCCATGTATTTCATGACGGAGTTACGAATACCACTGGTAAATGCTGTGGTTTGTGTTCGAAAGGCAAAGTGAATGTTCGTGAGTGCTGGAAACGAGGCTTCAATGATTGATGCTAGCTCATTATGGCTTTTTCTTACCTCTTCCATGGAGTTGACAGGATTAATAGGGCTTGGTTCAAAATAACCAATAACCCAACTTTGAAGGGCAGGCAGACCCAGGTTCTTAAAACCCCTCAGAGTCGAAAGGGTAAAGACCACAGGGATGTGAAGCTTAGTAATTGTTGGACAGTGGCGGGAGAGGGAGCCAAGAGATACGGCTGGGATGACGCTGACGCCGAAAAATGGGAAATGGAGCTGCTCCAAATTCTTGAGACAGGATCCCATTTCCTCGAAGAAGTCGAGTCGTCTTGAACCTCAGTGCCAACTTCATCAAGACAAAACCCATTCTCTATCTCAAAGCTTCGGAATAGGGGATATTTTGGCAAAATCCATGAAGCTTTGTAGAGGCATCGCAAAGTCCACACTCCCGGAAAGATTAAGCTCCTCTAGCCGTGGGCATGCCAAAAGCCAGCCTAGAACTTCGCAGCGAGAGAAACCCTCATCGGCAGCGTCCTCGCGCATGTCTCCTATCCATTGTAGATGAAGTCCTTGCAGTTTCTCCAGCTTTGAGAGAATGAGCTTTGCGGACTTCTTGTCCGTTAAAATGTCGAGGAACCGAATTTGGGAAAGGGCTTGCGCGTCTGAGTATTTGGTTTGGATACGTGACATTGCTGGCCAAAGTAATGGCGAGCTGACCTCCATATTGAGCATTTCCAGGTTAGGGCGAAGTAGAAGATGTCTTTGTACATCTTCATCAATAATATCCTTCCAGCCAGAAGAAAGCTCAATGTGCGTCGGGTCTGGCAGCCTCTCCAAGCTAGGTAGGAGTTCATCCGAGGCTATCACGTCGAATTACCTGTCAGGCCCATTATCCAAATGTAAGAGCTTTAAGTTGTGGGCCCTGTCCTGAGCAGAAGTTAGCATTTCAAAGCCAATACTGATCTCACGTATTCCCCATACCTGCAATTTTTTGAAAGAACAATTATGAGTGGTGGCGGCCATACAGCTGGAGGGCAATTAAATTGTACTGAGGAAGCATTGCCATGCAATCCGTTTGCATATTGGGGATCCCGAGATCAACCAAGATTGATTTGGCCTTTGGAAAGTCTATAGTACCTTTCTCAAGCATTCGTTTTATCCTGGCCAGGTTTTTTCGCGACCCGTTATAATTTTTCTTATCGCAACAAATCGCGTTTTCCGGGTGTACCTGCACATAGATTTTGCTTGTCAGCGAACCCCTACCAGTGAGGGTGCTCTCCTCGATGTGGATCAAGGAGCTCTATGAGAAACTCACCAGTTCCGTCGTTCCTGGTTACAAGATTACAGGGATATCATGGTGCCTATGTGAGAACATATGGGATTATCCCATGTACCCCGCCAAAGCCACTGAGGTGCCCTGTTAGTTCTTTACTTCATTTCAAATAGAGATAGAACACTTCAGCATCTTTAATCCCTCTTCTGCCCTCACGAATCGCCTAAATGATGTACGCCAAGTCGTAAAACACGTCAACTACAAAGACTCGTGCATCTCTCCCGCAAGCAGGAGAGGCGCGCTCGTTCACTTCGCTCCGCTGGGTCCACTTTCGGTTCCTCGAAAGATATCATCCAATGTCTAAACTTCACCGCTCAAAAGAAAACAGTTGCTGAGGAGTTGACCTCACTGGTAATTCATTGTGTCTCTTACAGATTCAATTGTCAATCTAACTTAGTAACTTGATTCCAACTAACCTTAGCGACAGGAATTATACAACCTGTCCCTTCAATCGCAGTCAATTGTTGATAATTCCAACTTCCAAGTGTCCCCAATCAACTGTCCAAAGTCACACCAGAAACACCACTTATCAATTACGGACCGCATACCACCGAGGTCCCGTCACGGTTGAATGAACATCTTTGGCGTGTCGTTGAAAATGCGTGACTTCCGCAAAGTTTTCATCATTAAAGGATCATGAAAGCATAGTGTACCATCCTCGGTCGTGATAGCGGATTGGTACTTGATCACATGACAGACATGTCAGCCACAGCGCGAAATCAACCTATCATATACGCCATATTGCCGCCTGCGACCTATGCTGGTCTTGGCTTTTCCCCCACTTCTCCTCTTTATCCTCTTTTCTCCTTCATCTTCCTCACCATACTTTGTTCTAGATTATACCACATCACACGTGTTACGAATAGAAGCTCGACGCCAACCCGCAATGGCAGATCCTTTAAGTATAACTGCTTCGCTGTTAGCTGTGATTACAGCTGCCGTTCACTCAACGAACAAGCTCCATGAAACCATCAGACGCTTCAAAGACCGCGACAAAACATTGGCCAGACTTCAAAATGAAATTTACGATCTTGTCTCTATACTGAACTCTCTGGAAAATTTGGTTGACACTGAGGTATCAATTCTGAAGCTTCTCAAAGGCCCCATTGAGAGGTGTACCCACATATGTCGAGAGTTTGAACAATCTATGGAGACCTTTGCCCGCAAATCCAAGACAGGTTTTCGAGATTGGACTAAATTGGAGTTCATGAGAGGCGATATTCATGAATTTATGGATACGATATCTGAGTATAAATCCACGATCTCGGTCGGCTTGGGTACCATTACTATGTTTGTCAGTCCTTCTCCTATTCCTTTAAATTTCACTAATATCCCTTCAGACAAAATGCCAAAGTCTCCCAGAAAGCTCTTCAGGATTATAACGAGATGATTCAGGACACGATGTATAACCTTGAAATTCACCTACAACGAGTTGATGAGAAACTTGCGCGATTGACCACCGATACCACAACTATGTCTAACTCAACTATTGATCTTAAAGACGAAAAAGAAGTAACTAGACAATGCCTTCGTATCTGCGAAGATGCGAGTCACTATATCGAATCTTTGGCGGATCGAGAGCCGGCTCTTCTTGGCCAGGGCCAACAAAACACGGCTGAGGACAATACAAAAAATCGGTTTGAAGCACAAATGCTCACACGCCAGGCCTTGCATGAAAATCAGGATAATTTTACTACGATCATCGGTCAACTTCGAAGTCGCTTAGAACACCTTTTGTTGAAAAATGACCCCAGTGACGATAATGAGAGATCGCGTTTACTGAGTGATATCAATACTTCTAAGCAATGCTTAGAAGTCTGTAAGGTCGCAAGCGAAGTTTCCATTCGAAAGGAATACAGAATCGGGGAGGTTGTTGCAGATGGTGATAGCGATCAAGTTGTGGTGAATACTTTAGCGGATCTATTTGATATCAAGAAAGCGTTATCTCTGGGTAACTCAGCACAGCTGGTTGGTTCCATGACGGATGAAGCACTCCGAGACTTGGCCGAAAAGCGATACAACAGCCGGTTTGGAGCTTTACCTACAGCCCCTTTAGCAGGGGAGACCCAAAACTTTAGGCAGCCTCGCCCAACTTCAAAAGGCTTTGAAGAGGAAATCAGCAGGCCGAAAATGAGGTACAACCCTACTTCCAATGAAGTGAGAAAACGATCTGCGCGAGAGGAAAACGAACAGCGTACATGTCAATAAAGCTACAAAATACAAATATTGAGGTATGGCATTCATATATAAGGCTCTAAAAAAAGGTCTTTAGTGGAGGAGATCTAGGTCCAGGTGCCTTAGAAGAAATTTCAAGCGTGGATGAGCAAGTGTCGCACGATAGAAGTTCAAGTCTACCAAATAAGTGATGGCTGGCATTGCCGTTGGTTTCTTTGGGACACTTCGTCTCCACCATCTCTCGACTTTGTTCTACCAGTATGATTCAGACATGAAATACCAAAAGCAGCGAAAATGAGTCTTGGCCATGGGCATTGACGCATCACTCGTGATGCGGCTGGGTACCTCGGATCGTCGATTATTCAATTTTCGGAAGGGTTATTTCAAGTGTGGCTTGTTTGTTGGAATGGACAATCTGAAACAAAACTGATTTCGCTCGCCTGTTTCATCGGCTTGTGGCAGACACGGGACCATGGAGTCCTGACGCCTACTCATAGAGGCTGAGGGTACAGAAATAGCCTGTTTTGTTGACTAAAGGCAGCTCGGATTACTTATGAAAGCCCTCGACGTGGTGGCGGGGCTGTAAAATACAGGAATGAAAAGGCTTTCAGATTGTTAATATTAATTTTTATTCCTATACTTGGCTTGTATATAATTGCCCAAATGCACATTCGTGTCTGTTCAAATCGGGAAAGCATCCTAAAGAGGGTCAGACAGTTGGAGCGTATCTCTCGTCTTGCTGACCGGCTGACTAAGCTCTAAGTAATTTTATCGAGCACCAAAATAGCTATCTAACTGAACTAAGGGACCAGTTAAAGTCTTATAAATATTAAACGCATGTCGTTAAAATATATAGGTTCGGAGAACTTCTTATTATAAATATTATATATAATGATGATATTTAAAGTAGTATTCCACACGACGGCAGGCGGGGCGCCATATCCCAGGAGTTTATTGGTAAATTCCACCACCTAAATTGACTAGTATTGACCTTGCAACTGCCTTGAAAGTTGGACCTATAGAAATCTCTTATTTCCAGCATGCTTCTCCCCTTCTTCACGTATTTTCTTTCTGTAATATAATTCGGTTCAGTATCTATGACACATATGACAAAGATATAGAATATTGTGGTAGCATACCGAGGAAAGTTCCGAATTCTAGTCTACTGTGCGACCGGGCCCTTGAAAAAGCTTTGTCTGCTGTTGGTGATTCGGATGTTCTTTCTTCACGGTGATTCCGCTGCGGTCTTTTGAAATCTGCTGAATCGTAGTCTCGGAGGCGTCTCCAAGACATTGAGTAGCGTATGCCTTAGCCGTGACTGATCGTGCAGTCGTTAAATGTCCGTTTGCAGAGCCAACGAATTGGAACACATTCTCCTCTGCAACGACATCCTCAAAGACGTTGCGACGTTCATCTTCTTGCCTCATAGTAGGAGTGATATATTCCCCTGTGATCGTGTCGGAATAATTAACTCGGTCGCTCATGGCTCGTGGAATATTTGAGGGCATGATCCAACTTTGGGTGCGGGGTAGTTAGTTCGTGACGGTAACTAAGTTAACTAGTTAACTAGTTAACAATGACCTAATGTCTCGATGACTCATTGATGGGCCATCACGTGGGGTGTTCTATTTTAGGCCTAAAAGGTCCGAGCGGAGTGACTGCGAGTCAGCCATTGGTACGCGTTTTTCCGTTATGTCCTAAAGAGTTAGTTTAAGGAGGTTAGACCTTCGTCGAAACTGGGCAGCTAAAACGGCTCCCGAGCTGACATTCCCTGACCATTGATCCCCCTGCCCAGCCCCGCTCCATTTCATCTCTTCCAATATGGCTGAGGTTATTGGTATTGCTTCGGGCCTTGCTGGCTTAGTGTCCTTAGCTCTCGAGTCGAGCCAAACGCTATTTAGAACTGTTAAAAGCCTTCGCAACCGAGAAAAGTCTATTAGGGATCTCCGAGATGCATTGCAAGACCTTGATGAGGTGCTAAACATCCTCCGGGAATCAATTAGCGCCGCCCCGTTCCCCAACAGCGGAATCCTTGAGCGGCCCCTGGGGAGATGTTTCAAAGCATGCAATGATTTTAACGCATTGATCATAAGTTGTTCTAAACATTCGAACGACGATAGCTTCAGCATCCGAGATTGGGCAAAATTGCGTTATATGGGCGAAGACGTTGTTGGCTTTCAGACTATGATTTCAGGCTACAAATCCACGATTACTATTTTCCTTGCCTACGCCAATATGTACGTTTTTCCTTTTTGTTGTCTTGTCTTGGGGTTCGAAGAGGCGTGTTTCCCACTAGACAGTTATTGACTTTTCCAGGAATTTGACCAAAACAACGAAAAATGTCATCGACGAATACAACGAACTGGTTGCAGACACCAAATGCGATCTCGAACTTCATCTACAGTCCATTGAAAATAGATTGAAGTCATTATCCACCGGGGGTGTTTCTTTAGAAGTGGAAAAAATCAATGTTCAGATGATGGAAGAGGAAAAAGAAAGCACCCAGCATGGCCTCGAAATTTGTGATCAATTTTCTGCTTATATAGAGCAGACAAGAGCCACTTCGCTAATGAAAATGACTCGAGTTCCTACTACTTCCGAAGTGGAGCCATCGTTCATAGAGCACAACATACCTTGGTTGATCCTCGCGCAAGCCTTGAACTCTGCAGAGAAGGAGGTCATTAGTTCTAGGTTAAGGTTACTACAACATCGCCATGAGCGAGGGATTCGGCCTCAATTGTTGAATTACCGAATTGCGCCGCTACAAAACGATGAAGCAGGCGAGCAGAATGAAAGTCAAGAAGAGGCCGACAATATTAAAAAATCTCTGAACTTTTTGGATCGAATATCCCAAGAAACAAGCGAAAGCCGAACCAATCATTTCGAGGATGTAACGACTGGCGATAGAAGTACCCAACTTGTTGTGTCAACGCTAAAAGACCTTGTCTCTGCAAGACGAATCACTTCGGGATCTAACTCGCTACAAGTGTTGGGACAGATTTCTGATGACTCTCTACAGCAAATGCTGCGAGAAGGCGATAAAACCAAAGAGCGCTGAGGGAGCCCGCAAATTAAACCAAGTGTGTAAATTTTGATTCTATGGCGGTTAAAATACAATGCAGACGGTGTCGAGAGAGTGGAGCTATCGAGGGGATGAAAGGGGGCGGATCGCCTCAGACGGGTAAGCCATCTAGGAAGCTCAACTGGAGAGAGTAGATAGGTGAGGAACTCACTGGAGAAATTGGATGCGGATGGATAGATTACACTATGATGAAGTGAAATCTAGAATCAGGAGTTCAAGAAGTCTCGGGGGTCCTAACTAGGAAGCGCTTGCACAAACAATGAAAAACAAAAAAAACACACATATATCAAGTGACAGGATTCTGAAGATATCAATAATTCTGTGGAAAGCGGTAGCAGCAGCCTGAGGGGGGTCACAGTAGCCGCGGGGGGGTCGCAGTGAATTGCGGGACTTTGGGGTTTTTCAAGACCACGAAAAAACCTGCAGCCAACTATCTTTTCTTTACTAACCGGCTTAAATAAACTAGGATATAATGTTGGTTCGTTTGACTAACGGTAGTAAAAACATAGATGGTTTAAAAATATATGTATTATTTACTAGTATCTTATCTATGACTTGAAGGGCTGAAAAAATCGTGTTCTCGGAAGGTTGCGTACTGAAGAACATCTGAGAGAATTTCCGGTATGGTGCCGTCCGTTATTGCCTTCCATGACGGATGTACATGAGAAGCCTTTTGCAACCCTAATCACATGATACTCTTTCCTGACTTGGCTAGTCAAGATATATGTAACAATGTTCCGATCCTGAACAGTATAGTACCAAACGCGTATAAAACAGGAGTTGGTGGTATGGTCGTGTTTAATTACAGCTCCAAAAATAGCCCCTCAAACATAGTTCCCTCAACAAACAGTGCCCTCAAAAAATAATTCCCGCAAAACGAGTTCCCTCTCTTCCCCTCGAATGGGATCGAGAGCTTCAAATGTTGAACTTTTGCTCGGAATTGCTTTTGGGGCACGTCCAGCTGCTCTCACCCGGGAGCTTTGTTTTTGCTTTTCATCCGGCGCCGACTTGAGCTGCGCGAAAGCAGGCTGAGTGATGGTAGGCTGAGTCTTTGGCGCCCGTAAAATGTGACTCGTCCCAGCTTTATTCGGTTTTCGAGCCTTGACATTTTTCGCTCGACTTCCCTCTCTACCTCTGCTCCATGGAGGCCCTAAAGAGGTCTCGCTCACCCCCGGTGCACTCTCTCCAATGGCGGAAATCTTTTTCTACCCGTCAGACGAGTATATACCGCTTGCAGGATAGTCGTCTATGCGTGTCCACTGGGGAGTCGGTGATCGATGAATTCTTTCGCAGTTTCGAACCAGGCCTCTCTCCGCCCCGCCGGCATGAGCTGCTGCGACTTTTTCTCGAGCAGACTGGAGCGCTACATTCATTCCTAGACACTACCGGGGGTCAATATCAACCAGTAAACAGACGGGTGCTCGCCGTGGTGGACGACCGATGTGATCCTTGTTCGCAATTAACGGATATCGCAGGAAGCGTAGCTTTCCTGCCTGTCCGACCATGGGAGTCTGAGGAGTACATGAGACGGCCTCCTGAGGGCTTATATACTCAGTTTTGCGGCGTAGATGCGGAAATGCTCTACAAACATCTTAATAGGGATGTATGTTATCCTCCCTTTTATGATATGGTCTCCTACTGATCTTTACAGAGAACAGGCCGGGCAGAACGCCGAATCATGTAGGTTACCTCTTGCATCGATGAGTAATGGCTAATTAAAAAGATATCTGGTCGATATGACACCGCTAGCGTGTCTCGCCTTGATCTCAACTGTCAATTATTTTCACCTTCCCCAAGTAAGGTCATTTCTCTCCCGATACGTGGCGTTTAACTCGTACATAGGGATCTCGCAGGTATTCTTACTCTTGGAGGAGGGACTTAGTATATGATAGCTGACATTAGTTCTAGATTCGCGGTTTTACCCTGGAATTTCATCTGCCTCATTATGTCCTCCGGCGAGAGGATGATCAACTCCGTGATGATCGACTCCTTCGGAAACACCGTCGCTTTCACCTCTCCGGCCAGGATGCTATCTACGAGGTACAACTGTCCCTAGTCGTTTTCGGGGTCGATGAATTCTTCTGGACTGCCTATTTTTGCGAAGACGCGTACTTCCGAGCCAGTAATCCAATCACCGAGCACCTTAAAGATAAGGGAGATGGGCCGTCATCGGGGGCGCGGATGTCCAAGTTCCCTATCTGGGACCCCCGGTACTATTTCCTCTCCATTTTAGTCATTCGCATGGGACAAATTACGATGGAATGGGCGGTCTTGATGGATATTATCGCCGGCCAACTTGACAAGCATGTATTTACACCTGCTCCAATACCCCTTGAAATATTAATACGTACACAATCTGAATCGCTAACCAGGATAACCTATTCCTGGAAGACGACCCGTCCTTGAGGAAAACGAAAGAATATACCTGGATTTTAGTCACCTTACGACAGCTTCGCAACCTACTAGCTCAAGTAATCGCGACGCTGGTCTCCTTCGATACGAACAATTCCGTCTACTTTGACCTTGAAGCTAAGGGAGCCCTGTACGACCGGTTCCGCGAGTGCTTCGACCAGGTACGTCAACTTACCGCTGAGTTGGCTTCTACTCGGATGATTCTAGAGCAACGTATTGAAACATTAGAAAAAATGTCGGATGTTGTATGTCAGTCCTAGTTTGCTTAACCCTTCGAGGAAAGTTTCTCTAATATGTTTCTAGCTGGTGAATGCATCGTCCTTGGCAGAAAGTATCACGGCCACCCGCCAGGGAGACAATATCCGGCTTTTGACGTATATTAGTATTGTGAGTTTTTTTACTCATTAACCAAGCGTGGCTAATGAAGCATCAGATCTATCTCCCAGTGACTCTGGTGACGGTGTGTTACGCGGTTTGATTTGCAGGTTTACATACTAAGCAACTGAAATTAGGGCATCTTCAGTATGAATCAAGTCAGCGGCGAGAATGCGTGGTGGAAATACTGGCTCTGTCTCGTTTGTTTCACAGCTGGTACTATCTCCATGGCTTTCGGAGTACAAATCGTCATGTCCCGGTGGAGATGTGGACAAGGCAAGCATGTCATGGATCACTTGAATGTCGTGCAGGCAGAACATACAAGATGATTGCAGGAAGAGCAAGTTGGTTCTAGATCATACAGTTTTGGACCAGCGCCACATTGACACTGAAAAGTCAGTAGTTTTCTCAAAATGAAATAGATTTTTGCTGTCTTACACAGATATACAGGTATGCCAAATGGGACATACCATATGTCGGAGCTTGGCATTCCGCGCACTTCTCATGTTGACACTTCTCACAGGTTTTTGCATTGGCGTTGTTATATGACTTGCAGTCCTCAATGCACTGGGCATATATCAGTGCTAGACAATATGAAGGAGCTGAGGGGCTGCTTACACAATACCAATCCTTCCCTAACTCGACAGGAAGATGGAGAGAAAATATAGCCATTGGAAGGAAGTCCATAACCAAGTGATCTTCTGTAGGAAGAGTAAATATGTAAAGGGTGTAAAAAGAGTAGAGGGGTAATAGGATGAGAAAATGGGAGGGGTAAAAATCCTTTGTCTGAAGTAGACGAGGTTAATCTTGTCAAGCGTAAATAGCTTGCGATTGGTGCATCGAGTATACAGCTGCAAGTATCAATGAGTTTTCGGTCATCAATAATGCGACATATGGCTAGCAGACGCATGAAGTCCAGGCTATTACGTGTCATTGCGACTATAGTCGCATCACTAGGGCGGCTGCAAATTTCAGAAATAAGGCTGAGAGGTTCTCTTGGACAATCTCACATGCAATACCTCGACCGGATCGAAGGTCATTGTAGGCATCCCTCCCCCCTCCTAGCACATAAGATAAGCCAATGAAGTCAGCCCTCAGTAGCATCATGTGGGTATTTGGCTGACCACCGCTGTCCGCTATCGGTCGCCCCTGACCTATCTCAAGGCTGGGTGAAATCTACCTTTCATACAAGTATCAGGCGAAGGCTCGGTATTGTTACAATGTAATATCAGAACGGTATTTGACGCTGTAATATTATTCAGCTCATCAGATCATGTGATTAGGGCTTGAAATAGCATCGCATATACCTCCGCTATGGAAGGCAATAACGGATGGCAATGTATGGCTAAAGCTGTTTGAGCCATCGAGTCCGCCATGGTTGTAAGGAAGGGATGTAAACTAAAGAGTAGGTAAACTTGATACCCAGGTTTGGAATAGCTTAGAGTGACTGCGAAGCGATGGGGAAATACCAACCATGTTGCTGCCTAAGGATCCTCAGTCTTATGGATCAATCTAGATACAGATACACAGTATCCATAACAAATATCACTGTTTAAGCCCCTATGCTGTCGTTGTTCTCATTGCATCACTATTGAAAGTTTTGACTGTCTGACTGTCTTGATGCCAGAGATATTATGCACAACAGAACCAATAAGACTTAAATTGAATGATCTAGGCAGGAGGGCTTTGTTAATCATTAGACAGTGTATCATTTCAACATTTGTGGGTACCTCTTTGAGCCATAATAAAGACAGGTAGAGGAGGCCCATAAGCCCATTTTGGTCCCTCTTGATTCTTTTCCATGCTGACGGTAGCTTTCACCTTAGGACGCGGAGATCGATGGAGAAGGCAATTAACATCGCCATTATTCAGTCTATCTTTTGTATGCCCCTTGTATGGTGGGTTTGGGCTGTGAGTATGCACCGGCTCCATGGGTACAGCATGACAACCCCTGTGACCATGATGTTGCGTTGGGGGCCTTGGCTGGCATTCAAGCTTGGGCTTGTTCACTCTGCACCTGACACCGCCATTACCGATACCAGCTGTGCCTGGAATATGTCGTTGGCTATGAGGATTCTGGTACGTCATCTGCGCATGGGAGGCTGTAGTATGGGAAGGGCAAGGATGTGCATGTCGTTGCTGCTGTGTGTCTGCTCGGTTATCGATTCTGGATTTGACCCTATAAATTTAAAATCCCACATTACCCACTGCGGAAACCAAAGATTTCGCAAGACAGCACTTGTACATACGTGTGATGGCCAGAACTAGAACAGTTATGTCCCCGATAAGCCGGGTGATTCTTTCTGTCTTGCAGATTGACCGGGAGGGGATTTCGATGCTTTTCTGTGGGACCCCCTATAGACCTTGTGCTTTCATGCTCACATAGCGTACGCGAACTATTGCTCGAGTGGGATTTAGAGTGCTCATGACAGATATGGTGCTGACTGTGGGCGGTTCTCATCTCTTTCATTGGTTGGTGTGCGTGTCTTCCGCACCTGGGTCCATGAGGACAGGATGAGTAAAACATACTGTGGTCTTGAGATATACAAAATTTTGTCCCTTGGCTCGACACTCGACTTCAACGGATCATCAGGTATCCGGATAAAGAACTTTGATTTATACTTCGTTTGCACGGCAGCCAACCATCTTGGACTGACCTAGGTGTAACAGTACATGCAATTTGACCTTAGTTCTCTAAGTATCCAATCTTCGGTTCCACGAATCAAGTGGCAACTGAGCAAGATCAATGGATTGCCAACGGGGACCTGCAGGTGTAAGTTACACTGAGCTTTTGCCTGACATGTTGCCCTACGATACCAGGATCAAGTCAAGGGTAGCTACTTCAAGTTGTTTTTTCTACTTGTCATTCTATTAAATTTTTTATTCAGCTATATAAAATTTACAGTAGTACAGATAACGGTATACTAGGTGACAAATTGATATAGACTGTGGTCTGTTCCCGTTGAACGGCTACCGTCTCTCGTAATGGAAATTGAAGATGGATAGTCACAGTCGCTATTATGAGAATGCCTATCTAAGGGTTCGTTGATGGGGCTTGAAACATTTATTCCATCTCTAGGACATGGCCGGAGGACGTGAAGAGTCGACTAGCATGAGTCATAGAAGGAGTATACTTCAGCACCCATTCTTTCAGGATTGCTAAGAACGTTTCACATACAGCTTCGATGGCATTGTCACGAGAATCACCGCAGCTTTCAATGTAGACTAAAGGTGTATGTTAGTCCGATTTGATATTGGCCGCTGTGTAGCAGAGGCGCAGGTGGGGAGGATGAGAAATAGTAAACTTACACTTAACCTTGGGCTCCGTACCTGAGCCTCTAATCGTGAAACGCACTCCACCGTCTAACCAAAGTGTTAACATCTGGCTGGTGGGGTCTTCGGGTAGATCAGGCTTATGATCAGAGGATGCGGAGTCATAGCCCTCCGTCAGATCTCTCCAGCGAAGGATTTTGAATTTCCCAAGCTGCATGCCTCCGAGGAAAGGTCCGCTGCGGATTCCGCGGAACAATTCAACGGTAAGAGCCGGGTTAGGAGACCGGAAATAATTGTTCAATGTTTCGTGGTGGCCATACGTAGCGAAAAGCTGCTGAAGCTTTGCATGCGCTGTTAATCCCTGGGCTTTCCACTTGGCGTATGCCGCTAGAAAGATAGACGCAGCAGTGATTCCATCCTTATCGTAGCATACTGATGGAAACATGTAGCCAAGCGCTTCCTCATAAGCAAAGGGAACTGTCACCCCGGTAGCTTCAAGATCCCGAGCTACATTCCCCATCCATTTGAATCCCGTCAAGGTTTCTTGGAAGCGAGCACCTTCGGACACTGCCATTTTGTCGAGCATACCACTCGACACGGTTGTGGTTAGAAAGACGGCTTTAGATAAGTCTCCGTTGGTCTTCAAGGAATCAAGGATATGAGATGCGAATAGGACACCGACATGGTTCCCGGTAAACAAAAACCACTCGTCGCTTTGACTAGTTGTAAGCGAAATATCAGTATGTCAGATAGGAACAAACATACTCGACTTTTTCTGCTGCAGCGAATCGATCTGCGTCGGGGTCGTTCGCAATAATCAAGGACCTCCCCTCTTGATCTGCCGTTTGTATAGCAAGGTCAAGAGCCCCTGCTTCTTCAGGGTTGGGAAACTTAACCGTCGGGAAGTCGGGGTCCGGTTTCGTTTGCAGTGGAACAGATACGAAATTGTCTACTCCTAGTGAGTCACATAGTTCTGGAAGCACTAGGCCCCCAACGCCATGAAGCGGGGTGTACACAAATGGGCTCAGGGGTTTCCAATCTGTAACTGTGGATCTCTTTCTGGAAGTCAGCTTCTGTCCATTTGACTTTGACTTGGTGGTGACAAACCGTATATTCTTTAATATGGCTCTTATAGGGCTGAACAAGATTCTGGTACGCATCGATATGCAAATAATCACTGGGCTTTAATTCTGTCCAGGCATTGGCCCACGGCTCTAGGTTTTCACGAATTGATTGGGCTATCTCATGATCTTCGGGTCGGTTGATCTGGGCTCCGTTGCTCGAATAGCTGCAGTCAGCAGTCAGCATCTTTCTGGGACAAAGTGAGTCTCCAAGTATAATCGACAGTTCTTACACTTTGTAGCCTATTTTAAGATTAGCAATGTGTTACAGAACATATCTCACAAAAACATACCATTATCTTGTGGTGGGTTCTTGCAACCTATTTGTTAGCACTCGTTCGCTGTTTCTCCGATGCCACCCATTATCGACGTACATGACTTGCAGTCACCATAATACCCCCCGCAGCTTTAAAATAATTTATGCCGAATGGAACCATTGGAGTCGGTGAGAATTCAGTGAAGAAGTAGACAGGAATTTTCAATGTAATGAAGGCAATGGCAGCAAGCTCCGCAAATCTGCGGGAATTGTGACGAGCATCGTGACCGATAACAACACCCTGCGATGCAATCTGAGGACGTGCAGTTTTGATGTAATTCGCCAGTCCTTGGGAAGCCTGGATCACCGTCAATGAGTTCATGCAGGAGAAGCCTGCTGCCATCCGGCCCCGCAAGCCCGCGGTGCCAAATTCAATACCTAATATTGCTATTAGATCTTTGTTTCAAGAAAGCCACAGCATACTCAGAGCTAACATACGATTGCGAAGACATAGCTCTAATGCATCCACATCATTGGTGCTCTGCAAATGCTCTATTTCCGTGCGTGTTTTGGGATCCTATATCCGATTCGGTAAGACGATGATCATACCATAAGTTATCGGCTTGATTACCTGGTCCCACCTGAGCCATGTCTCAACCAGTGAGGAGATAGATTCCTATACCGGTTAGAAGTGTTCAAGTCGATGTTGTGTTCATAGAAAAATCACCTTATCAGCCATTGTGCGTATGTCTTGTCGATTCCCTCGAGGCTGTCAGTATACTCCGCAGTAAATTGCCCCCAGAAACTGCGTGCACTAGTAATAGTCAGGCACCACACGGATATAACAGAGCTCGAAGGATCAAGAGGAACCCACAGACCACGTTAAGTGTGGCGGAGTTATGATAGGTGAGCAAGTACGTAACTGGGCAAGTGTAATCACGGGAATGTCGGTAGAAGGACCGCGGCCGATCTCTCGTCTCGTGTCCCCGCTTGTTGATCCACCTCCTTGATACATTTCATTTCTGCCTTGCCCCATTGCTTTTGGACTTCTTTCGTTTCATTCTTCCAGCGACTTTGAGCGACTTGCGACAACACCATACAATGTTTTAAATTGGAACCCTCTTTTCTCTTTTGTCGCCCTGAGATTCCCCCTACGCCAACTCTCCTGCTCACCGCATCTTCCTATCATGGAGAAACCCACTCCCCGACCGGCCCGGAAGGACACTGTCTTGAGTCGCCGGTACATTGAGGGTCAAATTGCGGAGGGCAAGCATGTCATAATCTTCGAGACTCGTGTCCTAAAGGTGGATGCATTTATCAAATTCCATCCCGGTGGAGAAAAGGCAATCAAACATATGGTGGGCAGAGATGCAACAGACGAGATCAATGCGTATGCTTCCCTTTCTTGATTTGGTCCCTTCCAATCTGATATTTGCTAACAAATGTCTTTCCGCTTTAGCTTGCACTCGAGAGAAGCCCGTGATCTCATGATCAAGTACCAAATCGGCAAAATCGAAGGAATCTGGGTCAACTTTCTGCCTCCAATTCAAGGCGGCAAGTTTCGCCTCTACGCTGAAGAGACATGCTCGAGTGAGGAGGACTTGATGAGCCAAGATAACTCGAGTCAAGACGGATCGATTCCTCCTTCTCCAATCTTCGATGCCGTCGATGCCAAATCCACAACCCGCGGCAAGACATCCGCCAAAGACCCAAACACAGCCGCTTCGACACCCCCGGAGACAGAGTTACAGCATAGGCCAGCTTTTCTGGATGTTCGAACGAAAGAAGATATCATCTTCGATACCACCAAATACCCGTCATTGGACCAGGCCAACCAGGAAAGCATCAAACAAAAATACCGCGAGTTGAATACCCGATTGTTAGCCGATGGATTGTTCGACTGCAACTACTCCGCCTACGGTATTGAATGCATTCGGTATAGTTTGTTCGCTGCTCTGTTTTTTATCTTCCTCCGACTAGGATGGTGGTCAACTTCTGCGTTCTGGCTTGGTTGTCTATGGCACCAGCTTGTATTCACTGCCCATGATGCAGGTCATATGGGCATCACACACAATTTCCACGTGGACACCGTTATTGGGATTATTATTGCCGACTTTATTGGAGGCTTGAGCCTTGGGTGGTGGAAGCGGAGTCATAATGTACACCACATCGTCACTAATGAACCTGAGCATGACCCGGATATCGAGCATATGCCTTTCTTCGCTATCTCGCACCGCTTCTTCGACAGTCTCAACAGCTCGTATTATGATCGCAACATGACATTCGATGCCTTCTCAAAGGTCATGCTTAAGATCCAACACTACTCTTACTACCCTATTATGATGCTAGCCCGTTTCAATCTTTCTCGATTGAGTTGGGAATACTTGTTGAAAGGTCAAGCCCCTAAGAAGGGAATCGCCTGGTGGCATGTCTGGCTGGAACTTGCTGGCCAGATATTCTTTTGGTACTGGTATGGCTACGTCGTGCTGTATAAGACCCTCCCAGATTGGAGCGCTCGACTTGCCTTCCTGATGATCTCCCACATCATACCCTCGCCCCTGCACGTCCAGATCACCCTCTCCCACTTCGCCATGTCGACCGCTGACATGGGCGTGCACGAGTCTTTTCCCCAGAAGATGCTTCGAACCACAATGGACGTCGACTGCCCCACGTGGCTGGACTTCTTCCACGGCGGTTTGCAGTTCCAAGCTATTCACCATCTTTACCCTCGCATGCCACGCCATAACTTACGACGTGCTCAAACATACGTTCTGGAATTCTGCAAGGAGACTGGAATCCCCTACGCCATCTTTACCTTTTATGATGGAAACAAGGAGGTCATTAGTCGGTTGGGCGACGTGGCGAAGCAACTTCGCCTTATGGAGGAGTGTCGTAAGTCAATTGCTGCGGAGGGCGTCTTCTCACACCAGCACTAAGGACAGAATCTACTCAATGTTTTTCTTATAGGCGGGCCTTTTGAACATCGAAACAAATTGCATTACAACAGATAGATAGCGATGACACCTCATGAGAACCACCAGGCGTGGATCTTTTGGTAAATTAATGAATGGAATATATTTACTTTTTATGCATCTGTGCTCGATGGGAAATAAATCTATCCACAGTAAATCATCTTCGCATAAGACGCTTCGAACAACTTAAAAAAGGTCCAGAAATAACCGCTCTCAAAAATCATGCAGTCTATATCACCTTTCAAATGATTAACCAGGTAGTCCACCTCCGCGCGCAATTTTTTTCGCCCGCTGTTGTCGACGATTATGGTTAGCCCGACTAGCTTTATTCTCTTCCTTCCTCCTATTCGCCGCAGGATTACTCTGTCCCTGCTCCCCAGATGGAGCTCCGCCTCCAGCTCCACCTCCACGACCACCTCTCCCACCACGGCCGCGTCCTGCTCCAGCTCCACCTCGTCCCCTCCCTCTTCCTCCCCGCATAGCAGGACCACCAGACGACTCGCCCTCAGAATCATCATCATCCCCAGCGCGCGGCTTCCGATAAGAAGTAGATGCGAGCGAAGGTTGATTCAACGAACCTCCAGAACCATCAGCATCAACAGCAAGTCGATCTTCAAGTTTAGCGAGACGTTTTGGATCCCGCGTAAGCATAACAGCCCATCCTTCAATAGCCTCATCTATCATATTAGTCTCTCGCTTGAGCTGAGCACGGGGCTGTGAGCGACGAGTTCCAGCATCCCGGGCAAAGATCGCAGGATTAGACTTGTAAGCACGGAAGAGCACCATGTCAAGGTTCTCCGCTGCAGCACGCTGGTTTCGAGATTCGGTGTCCGCATCTGTATCCGCTGTAGCATCAACTGTACCACCGACATCTGCAGCGTCGTAGGTATCATCGCGTTCGTCGTCGTCTGAGTCAAATGCTGCCAGGGCAGAAAGAATGGCAGCCTTATTAGTTGCGTGTTGGCTGCGATCTGCTAGGACTTCGTCGGCTGTGAGATCTTCGTCTGCGCGGCCGAAGCGTAATTTGCCCTTTGCATTTTCTGAGAGGCTGAGCTCGGCGATGTCGACGTCTTCGTCGAATACGTTCTTGCGTGTCGGGATGGAAGTGAAAGTCTGTGGCGAGTGGATTGCGGGTGGTGTTGGGCGTGGGGCGAGGTCGTGAAAAGGTTCTGCCGGGGGTGGAAGTTGTTCGGAACGATCTAGACTTTGAAGTTCCGGTGATAATGAGTTGTCTAAAAGGTGTGCTATTACTGTTTCTGGGCTGTCGTTGAAGGCGTCTAAGAGGCGGACGACGAATGCGGAACCGAGGTCCGGGAAAAGATCTTGGACTTGAGAGACCAGAGACATTTTGTGTGTGTGGAGCTCGTCTGGAATTTCGAGACCGGACGATGGTTCTTTGCCTTTGTCGAGTTTCTTTTTCCTTTGGTAGCGGCGGTGGAAATGCTTTGATTCGAGCTGGTAGAGTCGCAGACTGGCAAGGAGGTCTTCTCCTCGTTTTTGAGGATGACTTTGTAGGTATTTTTCGAGTCTTTGCAGTATATCAGTGCTGCAGATAAGATCGGAAAGTATTGTAGCTTCGTTCTTCATTCTTGGTGTTCCCAATCCTGCGGCTGCCTTGAGGCTGAATAATTGATCCAATAACAATGATAGGTTTGTTGATGGTTCTTTCAGAAGAGAAATTAAGCCAAGGTAAACATTGGCGACGAGCATCCTTCGGAGTTCATCTCGAACCTTGGGTGACTGGTAGCCTTCTGCTAATGTATCCAGATAATCAGAGCCTGCCATAAGAGCATGGCCGCAAGGTGGAAGCACTGAAGCTAAGATGGTCAGACGTCGAATATCACCAATGACTCCAGGTGATGTTAATGAATTTGGCGATGAAAATCGGCCCATAATAAATGACTTTGCTTTTTCAATGCTTGACAATATCTTTTCATGATGCAGATCCCATACTTCTGATAATGACGTCTTCAATGCCACGCTTGACGGATAACAGGAACACATATTCCCCAGTAGTGTCCAGCTGAAGAGCTCCGCGTTGGAATTTGACTTGGTCAACATATATCGTCTTGTCGCGAGAAAACATAATTTCCTAATCTTTCGAGCTTTAGGTCCATGGTGTAGACCCTGATCGCCCGCCGAGGCATGTTGATAGAAAGATTCCAAGAAAGAAGCAATTGACGCGTCTTCCGCAGCAGCAACTTCAAATTTCTGGTCATCTGCAATCAACCTAATACTCAAGAGCATTACCCATGCATCCAAACAAGCATCCCAGTCCTCAGATGGGATAGTCCTCCGCACTGCGGGGGACGGTACCGGAGCAAGTGGCGGGAACTCCGCCATTGAGACAGAACTCGAAAAGGGAAAGAAAAAAAAACTGGAAGTAATTCCGAAATAAAAGTATCAATATAACAAAAGAAACCGAGCTCCGCGAAGAAAGAAGAAAACAAAGCACCTCAAATCCCTATAAGCCAAGTGTAGATTGAGGCTGCATCTGGTCCCCGACATTATGATGGATGACTCAGCATAATCACCAAATCAGGACTAGCGCCGTGATAACCGAAGTGCCAAGATTTTTCCCACTAAAAATGTTCACATTTCTCGCTCCACACCCACAATCTCCATCGGCCAGCATCACCTTACCGAACACAGTTCAGGTCTTGTTTGGCAATTAGTCTCTTCCACAAAACACAAAAAACTCAAGATGTCTTTCCAGAAGCCCGAGAAGGATTTCGGCGAGGGCCCTGTACGTGGAATCCCATTTCTTGCTGTTCTACACTATCTATGAATGGCCACCACCCTCCCCGCCGTCGCAATGGATGCGCATTCGTCGTGACGAGAGGGGGTGAACGTTCAAGGATTAGATGGCTTTGTTCTGCTATGCTCTGTTGTGTGCAATTGCTAATACCCATTATAGAAGGTCCACAAGATCCGTATCACCCTCACCTCTCGCAAGGTCGCCGCCCTCGAGAAGGTCTGCCAGGAGCTGATCGACCGTGCTCGCTCCAAGACTCTCCAGGTCAAGGGCCCCGTCCGTCTGCCCACCAAGACCCTCCAGATCTCCACCCGTAAGACCCCCAACGGTGAGGGTTCCAAGACCTGGGACAAGTTCGAGATGCGCATCCACAAGCGTCTCATTGAGTGAGTGTCCCCCATCAACGCATAATACCAGCCAGATAGCCTGGCAGTTTGGCGAGCGTCTTACTGACTTATACACAGCCTCCTCGCCCCCACTGAGGTCGTCAAGCAGATCATCATCAACATCGAGGCCGGTGTTGAGGTTGAGGTTACCATTGCCGCATAAATGCGCTACCTTGGGTAGTTGCCAAAATGGCTCAGGGAGGGTCTTGGGCTGGCTATTTGGTCTAGAACGGGCGTGGGTATCAAGGCTCATGCTCAGGATTACGAAATAGTTGGCCGTTTGCTGTGAGCCTGAGAAGGAATTCGTGGTAGATGCCCGTTATACCTGATATTTAAAAAAAAATGGAAACATCTTGAGAAAACAATATGTCTTTCTTCTTGTAGATCTTGTACTGTTCGTTTGGGTTCAAATTTGCCTTCATTGTAGTCATGCTATGGCAGTGGTAGTAAGTAAATTGCTAAGTAAGACTATGGCCCCGCTAAACTCCGAATGCGCCCATTTTGATGGAGTTCTTTCAAACTCATGCGAAGTAGTGGCCCGAAAAAAGAAAATCAAAAATCCGATGCCCGAATCCCATATCCCAGATCTCAGATCTCAGATCCCAGATCCTTTGGAAGGTCGACGATTCGGTTCAGAAGATAAAATAAAACTGCAAAAACCAAGGTAGATATGCAAGTGTTAAAAGTCGAAGCTGACCCATTCTTTCTTCGGTGGTACTGCTGGGATGATGCCATCCTTGAAGTATCCATTGTTCAGAAAGAACTGATACATCTCTTCGACTTCCGGTGTGTATTCCTGTTCTTTGCCTTGAGAGTCACGGAGAGTTGCAAGAAATGGTGGTCCATCAGGAAAGTTGATGCGAACCAGAGTCTTGTTATCTTGGGGGTGTATATAGCAGGGATATTCGTTGTCAACGTATTGCACCCGCTGGCCTTTCCACAAAACAAGGCGATTGGACATGGGGTCACGTCTTGTTTCGCCCTGCAAACGAGGGAGGGGGTTCAGTTCATTAGGATCATCGATCTGCATTAATGCAGGCGGGCCAAGATCGGCCCGCACATCTTGCGGGGCGGCTGCTTGCTGGGCGGCTGCTTGGCCAAAGGAAGCTGCAGGTTGTTGCGGTGCTCCGAATGGGTTGGCTACTGCGGGGGCGGAGGGCTGTCCAAATGGATTGGGCTGAGCCGGCTGTTGTTGAGGTTGACCGAAAGGTGTAGTTGTCTGGGAAGGTTGACCAAAGGCGCCTGTTGATGGCTGACCGAAACCAGAGGGTGCAGCATCTGGCTGTTGAGCTGATGGTTGCCCAAAACCAGAGGGTGCAGCAGCTGGTTGTTGACTTCCTACTTGTCCGAATGGAGAACCATTCGCGGGTGCAGCAGGCTGATTGGTAGTAAACGGGGAAGGATTGGCGCTCTGTTGGTTCAGGCCACCAAATGGGGAAGCCGATGCTGCTGCACCACCGAAGGGTGCTGCTGGAGCCGATGTTTGCCCAAATGCGGTTTGTCCGAACGCTGGCTGGTTGTTGGCAGCCTGGCCGAATCCCGATCCAGATTGACCAAATGCTGGCTTTCCGAATCCACTCTGTGCTCCCACATTCGAGGGTTGTCCAAAGGCTGAGGTTTGCCCCAGGGCGGATGGCTGCCCGAAACCCGAGGCTTGACCAGAAGGTTGCCCAAGGGTTGAAGGTTGCCCAAATGCTGAGGTTTGTCCCAAGGCGGATGGCTGCCCGAACCCTGATGGTTGACTAGGTGCTGCAGGTTTCCCCCAGCCAGAAGAAGCACTTCCAAATGCATTAGAGGATTGGCTTTGTGAAGGCTGGCCGAAGGCAGACTGGGCAGGTGCTGGTGATTGATTTGTATTGGCACCAGTGTTCCCAGCGACGATTTCAATACGATTTGGGTGTTCATTGGCACCATCAACGATGTATTTGACTGCCCCATTGAGATCGTTCAATGCCACATCCATCTGGCTCACAGATTCCGTCCACAAGGCTTGAGCCTCCTGGACAGCTTGGTCCATGTTGCCAGCTGCTGTAAGCTGGTAGTGACGAAGGCGCATTTCTTCCATGCTCTGTTCACGTTGGGGACCTCCAAAAAGCTGACGCGGGAGATCGCGAAGGGGCGCGTATGCAGAGAAGACCCATTCTGGGCGACCCTTTCCAGCAGTGAGGTCTAGCTTGATGTCCTCGGTCTTGATATTGTAGCTGTTGTCATCGAGTTAGTTTCACAAGGATCCCATAGAACGTTGATATTCATCACTCACTCTGCTGGCTGGTTCTGTGAACCTTGGTCTACCAAGCGTTTCACGTTAGTGATTGTGACTTCCCGATAGATGTATTTGAACTTCAAGGCTCTTTTCATGACTCTCTTGGGTGGTGAAGTGGGATTTTGGGGGTAATCATATGTAGATGTGCATATAGATGGGAAGGGTTTGGAGCAAAGAGAGAGAAGGGTTAAAGATTCTCGATCGCCGAGGGAGGGCGAGACTGAGAGAAATGAGGCATAGGCAGAAACCTAACCCGTTGCCAAATTACAAGGACAAGAAGGGAATTCACTCACTGCCAAAGCCTCCAGAAAGAGCACCGAACCGATTTCCCGACGAACCGGCTGTGGCGCGACCAGGATGCTCAAATTTGCAACCATCTAGATATTCTCAGCAACCATCGCTTCAATTATTCAGTCTCGCGTGGTGTACTTACCGCCAAACTTGCAGCGACCCTGCTGGAAGTATCGACAGATTGCCATCTCTCACCCTGTGACTGCCTTGATGATAGTTTGCGGTTGTTCAATCCTCGATGCGATCACGTGTAGCAACGGCCTCGATTGTCCGCGAGAAGTAATGTGAGTAAGGATGAGCTGGTAGCAGCTCTCAAGTTGAAAGAAGGTCAGGGTTTTTGTAGAGGAGTAAGTTCACGCGTGCCAATAAGACGTGAAGCTGTTTTTCCGAGTTCCCAGTTGAGTTCGGCTCCAGAGCTTATCGCGGGTTCCTTATCGGTTATCGGGCATCAACCGTGTAGATCTGCGCATCCATATAATGAAAGAAAATATAGATTCAAAGATAAGATAAAACGAGGATATTTGAATGGATCAAATCAGATGAATAGTTAGGAGCTTTCAATCCCATATATAAATCTGCAGTGCAGGAATACCCCTGTAGTATCGATTCCAAAGTTGTCAAACATGGTCATGGGGTCGTAGTATTACGTGAAAGTTGAAAGACTCAAGTTAATATATTTCCGGTCATGGCATCACACCCATTCTGAGACAAACCAACAACTTGAAAAGGCTGAAAGCTCAAGATTGTTTCAAATTTAGCCAATCAATAAGTTTAAGCAGTAGTACACATAATATTATAAGTAATTTTCAAATGTCACCTACCCAGTTACCTGCCAGTGGTTATATAGGAAGACTCCAGGCCTTCAAATATTATAGAACAGGCATTGTTTAATTCCAAAAAGTACTTCATTTAAAATAGTCATTTAGTAAAACGGTAGAGGTCAGTTTACTAACAAAAGTAATAAAGATAGGGGAATAGAAAGAGGGAGAAATACCTAGGTACAATGGAAGAGAAAACACACGAAGATATATAAAGATGCTCATGCTAGGCCTTTCAGAGCTCCCTTTCAGCATAAACTGGAAACGAGCTTGACACTACAGACTCCACACCTTCACAATGAGAGTATTTTTATTATTAAAATCCTGGAGCCTTTGTACTATTCATACTACTACAAGTTCAACTAACTGGTGGCAGACGTCCATAACATTGAAATGTGCCTAAACACTCCAGCTATATGATGAACTTCAAACGTTCAACTTACCCGTCTACATTTGCCTTTCCACTTGTCTTTCCACTTGGTTTTCTATCGATGTAGAGCTTGCAGTGCAGGTAGCAGTGTAATAAACGAAAAGTCTAACTATGGCCAAATGGTTTCAAAGCTGTAAGGATCGCACACTACGGGGAAGAAATTAGGATTGATATGGTGTACTATAGACTGGCCATACTTATATCCGCATGAAAGAGGGCTATATGGAAGAAAGGGAATGCAGGCAAGCATAATCATGATTAAGAATTAGCAATAATCGTTTTAAGTTTGTCCATACATCCATACATACACCCAGGAAACAGTTCAAAATAGATTCTCATCAAAGCCAAAACTCCTATCATTTATCCAATTTTATTATCATCACACATCATTCCAACAGTTGTGTATGCTGCATGCTTTCCCGTAGATCATCCCAGTTGAGGCCATCCACTTTTTTACCGCCCAAGGCCTCCAGCTCTGTTGCCAGACTATCAACCTTACCAGTTGCCAGTTGGCGCATCATGAGCGTATCTTTAGCACCAGGGAGTGTGCTAGCGGTCCCTCTGAGCAAAGTCTCTTCAAACCATACTTCCTCATCGTCATCAAGCGGCAACCCAACCAATTCCATCGCGCGCCTGCCGCGATTTTGCCCAGCCGCAGTCTTGTGAATGAATTCGACCAGCTGCAGAAAGAAGCTGTGCCGTTGGGACTCGTCGTATCTTCGTGAAAAATAGAATGCTTCGGTGACGTTGGATCGGCATAGAACTTCGAAGAACGCTCGTTGTACCTTCTCAGTAGCTAAAGGTGGCGAAGCGGTAAGATAATAGGCGATGGCAAGACTGTCGTCATGTTTGGGAAGTTGTGAGAGAGTGAGGGCGTAGAGGATTTCATCGGGGAAGGTAGGAATGAGAGAAGGTTCGGCGAGGTTCTCGATTGCGCGCTGTTGGTACAATGTTTATTAGCGAGAGCTCTTCAAGACTGCGTAGTGGCCGTAGTGACAGGCAGAGCAACATACTCGGAACTCCAGACGATCCATATTCCAAAGGCCTTCAATGAAGAGCCGGTACTTCTCTGGTAAATGACATGAGCGCGCAAATGATGCCGCCGCATCTGGCGCACTGCGACAGTCCTTGAGAATGTAATAAATCAAGGCTTGTTTGTGATGGATGTCGAGTTCGGAAGCGACGATGTGGTCAACCAGTGACTTGAGGTCCGCATTGGTCTTCGGGGGATAGACCTTGGTCACTAAATATAGCTCCGAGGTTAGATACAGGAGCTCACAATTGGTCCTCAAGCTATACGAACCTCCTTTAATGCCTAGTAATCCCAACAAGCGATCAGCGAAGAGCTGGTTCTCCAATGCGCGGCGGTTGGAGGTGATCTGCTCAATAACTTTTGCATCGTAATGATATTTCTTGTTGAAGCTGAATATGTGGTTGAAATCCTCCCATGGTGCCATGGCTGCAAGGTTCTCCAAAAGTTTAGAGTAACGTTGGATATGTATATGAGAAGAGCTCCGCAGACCTGGCGCACTTGACTTTGGAAGATGCCGTGTAATATTTGTAACGTATTTGGTAATATAAACACGCAGATTGCTACGTTGGCGGTGAATGCTATGCAGCCGCTCGTGTTGAAGGGAAAAAGGTGTGTTGTGGCAGAACAACGGAGCTAAACCTATTTGGGGCGGACGTAAACAACCCACTTTCTAAGGTTCCCGCAGCTGCTGCGTCTGTCTTTCATCATCTCATCTCTTTCCCCGCCCCTCGCGCCTATGAAGCAGACCTCCCGACTGATCTGCGCATAATGGCTTCACTTGCAAAGGGTCGGCCTTCGCGTCGCTCTGCTTCCCGAAAGAGCTATGTTGTCGAAGAAACTTCCGAATCAGAGGATGCTGGGAATGTTACGCCCACGGCTTCAACACAGACTGATGACGACGAAGATGAATCCGAAGAACAGGACTATACCCCGGTACCCAAGAAGGCGAAACGAGTGTCGCGGAGCTCTATGAAGCTCGAACCAACTACGCCTTCCACTGTGCGACCGGCGCGCAGGTCTCGGCCATCAGTCGCGGCGTCAGTCGCAGACGAATCCGACGCATCGCAGGTTACCGATACGGACGAAAATAACGAGAACGAAGAAAGAGCTAGCATTGTCTCGGTTGAGGCTGACCCCGAGTCTCCCTCCAACAATGCAGCATTGAAAAGAAAAAGTGTCGAGGCTGTGGAGGCGGACCCGAGTTCCCCCTCCACCCAGGCTGCTTTGAAAAAACATAGTATGGCTCACCCCCGCAAGAGTCGTGGCTCAATTACACCTAAACCGGCCAAGGACTCACTTCCCACTCCAGAGCCGTCCGCGTCGCCAGAGTCCGAAGTGCGGGCTCATCGGGAAAGCGTACCGCCTCTTTCCGACATCACCGAGTCCGCCGTTAACCAATCGCAATCGCCATCGAAACAACCGGAGGAGCCCAAGTCCCAGGTTTCATATATCAATCCCAACTCTACTGTGCTCGAAAAACCCATGGATATTGTAATGAAGTCAAGGAATATGGCTGCTCCCACCGTAGAGGAGCCCGCTGAGGCCAAGCCTCGAATGATCATCCAAAACTTGATTCTCACCAACTTCAAGAGTTACGCAGGAAAACAAGTTGTTGGTCCTTTCCATGCTTCATTCTCATCAGTGGTTGGACCGAACGGCTCGGGCAAGTCCAACGTTATTGATTCCCTTCTCTTTGTGTTTGGCTTCCGTGCTAGCAAGATGCGACAGGGCAAAATCTCGGCGTTGATCCACAACTCTGCTGAACACCCCAACCTACCATTCTGCGAAGTAGAGGTCCACTTTGAGCAAGTTCTCGACCTTCCTGACGGCGGCCACGAAGTCATCGAAGATTCCCAACTGATCGTCTCTCGACGCGCATTCAAGAACAACAGCAGCAAATATTATATGAACAAGAAGGAGACAAATTTCACCGCTGTCACCACCTTTCTCCGTGATCGCGGCATTGATCTCGACCACAAGCGTTTCTTAATTCTGCAGGGTGAAGTCGAGTCAATTGCTCAGATGAAAGCTAAGGCCAGCAACGAACACGACGAAGGTCTCCTTGAATATCTTGAAGATATTATTGGAACCTCCAAGTATAAGACACCGATTGATGAAGCCGCCACTGAGCTTGAGACCTTGAATGACGTCTGTGCCGAGAAGAACAACCGCGTGCAGCACGTTGAGAAGGAGAAGACTGCGCTGGTAGATAAGAAAGACAAGGCACTTGCTTATCTTCGCGACGAGAACGAACTCTCTGAGAAGCAATCCGCGCTCTATCAGATATACATTGATGAGTGTGTCGACAACGTTCGTGTGACCGAAGAGGCTATTCTTCAGATGCAAGAACTCTTGAACATGGAGCTTGAGAAGCACGAAGGAAATGAATCCGGCATCAAAGAGCTCGAGAAGCAATACAAGCGTGGTGTTCGGGAATACGAGTTGATGGAGAAAGATGTCCAAGGATTGTTGAAAGAAATGGCTAAGTACGACAAGGAATCCGTCAAGTTCGAAGAGAAAAAGAAATTCTTGGTCGGCAAGCAAAAGAAACTCGAGAAAACCATGCAGACCAGCAGGCTTGCTGCTTCTGAGTGCCAGAGCTTGGTTGAGAAGTTCACCGACGACATTGAGAGGAAATCTGGCGAGACCACTGAGCTAGAGCAGGAGATGCAAGTAGAGGAGGAGGAGTTGAACTCTATTCGTGAGAGCCTGAAAGGAAAGACCCAGGGTCTTTCAGACCAGATCTCCGCCAAGCAAAAGTCCTTAGAGCCTTGGAACGAACAGATCAACAAGAAACAATCCGCGGTTGCCGTGGCACAGAGTGAACTCGATATTTTGCGCGAGAGAAGCAACGCCGGCGCCGTCTTGCTCGAAGAGGCCCATGGCAAGATCGCTTCGATCGAAGAAACTCTACAGACTAAGCAAACTGATCTTGAAGAACGCCAAGCTCAGAAGGAGACCTTGGAAGCTGAAGTTCAAAAATTGCAGCATGATTTGAAGAAGTATGTTGCTCGCGAGCCTGAAGTTCGTGCGCATGTTTCCAGTGCTCGTCAAAAGGCCGATGAAGCACGAGCAAGTCTTGCAAGCACCCAAAATCGAGGCAGCGTTCTGACAGGATTAATGCGACTCAAGGAATCTGGTCGTATCGATGGTTTCCACGGCCGCCTCGGTAACTTGGGTACTATCGACGAGCAGTACGATGTTGCCATTTCCACCGCCTGCCCAGCTCTCGACAATATGGTAGTAGAAACAGTGGAGGTTGGTCAACACTGTATTGACTATCTTCGCAAAAATAACCTTGGCCGAGCCAACTTCATTCTCTTGGATCGCCTCCCTCGCCGTGACATGTCAACTATCTACACACCCGAGAGTGTTCCTCGTCTGTTTGATCTTGTTAAGCCCAAGGATCCAAAGTTTGCACCGGCCTTCTACAGTGTTATGCAAAACACCCTCGTTGCCAAAGATCTTGAACAAGCAAACAGAATTGCCTACGGTGCTCGTCGATGGCGTGTTGTGACATTGGACGGACAATTAATTGATGTATCAGGAACCATGAGTGGTGGCGGTACTCGTGTCGCGCGTGGTGGTATGTCTTCGAAGCAAGTCGCAGACACCACAAAAGAGCAAGTTGGCCGCCTGGAAACCGATCTGGAGGAATTGGAACGCAAGTTCCAAACATTTTCAGACAAGCAACGAAATGTCGAATCTCAAATACGCGACAAGACCGATGAAATCCCGCGCGTCGAGACCAAGATCCAAAAGATCATGATTGAGATCGATAGTGCCAAGCGCAGTCTTGCAGATGCTCAGCGACGCATCACAGAGATCAGTGCCGAGCATAAGCCATCTAAGTCTGATGAAACCCAGGCCACCGCGCTGGAGGAGCAAATTGAGGCTATCAACAATGAGATCGAAGACCTCAACAGCCAAAAGAGCGGCATTGAAGAAGAGATCCAGACCTTGCAGAGCAAGATTATGGAAGTCGGTGGTGTACGTCTGCGTGGGCAGAGAGCCAAGGTCGATGGCCTGAAAGAGCAAATCAGCCTGCTGTCTGACGAAATCTCCAACGCAGAAGTGCAGAAGTCTAAGAACGAGAAGCTTATCACTAAACACACCAAAGCTCGTGACGGGTCTGAAAAGGAGATCGGTCAGATCACTAATGATTTAGAGAAATTGGAGGCAGATGTTGAAAACCAGACGACTGAGTCTTCTGGCTGGAGAGAGAAAGCCGATGAGGCCCAAGAGGTAAGACAATCTCATGAAGTGGAGGGAGGTAGATGAGTTTGAGATACTGATGCTAACATAATTTTAAGGCTCTCGAGACGAAGAAGGAGGACTTGAAGACCCTTAAGGAGAACCTTGACCAAAAGGTGGCTGAACTCAATGAGACTCGGGCCACTGAGATCGAAATGAAAAACAAGCTAGAGGAGAACCAGAAAGCCTTGGCCGAAAACCAGAAGCGCAGCCGCTACTGGGAAGAGAAGCTCTCCAAATTGTCCTTGCAGAACGTTAGTGACTTGGGCGAAGAGCAAGAGTCTACGGAGCTCCAGACGTACACCAAGGACGAGCTTGATGCGATGAACAAGGAGTCTCTGAAAGCGGTGATCGTTACGCTGGAGGAGAAGGTTCAGAATGCCTCTGTTGATCTCGCAGTCATTGAAGAGTACCGTCGTCGATCTGCCGAGCATGAAGCCCGGTCCGCAGACTTGAACACTGCTTTAACAACCCGTGATAGTGCCAAGGCTCGCCTGGATGGCCTTCGATCCGCTCGATTGAATGGCTTCATGGAAGGATTTGGTATCATCTCCCTTCGTCTCAAGGAAATGTACCAAATGATCACCATGGGTGGTAATGCCGAATTGGAACTCGTCGACTCTTTGGATCCTTTCTCAGAGGGTATCCTTTTCTCCGTCATGCCACCCAAAAAGAGCTGGAAGAACATTGGTAACCTGTCTGGTGGTGAAAAGACATTGTCCAGTCTGGCATTGGTGTTTGCTCTGCACCACTATAAACCTACTCCGCTCTATGTCATGGACGAAATTGATGCTGCCCTTGATTTCCGAAACGTAAGTGCTCCGGCGCATCCCCATCCCCAATTCACCATCCCCCCTCCCATCAGACGCTGATACATTTTTAAACAGGTTTCTATTGTTGCCTCATACATTAAGGAGCGAACAAAGAACGCCCAATTTATTGTCATTTCTCTGAGAAACAATATGGTAAGTCACCGACAAAGAAACACTATCCGAGCTTCTCAGCTAACGCAGTATGCAGTTCGAACTTGCTTCTAGACTTGTTGGTGTTTACAAGGTCAACCATATGACCAAGAGTGTCACGATCGAGAACAGAGACTATATTGAGGGTCGGTAATGATTAGAGGATAGCTTTGCATGTTTTCTTTCCCTGTTTCCTTCAGCATCCATGGATAGGCACCTGGCTGGATAAGGTTCCTTGCTCGTTTTGATGATATCATGGGTTAGGAGTATCTGGATTTTTGAATGAACATTTTTTCTCTCCTTCAAGTTCTTTCTTTTACAGCTGGACATACACATAGATAAGCGTGGCTTTGCTAGCGCTAGCGCTAGCAACTACATCAACTCAATACTAGTAACCCACAGACTCAGATCATTCCCCGAAGCTGTCGGGCTGGAATGTACCGACCCCATGTTTAGGCTAAGCCCCAAACTATAATTCTCATTGCACTGATCATATCGATCACCAAGCTCCACGAGGCCCACTTCTCGGCTCTTTTCCATTTCATAAGCATAAGCACCCATTGACTCCAAGGTACCATCGAGTGTTACATCCGAATTTCTCCAACCCTGCCGATCAAAAATGTCATGGCGTCCACGGGTTAATTGCCCCCACGGAGCACGGATGGCCGGATTCCCAACCCAGTCTCAGTCAATATACCATGCGCATGGATGCAGGATGCGGGGTAAACCGACAATCTACTACTACCTAGGTAACAAACAATGACATATAGTAGCTTTTGCGAATCTATTCCTCTATAGGAAACGAAGAATTACTGAAATTACAAGAATTCCACCAGCCCGGCAAGGATCGGAGGTCATCGCCGCGCCGGGGAATGTATAAGAACTGAAGTTGGAAGCCGCACTCCCTTGCATGTACCCTTTCCATCAATCTCATGGTGTAAGCACATAAACACTTACCTCACCCCATAGCATAGCATATATTAAATGCTGTGGAATTCTCGGCTCCCCTGGCTAGGCCTGGGTGTGAGCCTGATTCAGCTCACTGCCACCGTACAAGCAGAAGCTGCCTCGGTAGATCGCTCACAGTATGTGAATGCCTTCATAGGCTCCGAAGGGCCGGACGGTACAGGATTCGGAGGAGGTGATATTTTTGTCGGAGGTGCACGTCCATTCGGAGTTGTTAAGGTTGGAATTGACTCGACGGCTGCGAATTGGTCTACGGCCGTGCTTAATGGTGGATGGACGCCGGATGGAAATGTTACGGGTATTAGTATGATGCATGAGAGTGGGACTGGTGGTGCACCGAAGTATGGGTTGATTGCTCAGATGCCTTTGACTTCTGTTCACTCCCCGGTTAATATACTTGATAATCAGACTTATAGTCAGCCCAGAGTGAGTTTTTGTTTGTTTGTTCGTTTGGGGAATTTGGCTAATGGATGGATGGAATAATTTAGGTTGGCGATGATGTTGCGAGTGTGGGGTATTATAAGACTCAGTTGAAGAGTGGTGTTACTGTTGAGCTTTCTGCGTCGCGTCATGCTGGTATCATGGATTATTCGTTCCCTGCTGGTGAGAAGCATGTTCTTATCGATGTTTCTCATGTGAGTTGTGACCGGATTTCACTTCTCTACCTGAAAAATACTGATCATATTACATAGTATCTCCCCGGATCGCCTGGTGATTCAGGAAGCCAGTTCTATGTCGCTGGAGAGATCCAAATCGAGGACGATGGAAAAGCTTACAGTGGATATGGCACGTACATCGGCGGATGGAACAACGGTAGGTCTATCCAGTCTTTAACTACATTTCGAAAATAAGATGTACTGACACTATTTGTAAGGCGCACCTTTTACGGTTTTCTTTTATGGAGAATTCTCCCAAGCCCCAAACCAGGCCCAGACATTCAGCGGTGTCAACACAGACCCTATCCCCAAGTACCAGAATCTAGCAGATGGAGGCATCAGTCACCCTACTTACGGCAACAAGACAAACAAGGTCACATCGGGCCCAATGAACCGCCGCCTCGGTGCACTTATGAGCTGGAACTCCGGATCTGCTTCTCATGTTGTCTCGCGCGTGGGAATTTCTTCCATCTCAACGGAAAGAGCTCGCTCTTATGTTGAGAAGGAGATTCCATCTTGGAAGTTGAATGATACTGTGACCGACGCAGTTAAGGAGTGGAACACAGATGTCTTCAACAAGGTCCAGGTAGCGCTAGACGACTCGGCAAATATGACCCATGTTAGGTTGCTATATAGCTCCTTGTACTTCATTCACTTGATGCCATCTGATCGCTCCGGCGAGAATCCACTGTGGGAGTCGGAGGAGCCTTACTGGGATGATTTCTACACTATGTGTAAGTTCGTCTTGACCCGTTGCCACGAACGCATACTGACTATCTTGCAGGGGATATTTTCCGTTGTACTGTCAGCTTCTACCATATTTTCCAACCAGAGTACTACGAGTCTATGATCCGTTCTCTAATTGACATTTGGAGGTATGTTATATTTTCATCAAGACAATGTTCCTTTACTAACAAGGCCCTTATAGACACACGGGGTATATGCCAGATGGACGATCCGGAAACTGGAACGGCCTTGTCCAGGGTGGCTCGGATTCCGATAACGTCTTAGCCGATGCATACGTTAAGGGACTTCGAGGAGCCATTAACTGGACAGATGGATACGCGGCAATGGTCAAAGATGCCGAAGTGACCCCTTATAATACCTTCGACCCTACAGATTTCACTGCAAGCACCAAGGAGGGTCGGGGTGCCTTAGACGACTGGAAAGAGCTCGGTTACGTCTCTGAGGACCGCAACACACGCTGCATTTCTCGAACTGTAGAGTACAGTCTCAACGACTTTGCTCTGAGTCAAGTTGCGAAAGGCGAAGCACCGGGTGATGTACAGAAATATCTGAACCGATCGGCTGGATGGCAAAACATTTGGGATTCAAACGTGAAGAGCTTGAACTTTACTGGCTTCTTGGCTCCTAGGCTTTCGGATGGAACTTTCAATACTTCGGATTATGACCCGCGACTATGCTTTGATTGCGAGTGGAGCTCGTATACATATGAGGGAGTTCCATGGGGTAGGTTGTCTTGATGTATCCATAAAATTTGGGATGGAAAAGCTGACTCGTTGTCTTAAGAGTACTCATTCGTGGTGCCACATGATGTTAAGACATTAATAAAGCATATGGGAGGAGCGGACGGATTTGAGTCACGTCTTGACACGATGGTAAATTACATCCAGGTCCAGGGAAGATAGTCATTCCAAGCTAACCATCGGTAGTTTAAACCAAACATGTCCATTCAGAACCTCGGTGCGAACGGTGCTGGTATCACCACATTAATGAACATTGGGTACGTGTTTAAATTATGTTTAAGTCCAAGTTAATAAGTCCTAGTACTAACCAATCATTTCTTTCCAGAAACGAGCCCGATTTCGCCACGCCTTATTTGTACAACTATATCAACAAACAGCACAAGAGTGTCGCACAGTCTCGCAGTCTCGCCAATGAATAGTAAGTTCCTCCAATGAGCTGCCAGTGTTCATCGAATCATCAGACTCATCACTAATTAAATCCGACAATAGCTTCAAGGATGCCGCTTATGGTATTCCTGGTAACAGTGACGCGGGGGCCATGAATTCGTGGCTTCTATGGCAGATGCTAGGAATCTATCCAATTGTCACGCAACCAGTATACTTGATTTCATCGCCATGGTTTCCTGATATGAACATGACAATCAATGGAAACAACACACTGCGCATTTCAGCCACTGGGCTGGATGATGGATATTTCGTGCAAAGCGTGAAGATCAATGGTAAGCAGTGGACTAAAAACTGGTTTGAGCATGACGATGTCATGACCAATGGGGGAACCATAGAGTTTGAACTTGGTAAGGATGCGAAAGGCTGGGAAAGCGGGGATGTACCTCCGTCCCCTGGCCATGTGGAGTTGAATTAATTCCAAGCTTGAGCTGAGTTCATGGCAGTTTGTCAAAGAGATTGCTAGTATGCAAGCAGAAAGTCTAAGATGCATTCCATGACAATGAATTCAATCTCAACGATGTGTCACTTTCTCTTTCTCTTGTTTTCAGTAAATTGAGCTCGTTTGCCCCGCATCTAGTAGTTAACCGCCCACTTAGCTGTGACGTGCATAATAAGTCCACGGGTACATAACAGCATGTGGGTTACCAGTCAAGCGGGAACTGGAACTGTCCAGCGCAGGATCCCTCGGCAAGAGGATTGAGTTTCCTTTGATTGATCCAGTGGCCAATGACTGTTGATAAAGCCGAAAATTTCAACAAGGATTCCAGGTTTCTTTCCTTGGACAAAGCAGATCGCTGCTTTTCAAAGCTGCCAAGAACGACGATTCTTTGACGTCAGAGCGGGATAGTAGGAGGTTGGGACAATGAAAGCGATTTAGTGCGCCATAATAAAGGAATGAGTCTTTATAAGACGTCCAAGTCTTGTCTGGAGGTTCCAAGGAAATCGTTTCCTTATTTTTTCTCGGTCGGCAATTGCGATAATTGTCCCTAACCTCGAGGATCTGACATCTTGTTAGATCGGGGTCTCCAGTATCTGCACACTTCACCATCAAAGTCTGCAGGAGGGAATTTATTATTCACAAAATCAAATATTCCATTCTGATCTAAAGAAGTGTCAATAAACAAAATGGTTAGTACATTGTTTCCATGGTGCAGTTGAGACAGTCCCAGCGGATCTGCAACCTTTGAACCACGGCTCCAATCCTCAATGGGCGATTATGATTATTCTTGATCGATGACTGATTTTCCTCAATGTAGGCTCCAATCGATTTGCGCCTCGCTGCTCGAGCATCTGGGGGCGATAGTTGTCCAAGTACGATATCCGGTGGCGCCATAGCTGGTATTGTGATCGGATCTATTGCTGGCACCCTTCTTCTCATCTGGATATGGCATGTTTGTCGACTACCCGGAGCATTTAGTGGTGGCCGTGAACCAGACGTCGGATATCGTCCCCCAGTGACTCGCACCCGAGGCCGGAGAAGAAGAAGTACTGGGTCATACGTCGATGTTGTTGAGAAACCTATCAGCACGCGCAGTTCACGGAGATACCGAGATGATGTCCGACACCCACCCAGAGTCTATGTCAGTGACCGGGTATGAAGAAATCTGAATTTACGAACTGGATGAGTTATGTTTTGGGCGCAAGAAGGTTATATCTTTTTGATGAGGGATTTCTTCTTCTTCATTGCTGTCCATGAACTTCAGGGCAGAGAAAAAGGGTATGAGGAACATAACATGCAATGTTCAATTGGACCACGAGAATCTGCACGATATGCACGAATCACGATTGGAATTACAGATTCAGCTGAATGACTCGACGATTATAAATGATTGCCTGGAATTTTTAAATAATTTAATCAAATATCCTTTAATTGGAATATGTTCTCGGTTTAGATTGCTGATCGGAGTTTGGTCTCCGCCAACTATGTACTATATCTGTATGGGTCCCGAGGTCGCGCCGACGGTGAAAAAAGTCCGAAGGGTTTTTAGGGGTAAAGTGTACCCCTTTTTCTCAGGGACCAGGACCACTTTCGCCCCGAAGCGAGCTCAGATAAAGAGTGATGACGCGGACAAAGAGTGACTAAGGGTACTTAGGGATCGCACAAAACATCCTTGTACGCCACAACAACTCGATCTCTACGAATCGAAGATGAAGGAACGAAGCTAGCGATCCATCCACGTCACGTCCAAGAGCCGGCGTAGCGACGGCGCGACGCCGCAAAGCTTCGCCTGGTCAGATTTCGGAAAGTCCGCGAATAACGGCGTGTTTGCGCGATACCCCCTTTTCAAGTGGATAGATTTTTCGCTTATGGTCCAAGATCAAAGTACCTACGTCCCTTAAATAGAGAACCTTTGAACGATGTGGGCAGGGTCCGGAAAATTTCAGGGATCTTTTTTGGGCAGAAGATCTCCACAGCTTTGGTTTACTTTCCTTTTCTGTGATTTGAGTGGGGGTTTTTAAGCGGATAATGTCCACCGGATGTCTCCGGTTCGCACCATGGAAAACAGGATCCATTTAATTCTGCAATTGAATTGAATTGAAAAAGGGGGAAATGAGGATGAGTTGTTTTTATTCTGTATTGCGCCGGGAGTCATGCATGGGAAACCTGTTTCTATTGCCCCTTGTTCCTTAGTATTTTTTGGAAAGATAAGGACTGAACTTAGCTGGTGGATATCAGCTGGGATTGCTCCTTTGCTGGTCTAGACCAAGGCTTGGCCTCGGGGTTAATTTTATGGGGTTGTACCTTTTTGTTCCTGAACCAGGTCAGAGTTTGTCGATCGTGAACTCGAGCTCGGGAAAATGCAACGAACATGTACAGATGGGGTTTATGGAGTACATGTATAAAGGTGCACAGCTTGGCAAGAAATATTATACGTTTAAAAACCATCAGGGTGTTTGGGGATACACAAAAATCAAACTGACACAAGAGGGTCAAATCAAACAGGACTGTGTGTCTCCTGATTCTGCACTTAACCGTGGGTCATGGTCCAATCGGGAATAGAAGATCGGCCAATAAGCGGGATTTCTTATAAAGTAGGCTTGGATTGTGGCTGCTCACGTCCTAAATATGGCTAGACTATGATTATAAGGGGTTTAGTCTCAGGCACGGATCCGTTTAGCTTAAACCTGGTCCAGTCTAGCTTGACAATAATCGGCGTAATCTTCATGTACTCTTTCCCCTTACTGCATAGAGAACCAGGTGCGCTTTTGGTGCGGAGTACGAGGTACCTAAAGATACGGCGCACAGGAACCAAACAAAACAAAATAAAATAAATAATGTTTTTTTGCTTTTATCAAAATGAAAGACAGGCTAGCGCAGACAAACTAGTCTATAATGCGGGCATCCACACCTGCCGTGGCGTTTCTCCCCATTTTCCCTTCGATGCATTCGTTTTCTTAATATTCTTTCCCCAATCGTTTGCTGCCTGTGGACAGTCTCTTCCACTTCCTGTCATTTTTCTATCATTTTTGGTGCGCATAGTGCACATCCACTCTTTATTGCAAAGCACATACCAACTACGAGATATTGATCTCGTATCCAATCATTTATTAGATCTGTTTCCCCGGGTAAAATATCCACGATAAGGAGAAGCAACCGAACCAGTACTCAACATGAGAAACTTCTTCGGCATCACCGCTATTGCGGCTCTGGCCAGCACCGCTGTTGCCCAGACATCTAGCAACTGTAACCCGACCAAGAAATCCTGTCCTGCCGATGCAGCACTCGGTACCGAACACACCTGGTGGTTCAATTCGACAGTCGATTCGAAAATCTGGAACATCACCGACGGCTCACTGACCTATACCGATGAAGGAGCCGAATTCACCCTCAAAGACAACACCTCCGCCCTGCTCGTCGAGTCGAACTTCTATATTTTCTTCGGACGTGTGGAGACATGGGTGAAGATGGCCAAGGGGGCTGGTATCGTCAGCAATATCATTCTGGAGTCTGACGATCTTGATGAGATCGACTGGGAATGGGTTGGATATAACACCAGCTCAGTGCAGACCAACTTCTTCGGCAAGGGTAACACCACAACATACACCCGTGGTGAGAATTTCGCTGTAGCAGACGCGGACACCGATTTCCACAACTACACCACCTGGTGGGATCAGGACAAGCTGGAATGGTGGATTGATGGCTCTCTGGCCCGAACAGTCAACTACTCCGAGTCGGACACCGTGTACGGCAAGAACTATCCCCAAACTCCTTGCCAGGTCAAGATGAGTATTTGGCCTTCCGGCTTGGAGAGCGAGTCCAACGGTACTATTGAATGGGGTGGAGGTCTAGTCGATTGGGACGATGCCCCATTCACCATGACTGTTCAGCGTATGCATGTTCAAGACTTCAGCACTGGCAAAGAGTACAAATATGGCAACATGTCTGGTGATTGGCAAAGTATTGATATCGTCTCGTGAGTACCCCTGATATTTTTCCCGCTCCAATGGAATTAAACTGACTCTTTTAATAGTGGTAACTCTTCAGTTTTGAACGAACTTAACAAGGCGCCCAAGGAAACATTGGCTGAGAAGTGGGCTGATCTCGGCGAAGGCGCCCACATTGGAGTCTACGCCGGTGCTGGCGTTGCTGGTGCTGCCATGGTTGGTGCATTCTTATGGTGGTGTTTGCGTCAACGCCGTAAGGGCCGCCTCGAACATGCCCTGGACGACACTCGATACAACAGCCAGCGCGACGATGCACAGAACTTCCAGCAAGATTGGAAAATGAGTGAATGGAGAAACAGTGGCTACAAACAAGTCAGCTAGATTGGGAACTGTCCCATTAGCAACGACACCTGATATACCCTTGACCCCTTTCTGCAAGTCGCCACGAACTTGAACAGCTTCTCGAAGTTGTTCATTTTGCGATGCGATGCCGGTATCCTAAGCATCCATCGCCATCATGATGACCTGAATCTCCACCAGGTTCACGTCCCGACCACGCGCCGTGAGCGTCTGCAATGTGGTCACGGAATCTCTTAATGACCATTTTATTCCGCCTTGACTCGTATGAACCAAGCATCTGCCCTAAATCGTTTGGGCAACCCCTTCCTGTTGATATACGTTCTTTGGTCTGTTTTTCATTTCTCGGTTCGACTCCGCTGGCGTTGTTTAGGCCTGCAGCAACCTTTTTTTGCCTTCGTTTTGCGCTAGAAAGCCATTTCATCATATACGCATGACCTGTACATATTCTTTTTGCTTTCAAAACATTGAGTCTTTCTTTCAATATTCGTTCCTCACAATGATGCAAGGGTCTGCTAACTGTAATATCCAAGAAAGGGATACATCGATCACTCAGCCGAGCTGTTCTTCTTTCGCCCCACACTATCACGTGTAGCTCGCTTGACCTGCCATACTTCACCGAGTAAAAATATTGTATTTATGTGACATTTGGGCTTAGAGGTCTATCTTGCGCGTCTTGTCAGGTTTACCTTGAATTAAGTAGCTGGCACTTCTCCCAGTCCGTTTGTAAGTACAGCTACTAACTTGTCGCAATGCATGTCAGACACCCCGCACGCTGTAAGATGTGGGGGCTAGAACAACCGCATGATTACTTTGAACACTAATTATTGGCTTGTCAGATCTTTCTCAAGATAAATTGTCCACGGGTCGGAAAACCCAATAACGATGGGGCCGTGTGGGAGATCCTTCAGTCGAACGGATATTTTTGTCCCGACTCCCGCTTGGTATTCCCGAGCCAATAAAAACTTTCTCGAGCTTCGCAGTCTCGCTGGAATGGCCGGACTTTCAATTGTGTTGGATAGGTCGGAGTTTTAGTTTACGACTTCAGTGCGAGTTAGTGATTGGCCCTTGAGAACGCCGAGGCGTCCACAGCGTCCAAACGCGAGACAAGAGCTCGACGCCCTCCACTATGATAAGCTTCAATGAATGCTAGCCTGGCCCCCATGCGCTGCAGGAAGCAGGAGTCTACAGGATTGGTGAATGCTAGACAGGATGGCGGGGTTGACCGTTTTCTCACCTTGATCAGATGGGTTTACTCGGGTGCCATGCACTACATAAAGGCTAGGCCTTGCTGATTTCTTTCTGTTCTACTTTCCTTCTACGCCATTGTATCGATTGAAAATGAGCTCAAGCAAACAGGTTCCCATTCCAGGACCCAAGGGGTTTCCCCTTCTGGGGAACATTAATGATATTGACCCGGAGCTACCGATTAAGAGTATTGAATTAATGGCGGACAGCTACGGTAAATATTGACAAGTTGAAGTTCAATGCGCCCAATGCAAATTATGATGATACTCATGACACCAATATAGGTCCGATTTTCCGACTCACCATATTAGGGGTTCCCCGAGTGTTCCTCAGTTCTCACGAACTAATAAACGAAGTTTGTGACGAGGAACGATTTACGAAAGGGGCCTCCGAGGCGCTAAAACAAATTCGAAATGGAACAAATGACGGCCTTTTCACTGCTGATTACCCCGGGGAGGAGAACTGGGCTGTGGCCCATCGAGTCCTTGTTCCTGCGTTCGGGCCACTGGCAATTCGTGGAATGTTTGATGGTAAGCCTATCTGAACGAGTAATCATATACAAAAAATCCTTTGTGCTCACTTCCGTATACAGAGATGTATGATATTGCAACTCAGCTCGTAATGAAGTGGGCGCGACAAGGTGCCAGTACCCCGATTCCAGTCGCAGATGAGTTTACCCGTTTAACACTGGATACAATTGCCCTATGTGCGATGGGGACGCGCTTCAATTCCTTCTACCACGAGGAGATGCATCCGTTTGTTGAGGCTATGTACGGCCTGTTAGCTGGATCAGGGACTCGGGCACGTCGTCCGGCGCTCCTCAACAATTTGCCCACGAGTGAAAATGCAAAGTACTGGGCTGATATCGAGTACTTGAGAAAGCTCTCGCAAGAGCTTGTTGATTCACGCAAAAACAACCCCCAAGACCAAAAAGATCTTCTCAACGCCATGATTCTAGGTCGTGATCCTCAAACTGGACAAGGTTTGACAGACGACTCGATTGTTGATAACATGATCACGTTTCTTATTGCAGGTATGAATTAATTGATCGATTAAGAGGATAGTTGATCAAGTGGCACTAATTAGTGGGACAGGCCATGAAACAACATCCGGAATGCTTTCATTTTTGTTTTATTTCCTCCTCAAAACTCCACAAGCCTACAAAAAGGCTCAGGAAGAGGTGGATCGAGTCATTGGCAAGCGGAAGATCACGGTCGACGACATGTCTAAGCTTCCCTATATTAACGCCGTGATGCGCGAAACGCTACGCCTCAGATCAACAGTCCCCATCAATGGCATTCACGCGCACCCGACAAAGAACAAGGAAGATCCAGTAACACTAGGCGGAGGGAAATATGTTCTACACAAAGATGAACAGATTCTTCTTGTGCTTTCTAAACTTCATCGTGACCCCAAGGTATGGGGTCCCGACGCAGAAGAATTCAAGCCCGAGCGAATGCTGGACGAGAACTTCGAAAAGCTTCCCAAAAATGCATGGAAGCCATTTGGTAATGGTATGCGTGGGTGCATTGGACGAGCATTTGCTTGGCAGGAAGCTTTACTTGTCGTTGCGATGCTGTTGCAGAATTTCAGTTTCCAGATGGCCAACCCCAGCTATGATCTACGTATCAAACAAACTCTCACGATTAAGCCAAAGGGGTTTGAAATGAAGGCATCCCTTCGTGCAGGCCTTGACCCCACCAAGTTAAGCATGTCATTGAGCGGCACTCCGCACGCGGTTGAGGATCCTGGATTTGCTGGTCGGGAGAGAAAGCAGAAGCCAGTGCCTATAAGCAGTGATCTCAAACCCATGCATATCTTTTATGGTAGCAATACGGGTACTTGTGAGGCGTTTGCGCGCAGATTGGCGGATGATGCTGTTGAGTATGGATTTTCGGCATCGACCAACTCTTTGGATTCGGCTATGCAGAACATTCCCAAGACTGATCCAGTTGTTTTCATTACTGCCTCCTATGAGGGACAACCGCCTGATAATGCAGCTCATTTCTTTGAGTGGTTGAGCGCACTCAAGGGCAATGATCTGGAAGGTGTCAATTATGCCGTCTTTGGCTGCGGCCATCGTAAGTACGCCTCCTGGCTCTGAATAAGTCGCACGACCTAACTCGATATGCAGATGATTGGGCTACTACCTTCCATCGTGTTCCTAAGGCAGTTAATGATATCGCTCTAGAAAATGGTGGATATAGGCTTTGTGATATTGGACTTGCCGACGCAGCCAATTCAGATATGTTCACCGATTTTGATGGCTGGGGCGAGACACAATTTTGGCCCGCCATCACAGCCAAATTCGGCGGACAACAGGATAAGTCCAGTAAAAACAAGTCATCTCTCCAAGTTGACGTGAGCTCGGGAGTTCGTGCGTCAACTTTGGGGCTCCAATTGGAGGAGGGATTCGTAGTTGAAAATCAGCTATTGACCCAACCCGGTGTCCCTATAAAGAGAATGGTCAAGTTCAAACTCCCGACCGATATGACTTATCAATGCGGAGACTATCTTGCGGTTTTACCAATAAATCCCAACCAAATCGTCCGCCGGGCTATTAAGCGCTTCAACTTGCCTTGGGATGCGATGCTTCGTATCCAGAAGCTAGTGAAGAGTACAGCACCACCAAGCATACCCCTTGACACGCCTATCACAGCCTTCTCGCTCTTTTCTACCTATGTGGAGCTCTCCCAGCCTGCGTCAAAGCGTGACCTCAATGCACTGGCAGATGCAGCTATTGAAGATGCCGAGACCCAAGCTGAATTACGCTACATCGCTTCTAGCCCAAGCCGATTCACCTCAGAGATTGTTCAGAAGCGTGTCAGCCCTCTAGATCTTCTAATGCGCTACCCAGCCATCAATATATCCATAGGAGACTTTCTCGCTATGCTTCCGCCCATGCGTGCCCGACAATACTCCGTCTCTTCCTCACCCCTCGCAGACCCTTCCGAATGCACAATCACTTTTTCCGTCCTGAATGCACCAGCTCTATCAGGTCCCTCCGACCCCAACAGCGCAGAAGCAGAGCAATACATGGGCGTCGCATCCAATTACCTCTCCGAGCTTCAACCCGGTGAACGTGCCCAAATCTCCGTCCGACCATCAAGCACTGGCTTCAAACCACCCGTTGATCTACAAACTCCGATGATAATGGCCTGTGCAGGAAGTGGTCTAGCTCCTTTCCGCGGCTTCGTCATGGATCGCGCTGAGAGAATCCGTGGACGTCAGAGCTCCCTTTCTTTCCCCTGATATCGATCCTAGTGAGCAACCAGCCAAGGCTATTCTATATGCTGGCTGCCGAACCAAAGGGCTCGATGACATCCATGCTGCCGAGCTAGCTGAATGGGCTGAAATCGGAGCTGTTGATATACGTTGGGTATACAGTCGTCCGACGGACGGTGAGAAGGGTCGCCATGTGCAGGACCTCATGCGAGAGGAAGGCGAAGAACTGGCTGCCTTGTTTGGAAAGGGAGCGAATATTTATGTCTGTGGTAGTACTAGTGTCGGCTCTGCGGTGAGAGATGTTTGCAAGGATATTGCTATCAGGAAACGCCGCGAGAGGCTTGCTAGGGTCAAGGAAACTGGGGAGCATCCGGGATCAGATGATGATCTTGATGAAGATACTGCTGCCGACAAGTTCTTCGAGCAGTTGAGGGCGAAGGAGCGGTATGCAACAGATGTTTTCACTTGATGGCTATTTGCAACCCTATTTGGTCATATTGAACTTGTATATGAATTTATGAAGTCTTCCTCACTCGGTTCATCAAAAACAAATTGAGTGAACAACAAGACTCTAGTATACTAAATTGCCCATCGAGCCACATTGGCGTCTCGCCGAAAGATTGAAACGGGTATGGCAAACTGTCTTTATAAGCAATAAGATCTACAAATTTAGTATGCTTTTGGCTCTGGATCAATTTTCAAAATGATAGCTATTTATTATATACAAAGGAAAATCGTCGTCGTTTCGTGGAATTCAAGTTTGTTCCCATCATGATCAACATTAGGGATGAAGAGAGGATGAGCCCTCTTGATTTAACATGGGAATGTGCCTGAAAAGATAATCAGTGAAACTATTTTCTCATAAAACGGAAGCGGAAAGGCATACAGTAGAGGTCATTGCAGCTAGGGTCTTCAGTGCTGGTCACCGTGCAGTATTTAACACCGTCAATAATTTGCGTCGTTTCCCTCGGGCGAAGTGGAGCGGCATTTGCTGTCATGAAAGTCATGGCTGCCAGAACGAAAAGCGTGAACTTCATGATGGTGGTTTCGAAGAGTTTAAAAATGATTTTGTCAAGTGAAGGCGTTGATATTGAGCCGAGGTATTCAAGTTATTGTAGAGTGCTGATGTATGTAGAGCTGATGGAATAAAGAAAGGGATATTGCTCGTATTTATCTTCATCAAATCGACCTCACGTCATTGCTTGAGGATTATTCTGGCAAAAATCCTACAGAGCCACGATTTAGGATTACTCACTTGATATGACCGCAATAGGGATCTAGAACAAGGGTATGAAACATGGACATGTTAAACCTTCACAGAAATTGCTTCTAACCCCCACAGACTAGTCCATACATAGCCACGTGCCTAGGGTTTAGACCTCCGAGGTACTAATTGAATGTAAGCCGTAACTAGAAGCAGCATAGCCTCGCGATGCTAGATGAAATAATCCACTTCATGACTAATATCTGTTTCGGGATCTCAATCTTGAAGATGCCCTTCCCGATATTCCCGAGAACTATCAATGGCAGTGGTAATTCGGTCATGATAAGAGCAATCATACTCATATACTGAAAGAAGCAACAGGAAAAGAAATCGGATCTCCTGAAGTCCAAGCTTTGCTAAGAAAGCTTGGCTACCGATAATTTCTCAAATGGGGCGATATTTGAAGAATCACGCCCGAACGGCCCCATGCATATTCACCAATGTCCAAATAGAACCAATTCCACGCCTATGATGTTATTGATTAAAGTCTCATGATAAAACACGTCATACTCGCTGTTCACTTCCGCCCCTGGGCAGAGTTTTTAATCTACATAGATCCCGATCCGTACGCCCTTTCTTGAAACTCTGCCCCATCGGTCACCAACGAGATATTTAGGATGAAATATTGCCTTCAGGTCATTGAATATCGGTGAAATCGAGTTTTCGACAGCCGCCATTTTAATAGATAGATCTTATTGCTGAAATCTAGTGCAATTTCCTATCTAGATAATCCGAAACGTGATATATGGTTTTATTCGGTCCCACGAGGGAATGACGAGCCACTAGAACAGCGTCAACTAGAAAAGCAAATATTAGATATAGTTTCAAGATCCACCTGTAATGAGTATTCATAAAATGTTGGCTGTAACATTCGAAAAAAGGTGTGCAGTGGAAGCAATTTTATCATTTGCGCCCTGCTCATTTTCAGCCCCAGAAGGATTCCGCCAAGCACAAAGAGCAGCCAACTGAAGTCCCGCTTCTTTATTCTATATTTCCTCTTTTATCTTCACCTTTCCTGCTTACTTACCTCATTTGAGGAGTTATCAAGAATGCCCAGTAGTTGTTCACGAATCACTACTGATTATGGGCTAAATAGTCAAAATGCTACTCTAACTTGACTAGGAGAATCATCATAGACAAACTGTGCTCACTCTAAATTGCGAGTTGTTCACTAGTAAAACAAGAAAAGCTTCATGCGGTAGTAGCATTGACTTCCTGCACAAAAAGTAAGGAGGAAAAAGCCACGGTTATCTCAAATGACGCTAACAATGATCTCATTTCTAGGCCATTAGTAATGGTATCATAGCCACCGATAGATCTTCCATGAGCTCCGCCAGATCTACCTCTCTGCTATCAGCGCATCCAGACAACAATCTTATGGGATGGCTGTGATCCTGTCGAGTTGCGATCTCCAACGCGGTAAGTCCATCTTTATAACGAGGCTCGAGGTCAATGAATGGGACCCCCAGTAAAAATTGAACGACTTGAACGACTTGAACGACTTGAACGTGTCTTAAGCGTACAGCTGTAATTATTGGTGTTTCATTCCACCTATTCCGCCGGTTCGGGTCAAAATGAGGATGTTTTGATAATGCTTCAACCTCACCTTCATACCCACATTTTATGAAAACATCAAGAGCTGTCTCGTTCAGCAGATTTGGGATATTGATATCCAAATCCTAGTGTTTGCATACAGCTGCAACTGCGAGTGCACTGCCGGCTTCCATCAAAGCCGTATCACCAAAATAGGATTTGGCATTAACATCGATATTTGGCTGCTGTAAAAGCACCTTGATCGCTCGATGATGTCCCTCTTCTGCGGCAGACATCAGGATTGTCGTACCCGCTTCCTCAGCTGGATCTGGGGTAGAGGCGTGAAGTTGGTGGTTGATATCAACGTCGAAATGTTCCAAGATTAGTTTGATGGCTCGTACATCTTCCCTCTTGACAGCATTCAACAGATCGGAAACAAGCTCTTTTGCATCCGGGAGTTGCCATCATCTCATTTTACAGTAAATAAAAATCTCTCTGTTTCCAAAAAAAAAAACGCCGCTAATCCCAGTAGACTACCGTTTACATAGCCAAATGGGGATTGTGGTTGAATATGCATGTAACAGTCTCTCACCACCGAGCCTAAGGCTTCAAGCACACCGAAGTGACCTCCGGCAATAGCTAGACATTGGCAGCTATTGAAGATGGTGCCAAACTGATTAAACGGAAATTTCCAGGGTGATTCTCTGACAGACAGATCATTCATGTATTCTTCCTAAGCATTTCCCCATGTCCCTGTTCAGCTGCACAGATGGCACCTGCGCATCTTACATCGCTCAGTATTCTCGCAAATACGAGTGGATACCCATTATATGCTCCCTCGAGCCCCAAATCTTCATTGCTTCCTGTTCGGTCATTCCAGCACCCCTCCGCTCTGATTTTCCATCAGTGAGATATTTCGAACGTGATCGACCCATGATATACAGCTTTGAATCTGCTCGAATGAAGGCATATTTGCACACTCCCCCGTTTTAATCTTTCCATTGGCTAGAATTCCATCAAAAATAGTATTAAATCCAAAGAAAGACGCTACAAGAAAAAGACGGTCGTTCGCGCTAGTATATGCTCGAAGAAAGCCCAATAGCGTTCGAAGCCTGCGACTATGAGCACCGTCAGCTGTCTTATCTTCTAGAGATACAAAGATCTAAGGGTCAAAGGAGAATATAGAGATTACAAAGAAGTAATAACTAAATATAAGACGCCTAATACTCTTGCCTAATTCTCCCTCTGAGATTTTTGCAAGGTTTAATAAGATCGGAGCAGGGGATATAGGGCTCTATGTGCATTCCTGGCTCTTTTCATGTGCTACTGCACATCTCGACTATTTCATATGCCATGAACTGATGATCTTCGACCTTTCTAGGCTGGGGCAACAAGGTGCAATTGACATCATATATCTTGTGCACTGTGCTCATCGGCAATAACTTGAATTTATAAGTAACAAGCGGCTCAGCTACTTGTCCTATACCTCTTACGTCTCATCGGTGAGCCATAAATACCATGGACCACCTCGTTTGTAGCGTTTTTTGTACAGAAACTAACATTTGAGGAGGCGTCGAAAGATGCACAACAAATCCGGGGACTCCACAGCGGGGTATCTTCGGCAATTCTCTCTCCAAGGTTTACCATCATAGGCCGCAAAGTTTCTCGAATTACCTCTTTCATCTCTCTCAAGGTAATTAAAACCGCCTAGTAGGCTCCACATCAAATTTAGCCGACCTGTTTCCCCAGCAGAATTCAAAATGCCTCATCACCAAGCACTCCACAGCTTGCAGCGGACTGTGCTCCTCCACCTTGAGCTCTTGGCTTGAGACCCTTGGCAAAATTGTCTGTGCGTGACCCAATGAGACCAATGAGACGCGCTGCTGCCACGCGATGTGGTCCCCATTTACGGATCTACAGCGCTTGTTCCGTATTTTCAGGGTGTACCCCGAGGACCTGCAATGCCTCGCCGGATGCCGTGGCCCGTGGACTGCTACATCATGCCGTCAAATGGCGGGGAGAGGTCAATGTGATTGGACCCTGACGCGGAGCTCTATCGGCGCGATTCTTCACATTCTTCATATAAAGGCATGCTGTCGCCTGGGGCTGGATTTTTATCGTGCAATCTGGATATCTTGTTCAGCTTTCTTTCGTCGCAAAAAGCCAACATGTTCCGACTTGTAAATAGGGCGACCGTGATCGCTAGCGTGGTCTCGTTCCTAGGTCACTGCCCTGTCACTGCAGCTGATCAATCCTCAAGCACAGATCGTAAGCCAGTGCTCTAGTAGTCTTTTTTTCCCGATGCTAATTGCCTGGATTTATCTAGCTATTGTTGTGGATGGAAAAACATTTGCGCTCAATGGTGATCATGTTTCCTACCGCTTCCATGTGGATAATAGTACTGGGGATTTGCTATCCGACCACTTCGGTGGCAGCGTAACGGGCCCCATTCCCACTGAGATCACAGGCGCTGTCAACGGTTGGGTTGGGAGACCAGGTCGAATTCGAAGAGAATTTCCAGACCAAGGCCGAGGAGATTTCCGTATACCCGCTATACGTATTCGGCAGACCGAAGGATATACTGTATCCGACCTTCAGTACAGGTCTCATGAGACGAAGCGTGGAAAGCCAACCTTGCCTGGTTTACCGTCGACATTTGGAGACGAAGATGATGTGTCCACACTGGTAATACATTTGTATGATGACTATAGCGATGTCGCAGCAGCTTTGTCATACTCCATTTTCCCCAAACAAGACGCAATTGTCCGGAGTGCCAGCATAAAGAACAAAGGAAAGAGCAACATTACAGTCGAGTCACTTGCAAGTTTGAGTGTCGACTTTCCATATGAAGATTTGGACATGATTAGTTTAAGAGGAGACTGGGCAAGAGAGGCTCACCGTGAACGGAGAAAGGTCGAATACGGGATTCAGAGGTACCTAAGCCTTTGACTTTTAAAAACTACAATGACTTGTTGGCTAACCCTCAATGACATTTAGTTTTGGAAGCTTAACAGGCTACGCTTCTCATCTTCATAACCCATTCGTGTCCATTGTGAACCCAGAGACCACCGAATCTTCCGGCGAGGCATGGGGTTTCTCCCTAATTTACTCAGGATCGTTCTCCGTTGAGGTCGAAAAGGGCTCACAGGGCTTCACTCGCACTATGCTCGGACTCAATCCCAGCCAATTATCTTGGAACCTTGGTCCAGGTGAGAACTTGACTTCGCCAGAATGCGTTGCTGTCTACTCGAACAATGGAATCGGAGGGATGTCTCGCTCGCTGCACCGGCTATACCGAAACCATCTTATCAAAAGCAAATTCGCAACTGCTGATCGCCCAGCATTGCTCAACAGCTGGGAGGGACTTGGTTCGACTTTCAATGAGAGTACTATCTATGAGCTAGCCCGGGAGTCAGCAGATCTAGGTATCAAAATGTTTGTTCTGGATGATGGTTGGTTCGGCGACAAGTATCCTCGAACCTCTGATACCGCAGGTCTTGGTGACTGGGTGCCCAACCCACGACGATTCCCTGAAGGTCTCGCACATGCTGTGAATAGCATCACAGATCTCAAAGCCGCTAATACATCAACGAATCTGCGATTCGGAATTTGGTTTGAGCCCGAAATGGTGAATCCCAACTCTAGCCTTTATCACGAGCATCCGGATTGGGCACTCCATGCAGGATCTTACCCTCGCACACAAACTCGAAATCAATTGGTCCTTAATGTCGCCCTTCCAGAAGTCCAGGAATTTATCATTGAGGCTGTGTCGAACATCCTCAACAGTGCGGACATTACATATGTCAAGTGGGATAACAACAGAGGAATCCATGAGATGCCCTCCCCATCGACGGATCACCAATACATGTTGGGACTGTACCGTGTTTTCGACAACCTGACAACTACATTCCCCGATGTTTTATGGGAAGGCTGTGCGTCTGGCGGTGGTCGATTTGATCCAGGTGTGCTGCAGTACTTCCCACAAATCTGGGCTTCGGATGATACCGATGCCATTGAGCGTATCACTATTCAACTCGGAACATCGCTCGCTTACCCACCAAGTGCAATGGGTGCGCATCTCTCCGCTGTTCCAAATCAACAAACCGGTCGGACAGTTCCAGTTGATTTCCGCGGCCATGTTGCAATGATGGGGGGCTCATTCGGTTTGGAGCTCGATCCGGCAAATACACCCGAGGCCGACCGGGCTGCTTTGCCTGGCCTCATTAAACTTGCAGAAAAGGTCAACCCGATAATTCTAAAGGGTGACATGTACCGATTAAGCCTACCCGAAGATTCCGACTGGCCTGCTGTACTTTTCATTTCCGAAGACAGTAGCGAGGCAGTTCTGTTCTATTTCCAACTGAACCCCAGAGTGGACCAAGCTATTCCATGGGTCAGGATGCAAGGACTGGACCCAACGGCCATGTACAGTGTTGATGACAATGCTACATACTCTGGAGCAACTCTGATGAACCTTGGCCTGCAGTTCCCATTCGATACTGAATATGGAAGCAAGGTGGTGTTCCTTGAGAAGCAGTGAGTCTACAATGTATAGAGGATTTTTATCTTAAAGAACCGAATTTTTCGAAAGAAATGAGTATTTATCTCAAGATAGAAAACAACATGCTTCAATTGCCCAAGTCTATAGCGACATGCATATGAACAGAGTCACTAACCAAATGTGCTAAGATGCAAAACATTCCAGCTCCAACGCGAAAAACTCAAAAATAAGGACAAGAAATCCATAAACATAGGAAATACAGGCCCGGGAAGTTCATGAATAGTATGAAGAATGACGACCGGCGTAATAATTCGAACTAATATAAACAGACCCTTTCTATAATTGTATGCTTCTTTCAACCCGATTCGTCGTGAAAATGACTTTTAGTCATGGCCGCATGTAGAATGATCTAGTAAGTGCGCTTGGCCGGCAGGCTGGGGGTTGGGGTGGCATCAGGGCTGATAGCGTGGGTAGCCTCAGCACGGCCCAGGTTGTTCAAGTCCTTCTGGCACTGCTTGTAGAGCTTCTCCTTTTGCTCTCCAGTCTCGCGCTCCCAGCTGTGGTAGTCCTGGTAGTAGGTGTTTTGGAGGTGCTGGACAGGAACGGGAGCGTTGGGGTCAAGGCGAGCCTTAGGCGAAGGAAGAGCGGGCGAGGCAGTGGTTGAAGGAGCGACGGTGCCCGAGGCGACAGCAGAGCTGGTAGGAGTGGGAGTCACGGTGCCAGAACCAGCTGGCAGGGCGGCGGCAGCGCCGGCAAGACCAAGAGCGAGGATGGTGAAGAAACGCATATTGAATGATTGGTGTTGTTTAGAAGAAGATTGCTGAAAAGCGTTGGAGTGGAATTGTTTTGAGTTGTGAAACTGTGAAGAGAATGTTTTGATTGTTGTTGATGAAGAATGAAAGAGACAGGATATCAGGACATCTTTATAGGTATTGCTGCCCCTGATGAAGATCATGCGTGTGGTAGATGCGCATAGTAGATTTGCATTGATTGAGATCATGATATCAATAGTTTCCCGAAAGAGTCGACTGAAACCAAACATAGAACAATGTGCCACCGTAGATCGGTTTCCAAGTCTTGGCTTGGGCAAAAGGGTATGTGGGGCAGTGTACTTGGCTTCCTTCCTTGGAGGGCTTCGAAGGCAAAGTTATGGGTAGTCATGTTGCGGCAACACATTATTGTACCTGCAGTGAGTAAGATAGTTGATCCATCGGTTTTGCTTCTTTATTCGCCCATTGTTTCTATTGCTGTTTGAGTATTCAACGCATGAATTACGATAATTGGCCCCAATAAAGTGGCGGTGCTAGTCCACGCATACAGAATCGAAACTACATAGGCCACTACTGCTTTTACTTATTTCTACTCTCAAAATTAGATTGATCGCATTAAAAAAGACACTCGAGTTGATATAACCCCCCCGCCTATTCATGCTCAGACCCGGTGGCTCCTCAGTGCAAGCCTCCAGGATTGCGGATACGGAAACTAGGAACCGGTCGATCCCTGTACGTTCGCCACTAAAGGTTGAATTTGGGGGCCAGTATCATCATGATTGTTATGGGCCATTTGCTGATTAATCGCTCATAAACATCACAATTAAAATAATGAGGGCCAATCACCGCATGAATTTGTGGATTATGCACTTAATACACCCACGGTGATCTGGGGGCATGTTTCAAAACTTTGCCTTTACGCGGCATCGCGGCGAACCCGAGACCCTGAAACAACAACTTCCCCAGTTATTCATCCGCATATGCATCCACTAAATACGTCGTCCCCTGCCGAAGAGGGTTTCAAAGTTGCAGTAACCCAAACTAGCAAAATGGAAGAGCCCTACATACTGCATAAAGATATTAGTGCGAGGCACTTTTTTTGGAGGCATGATTACCTCTCTTGGCCTGTCGCTATCGGCCTTACCATCGGGTTTATCATAATCACTCAAAATATTTCACTGTTTTCTCTAGCTTTTCGAATTTATTGTGTATTGTTAGGATTAAAATCTTGGGATGCCGAACATGACATCATAAATAGAAGAGGACAACACCAGCTAAGTAAGTGCTACACATCGGAAGACAATTTTAAGACCACATTGCACACATTGCAACGTGTTCCTGGCTTACAAACTCCACGTGTATACATTGGAAGTTATTTTTGGATATACCCCTGAGTATTGATAGCCCGTCAATATGCAGGTTCAAATTCGCATGATTAAACTTATTCAGATGATGGTTGTAACTTTCTGGTTCATCGTGGCCGAAATCCGAATGAGGAAAAAGTCCCCCACTCAGGGTCTCCCGTGGCGATGCTCGTATACGCGTACCCGTATCTCGCATTATTGCTATGCTTTTCTTTCAGCTAAAATTAATCTAGCAACACTTCTTCAGCATGGCAGTGTTTTAATGTTGCGTCTGGCACTGCATGGTGCTTTCAAAACAAAGCCGGCCTCTATGGCCATGCGCTATCACTTGCTTGCGAAAGAGAAACGACACAATAACGCTCGAGATATCCATTAAATATTTGGTATGTCGCGAAAAATAATAAATCCTGAACGGAGATCATCAAGGTATTATTTTGACAGCAAAGTGTTGTGAGTACATGAATAAAATCAAACATTTAAAATCATTCAGTCCAGAGAGCTATATACTCCGTGAATTGTGTAGATGTGGTCCTAATAAACCTCGTAAAATATCAAACTCGATCATGCCACCATATTTCAAGTTCCCTGCCATTATTTCTCAACCCAGTCCGAGTCACTAATTGGCCAACGCAGACCGCAGCCGACATATGCGAACGATGGGATCGAGTTGGATTTTCTTGTGCTCTCGAACGGCACGTTATAGACATCAGCTGGACGACTCAGGCTGTTGCCTTGCACGCTCAGCTATATATTGTGTTCCAGTGGAACCAAAAAAAGAATTATGCAAACAAAGCTCATCAAAGAAATGAATTTGAAAGGTCAGATTTCTTTCGATAGAACAAAATTCGGGCGCTTGGCGGCTGCCTCCCTCAGGACATGCGCTCGGGGGCGCTGGCGTCTATGAGTGGTATTCGCACAAGCATTGCCGTTATAGTTCGCCTCGGATACCATCATGTTCAGCAATTTTGTCGAATGCCTCGTGAAGTTGCTCATCCAGGAGTGATGCTTTGTCAGGAGAGAGTTGCTTCATCTTGGCAACGAAATCGCCAAGTTTTTCGTGATCAATTTCAGGGACCCCGTTATCACCAGCTTTGGCAAATTTTGCGAAGGGGCATTGGGCAGCAAACGATACACCAGCAGCTGCTAGAAAGACAAAAAGGTATTGAAGATTCATATTGGCAGACTTGGAAACGAACTTTGGGTGGATCAAGAAAGGACAGTTGTGTGATGGGAGAGATTGAAGGACTTGGGTTCGATCATCGACTTTTATGACCTACTTGTGTCTTCTAACTGGATAATTCGTCAAATGTTGCAATTTAATAAAATTTTACTATTTGATTTGGCTTAGAATTTGCAAGTCTGTTACTGGATGGCGTGCGAAAGATACTTCGGAGCTAAGAACAGCGAGCAACCAGCTTATCGAGATCAAGGTTTGGCTAGTGTGGATCTCTGTCTCAATGCCAAAGAACTCAAGGAAATGTGGAGTTTTGGGGATGTGGAATATATTGTTTCCAGGAAATACTGTACCTGTGCATACTGGAAAGCAATGACCCGCCCATCTAGTAGTCAAACCTCCCCCTACTAGGATGCAAAGTTGATCACGAACTAGCGATCAGTGCGCTGTATTTTCATTCAAGTCACGCCTTTCTTGAGCTGTATGACGATGTGATTTACTTCTATGATTCGGAATTCATTCTACAATTTGCTTTTTCTCTGTATTATTTCAACTCCATCCCCAATGAAGGCGTGGGTTCATCCAACTGTAGATCATCATTTATGACTGCGATCGGCGATATCCAAAAGATTCACAACACAAAACCCCTGTCACCTCATCGGGCGAATACCACAGCTCACATATGTCATCTTTAAGTTATTGTATTACAGGTATCGTGATCCTCTGTCGGCCAAAAACAGGCAGAAACAGGTTTTTCTCCGATGATCGCTATCGGCCGCCGTAGATACGGTTCTATCCATCCTTCATATGGACCATGTGTTGACAGAAGAATAATATACTGCAAGAAATAGAGATTAAGCTGACAGGAAGTTGCTAAATATAGATTCCAAATGGTAAAAACAGAAAAAGTAGAATTGAGTAGTACTCCGTATACATAAAATTGAACTCAACAGGACATTTGTTCGCGCTAAATCGAACCTTGAGCGGATTAAACCAACGTAGTTTTTTCCGCATCAATGTGATCACTTCGCGCCATAGTTTCGGTAAAACACCCGGATCAACATTCGAGCTCCAGCATTCCTTTTTGCAAGCCTTTTCATGCAATAGCGAATATGCTGTCTCCGTTTAGATAAATCATATTCCGTGCTGCTCTTCTTAGTGTAAAGCTCCCATTCCAATTGTTCATCATCATCTAGCATGTCAGACAGATCGGCGGTTTTTTCCTCCCCAAATTCAAAAGACGTTCCAAAAAGCACAGTAGTGCGACAGATTGGGTGCAACTCGGAGGATCGCCAATCGATAGACCTCCAAACTGGTTTGACCTTCCATGGAAGACGTCGCTCCTTCATGCACTCTTCCCACCACGGTTGGAAGATGCTAAGGGCGTTGCTTCCGCTGACAGCGTGCACGGGCCCCGTTGTGCCATATGCCAGGTGAGCCAACAGTCGGTCTGCCACTACATCCACTGGCACTTCATCGCTTGTTGCTTCGAGCATAGGATTAGATGCTCGCGTGGCAAGCACCATTGAGCGAGAAGGTGTCAGCATGATGGCGGCGGAGAAGAGAGTTGAGGGAGTTGATAGCGGCATGCTATATCCCTCAAAAGGGTAACTTTGAGCTGGGCCAATGATGGACGGCCTCAGTATGAGAAGTTTATCCCCAAGCTTCTTTTTCATCAAACGTTCCGTTAAGTGTTTTGCGTAGGTGTACGCATATGGAAACTGCTCAACATATTCATTGAACTGACTCGGCTCGTCTTCCTTCAGGTCATCAAGCTCCGCAAGCTCATCATCGGTAGTATCGCCATCGCCGATAGGGTAGATCTGCTCTTCGATCCTCACGTGTGGGGTGCCGCGACTTTGATATAGGTTTGCATTCGAATAAGCTGTCGAAACATACACAAATCGCTCCAAGTTGGGGCACTTGGTAGCCAGTTCGGCAAGGTTCAGGCTGGCGTAGACTATCATGTTTTTGATTTGCTTCAATGGACGTGCAAGATTGATAGTTGAGGCACTGTGGATGATAATATCCAAATCAAGCTTTAGGCCATCAAGGGCCGAATTGAAATCCATTGTTTCAATGTCCCCTTGAATGGTGAGTATGTTATCCGTGTTCAACAACGCGTCGGCTTCAGGGCCAAGCCATTCTTTCCACTTCTTTTCCAGCGAGCTGTGATGATTAAACAAAAGGTTAATACAAGCAACCGATAATTCAAAATATGGGTTATAAGAATCATAACTTACTCGCGACCTCCTCTGCAGACAATGTATATCTTGTTCGGGGCAGCCTTTGTAACAAGCCTGTATACAATCGCAGTTCCAAGGAATCCTGAGCCTCCTGTAATGAGGATGTTCTTTTTGTAGAACCTGTTCCACAAAGATGTCATATTGAAAGATCACAGATTCACTGATCACTGGAATATTGTTGGTTGATCGTCAAGAAGAGCTGATATGCAGGGTAATTTGTGTCTTGAAGGCCGATTTTATAGTATAAAGCTTGAGATGACTCCGCCTATCATTTCATAAAAACTGTCAAAATTACCGACACTCTCAATCTAGCACGAGGAAGTAAAAGATTGCGCCATATATTGAAGATCTCGAATCATATCATGAGGTCTCTGGCTTTCACGGCTTTGTCTACAGCGAATACTCGCACAATATACGACCAAGATTTGCATATTTCACGCAAGTGGCCTGGTTAGGGACTAGGATGAAGATCAGATAATTCGAGCTATATCAAAGTTTTTCTATATTTCTTACCGTGTCGATCTCGATGGCGCCACGAACTGATGTATCATTGGCATAATATCACCTCATGACCCTAGATATGCAAGGCTTGCATGAGACTAAACCCGCCGGCTTGGGACCTGAAAGACCCTCTTGTGGATTCAGAGCCTTATGAACTACCGGGGTACATTGTCGGCCGAGACCCTACATGGAATTATATGTGACATGCCTCGTAGCTACTTGAATATTGCTCAACTTGAAGCCATTACCCACGGGGTATCGGCCGAAACCCCACAGATCATTGTGATGACCTCGGACCAAAGTAAGCGCTATTATACCCCATCGCTGGATCTAGTCACCATCTTTTCATTTTTGGTATCACTTGTTTCTGTGTGAAGTATGAACCATGCAATGCAGTTGACTAGAGACATCACTGGCGATCTTCTGTGTTCCGCAGGATTCCTTCGCCTAGCACTTTATTTTCGTAGACTAGTAATTGACGACGTAAACAAGAGTCTTATGAAGAATACAGAAACAATCTCCATGCATTCCGTGCAAAGCAGACAATAAGGGTAGCTCAACCTCCATTTCCTATAAGCAGACTCTCCACGGTATTTGCGAACATTCTTGGTTAACACACACTAGGGCAGAACTATCAACTAGGAGCTTTGGCCTCTTCATAATGTGACCCAATTTTGGACAGTGGTCAAATACGAGGGGGTTTTTCAATTCGAATTTTGATTCGATGTTTATCTCTATACCCCTCCTCTCATCTACCCTTGGATCTGTGACAATATCTCTCCCCGATGGTGTCAGCCTTCGTTCATGCAGATCAAAAGCAAAGGAACGGGCCTAGTTTGAGGCTAAGAGTGACTATCGTGCCGAAGGATCATTTCAGCCGTACGTAAAAAGTTTCAGTATTGCGCACATTCGCTGGGCACATTAAGCTCAATTCGTACATCATTCTCATCACCCGCAATTGTTGCATCGAGGGTATTTCCAATTTCGATTGGAATATAGCTCAAATCATCAGATTGGGTATTATCACGCAATATAATTTAGTTTTTAGAGAAGACAATCTATCTAGGAAATACATCTATAAGTAAAGGTTCGATACCTATGATGTTGAGAATCAGATAGTACTATCAATTTATTATTTAGCTCTTCAGCATGGAGCTCTTCCATTTCATTCTTCTATCAATACTCTTTCTAGGCTCAGCGCCTACTACCCGAGCGACTGATCTTGAATACGAATATATCGTCGTGGGAAGTGGAGCTGGAGGAGGACCTTTAGCTAGTAGACTTGCTAGAGAAGGACGCAAAACTCTCCTTATCGAAGCTGGCAGTGACCAGACTGGTAACCTGAACACTTCCATCCCTGGTTACCAAGCCGTCGTTACAGAAGACAAAGCACTTCGTTGGGATATATTCGTGAATCATTATCAAGATCAGGAGCGTGCACAACGCGATCCCAAGTACACATGGGAAACGGCTCCGTATGAGTACCATGTCGGCCCAAATCCTCCTGAGGGTGCCACCCCACGCGGCATCTTGTACCCCCGTGCACAGGCCCTTGGAGGATGTACTCCCCACAACGCACTTATCTGGATCACCCCACATGAGAGTGACTGGGATAACATCGCCAACTTGACTGGTGACAAATCCTGGGACCATGAGAACATGAACCAATATCTCCAGAAAGTCTACGAATGGCTGCCTACGGAACCAACCGATCCTACAATTCTCGTGAACGATCTCGCCCTTGCTCAACACTATGTTGCTGGCGCTGCTGCTGGGGGTATTGGCCCAGATCCTCTCGACGCTGTTACAGGTCTTGTCAATCTCCTCGCAAACGATCCAAATAGCGAAATCAACCCTGCGCGCGACTCAACCCAGGGATTCTTTCAAGTACCCTTGACTATGGACTCAGGCAATCGCACAGATGTCGCCTCGTGGATCAAAGCTACCGTCGCGGACGGGTTTCCATTGGATGTTCGCACAAATGCCTTCGTGACAAAAATCATTTTCGATGAGTCTGGGGATACTCCAAAGGCCACTGGTGTAGAGTTCCAGGATGGCGAATACCTCTATCGAGCAAGTCCCCGCAATCTCAACAGCAAACCTGGCACCCCTGGCTCAGCTCGTGCCACAAAGGAGCTCATTATCTCCGCTGGTGCTTATAACACACCTCAGCTGCTGAAACTGAGCGGAATCGGCCCCAAGGAAGAGTTGGAAAAATTCAACATCTCTGTTGTGAAAGATCTCCCAGGTGTCGGTACAAACCTAATGGATCGATACGAGGTTCCAGTCAATGTTCAGCACAAGGAAGACTTCGCTATTCTCGACGGATGCACTTTCGACGCCAAGCCACATGATGAGTGCCTAAAGAAATGGGAAGACAATCCATATATTCTGGGCCAGCGAGGAGCATATGCAACCAATGGTCTCGCGGCAACTTTAGCCGTACATTCGGACTATGCCTCTGATTCGAACATTGATCTCTTTATTTTTGGGGGCCCCATCAACTTCCAGGGCTATTTCCCAGGATGGGCAGAACAGGCTGTAGCAGACCACTCACACTTCTCCTGGTACACTCTCAAAGCGCATACACGGAACCACGCTGGAACTGTCCAATTACAATCAGCAGACCCATTTGACCAGCCTTTGATTAACTTCAACTACTTCGACACGGGTACCACTACGGGTGGTGCTGACGATCTTGACGCAGGTGCAATCGTGCAAGCAATTAATATTTCCCGTCACGCGCTATCCGAGTATTATAACTATGATATTCTGGGCGGCTCGTCATTTGTGGAGCAGAACCCCGGCCAAGATGTGGATGGCGATGCTGAGCTAGAGGAGTACGTGAAAGATGTGGCGTGGGGTCACCATGCATCTTGCACAGTTCCCATTGGGGCAGATGATGATGCCAATGCGGTCTTGGACTCAGAATTCCGAGTTCGAGGTGTGCAAAACCTTCGTGTCGTTGACGCTAGCGTTTTCCCTGATATTCCTGGTGTTTTCATTACCGCTCCGATCTACATAATCAGCGAGAAAGCGGCAGATGTAATCCTAAATGGGTCTGGCTGAAATGAACATTTTACTAAATTGCTATGGCCTGCTTTTAGATAATATGATATCATGATGAAGGGGCATGACTATCCTTTGAAAGGTGATCTCCAGGGCTTAGGTTATTTGACTAGTCTTCGTGATAGATCTTGGAATACAACTGATAATCATAATGCCATTTCATTAAGTCTCCTTCATATCCAAACTTGACTCTTATCAATTCTCCTCGTTAATAAATCGGGCCATCGTCATAGCTTCTCATCCATCGTGGTTCTGAAAGGAGTCTGCTGGCCAGACCAATTTCTCTCTACCATAACTATTGAGATGAACATTTTTTCCTAATCCCATCCTTGACAAAGATAGTTAGAAATGTCAAGAAAACTTTTCTTATGCCGCAAATTTAAGCTTCGGAACTCTATTAGCCAAGGAAATAAGATGTGCTGTAATGATTGCACCACCGAACCTATCAATGATGACCATGTCATCCCAGCTATGCATTGATCGCTTCTTGGCATCCGTTCGTCAGATGAAAAAGACAAATAGCCTTGGAACTTAGCTTCGTATTCTCATAACAAGCCACTAGAAAAATCAAGTAAAAATGATCATAATAGGTCCAAGATGCATTTTGTCAAGGTGGTGGCTGCAGGATTTGCGCTAGCGCGATGATCTGCACAAAAGTTATACTCCTGTCACGCACATCTTCTGCGTTTTCAATTGCGACATCAGACCCTCGAGACCAACCCGCACCAATGCCGGAATTCGGTGAAGGGGGTAATACATGGCCCCAGGTACAAAGTCCAAAGCGAATTACAAGTTTAGCTCGATTTAATTAGGTTAACACTGCAGTATACTGCAGATCCCCACCTAAACAGTGCAATGGAACCCTCCCCCGCCCAGCACGTCGATTTGATCACGATAGAACAATCATACTGATTTTTGCGCTGAAGATAATTGGCGATCGCAAGTGTTCTCTCGCCCGAAAGACCCCTTTACCCCAGCTGTGGAGCTATCAATCTCTTCTCATCTCTGATGGTATCCAATCAGGAGTAGCTTATGGTCATCTATCTAGATTCATGCGGTCGGTCTCTAGTAAAGTTGCGCAATAAAGCTTTGTATTGTGTTCTCAATTTTCAAGATTTGCGATCGAGCGATCGCACGAGTCACAAGGCGAAGAATCTTTTAATTGTCATCGAGGCGTTCGTAGTTCTTCGTCAGGTACAGGAACGGGCGGAGATAGTTCGAAAAGGCATGACAATAGTCAGTTCTGACGCGATAGCCATTAAAAGATGCTCATAGACTCAGGAACCGGATTTTCAAAGTCTATAGTAAGACCTGTTGATGTAGTATATAAAGAGGGTATTCAGCTGTAGCATCTCTTCAGTTTGAATCACTCGTGTACTTCTCTCAAACCGTCACTATGAAGCTTTTTTTTGCCTTCACTGCCGCAGTGACTGTTGTCTCCGGCTTCCCGGTCATCGATAATCTTCCTTCTGATGTTCATCTACGGGCAGCTGAGCTGGCCACGAGGACTCTGAAAAACCTCGAGGCACAAGCCGTTCAACCACACCAACCCGTCAAGCGTCAATCGCTTCCACTTCCCTCCGATGCCTTGGGCCTCAGCCGAGCAGAGACCAACTGTGGACCTTCAATCCCTTGTCCCTACTTCGATGAAGAGGAGCAAAAGATCTCAGTAGAGGGAGAATATGCGTATGCCTCTCCAGCTCCTGATCAGATCCGAGGCCCTTGCCCCGGTCTCAACGCCGCTGCCAATCACGGCTACTTGCCTCGTTCTGGAGTTGCCACAATTGAAGAGACTGTTAGCGGTCTTAACAAGCGTAAGTACCAGGAATCATGATTCACATCAAGAACTGTCTAACGTACCATTTTTCAAATAGTTTATAACATGGGCCTCGAACTCGGTGCAGTCCTTGCCGCGTACGCAGTTATTATCGATGGTGACCTGCTCGGTGGAACATGGTCTATCGGTGGCCCTCAACAAACCGACGCTCTCGGCTCCGTCCTAGGAAACGGTCAAGGTCTATCCTATTCTCACAACAGCTATGAGGGAGATGGATCCATCGGCCGCAATGACGCGTACCTAAACGATGGGGATGCTCACTCGCTCAACATTGACAAATTCGAAGCCGTCTACGCCGTTGGTGGCAATGATACCTCTGAGGATGGACTTGATCAACGATTCACCATCGACAAGTTCCGTGCCCGGTATCAGGAGGTTCAAGAACACTCCATTGCGACCAACCCGTACTACTTCACCGGCGCTTTCTCCACTGTTGTGGTTGTACCTGCTGCGTATAACTTTGTCATTAACTTCATGTCTAACCACTCCGAGGCAGAGCCATCTGGATACTTGGTAAGACACTATACCCATAAACATGAGAGAGATAAACTCTAACAGTCAATAGGATGGATACAACTTCAAGAAGTTCTTCGGTGTGACCGGTAGCCCTGGTTCTTTCGTCTGGAACAAAGGACAGGAACGCGTCCCTGAGAACTGGTACAAGCGCCCAGCCGTTTCGCCATATGGCCTTGCCGATGTCGCACTCGACGTTGGAATCGGATACCTTGCATACCCGGACACCCTTCGCTTCGGCGGAAACACAGGATCCGTCAATTCGTTCACTGGAGTTGCTGTCAGTGACCTTACCGGCGGAGTCCTAAATGCCAAGAACCTCTTTGAGGGAGACAACTTCGCATGCTTTGTTTTTGTACTTCTTCAACAGGGCATTCCTGATTTCCTCAAGGGGCCCCTGGCGGATATCAACAACGCAACCTCCTTCTTGAAGCCATTCCTGTCTCCTATCCTGGATAAGCTTGAATGCCCTGAGCTAGGCCAGTTTGACCAGAGTTTGTTCAACGACTTCCCTGGTTACAAGTATAGCCCAACCGGTCCTGCGACCAACTATTAATCGAGGCTATTTTCCCTGTCGAAAGGTCGTCAGCCCGTTCGTTGATTTAAATGACTCTCTGGCAAGAGAATCGTTTGTATACATATAGGAGAGCTTGGAAAGAACGACATTAGGGCACAAATGTACTTAATTCATCTATTTACTTCCCATGGTTGCCCATCGGGCCATCGTTCTAATTAAACAATCTGTCTTGTTATTTTTGACTTGTCTACCAGAATTACGGGATTAACTTGCACCGCCCAACAGTTGAAACAGGAGAAGCCCCTGCATACTAGAGAGCCAATGATGTGCGAGAAATTCAAACACACTATCTTGGCCCCGACCCCCGCTTTGGCCCCCAGTGCTGCCTAGTTAATTTCTCTGAGTACCCTGCGTAGGGGTTTGTCTACCTATCGACTTTTCCGGCCACATCAGTACTCACTCAGCCTCACTTAACCCTCAGCCCTCGGGTTCTGACGACATCGGGCATCTATACTCGGCATGCGTGTCGCGTTTTTTTGGGACCGTGCTCACCAACGAGTCATTTGGAGTTTTACATCCGATTTGGTAACAGCTTCGACCGGGATACTGAACCAACACCCCGGTCGCTGCATGTAAAGACGTCATCAGGATCTCGAATTCAATTGAAAGTCTAGGGACTAATACTGGGGTGAAAAAGAGAGAAAACCGCATTTTCACTGTTTGATTAAAAATTCCAATGTTTCAGAGCAAGGATATGAAAACACATTCATGGATACACAAAATGTACGGCAATTTGATTTTTTAGTTGATGTTCATATCGCTTCAATCAAAAACTTTCTCTGTACTCAGCAGAACATTGCTTTTGGCAAATGGTATTAAATCGTGAATCGATCTGTGATATCATATAAAGCATTTTCAACACATCCCCTGCCTAGAATTGACACTCACAGGCGTATTTGCCACAGTAAACGAGCCGGCGCTAGGCATAGGGCTGAGCTGTGGGGAGATGGAGCTCAGGTATATATGCATTGGTTGAGGGATGACAGGAGATCCGTTTCTTGTGGATTTGATAATTCTTGGCTTGCTTCATACAACAGTCCTGATGTTCATTTTCTACGTGATCGCGATACTTGCCACCATTGAAACTCCGGACACTTCAATCCACCTAATCTTCTGAGTTTCCCGGATCATGATACTGATTGCTCCTAGCTCATTCAACTGTGACAGGGGTAAATTTGAGCTAATGATGTCAATCATTTATCAAAGATGTGTGTCCGGAATATATACATTCGGATCGTATATTTCAAATTTTGATTTTTTCACTGCTTTTCCACATACGTTCAGGCCAAATGAATACCATAGTCTTTGATACTATTCTATATGAAAATCATATCAACAATATGGGGATTTTTGATGTGTCCACGAGTGTTGCGATCGGCCTCCGTAATTCCATATGGAAATGTGGGTATGCGACGGGATGCTTAGCCCCCAAAACATCCCCCTGTCTATTTAGCTTGGCACCTCCTGGGCAGACATCATATTTACTGGGGTCTTCAATTAAATGACACACACATGACATGTTCAGTGCTTCATACACATCTAGATGAATAATATTAAGTCCAAGAATGATCACATCTTCTTTGTTTACTCTCTATTTCGCATGACTGATACGAAGAATCTGTACAGAGCAGATTCAACGTTGAACGGTGAAGGAACGAACAACGCGGAAATGTCGAATTCTAATTTGGCGCTTACCAGGATTGGTAGGGGATGCGGAGAGCATCCATGCAGTGCGCAAAGCCTCAATCGCGGAAGGTTCGCAAGATACCTCCGAGCGTCTATTCGTACCCGTAGATGTTCCGCAGAACAGTTGTTTAAAATGAATCCACCAAGGCTTAGCCAGTTACAATTTAACTAGATATCGCTGAATTGAGTATCGACCGCGAATTGAGATCAAGGCTGAGCGGAAAGACTGAGTTTTTTGTGTGGCTGGTGCGGAACGGGATACAGTAGCTTAAGCTTGGCTATTCTTAGACACGAAGAGAAAAGCCCACAAGCCCACTTCTCACTCTAACTTAAAATGCCCCATTGTTGCGTCCCAATCATATTCCGCCATTGCATTTCAGTCCCGTCGTCAACCCCCGCGGTCGCAAAAATTGTCATTTCGAGCCCATTCTAATGTAACGAAACGGGTGTGATAGTGCGGCAGATATCTTGGCGGCTATATTATTTTTAGTAGGTAATTACACACTCCGCATGAAGGATTTTGCTTCTGATCAACGGTTTACTTGCTCCACTGAGCATTGATCTCGCACTTGGCAATGTCGGTCTATCTCGTGCTTTCTTTGCGAAATTTACGGGCGAAAATGTTACAGGGATTGGATGCACGCATACGTAGAAGGCAATCCTGCACATGAAAATCGGATACTTCAATTCTCTTCTCTGAAGAAAACGGGTGGACTTTCTAGTAAGAAATCCCCATACCAAATTGCGGAGGTTCTGCTGACTGGAATCGTTAAGTGGTGCCTGAATCCACCGGACTGTGCTGAGGTTATTCTCGAGATACTAGCCCAAGATAGGCAAACTGTTCGACCGGATTTGAGAAACTGAGTGGTAAGGCTGGGGAAATCTCCACTTATCTAACTAGTACCAGTTAGATCATAGCAATCTCTACTTTGGTCATAAAACCGTAGATCTCGGGTACTGGTGTCTTTAATTGGGTGCGACGTGAAAAAAAAGAGGGGACCCATATCATTGCGATGGCTATGCTGTGTTTGGGGCTTGTACATTCAGCTTTGGGTCAGAGCCTCTTGGCTGTTGGGGGCCGATTCTGATGACTCTGCCTAATTTAAAAACGTCAGATTTCCGGACATGAATACTTTTTTTTTGTTCATCTTTCTCAACATCATCGCCCACACATCACACGCTATTCTCCCATCCCCATCGTGTACTCTCGTCTCGTATTCTCTTTATTCACTGACCAGCGACTACATTCACGATCACGATGGCGTCTTCCGATGCCAGTGACCCCAACCCGTACTACGACTACAAGCCTTCCAAAATCGTAGCTGCGATCTTTGCGATCCTATTCATTATCATCACACTTCCACACATCTGGAAAACATTCCGAACACGCCAATGGTTCGGTCTCACTTTTATAGTCGGTGGACTATGTAAGTTTTGCTTGGAATCGGATTTTTGGATCAGAATGTCGCTAACCTATTAATTAGTCGAGATTTTCGGTCTTGCCGCACGAGCCTATTCAAGTGAACATCTGACAAAGAAGGGGATCTACATCGTCCAGCTTCTCTTGATTCTTCTGGCACCAATTGTCTTCGCTGCCGGAGTATACATGTTCCTCGGTCGCCTGATCCGTGCTTCAGGACACCCAAAGCTCTCAATCATTCGCATCAACTGGCTTACCAAGATTTTCGTCGTCGGAGATATCTTCTGCTTCTTCATCCAAGCCGCCGGAGCTACCATGCTCACAAATGCGGACAAGTCAAGCACCATCAAGACAGCCCAGAACATCATCCTAGCTGGGTTGGGACTCCAAGTGGCTTTCTTCTGTCTCTTCCTCATTGCTGCCGTTGTCTTCCACATCCGAGTCTCCAAGCACGGTCTCTCCAAGTCTATCGACCCCTCGCTTCACTTGCAAGCCATGCTCTTTTCAATCTACGCCTGCGGTATTTTGATCACTGTTCGAAACGGCTACCGATTGGTCGAATACAAGTCTGGTGATGGCAAGGGTGGATATCTTCTGGATCACGAGTGGCCCAACTACGGTCTGGATGTTGGCCTCATGTACATCGTTATGCTCATCTCTGTGTTCTGGTACTGGGCTGATACCAAGGCCCGGTACACTGCGCCTGACAACATGAATATGGGTGCTGCTTACAAGCTTCCTGACTACGATAACAACCGTCCCTATGATACGCCTTCTTACCCTACTCAGCCTGCTGGGTACGGCAATGTTCCCCACACCGAGCCTACCGAGTACACTCATATGGCTCCTGGTGTCAACGCCCCCGGTACTGAGTACCACGGTGCTCACACTTGGGCTCCTCGACAGGAGGTTTAAGCCGACCGTGCGGATGGTTTAAAATTTGATTAAGGTGTCATGCATGGGCATCAGGAGTTAACGTGGTCTATTTTCATGAATAATTTAATGTTCTTTAACGGTTCTGGAGATATGTTTTACTATTTACGATTTTACTTTGAGCGTACAAATTTTACTTCAACTGCTTACATTTATCTGATAATTATTCCAAGTACTTTCACACCCTAAAGATCCAAGTTCATCTCCTATACCACATTCTAGTCACAGGTGTTCTTCGTATCTTCCTCTGAAGCAAAAACACACCTTGCAATAATGCCTCCGGTGTAGGTGGACATCCCGGTACATAGATATCGACAGGTACGATGCGATCAACTCCCCGCAATACACTATAACTGTAATGGTAATATCCACCTCCATTCGCGCAACTCCCCATACTAATGACCCACTTCGGGTCCGGCATTTGATCATAGAGCTGTCTCAAAGCAGGTGCCATCTTATTGGTCACAGTGCCAGCAACGAGCATAACATCCGATTGGCGTGGAGAGGCACGAAAGATGATTCCCAGTCTGTCCTGGTCGTATCTAGGCATCGATGCACCCATCATCTCGACTCCGCAGCAGGCTAGGGCAAATGTTAATGGCCATAAAGATCCCTCTCGACTCCATGCGAGGATTTGATCCGCTTTTGTTCTGTCTTATGTGAGAAATTTGACTTTGGACAAGATGGGGTGACTTACAGGATGTAGCCGAGCGATCCTGGCTTTTTATCATCCCATTTTGCAGATTTATTGCCAGGCTGGTGAGTTTTTAATTGGGTTTGGGCGGAATGGTGGGATAATTGAGAATTTGATGGCCCTGAATGATGTAGAGGAAGTGTCCATTGATGGCTATTCGCACGGGCCAGTGACGGGATCAAAGCATTGGTTGATAAACGTGTAGACAGGCTCCGTTGTAAGAGAACCTTCGATGGGGTAAACATGTTACTATCATAGGTTGTAACACTTGCAAGCGACGTATTTGGAGCTATAATTGACAATATCTTCTCTTTTTTATGAAGACCCTTTGTCCATCTCCCATAATACGTGCTTCAGATTCAACCAATGAAAACACAACAAAATCGGCGTTATGGTGGGTCCTACGTAGAGTCCAATCATGTTGTGGAAAATTCGGCGACTTCGTGGGGACGGAACACTCCTTCATCCAGTCACGGCCCGATTCCACCTCAGCAACTAACGATCCATATCACCTATTTATGAACACAAATATGCCTCGAGCGGCCCCATCCAAGGTTGCCTGTCAGAGATGTCACGAGAAAAGAGTAAAATGCGACCGGAGTGACTCGGGTGAAGGAAGACCTTGCACCCAGTGTCAGATTGCTCGCCTGAATTGCATCCCTAAAACCTCACGCCGGGGAAGGTATGTTTGTCCCAAGAAGCAGTTGATTAAAACATCTAAGACTCATCACCGTCTCATAGACATCGGAAAATTCCTTTCAGTCCAATGATTAGTCTCACCCGACCCTTTAACAATTCCCAAGTCGATGCACCAGAGAGAAATGTCCAACTACACGCGATACAAAACGGATCTGTTCAAACTCGCAGTGAGCAGACACCGCCAACCCTTGACCAACTCTTGACTACCCGAGCTCAGGCCAATGCCGTTCATGAAGGATCCATATCCACTTTTCACAATTTCCAACGCGATCCATCAGAGAGGAATGTCCAGCCTTATACCGGATCGCGGCCGATACAAAATACAACTGTCCAAGCTCGCGATGAGCAGACGCCTTACATGGTCGACCCATCGAATATAAGCTATCTTATTCGAGAGTTTGGTCACCCCCAGGAGGCTTCAAATACCGAAGGCAGGCCAATAGGGGAATACCTACACAAAGCCATGTTGGACACACTCGACCAGCCGACTGTTCAGCATATTGACAACTCCCGAAACTTTACAATCGAGCGGCTGAAGCGTCAGGGAGCATTTGATCTTCCGGCGCCAGGCATCGTTAGTCCCTTGTTGGATACATTCTTCCAACACAGTTTCCCTTCAATCCCCATTCTGGATAAATCAGAGTTCATGACAAAAATCGAAGCAAACACTTGCTCGCCACTTTTGTTGAATGCGATATTCATGGTTGCGACTATATACTGTCCTGGTTCACTTATCAGCGAGGCTGGTTTTGTTTCTCGATTCGTCGCCAGCCTTACCTTTTACCATCGTGCGAAAGATATCTATGATGCGGGATATGAGACTGATGCCATCACCGTCATCCAAGCTACATTTCTTTTATCACATTGGTGGAGCGGTCCTCTCGAGCAAAAAGACCCTTGGTATTGGCTTGGTGTGACAGCCGGGATGGCGCAAGGGATTGGAATGCATCAGATGTGAGCTGGCCCGATCGGAGGTGGCCTTTCAGATGCTAACACACTGCCCAGGAAAACATACTCGCTTCTTCATGGTCAACGCCGAGCCTTGTGGCGAAGGATATGGTGGATTGTTTATGTACGTTTATCGATGAATGATTGAGAAGCTTATTTGCTAATGTTTCATAGGCTGCGGACATCCATATGTCCATGTGTCTCGATAGAGTGCCACATGTGTCAGATAGTTTCTGTGAGATACCGACGATTACGGAGGTCGATTTAGAAGATTTGTTGGGTGAAGATTTGCAGGGAGGCATTGGCACAGTTCGTGAGCAAGTGTTGTTCGTAATAAATTATGTTCAACTTGCTAGAACAGGTATGGTCTCTTCCGCCAATCTGAATGTTGTTATCACAGTACTAACAGTTACAGTGAATGCTTCTCACCCTTGGCAAAACTCGGAACTAAACCCTTCGTTACATAAGAAATTCATCGATCGGATTTCCGAATGGTCAAAGTCATTGCCGCTAGAGCTTGCTTTTCCGACAAGCAGGAGTCCATGGGCAATGTTAACCCAGATCACCAATGAGTCTGTATTCATGCTAGCCTGTTGAAGATAACCAGATTACTAATATTTGTGTAGCTTATATCAACTTTTATCATATCGAAAGAGCCCTGGTGCTGAGCGAAGCACAAAACCTGGATCCCCAGTATATGAGATAAGCACCAGGCTCTTTCGAATATTCGAGGACTTGATGACGAGCTGCCATTTCCTTTTCATCGCTGGCCATATGTTTGTTTGTTTCTATTCCTCGTGCTTGACGTCTGTGGTAACTCATTCATTACTATACAGTTTACCAGCCACTATGGCTACACTATGTATCCACATCGCGAACGTCAGTCAAGGGGACTCCCAAGCCAGAAAGATATCCGAGCACCGGGCGAAATTCTGCATGTTCATCCTCAAGGAGTCCGAGGAGTCATGGCCGATCATTGCTTCTGTTTACCCTTTCTTCGCTTCGCTTTTCAAGCGACATTCGAATGGTGCTCAAGAAGAAGCAAGAAATCCCCAAACAAACCAGAAGAAGGACGATGCGGCTCCTGGAAGTGGACACTTATCTGGTCGGGAGGACGATTGGTTATATGAGAGACTTCTGCTAGATGACGGTCCCGCAATGAGCAATCCTTCATTTCCGTTCTGTAATCTCTTCGACATTTTTCTGACACCACCCTCTGATGATCCTACCTTGTGATGTGGATCTCCGGTTTTATGATCAAACCTCAAAAATATGGGGCTAGTTCGACTATACTGAGGACCTGCACTTTATGCGGTGGTCTTGTTCTATCTCGAAGAAAATCTTTTAATGAAGCAAAGTTTCAGGGCCTGGGCGACGGTCTAGGAGATTTCATTGATCCATGATTAGGCTCGAAAAGTGAACTATGTTACGGGTAGAGAGACCTCGCAAATAATGTTGTATTTCAACAAAAGGTTCAAATTGTTTGAAATACACAATAGAACTAGAGATACTCCGACACACTCAAGTCATCCTTATTCCCAAAACGCCACATATACTCCATGAATTCCCGCAGCCAGTTAAGAACTGGACCTTCTGGAGAAAACGACTGGCTCCAACTATCAACGGGTTTACAATTTAAAGGGCAACCACGATAAACGGCCTAAATATTGTTCCCAACAGGATCCATCAAAAACGCGCCATAATAGTTCGAATGGTAGAACTCTCTCAGTCCAGGCGCACCATTGTCCTTCGCCCCAGCTGCAATACCCGCCGCATGGAAAGCATCAACGGTCGAGCGATCTACACTTTATCATTAGATCCGATTTCTTTAGTTCAGAAGGAACTGACTTACCGCTGCAAGAAAATGCGATATGGATCTCATCTGTGCATGTGGTTTTGGACCCAATAAGCCAAAAGTCTGCTCGCTTGTAGTCTTCGACTGGCAATCCAATGCTAGTGACAAATTCACCAAATTGATCTCGGATACCATATTTTGTCAGAATGTATAGGATATGGAGCTAACTGCTTTGGCTGCCCATCGGTATTTATCTATTTGTGACTTGAGCGACATAATTCCTTTAATAAATGCTAAACTTCCTTTATCCCATTTTTATTTCAGGAATATCATAAATAAAGCTCGAAATTTGTAGAATTCGGATATAATTGCGAAACTCCTTGCGACTCGTCGTCTTTCATAAACAAAGCTGACTAAGGACGCTGGGGCGCCGTGGCGTACGGTATCCCATTCAAACTGACCTTCACAACGAGTGGGACGGGAAACACAGATACAAAGAATATGTCCCGAAATGAAGCTGCCGCTGTGTCAGGTAACCGAAAATGGCACTCAAAGTCTCGAACCGGCTGCCAAAGTTGTAAAACGCGCAAAATCAAGGTCAGTCGCTTTATTATGCTTCTCTCCGAAATAACCTCACCGGGTACTAATATTTTGCGACAGTGTGACGAAGAGCGCCCCTCCTGTAGGAATTGTCTAAAGCGTAGTCTGCAATGTGGTTTTCTCCAGAGGGTTGACCACCCTCATCCCGCCCAAGCACCAGTCAATCTACAGCTTGAGCTTCTCCATCACTACACAGTGTCAACATGCTACACACTTGCCAGCGACCCACAAGTCCGAGATGTTTTCAGAGTCCTCGTACCACAAATGGGCTTTGAGACAGATTACATCCTCAATGGTATTTTAGCGCTTTCAGCCATTCACCTAGCGCGTTTCAACCCGTCAAGACACGATGATCTCATTGAACACGCCACTGAGTATCATGCTGTATCTTTGAGTAAAGGATTACCACTAGTGTCAAACATTACGCCCCAGAACTGCAGCAGTCTATTCATTTTCGCTCTTTTAACTCTCTTTTACAATCTCGCCAGACCAAGGGGCTCTGATACTATGCTTATTCTTGAAAATGGAGTAGTTCCAGAATGGCTATACCTGCTACGGGGTATTGACGGGCTCCGCAGAGCTGAAGAAACCCTAATGAACTCTCCGGTGTGGATTATCGCTCACGAAACACAAAGATCCGAGGACTTCTGGTTAGAACACTCTCCTCAGCCTAACAAGCCGCTTGATGAGCTCGAGGCCCGCATCCGGAAGGACCTCTCAGATGAACAGCATGCACCCACTGTTTTAATTCTTATTGACGCAATTTCAAAGCTCCGGCGCAGCTATACGTTTCGCGATGATCCTAATTTCAAAAATGACGATAAGATGCGAGGGCTCTATCAGTGGCTTTTCGAAATGGGAGACGACTATTTGTGGCTGCTTAAAGGTGGGAACAACGAAGCGTTATGCGTATTAGCCTACTTTGTCGTTCTTGTTCGAGAGTTAGAGAAATGCTGGTGGATGGAAGGCTGGGCGATACATCTCATCCGACGGATCCATTCCGTTGTCAATGATAAATATAGGATTTGGATCAGATGGCCGATGGAGGAAATTGGATGGGTGCCAGAAACTCCCATGCGGCAGACTGTTGGGGATTTGTAAAGCCAAAGCTATCAATTGGTAATTGGGCTATTTGCCCCTCACTGGCAGATTTATCCTCCAAGGTGCCTCACAAAAGCACTACTTGTATATAATATTTTGGGTTTCGGGCGACAATGATTGAATAGTCGCTGGGGCTAACACAAATATAAGAATGGTAGAATTTATGGCCTCAAAGAGCCAAAACTTATTAAACATGCATTTTCAGCGAATAAGCCAATTTCAAAGTTTATCTCCATTTCCAAACTTTAATTTAAATACACAACAACTGCTAAAATGCACTTGGAGAGGAGATGCAACTTAATATGTGCCTCGAATATCAGGCATACAATTAATCTGGCCAATCGCAATACAGTTCCTGATTCATCCACAACCCAACCAATCACAATCATTGGCTGCCCGTGCCGAACCCTGGAGACGCGGCTCGGCATTGCGCAATTTTAGATCAAACTCGTCGGCTACTTGAAGAGAAAAAAATCCGGGGTTTGATAACGAAGAAAATTCAACAATAGTGACAGGTCAGTACAAATACCCTACCCTATAAAGTTATGATCTGGGCCTGAATGTCTGAGATACCATATTGCGGATCTCAAGCATCCCACTCGATTGGCTCCTTTTATCAACATTCGTGGCGCAAAAATAGATCCGATGGCGTGACAGAGTCTAACTTTACCTCCAGATCATCGTCAAGTCTTACAGCTTAAATATTCAAGCTCCGCTCGGCCGAGAGATCCTCACAGTTTCTGGATTACATTGGCTACTCTAATCTAACCTCGCTTGGTCATTTTGCTGCTCTCCTGGACGTGAGTAACCATGTCGGCTGCTAGAAGTGTAGCCGTTATCGGCGCTGGCCCTTCGGGTGCTATTACGATTGATGCATTGATGCAAGAGAAAGCGTTTGATGTTGTTCGAGTGTTTGAACGTCAAGAAAAGGCGGGTGGATGCTGGTATGCTTGCCCTTACTTTTACGTGCAAGATGGTCACATAATCTAATGTTGGGAATAGGGTCTCTAGAGCTGACGAACCACCTCGTCAGCTTGACTTTGATGGTTTGGCGGCGCGTACAGCAGATGCACCGCTGTCCATCCCGCATCAGTTGCCATGTCGTACCCCAGCAGAGACTCAAGATAGATACACGGATTCTCCTGTTTACCCAGAGCTGGAGACAAACGTGGATGCAGGCGTAATGTCTTATTCACAGGAACCAATTCCTACTATTCGCTCCAAGTGGTCTATTGATCGACATGGCCCAGAAACACCATTCAGACATCACACCGTGATTCGCCAGTATATTGAAGACCTCATTACCAAGAAAGGCTACGGTGATCTCGTTGAGTATAATACAACTGTCGAGCGTGCGATCAAAAATCCTAATACTCAAAAATGGGACCTAACCCTCCGCAAGAGAGAGCTCCACAATGGAAGCCCTTCTGATTATTGGTGGAATGAATCTTTTGATGGTCTTGTCTTGGCTTCAGGTCATTATGCTGTTCCATATATCCCTGCTATCCCAGGGTTGAAGGAATTTGCAGCTAAATACCCACGCAGCGTTGAGCACTCAAAGCATTACCGTGGACCAGCCACCTATCGAGGAAAGGTAAGGATCTCCCATCCATCTCAGTGCCTTTTCCTACTTCCCGTCTTCTAACACACAAATAGAAAGTTGTCACCGTTGGCGCATCAGTTTCCGCAGCAGACACAGCAGTCAGTTTAATAGACAGTGCTCAAACACCCATCCACGCCGTAGTGCGCGGTCGTTACAACATCTTCTTCGGAGACGAAGCATTCAAGCATCCTAAGATTCAGCGCCGAGCTCCAATCTCCCACATCACACCCGATGACCGAACAGTGCATTTTGAAGACGGAACATCCGTCAGTGAAGTCGACAATATCATCTTAGGCACAGGGTTCACCTGGACTCTACCTTTCTTGCCTCAAGTGCCCACGCGCAATAACCGAGTCCCAGATTTGTATCAGCATGTCTTCTGGCGCCATGATACCAGCCTTGCGTTCGTTGGGGCTGTAGGTGCTGGTCTGACCTTCAAGGTTTTTGAATGGCAGGCTGTGGCAGCGGCTCGTATCCTTGCGGGCAGGGGTACTCTTCCGTCATTGGCGGAGCAAGAAAATTGGGAGACGGACCGGATTGCGCAGAAAGGTGACGGGCCTGCATTTATGGTGGTCAATCCTGATTTCAAGCCGTATTTTGAAGATCTTCGGCAGATTGCAGGGGAGCCACTCGAGGGGGCACCGGGACGACGATTGCCGCCTTTTGATCAGAAATGGGTGGATGATTTCGATTCGGGCCATGAGCGTCGGAAGAGGATGTGGAGAAAGGCGAATCATGAGGCTACTAGTAGACTGTGAGGGATTTATACTGCGTTTATATGCATGTACATGTTCGTTCTGATTTACTTCTTACATATTGCATCTGGAAACAATAATCAAGAGAAGCATGATTGAGTCTACACATTGGCATTTTATAGATATTTACACATGATATTTCATCGTTCAATTCTTTCGATATCCCCTAGCGATGAGTAGATCTTGCCATTGAATAGTTCAACCCAGTTCCACGCGCCAGTGGCCTTTCACCAAAGCTACCTATATTTTCCCGAGAATGTAGTACAGTGCTCCGAGGCTAAGACTTGCTAATATAGCGCCTGAGGTGACAAAATATGTCTGCCAACTAGTGTGCTTGAATCCTTCCTCCATCATATAGATATCCACACTTTCATTTTCTCCATGAACTCGAATCGTCTCAGTGCCCACAAGATTGCATCCAAGGTGCTGATATAGCGACTTCCCCATCGAACTAGCTATCACAGTCCACATCCAGCCCCCTTTTAGAGGCTTCTTCCCGTCCCCAATCACAAAGCATGGTTGCAGCCCCACGCCGTCGAAAATCGGGGTGTGTAATAAGCCACGCAAGATGAATTTATGTTTCTCCGTATCGCGCGAAGTACTTCTCAAAGACATAGACTGTCGTCGAAGCATATGCTCTCATGTGTCCGGGATTAGCATCACGGCGCTTATCGATACCTAGACCTACAAATCACGGTCAGTATTCTGTACTTAGAATAGATTGCTGGATCAAAATAGTATAAAATAATGACTCAGTCACCCCATCATCACAAAAGCTCCTCCATAGCCCAAATAACTTCCTCTCATCGAGTCATCTTTAATATACCATCCACCTTTTCTTTTTCTCCTCTTCAGAGGTTAATTTTCAAGTTTATCGGCGTTGTGTACCGTCAACCAACCCGGCTGACTGAAGATATCGGGGATGTTAATGCTGCGAACCACTGCAGAATTACCCCTCAGACCAGCAGCGCACGCTCTTTAGACCGTATGTCAATTTAACCATCAACCACCGATACATCGCGTTCACCACTGTGTCCGACAGCATGCGTGCGGCTGAATTCATTTCAACTGAAGCCAGTGAGCCGTAGCGCCTTGGCACTTTCCCTTCTGGCAAAAAGTCCAAGTTTAAAAAGGGTCCAGGTCCCCTCATCACAAAACTCCGCATTTCCCCCTCAAATTCGAAGATTTCCACATTCAAAGAGTCGAAATCGCATCAAATACCGAATACCAAATAGCTCTCCATTCTTCCCGGTGCTACTTAACACCATCCGAGCCTCACTCAAACTTACACTCGACGATCCATCTACACCCTGCATAAGGGATCCACCACAAAAAAGATTACCCGCGTTTATCCGAATACGATCAGCACCATGGACGCAATAGTGAATCTCGCTACAAGCACAAATACAAATTCCACTCAACCGGATTACTGCTACTACTCGCGCGACAGTTTTCCCTCCCTCCCCGATACGCCAAAATACTATGCCGAGGTCCCGCTATACCAGACAGTCAAGCTAAATGACAACATGTCTGAGATTCTACAGTCGTGCTGCCATTCTGAAATATGGCTGTATTCGGACCCGAGACCTTGCACTGCGGTTTGCAACTCGACTTCGGAGAAAAAAGCGCAGGATGTCGCTTATTGTTTGAATTCGAAAGGTATTGAATATGGGGGCCATTTGAAGGATTCTGCTGGGTCGAGGGCGACTTTGCCGATGGGAATATGTACGACTTTATTGGTTGGTGGTCTGGTCTTTTCGGGGATGTTTTTATAGATGGATTTGAAGTTTTTGTACTATACTCTGCTCTGCTTTTATTGTTCGAGATACCCTTTTGAGATTTCAGATAGCAATGCGATTGATTTCAGTTTCGGTTTCAGTTTTATGAATAAAAAGTATTTCCGATTTATTTAAGTTTGGAAAGTCAAAAGAATAAGACACAAACACAACATTACCCAACAAACTGAAACTGAGTAGCGCTATCGATGCTCTCAACACGCTCCAACTCCGCATAACTACCCTTAAGAACACTGAACCGATAATAGCAAAGCCCATCATACAAAGCAAACATACTCGGCAAGCCCTTCGGCACCAAAGAAAAGCACTCATCCGGCTCAGAGCTAAATCCAACAGACCAGCATATCATGCACCTGGAGCATCTCGTAGACCTCGTATGCCGCTTACACGCCTCATCCAGGTACTCGGCAACTTCATCCTCCATCATAACAGTCAAATACTTGTTATTCCCACAAAGAATCCGCGTTTTCCCTTCATGTTTCGAGAGCTGAAAAGGCATCCCGAAATTGTACGGATTTCCCGTAAAGCACAGCTTATCTTCAAACTCCGAGGCATCACCTAGCCAAAGTGAGTCTCCGGTGATAGCGTATAACGAGAACCATTTATCAGGAAGATAGAGATCAATTCCATTCGCAGAGATAGGATTGTTTTCGTCGATGATTGGATTGGAGATTTCTGGGGGAAGAGGTACTTCGGCGTCACCGTAGTCTTCTACGGGTTCGATTTGAACTTCGACGGCTTCTTCAATGTTGTCTGTCCATTTTGCATCCTTGGTTAGGTACTGCGTGTCCTTTGAGATGTAGAATACATCATCCTCGTAGTTTGGATGGGTGGAAAGGGTCCCAATATAAGTGTTCTGATGGATTATTTGTTCTTCGTCATCGGAGAGATAAAATATAGAGCCACTGCCGTGATGAGCCCTGCGTATCTCAAAGTCATTGCCGTTATAGTTGATTGCAAGATATTGGCCGGTGACTATAAACCAGAATGACCTTGAGGGGTCTTCATTCTCCATCTTCGGAATTATTGGACGTGTTCAACCAAAAATGCGTAGCAAATTAGGCTTTTCGATGTAATTAAGAAATATGTTTGGTTGTGATTAAAGCTCAAATTGGTGAGGTGGTGGAAACGAGTGGAGACTCCGCAACTCACATCGCATCGTCGTCAGAGACGGAGAAGGCGAGGACTGGGTATAAAAGCAATGAGAGGCGGGGTTCCAAATCGCTGGAACATTCTGCGAGGAGCATCTGCCTAGCACATTGCTTCACATTAATTTGAACGCTAAATCCAATCCGTGAAAAGATCCACGGGTGCCTAAGGAAACCATTGATGAATACGAGCCAGATGGGTCTTTGATCCAGTAACGCATTGCGGACTAGCGGCGACCCGAACCTAGTCGGGGTCTCGTCAACGCCGAGGCCCGTTCATCTTCATGGAAATCGTTAGGGAGAAGGAATTAATTTGAAATCGGAAGCTTAATGGTATCTGATAAGCTAAATGCTTCCTAGGTAATCCAAATAATTCAGTCCAGAATAAAACGCCTGTACTCGAACGCTGTCTATGTGCAAAATCGCTCGAAAAGAAAATGCAAGTCTATCCACATCAAGGAATGCCAGGATAAGGCATCTTTATGCCCATATATACAGCGATAAACCTGGTAAATATTAAAGTCAGCGATCAATTTGGTTTTTTGGATGTTGTACAGTGTGAAACGTACTCATTGATATCGTCAACGCTAACCACCTCGGAACAGGCAGGATAGATCCAGCACTACTTGAGATATCAATTCCATCAAGGACGACGGGCCATCCATCGTCGTATCTCAGATAGTTCCAGCCCAGGTGAGCTTCCTAGATAGTTGTCAGCTTCACAATTCTTCAAATGTTGTATTCAGAGCCCCGTCAGGGATCAAAATCAAAATCAAAACGAAAGACCAACTCACCCCATTCCTAAACCCAACAGTCGTGTTCAAATAATGATAATATAAAATATCCGGCACCGAATCATTCCCAGCCAACACACCAAGTCCACCAGGAGCATAAACCTCCCCGTGATTCGACGCATAAACAATCGTCCCACCACCATCAAGCAACTTATCACCATGTCTATCCAAAAACGGTCCCCTCACACTCTCAGATCTTCCAACCCGAATATCATACTCGTGTCCCCTCGCCGGGAATCCCCCACGAAACTGACAACACTGCCCATGACTGAACCAAGCATAATAATACCCCTCCCGAAAACTCATCCAAGACCCTTCCTCCGGCTTCTGCTTTTGCTCCGGAATAAAAGTCAACTGTTTCGCGTCCGGCGCATCCGAATCCTGTACAGAAAGTAGATTCTCCGAAAGAGGAACCTGCCAAATATCATGCCAGAAGCTTCCGAAATTGAGATAACTTGCTCCAGTCTCGTTATCAGTGATGAAGGATGGATCAATGGCATTGGTGATATTGTATGGCCAGATATGGGAATCAGTTCCCTTCCCGGTACGTATTACTGCGCCGTGGTCTGTCCATTTTCCTCCGTTGCTGTCGAGGGAGGTGGATGTTGCGACGCCTATTGCGCTGTCTTGGGATCCAGACTGGCTGACTGAGTAGTAGCAGTAGAAAGTACCGTTTTGTTGAATGGTTGTCGGGGCCCAGGGTCTGGATCTGTTTTTCATGTCGATTATTGAGTCTTGTGAGAGGACGGTGCCGACTTGTTCCCAGGGTCCGGTGAGGTTTTGGGTGCGGAATATGGGGATGTGAAAACCCCCTTTGAAGAGGTAGTAGTAGTTTTCCCAGAGGAGGATGTTGGGGTCGTGAACGGCTATATTCCCTTTATTTGGTAGGGGTAATTGATCCGTTGTGTCGTAGACTTGGGAGGCTTTGTGAATTGGTTGTGTTGATGGAGTTGCGCCCGATAACGGGGATATCAGCATCAGCGATAAAAGCCATAGATTGGTGGTTAGATGCATTGTGGCGATAGTTGGAATTATTTTCCAATGCTGGCGATGGCTTTTTGATTAAGAAGAAGAATTTTCGTCCCTGAGTCCCTTCGATGTCGTATATACAGAAACTTGTGGTGCAAATATTATACTGCAATTCCAGCTTTTCGCAGCGTTATTTTAGAGGAGAGGGAAGAAATAGGCACCAATCGCTATCAGGAGACGAAATAAGGAATAATCAAGGCGATCAGCGCATCTTGCGCATTAATTCCGTTCAGCAATTCAATTGAGTTCAGAGAAACTTGAAGAGAAGAACGGCCGATGATAAGTTATAACTAAAAGAGAAAGTTATCACAGGATCCCTTCCACATGGTAAACAAGTAAGGGATCAGCGAAGATGAAAGAGTAAAAAGAAAAAGAGAAAGAGAAATTAAAATAAAATAAAATAAAACAATTAACACAGCCATCGAGCCTTGTCAATCACCACAGGGTCCCACGCGATCGACACTAAGCAAAAGCCAAGTGTTTTAGGGAAGTTAGGCTGCCATTTTTGGGTGGATACATGTAGCTACCGACGATCAAGTATATGATGGTGCGTGAGAAGATGTACCTCGCATGTAGTATTCACTATCACTATCCCCACTTACACAACACAGCCTGTCACGGCTCGCGCTGGACTCACGGGGTTGAGTCGAGATTTAATCAAGCAATTGAGAAAAAGTATATTGGGCTATTTTAGTGGTTACTTTGTGTTTTCTCTTCAAGTTATTTTTGTCATCTGTCTAGTCCAACCATGTCTGGTCTCTCCAGCACTCTCTTTCGCTCAAGCTTTTGGCCCCAGCTTCACTACCTCCGTTATGCTGTGCCGTCCATACTGATCCAGACCCATTGATAATTCTCAGACTCCATAGGATAACCCGGGGGCCGAAAATGTGGAACGCTCTTCAAGTTCGAAACGCTTCCTGCTCTGAGCCCCACAATAAGTACCTGGCTCAAAGAAAGTTCAGAATCGCAAGGCTCATCTATAATCAGCTAATAAGTAAAACCATACTCAAAAACTAGTGCGTCGCTTTGTTTATTTACTATTCTTGTGCTGTAGCCCCAAACCCTGAGGCTCGCTGATTTCCCCGATCGGCATACCCTTGCAGCGCAGTCATGATCGTCACTTCCGAGGTCAGATCATGATTTCATGGTGGAACCCGCCCAGAGCTTGGAATCATGTTTTTTAATTTCTCTTTCTCGATTTGGCGAGATTAATGATGGTGCTCATTGAGGCAAGTTGGCATTGGCATTATGATGAGATCATCGTCATAGATAAGATACAGAAAAGAAAAGAAAAATGTATTCAAATCAATTCTTTATGGGATATCGAGATACTGTATGTACTGTAGACAAAAAGCAAAATAGAAAATAAAAAATAAAAAATAAAAGCAACAAACCAGATCCAATGAACAATCATCATACTTCTATCATACACGCGACAATATTTCAGATTAAATCGCCGCCATCCCAGCAAGATCATCCCAATCAAATACATCCAAAAAGGGGTCAAAATCCCCGGGCGGCTAGTGAATCAAAGATCAGCATATCGTCATCAGAGTCATGGTCAGGGGTAATCTGCAATGCAAAGCTGCAGGAACAAGAATAATAAAATCACAACTTACAGTAACCCCAACGCCAAGATTTGGCGGTGGAATAATTCCATCAAGATCGGTCGGAAGAGTCGGTGCCAAACCCGGCGTAGAAAGAAAAGCAGCAACTTGATTATCTTTGAAATTGCCCATTCCCGGATTACCCAGATGTTCACAACTTGCATGTCGCTGGAATAATGTTTGCGCGAACGATAGAACTCGCTCAACTACTTGCTGCTTGTACATGGCTGCTTGTAGTGGCCAGAGTTTGGCTTTTACTAGTGCGCTGATTGTTGAGAGGAAGAAGTAGTCTTTTGCTCCTTTGACGACGAGGAGGAATCGGACTTCTAGGGCGATGAGGGCGGATTCGGTGAGTGAGAGTAGGGATTCGGGGAGGCCGGGGAGGGTTGCGAGTTGGAAGAGAGAGGATGGTGGGAAGGGGGTTGTAGCTGAGGAAGTGTAAGTTAACTGAAGAACGAGGAGGGAATCATTGAGGGGGAATATTGAAGAGGGAGGGCCGTACCTGGATGGGGATCCAATGAATGTAATACCTGGCAAACGGTAACCAAGGCTTGGATAGTGCACTCGCCAAGGACGCACAGTGACAGCAACGGCGATGTCTCGTGTAATCGGCGCTGGGTAGAAAGAATCATAACTGCCGCATCCAAACGAGACCGTGCAGATGGAGCGAATAAAGCCTCTTCGCGTGCCTCAATGGCAAAAGGAGTGTGAAGGGAGAGAAGGGTTTGCGCAAGCCTATTTTCAATCAAAGCTTTCCATAGAGTCGCCTTTTCAAATGTCGCAGGCGATGTGACATTAGGCGCGAACCATGAAGGAATCTGAGCTACTTGACGCGTCAACTCCCAGTCAAGTCGTTGGATTTCCTCATATCGACAGCTAACTCTCGGGGAATTCATGAGCGAACACACTTTCAGCCGAAGTGGAAGCGACCGACCAAGTGCAGTTTGGTAGGAGCAATCAACCGCGCTGCTTAGGGGATAACCCTCCGGAGGTTCAAGGGTAGATTCATTAAGCTCGTCGTCATTGATATTCAAAGGAAGACGGGTATCGTAGTCCGAACAGTGGATAGTCGGTGGCATACCCCTATCAAGAGCGACCTGGAGATCCAGCTCAACAATAGTGTACCAGATGCGCCGGCGCATCTCCATGTTAAAGGTAGAAATCCCGGCATATTTGCTTGGGTCTCGATGATACCCTGACATCATGGCAGACTTAACCAAATGACTGGTAGCTAGCCATGCCTGGCTGCGCTTCATACCAAAACAGTTCTGGGCGGTGATTAACAAAATGTACAGTCGTAACGTATTGATTTCTGCTCGCTTGATACGCGCATTGTTGATCCATTTCTCGGCATGTAATACCCACTCCACTGCAGTGTAGCAACGGAGAGGTTTGGTACTTTTCTCTTGGAGAAGGTCTACATCGGCGTAATTCCATGCGCAGGCAAGAACCAGCAGTAGTTGTGAGATGAACGAAGCCGATTGAATGTTAGCATTGTCTGAAGTAGCCCAGAACTCGTCGACATCCCGGAGAAAAGTTGGGACGTGGATGATACGATGTGTGGACTCGACGAAGGTCAAATACACGCGGATAAGCTCGTCAGCGACAGCTCGCGTGGGGAGCAAAGCTATTAAGGACACGGCGGTTGGGTCTGGGAATGGTTCATTGAGTGGTCTCCTTTTCCAGAGTCCTCGTTTTACTCGTTCTAGATCTGGACGAACCCTTGAGAGGATTGGGTTTGTCAAACGGATGTCCTCTGCAAAGGCCTTGATGTCGGGGAACTATAGAGTTTTGTCAGTAGCCAAACTAATTGACACTTGAGTGTATTGGACGACAGCATGAATCAAATAAAGGAGCGAAGAAGAAAAACGAGAAGAAGAAAAAAAGCAAAACAGAACAAAGGAATGAACAAGGAAAAGGAAAGGGACCCCATACCTGTGTCACTAAATTAGCATATATCCCCGATCCACTAAACCTCGTCTTCGTCTCGCGACCTCTCATCATGATCCGAGGAGACAAATCCAACTGATTAGCCGGAGTCAACGAGTCCTCAAAGCCAGCCTCATCGACATCCTCATTATCCTGCGAAGAGAAAGTAGCGTCAATCTCAGGAAAAGGACGTCTCGGCCTTTGCAAAATTCCACCTGTCGTCGCAAACGGATCCTGATTAATAGCAGCTTTAGGAGCCCCCAAAACAGTTTCTAAGAAACAATCTCTTCTCTCCTTTCCATTCCCATGTTTTCCTCGGAATGGGGGGCCATGACCATTCCCATCCGTATTGGTAGAGGCTAATGTTATGGCCGAGCCGGCAGCGGGCGCGGTTGTCGAAACAAGACTTTCCGACCGAATCGACGGCGCTCCTATCCCCGAGTCCGGGGGCGTCTGGAGAGGCTGCTGTTCAGTCCGGGGGAAAGATATAGTGGACCCTCCTCTTGTTGAACTTGCTACAGTTGTCGGTTGTTGCCAGAGAAATCCATCTTCGTAGGTACATTTTGTGGGCGCTCTGCTTTTCAGGCAACGACCGCAAGTGGGATATTCTCGGTCGCAGCGTAATTTGCGGCTGCGGCATTGGGTGCATGCCATGGTGCGACGACGCCTTTTGCGCGGCCGGTCAGGCTGTGCGCTAAAGTTGTGGACTTCTTCCATTGCAAACAATTGGTAGTATTGAGAAAACTCTGGATAAGAAGCGACAACGACCCTAAGCTTTTCTCTTTGAGAGTTTGGGCTCAAGGAAACTGGGATGGCTTGCTTGTTGCTTACGTGGTAACTATGGCCCACAGTGATTTGGTGGTCAGGCCTAATGCGGTAAGTCTGTCCGATCGCGGAGATAATTCCAGGATGAGAATCTGAATACCTTGGCAACTAAGTTGATGGTGATAGGCGAGACCCTTCTGGATTTGTTATCTATCTGTTTTTTTGTTCAAAGTGGAAAGAAAACGGAAACATCGTCCGATCTTGCTTTCGCCCCTCCTTTTCAGGGTGCCCCCTCACGGATTCTTACTATGACCCGACGATCCGAAGCTTCCGTTGTTCAGGTTGAAATCCAGGTCGGATTATGACAGTTGATCATCAGTAACTAAATTGTAAAGAGTATAAGTTTAGAGTTACTGCGCCTTCATAAATTACGACAGGACATCCACTTCTTACTTCTGAGACGGGTATATCCCCTAGGCCGCATGTAGGCTACATACATGTACTATAGATGAGCTGACAGTAATACGTGTTGAAATGCCAAATTCCCTAACACACTCCCAGGATTCTTAATATGGCGTAATGCCAGAATTCAACTTCTTGCCGACTCCCGTGATCTGGGACCACTCTTGGTGTAGATTTTTGACCTGAATCTTTATTTAAAGACTCGTATTGCATGGATATACAGATAATAAGGAAGTTAAAAAAAAAGAAATGAATATATAGCATTGCCTGGTTTCGATCCAGGGATCTCCGGGTTATGAGCCCGGCGCGTTTCCCCTACGCCACAATGCTTATTAGAAGTTAGAGATCCATTTTTTGCATTCATATCCTCATGTCAAAACCCCCTCAGCCAGTGTCATGCTCTCAACCCTTTGCACTGTGGCCCGGGGCATTGAGACGTATTTCTAGCTCATATTGTACTAGTATAGGTAGCTCGGGCCCGGGAGTAGATGTTCTACCGAGACTTGGAAGAGTCCAGTGCTCATGGGCAGCAATGATCTAATTTATAGTGTACCCTACAGTGTACTTTTGTAGCTGCTATACAGTATGTACACACCGACTAGCAAGTCCACGAAAAAGGAAGCCCAAGAAAGGAAATTATCTCCTAAATACACCCTAATATTGCGAAATGACAAGGATCTGGAGATAAGCTCAAGACACCCGGAGATCCCAATGCGCATCGGAGTTGCGTCGGGATTAACGCTTCGGGCTCGCACCTCGGAGATACAGAGACCTTCAACGCTATAACTACCAGGCAACCACAAAGTCGTAGAACTAATATTTAACAACTGAAAACCACGACAGTCCTGAACACTATCCGCCGTCTGTGTTTCTTCAAGCGCCGCAAACATGTTAAAATCACTGCTCTCATTGGGTCGCACACCAGATTATTTATTCCCGAAAGTGGAACCCAAAGAAGATGGTGATCAGTGTTTGAAGGACTGCGCAGATTGCACGATTCAGTTTCCATCGAAAGTGAAAATCGAAACTTCAAGACCTTTATATGGACAGATTAAAGAGTTTCATTCCCATGTTCTTGTGGCGACGGGACGATCAGACTGGAAGGAGAAAGTCGAGCATGAGTCCGGATCACTAATGGAGGCGTTTGATCAGTCGTCCGCAAAATCGAAACTAGGCGTATGTGAACCCTCTGTCTGATTTACTTTACGAATCTCAACTAACTGCTCTCAGCGTTATATGGTCTCTGCTTCCAATATCCAGCCAAATGACCACTCAGCAGCTGAAGATTACACAAAGCCAACAACACTGCTTATTCTCCCATCATTCACATTCGTGGACTCAGTCTCCTCATCAAAAGTGTCAGACGTAGTACACAACTTTATCGACAACCCCTCACCAGAAAACAATAACGACACCACCCTTTCAACGTCCGGACTAACATCTCGTCCCTGTGAACTGGACTATGTCATCTTATTATGCTCTCATCGACGCCGCGACGCCCGTTGTGGTATTACCGCTCCGCTCATCAAACGCGAACTCGAGCGCCATCTCCGTCCTCTAGGGCTTGATCGCGACGCAGATGATACTCGACCTGGTGGTGTGGGTATCTTCTACGTTTCGCATGTTGGTGGACACAAGTTCTCGGCGAATGTACTTGTTTATCGAAAGAAGGAGCAGCAGATGATTTGGTTAGCGCGTGTGAGACCTGAGCATTGTGAGGGGTTGGTTAAGTATACGCTTCTTCAGGGGAAGGTGGTACATCCTGAGTCGCAGCTTAGGGGTGGATTTGATCGGGCGAGGGGATTGACGAGTTGGTGAGAAAAAACGATTAAAATCAGATGTGAGGGGTTATGTTCGTTGGCTTCGATCATATTTGCATTTCTAACTGCTCTCTAGCGAGAAGCTGTGAACTTATTACATGGTATATGATTTAATACCCGATAATGTCATTGTTATATCATTCAAGTGCATGATTTGAGGTTACTATTGTACATTGAGTGGAGATGACAGGTAGAGTTGAGATGTGTAAGTAGTTCATGCCAGTGGCTGGGGAGATCCATCAAGTGCCAGTGGACAGATCAGATCCATACCGATTGAGCCTTACGACTCCTTCCTATTAAACCATATACAATCACCTCCCATAGAAGGCTCCACAGTCAAGCCTACCTTGCTCACTGTCCCCGAGTGATCGACATAGAACTCCATCGGCAAAGGCGGCAGATCACTCAGTGCCGGAGCAGTCAGCTTCCCCAGAAAGAACTCACCACTAGCGTGTGTCAAGACAATCTGAGTCTCAACCGAGCTATGAGGTATATGAGCTACCAGAATATCATCATCAAGAGTTATTGTAAAAGAAGCATCCGCAGGATGACAGTATGTACCCTGATACTTTTCCAATGGCAGAACATATGGCAGTGGTGGATCAGGTAGCATAGGCATAATAAAAGGTTTCAAAACCGATACATCTGGTTTTGGAGACATCCGCATACTTCTCTCTCCAGCCAGTTGTCCAAAATAAGTCTTCATCTTCTGTTGATGACGTGAGTCCACTGAAGGTCCTTGTAACCTGTCCAATAAATGGATTGCTAGTGTCATCGAAGCGTGTGCCGCTGTACCAGAGTTACCCATCATCACGAAGCCGAAGTGTCTCTCAGGAACAAAGAAGACTAAACTCGCAAAACCAGGCATACCACCGGAATGGGTATATACAGTCTCGCCACGGTAATTCTCCACCACCCACCCTAAAGCATATCCATGATATGGCCCGGGTAGACTGGTGTCACCGGAATTAAAATGGATTATTCTCGGCTTAGTCAAAGAGTCATGATCCCTAAGAGGGCCGTTCCGTTCAATCAACTCGCGTATCCAGTGCGAATAGTCAAGAACATTGCTAACCATCGCACCGGCTCCTGTCATCGCCTCGAAGTTCGGTGGACTCGCCAGGAAATACTGGCCACTTCCACTTGGCAGATCCTGACCCGGGACGCATATATACCCCTTCACGATCTTTTCCCGGTTTGTAGAATCCGCTTCAGCCTCTGAAACAGAGAAATAGGTTTTGTTCATCCCAAGAGGATCCCAGACCCGCCTCTTCATGAACGAGCCAAGTGTTTCGCCTGTGCGTTCTTGTAACGCGTGCGTGACGGCAACATACATGTGGCTTGAGTATTGGAACTTCGTTCGAGGTGGAGCTGTGATGGGCATGTGTCTGAGACTTCGGACGTGATCTTTGACGGTTCCATCTCGGGGCCCTAGGATGTATTTCCAGAGGTGGTCTGGTAAGCCGGAGCGGAGAGAGAGAGCATCTTCGATAGTGATGTGCTGGGTTGCATAGTCATCTGATAATACGAAGTCATCGGGAATGATAGATGATAGAGGAGTATCCCAGTCGATGGGGGAATCTGTTCCTTTGCTATCGTCAATCAACATGGACATGGAAGCAGCCGTTAAGGGTTTGGTTAGGCTTCCGACTTGAAAGCTTGCATCTGTGGTCATCAATTTATCTGGGAGTTCTGCAAACCCGTAGGCCTATCGATACAATTTTAGAACTCTGCATAGGCGAGGGCTTCGGGATCCTTACCTTTGAGTGGGTATGAGGTCCGTGGACTACACATATAGATAATCCTGGAACTTTCCATTCTTCTAAGCTTTGTGCGACAAGTGTGTCGAACTCTGCATCGAAAGGAGGACGTTCAGTGGAATTGGCCATGGCGGTTTACCGAAGACATCCACGGTGTCAGCGCGGGGTTCTGGGCTAAGTCCTACATCTGCTTATGGCTTGGACTCTCTTTATATACGCATTCCGCACAGTCCTCCGAAGACATCCAAGGTGTCAGCGCGGGGTTCTGGGCTAAGTCCTACATCTGCTTATGGCTTGGATTCTCTTTATATACGCATTCCGCACAGTCCCCCGCACAGAGTCTCTTCCCCCCTCAGGCCCCCAAGTCCGCGGGGTGGCTTAGGACAATGAATACTTCATGGCGAATGATTGAGTTTTCAAGTCAGAGCTGGCTGAGAATAGATGAAAATTTTGCACAAAATAGATAAACATCTAAAATAATCTGTTCGTTACAAGCCATGCTGTTGGCCTAACATGCAGGTAAACGAGGTTGTAGTTGATAGAGATGCCAGCATTGCATGACTGCAGTTGTACCGCGGAACTGTAATCGGCGGGCCGAACACGCGACGTCACCGCGTTTAGTGGTTTCGCGTCTTCTCAATCTTCAATCCGCGTCCTGCGTGATCTAGAACGACCACGTTCTCGCAACAATGGTCGACCAGCCCAATTCTCGCGCAGAAGTAGCAGGACAGGCTGTATCTGTTCGATCAGAACTCAAAATATGGGAAAGAGAATTTGCAGTCACTCACGAAGGAAAAAAGGCCGGTCGGGACGATATCAAGAACAACCCAGAAATCGGTACGTCTGATCTAATAAGATACTGGAAAAGACGCACATAACCATGCGACAACTTGAGAGTATCAGCAATGACTGATTTCGTCTTATTTCAAATCTAGCTGCCAAATACAAAGAATATGGCCGACTTAAAAACCTCGAAGCCGCTTTGATTCGTCGCGAAAATCGCCAACAACAAGAAGTCGATTCTCAAGCCAAGAAACGAAAACATACCTCTCCTACCGGTCCATCGCATTCATTCCATGATACTACACCCCGGAAATCAGCTAGAGGAATATTTGCGACTCCAACCAACAACCGTACAGCGAAAATTCATCCCTCGCAACTAGATCCCTACGACTCCCCCTCTACATTTCGCCGATTATTCAGTCCCAGCACTCATAAACAAGGCTTACCAGCACCCTCGCCCCTCAAAGCTGCAATTGGACCTACACCCCAGCGCGATGGAAAGGCACTTGGACTATTTGACATGCTCTCCGAATCTGGTGGAAGCAACGCAACACCATCAGCGAAAAGGCAAAAGGATGCACTAGGAGCAGGATTCCGAACACCCTCTAAACCGAAGCGCTTTGAGCCCATCGCAGAGGATCCGGAGGAAGAGGTCGAAGAACCATCATCACGACTTTCACGAACACCAGCATCCTCAACGAAGCAGTTTTATCTTGCAAATCTCTTTGCAACACCTACTACGATGCGCTATGCAGCTATGGTAGAGGGCGAAGACCAACATGTCACAAATGGAAACGCCCAGGAACCAGAAGGGCCAGTATCTAGACATTCAAACCCGTCAGAAACGCCGTCATTTCTCCGTCGCTCGAATATAGGTCGTTTCCCTCCGCCTGTTGCAAATGAGAATGGGGGTCTCAGTCCTATTGCATCACGGAAACCGACTCAATTCGCTAGTCGGGGCTTGTCTTCTTTGGTGCAGGGTCTTCGGGCTATGGAAGAGGAACGACTAGAAGATGATTGGGATGTGCTTCGTGAAATTGAAGAGGAGCAGGATATGCTCAATTTTGAAGCTATGGAGAGTCAGGCAATTGAGACAGAGTACCAGCGTCCATATAAAAAGAAGGGCCAGAAACGAACTACGAGAAAAGTCAATATGCGACCGGTTATTTCTAAACCGAAGTCTAAAACTCAAACTCAAACTACTCCTGATGTCTCTGACGAGGAGAGTGGTGATGAGGTGACTGCAGTTCTGGAAACACAGATCCAGCAAGCACCGAACGACAATGCTGCGGATGATGACCATGAAAATGATATAGCATCTCTTCATTCTATATCCGAAGCAGGCTCGGATTTCGAGGGAGATACCGACGCCGATTCCGACGGTGATCCCGAGTATGGCGAGAGCGTCAAACCGCCACCTCGACCAAAGAGTTTCTCAGAGCGAATTAAAGAGGCTGTTGCGATGGTTAAACCAGCTGCTAAGGAACAGCCAGCTGATATCACACAAAATCAGCAAGCTGGGAAGAAGCCGGAGACTGAGAAGGAAGAGAAGCAACGCCCTGCTCGGAAACTCAACCCTCAGACTCATGCGAACTATCGATCTCTGAAGATCGGGAACAGAGGTGGTGGACGTGGTCGAGGACGGTTCCGCAAGCGATGAGGACTATAGGAAACCCCTCTATAGACCATTCACGACATAACGATTGCATTAATATAGCATTGGCACCTAGGTAGTTTATCGAATAGCAATTGAATTTTTGCATTGTCTCTTCTTAAATTCATAGCTCTGCAATATTTTGACATTAACTGATTAATCATGACGGGTCTATTGGACAATAATTAGATATCACTGTTTTAGTCTGGGATATATCGATCGAGAAGATATCGGGGCGGTCTAGAATGACGGTTATATGGTCGAGATTGCAAGCGAGCTCCCCTCGATGCTGTTCCTCTTCTTGTGTCAGGTCTTGAGATCCGATCAAATAAACTTCTATCACCAGTATCGCGAGGCCGAGCGGGAGGACGAGCTGCAGGATAAGCTGGACGACTAGAGCCTCGGTCGTTCCTATTACTAGTATTCTGCGCTTGCCTAGGGTATTGCACATGGCGATCCCAATCCTCTAATGAAATGTAAGGACTTCTCAACCACGCCAACAATTCATGCAGGAAAAGCCGAGCATTGTCGCGCCCGACAAAGTCCCGTAGAAGCTCCTCAGCTTGGCCAGCACTGCCTCTAATATCAACAGTTCGCAAGATTGCAATCACGTACTCAAGCAAGAATTCGGCATTATTCGCTCTGCGTTCATCCAATCGTTGATTCCCTGGGCGAGGTACTCGATCCCGGCCACGTACCTCATCCGTCTCTGCCTCCGGGTTCAAAAAGCTAAAGACTTGTAGTTCTCTGCGAATCCACTTTCGCGCGCGCGAGACTAAAGCTTCATCACGGTTGAAATCTCCTGGTGTCACCTCACTGTATTGCGATAGGCGATTTGACCCAACCCGGAGAGAGTATAATTGGTTCTGGTAGACGTTCCGCCGGACAGCGAGAGGGTCATCCGATACCGATTGCGGATGTGGACAGGACCGTGGATGTCTTGGCCTGGCTCGTCGAGCGCCAGGGAATCTTCCACGACCTAGCGCAGAGCCTCGAGATTGTTGTCCGGATCGTTCTTCGAGTGGCACTCTGTATATTTTTGGACCTTGCGCTGCTTTCAGGTCATATTGAACAGTTGTAAGTCGAGCCTTACCTATTATATCGTCAGCCAGAGTTTAGTAATGGTATGCATAAGTGTTCGTACATAAAGGACAGCTTGGTTGTTGCTCTAGCCAGCTGAGCAGACATAAGAAGTCAAAGTTGGTATGGTTGCATGGCTTTGCGATACTTGGTTCCGTGATTGATTCCAAACAAATCACACACGGATTACCCTCGGCCTCTTCATCAGCTACCTCCCTAAGGGTCTTTTGGAGTATTTCCTGTTTAACATCCCCATCGTCTGCCATGAAGTAGAAGAAAAACTAAGATTGAATTAGTTACAGACGAAGATGCGGAGAGGCATAGATAAGAGTCCACCGCCTTCCGCGCACGGGCAGAAAAACGGTAGAGTCGCAGCTTCCTATTTCACAAGCTGCAATTTGCTCAAGCTACGTCACTTCGAACCAGCGGAAAACTCCGCTAGGAATATTTCGCAGTCGCTATTGCTTATAACCACTCGCTCGGGCTGCGCGATGAACTAATTGACTCCGATTTACTTTTCCTCTACATAACACCATTCGATGCGTTCAGCGAAAGCTGTTGTGTCCGAGAACTTCGCTCGATACGGGAGAGGGGGCGCGAACATGCCTTATAGCACCGCTACTGGATCGTCGCAGTCACATCAACATACTCTGACGGCACTTAAAAGGTGGTCCGTCGCGAGCAAGGAGCTTCCAGGTATGGATATTGGCTGGGGAGACTAATGGAAAGCGACCAAGCTCACTATATCTTTTTCTCACAGCTACCTCTCAAATTCGGGCAGTTCACGTCTACGACTTTGATAATACACGTAAGGCCAGATCACACTGTTGGATAAATGTGCCATGCTGACCTACTTTGCCCATAGTGTTCCTCAGTCCCTTACCGAACCCACAACTTTGGCATGGTAGCACCATTGGTCACCTTCAATCAGAAGCGCACTTTGCAAATGGTGGATGGTGGCATGACCCCAATATTCTTTCGGCTACAGGAAAAGGCTTGGAGGCGGAAGAGCCCTGTGCTTGGGAGGGATGGTGGAATGAAAACATTGTGAGGCTGTCGTGTTTACTCAGGAGCGAGGGGTTTTGTTCACTAACCGATGCCAGCTCCGTCTTGTGAGGTATAGCATGGAACAGAAAGATGCCCTTACAGTGCTTTTGACCGGTCGAAGCGAAGCTGGCTTTGCTGAACTCATCAAGCGCATGGTTGCCGCCCAAAAGCTTGATTTCGACATGATCAGCCTGAAACCTGAAGTTGGGCCAGATGGAAGACGCTTTCCCTCGACTGGCGCCTTCAAGCATGCTTTCCTTGAGGACCTTGTTCATACTTATGACCAGGCTGAAGAGATTCGAATCTACGAGGATCGTCCAAAGCAGTAAGTAATTGTCTACGTTCTTAGGACTTTGTATCGTCTGATTGATTCGATATCAGTGTGAAAGGATTCCGTGACCATTTTGAAGAAATGAACAGGAAACTGCAAGCAGCACATGGTCACGCATCCCGGAGACCTATCACGGCTGAGGTGATCCAGGTATCCGAGGGATCTACTTATCTTGACCCAGTAAATGAAACTGCTGAGGTGCAGCGCATGATCAACTCACACAATCTTGCTCTCCGAAGCCCATTAGGGAAGTTCAAGGCTTATCAGCGATATATGCGTATCAAACGCACGACCATCTACACTGGGTACTTAATTTCCCAAAATGACTCAAACCGCATGATTGAACAAGTGCTAAGCCCACTTGTTCCTAATGGACTTGCTGAGTCGAATGATCTTAAGTATATGGCTAACAATATCCTGATCACACCTCGTCCTGCCTCACATTCCGTTTTGGATAAGGTTGGTGGCTTTGGAAAGAAAGTAAATTGGCAGGTTACGGGGACGGCGGCCTACGAGAATAGGGTTTTCGCAGCTCGTGTCTCCCCAATTCCTGCAACAGAACAGGTTTATACTGAAAACCCAGTGCCTCTCATTGTTCTGGCTGTTCGTAAAGGGGCTCGCCCCGTTGAAGCATCCAAGATCACAAATTGGCAACCCGTCTCACCAAACCAAGCTCTAGTATTCGAGACTGAGGTTGGAGAGAAAGTCATTTTGCGTGTTGACGATGATGACAAGGCTGGCCCCCCGCGTGGACCTAAAAATTACAAAAAACGTTATCTGCAAGATCGAGAAGAACAGCATGCTCACCCCAATACGGCCTACAGTGCCAGCCACGAGAACCAATCACATAGTTTTCATCCCTACCAGCGACCTGGTGGCGATAACCGCAGTTACCACGATGACAGCGGCCCCAAGAGAGGCTCGTACCGAGGCCGAGGTCGTGGTAATGGCCGGGGACGGGGCCAAGGCACACGCGGTGGGCGCGGTGGGCGCGGTCGCGGAGCCCGTGAAGGGGGCGCAAATCCATTCTACAAATCATTGGATGATTACAGCAATGCGTATGACGGCTCATATGAAAACAAAGGTCCGAACAATGGTGGATATCCAATGGACTACTAAGGTACATAAATACCAAGTCGTGTGATGCTGGCTGTGTTTCTCTTTGTGTCTCAAGTCAATCTATGGAGGCATAAATCTCTTTGTTGCATTCGCTCAGTGCATCTGGAAGGCGCTTATCATTATGGACTAGGCGTTGATATGAAGTCATGGTTTTTGGCCTCAAAGCGCCTGCGTTTATTTTTTTTAAAACTTGGTTCATGATCATGAATACATTATGCATTATTTCCATCGATTCATTAATTCGTACTCAAGGCATTTTGTCAAGATATTTATGGTGTTTAGATGGTACATCTCTCGTTAGTTCTTTCGGAATCAAGTTTTACATCCTTGGTAATCAAACTAGAACCTTGCAGGAGCCTTCAAACTTGAGAAATTAAGAACTTTTATTCAGTGGTATTATTTAAGGGTATCGATATCAAAAACTCCACCAGAAGAATTCCCACGCATAAATGGCTAAATATCATGTCGAGCATACTTACTCGCCAACCGAATTCTCCTTCCACGGTACAACAGGATGAAAGGAAAAGGCACAAAAAGTACGGTCAAGCAGCCTAACAAAGTACAGGCCCATCCAACGCCCAAATTATGGAACATGGCCGACGCAAAAAGCGGAAACCCAGCTCCAAACGACGAACGCAAGAAATCATTCCCGGCGAGTACACTGGCAGCGTACCGCGGATACGCATGTGCCAGATAACAAAAAATGCAATTAAAAATCAAGCATCCACCCACCGCAAACAACATCGAGGCAATAATTGGCACGATCCAATGCACGCTAGCAAAGTTGCCAGTCCAGCCAAACCAAAACAATGAAATGGGTAGCGCAAAAGCACCAACACAAGCAGGCGGCATCTGCCATTCTGGCGCGATATTCCCGTCCTTGTCGAAATATTTCGATTGATATTTCCATTTCCAATAGAAGTACCCAGGGATAGTAAGGCAGCAGGTCGAGACAAGAATACCCATGAAAGCCAGTCCACTTTCACCTGGATTAAAGCCGTGAATTTCTTCAAAGATGATCGGAAATGCTTCGAACCAGATATAAAGAATACCATAGATCAGAGCGATATAAAGATTGAGCAGAAGAACAATCGGCTCAGCGAAACAAAGTTGGAAAGGTCGAACAAGCGCCTCAAAGACAACGTCTACCGGCTTGATCTCTTTGATTTCAATCTCCGATTCAGACATATACCCCGAGTTCCCTGTTATCCGTCTTACTCGTCGTGCCCGTCTTGCAAGAATATTCGGCGCAAAAGTCTCCGGCAGACCGAAAAATAGCAAGACAAAAGCAAAAGCAGACACCCACATCAACTGCCAAATTGTCCAGGTCCATCCCTTCGCGGAGGACGCGAAACCGCCGAGCATGGGACCTAAAACTGGCGCTGAGATGGCAAACATGCCCCAGACACCGATCATGTAGTCGCGGATTCTGGGACTCCAGATATCTCCCATTGATGCGGCGCCTGTTGCTAGGGCAGGAGAACCGATGAAGCCGGTTAAAATCGGAAGGCAAGAAGCATGCCGAAGTTTTTGGCGTAGATGACGCCGAAGTTGAAGAAGACGAATACGAATAGTGTCAAGACGTATGTTGGGCTTCGGCCTATCATTGGAATTTCGGATAATGGGGACCATATCATAGGCCCTAGAAGGCTTCTGTTAGATTTAAATCTTTGGAGCGTGGGGTATATAGAATTGTGAAGCCTGAGGGTGACGAACCTATTCCGTAGCCGACCACGAAAAGAGTCAAACCTAGGGTTCCTGCAACGCTACTCACGCCGAATTGAGCTTGAACGCCAGGGATACCAGGCGTATATATTGCGGAACCAACATAGATTGCAAAAGTCAAAAGCCAGATGAGGCAACTGACAAAGAACTTCTTTTTCGTGCTCCAGTTTTGAGGATTCTAGAAATCAGCATTAGCGGCTTTTCTCGTTATGGAATGTGTCAAGTACGCCATCTTACCTCCGGATCATCAGGACCACGCCAGCTTATTACAAGCGATTGCTCTGGAGCTCTAATAGTAGACACAGAAGACATCCGTCGGGTCCGAGTCGAAGCTTGAGACATGACGGTATAGATCCCGCAGGCCTCTAGATCATCCGGGCTCTCATTCTCCGTTTCTGCTGTGGAAGTTGTTGTTTCTTCTTCCTTGTTTTCGGTTTTGAGATACTCTGTCCAAACTGATGGATCTTGTTCTTCTGGATATTGCATCCATCTGTAGTGAGTAGCTAGGCGGACTAGCTTGCCGAACGCAGTGTCACGTAAGGTCTCCATGTTGGAGGTGTGGGTATATATATGTTGTAGTGTTGCAGACCTGGAGTTAAGGCGAGAATTGTAGTTTTATGAGAAGAAATGCAAAAGAGATATTTGAAGCAGCTTATATCCTAACCAGACATTTGAATTGAGTTTTATAGTTAAAGTTGCTTAGATGTAGTTAATAATTGATGATGACTTAACCACTATATCCGTATCCGGGCAAGTTCTACACCTTTATCCGTAAAGCCGAAAAACCGAAAAGCCGGATTTTGTGGCAATGGTACTATGATTGTTTGGCCTACCTAGAGGCGATTTTACAAGAAAGTTAGACTCTAGCTAGTATTTTTTGGAGTCGGGGGATTGAATTAGCTTTCAATTTTCATATCTCGAGGAAACGTCTAGAATATTCGCCCTTAAATTGCGGAATTACAGTGCTTCCAAACCTTTCCTCAGTACTATATACTGGCATGTAATCCTTCAATTTTTGACTTCACCTTTGACATCTAATGCTCACAGAGACTGAAATGACCCTCTTGAAACTGCTTGTTCTGCTTCGCTGATTTGAGGCCACGCTCTTTCATAAGCTCAAGTCGGTACGCCTTAGCTTCTTCTAAAGACATAGCCGAACAGTCCACCGTTTCCGTTTCGACCTGATTGACCTTCTGCTTTTTCGCTGGTCGATCAGAGCTCTGACTCTCGACAGGCGTCTCATTCTCAGTAGAAGTCTCCTTACTCTTCTTCCAATTCTCTTGTTGCGGCGGCACATTGGCCGAAGAAATAACGCGTCGGTGCGGATCCACTAAGAACAACGCGAGAATCTTGCGATGACCAGGCTTGGACCGATCCTCCAGCGAAAATGGACTTACGCAGTGCTGAAGCGTATTGGGGAAGGTGATGAGTCTCCCCTCCTTGGTGACCACGCTGCCGAGTTCTTGCGTCGTCAGGCAGGGGCTGTTGTTTTCCAACTCGATGGAATAGCCATATACCTGTTGCATGAATTGGTGTTGGTCTTGTTCGTATCCGAGGTCGTTCATATGATCAGTCATTCCGCGATGGCGGAAAGCAAGCGAGCTGTCGGTGATATTATCGCTATCGTAGTAGTAGATTGCTGATGCCACGATGCGTTCGTTCTGTGAGATACAAGGTAAGGTATAATTCAGTGTATCGGGGGTATGGGGAGCGGGAGATAGAATCAACTCACGAGTTGGCCCTCAATATGCCAGCTTCCACCCTCGTACTCAGGTTTCCCGGGTGTCAGCTCAATATTCGCCAACTTGACAATGACCTGCAGTTTGCGATGGCAGAAGTCTGTTCGGAAATTAATAGGCTTCACCCGGTCATTCTTTGGATCGGGGATTTTGAATTCCCCCGGCTCGGGAATTTTGACTTTGCGAGTAGCCTCATATTCTTTCTGGCGCTTGTATTGGTCTTCAATATGCTTCTGATGTTCCTGAAAGTCACCTTTTCCGTCATACTCTTCCTCCTTTTCGTCCCATTCCGGAAACTCTCCATATCCATAGCCTTCTTCCCATTCGAAATCCTTGTACGAAATTCTCTGGGGGTAATTCTTTTCAGTAAGAGATGCCTCCCACAGGGGTACAGTTCGTGAAATGATCTTTTCAATAGATTGGTATAGCGCGCGGTGCTTGACTGGGTGGGCGTTGTTGATATAGGACAAGATGCGACACTCTCCATCCTTTGAGATGTCTATGTCACATGGCATCCACTGGAATTTCATGCTCAGCATAGGTAGTTTGGGTAATCCTCTCCTGCGGCGCTTGTCACTAGAATTGACCTCAGACTCGCTATCTGGAGGAGTAGGAAGGACTTCGCCTTCCCCGATATAGTCAAGGCAGTCTTCAATGCCGAGAATCTTATCAGGGAGGACTCGCGTTTTGCCGTAGAGAACCGGGAAGAGGGATGGGTGCACGAGGTCTAGTACCTTGTCATCAGAGCCGGGGTGGTAGTCCTTCTGGTCCTCGAGAACATCCTCGAGAAGGTTCACTGCCCCTTTCAACGCATCCTGAAGCTCTTTGGAAATGGCGGTATCCGACTTAATCACATTTTCAAAGACCTCGAGATATCCGTTTTTCTCGAGACAAGATTTCTTCCACTGCAGTTCTTTGATTACCCAGTCCATCATTTTAGGCGTAACATCTTGCCCACTCTGGGCGATCTCTTCGTGCCATTTGTTGGTGATGGTCTCGTCACAGACCTTTCGTTCCCATTCGGGCTTGTCAGTGATGGTATTCATTATTTGCATCATAATGATTTCTCTCTTAACAAGGAGCTTGCTAAATGAAAGGAGAAATATTATGTCAATATGAATGAGCGCATGTAAGCTGGATGCTAGTGATCAACGCACTCAAGTCTACTATCGTGCAGATGATTCGGGTCCAGCGCGTTGTAGAAGCCCTTGGAGATGTGAGTCAAAGTGGCCCCCCTCTTCAACATTTCGCTAGACAAGATAGTATATCAGCATCGCCGCTTATCTGTAGACATCCATTGATGATCGAGACCTACTCAATACTGCTTTCAAAATCAATTGGGAACCACGACCGGCGTAGCTCGTTGATGTTTGGCTGAGCTATTAGCATTCGCTAGTGAATATGGCGTGGGATATTATAAAGCTCACAGCCGGTGCAGCATTCAAGGGCACATTGAACCCAGGCATTTGAGTTTGGAACCATTCGTGGGTAGGATCCATTGCTGAATATTGAAGCCCGGATGCTGGGATTTTGCTAAACCTTCGTAAATTGCGGCCGCGGTGGCTTTTATCTCAATTTGTCTTATATTAGCGCCCAGGCAACGATCAGGCTGCTACTGAGGTTAAATAGACCGAAGATTGGCGCGGGAGGTGATTGGTACGGGTGCTTGCCAAGAAGAAATGGTGGGGGCTATTTACTTAATTTGTATTGGCGCTGTTGAAATGGGGAGATTAGGAGCTTAAAGAAAGAGGTGCATAGTTTGAAATCTTTCGGACAAGCTAGTTATGCATGACACAGCTATTTGCCGACTTTAATACTTGGAATATGGAAGTTCTTCCTGGTCTGACGAAGGTAAAGAAGCCAATAGATAGCGGACTTTCAATATGGAGTAATTACCTACATCCATATACGAGGATACCGTGTTATGCTTCTTGATAGTTTTGATGCCCTCGAAATTGTTGGTAATCTTTGTCTTTTGAAGTCAGACTTCGCTCTTGCAGTCAGAGTGGAGTGTTCCTATGTGCGGAATGAGGAGGAAATCAGAAGTCGGAAACGAGATTCTGATCTGCAGAATATGCTGCCTGATCTCAAAAGCCAAAGCAAGACGAGCAGCAGATCTTGGATTCAAACTAAAACTAGAGAGCTAGTAGACAAACGCACTGGATCACAGGTTTCCAATGAGGTATTTTCTTGGGCATCAAATGACCCTAATTCCCTTGGAATTCAACAGCCATCTATCCTTCATTCTTCTACTTCCACCCAATTCCAAACTAGCTAATACATTGGAATGTATTGCTTCTCAGTCCCAGTTCGCCATCATTCTGAGCTTGAGCATACAAAGCTCCCCACATAGAATGGCTTGCTAAATTTTCTAGTCACGCTGGCATCCTTAGAGGAGGGGATGTCATATTTGCCCAGGTCATCTCTACACTCCTCATCCCTACTTTTATTAGCTATGCTTTATTCAAAGGAATGAGATTGGCATACTTAAAGAAGGTGCATGGAGGTAGGGGCGCCGAGCCTGCAATAGTGACGCTGGTCACCTTTTCGTCTCTGTTGTATTATCAGTACACTGGCAGATATGTGCATCAGGAGAAAGGAGTCATACGGGGAGTGCGAGTTCACACACTCATCTCCAGAAGTTGGATAATCGACACTTCCTTCATTTGAGGTTAATGTCACCTGTATATCTTGGTTAATATCAACATTCTTTTGGAGTAGCATCATTTCTTGCATACAGTTAATTGATCAGCCAAAGCAGGACTGATAGACGCAAGTAGAGTGACAGCAAAAGGGAGTGAGAATTTCATATTGAATTAGATGAATGGAATGAAGATGGAATATACAGCAGCAGGGCGAGATAATCCCTCTTCTTTATACCTCGAGTAGTATTACTTAGTACAAAAGGGAGCATAAGCAATACGTCAGGTTGCATCGGATAGTGCATTTATGGATTTTTCTTGCATTCACCGCTACTCTATGAATTCGAAATTAACCACTAGCATCAACAAAAAGTCACTTCCACATACCCAAGTACAGAAGGCTGGCAATGTACATATAGCTGAAAATATGCACATTGTCGATCTATAGAGCAAAGGCCAATGAGGATCTGACCCTTTCAATAATCATGCCGATCAATAGCTTGGCTGAAAGTCTTGTACTACGCCAAATCTGCCCTTGTTTTGAGAACGAGGTCAGATCTGGAGCTGAGCTGATTTTATGCACATCATATCCCTACTGAAATGATCGTCTCTTGGATAGCCTAATACTCATATTAAGTTGTTCATCAAAAGGCATAACTCATTCCCCGCAGACTTGAACTTGAACCTCTCTATGAGTCTATCCTATGAGCCGCTGAGAGCTGTAGGTATTTCAGGGGGATATGAACCGATGAGGTTCTTTTTTTTTCTTGGTTGGGATGAGATTCGCGAGAATCACGAAGTAATTACGGGGGACCATAGCGATCATTGGAAAAATGCCCCTCTCCCCCCGGGCCCCCTTGGCCATTGACATATAGTAGTACTAGTAGGTGGTAGATGAGCTCCGAGTCTACCACTAGTAGTACTAGTAGTGGCCGCCTACTGTTACACTACTACATACTATACTGTAAGCTCTACATTGATAGAAAGACGAGTGGAAAGACGAGTGTAAAGGCAAATGGAGGAATTTTTTTCCCCAATTGTCGTAGACTATGCTAGTAAGTTCATTCAAAAATGGGGGGTTTCCCGATGATCGTGATGGGCCCCCGTCAGTAATGTAGGCGCCACATAACCGTTGCACGAAGGAGCCTCTAAGGGCTGTAGTTATTTATAGGACATTTAAAGCTGAAGTGACTAATATAGAGGTGGATAGATAACAAAGTTGTGCTTGGCGGTTTTTCTTCTCTGATTTGCTAGTTAAGATGCATGCAGTCAAGTTTGGAGCTCATTGATGAATGATATTGAAGCCACTGGTCGGTGGTGAGTTAAGATAAAGTTTGGAAAAAGAAAAGACAAATAAGTTTTATACAGGGAAACAAACGCCTCGGCAAAAATCAAATACAAGAAAAACCACAACACCAGTTGCAAAGCTGTACAAAATAATTTGGCATTCATTCTATGTCAGATTCCACATATTGATTTGATTTGATAAGGGGAACAGCCATTTAGATCTGCTTATGACTTTTTTTTTGAGTCAAGATTATAGGCAAGAGGATCCCGATCCTCTGATATGTTCAAGAGCTCCAAATTTCCAAACCCAATTCCCCTGAGACATCGAGTCCCAGTAGTATTCCATGTAATCCATTTGGCTCCATAAGTTATTGAGCAGTGCCGTGTGTTCGTAGGTATTAATCATTTCCCATTCGTGTCGTATTGTCGGATATAAGGGGTAGTAGTCGTATGTTGTGTTGATGGTCGCGTGAAACATGGAAAATAAACAACGCAAGATAAGTAAATCGCAGAAAATATCAGTTAACTCATTCATCATCTGTTAATTGCCTGATGAGTTTGATGCTGAGAATCATAACAAGAAGGCCGATGGTTACGACCACCAAAAGAACAAAGCCGAACCAGCCAAGAACCATGGCTGATGAACCGACTCCACTCTTGACGCTTCCGTTGCCCATATCTTGGGCGATAGTACTTGCTGCGACGGACGCTGTATGTTGCCATAACACGGACACTAGGACAAATACTGAGGAAACGAAGATGAGGGCGAGTGCTGCTTGTGAAACAGGGCGAGAGGGGAAGGGCTTGACTTCAAGCTCGGAGCCAGCGTCATCGCGCTCTTCGTGCCAGCCAGGGAATGTGGCAAGCAAAATGAAACACAAGAAAGCGAGCACAACGGCCACAATACTAGTTGTTTATTAGTTACTTTGCCAAGAACTTGCATGCATATATCAGAGATAAACTTACAGGAGGTATGGGAATACTACTGCATCCTTGAAGGTCGAGGCAACCCAAATAAGATTGAGTGGGTCTTGGTCCACTGTGACAACCTCTGCTAGCGCTGTGGCATTTGCATTGCAAATGTAGGAACCGTGGTCGGGTTGAATACAGATACCGAAGTATCCGACTCGGACTTCTAGTTCAGCACCGGCCACGATATGTGCGATAGCTGTTGTGACATCAGGTTGGACTTGTGACAGGTCGAAGTCGGGTTTGTAGCTTTCATAGTAGAGCGAGATCAAGAAGATATTGGGGATTTGCGGAGATGATGAGGAACACCCGGCCAATAATAATGCTGAATGGCCATTAGTTACATTCCTGACTCGCACGGGCGTTGAAATTAGGGTCGATAGCGGATGCCTCGAACTTACACAGTAAAATAATAGCAACTGCAATGATAATCATCAACACATGGTGGTACCCGATCATGGGAACGAATCCTGCGTTCAAGTTAGTGAATCTCTTCAATGTTGACTGATTGAAATAGGAAGGTTATTATCACATACGGGCCCATCCAGCAGCAAAATCAACAGGCATTGCGTCGAACGATGGCACACAAGTTGGCCCACCTCTTTCACGTCAACAGACTCACCCCTCGGGTCCCCGAGAAGGAGGTTGTAGAATCAAGTGCAGGAGCAAAACCTGCTGCCCAGTCGAGTTGCGACGTGCTGTTTCGTAGATCGAGGATCTCTATTAACGGACGCAGCCGACGTCAAGAATGGTTGGAATGCGGAGAAAGAATGTGGGAGACGATGTATGAGAAGACTTGACACTTCTTGCGAAGGTAGATGTTGGGCTCAACGGAGTACACTAAAGTACAGTCGGAGTTTTGGCAGGTCTTTCGATTCGAATCGCACCTAAATCACAAGAGTCGAATTTGGTCAGAAATGAAGCTTCTTGCACCACCTAGTGTTTAACACAGGGGAGTTGTAGAGAGAGAGGAATGTGTAGAAGGAATGGAAAGGGGAGGAGAAAAGATCGTAGCTGTTATCCAGGAAATCCACGTCAGGCTCAATTCCACACAATTGTCAACTTGGAGGCTGGGGATGGAGACCAAGTATGGGAATCTAGGAGGCTGGGCCAACCGCCTTTGTTTACTCTCCTGCTTCCCGGGAAACCAGATTTTACCGCCTCCCAATCAGGGTAATTCTGCCAGAGATCGGGCTCATCCAGGCATCAACACTAATCCGAGAACAGACTAGCGTGGATCAGATTTACTGGTAAGTTGGCTCCACAAGCGCCACTCGTGGGTTCATCCCCAGCCTCCACAGCACTTGAGTTAATTATCTGATGCACTCGCTCCATATGTCCGTACTCCGCAATTTGGTAGGATCGGTGGCCATATCAAGGAATCCAAGCGGCCAAAAGATGAATAAGAGTAATGCACGTTTCATTCTTAGACACTAACAGTGCAAGGTCCAATAATAAAATACATATCAAATAACGCCATTTACCCCACGCCATGAACAATAAAATATTGGGATCACCGATCCATGAAAATGCACTCCACAAGTGGGTGGTTGTGTCCATTCAATACTCCTTTCCCAAGACCCGAAAATGCATAACGCCCCAAATGCTTTGACAGTATCATTTGGCGGCAAACGAAAAGTGCTTCATGTCAAATGATGAAGTTTGTCCAAAGCTGGTCGATATTTCCTCTTCCGACTCGTCGCTGTCCGGGACAATAAGATCCTCACTGCCATGAGGTGTATTGGGCTGTGTAATAGCTGGCGTCTCATCTGATTGAGACTCCGAAGAATCCGCATGTCGAAGAGAAGTTGGAAAGTTGATACTCTGAGATCGTTTAAGGGCTGATTGGCCCAGTCGCTGCAGTACAGTGAGGTGTTGGCGCTGAGGGGTCCTGCTTGGCGTCGTGACGGTATAGTTTCGAGGCGACGATGGGGATGGGCCTGTGTTACCAGATTGAATCACCGGAACTTTGGTCGCGGGGGAGCGCTGGATTGGGGACCCAGGTTTGGACCCCGACTTGAATGTGAACCTGCTTACGAGATCCGAGTTCTGTCTTTGGACGTGGTAAGTTAGAGCGTCATTGAACTTGCAGTCTTCAGAGCTCTCAGGCTGCAATAAAGAAGTTTTATTTGATACGGCGTTGCCATCAGTTTCGCTAGCTGATCCAGCCTCAACAACTTCAGACTTAATAGTTTCTTCATGCTGTTCTTTGGCTGCATTTTGAACCGGCTCAGCCTCTGGGTCAGGATTGGGAATTTGGGAGAATATGTCCTCCGCCACCTCATCTGAAAAGACATCCAATGTCGACTTTCGTGGCTTCTTCGTTCGGGAAAATTTCTGTCCACTGGGGCTAGCTTGCTCTCTAGCAGCAAAAAACCGACTTTGTACATTGGGACGGACAGGAAGAGAATCATCTTCAGCTTCTGAACACAATCGCTGCCGCTTAGTCGATTGCAAGCTCGATACTCGTTTGCTCTGAGCCAAAGGAGTATTTCGCTCGACACTTCGAATCATGGGACTAGCACCCTGGTCGGAGAAGGCCCTTACTGGAGTGGACCTAACTGTGTTAGAGCGCAAGGGTGCGGAGCTCGCTTGCCAAGACATGTTCGAATTCCTCTCCAATAGGCGCTGCTGACTGGGGGATGGGGTCAGGCTGTTTGGATCCAGCTCGGCCAGAGGCCTCCGTTTCGGGGTGAAGAACGAGTTGATCGGCTTGCTGGGCTTCAGCTCTGAAGACGAACCCAAAGTTTGACGACGACTAATGCCCAGGGGCACTTTACCTGTAGCCAACGGTTTCAACTCAATCGGCTCCTTGGTCGTTGGGTCTAGATCCCCAGAAGCGACCCCAGCCGCAATCTCTGGCTCCACATCTGCCCCAATGAAGGGCATTTCCTCAAGATTGACACCATCGGAGGGCGTCAAGGTCACAAGCCGTTTAGCGGTGGGACAAAATACCCATTGATAAAGGAAAGTGTTCTCGGCCTGTATGAAGTTCGTCAGGTAGTCCGCTGGGACCTTAAACTGTCCATCAAATTGCATCATTTTTAGAGCCTTTTCCACAGTACGATGTTTGCGAATGCTGCGGTAGGCAGTCTTCAGTCCCATCTTCGGGATATTGGCTAGGTAATCACACCCACTGAGAATACACATCCGACGAAAATCTGCGTCGCTCCAGCCAACAAGGCTGACTTCCCGACATGCTGTGAAGTCTGCGCGATTTAATTCAATGCATTCGCCATGCTGATCCAACTTTGACAGCAGACGCTTTGCACCAAACACCAACAAATCCGAATCCTCGGAAATTATCCCTTGTACAATCCCCCTCTGTTCGAGAAACACCATTTGAGGATCTGCCTCGTATGGAGCCACCACATACTGTACATTCATTTGCTTCAACTCTTCAATGAGCTGTCGGGCCATGTAGGGTGTTACGTCGACGGCTTTCTGAAATTCTTGATAGGCCTCTGGCAGTTTGCCCTTCCGCTGCAACTCCAGTCCTAAGGCCTTGCTCTCTTGACGACGGCGGTGTCGGTCTGCTTCCGTAGCCGCTTTGCTGGGAAGATTGTCGCCATCGAACACTAGGTAGGGAGTTACTCCGAAGTACAGGAGCATGCGGACTCGGTGCAGGACGAAATCAATATGTCTATTATAATGAGTATTGGTGCCATGGTGCGTTGTGGTGCTTTCGCGGGGGGTTGGATGATCTCCTACTTCCTGGTTGGCCTGTCTAGGACCAGATCCACGGAACAAGCAACTGTTCCGCGGTGCAGCCAGCCATAAGCATCTATAGCAAGTGTTTGCCCAGCAAACTTCTTTAGATGACATGGTTTTTGAATGGATTTGAGAAGACCGTGCAATCCTATCAAAGGTTGTGTTAAGCTTGAACATACCCTCCCTTTCATCGAATAAATTTACCTTTGATACCCATAGCGGCACCGAGGGTCGAGGCTCAAGCGGGTCCTCGAGATCAGTCGAAAAACAATAACATGCGGATTTTGGAAAAGTGCAAAGACCAAAAGGGAGCAATCAATGTGCAATATGGTAAGAAGAAAGGACGGACACATGAATCACCAAGTAAATACCGCCATGGCTGGTGGAATGTTTGTTCACGTTTGTTCCCCTCTCGACGCGCAGACGCGATGGGGATGATTAGGGAAGGCGGTGGTGGCGTGGTGACCGCCTGATTCTGCAGGTGCCCAAAAAAATAATTATCGAATCTAATCTTGAAGCGGTGGATGAAGATACCAACTTAATTCACCCAACGATCTCTTGCCATAATGCCTCGTACACTCCAAAAAGTACACAAGCAAATCGCTAAGAAGCGCGGTGCTGTCGACGCCCTCCATGAATTCAGCCGTGATGCTCGACGTTTGCGCCGTGCAGGCGCCCGCGACGACCGATTGATCCGCCACACTTCAGCCGTGATGAAGGCTCGTCAGCCATACAGTGAGCATGGGAATTGAATCATGATCTAGGAGAGGCAATATTCTAATAGTGATATTAGTGGAGCGAATTGAATATTTCCACGATGCTGTTCAAGCTATCGAAGAACCGTTGACCGACTCTGGATTGGCAGAGGTAGTAAATAAGTATGTGCACACCGGAGCGGGACATTGCAGTACAATCCTAACCTGACACCTAGGTGTATCAACCGAGACGCAGAGGAGATTGCCGAGCTTCATCAAGAACGCCGCAAGGGCCGCCCACCTACCCGCCGAGAGGAGGCCTTGAAACAACGGACGCAGACAGAAGAGAAGGAATTCAAGACCGGATTTTGGATGCCAGATCTTGGCGAAGAGGATGCGTTATTGAAGTTAAAGCATTGGAATGGCGAATGGACAGCCCTGAGCTCGGCCAAGTTCATTCGATTGTGTCAAGATGGAAGCAAGCAGGAATCAAGTTTTCCGCCCAAGGGAATGTCATAATTGCAAATACTCTGTTTGATCTTTGATTTTAATCTCTGTTTCTCTTCGCCACTGCTTCAAGTTGGTGTAGTTGGCGCAATATGGGATATGCATAAAAGCTTGTTTTCTCACGAAAAGTACCAGTTGATACCAGTTCTTGTCTCGATGTGATGAATATATTGAATATGAATTTTGAAACGGAACACATCAACTTAAATAAAATATAATAACAACACATAAGAATATGTAACTATTGGCTTGCCCATTGACTACAGCTCTTTCTACCAATAATGACTGCGGCAGATCTGCACCCCGAATCGGCCGGAGCCAGGGAAGGCCCGGGCTTGGCATTAACATCATCGCGCTAGCTCTCCATCTTTTTCTTCAACACGTTTCCAGTTGTCACCATCACAATTCATCCTTTGATTCATAATGTTTTCTCTCCGTGCCTTCTCTCGCTCCATCCCGCGGGTTTCCCGCTCTGTCGCGCGCACTTCGCTGCGCCCGGCTGTTCTCCCTAAGCCAGCTCTCCAGCCTTGGAAGCAGGCTTCCAAGCCCATCTACGCTGCTTTCTCTACTTCCAGCGTGTTCCGCGAGCCCGCTGCTGAGGGTAAGTTAAATTGCAATTAATCTATGCTAATACGTGATCAGCCCTAGTTGGTGTTAGCATTGTGAGCTCTGTTAGATAGATTGCTAATGTTTTGATTTTTTTTTTTTTTTGTATAGGAGATGTCGAGCTTCTGGCCAAGCTTGACGAAGAAGTCAAGCACGAGAAGGCCTCCGGTGCTGAGGATGCCAAGGAGCAAAAGGCCAGCATTGATTACACCCTGCAGGCTGGTGAATGGCAGGTTAAGGACGTCGCTGGCGAGCAGGAGGTTGTTCTGACCAAGAAGTTTGGCAACGAGAAGTATGCAGCCCAATCGTATCCAGAAACAATCGGACCATCAAATAAACTGACATTTGATTCCTCCGAACAGCATCCGCGTCACCTTCACCGTCGCCGATATTAACAACCTCTCCGAGGACCCCATGAACGACCTGACCGACGACGCTCTGTCCGATGAGGCCGACTACCAGCAGAACCAGGAGGTCCAGTCCGAGGACGACATTCTGCCCCCCACCTTCCCCGCCCGCCTGAACATTGCTGTTGAGAAGGCCAACAACGGTGCTCTCCTGATCCAGGCTGTTATCCAGGACGGTGACCTCCAGGTTGAGGAGATCTCCCACTTCAAGGATGCCGAGCTCGCCCACTCCCAGACCGCTGAGAAGGACTGGTCCCGCCAGAACCTCTACGCCGGTCCCCCTGCCGAGAACCTTGATCCTGAGCTAATTGCTTTCTGGGGTCGCTACCTCGAGGAGCGTGGTCTGAACGTCGAGTTCCAGAACATGGTCACCGATTATATTGCTTTCAAGGAGCAGAAGGAGTACGTCTCCTGGTTGGAGAATGTTCGCAAGTTCATTGCTGCTTAAACGATATATTTGTCGTTGGCTTGAACTTTTTCCTCATCATGTTCCGACTCTTTGTACCTCACCCTCTACTCCCTGACGTTTTCATCACGCGTTTCCTTGCGTTGTAATAACCCTCTTATGTGAACTGGTCTGTGTTTGGCTAGTAGCCTACCTTTTCAGATATGTACCAACAATTACAAATTAAATATAACCCCAATCCTCACCGTTGATAAATGGTGGAGAGCTTTTAAACTATATAAATGATTTATTCTTTAAAAACCACGAGCATCCAATTCATATCGTATTATGTTCCAATTTTATTCAATACCAGTACTCATCTGTTCATGGTTCATATTCCCCGATTTATATCGACGGATAAGCGTGATAATAGGTACTACTGGGTACCAACTAGTACAATGTAACCAAGAGCTTGAATACTACCTCGGGAATAACTTGAAGTCTTATACATGTAGGATCCTATCCGTGCCCTAGATATGTACGAATGTATATAAAACATGCAGAAACAAAAGACGTGCATATGTGTGCGAGAGAGGATCCGTGGATATAGCCAACAATTTGAATGGGTAAAAAGAACGCTACTATATGTAGTAGGTACTAGATCTTGCATATACTACTATGGATATGTATAACCCAAGTTTAGTACGTATAGCAAAACTCCACTACCTATATTCTTTTGCAAAAGACCTCTGGATGGTATAAACTAGGTAAGCTGTAAGGTTTACTCTAGTATGTACTAGTAGTTTCAACTTTGGAATATTCCAAGGTTGACGTGGCCCCCGCATACTACGCAGAGGCGAGAGGAGGGCCTTTAGACGAACTAGATCAATTGATGACGATGGACTGGTTTTAAATCGTATAATGATGATTGATATACTATCGATGTATGAACAGAATTGAGGATCATGCAGTAACACCTCAAAACGCCAGCGCAAGAGATCCTGCGAGCGATAACTCTGATGATAAACAGGTCTCGGTAAATGAAACAGAGAAGACGGGGCATTATGGTCATAATTCACAAGAGAACAGGTAAAGGGGCAGGATGATTCAGTTCTCCGGCGTTGAAATTAGAACTCCATTGGATCAGCTTTCACTGCTGGACCAGACTCATCCCGCTCCCGCTTGACAGTCCGTTCCTCCTTAAGCAAGTTCGCAATAAAGGTTCGGAAGAAGTCAATGTAGGGCTTCAGACTAGTCTTCTCATAGTCATGCATTTTTCGAGAACCCTTCGTGTCAGAACCATTAGCTGCACTACCCTCTACACCAGGCATGTCGACCTCCCCTGTACCTGCCGGGTGTGTCGCATCATAAGTGTCAATTTCGCCAAGTAGTTCCAGAACTGTCGGAACAGAGAGAGGATCAAATTGTTCTGCTTTCTTGGGATCGATGGGAACACAGATTCGGCCAGTACCAGGATGAATAACAAATGGACTCTTCAACAAGTGAATCATTTTCTTGCTGACTTCCGCATCAAGACGCGGGTAGGTATATTCCAATACGATATCCTGCTTTGCATCACGCAGGATACTGGTGTTCAATGTGCTGCTTTTTCCTGTTTTCGCCAAAGAATCGATATCGGCCCATTTGTTGGTACTGGGGCGATCGGGAGATGAATCCCATTTCCTGCGCAGGGCGTCGTTGAGCGATTTATCTGGAAGCAGATTGAGAAGCTTCTCCGACTGCTCAGGACTTGCGAATGTATCTTGATCGACAAGTGTTGTCTGCCCAAAGCCGTTCTTCAGAATATCCAGACTGCGATTAATGTGAGGGTGTAGAGGGCGCTTCACATTGACCTTCTTGCCACTTGAAGAGCCTCCCTTTACAAGCTCAAGATAACCAGCGATAGCCCTCCTACGATCATCTGACATGTTTCGAGCGCGGGGATCACAGACCCACGCGTGAGCACCACGACGACCGGAATAGACCCAAAGGATGTGTTCGAAGCCGAAATCCTCCCGTAACGCAGCGTCGATCACTTTAATAGCCATTGTGACGAACGCCCAACATTTGGCGCAAATGCTAGCGCCAGAGCAACATGTTCGAATATCATCGTAATCAGTCATATCAATATCGAAAACCAATTCTTTAGAGACCGGTTTCATCTGCCCCCCGCGGAGGGTCTTGCGGTCTCGGGGGTTCGTGCTGTAAACGGGACCAATTTCGAAACGGGAGGGGTTCATTCTCAAGATATCTTTCCGAAAACTGTGAAAGATGATTAGACCACACGGGCGCCGCTTTTCAATGTCAGGAATTGCACGATCTCACAGGTCTGCGGTTGGGTATGACTGGTATCGAAGATATGCATCATTCTGGAGTGTCAATGCAAACTCGCGGTTGCCAAAGTCTCGAGTGGGCACAACTCCATGGTTGAGCCATTGAAAGAGATATCGGAAGGGGAAAAGGCGCTGGTAAAAGGCGAGCATGACATCCGGATCCACGCCGGATGAAGTTGGCATCCTGTTCAATGAACTGGTAAGCGGGGAAACATCGCGTTGTAATTATGAATCCATGCAACATACGGCTCCGGTATAGGTACTGGCGAGCTCTCCATTTTGACATCCTGCGCAGGTGCGCTTGACGCCGGAAATTCTTCATCATCGTCATCGTCAAACATGTCTTCTAGTTTAACTCCATTGCCCTCTGTAGGGGCATCGGGCATGGCCTCGTCGTCATTTCGGGGCGCTGAGCCGGGGGGAGATACTGAGTGAGGCATGACTGGCACTTTTCTGAAAAAAGGCAGCGATAGAAATTGCTGTGACTACCTATAATCGATTTGGTATACTTGACATACACGGGATCGAACTCGAACAGGCAAGCCTCACGCGTCGACGCGTCGTGCCCTAAGCCCTACATCACGTGCCTTTAATCTTGCCTATTCCGGACAGCGCGTCTACTTCTCCTCCTGCAGGCGCTAACAACTACATAGTATGGCCTTTACAGCATCCAGTACCTTCACAAATTTGAATATATCTCAATAAAAAAGCTTCAGCTTCTACTATTTCCGTTTGCATCCAAATTCTCTTCAAAATCTTCTGGAGTCCCCGCCACCCGTAGACGAACTGTGTTACAAGGCCCTCGTCTTGGCCAAAGCTGCTACCCAAGAAAAGAGGCTTTACACTGGATTGATTCGTTAGTATCGTTAGGACCCATGTACCGCCAAGTACCCATCCGCTTTCGGGTAGTGGTGCAAGATCTAAAATCACTCAGTGGAACATAATGATTTTTCAAGAGTGGAGAGGACTTCTCATTCGGTGCCAACCAGGATGTTTCTGTCATCGACAATAAATCGCTGTGTCGCATCAATGGTGCATCTCATATAGCATCCATGAATCAGCTGTCTTGATTTGGCAGTTTGTTCAGCTAGCAGATCCGGGCTGAGCCAGAAATCAGCTCATGATCCACATTCCTGACCCTGGATGTCTGCGAATCACAGAGGAAGGACCGAAGCCAAACCATACGGGATCTACATTCCTCATTCCTAGGAAACGCTCCGATTAGTACCGGAAGACCCTGGCCGTTTTTGATCGCCAAGTAGAGCCCTGTCAGATGGGTGTGCATTCCAATCGCAGGATTCCAGTCCAAACCAATGTCTGCTATTGGCTTGGATGAGATCTCCTCTGCTGTCCGCGTGTAGCTTGGTGGTGAATGCCACATGTACTGTTTCCGGCTTGGTGTTGGCTTTAATATTCTGGTTTACGCCTTGCCACGACGTTGAGCCCGCCTTATGATGATATTTGGGATATGAAATTGCAACAAAATCCTGTACTAATATCTCTATCTAGGATCGGGGTTTGAAATCCTATACTTCTGCAAGACGGTGATCTTGTTGATTGGTCAACCTCGTCAATCTAAAGACTTTTTTGCGGGTCTAATTGCATTACTGCAAAGCTCTTCTTGCTTTATTTCCGCATTTGGAACTCCTGTGGAGCTTAATGGGTCTGTCAACCCAGATGATACAACAGCATGTCACGTTTGCATCCGCAGTCATTAGATAGATGCATCATGACTTGTCTGTAGCCATCAATAATTGCTCATACTATCCGTGGCTCACTGTCACCGTACCTGCTTTCAGCCAAGAACAACATCGATGTGGATCAGGTCAACCTTTTTTCTCCTGAGGATAACCATGGCAGCCATATCCGGCACAACTTGCACGATGTGTCTTGGAGCAAGCATATAAACTGCCTCCTGCTGCCTCTTCGAGAGAGTCTCTTTATTCCTCCACCGACTTCACTCGTTTGACATTTCCAAGCTTCTTTTTTTCTTTCCAAGTAAAAAAAACCCCATTTCAATCTCTCGAAATGATCCAGTCTATTGCTCTTCTGGCCCTCGCTAGCCCAGCCTTCGCTGGTGTTATGCAGGCCCGTGGTGAGGCCGCTGTCGCTCAGCCCTCCGTTGCCCACAGCGCCGACAGCTGGGGTCACTCCTGGAGCCGCCCTGCTGATGAGCATGAGTCGTGGACTACTCCTTGCGAGACCAGCACGACTCCTACCCCGGTGCACTCCACCACCCACCACTCGGAGCACACCACCACTCCTTGCGAGTCTAGCACCACCCACCACCCGGAGCACACCACCACTCACACCCCGGAGCACACCACCACTCCCTGCACCACCCCTGTGAAGCCCACCCACACCCCTAGCCACCCTGGTACCACCAAGACCATCACCATCGTGACCACCACCTGCCCTGGTAAGTCAATGCCCGACTAGAAGTATATCATACAGTCGAACAATCATTAACATGTTATCTCTAGTCACCTCGTCCACTGTTACCTCTGGCACCTCCACCTGGACTGTTCCTGTCACCCAGACCAGCACTATCACTCTCACCAAGACCACTGTCTGCACTCAGTGTGATAATGAGAAGCCTGTCACCTTCCACAACGCCACCGTCCCCGCGACTACCGTCCCTGTCGTGCAGACCTCTATCGTTGTTCCTCCCCAGTCCTCTGCTGTTGTGCCTCCTCAGTCTTCCGCTGTTGTGCCTCCCCAGTCTTCCGCTGTTGTGCCTCCCCAGTCTTCCGCTGTTGTGCCTCCTCAGTCTTCCGCTGTTGTGCCTCCTCAGTCTTCCGCTGTTGTGCCTCCCCAGTCTTCCGCTGTTGTCCCCACTCAGTCCCAGAAGCCTGCTCCTTCGGTTGAGAAGACCCAGCCCGCTACTCCTGCCGAGACTCAGCCTGCTACCCCTGAGACCCCCGAGTCTACTTCTACTCCTGAGACCCCTGAGTCTACCCCTGAGACCCCTGCCCAGCCCAGCTCCACCGGTGTCTTCACTGGTGCTGCCTCCAGCGTCAAGCCCGCTGCCGGTCTCCTGGCTGGTATCGTCGGTCTCTTCGCTTTGCTGTAAATTTCAGCTTAGCGGATGAGCGAGAGGTAGCTGTCACCTACCTACTTATAGGTGTACTCTACTCTTCTCAACTTACCTAACTTCAGTGGTTCTTAGACCTTCGTGGTGGGGGTCTTAAGGATCGAGGAGTCGGGACCTTAATTTGTTGTGCTTTACTTGCTTGGTCTACAGTGCATCGATTATAGATCCGCTTGAGCTCCGCCCATACTGGGTTAGGGCATAAAAGTTGCTTGGTCATTTCGAGATTTTTTTATCGTTTCTGATGTCCAGCTAGTGATATATGGTAATAGTAATCAATAAATAGCTGTTTTGCTTGGATCATTGCTCCTTTGTATTATTGCCTTTGACATTTCATGAAGCTATCTATCTGTACACGAATACTTCATATAATACGAATTTCTTATATTCAATCGTTTAAGTTCTGTTTGTCTTTCCGTATGTCTTCCATTTTATGTATAGATTCCAGTAGGTAAGAATAATTTATAATCTTTTACAACATATATAATGATGCGAAAATTTTACAGGTCACCTTTGACAGATTGAATGAAACACTCGTGGACGTGTCACGCGTTGACATTGCCTCAAATCACCTCACTACTTCAATGAAATGAGAGTATATAGTAGTGAGAGTGTATACTACTAGTAGTGAGAGGACTATAAAATGATAGTCTCTACCTACAGACTCTCTTTTCTCTTTCTTATCCAACCTGAACTCCAGCGTGCCTACGGACATTACTTCACCCACGCAGACACGGCTAGTACTTCAAGTTGTTCCCTATCTAATTCCCATGTCTTCCTTTTCTTACTTCCATCCCACCCCTTCCCTCGCCATTTCCACGCGTCTCTCTTACTATCTGGATCTTATCTTGATATTGATACCTGATCACTCTTGAATCTCGCCAGTCTATGGACTATGGGTGCATCATGGGTAAGCGATGTCTGATCATAAACAATGGGGTGTCTAATCTGACATATAAACAGCCAATCCGGCTAAGATAGCCCGGACGAAGTGGCACCTGCGCTGGACAGAGCTTCTTTGTAAAGATGAAGCAAGAAGATTATCACTTACCCGAATCGGTTTGGAAACCCGATCATTTAACACTGGAGAACGAAGTTTCAGAACGCAACCCTCGCTGAGCCACCAGTTCGAGATGTAGATTGACGTAATCTTTCTACTATCAGCCCCCTTGCCAACAAGCCTATGTGGGTTCGTGCAGCGGTGATTCATCAAATCGGGTACATATGTGTGGTTGCATGCGATCACTGCAGGAAGAAGTCGGGCCCTTTTGGTACATGTGTTGTCGCAATTGTATCAAAGTATGAGGAGCCGCTTGCTTATTAGGGCTCTTGCACTAATTGCGGAACCGCCTGCAATCCCTCATGTTGCTCTTTCCGAGTGGATCCCATGGCTCTACCAGCAGAGATTCTTGATCATCTTGAGGCCCTTAACAACCAACAACCGATCATTGAGTAACGAAGAGGAAATATTTCTGCCCCTGTTGCTCCTAACTTCGCCGTTCTGGCCGGATTAACGATGAAGCGCAAGAGATAGGCCATTCTGATGCCAGAAACTCAAATAATTACTCACTACAAACTCATGATCTCCATTTCGCGGGTCTTCCAAGAATTGTGCGATCTCAGATCTTACAAGTATCTGATTCTCATGCGAGCCGTCCCATCTTTGAAAGACATCTGGCTGTACCGCATACAGTACCCGTTGGTACACATCGCCCTTGGATGACCCTGATGTATGGATGAGATTTGCCGATGGGAATCATGGTCCAGCCCAGGCTGCACATCGATTTTATGCAAATTGTAGAGCGGGCTAAAGAGGACCATTTACGGATCTCCAAATTCCTCTATCCCGCCAATCCCGCTAATAAAAAAAATCCTTTCGCTGATATTTGAATATTACATCCGTTTATCTTTTTTTTTTGAGTGGGATTGGAGGCTATTATGATGCATTCAGGGATTACGGTGAAAATGGCAGCTTCGAGATAGTTTCCTCTTCTTTCTTCATTTCATGAAGAATGAAACCAGTTACTCGGTTCATTAGGATGTGGTAACTAGAAAGTATGTTTGAAACTCTTAAACCGTCCTGCTATGGTATTAAGTGAACAAATTGAAGGAGCATAGGGTACGCCTGCCAGCTGTATGCCGTAAGTCTTATGTTTATATCGCATTTTTCTTTTCATCTATTCCAGTAAGAATATTTTGTCATGTCTTTTACAACATAATGACGGAGAAATTCTACTGGTCATCTCCCAATAATGAACTTTTCATATACTCAAGCTGGTATTACTTAACGCTGGCCCTGCAGCTCCTGGTCAACCTCTGCAATAACAAGATCACGGATGCCCTCCCAGGTAGTACCAGCAGGAACATCAGTAACTCTCGTCTCGCGCTTCTCAAGACCAATGAAGTCCTCAGGAAGGATCTCCTTGAAGCTGTAGCCCTCCTTACCACTCAGAGCCAGGTCAACGGCATCAGCGAATTTGGCCGGGTGAGCGGTAGAAAGAGAGATATGGTGAACACCCGGATTACGCTGGATAGAGCGGCGCGAAGCAGCAATACCCACAGCAGTGTGGGGATCAAGAACGTAACCACCGGTCTTGGTGCTCTTGGGGGAGCTCTCGCCAGTGTTGGTGGGGAAGCAAGTGGTGAAGGTGTCGCGGATAGTAGAGATGGTCTCATCGTTACTAACACGCTCACTCTCGAACTCAGCCTTGGCAGCCTCGAGGACAGCACTGGGAACCTGGAAACCACCCTTAGACTTAAGGTCGTTAAGCCACGAGCTGACGTTTTCGCAGGCGTGTCCGCGGCGCTCCTCGGCAGTGCTACCGTTGTTAGTCTGGTAGGCGAGGAACCAGAGGAGACGCTCGAAGTTGCTGCTGACGAGAATATCCATGGCGGGGCTGTGTGTCTCCTTGACATCCTCGGCATCGGCAGGCGCACCGATAGCCTTCTTGGTGTAGTGGCCGTCGCTGCGGAAGAAGCGGTCCAGAATATCGTTCTCGTTGGTTGCAATGACGAGCTTGTCGGCGGGGAGACCCATCTGCTTGGCGAACCAACCAGCGAGGATATCGCCGAAGTTGCCGGAGGGCACCACAATGCGGAGCTTCTCCTTATTATAGCCGGGGCTCTTCTTGAGCTGGAAGTATGCGTAGAAGTAGTAGGTGATCTGGGCGAGGATACGGGCCCAATTAATAGAGTTGACGGCGGCAAGGTGGTGCTCGGCGTTCATCTTAGGGTCGGCAAACAGAGCCTTGACCGTATCTTGGCAGTTATCGAAGGTTCCCTGGACAGCCAGGTTGTGAACGTTGGCATCGCAAACAGTGATCATTTGAAGTCCTAAGTAAAAGTAGGAGAGTTAGCAAGATATGCGACTTTATGGTCTTCGCAATAATTAGGGAATTGAACCTACTCTGAATGGGGGATGTGCGGCCCTCGGGGAACAGAATGAAGACGGAGCAATCCTTCTTTCCGCGAAGACCTGAGATAGCGGCACTACCAGTGTCACCACTTGTAGCTCCGACAACAGTGAGATGCAATCGGTCCTTTCCAGTCTTGCCCTCGTTCTTGCGCACAAGGAAATATTCGAAAAGGTTGCCCAGGTAGGCTAATGCGACATCCTTGAACGCCCGTGTTTGACCGTGGAAGAGTTCGAGGAGGTGGAGTTTATTTTCGCCATCGAGATCGACGAGCGGGGTACGTTGGGGGTGGTGGAAGGTAGCGTAGGATCGGTTGATGATATCGCGCAGGTCGTCGGAGGGGATCTCGGACTCGGAAATGAAGTTGCTCTGGAGACGGAAAGCCAATTCCTCGAAGCTGAGATCAGCCCACTCGGTCTCCCACGAGTCAGGAAGAGAGGGAATCTCCTCGGGAATAAAGAGGCCACCGTCCTTGGCTAAACCCTGCAAGACGACATCCTCGAAACTCAACTGATCGCATAGTATTAGAATATTTGCCACAATGGCGGGGAGGAAAAAGTTTTCCGTGACTTACGCCGTACTCCGCACCGCGGGTGCTCAAATACTTTTGCGATAAAGTAGGTGACATTATGAAAGGGCTGTAGAGAGCCGATTGAGTGCAGATGCTTTCAAGGGAGGAAGAGAAAGTCGAAGATGAATCATCGCGATAATCTTCTATAGAGACCGGTCCCTCATTCCCCCATTTGGTTTAGCGCGGGGTGCACCTCCGAAAGCGGAGTCACGTGGATAATGATTGGCTCGCGATAATTCGTGTCTCATTTCGTCTCGTCTATGCTTCTATGCTTTCTACAATATATTGTATGTCTATATGTACATGGCCGTATCCACCATTTACTCATTGCAAAGCACGTAGCGGTAGCGCGCCTTACCATCCTCCATATCCACAATCGCCTTGTTGGCATCCTTCATGGGGATCTCCTCAATCCATGGCTCGATGCCCTTCTCAGCCACCAACTCGAACATCTCCCGAATCTCGCTCGGGCTACCGACCAGCGAGCTCTGCATGTTCAGGCGACGCATCAGGGGGCGAACGGGGGCAAAAAGACCTCCCTCCTCAGGAAGACCGACCTGAACCATAGTGCCAGCAGTTCGCAAAAGTCCAATGTACTCGACCAGAGGCATCTAACAAAAACCATCAGCATAAGAATCGCATAAAACTGCATACGGGGAAACAATCCTCAAATTTACCTTGATAGAAGAAACGGTGCAAACAATAAGATCCAGAGAGCGAGAGTGCTTAGTAGCCCAGTCCGGCTCATCATCGGTAGCAATGTAAAGATCCGCACCCATCTTAAGAGCATCCTCGCTCTTCTCCTTCTTCCGCGAGATCGCAACAACCTGATCAGCACCCATAGCCTTGGCAAGGAGCACACCAAAGTGACCCAATCCACCAAGACCAATGATACCAACGCGCTTGCCGGGTCCGCAACCGTTGTGCTTCAACGGGCTGTACAGAGTAACACCACCGCAAAGCATGGGCGCCGCAGCCGCAGAAGAAATCCCATCAGGAATCTTAATGGCGAAGTGTGAAGGAACGCGGTTATACAGCGCATAGCCACCGAATGACTTGCTACCGTTGTAGTGGGTACCGTTATAAGTGCCGATGACCTGCTTGGAGCAGTACTGCTCCAAGCCCATGGCGCATTCTTCGCAGTCACCAAAGCGGCTTTGGCAGGAGTCACTCTGGGCGCCGACGCCGACGCGATCTCCAATTTTGATGTCGGTTACCTTGGATCCAACGCGGACGGCGGTACCAACGATCTCGTGCCCGACGCAGCAAGGGTAGCTAGCAGGACGCTTTATAGAGTTAGTAACGAATACTAATGAATATAGCAATTGATTTTATTGCAAGCGATTTCAGAAAAGGAGGAAACAACGAAGACTCACCCATCCACTGCGAAGAGTGTGCAAATCCGAGCCACAGATACCACAGTGAGAAATCTTGATATCAACATCGGTCTCTTCCCATTCCTTCGGCTGGAACTCCTGCCAGACCATGTTACCCTCAGCAGAGCTGGAGTCAAGGCCCATCCAGCCCTCAAACTTATAATCTGTCTGTGCCATTGTGTATGTTGGATATGTGTACTGTTGAGATTGCACTTCACTTTTCGCGGCCGAGATAAATTTCTGGGTCGGTCCCATTTATCTTCTTCGGCAAGCCGGCTTCCTCAGGGCCCGCGCATAACCGCATGATTGGCCGCGGACGTAGATCCACTGATCCATCGGATGTTAGGTAAAGAAAAAACGGGGTTTTATCCTGAAATGTCCAAGGAGTGGTGTCAGCAATGGGTCTAATGGCGGAGTTAAAAACCTGGTAATCTCCATAGTTGAGTTTTGGTTCCTGGAGTCCTGGCCATTCTGAGTGGAGGGAAAGGCTTGATTCGAGACGCATATCCTTATTGCTCCTCTGCGTACGTATAGGCTCAGAGAGATTCTACATTATTGATAAAAAATTACAATTTTTTTTTTTTCAATCTGTTCATGTGTAATTATCCCATTTATCTATTGACCATTTTGGGTTCGAATTTCTTTCCTTGATGACCATTTGGAGTAAGAGATAGTGGCAAGTGTATGCGGCAAAATTGAATGGAGACTTGCCTCTAATAGGAAAAGTGTGGCGCCACGTGAGAAGTTTAATTAGCAATCCAATTTTTCTCTTGGATTTGTAATCATTCCTAGACCCCACCACACCGGTTACCATGGACTTCTACACCTCGGCATACATCTTCTACTTGGGCACGTTGATGTGTGAATGTGGGAAATTATCTAGGTTTTGGTGGGAAAACCTATAAAACCGCCATTTTTTTTCAATTGAGATCAGATGGACGCTATCCATGAATGATATAATTCAACTTTTGAGCTGTGTGGTCTTGGATATCGAGATACTTCATGAAGATGGCCGTGCTAAGCAGTAGAATATGTGTTTCATAGACTCGAATCTATTTCCAAGTCTAAACGTCTATGTCCGTTATGCAGCAGGGCGGATACACCGTCTCAGATAATCATCCAAACTCGCCGTATTATCAAGGCGCGCAAGAATACCAACATACCCATCAGGTCTAATTACCGCCAATGCACCCTGAATTGGGTTTACACCATAGATTTTGTATGCATCATTCGCAGCTGATCCATCGTAAAAGCGCATTTCCGCCTGTTGTTTCACAAAGGCAGGTATGTCCTCCCACTGAAAAGATCGGTGGGGATGAGGATGCAGAACTATGTGTTCAACAAGGGTGGGTGGGAATTGAGCAGACATTCTAAAAGGTTCCCGCCATCACTCCCTGGTCCCCATATGGCAAAGCTGGATCCGGCTCTTTTAATTACGATGTAATGGGTCCATGGAGAATGGGAATTCCATATCAGAATCTCAGTGGATGTGAGACCTTTGAAGTGAGTCTCCCAAGAAAAGGATGATACCCTGTCGCCAAAGATGAGGATTTGCATTTGCTGAACAATATCAAGGGACTCAACCCAGCTGAGTGGTGCTCGAGGGGCTACGCAATTGTCGATATTGACGCTCGAGGAGCTGGTCATTCCGAAGGAAATCTAATGTTCTGGGGAGAACAGGTCAGTCGCGCATCTACAGTTTGAAAACTGCTCAATACTAAGTAATTGGTAGGAGGCAACGGATATTTACGATTCGGTGGATTGGATCATTCAGCAGCCATGGTGCAATGGATCTGTAGTTATGATGTTAGTCGCGACAAATGAGTACAATGATTGATGGCCGGTGGATTTTCTAACCGAAAGATTAGGGGAAATTCCAGGCTTGCTATCTCAAAGATCAATTTTGCATCGCGATTGAATCACCCCAACGTCAAAGCTTTAGCGCCCTGGGAAGGATTGACCGATATGCACAGCCAGCAAATGTGTCGTGGTGGGATTCCAAAGGCGTCTTTTGGAGAGATGATCCTTCATGGATTTGCAGGTAAGTCGATAATGAACATTAAATATTTCTTTTCGATTTTTGGCATTAAGAAAGTCACTTATGGCGCAAATGTCGCGAGAAAAGTTCACAATAGATACTCACTACTTTTTAACAGGCCTCGGAAAGGTAGAAAACCTTGGCGCTATGGTTTAAAAACGCCCATTATGTGATGAGTACTGGGAAGAAAAGCAAATCCACCCTGAAAACATAGGCGACATCCCTCTTTATTTGACAGCCTCCTACTCGACTGGCCTTCATTGTGAAGGCTCTTTACAGACATTTGAGAGCGCGAAGAGTTCTCGCAAATGGCTACGAATTCACTCGACCCAATAATGGCATGATCTCTATAGAGTCGAAGCTATGGACGATCTGCAGCAATTCTATGATTTCTATGCAAAAGGAATCCAAAACCGATGGGAAGAAGATACACCCCCTGTTCGCCTTAGTCTTCCCGGATATGAAGATAGTTTGGCTAAAACAATTGTTGAACGCCTGGAGCAGGCATGGCCTCCAGCACGCAAAAGAACATCCGTTACTATACTGAAATTTGCGGCCGCCCCTTCGTGAAGCTATACATGTCCTGCTCTGCCAAAGAAGAATCGATGTTGTCGTTCAAATTCGCAAAATATCCTCATCTGGAGAAATGCTCGAGTATCTAAATTGGTCACCAATGTGCAAACCGCAGCCAGAAGTGCCGAATGTAAATATTGCAAAGCGACTTGGTCAGCAGGGAATGCTTCGGGCTTCGCACCGTGTTAGCCTTCGGCCGCGCCGTGACGAAGATGAGATTCCCAACTATGACCATCGAAGTCGTGAACCTATAACCCCCGGATCTGTTGTACCCCTATTAATTCCCATATGGCCCGTGGGTGTGGTATTTGAGGCTGGCGAAGGGCTCGTACTTCGAGTTTCTGGTCATGATATGTCACTTCCAGAAGTGGAATCAATGAAGTTAACAACACCCGTTGATGAGCATGAGGGAGATCATGTTGTTTACAGCGGGGGTGATCATCAGAGCTTTCTTGTGTTGCCAATTATATCCGATTGAATACTCCTTCAAGCAGGGGATCTGGAATCGTTGAAGAATTGGATGTCTAGAGAAGTAACATTCAGTCGTAGTAGCCTTACTCCCCGCAGTGAAAATGGATAATAAGTCATCTGCATAGCATGAATGTTTAGTGTAGGTACACCGCCGGAATTATATTTTTCCGGTTCCGCACCTACGCTCAGTTGTGGAAGGGGCCTATATATAGCAATAGAGAAAGCATGATAAAGCAATCCTCATGATGATATTCATACCTAGCCAATACATACGGCAGAAGAAATAAAGAGAACTCGTTCGGATCACTTTTTTCCAGAGAAGAAAAGATATACATGCGAGCCTTTTGAACTCCGGCAGGAGGATAGGAATGCGGGAAAGGAGGAAAGACGACAAATTAAACACGTAGAAGAAAAAAAGAAACCATTCTATCTCGTTCTGTTCAGATCCTCGCTTGCAAACATATGGATATAAAAAACAACCAGCCTCTACCTTTTGCTGGGAACGGTATACCCAATAACAGGATCTAAAAGAGAGACAGGATATCCTCGTTTGTCTTCTTTCCCTGGTTGTTGTTAGGTGGAGGAGATGCCGTTCCGGATAGATCGAGGCCGGAGAATCCATTCATCAAGTCATTAGCAGCTCCGCTGCCGTTGGCGCCACTTGATGAAGGCTGAGAGGGTCCAGAGTCACCGAATACTCCGAGCAAGTCGTCCAGGTTGTTGCTGGCAGGTGGGGCGGGCGATGGAGTAGCCGCAGGAACTCCGACAGCAGGAGACTGGACTCGAACTGGTGTACCAGCGAGGCCCTCTAGGCCGGACATACCGGCGTCGTTGTTTTGCGCAGATGCCGGAGCACCGCCGTCGAAATCGATGTCCAGCAGATTCTCGACGTTGTTTTGCGCTTGTGGAGCAGGGGCGGTACCGCTGACGGCGGCAGCGGCAGCGGCGGCCAGTGGGTTTTCGCGAGCATTCTCAAGTTGTTCCCTGTGAAACGAATTAGTGACTGTGGAAAGAGAAATTGGAAGATATATGGACGTACTCAATAGCGGCTCTTTGGACGGCATCCGCACCGAAGCGGCCTTGTCCAACAAATTGCTCTGGGGGCTTGTGGTAGACAGATGAGAGAGTAGAGAGCTCTTGGAGAAGGCGCTCCAAGAGAGCAGGTGGTAATGAGGCAGTAGTTGTGACAATGGCAGGCTTATCGGACAGAATGATGCTCTTTGTGGCATTCTGGTCGGCTGTGGTGGATAACAGACGCCAGTAAATATAGGCTCGGTCACGGACATCAGGGTTGTCATTTTCAGCGGTAGCGGCTTGGAGTACACGCTGGACCAGGCCTTGAGCCTTATCAGGCCGCTTGAGGAAGAGCTTCACCACCGCGGTCAAGATTTGCAGCTGGGTCTAGCGAAGTGTTAGTTTCAATATACGTCAAGTATAGGAATTTGGAGATGTAAACAAACCTGAGAGAATTCTTCATTGAAGCCCTCGACAAAACCACCCAAGATGTCGCCGGCATTGCTGATCTTCTCAGCGTATTCTCCAACAATCCAGATCAATGCAGCGCGGGCATTAGGCTCATCCAGCTCATCAATACACTGGCACAGAGTTGGGATGATGCCCTCGTAACCAGGGTACTTTCGGAAAATATCTCTAATAACCACAATAGCCTCTTGGACGACGTAATTCACCTTCAGGTTAATTAAGTCCAGCAGTGCGTTCACGGATTTCTCGCTAGCACTCTCGATCTTGATAGCAACCTGGCCAATAGCTCTCACAGCACGTCGAACGAAGTCCATATCAACTTCGACTGCGTATTCCTTCAGCTCGGCCAGGAGCTGGTCGACATTCTTGTCATTTGCTATTCGCACCATGATTTCAAGTTTTTGGAATTTCACATATGGCGGGTCATTGTATTTACAGAAGAACACACGTAGCTCCTTGTTTAGGATATCCGGTTGCTTCTGGAGTAGAAGATCGATGTTTCGCAACGCCACATATTGCACCTCGGGTGCTGAAGATACCAATGTCACTGCTATCTGTTAGCGACCAATCCCCCATCCAATAAATCGAAAATGTAGCATACCTAGTGGGGGTGCCATCTTCTTAAGATATGTCTTGGCCAACTCCGGGCCGACATATTTCATGTGCAAGAACACAACCTTGACCGCCGCAAGAACGACACTGGCATTCACGTGTTGGAATTGAGGCGCAACTCGCTCGCAAATGTGCTCCGATTCCTTCACATCGACCGCTCTGTACTCAGCAAGAGTAGAGAGAATGGTCACACGACCCCATTCCGTACACTCATTCAATGCCATCAGCATCTTGCGCAGTGTGTTGTTAGAGATTTTGAGGGCTCCGGTCTCCGGTGCTGAATGCTGAATTTCCGAAAGTGCGGTGACCGAGTTGGCTACGACCATCGGGTTGGGGTCTCCAATCATCTCCTGTAGTGACTCCAAGAATCCATTCTCGAGGCACATGCCAGGGTTTAGATCGAAAAGCTTGGCGACGCAAATTGCGGCTGTCTTGCGGACATAGGGCGACTCATCGCGGAGAGTTTTGCGCAGCGGTTCTTCCATGTAGTCCACCATCTTCTCTACCCGAATACAACCCATGGTGCGGATAGCAAGTGCTCGAATGAGGGGGTTTGGATCTTCCGAGTCCTGGACGAATGTGTTGACAGCGAGAATACAGAGGTCAGGATGGGATTTCGCGTAGTTCCTATATGATTCGAGTGGTCAGCAAACGCCGTCCCCTTTTTGGGGGAGTTCGGGCATAATGCCTACATAAGGTAGAGGTAAACCAGCTTCTTCTGTTCCAGGTCGCCGGTAGCAATGTTCTTCAGGACATCGGGGAAAAGAGCAGAAACATCTTTGCCTAGTGTCATGGCCATGATGGTTTTCTGAATAGACTCTTTCCTGTGAGGGTGTCAGCCACGCTACACTACCTCCGAATAGATCATCCATCATATCTGCGAAATTGGCGAGCCACATACCGTTCGTAAGCATACTGGGAGCTATTCCACTGGTTAGTACAATCGGAACTCCAGAATGACCAAATGGCCACCTGTACTTAGAGGGGGTATCCATACACAAGACCAGCTCGCAGTTCGAATGTCTCTCCTTTTCGGGGCACCGCGAAGGCGCCGCGGATTTTGTTCATTGCCATACTGAGAAATCAATGGCTCCCACCACGGTCGTTGTTATCCCTTCTCGGAAAATATCGTGGAATCAAGCGTGGAGGTTGGGTGGTCCAGTATTCGAGACTGCGGGGAATCGCAAGCTCTCACCGGTCGCGCGACTTCGGGGGGTGGTAGATATGGAAAGGCGATCGGAAACAAAACTTAGACCGTTCCCCCTTCTCTCGCTAAAAACATTGAATGAGATAGAGAAGAAAGAGAGAGGATTCGGGGGTGAGTAAGAGGACTGACGAGGCGGAAGAGGAGAGAAAGGGTGTCAGGGCGATCAAAAGTTGTCCACAATGGCAAATGGCGGGCTCTGGACTCTCTCCCGTCCGCTTTATGCTTTGCACCTCTGGGGTTACTTCCATTACCACCACAGCTTCCTCCTCCTTGAAAAGGTCGTCTTCTGAGCTGGACAGAAAATGGTAATCAGAACTCTTCATTCTATCATTGATTTTGAAGCTAATTCACACACAGGCTAACCTCCCTAACTTACGGCGTCTCTTCGTCGAGGCCCGAACAGAGGTCGAGGAGAACGAGTACTCCCGGACAGCAGTACACCTCCCCTTAAACCCCGTGCAAAGCTGTATTCAGTGGCTGACTACGAAAAGTTCTACAACCTAGTCCTTTTTATCTCATCTGTCGCAGTCTTCAGCTTGGCCGCTCAACGCATGAGTGGATCCAAAGCCGGCCGGTGACGCATTATGAAGTACCCATAACAATGCCTCGTGAGCTAGTTCAACAGATAAAGATACATATAATTGGTCATTGCGGGATATAATGGCTATGTGATCGTTCGAATTGTATCGTCCATACAACACTCGCCAATCGTTATCAATCGGATTCCTCACCATCGCTCTCCAGAAACGCAAGCGCCTGTCGACCGCGGGCTACGCGTCGTGGCGGAGGCGCCTCGCCATCATTCTCGCCCTCATCCCCGCTGACCGCTCCCCATTGCTTCGCACCTTGCTGGATCTGCTCCAAGTCTGCCTTAAGCTCGCGCTCGACGCGGATCTTATTGGCCTTCTCCTGGGAATATCGCCCCGTCATGCCAGCATCTTCCAGCATCCCCTTAAGGTGCTTGATCTTCGCCTTTGCAGTATCGTAAGGTGCGAGCTCTCGAAACCACATCTTCCGAATACCACATTTGAGCAGCCACCCTTGTAATCGCTTGATCTCTGCCTGGTCGGGGTCCTCCCCATCTTTGGCCTTGGGTTTGGGTGCAGGCTTCTTTTTCTCTTTGGTTGTTGACTCGGAGCTCTTCCGTTTGCGAACAGCCTTCGGTTTCGGCTCCTCATCCAGTACAACGGACATTTCGCTTTCCGAGTCTGCTTTGACGTCGTCCATCGGTGTGTCTTCCTCTTTCTGGGCGTCCGACCCCTCTGCCGAGTCAGCAGGCGCAGGCTTCGACTTCTTCTTTTTCACAGGCTCCGCTGCACGCTTCTTTGGCTTTTCAACCTCTTCCTCACTCTCGTCGCCAGTGGGTTCAGGCTCCTCATCATCGTCCTCTTTGTCCTCTTCCTCCGAAACGGGTGTTTGTGTCTTTTGTCGCTTCCTTGGCTTTGGTACACTGTCTCGCTTGGCTCGTTTGGGTGCGGCTGTCTTCTTCAACTGCGGTGAGGCAGAGGGTGATTTTGTAGGTGGCTCTTCGTCGTTGTCGGCGTTCTCCTGTGTTTCCTACAGAGATTCCCATTTAGTTCCAGGTCTAAAGAGCGATGTCCATGCCAATCGGACATCAAAATTTCTCAAATCTCACCACTTCTGCCTTGATAATTTCCTCGCTCCGCGTTTTCCAATCCCCAGTCTGTTTAAAGTAGCCCTCTGTAAGACCAAGCTTCTTCTCGACAGAAAGTCGAACTCGTTTCACTGTCAACTCCTCCATGTTTCCCGACTTGAATATCCCGGCAACTTCATCGCGTAGACCTTTTTCTAGCACCGAATCAGATGGCGTAGTGGTTGCTTCGGCTTCTGATTCAGAGTCCGATAAATTATACGTAGGTGCCATGGTATATTGTGTGGAGAGTCGGAGATGTGTCTTGTATGGCGCGTGTTCGTAAGCTTCAACGCTGAGCTAGGGTCCAATTTACGCGTAGGTAAAGGGAAAGGGGTGCAGTAGGATTGTATAATTGAATTTCAAGAAATTTGACACGTCCAGTCGCGTGGTCCTGATTGAGTTGGGAGTTGCGATTGGTGGTGAACAGCAGCAGCGATGACAAAGCTTATCGTGATCCGCGCGTTTGTTATCAAAGCCGAGCGCTTCCAGGGGTTCAACAGTCAAACTTTAATGCAACTTCTTTGAGCAATCATGATATTTTGTGATTTTAATTCTATATGGGATCCCTTTTATTTTCACCCTCGAAGTCAATCAAGACAATATTATATCCCTATATCAAGGCGAAAACCCAAGGTATACTATACAGCGTGCCATATCATATGCTCCTTCAATTTGTTCACTTAATACACTGGCATACTATCAATTGATGGCAGGACCGTGGCGCGCTAAGAGTTAGTACTACAGCCACCCCGATAAATAACCCCACTCCTTGCTAGAAGCGATCGCTTTTGAATACGCGTTTAACCTCATATTACACTACACGGCTTCCTAATGGCCTTTCAAAACATCGGTCTAGTCGTCTCTCGTAACACCTTTACTAAGGTAATTCTAGAGGCTTCAAATGTCTGATCGTAGTAGTATGTATCATATCTAAGCTCTAAGACGTATATCTACTGTATTATCAACTATTATAAGGCCCCAATCAAAGCCAATAGGAGTGTGGTTCTAATGGAACTCGGAGATGGTAAGGTGTGTAAAATTTAGTGTGGTGAGATTGCAAGGGCACACTATCGCTTTTTTTTGTAGTTTCACATGAGCAATACAATTGGTTATGCCACTCTTTTTAGAAGGAGTGGGATTCTTTAGCGGGAGTACTGTAGTACATACAGACGTAGGCACCACATACTAATAAATCGAGTAACTGGTTTCATTGTTTATGAAAAACAAGAAAGAAAGGAAAAGAAACTATATTGAAACTATCATCTGCACCCTAACCCCACCTGATTCCCATCCGCAAGATCCGTCTAGGGAAGGTCTTCGTATTGAGTTGGGAATCCGTATGAACTTATGTCTGAACGGCGTGTACGGGCGATGATAGCGTCTTTTAGCAGACTGCTATATGTAGTATAAACTCCTTTTTAACTAGATATATGGCCGTACTATAGTAAAATGAATCCTGCAGACGACCTACCGAATTCTCCTGGGGGATTTCCAAGGTTGTTTCCTGAACTGTACGGATGGGAATCACCTCTCCACGCAGAGGCTAGATAGCCTTAAGAGTCTCTGAGATACTCATTTTGCGAACTGCGTTGGAGGTGGGATGACTGGAAGAAGTGGAGGAGGATATCGAATCCTAAGTTCCTCACAACTCCGGTTAACTATAGGCTGTACATACGATTGCATACCCAGCTAGTCCCCTAGATTTGCCTTTTTGTAGGGTATCCTTTACGACAGGAGCTGCGGCTTCAATAATCTTCTTCAAGATGCCGAGGAAGCTGATGACGTGGCCCTCGAAGTAAGCGGCGACAACTAGGACAGTGAGGACGACGATAGTAACAGCGATAGCCTTTATAATAGCCTTGAAGGAAGGTATCACGAGAATGGGCACAGGGGGAGACATCGCAGCCGCAGGGGCAGGTATAGAAGCGGGCGTAGGAGTAGATATCGTGATTCCAATATCATGAAATATTGTTAGTATCAATTTCGTAGCCTCGGGGGAGCTTATGTGTCATTGAGGGGTTCGTCGGGGGATGAGGCAGCAGCGGAGATCCTTCAGTTATCTCGAGACGTGAAGAGTTAGGAATTACACACTTAGAAGGATGGGAATGGACTTACTGATTTCTGGAAGGAAAAAAAGTGCAGGAATACTGTTTTCCATATCCCCATGAAGTGCAGAATATACCAATGATGCTTCCTATATCCCTTTTCTTTGTCAGGCATTTTAGTAGTACTCGGGCTTATCATGGACTTTGCATTTTTCCAAATACCCGAAGAACGAGATGACTGCTCACGGTTGGCGAAGAAAATGTGAGTCGATGAAGACGGTTTAGAGAAAGACGTGCTCAGTAGAAAATCTGTTTCGTGGATGACTGTTCACGGTTGGCGAAGAACATGTAAGTTGATAAAGCGGGAATTGATAAAATGAGTAGACCCATAGACTCTTATATTCAACATTTGAAGTTCTGTTGAATACCCGGAGAAGAATCCAAGAAAGGAGGAGGTGAGGAACGCAGGAAATCCTGACGTATAGTGCTGTGTACTCACGATCGAAGAAAAATGAGATGAATGCTTACGGTCGGCGATGGAAGGAGTTTTCGAGACGAGAAAGACAATCGGTGGTTCAAGTAGAGTCATGCGAAATCTTTTTCTAAGGCGATGAGACAACATCTATAACTGACTTGTATGGAGTAAACGTGTGAAGCGCTAGCTCCAAGGCTCTGGAATAAAGTCATCTGCCGGTAGACAGTAATTTCGAAAAAGCATAGGTGATGGTGATGAAGAAAGAATTGGAAAAGTGAGGGAATGATGGTATAGAATAAATAAGAAAAGGAAGACAGTATAAAGATTTAATTGATGTATTGAAGGATAGTTATAGTAGAAAACAGGAAGTAATTTAGTCAGAACTAACTCTCCTCCCTTTTTTATTTCTTCTGAAGACCTCGGAAACAATATTCAAAGCGGAGGGGTGTATAGGGTTTTACATACCCTTTTGGTCCAAGATTACCTCAGGCTATCTTAAATGGCCTCTACCCAAGGCTGATCAGATAGAGTATTTGACCAAACCGTCAAGACGTACTGTTTGCCTAGATAAAATCAGATGTGTGGATGAGGTTGTCCAAGAGTACACGTAAAGATATCATGGAATTCGTGCCAACACACATCCATGGATATGAACATTTACATTCCAAGTTTCGTGCATGCTTCATCCTCCATTCTTCCTGGTTACCTTCCCCATTGCTCGCACATGTATGGATGCCACAAAGTACAGATTTGCGATCAGAAAGGACTTCGCACGCGAAGAAGTCATCGTCTTGAAAATAACAAAAAAGAACCGAGCGACTTCTACCGCCGTGATTCACAGAAAGGGAACGGTACACGCATAAAAAAATACTCCATTCGAGAGTGGGTTCCCGGAACCCCCGTCAATACTTGTCCCATCCGCAGGTGGCTCCATTGTTCGAACGCAGTCTTATAGTGGTGCCACGCAACAAGAAGAGCGGCTCAATATTCATTCGCCACATCCGCTTTGAAAAAGACTTTCCACTTGCGGCTCGCCAATCCAGTTCGATTCGGCTCGATACGGCTCATGGTGGCATAATTCCCGGGACAACGTTCTTGAGGTTTGCCCTAGCACCCGCCTTATTGGAAGCTTTGTCCGCGGTGCTGGTCACCTTAGATTCAGGTGGCTGGCTAGGTCGGGTTGACAACCTAGAGGTGCTCTGCACGACGCGCTGAAGACTTCCCACAATTGACTACGCATACGTGTTACCCCGTTTTGCTGCTGGAACAATTACGTCCAAGATAAGTTCCCCCCAAGTCCAACTGCAGTCAATGGGCCCAGAGATTCTCCGGGGCCCTTTGAATTGCCTTCGCAATGAACACCACCGCTGACTGCTCATTTAGACTCATTCAGGGAAACCGACGACTTCTACTGCGAGACTCAGGGCGTTGTTAAGTTAGATCCTTGGTATCAAGGCCGCGTGGCGCTACTTGGAGATGCCGCCTACTGCCCTTCAGCAAGTACAGGCATGGGGACTTCTATTGCTATCGTTGGTGCTTATATCCTAGCAGGAGAAATGGGAATACATTGTGCGACGCTCGATCAAGAAGAAGAGGCAGTGAATGGGTGCCACATGGAGGCATTTCAGGCTTACGATAAAAAGTTTCGGCCTTTCATGAACCAAATACAAAAAGGTGTTGGGGATCCAAGTGTTCTTGATAATATCCAGCGGGGACCTTTTACCATTGGTGCTGTACATTGGGTCGCGTGGCTGGCATCATGTCTGAGGACATATCGGCTTGGTAGGCTGTTTAGCGACGAGCATGATATTAAAGGATGGGATTTGCTAGAGTATGACAGCCTGAAGAGCTCTACTGAAGCTGACAGGGATGACAAGTTGGTTGAAGGAGAAAGATCAACACTTCTTGGTGCTTATGCAATATGGGTTGCACTTGCAGATTCAAAGCGAAATAGTTTGATTCATGCGATTCTCATTTGTTTTGTCAAATTAATGATTTGAGTTGGTGTAGGTTGAACCTAGACCCTTAAACTAGATGTGGGTCCTCTAATTACCCCGCCTGTCGTTAGCGAGAAATAAGCTCCATATCGTCAGACGCGACCTTTGCTTCAATACGCCGACCGTTTTAGAAAGTCTGAAATATACTAAATCTTGACTAGCTGCCAATTACTCTCGGAATCGGTCGTTATGGATCCAATTTCGATCGCCGGGTTGGTCCTGGAAGTCGGCCACATCGTCGCCAGCCTAATCCAGTATACAAAATCAGTACAGGGGGCAAAAACAGAAATGAGAAAACTAAGCGAGGAACTATTCGCTTTACGAGGAATTCTCGATCATCTAGCAGCACAATCATCTTCAGAGCCCCCAGCATATGAGAAGATCGAATCTGAAACCCCAACACTCTTCAATGAAGAAGTCATGAACCGGGTCCTACAAGCAACGAAAGAATTCCTCGACACTCTCATGAAAGATCTAGAGCCAGCCGAAACGACATTCAAAGGCATCAAACAGAAGCTGAAGTGGCCATTTACTCAAGAAAAGATCGAGGGTCACCTTACCAGATTAGAAAGGGTGAAATCTTGGTTGATTCTTGTTCTGACTGCGGACCATGCTGCGGTCGAAAAAGATATTCAGAGAGAAATTGGAAGTTTGGCTCGGTCTTTGACTGAAGATATGAGAATTAGAGAGCAGGAACGAGATCAGAAAGCGAATCGGGAGCTTTTCCAATGGATAGCTCCTGTTAGTCCGGCTAATTCGCATTTGCGGGCAAATGAAAAATATCAAATTGAGTCTGGGAAATGGTTTATAGGAGGACATCTGAAGCATTGGCTACGTTATGGTGATAAGAATATCTTCTTCGTGGTTGGAAAGTGTGCGTTCCCCAGTTACTTTATACCCGCTTTGGAAATCTTTTTGGATGATATCTGATAATTTGCTAGCTGGGACTGGAAAGACCACCTTGTTGTCAGTTCGTTTCGTCTCGAATGACGATATACGAAGTATCATAAGCTGACAATTAACAATATTAGCGCGCAATCTGTCGATGAACTCGTCTCAATGGCATCAAAAGACAAAACGCTCAGCTTCGCATACTTCTACTGCTCGATGAGCAATGCCGCTTCTCAAATCCCACAAAATATTCTGGGATCAATAGTAGCACAGCTATCTGGAAAGGAAGACTCAATTCTTGACAAAATACGATCAGTATACAATGACATTCCGAAGTCCCAAGCACACAAGCGACCGGTGGACATCAGTGCTCTCGAAGAAGCGATAATCCAACATGCATCTGGAAAGACCCGAGTGGTGTTCTTCATTGATGCTATTAACGAAGGTCAGGATACTAGAAGAATTGAACTCATACTGTTGAAGCTTGCTAGACTTGCCCCGAATATTCGCATTGTCGTTACTACTACTTCGACAATTGTGTTACCTCAGGAAGTTGAGATGTTAAACCTCGATGCAGCTACAATGTCAGGTGATATTAAAGCATATATAGACTACCGGCTTCAGTCTGACGATGCAATGAGGGGACTGAAGCCTGATTTTAAAAAAGAAATCCGTACAAAGCTGCTCGAAAATGCCGATGGATCGTAAGTTGAACCCCCAATTTGAACGAGAAATCCCCAAGTCTAACGACTAGCAGATTTCGCTGGACACAGCTTTCGATAGATAATCTTTGCACACAGAGAACCGCGAGATCAATGCGTGAAGCGCTGCGCAATCTTCCTGGAACTTTGCGTGAGATGTACGCCAGCACTTTAGAGAGAGTCTCAATGGAAGATCGACACTTCGTGCGCGAGGCTCTGTTCTGGCTTAGCTTTGCTCAAGATCATCTCTTTGCAAATGAACACCTGACACTTGATGTTCTCAACGAAGTAGTAGTTTTAGATGATGATTGCACGACATTAGATGAGGATATGATGCTTGTTCCTGCTCATGTTCTTCTGGATATTTGTCAAGGTCTGATCACCCAAGATCAATCCGGCTACGTTACCCTCGCGCATTCATCCATCAAAGAATTCTTAACATCGGACTGGATCAAAGGATCACACGTTAGCTACTTTAGCTTGAACCCACACACTTCAAACGCTAGAATCACCCGAAAATGCCTCGTTTACTTATGTCTTGACAACTTCAAGAGCGGATACACTTCCAGACAAGAGATCTTCCGACGAATCAAACAATACAGTTGTCTGAAATATACAGCTTTCGTTTGGCCGAAATACGCCGCAACTTCAAACCTTGGAGAGACCGAGAGGAATTTGATAAGGAAGTTCTTTGATACTCGACATCTTCCACGGCAAGGAAACTTCGGTGCCTGGATGCAGACACTTTTACCTGGGATAGATGAGCAAATCATCGCGACAACCCATCCATTATACTACGCTGCCTCGTTTGGAATGGAGGCTGTCGTAAAGATGATTCTCGAGTTCGATCCTGATGTTGATATAAATGCTGCAGGAGGGCGTGTTGGAGCTACAGCTGTCTTTGCCGCTAGTTATCGGCAACAATTCGAGACTGTGGATTTGCTTTTGCGGGCTGGGGCAGATCCGACTATTCCTGACCCTGATACAGGATTTACTGTCTTTAGTTTGTCTAAGATGTCGAAGTGGTCTGGATTGAGGGAGCCTCTATCTCGCTGGTTATCTGAAAAGGATACCAAGCTTCAAGACGAGTATCCATTGAGATTCGGGTTGTAAAATATAGACAAAGACATTCATGTTCACTCCATTTTCAAACCGAGACAGCCACAGAGCCGATTCTGGGGATCCCATTTTTGTCGGATATCGATGAGTCTTTCGCGATGATCATCTTTCCAGTACTTTGCCTTCCGAGCCCTGGGGTCTAGCTCACCAATATATGAGCCCTTTGAATATTTTTCAAGCTTTGTTATCACATAATGAACGGCAGACTGGCATCGGGGATCGTCTGATTGATCATCCCATATCGCGTACATTGAAAGCCAATAATTAGATTGCATACTGAGTGCCATATCTGGAAGGCTTCTCTGGCTTCCTGGACGCATTGATTGCAAAAGAACTAAAGATTCCTTCGTCGGTAGCGATTCAAAGGCAGGCTGAAGTACTGAAAGGTCCGTGCCATCATTCAGCCATAGATTGTCCACGTAGTACCGATGATTAGTAGGAAATGCGGGCGCCGTTATCTCTAGTTGTCGCTCCATGCTTGTTGCCTCGCAGAACCAATGAGCAACAGTCCCATCTTGATGGGAATCCTCGGCCGGTTGCAAGGCTTCGATCACCTGCTCCACACTATCTCCATATGCAACAATGGAGACCGTAACACATAGCTGATTCAAACCCGGAGGATAGCTTCCCATAACCAAAACCTCGATCTGACCGCTTGTATGGGCAGAGAACTATCTCTGAATTAGCCACTTTCATTTGACTGCGAATTGTCCGAGACCTCTGATCATTTTGCCTATATTACCTTTGGTACCCAGCTTAAAACACTCTCAAGATTGCTGATAGGATAAACGTATCCCGAAGATAGCATGCATTTCACAGTTGGCTTTGTCAAGAGATGAAAACGCGTAACAATTCCCGGAAACGCTGGTCCAGCTCCCTTAGCTGCCCAGAAAAGGTCACTGTGGTTCTGGTCATCCGCTCTAACAAGCTGCCCAGCAGCAGTGACAACATCTACGGCGATGAGCTGCTCACATGCCCATCCCCAATTCTATCATTGTTAGCACCTATCCATATAGAAAAGCATCAATAGTAGAACGTACATTGCAGTTCCAGCCCATACCTCCACCAAGAAGAAATCCTCCAAGGCCAACATCATGGCAATGCCCCACTGAACAGACCCGTCCCTTTGGAGCCAGGTAATTTACCAATTCTGTTCCCGTCACAGCAGGCGGGATGCTGACAATAGACGTATCCTCATCGAAAGTGGGTCCTTTGGACATTTCTCCCATATCTATTAGGATAGCGTCATCACGGACACTCCAGCCTGCGTAGCTATGACCGCCCGCGCGAACAGAGACCTGACATTTCAATTGATGGGCGACATTGACCACTTCTACTATTTGCTGTGCATCTTTCACAAAGGCAATTGCAATAGGATAACGTTGTGGCTTTTGAGCGTTGAATAATCTTTTGGTACGTGCGTCTTCGTAAATTGCGGGGTCGGCGTTGTCGCGCCAAATGATCTTGACTCCTGTTCCGTCAGGCTTTGTATTGCTGCTATCGCCTGACTGCATGATGAATGAAACTCCGACGGGCTTAGAATAGAAAAGTCACTTTGGGCCTTGTGGCATCATCAATGGTCGAATGTGATTGAGCAGGGGATGTGATATGGGGAACCTATTAGTGCGATAATGAGGTGCATTTCGATGTTCCGTCATTCCGATGTTCCGTCATTCCGATACTAAACTCTCTCTCCAAGCGAGATATAAGACTATATTCATATTCTTATGTTATGGTTACTCTGATATATTCAAAATCCATAAAATCCATCGTAATAGCAACGTTATTTTATTAAGAGTATAGATAAAAGCGTCCGGGAAGTATTCGCCAGCACAGTGTCTACCGAGTACTGAAGCCATACCACAATTGCTAACACGGTAGTACTTATCCGGCATATTCCCTTGATAACCAATCCGTCGACGCCTAGACGTGAACAGGGCCAAGATCAACCAGGCCAGGGAGGAGATCATCTTCGGCAATGGCATCACGCTTCAGAATTCCACCGACGGCAACACCGCCCGGAAGAACGTCTATGTTCTCTTCGGGAATTGGGTCACGCTTGATAGCGACAATATCACCAACATTCACGATCTCGTCATTGCTTGGTACCGGTGCTGCCATGGCGGAGGCGGCTAGAGAGATAGCAATGGTGATGATTGAGAAATGCATATTGAGAGATCTGTTCAATGTTAAATAAAGGTGTAACTGTAGTATCAAGGAGCTTCGTCTACATACTTCCGAATCGGATATGATCTATCAGTAGAGTATTGGATGCGACCGGAGACTAATATGCAGGAATTGAAGATCGGGAGATGCGTAAGAAGAACTTAAAGGATACGATAGCTTCTTTGTAAGTAGCCCTGGTGGATCATATTGCGAAACAATTAAGCCTATAGTAAAAGTGGGTACCGATGTCATAGACTGACTGCACTGTCACCACCAAAATGGGGATTTGGCTACTATTTTCTTTGCACGGATAGGTCAAGTCAATCAAAATGTTACATTCTTTATCTTATAAAATTCATATTTTCTATATGATGGAATTTATTGACGATCTATACCGTTAGAGGGTGATGTAATACTACCCACTTTTAATTGGCCGGAGTTGGGTCCAGTAGTAGTTCCAAGAGCGGCTATACCAGGGTCTGTCGCATCGCTTATAAAGTTGGAGATATAACAGAACTTCTGTAGAGCGAATGATAATTATTCTTGATTACCTAGTACTCTCCCACACTACACATCTTTTATACACAATTGTGTACCTATAGAAAAGGTGTTATAATATGTGGTGATATCAGGTATACACCGTACTAGTCATCTAAGCCTCTAGAATTACCCTAGTAAAAGTATTATAAGAGACGGCTAGACTAATATTTGGAAAGGCCACTGGAAGGAAGAGAATGCTCCGATACATATCGAGTCCCATGATGTATATGTATAGTAACCAATAATTATATTGTGCCAATTAGATCTAGTCGCTCCCGACAGCTGGGCGGTATACTTAAGTGTTGCTGATGCAGTAAATGTTCCTGACACCGCCGACCCACTCCGCTCCGCGCTCCGCCGATCCCGCCGCTAAATTAGAAATCAAGAAACTCACCCCAATCCAACTTACCAACATCACCACCGCACAAAAAATGGCCAACGTCTCACCAGAACAACTAGCCTCCCTACGGGGCCAATACAATCTCTTCACCCAAAAGCCAGCATCCACAGACTCTGCAGAAGAAACAAAGCCACTCCCAAAGGGCGTAGTCCTCGATAAAGATGGAAAACCGTAAGCAAAACACCATGACTCCCAATCCCACCTCAATCCACCTCAAAAGAATAAAAACTAACCTTATGCAGCTGCCGAACCTGTACCTCCGTCTCCTCCTGGCGCGCACTCACAAAACAATCGCAATCGCAATCGCAATCCCAATCCCAATCAAAACCCGATAACTCTACCTCCCCTCTCTCCTCCCCAGCAGACAAAGTGACAGTATCAACCACTGGCCTCGCCGCGCCAGCCTCAGCCTCCGCATCAACAACACCCACCGACTGTCCTCCAGACGTTGAAGAACTGGGTCGCTCAACTTGGACCCTTCTGCACTCGATGGCAGCTACGTATCCTGAAAAGGCGGATACGGCACAACAAGCCGATATGCAGGGGTTTCTGAAGTTTTTCTCGAAGTTGTACCCGTGTTGGGTTTGTGCGGATGATTTTCAGAATTGGATGGCGCATCCTAGTGGGAGGAATCAGCCGCAGCTTGGGGGGAGGAAGGAGTTTGGGTGGTGGATGTGTGAGGCGCATAATGAGGTTAATCGGAAGTTGGGGAAGAAGGAGTTTGATTGTCGGTTTTGGGAGGAGAGGTGGCGGACTGGATGGAAGGATGGGAGATGTGATTAATTGATACGTTGATTTTGTGGATGGGGTTTTCGACTATTTACTCGATTTAGGCCTGGGGGGGGGTATTGTGGTGGATTGTGTGCCATGTGCTTTCTTTTGGTTCTTTCCTCTCTACTACTGGTATTGGGCATCTCCGCACTCTGTACGATATTCGATTTGATAGACTGTATTTTATATGTATACTACATTACACCTCGATAGACTCAACAATTTTGCTTGGAAAGATCCACGGTTCCAAAGTTTACAAGGATAGATGAATACACTATGAAAAAATAGCCATTTGCATAAATTGAAAGCCGCTAAACAATTATAATCTCGGGTACAAAGACATCTAGACAGGGTGGAAAGTAGGAGATTTTGTCCCCCCAAAAAGCGCCGCCAAACACACAACTTTCTCCACGTGCAAGAAGATGAAAACGAACCCCATTTTATACCTTCATGTCAGGGAGAAGAAAGAAAAAGCTGGAGGAAAACCGTCAAAACATCATGATGCTGAATTTAGTATTGCCCAGGGACGAACAAGCGAAGGCCGCTAGCCGGGGCACCGATCTCAGTAATATCGGATATCCGGCAGACGCTGCCCTTGTATTGTGGGTGGTACTTGGCGCCAGTGAACAGGTCAGCCACGTTGGGGGATCCACTGAAGATGGGGGTGTAGGAAGCGGCGCAGATGTCGAATTCAGCGAATTGGTCAAACTCGATATCAATCGCGTCTGATGGGTTGCGTTCACACTGGGCCTTGATCTTACGGGCCTGCTCGAGAAGCTTGGCAGCTCCACCATTGGCCAGCATGCGGTTAGCGAATCCCAGGGCGGAGTTGTAGTTCTTGTTGGCGAAGGAGAACTTCATGGCAGCCATCAAGGCGAGTTGACGGTGAGCCACTTCCAGCTTGGGGATGGTGAAGTAGGCGGACAGCTCGAGGCTTCGCTTGAGACCCTCCTCCGAGTCGGTAGAGACGCCGCGACGCTCAAGTTCGATAGACATGGCGAGAATGTACTCGCGGGCAGTCTCGATAACCTTCTTGGCCTGTTCAACCTCGGCTTCGGAAGAAACAGTGTTGACGAGGAGGCCGTGCAAGATACCCTTGAAGATCCTCACACCCTCTTCCAGCTTGTTGGCCCGCATGGCAGCGTAACCTTCTTGGAGCTCAGCGCCAGCAATGGTCTCCAGATCCCGGGGAATGATGGGCAGAACCTTGCGGCTGTCTGTCTCCTCGGTTGTCCTCCGCACGTAGTTGACAAGAGGTGGCAATCCAGCGGTGGCAGGGAGATAGGTTTTAGATGCCTTGAAAACTTCGAGGAATCGGCTCTTCAGAGGTGCAAACTGCACAGCACCGACCTGTCGGTTGAGAAGCTGCATGGCAGTGTCGAAAGAGCCAGCCGCAACATGGTCAGCCGCCAGCGGGGAGTTGCGGGCCCACAAATCGGCCTCTGAGCTGCCAGCGCCAGCCTCGGCACTTTCAACATTGACGAACTCGACATCCTCCTCGACATTAACATCATCACCCATATCCCATCCAGAAGCATCTTCCTCCTCGTCACCCAAAGTATCCTGAGCAAGAGCAGCCTCTGGCTCGGCGTCATCGAACTCGAAGGCATCGCCGGCATCTTCCTCATCAGCAGCACCGACCTCTCCAAGCAGGGCCTTCTCGAATGAGGAGTGACCCGCAGCCTTGACAGGCCACTTGGACTTGAATGTTGGAACGATAGGGAGGGCTGTCTTCAGGGGTTGTTCAACGGTGGGGAGAGTGATCTGGTCTTCTGTAAGGCCACAAGCTTCCAGAATAGACTCAGCTTCTTCGGTCAAACCATTGGACTTGGCAGTGAGATACGCCAGAGGATCTAAAATTGATTAGCATATAAGTACAATAAAATAAAATAAAGAAAAATGGTAAGTTGAACAGGGGTGTGAGCGTACATTGATCAACCTCCTTGAACATCTGGATTCTGTCTTCGACGTCTCCCCGGTAGATGGCGTTCTGGAAGCGAGAAGTGAAGTCGCCACGGTGCTCGGCGATCTTCGCCATACGGGCGAGCTTCTCTTGATCACCGGTAGCCAGATACAAGAAAGAGAGCTTATCGAAGTTGCGTTGCTTCTGGTAGGTCATCTCGACAGTTTGGTGGTTACCATGGGCCAAAGCTTCAGCTCCAAGGCGGTTCCAGAAGTTGGGACGGTCCAGCTCGCGAGCCATCTCAATAGCCACTTCCAAGTTACCACACTCGAGAGCCAAGTCGAATCTCGTTTGCGGGTCTTGAACGAACTGAAGAGCGATCTCTGGGTAACCCTTCTTCTGGAGGTAAGAAATAATGCTCTGACCAACTAAGCTTGAGTTCTTAATAATTTGCAGCATTTCGTCGTAGTTGCGCTTAACCAAAGCAAGCTTGAAGCGGTACTCAGTAGGGTCAATCTCAAGAACCCGAGGCGACGCGTTTCGGTCGAGGCAGTAAACGTTGCGGCCCTTGACACGCACAAGGTACACGGTCTGGTCCAGGGTGCGAATGATTCCATTGTCACTGGAGGTAAATATCAGTATAAATTGCGTCGTAATGAAAAATAATTAGGTACCTACCCGTTCAGCAAAGAATACTTGACGTGGTTCAAGGTGGAATAGATGAGGACACCGGTATCATCCCAGGTGGCGCTCTTGATGCGAATGGTCTCATGCAAGGTGCTAACTTGTTCCAAAGTCTTGGTGACAATAGTAACATTGTGCTTGCTGAGCAGAGCACAGTAGAGACCATCATTTGACCAAACAACATATTTCACGCCGCTAACAGTAACCTCGGCAAGTTGTTTCTTCTGCTGGATATCAAAGAGAGCAACAGTTGTGGGGGTGATGAACAGAAGGCAACCAGTGCCGCCGAAGTAGATGTCAGTTGTACCAGCAGGGGGCTTAATTGTCTTGGTGGTGGAGTTGCTCAGGTCCTTGATATCAACCTGTTGGGTCGCAGGGTTGAAGACGGCGAAGCGGTTTCGGGCAACAAAGACGGCAGATGTGGCCTGGCCACGCTTAACATCGGTGGGTTCGACTGCACCGGTCGCATCGCGGGGAAGGTGAATCAACTCGTAGGTTCCACTGTCGGCGGGGGATGTGACAAGAATAGCACGCTCGGCGGGGTTGTAGGAGACGGTTCGTGGGGGAACCCATGGGGAACCAAGCTTGCGCAATGAGAGCATAGGAGGAGACTCGACATTCTTGGCAAAGTCGTATGACTTAACATGCTTCTCCTTTGTAATGTAGAAAAGCTGGTTCTGGTGAACAGCGGAAGCCGGTCGCTCGCGCTCCAGCTTGAAGACCATGACACCAGTATCGTGACCAGCAGCAAACAGGTTGATCTTGGGGTGGGCAGCAATCACCCAGAATCGGTCCACATCCCTCTTGAAAGATTGCACTGAGGTTCGCTTATTGAGATCCCATACACGAATGGTCTTGTCCTCGCCGGCGGAGAGAATGAGGTCTTGGTGAGGGTGGAAGAGGGCGGCGGAGGCGTTCTGGAAATGGCCGCGGCAGGTATCGACCTCCCAAGCCTTGGTTTCTGTAATCAATCAGCAAGTTAGACGATATGAACTTTCAGGTGAAATAAGTTGACGAACCGCTCATGCGCCAAAGCTTGATCAAGCGATCATCGCCAGCTGAGACAATCAATGGCAATGTTGGGTGGAAGGACACCCAGTTGACACCCCGATCGTGGCCCTCCAAAACGAATTTCACAATAGCGTCTGTGTTTCCGAACATATCTGCTTGGTTGGGATTGGCTCGTGCCATCTGGTCTTCGAAGGAAACCGAGGTTGGGGCTGAATGCTTCTTCCGCAGGCCGGAGATGTCCCAGATGCGGACGGACTGGTCGAGCGAGGCTGAGGCAATCAAGTCCTCTGTGGGGTGGAATTGGGCGCACATAACATAGTGGTTGTGACCGGTCATCGTGCAGACTAAATAAAACAAAAAATGTCAGCAAAGAGGCCAGCTATGAACTCCAATCCAAGCAACACTTACTCAAAGATCGGTTCTGCCAATTCCAGATTCGGATCGTCTGATCATCGGAGGCAGACAGAATCCAAGGGAGCTCTGGGTGGAAATAGACAGTGCGCACATAGTCCAAATGACCATTTAATGTGAACAGACACCTGCGTGTCTGGTAGTTCCAGACCTTGATCTTGTAGTCATCACCTCCGGACACAAACAGGGGCTGAGTAGGGTGGAAATCAACGCCGCGGACGGGGCCATCGTGTTCTTCGAATCGGTCAATGAGGGTTCCCATACGATAATCCCAAAGCTGGATGGTGGAGGAGTGAAGCGAAACAAGGATCCATGGCCTGATGAAGATGTCAGTTGGAGATTCTCCAGGTTGTGTACATGTGTAGGTGTCCCCGCGGGACAGACTGACCGTGTAGGGTGGAAGGCGATTCCCTTGGCTCTGGACGATTTGGACTCAAACTGTACAGCAGACGGAAGTTAGTAAATCCAATTGATATCAGGGAGCACTGCTGAGCGAAGTCGAGATGCTTCTTCCGCCATCGGGGAGATCGAGGGGTGTTGTTACCTTAGTGAGCATGTTTGGGGAGGACTGCATCTTGAAGAGTTGGCCGGAGCCGCACTGAGCAGTTGCAAGCTCCGCACAATTAAAGCGATGGAAGCGACAGAATCAACCAGTGCATACACTTGCCAAAGATAACAAGAGGGCAAGGCAAGGCGCAACGGTGGTTAGATACCTATGTAGCGTAGCAAGAGCAACACGGTAAACTAAACGTGGACTTATTGAGTAAGCGAATGGCGGCAGCCAATCATCTTCGCGGGCGGTGAGCGGTCAGGGGAACAGGGTCGTGACGTCGAGTCTATATACATTAAAGTGCTATTTTAGAGTGGAATATGTTTATTCGTTTTTTAATTTTTAATTTTTAGATATTCTATTTGTTATTCTACTCGTCTCAAACGACAAGTAGCTAAATCTCCATTGGTGCCGGTCGTGGTGGCTCTTAATTGGTGATCTGGGGACGGAGACATCTCCCCGCTGCTAGAAACATCTGGAACACCATGTTGCGACGATCAACCTATAAAGCCTCTTGCTTCTCCTGCACCATTCCTAATATAAAATTTTGACCGTGCGCTCGCTCTTCTAGAACACAGTTCTTTTATGTTTGCCTCCACCAAATTTCCCTTAGATGGCAAGTTTACTGAGCAATTAGTGACGTGATGTTCCGAGAACTGTGGCGCATGGAATAGATATGTCTATGGAACTCCAATTTGAAGGTACATCATCAATGAAGAGTGATCTCAAGCTTCAGACTCAGGAAGAGAGCTTTAAATATTGAACTACTTAAATTAGAGGCCTCTAGATCCAAGAAACTTCTACAACTTAGCGACATACCCGATACTACTACAACATCCGACACTCCGACAGAAGGCAGTGGATATAGTCCGAACGAGTCGGGTCCACAGATACCTATGACAGACGGTGAGCCAAAAATGGCACCAGAACAACCAACCATGAAGGTTTATCAGCCATATGATATTGAGGAGCCTGATGATGATCTCGATTTCACTGTCCGCGGGTTAGATTTATGCCTACCAGATTCGTTCGAAAGGTGGCAGCGCGATTTTGCGGACCACATGGATGATAGTACGTCTGCACTTTCTCCTGTCGCCAAGCAAGTCAGTAGTCCCCGGAGAGGTCAGAAGCGCAAGTCATCAAGTGTACCTGCTGGGTCTGGCCATTATTCCGCATCTCCATCATCTTACAGGCCTAACGCAGGGTCCAGCCTTGCCGATGAAGCATTACCAGTCCCTGGTCTGAATCCAAAGCGACGCCGAAGACGCAGCAGACTCGCTGCCGATTCTGCAAAGGTGGTTCCCGTGGTTTCACTCGACGACTTCCGAGATCCCGAGATGAATGAGGACTCAAGTTCCGACGTATGGTCGACGGATGAGAGTGCTGATACTATGCATGACTCTTCCGTGACGGACGACATGGATCTCGATTGAACACTTGAAATATCTTACAATGATATAAACAATCCTACGTTCGGTGTTCATTAATTAATTTACCATAAAATGAACACGACGCGCCATATACGTGATGTGAGCAATCGTGACGTCACGTATATCTCATGCAGTTCTAGACGCACGAGTCTGTTCTCCGCCTTTGAACAATATTAATAAATTATTGCTCGGAATTTTAGAGCTATCTACCACAATTCATCATTGCCAGCCTCAAATCTATACTTCTGAGAAGGTCTTTCATCATGGCAACACGAGCATCGGCACGTCAGGCCGCCCACAAGGCCAAGGAAGCAATTTCTGGCTTTACACAAGGTAGCGCTGGACCTGATACGGATCGACATGGCCAGGATGGATCTAGCATCAAGCGTAAAGCTGCAGCTGAAAACCAACAAAAGCCAAATAAACAGAGAGATATAGAGCAGCTGGACAAAAAGCCTGTCGACTCTGCGGGTTCATCGCGGACCCCAGTCACTGAAACAAAGCCCAATGTTGAACAGAGGGCAGCATCCGGAGGTATCCTGGGCACCAATGCCCCTGTCGATCAGTCTCCCAAACTTGCTCAAGGCATGGAAGCCGGTGTCCACAGATCGGACGAAAGAGCAAGTTCCATCTCGTCAAACATTGTGGAAAAGGGAATCATCTACTTCTTTTTCCGACCACGCGTCAATATAGATGATCCCCAAAGCATCGGTGACGTTGCTCGAAGCTTCTTCGTGCTTCGGCCTACTCCTCTCGGCGCTGAATTCAACGGCAGCCAAGGCCCGATGGACAAAGATGCCCGATGTCGCTTGTTGATGCTCCCAAAGAAGAAGTTTCCCACTTCGCCCAAGGAACGGGATATGGCATTTGTGGAGAAAGCAGGGCAATCGGTTACCGATCTCCAAGAAAAGTTTATAGCAAGCAGTACTTACCAGACGGCAACTCGTGGGGAACGTACTACCGAAGATGCTAGACCTTATGCAGAAGGTGTCTACGCGATCGTATCAGCTCAACGATCATCTCATCTTGCCTATGAATTGACTATCCCAGCCGAATTGGGTGAAATTCAACAGAACTTTGGTCTTCACCAACGTGGTGACTGGATCTTGCAATCGAAAAACCCAAAGTTTCCCGGTCCCCCTCTCGGACAGTTGCCGCAGGAGCCGCAGTATCCTGAACAGTAAGTTTTGTTTGTCTCATATTGAAGATCTTCATGTTGATCGTTTTATGCAGTGTGTTGGAAAAATTCGGAGACCTCCGATGGGTTCCACTGCAGCCAGAGTTCATCGAATATCCAAACGCCCAAATCTTAATGATCGGACAAGGAACGGATACTTTGGGAAAAGCGGCCACAGCCGAAGGAGATAAAAAGCCTGGGGAAGCGGAGCCTGGCCAGGAGATTGACAGGCTTGCTGATGAGAATGAAGAGCGAATCCATTCTCTGCAGGGTGAGTACCGCAATGCAAATTTCATCAAATTCATCATGTACAAGATTTCTCTAATACTCATATATGCAGGCAATGAAACTGTATTCCTCGATCTTGGATTAGATGCAAAAAGGTACCGCTCCCTTCCGACTACCTGGAGTAGCAGCTAGTCGATCCTGTGGAGTCGGGTTTCAGATGTTCTTCCTTCTTGTCGAATATTATGTATTTCAAAACTTTTATTATTAAATTAACTCAACACAGCTGTATCAAAAACCTTGGCAATTAACAGAACTTGAAATAAAAGTCACCCCTCCCCCACGTAGTAATGAGAGGCTATACATTCCCAGGATGGTAAGGATTATCGTCATCCGACCCCTGGATTGACGATCTGGCGTAGATTGATAACCGACGCCCGAGTCTTGGCGCAGTGTATGCACCACCAACAAATGACGATCTTCTTTTCCAGGTTTATTGCATGATCACTTGTGTTCGCGCTCTAGTTTCGTTCTGTACTATGTCGTGCGGCAGTCCTGCAGGCAAGATCGAGGAATGGATATAAAGGGTCTCAAGACCCATCCAGAGACACAACGATTGTTCACGACCGCAGGTTATTCTAAACCAAGTCTTATTTTCACAATGAGATTGATATTTGCAACTACACTACTGGCAACCGCCGCAGCCGCCAACAATGTTGTCAACGAGACTACATGTGGCGGTACGACCTATCAATATACCGGCCTAGAAGGATTTGGCTTCATCCCTTCAAATCTGACAGATAAATACGGTGATACAATTGGAGGTACTGGCAGCTCTATCGCTATTGATCAGGCTTCCTGGCAAAAGACCCCTCAAGGCGCATACTCTGGTATTCTCTTCTCAGCCCCAGATCGCGGTTGGTATGTCACAACTCCACAAAAATCATGGATTCATGAATCAACACCATCGAAGCAATAAAGCTCACAACTCCAGGAATACAAATGGCACAATCAACTATCAGAATCGTATTCAGAAGTTCCAAATTTCTCTCAAATTGGCTTCCAATGCCTCAGCCGAGAACCCATCTAAGCCAAATCTACGCCTCAAATACCTTGACACCATTCTCCTAAAAGGACCAGACGGCGAACCAGTCACCAGTCTCGACGCCGACGTCACGGGTAACCTCTCTTATCCAGGATTCCCCCCTCTCCCCGTTGCAACCTATACAGGCGATGGATTCGGAGGTTCCGGTCCAGGAGGGAGACGACTCTCCCTCGATTCAGAGGGATTAGCACTTGCATCCGACGGCGGCTTCTGGATCTCAGATGAATACGGACCCTACATCTATAAGTTCAGCTCAAAGGGTCTAATGGAACACGCTATCCAACCACCTGAAGCATTCCTACCACGTCGTAACGGTTCTCTAAGCTTTAACTCGAACACCCCGCCTATTTATGATCCTTCCGCTGTGCCTAATCCCATCAACACAGAGACTGGACGCGACAATAACCAGGGTTTTGAGGGTGTGACAATTTCCGCAGACGGAAAGACACTGTATACACTTATCCAGTCTGCGCTTGATCAGGAGGGTGGACCGAATATTCAACATACGCGCAATGCTCGTCTACTCGCTTATGACATCTCGGGTAGAACACCAGAATATGTCCATGAGTGGGTTGTTCAACTTCCGAAGTATCGTGATTACACAGAGACCGATCCAAGTAAGGAGTGGAAGATTGCAGCGCAGTCTGAGATTCACCAGCTTCCTACGGGTGACTTTCTAGTTTTAGCTCGTGACGCTGGCTTTGGTCGGGGACAGAGCGAGACTAGATCTATTTATCGACATGCGGATGTCTTTTCTGTGTTGAATACGAAGTCTGTTTCGGATATCAAGGGGCAGAAAGATTATGATACGCCTTCTGGTGCTATTGCTTCGTCTGATGGTTTTTTGAAATCGGAGATCACGCCGGCTGAGTATTGTTCTTTCGTGGACTATAATGTTAACTCTGAGCTTGCGAAATTTGGTCTTCATAACGGTGGCCTTCCGGATAGAAGTCTGTTGAATGAGAAGTGGGAAAGTCTTTCTCTTGTTCCTGTCAATCCGGGAAATGACGACAATGAATATTTCTTATTCAGTATGAGTGATAATGACTTTATGACTCAGGATGGTAAGTTTGCTGAGCATTGCCATGATTCCTCGTGAACAAATGACTGATTACTTTTAGGGCACATGAATGGTGGGAAGCTTCACTATAAGGATACATCTGGGTATAGCCTCGACAGCCAGGTTCTGGTTTTCAAGGTCCAGTTTTAAGGAACTGTCTCGGTCAACTTGCTCGAGTGTATGCCCTAGGTATACGTACCCTATACTTCTTTAACATAATTGGCAAGCAATATGTACATTTCTTTGAGTGAGAACAATGCGTATTTCATGTAAAAACCTTGAAGCATTCAGATCCTGAATTCTGACAATAATATCGCCGACGACACTGTCCTGAACATCCCTGGTTTTGATTCGATTGGGAGGAACTCGCCTCTTCTTCGACACAGTACTTCAATTTGAAGAAAGAACAACACAAGCGCTAAACACTCGATGATAAACAACCATAAGCCCATTTGTGTGATAATTTTATTAAAAATCCATTATTGAAACAGAGCGGGCCATGAATCTCGCATATCAAAGGATAGTGGTTGATAGAAAGCGCATGGAAAGAAAACCTCGAAGAACCCCCTAATCTACAAGTTTGATAGCGCGTAAAATATCGTCAAGCGACCAACCCGGCCCGCCGGGCACAATCTCCGTCCACACTTCTTCTGGAATAGCATCGCTGGGGTCTAAAAGGCTCCAATTCGGACTAGGTTCCGGCTTGATCCATTTGAAATCTTCCACTTGGCTCCATTTGTCTTCGTTATCAAAACGGTCATTGTGCAGGCACTAAAGGAGATGTTAGTTTATCACAGTTTGACGGAAAGAGGGAAATGAAACTAAAACGAGCATACATGGGCTTTGGGGATTCGGCCGAAGCGGACATTTGAGCAATCTTCGATAATGGGATTGCTGGAGCAACTCAGGTACACGTCGACATCTTTGCAATTATGCATACGGAACTGGCGGCATGAGATGACTAGGATGCTCTTCTCAAGTCCGGTGATATGTGCGGGGCCCTGAACTTGGCTGCAAACTAGAAGACTTTGTTTTATGCTCTTGACAGTCAGACTGGCGTATGGCTTTCCATTAGCAGTTGGGATTGACATATCCACAATGCAGTGTCGAAGAGAAGTGATTGATGCCGGGACGGAGGATGTGGAACCCGAAGCCGGAAGCATGATGTGTAGGCCACTGTGGTTATCCACTGAGACTGAAGAGATGCCACGAGCTGCAAAGGTCTTCGCATCTGGGGAACCTTTCCCGTCATTGATATCTGGGAAAGCCGGTGGTGCAGAGGTTGGTGCGATCTCAGGTCTTTCCAGCAGTTGTTTATCAGGCTCGTTTAATGGGGTAGAAGGGTAGTTCGGTGTGTCATTTGCTGAGGATCCGACGGAGGATGCTCCTGGGGAACGATAGCCGGGGATACTTCGACGACCTTGGGAGGCTAATGTCGCTGCGTCGTTTATAGAGATGGCGGAAGCATTCTTTTTGGTTTTGAAGCTGAATTTAGAACGGGGCTCGAAGGCTGCGCGCGTTTCGTTCAGTTTCTCTTGTAAAGCTTTGATGGCCTAAAAGATGTTAATGGAAAGCTTCTTGGTTTTTTGAAGTGGTTGTTCTTACATCGGCGTAGACTCGTTGGTCGTAAGTTGGAATGTAACTCGCAGCATCTTTAACTTCGTTGGAGAGTCGTACGATGCCAGCGAGGCAATGGTCCGTTGCGTCTGCTCGTTCCCCTCCGACAAGAGAAGTGTCAGAGAGACGGTCCATTGATTGCTGGAGAGCTGGTCATTGAGATTAAATCTTAGATGATGCCGGCGACTTCGAAGTGAGGATCGTGAGTATAGATTGAGACATACCAGTGATCTCATACTGGAAGTACCGGAAGAAGCGTTCTTTCAGCGGGATATCAGCTTTCGCAATTGTTTGGTTGTCAGCTGAAAGCCGACGGACTTGCTGTATGCCAGACTCGTCCATGACGGATGAAACCTAAGTTACAGTGAGGTTGAAAGCGTTGGGGAAACTTGACGATGAGAATATGAGGATATCACGCGGATGTTATAGTGTAGGAATGACGTCGGTTCGATATTGAGCGAATCATGCCACCCCGCACTTCAATGTTTCCGATGTATCTCGTTTTGAAAGAGATCAGAGAAAAATTGAAGTTAAGCTTCTGATCAAAGCACAAGCGGGGTTAATAGGGATCTTAGTCCACGGGTCTCGGCAAGGAACTCCTCAAGCTAAGTAAGAGCTGTCAGATGCACAATCTCCACGCACCCCGCTGATGTGCCAAAAAAGCTGACGAACCACAACTCACCCGGCCAGAATTTGCGATTCACCAATTCCGAATGAACAGACTATTCAAAGAGACCTTTATCAATTATGCAGACAGATAACTCGGCCTTGAAATGTGGGGAGTAAATCGCAGCTGCAAGACAATTTCAACACTTGCGGTGACGTCGATCATCAGCGTCGGATCTAGGGATGATCCGCGCTTAATGTCCTCAGGCCACCAGGCATTAACTTTATCCCCACACTGTACACAGCGCTACCATGATGGATATCACTTGTGCAATTTTGAGGTGCTGTTTCGTGGATATTGGTATTCTAATTGCTCAAGAAATTTCTGTTCAGGGTGCAAAGTACGGAATCGCCTGAACCTTTGATCTAAATTCATTATGAACGCCAGACAGTGTTCCAAGGTTACACCCCTGGCGATATACATTGATGACAGGATGTCAAGATCATGATTATCAATCAGACCCTTAATATGCAAAGCTGCAGATTTTTTAATATAACTAGTACCTGCTAAATTCATGATCCAGATCTCACTGCCAAATTTGGAATCAATCTTACTTACGCAATTTGTACAAGTAGTATACCAGCAATTTAAGTATAGTATTCGGATCATATACATCAGGTCAGCGGTGTTCGACACCTTACGAGTGCGACAAATTCCAAATCTTAGAAGATCTAGCCCAGAATTGTTGCGTCCTACATCATGCCATAGATATAGGTATTAGCACTAAGTGTGTGTATCTCCACCTCGGTACATACTAGTGTTGCTAATGTTTGTGATATGGGTGGCACCCGCGGGAGTAAACTGATAGTTGTGCGCCACCAGGGTTGTGATTTACTTCAATTTACCTACAATATAGACCAGACCTTTAAGAAAATCCTTCCTTTGCAGGTAGTGTGTCTTGTGCGGAAAGTCAATGTTCAGTTCGTACTGCGTATTTGAACTACGAACATTGTACAAGAAACACCCAATCGTCTTCGTGCGACACATCACCATCTCACTTGTTTCTTTGATAGCCAAAAGAAATACTAGTATATTATATAACGATCGGAATACCATTCCTGAGTAGAAATGGATATCGTGCAATATTATAAATTTTTATCAATCATTAGATACACAATGTTCTTGAAGTTTACTATCTTGAGCTTAGCAGCGTTCGCGATCGGGGGGCTTTTAGCAGACAGTACTACCTACCAACTCGTTGAGAAGCTAGAAGAGGTACCATCTGGATGGCTAAAAGGAGAGAAACCGCTATCATCGGCTCTAATAAAGTTTCGACTTGCGGTAAACTCAGCAGATCTAGCGGCCTTTGAACAGAGCGTTATTGATCTGTCCACACCGGGAAACCCTAGGTATGGCCAGTTCATGAATCTTGAACAGGTGAGACAGTTGGTAAGTCCGTCTGCAGACGTATCAAATCAAATCCTTTCCTAGTTGAATTCCGAGAACGTCTCCTCGGACTCAATTGAACTGAGTGGCAACTGGATTACTTTCCAAGCAGCCGTGTCTCAAGCCGAACGAATGTTCAAGACAGAGTTCTTCTATTATAATAGTGATACTACCGATACCAGGATCTTGCGAAATCTGGAGTATTCTGTACCTAGTCAGATTCATTCTTATATCCAATTAATTGAGCCGAGTACACGGTTCGGGGACTTTCGTCCTTTGCGCAGCGAACAAAGCCAGCCTGTCCCTGCTACCGAAGCTGATTTTTCAGCTCCATGCGGAACAGTAATCACACCAGACTGTTTAAGAGATCTTTACGGTTTATATAACACAACAGCGTATCCTGATTCTCGGAATCGATTAGGAATAGCTGGGTTCCTGGAAGAATATGGTCGACATAACGACCTGTATCATTTCCAGAAAGTATATGCGCCCAACCAGACGGATGCAAGTTTCGACGCGGTCTCTATCAATGGCGGCCAGAATGACGGAAATTCTGCTCATGAAAGCGTGGAAGCTAGCATGGATCTCCAATATTCAATTTCACTGGCCTACCACACATACACGACCTTTTACACAACTGCCGGTCGGGGTCCCTTAGTGCCCGATGGCGACCGACCAACAGCGAATGAGTCTTCGAACGAACCATATCTCGAGCAGCTTCACTATCTGACAAATCTACCCGACAGGGATCTCCCTGCTGTTATAACAATGTCATATGGTGAATCCGAGCAAAGTGTCCCGCGAGCATATGCAACGGCAACATGTAATCTCTTCGCTCAGCTCGGAGCTCGAGGGGTGTCCATAATTTTTAGTAGTGGGGATGCTGGACCTGGAGGATCATGCCAAAGTAAAGATGGGTCATATCGGGCGAAGTTTCTCCCTGGATTTCCCGCCTCTTGTCCCTTCATTACATCTGTCGGCGGAACGTATCAGATTTCACCTGAGCAGGCAATAAGTTTTTCTGGAGGCGGGTTCTCTGAATATTCTCACGGCCTTCGTATCAGGATCGACTGATCCAGAATTACATCAGTACCCATGGGCCACAGCAATGGAGAGGAATGTTTAATGCTGGTGGTAGGGGAATTCCAGATGTTGCGGCACAGGCAAATCGATTCGTGGTCCGCGATCATGGAGTATATTTAACTGTGGGAGGAACAAGGTTTGTTCGATCGCTGTTCGGTTTAACAAGTAATTATGCTGATGTTTAATTAGTGCCTCTGCACCTGTTATTGCGGGTATTGTGTCTCAGCTAAACGCAGTTCGGTTGGCACATGGGAAACCTCGAATGGGTTTTCTCAACCCGTGGTTGTATACGTTGGGGCGGACTGGATTCATGGATATAGTGGATGGGGGATCGCGAGGGTGTGCTCGATCTCCAATTCAGAATGCTGGGTGGAATGCAACTGTTGGCTGGGATCCAGTGACAGGGTTGGGAACGCCATTGTTCCGGAGTCTAGCACAGTTGACATTACTATGAAGTTTCTTCTGGAGTTGATATTAGGTAGTTTGCCACTAGCACCCTTGGTCGATGTGAAAATCTAAAACAGACAAAACAATTCAAATATCTCTCGAGTTGTATATGATGAGCGCAAAGGCAAAGTAGAACCAACTGGTCAAAATATGGCCATAGTCACGTGTGGATACGCGCTGACCGCCCACGGCAGCTCCGTCATGTCATCAAGTGCTGGGCGAATCTCGCATCACCCACAGCTTTCATACGCCTCGCCTGTCCTTGCATTTCAGTCTCCAGATTGCCTGAATTTATCCCTCTAACCCATTACGCCGCTCTCGCATAATCCATCACCCATATAATGGCCGACCTCAAGACCCTCCTGCCAGAGCTCCAGAACGCTCTCGAGCGCCGACAGCTCGACGCAGCCAATGACCTTCTCAGCAAAGCCAAGCGTGCTCTTCTCATCCAAAATGCTTTGATACCCACACCTACTACACCCCCTCAGCTCGTCGTCCTTGCCAGACAGGTCCTTGAGCTTGGAGCCCTCGCTTCTATCCGACAAACCGACGCCCAGACCTTCACAAGATACTATCAACAATTGCAGCCTTTCTACGATCTTGAGCGACACGTTGGTGGGCCAAACCAGCCAAAAGCAAAGGTGGATGTTAGCACAAGCCAGCGCAGTAAGATCACAGGATTGTACTTGTTACTTCTCCTGAGCAGTGGCGATAGCGCCAACTTCCATACCGTGCTCGAGGGATTGGTGGAGGAGGCCAGCTTGAAGGATGCTCGTGTTGAGGATGATGCATACATCAAATACCCAGTTGATCTGGAGCGAAACTTGATGGAGGGTAGCTATGATAAGGTGTGGCGGGAAACGAAGTCGGAGCGTGTGCCGGATGAGGACTTTGGATTATTCTCCAACGTGAGTGATCCCTTTGTTCTTTTGTTTTATACCTTTTGTCCGCTTGACATCGCATTATGTCTATTTGAACTCGATTGCTAATTTATCTCTTTGTAGGTTCTTATCGGTACCATTCGCAGCGAGATTGGCGACTGCTCGGAGAAAGCCTATCCCTCCCTTCCTATCTCGAACGCCAAGAACCTCCTCTTCCTAGAGTCAGAGGGTGCTGTTATTGAATTTGCCGAGCAGCGCGGCTGGATCCTACGTGATGGACGGATATACTTCCCCGTTGAGCCCGAGTCAGCTATCAGGTCCGAGAAGGATATCTTGTTGGCCAGTGGCACCGTGATCGAGAATACACTAGGCTACGCCCGGGAGCTGGAGACAATCGTTTAAAATAAAGACATTAAACGTGGCATTTCGGCAATGGATATGAATGGTTACTCTTTTATTTGTTTTTGGTCTGGTTCTGGTCCTCGGCTGCACATGTACTTGTATACCTGCTGCTTGCATTGTGAAATGATCTAGCGCTTTTATGATAATATGTCCAGCGGTCCGGTACGTGGTAAAATCATGTAGTAAAATCTGTACAACCAGAAAGCCATGAGGCTGAAGTCAGCTTGGAAACCTGCTTATCGGCCTGCTATGACTTGGCTCGCCACACGCAAAGTCGACGATCATAGAAACTACTCGACACACAAAGCAGCTCGGAAGATGCTTGAAGCGAATCCGAGTGATCCGATCTCGCGCCCTTCCAAACATCACTCGCATAGTTCATACTCTCATGTTCTGTGAATTCGGCCAGAATCTCAATATCCCATACTGGATCCTGATCCTGTTGTCTTTGGGAAACGCGTACAATTCTTGTTCCGGCATGCATACAGCTTGCCAACACTAGGAATTGTCGCTCCAAAACTCGATCTTTATCATTGGGATTGCGACTTTCTGTTGACGAAAGTAGTTGTAGTCGCCAGACACCACCACCTAAACCCTGTTCGGCCAACACATCGCCTCGTCTCGTAGCATGATAGACCCGTAAACCCTCGTCATAACTTCCTGTCAACAGTATCGGTGCATCATCTAGCATATCGACTGGGAGGGGGAGGATGGCTGTAACACCAGCAGTGTGATGACGAGATCTATCATCATGCTCGAGAAGCAGTGATTTCAGTGGCTCGTCCACTTCATCTGGCTGTTCGCTGTGGTTTTCGAAGCGGCGCGTATGGAGTGATCCGAAGTCATTTCCAGTAAACATGTAAGGTATAATATGGTCGGAGGTTGCCCCTTCATCAATAGAACGCTGTTTGATCACAGTCAGAGCAACGAACCACACCTCGATCATTTGGCAGGCTTCAAAGGAGCCCCATTCTGTAACGCTGTCCGCGTCTGAGATATCCCCTTCTGTCCCAAAGACTGCTGTTCGGCTATCTGAGAAAGTAACAGCAAATCCATCACAGTCAGGTTTAGGAAACCAACTCCGAGGGGCCCATGCGAAAAAAAGAGCCGGGATGGAGGTATCCTCGTGGACCTGCTTCGTCCAGATATGACTTATGGTTGGTTGTACTGAATCACCAGAGACACTAAACAGGGCTGCATGCCCAGTACTGCTAACAATTGCAAACTTGTTCCTCTCCCTTGGATGAAAGTGGAGATCAAAGACTGCATAGGGAAGAGCTAGTCTATGTACTAAGGATCTAAAGAATGGGGATCGTCAATTATTTGATTTCGTGCACGGAGCTCGGGGGTAAACCCGATAATCCGAAATGTGTCCGTGTCTGTGGTCTGGCTCTACTTACAGTGCATTGGTGCTCGGGTCTAACTTCCAAAGCTGCAAACTGCCTGTTTTGGTTTGCTGGATGTCTCCACTCTCATTCTTTGTTTCGGAGAGGAGGTAAGTGCCCACTAGGAAATGGTCACGGATCTCTGGACAAAATTCGAGACAGCTGGGGGGCTGGTCTAGAAACACCGTTGTCTCGGATTTTGGCCGCTGGAGAATGCTAGCCATTGTGATCTTATTGCTACCTCACCAGACCACAGGGCTCAAGTGATTATTATCCTATCCAATCTCGTGCTTGATGACACGAGGGACAGGAGGTTGAATTGGAAATTGTATGTAATTGGACCAGGTCAACCCGGGGAATTGTCTTTGGGGGTATTATTCGCAAGGGTATATAAGTATGTTGATATCACCATTGAAGCTTGCTCCGATGTCCCGGAGCTTAATGGTTGGAGGTGTTCATGTCCGTTTGTTCTGCTGTATTGTCGATCTGATGGGCAAGAAAATTTATATGGAGCAAGTTCAACATAAAGTGGGGCGGTGAATGGCCCACTTTGTTCTTGTCGAATCAAGGGACAGAAAGCATCAAAACAGCAACATCTTGAATGTATACCAGGTATGTAACTCTTTCACCCTATGTGAGCGGTTATTGAACCAAGTGAGATATTAATGTGGATAATAGAAGAAAAGAAGAATCAATTGAGACATTTATCGTCAATTTGATGTCACCTGCTATTCTTCGAGAACTCAAGCATCTTCGTGTCTCCCCAAGCTTAAGCGCGATAGTTACATAGTTCACCCGCAACCAATCAAAACACGAGGCTTCAGCCCCGGGAAGAAACCCAGGAAAACATCCATGGACACACCTAGGCACATGGATTCGAATATGCCTCTAACAGCCTCTTAGTTTCCAAGTCAACTGACAAGAATGGTAAAAACCTTGCAGATGACCTTGACTGCAGATACACCCCAAGTGCTCTGGGCCGACCCTTGTGGCGGAAAGCCCGCACTTACATTCGCCCACCTTGCGGGAATTTACACAAGCATCTCAAGAATGGAATGCAAGGCTAGACAATGGGTCCCGTTACACCCGAGCTCCGAGTTTTCTAGCAATTGAGAAATGCTTGATGGAAACTGATAGACATCGAGTGGAATATACTTAAGCTTCTTGGGATCCACGTCTCAGCTGCCTTATTACGCGTCCTCAAAGTCGATCCCGTCGATCTATGAATTGATTCAGCTTTCTGTTCCGGGAACAAAAAGCTTGGCCTGGTGATCTGAAGCCCTATTCCAAGATTATGGCTCGATTTCTTGGCCTTCGGGGCAACCGCCTAACACTCGCGGCTATCCTGGGGGTGTTGATGCCTGCGATTTTGACGGTTGGGTATAATACAGCTGTACTTGGAGGAGTTCTATCTGTGGAAAGTTTTAGACAAAGCTTCCCCGAGATCGATGTCCTTCATGCCAAGGATCCAGACCATGCATCCACGTTGGAGGGCACAGTTGTGGCTGCTTACGCTGTAGGTTCGTTTCTCGGAACCTGCTGCGTTATTTGGCTGGGTGATGTTTTGGGACGACGCTGGACTATGATGACAGGTGCCATTATCCAAGTCATTGCATACGCGTTGAATGCCACAACATGCTCGTTACCCCAATTAATTGCATCGCGTCTATTGATTGGTGTTGGGACTGGTCTGCTACTGGCAACCGCCCCTCTGTGGATCTCCGAGACATCACCGGCCAAAAAGCGTGGTTCTCACGTTGTGACAAAGGGAGCTTTCAGTGGACTGGGATGTGCGAGTGCATTATTTTTGGATTACGGGATGTCATTCAAAAAGAATACCGACATGTCATGGCGTCTCCCGTTTGGGTTTCCCGTCATTCTCTCTTTGGCAGTTGTCATATTTGCATACTTACTACCTGAATCCCCTCGCTGGCTCATCCGAAAGGCGAGAATTGCAGAAGCCAGAGAGGCCCTTGCAGCCCTCTCAGATACCGATATCCATGATGAGAGGATTGACACCACGATCAAGGAAGTTCAAAGCTCACTGGATATTGCTGTTGGAAAGTCTTCATTCAAACGATTCTTTGAGATGGGAACACATCGAACCTTCCACCGAGCTGCCCTTGCTGTTGGTGCGATGATATTTTTACAGTTGACTGGAGCTACTGTGACTACATTTTATAGTAAGTTTTGCTCATCATCATTGTTTTTTCAGCATCCGCATCAGGAAGGGAGGAGACAGAATATCATCTAACTTGTCATCTATAGCCACCGCAATCTTCGAAACCAGTCTAGGCCTCGAAGTTTCAACCGCACGACTGCTGGCTGGTGTTTATCAACTAGCAGGACCTATCGGGGCTGTCTTATGTGTTTTTGTTATCGAGAAGGCTGGACGCCGCCGTCTAATGATTGGCAGTGCACTCGGTAATGCAATCTGCTTAGCTTGCATAGCTGGTCTTGGCTCTCTATTCGACGACATCAAGGCCTCACATGCAGCCGTTTTTTTCCTTTTCCTCTTCCACTTCACCTACATCCTTGGATTTGGCGGCATACCCTATCTCTACGCATCGGAGATTGCACCTTTACATTTGCGCTCTACCATCAACTCCGTCAGCATTAGCATATCAGGTGCATTCAGTATCTTAATCGCGAATATGACTCCACTCGCTTTCAATGCGATGGGTCAAAAATACTTCCTGGTGTTCGCAGGGCTTAATGTCGCCATGACACCGGTCATTTATTTCTATTATCCGGAGACCTCGGGGCGAAGTTTGGAAGAAATCGATGACATCTTCACAGTTTCTGAAAGCGCACTGGATGCTGTTCGTGTCGCGAGGCATCTTCCCTCTTCTCCTTGTCGACAAGAAATCGTGTCGCCTATCGATCAAAAGGACAAGAATGGAACTGTTTTCAAGGAGAAAGAGCTCCAGGTTTGAGCTGAAATTTTTTATTTTGTATCTATCATTCAACGGGTTGTTTGAGATGTCCAGGAGGCTATACTTTTTGTATCTTAGTTATAGGAGCGGGATCTTCGCATGAAGCAATATACATTAGATATCTATTTTATTTAGGATTTTCTTGCCACTTTTACGTGTAAATCTATATGAGCCTGAGACATTTACTATTCGTGTGTACTACATTCTTGGGATTATCTCGTCATTAAGCGGTCTGTTGCCTAAAGCCCTGCAGCCTAAGCCGTCCATCCCTCCTACGAGTCCTACCCTTATTGGCCGATCACGTTTACTAGCTCGATCGCGAACAGAAGGTTAAGTACCAGGGGGCTCAGATGTCATCCTCGAAATCAAATTCGACTTCGACTTCATATTATCCTCGTTCGTCAACTTCTCCCTGAATATGAACGTTGTTGGCCGAAGATTCCTTCAAGCCAGACATAATCCCTTTCCTGCTTTCCCCGCCCGTCGAGCTACCTGGAGGTTTTGCGCATATCGGTCAACGATGTCGTCACAAATAAATACTGGATTCCTCCAAACCCTCGAAACGATAAATGACAAACAAGTCATCATTAGAGATAAGATATATGGTGAACACACCATAACAGAACCTGTGCTCAGCCACCTCCTCCAAAGCCCAGAGCTACTACGGCTTAGCGGTGTTTGTCAACACGGAATAACTGCACTCCTTGGCTTTGGCCCCCGGGTGACCCGCTACGAACACTCAGTAGGTGCCTTTCTACTAGTTCGAAAAGTGGGCGCTAGTGTTGAAGAACAAATTGCCGCTCTACTACACGACATAAGTCACACCAGCCTAAGCCATGTAGTCGACTATGCGCTTTCAAAGCCCGGAGAAGGAAGCTACCATGAATTCCATAAAGCGCGCTACCTGAAAACAAGCCAACTGCCTCAAATCCTCACGCAGTATGGCTTTGGCGATCTCAAAGCACTCGACGAAGAACTATTCCCGCTGGTGGAAATGCCGGCTCCCCAACTTTGCGCCGATCGGCTTGACTATTCGCTTCGTGACGCTGTCGTATTCAACAAGCTTTCTCTCGAGGAGGTACAGAGAGTCTACGAAACTCTCAAGGCAGCACCATCGCCCGATGCACCGAATCGTTTACTTGTTCTTGATGATCCACAGCTTGCGTTGGCTTATGCCCGGGCATATCTGGCGACAGATCAAGACGTCTGGTCTAATCGAGCTCATGCGAATCTCTATCTAAGAACTGGTAGTATAATTCGCGAACTAGTCGAAAGTGGCCGTGTCAAAGAGGAGGTACTTTGGATTCTTTCAGATGATGATTTCTGGGCATTGCTGCGGGAGAAAGCGACTCCTGATATTTTGCGTGAACTGGAAAGACTTGAGACAGAAAGTTTGCCCGATGAGAAACAACTGCGACTTCCGCGGGGGACGAAAATTCGGACTATTGATCCGGAAATTTGTCTAGTAGGATCATCGCAAGACAAGCCTCTTCCGTTGTCGGTTGTTCTTCCGGAGTGGGGGTTAGAGCGTCAACAGTATATCGATAGTCGAGAGTCGACGCGTGAATAGATGCACTTTCTTATGTTCATAGTCCAGAAAGATATTTTGCATTGAGATGTTCTTTTTAAATAAATCACTATTTATACTCCCCATAAAGCCCAGAAAAGTCCAATTACTTCTCAACCCGCAATATCCTAACCTCTACATTTCTGTTGCGCTTTTTTCTTTTCTTTCCCTTTTTTTTTCTTTTATAAAGTATTCAAAATAGGATGCCACAGCCTATGGGTTTGACTCTACTTTTTTTAAAAAAAAAATAATAAAAAACTAAAATACGGCCCAATCCCCTTGGACTTTATATGAGGATGCAAGATATTCAGCTTGTTAATAAACGAGCCGATTTACTTCCTCATGGAGTAGCAAGCAAAGGGTGGTGCTATTTTCGCCCTCCATGCATGCCTCAAATATACGCTGAAATAAATTTGACTACGCTCATCTCAGATCTTCTAGCGGATATATCCTGTGATATTGCATATCGATGCGAAAGGTGTAATACCCATTTTCGCATTGAAATGAAAGAAATTGAGTCTCAAATCGCTCTCGTTCTGACAAAATGGGTCTGTCTAGGCTCCAATAATAGACGGGAAGATCCTTTATGGAAGATTCACGAGCTTCATAGTGACTGGTGGCAGTCTAACAGCCCTCAAGTTCCAAGAGAAGGTTCGATTTGCCGGAAGAACTATACCCTGAGATGACCAATAGCAGAATATCCCTATTTCCCATCAGAGCACTCCACTGGCAGTGATGGTTGTGCTTACTCGGCCCGGTGAAAAGGTTCCCCGCACTAACCACATGACACGGTACAGCATCGCATCGGAGAAAATCACTCTAGGGACGAACTTTTTGTTTTAAATTGTAGATTCTACGCTGCATAATTGAAATACATAACCCTGAATGAGTTATGTCTCGGCCCTACGCTACCTTGCCCTCAACCGCAAAGGTTGAGCCAACGCCGTTCATAGTCTCCGTGCCCAAACAGCAGCTTGATGAACTTGAGACACTGATAAAACTGTCCAAGTTGGCACCGCATACCTATGAAAACTCCCAGCTTGATGCCAGATATGGAGTCACTACAGATTGGCTGGTGGCAATGAAAGACCAGTGGTTGAGATCTTACAAATGGTTCGAGAGTTTTGATAACACTCTTTTCTACATGATCCAAGAACTAACGCAGCCGTGACAGGCGAGCGTCTGAAGACCGAATTAATACTTTTCCACAGTGGACTATTGAGATTGAGGACATAAATATGCATTTCGTGGGGTTATTTTCTGAAAGGCAGGATGCTATTCCCATCTTGTTGATCCACGGGTGGCCAGGTGAGATCGCTTAATATTGGACCCCAAAAGGCCTCTCACTGATTTTGGAAATAGGGAACTTCTTGGAGTTTCTCTCCATACTTCAACTTTTTAAAGATGAATCTACACCAAGCACTTTACCGTATCATTTGATTGTCCCTTCATTGCCCGGTTACACCTTCTCGTCCGGACCACCATTGGACAGAAACTTTGGAACTCAGGACATTGCTCGTGTTCTCAACCAGCTAATGATAGGTCTTGGATTTGAAAGAGGTTATGTTGCCCAAGGAGGTGATATAGGCAGTCGAGTTGCCCGAGAGTTGGCCGTGGACTATGAAAGCTGTAAAGGTAAGAACCCCCGAGTGATCTAATATTTTCGGCATTGCTAATTTATCTGACCCATCTGAAGCTGTGCATTGTAAGTTCTTTTCGAAATACTACTTCAAGAATGAGTGCTCACGACAAAAAGTAAATGTTGTTTTCATGAGACAACCGGCCGAAGTGACGGACGACCACTTAACTGAGATCGAGAAAAGCGGTATTGAGAGAATGGCCAATTTCAGGATGCTAGGATCAGGATATGCGACTGAGCATGGCACTCGGCCTAGCACTATCGGACACGTTGTCTCAACAAGTCCTATGGCTCTCTTGGCATGGCAAGTCTCGTCTTTCAAAAACGAAAAATCATCACTAACTTTTACAGGGTTGGTGAGAAGCTTTTGGAATGGGTAGATGACCCATTGACATCAGAGCATATTCTCGAGTCAATCACTTTATACTGGCTCACTGAAACCTTTCCTCGGTCAATTTATACTTATCGACAGGTAAGCTCTGCCATCATGTGTAAAGCTATTGATTTGGCGTGATTTTAATACGTGACACAGAACTACCCCCCTCCTCCCATTCCCGGGGCCAATGATCCTCGTTGGTATATTAAGAAGCCTCTGGGTTTCTCCCACTTCCCAAAGGAACTGGCTCCTCTTCCCAGATCATGGGTAGAGACAACAGGAAATTTAGTGTTCTGGAATCAACACCACAAGGTATGATATCTAATCATTTCCCTTCCAATAATTTCTCTTCAGACACACCAGTGAGTGCTAACTCGAGCTCTCAGGGTGGTCATTTTGCTGCTCTAGAACAGCCAGAAGCACTAAAGAATGATCTCATCGATTTTGTTCAACAGGTGTGGCCAGGGATTTCAGGTGCGAAATGAATTCAAGATATCCTTCATGTCGCATGGATCGTTTGATGCTGTGCATAGAGGTGGCCTGCGGAGAAACGAGACAGCCAAACAATCAAGGTCGATTGAGATGTTATACAACTTTGTCAATCAAGCATCGATACAGCTCAATATCTCCTTAATTACAAATTCAAGCTGTTCAAGTTTGTAATTCACTGATCATCCAAATACTGTCTATACTCCAGGGCTACAACAGTCCTTGAATGAAAAACTCGATAAAGGTTTCGAGTAATAAGTGCGCTTGTACTGCGAAGACAAACCCCCACAAATACAAATACATAGACCCTACCAAGCCGCCAAGCCCGCTACGCCCCTGGTATCGGGGCCGCATCTGCGGACTGCGGAGGCGAGGAAAGGCTAGGCCAGTAAGCTCCACTACCACACAGCATGCACAGACATAAGGTATGTAAATCCACCCTGTCAGCTAGAGCACTGAGAGTAAGAGAGACTGCCTCACTCCCAAGCAGCACTCAACAGCCAGGATGGAAACTTTGACTGCAATTAATCTGCGGATTAACAAGATCGGAAATTATGAGTTCAAACAGGCTCTCAACGGACAAAGCGTCCCCCGTGGTCTTGGGCAAGAAAAGATCGGAAAATGTGTCATTCGAGGTGTCAGATATCATCCTGGATTTGGAACAGAACTGCGAGGTCTACTTCCCGAATGTCACATTGCTGAAGAGGCGCGAGGGAGCGGACACAGCGCTATATATGACGACATTATGGGCGCGTCGGTGAGATACAACGCCATGAATGATTACACCAGGGAGATTTTCGCGCCTACTGAGGGCCATCTCATCGGGGATACAGTCGTCTGTAAGTATCTTGACATTCGGTTTACGTACAAGAGAGGAACAATTGACTAGTATCGCGGAATTCATTGGGCGATGAATCAATACTGCTTTTATATCACTGAAGATATAAAACTGTGCGACGCGAACTATAATCTACCGAAGCCCACTTTTGCAATTAAAGATAAAGAGGTCTTGCCCTTACTCTATACCCCACTCCTGAATAATCTACCTACCCTCAACAAAGATCTTCTCATCTTAACAACGGCTTACTACGGTGATATCGATCGCTATGTACGTCTTCGGCGCCCAAAGCCGTTAACTTAGATCGAAGATATATGTGTGGTGAGAGGTATCTATAATAACACTATATTTGCCAAATAGTGCTCGATACAAACAGAAAAGGGATTTGAGTTCTATAAGATTCAAGCCGCCATAAGCGCTCGCTTCATAATAAATAGCAACATATCGTATATAACGCTAGACACCCCACAAATAAATCTGCCTTACTGTATTTGGTATCCGTCTATTCCTCACCAATCGGCTCTTCGAGGTTCGTTCCACCGTCAACCCAAGATAAAGCTTACTATCGCTTAAGTATATAGTATAGCAGATTACGAAGTCGTATATAATCTTCTTGATGTAGACCCCGATACAACTCTCATCGAAGTAGCTCGGGATAGGCGAAATCCATATTACGCTAAGGATTTAGAAGCTAGGATTCCTTCGCGAGGTTGTAAGGATTCACGAAGTAATACCAAGTTTGATGCGTTGCCAAGGGCAGCGATGTTTGAAAATACAGCAAGTCATTTACAGGTTAACGTGGCAGATCGGCCTCCAGCAACTTACTGGGATGGGATATCATACATAACCATATCGTCAATTTTGGTGTGCTCAATTTGAGACTGTCTGCTTCGGAGTTATTCAAGGAAAACATCCCGCATCATGGAGCGCTTGATCTCAAACACTATTACGAGCAGCTTGAATGATCATCTATGGTGCGAGCAATCTCAAAGCTTCTCTTCAATCTGCGGGCAACATTGATCTAATTTCAAAATCGAAAGTCGATGTTGTTCTCAAGCTTGAAGTGTATTCATATCCCAAGAGCAAAGTACATAGTCGTTCTGATGGTCTTTTCAAAGATCTTTCAAAAATGATTCAGATTTTTTTCTCGAAGTATAACTATCAATCCTGGAAGGTGAACAATTCCATCGAAATCCAGATAATAATAATGTATGAATGAAGGAAATCTCATTCCGACAAGCCCCCGGTGTTCGTATTCTTAGGCTTCCGTTGCTTAGGCTGCCACTATACCCCTGCTTTCAATGTTGTGGAGCGGCAGATGACATCGTCCCCCACAGTGATAAGATGGGGCTCTGGGCAACAACAAGCAACCTTCTTTCTTTCACACCTCATGAAAAAATGCCGTCCACCAATATCTCCCCAGATGAGATATTTTCAGATGAATCTAGCTTCTATGGCAAGTCTCAGATCCTTGCTCCTATTCAACTCACCATTAACATCTTACCCAGGCAGTGATAACGAGAAAGCGCGCCTTGAAAACGAAGTAGCATCCTATGACCCAGAGCCATATTGGTCATACTATCACCCAAAACTCCTCTCCACCAATCCATTTAATCTTCTGGCATCTCCAAAACCAGAATTCCCATCCCAGAGTATCTCAGATCAAGACGGAGGTGATTCATCTACACGCTTACCTCCCCATAAAGCTGGCGCCAAAGAGAGCATATCTGCCTTTCTCTCCCGTCTACCCCCCTCAATCACTCCACTCTCAACAGCAGGCCCATGGATCTGGACGCGCGGACGAGCTGCAAAAAGTCTAAGCAAGAGTTTAGAGTCTCGCGAGGAAGCCAAGTTCGTGAAAGAGGGAACCGAGCTCCTCAGTGCATTCGACGAGAAAGAAGCCGAGCTACGTGCTGTGCACGATGAATCAGGCGCGAAGACTACCTCTGGCTTGACGCGCAAACTCAATGTTGCGCGCAAAGAGCTGGAGAGCGATATTTTATCTTTGGCCCGCGGTACTGGCATTACGGCGGGGAAATGGATGTTGTTCCCCTCTGTCCAAATGGTTGACTCGACGTGGAAGACTATTGTTAAGGCGTTGGATAAGGGAGATGTATGTGCGGATGCTAAGGTCGCTACGAATGATGGATCGGATCAATCACGCTTGATCTGCGTTTACACTGAGGATTTTGGCGATAAGGATGATGTCAAGCGGGTCTTGCAGATGTTAGCTCGCGAGCAGCTCTTTAACCCTCGGGAAAGACCGATATACTACAAAGCTGACGCTTATACTTTACTTGAGATTAACGCGAAGAATCGGTGGCAGCTCAAGGCAAGCATGTACTCGAGCAAGGATTTCAGGGTGTGAAGGGGGCTAGTTGGTATTTCAATGAGTTATTGATGTGATGTAATATGACTATTATGATTAATGATGATTGCTTCTGATTTTGAGACAGATGAAATGCTGGATCTATCAATGCAATTGCTAGGGTATCTTAAAAACAAAACAATATGTGCGTTTGTAACGCCACCTGGGCACCTTTTTAGTGCAGCTCATGATACTGCAGTCATCAATGCAATATATACGATCAAGACGAACAGTTGAAGCGAATATGTCCACTACCAAACGGCACGCGCGCCATGATTGAGGTTGAGAGAGAACTGAATGCACAAGGAGCTGGGTACCTTGTTAATCACTTTCAATTCTCTTGGTTCGCCTGACCCATGGCCCTCTGGCAGGCCTCACGAACCTCAGCAACACCCTTCACCTGGCCCCAAGCATCAAGCAGTCGTTGGATCTCATTCCAGTCTTTCTCCGCTTCCTCGGTTTTCCCTTCTTTCACAAGACTCTCAAGTCGCGCCGGCGCCGCAAGCACCCATCTCACAGTCTCCTTCTGATCCTTTTTATTATCTGACACTGGCTCCTGTTCCCGGGCCTCTTTGATCCGTTTCCGCTGCTCTTCGCCCTCCTTAATCAAACCACCAGCTGTCTCCGCTACAAACGCAATAGCAGGACCTAATGTCTTTGTCATAGTCAATGGCGCACCGCGCTCATCCATGCTCTTCCGCATCTTGCCAATTGTTTCGACAGCCCGAATCAGTTTAGAGTAGTTATCGTAGACGAGCGCTTTCCGTTCTCCATCCAATGTCCGAATATCCCCAACTAGTGTGTTCTCTGCTTTCAAAATTGTGGACAAGGAAGATGTTGAGAGGAGATGGTCCACATAGCCCTGTGGATCGAAATCGGCATTGTCGAGCTCCGTCCCTGAGGCCAGAGTCGTTGGGTTGGAGATGTCTCCTGCATCAGTATTTCGGGGTACACTGGGGGATCTGAGGGCGGGTGACTCGGATCCGGGAGGCTTGAGATTGTAGTAGTCACGTAGAGCGGATCGGTTTCGTCGTGGGTTTGGTGAGATTGCTCGTGTGGGTGTTGATGCTGCACTGAGATTGGCGCTGACACCTGTGTTTATGGGTTCGAGGGATGCGCGAGAGGATGGAGGGGCAGGGGAGTGGCCACGCGAGGACGCAATGGAGGGGCGAGGAGAGGAAATTGTAGACATGGTAGATGGTCAAGCCTGAAGGTGCGTGTGTAGTCGAGAGTTGCGGAGTTCGGGGTTGCTCATGCGTGAGACCAGATCAACGGCTTAAGCGGTGGTCCGTGCTGGCTTGGTTGAGCGTAGCATATGATGGGGTATAGAGACCACATGCACCCAGGCTCAATACGTTAAAGGAATTAGTTTGATCCAGTCCTCGTTATTGCGTCCAGTGGCTTGCTTTTAACTTAAGTTGTTAGAGAATCACTATCATAATTTGAATTAGAAATCCTATAATCCATGGATTTAGAAAGAGACCCGTCACGGTTTATACATAGCCGTAACTATGAGCCTTAACTTTTTTTTTTTTGATTCAACTATCAAGTTTCCTATATATTGCTCAGCATTTTATAGTACATGTATAACAGTCTATTTTCTATGATATTAAGTTAGCACTACGTACAACAGGAACTTACACGGCGATGTTGCGAGCGATCCATTAAGAGAAACAATCAGGCACCAAGGCACCAACATACTCACTAACGTATTCGGTAAGCGAGTGACGCATGTAAGCGAGTGACGCACCCCGCCCAAAACGCGTCTATGAATTAGCACTTAATTAATTCGACCACCCATTATGCCACCAATTCGCCTCCAAACCTCGAGAAACTCAATCGAGCAAGAGGGTAGGATCTTATTAGCTATTCAGGCTATAAAGAACCAAGAAATCAGCGCTGTTCGTGAAGCAGCACGTCGTTTTAATATGTCGGAGCCGACACTTCGCCGCCGTCTCCGCGGTGTTCAAAACCGCGCGAATTCACGCGCCAACTCACATAAATTGACAGAAATCGAAGAGGAAACGCTTCGAAAATGGATCCTATTGCTTAATGATCATAGAGCAGCGCCCCGGCCGACTACCGTACGAGAAACTGCGAATATTCTTCTTAAGGCTCGCGGAACAACCCCTATTCAAACAGTCGGGGAAAAATGGGTTTATAACTTCGTAAAAAGGCATCCTGAACTATCAAACTGGTTCTCGAGGCGCTATAATTACGAACGTGCGAAGTATAAAGACCCAAAAATTATTGGTGAATGGTTTAATCTTGTTCAAAAAACTATACTTCAATACGGCATCAATCCCGACGACGTTTATAACTTTGACGAGACTAGTTTCGCGATAGGATTAACAGCGACTACAAAAGTCGTTATAAGGGCTAAATACTACAGTCAGCGATTGCTTTTACAACCCAGAAATCGTAAGTAGGTAACTATAATTAAATATACAAATACTTCAGGTTGGGTCTTATCTCTATATATAATTTTTAAAGATAAGGTTTTTATCGAATCTTAGTTCGATAACCTCCCGGATAATTAGCGATTTAAAGTAAGCCCAAATAGCTAGACTTCCGATAAAATCGGTCTTTATTAGCTTGAAAAGCTCTTTATTCTGTCGACTTCTTCGCGGTTAAAGGGTCAGTATCAACTTTTAATACTCGACGGCCACAGAAGTTATTTAACCCTGAGATTCGACGAAATCTGTGAAAAAAACGATATTATACCAATTTATATACCTATATATTCGTCACATCTTTTACAGCCTCTCGATATCGGCTATTTTATAGTATTAAAGCGCTTATACAGTCAGCTTATCGAAATAAAGATGTATCTCAGGATTAACCATATTAACAAACTTGATTTCCTTAAGATATATCCGTACGCCTAAATTAAGGCTTTTAAACCTAATACTATTAAAAACAGCTTCGGGGTAGCCGGTTTAATACCTTTTTCACCCAATTAAGTACTCTTAAAGCTTAATATTTATCTTTAAACCTCGATACCCCCGGCGAGCCAGGATAGTAAATTAAGCCGAAATTTTATACTAAAAACTCCCTATACAGAGAAAGAACTACATCGATAGGCTTTATTAATTAAAGCTTTACTTCGTACACAGTCTTATAGTCCGCCTAGCCCGTCAGATCATATATTAAACCAGCTTATAAAAGGCTTCCAACTCCAGATACAAAGTCATATTCTACAAGCGTAAGAAATCAAGGAATTACGCGCCGCCAATAAGAAGTAGAAGCAAAAGCGGACTCGGTCGACTAGGCAGATAGCTTACGAAGGCAATATCTTAGTTCAAGAAGTTCGTAAACTACGTGCGGAGCTATTTGAGGCCTAAGTAGCCCGTATCAATACCTATCGTAAGCAGGTTTCAGAGGGTTTACAGCCACCTACGCGGGGCTAGCGAGGATGTGGAATATGTAGGAAGCCAGGACATAGAAGAGAAACATGCCCAGATAGAGAAGCTAGCTAGTTAAATTAATTTAATGGCGTTTTGGTTAAGAAAAATGCATTTAAAATAGATAATGTATAGTAGGTGCGTCACTCGCTTACATGCGTCACTCGCTTACCGAATACGTTAACTTAGCGCATAGAGCTGGGTGGGCCCTATACCCCGTCGTACTACCTGAACATTGAAGCTTCAACTTCCACTTCCACTTCTATCATACCCCCAAATAATGCCCACAAAATGTCTACAAACGACCAAATCCTCACTCAAATCCAGACCTCAAAAGGCCTCTGCGTCTCCCCAACCTGGCTCAACAAATTCCTAGCCTCATCCCCCAACATCCCCGCGCCAGTACTCATTAAAACAGCTCTATTCCGCGTCCTCGCCTCTGATATCCGTGAATCACTCTCCACAAACCCAACATCCATTTTACCAGTCGATATTTCCAATCCAAACATTCGAGAAAGCAGACTCCAAGGTACAATTCCAGTGCAAGTTCTCGATATCGAAGATATAGGTTCTAGTCTCTGGAGCCAGGTTGAAGCGATTGAACGCGTGGAACGCGGCGAGGCGATTCGCGGTCGCGAGATTGTGCGTACGATTTCTGTAGGCGAGGATCAGGAGGCAGCGGAGAATGGTTCAACGGCGGGTGCAGCGGGGAATTCAAATTCGAATTCGAATGCAAATCCAAACGCGTCGGGGAGTAGTGGCGCGGGACCGCATAGATTGATTCTTCAGGATGCGGCGGGTACGAAGGCTCTTGGGATTGAGATGCAGAGGATTGAAGGTGTTACGTTGGAAAAGCTGTCTATTGGAGCGAAGTTGATGCTTCGTGGAGCGACGGTTGCACGGGGTATGATTCTTTTGGACCCTGGGTGTACGACTTTGCTTGGGGGGAGGATTGATTCGTTGGATAGACCGTGGAAGGATGGGAGAAAAGCGAGGTTATTGAGGACAATTGATGCTATGGGAGATGAGGCACCTACTAGTGGGAGTGGAAGAGGAAGATGATATACCCTCTTTCACAGACGAAAAGTTACGATCGAGAACTTATGGATATGAACATTGTACAGGTGGGTTACTTTTTTGATCATGTTCTATTTTCATTACTGTATGAAGGTATGTTCTACTGCTCGTATCTGTTGAAACTATGCATCTCGACGCGATCCGCAACAACAACTCGTTGGTAAATTCGAAACTAATCACGCGGCTGTGCTCGATAGGGTGTGATTCAATTCATCCCAGCTATCTTGTCTCCAGGGTGCAACCATGATTGACCTGAAAGCATCACTCACCATGCCAGTTTGAGCATGAGCCTTGCTGAGATCATCGGCATCAAGGCTTCCGTGAGGAGGCACGCAACGCAAAGCTCGACTGATGGCCATTTCGGCTGGGTACGCAGATTCTGAGATGTCGGAGAGCTCCATCCAGCCCTGTGGTTGGCCAGGAGCCATCATAATAGCCGATGTAGCTTCTTTGACCAGGCGTGTCTCTTCAGGAAGCGTGGCGTCTTCGTTGAATCCCTTAGCCGAGATCATAGTTAAGAGCTTGAGCAGTTTGGCTCGGCCGTGAATGTCAATGTCATCGCGGGTAACCATATTTTGCAGATCGGACTCGACGGCTTCGATCACATCCTTATCGGTTTCCACAAGGGCAATAGCTCCGAGAAGAGTAATTGCGCCAAGATGATCTGGATGGCTCTCCACACAGTCGAAAAGCTGCTGGCGAGCGACGGACTTTTCTTCCTCACCTCCCTTTGCCCACAAAACTTGAGCAAGAAGGCAAACGACATCTGGTGCGTTGTTCGCTTCTTGAAGAGCATCACGGAACATGTCGATGGCTTGATCCATTGATTTTGTGAAGTAATACGCCAGGCCAGCTGTCAGGTGAGCGGAGAGACGAAGCTTTGTGCAAGCGTCGGGGTCACTTTTCTCAACATCATCGTCGCCCGTGAGCGTCAGTGCAGTTTCTGCTTTTTCTGCCGCCCGCTCATACTCATGTCGTGCGAGGAGAACACGTGCAAAGTCTGAATTGGCCTGGGCGAATCTCACAAGCGCATCCACAGACTCTGTTTCATCGTACTCGGTTTCCATGCCCGCGCACACAGCTTCCAAGCTAGATTCGGCATCAGCAGTCTCGCCCATTCTCTCGGCCAACAAAGCCAAAAGGTGCATGAAGGGCAGGTCTGACGGATTCTGGGCACATAGTTGATGGAGAGCAAAGAAAGGCTGGATAAGTTGGGAGACCTCATTAGAAGCTGAGGGGTCAGAAAGAAGGTGGTCGAAGAGTGTGAGAGCGTATTGACGCTTAGGGATTATATCAGATGAGTGTGAAATGTCAAAGGCATGCTCATAAAGACCGCGTGTCTCTTTCAAATCCCCATAGAGAGTTTCAGCCAAGATTCCTTGCCCAACCCATGCCTGTGAGTAGTCTGGATCAGTAGACTGGGCACGAGTAAAAGCTTCATTGGCGAGTGGCGCGTCATTGTTGATGAGATATAATGCACCGAGATTAGCCCAAACTTGAGCACTTCGGTCGTTCAGGTGCAAACTTCTAACGAACGCATGCTGGGAGACTCGGGGGCTCATTCTTGCTGTGGCGACACCAAGGGCGTTCCAGAACTCTGAGTTGCCTGCCTCCAATTCAATTGCCCTCTTGAAGCATCTGATGGCCGCCTTTAAGAATTTGCTAGGCTTCTTACTCTTGCTCTTTGGGTCTGGTTGAACACCTCGGTCAGCTCGGTATTCAGCCCAGCCAAGATTGTACCATCCCGCTGCCTGTGCATGTCTGTCATGGGCAGAAACATGAATGGATCGTTTGTATGCCAAGATAGCCAGCTGGTGACATGGACTGGATGAGGTGCTGTCGTCGTTATCGGCACCATCAAGCCACTCCTGACCTATTCCGTCAACATCCGTCATGATATCTAGCGCTGCCGGATCAAGGCGCGTAGCCAGTAAAGTCTTGCAATCAGATACAGGCAACTTTTCCATCTTCTTCTTGACATACGAAAAAGTGGCACAGGCGTCACCAACTGCCTTCCATAGATTGAAAATATTGCTGCCAACTTCCACAAGCGGACGAGCCGCAAGAATAGCTTTAGCTGCACGGTCTGCGGCCTCGTTAAATAACCCTGAGTGCAGACTCTTCCATGAGCTCTCGACTAACGTCTGAAGTAAAGCAATTGTGTTGCCAATGTCATGGGGTCGTACATTCAAGACGTCTTCGTACGCAGCGATCGCAGAATCATAGTCGCCAAGCTCGCGTTTCACGTTGGCCGTCATGTATCTTGCAAACCAAACATGCTCCTTGTCTTTGCTCGACAAAGTGCTTTCCAGCTCTTGTGCGTGTTGGAAAGCCTTGGTGGCTGCAATATATCGACCGGAGTGGTGGTAGCTTTCCGCTAGACCAACCCAAGAGTGGTAGTCACCCGGCGCGACCCGCAGAGAAGCTTGGAATGAAACAATACTCTTAGAGTATTGCTGTTTGTTGATCTGCACGGTTCCAAGAGCCGCATAAGGCCAGCTATAGCCTTTGCGCTTCGACCCAGGAGCGGGCTTAGCCCTGCCAGAGTCTACTACTCGCTGTGCAACAGCTTCAACGAGGTCCCATTCTTTGACGTCCGCAAACCCGTGAGCGAGGCGTTCTGCTGCTTCAGTCTCCAGTGGAGATAATTCGAACGCTTTGTGGAAACACGCATGTGCTCTAGCCTTGTCCTTTTTGTATTCAGCGTAGAAGAAACCAAGGCTCGTATACGCCGGCGCAAAGTTCATGTTGGTTTTGATCGCTGCAAGGAAGCTGGCATAAGCACCCTTGCGGTCTTTTCTAGCCTCAACGGAAGAATCTAGCTCCCATTGACAATGCCCGATACCGTAGAGTAGCTCGGCCTTGAATGTTTTATTTTCAGGCTGTTCTTCGTTCAAACGCTCGAGGGCATCTTGGAGGCCATTGAGACCAGTTTCAAGGTCACCATTTAATGCCTTGCACCAAGCCAGTTCTCCGCGAATCTTGATATTCGAGTTATCTCGCTCTAGGGCACGCTGCAAGAATCTAATTGCATCGGGGTAATCTTCGTCCACCTTCAAGATCAACCCGACACCGAGGAGACAGGTTGTTGAGGTTTTCTTTCGCTGGAGGATCTCTTCAAAAATGGACTTTGCCTCTGGATGGTGTCTAGGAGATTGATAGTGGATCAAGGAATTGGCGAGTATGATGTTGATGGAATCGAATGTGTTCTGGAAAGGTAGGTCATAACGTCTGACGAGCTCTTTAGCGTTCAGTAGACCCTTCCGAGCCACCTCAATTGCAGTCTCATGCTCTTCGATTGAGAGATAGAGGTCAGACATAATTCGGTGGGCCAGACAAGATGTGCGGGCCGATTCAAGACCTTCAACCATGAGAATTAACCTATCGGCAGCGGCATCCTGGCTTTCAATGACCTCTAATTCCTTCTTTGCTGAAGCATTTTCTTCGTCATCATCGTCCTTTTCCTCGGCTTTTTCTTGCGGGAAAGGGGATAGTTCACTGGTCAGGAAGCCTTTCAAAACCTTGCCCAAGCCAGAATCGGGGAAGAATTCAATGTATTTTCGTACAATGGCCACGTCCCACTCAGAATAGTTTCCTAAATCATTCCATTCTAGGAATATATCCCAAGCAGCCTGGAAAGGATGTTGAATAATGATCATATCATGCGAGGCACGAATGATTTCCTTCCTTTTTGACTTCTTGAATTTAACGGGCAGAACTTCAAGCTCGTCGCATCCGCGCAGGATCAGCTTCTCCTCGTACTCTCTGCGGACCGCATCTTCATTCGACCAGTCGATAATACCTCGGTATAGATCTTCTAGTTTGCTCTTCTTGAATGCTTCTCTCTTAACCTCCTGTGTAACCTGCTCAATTCGGGCTCCCAGGCGAGTTCTTCGTTCTCCAATCTCACGATTGACGTATTCTTTCTCTTCGGATTCAGTGAGCTCGATCAGGCGGAGGTAGGTATGCGAGGGGTGAGGTAGACGTCCTTCGAGGAAGTCGTAGAGAGGATAGGTCGGTAATTGTATCTCTAAAGCTTGCTTGTATTCGACTTTCGAACCGCATTTCTTGGCGAGCTTGGTGTATCTGTCCACCATATCTTGACAACGTTCTTTTTCATCACCATCACTACAATTGGAGTTTCCCATTAGACATTCCGGATTCTCTCATAACACTGAAATTTATTATTTCATACCTTTTAGCCAATATTTGGCCATATTCGAGAACCGCTTGGCGATAGTTGTCTAGCTTCTGACTGCCCGCTCTTTCATACAGCGAAATTAACCCTTGCCAGGCAGTGCGATCGGCAGGTTTAAGCTGTGTCGCAGCTAGATAAGCTGCCTCCGACTCATCAACTTTATTTAGTTTATCGTTTGCAAGGCCGAGGAAGACATGTCTGTCGGGAATCAAGTAAAGAAAACACCGTTAGCTCCAATTAATCATGATTTCCGCGCGATTGAGTTCTTCCACGTACCCATGGTAATTTTGGGGGTCCTGCGACACCAGATTTTTAGCTTGCTCAGCTGCATCAGCGAATTTCTTCGCATCTAAAGCACTTCGAACGGCCTTGAGCGCGGCTTTGCTCGACATTGTCGTTAGGCGCTGGTTAGGAAGCGGGGGAGGTTCTCGTGTGGTGGTGGAGCATGTCCGGAAAAGCAGCTGCCGATTGCGATTGGATGTACGTCACGGCCCTTACGATCATATCAGCCGTATCAGCTACCCCGGCTTAGCTCCTTCACCTCCTCATTCCACTTCAAACACATCCTTTTGCCCTCTACTCGTTTGCCTATTCTTATTCTCATCTTCTATCCTTATTCTAAGAGAGCATACTATAGCATACGCTGGGTGTATGCCATTAGGTGGGTAGTCCTGACCGCTGATCAATGCTGGAGCTAGTTAAGAGTTAGTTAAGCTCATCTGCTAGTTATCGTGCCTCAGTTAGGTGGTCTACCATCGTCAAAGCCTAATTTTCTTCCTTCCTTTGATGTAATATCAACTTTCACTCAACACCTCGCTACCCCCCCCCCCACTATCAACATGGGGTCTTTACGTCTACACATCGATGGCAAGTCATTTCGGGACCCACAAGGCCGAGAGGTCATTATGCGAGGCATCAACGTAGCCGGCGATGCTAAATATCCTAAGAATCCCGACATTCCTTCGTTCGAATCGGATAAATTCTTCGAGGGGGATGACGTATCTTTTGTTGGAAGGCCATTTTCTCTCGAAGACTCCCATATTCATTTCAAAAAGCTGCGCAAATGGGGATACAACACGATTCGGTACATTTTCACTTGGGAAGCCATCGAACATGCAGGCCCAAATATCTATGATGAGGAGTGGATCCAATTCACCATTGAAATTCTCAGAATAGCCAAGCAGTATGAGTTTTACGTATTCATGGATCCTCATCAAGATGTGGTAAGTCGCAATAACCAGAAAAGAAGCTATGAAGCTTGACTGATTATGTATAAAGTGGTCGAGATTCTCTGGAGGATCCGGTGCGCCTATGTGGACTCTCTATGCTGCCGGATTCGACCCGAAGAACTTCAAAAGTACACAAGCAGCTCTTGTCCAAAACACTTTCGACAATCCTGCCGAGTTCCCAAAGATGATATGGAGCACGAATTATACCCGATTAGTCTGTCAAACCATGTTTACCCTGTTCTGGGCTGGGCGGGATTATGCCCCAAAAGCCATAATAGATGGTGTAAACATCCAAGATTATCTGCAACGCCATTTCATTGCTGCATGTAAATATTTGGCCGAGAAAATTCACGAGGCTGGTGATCTCGAACATGATCTTGTCATCGGATGGGAGAGTATGAATGAGCCTCATCGAGGCTTGATCGGATTTCAAGATATTTCGGTCATTCCGCCTGAGCAGCAACTACAGCTTGGTACATCACCGACAGCATTCCAGGCAATTCTTACTGGATCCGGGCGAGCCTGTGAGCAGACCACATGGGCCTTTGGTAGCTTCGGGCCATATAAAACAGGCCGAGAACTTATCGACCCAGAAGGTATCAAGGCCTGGCTATCTACGGATCATATTGATAGCGCGTACGGATGGGAAAGGGATCCGGGATGGAAACTTGATGATTGCCTCTGGGCACAACATGGAGTTTGGGATCCATCTACTGACACATTACTGCAAAAAGACTACTTCTCAAAGGTGCCAAGAACTGGGGAAAAGATGGATTATGAAAAATTCACCAATACATATTTCCTGCAACACTATCGGGCATACAGAGATGCGATACGTGAGGTATGGCCGGAATCAATTATGCTATGTCAACCTCCAGTAATGGAAGTCCCGCCGGATCTCAAGGGGTCAATTGATGATGATCCGAATATGGTTCATGCCGTTCACTTCTATGATGGCCTTACCCTGATTACCAAACATTGGTGAGTATTTCACAATCTACATTTGTATGGTATTGTAGCTCATTAACAATCCTTTTAGGAACCGACTTTATAATGTTGATGTTATCGGTGTCCTTCGTGGTAAATATTGGGCCCCGGCCTTTGCAGTCAAGGTAGGCGAAACTGCAATTCGCAACTGTCTTCGTGATCAACTGAAATTTCTCCGTGACGAAAGCTTGAAGTATATGGGCGACCATCCAATGGTGTTCACGGAAATTGGAATCCCATATGACATGGACGACAAGCACGCGTACAAGACAGGAGACTACAGCAGCCAAACGAGCGCAATGGATGCCAATCACTTTGCCTTGGAGGGAAGCACATCGAACGGATTCACGCTGTGGGTTTACGAGACAGAAAACAACCATGAGTGGGGCGATCAATGGAATGGGGAGGATCTGTCTATATTCTCGCACGATGACTTGGAACTCCCAGCAGGAGCTGCTTCCCGGTCTCTCGACCCTCAATCACCCGCTTACTCGGAAAGCTACAGTAATGGCGGCGAGCCCGAGGTTAGCCCACGCAATCTCAAGGGTGCTCTATCAGCTCCATCTATTTCTAGCGAAGAGCCCACGCAGCCGAAAGGATACCGCGCCGCAGAGGCTTATCTTCGTCCCAGCCCAATCTATGTGAACGGAACCGTGAAGGAGCACGTTTTCGATCTCAAAGGCTGCACTTTTACGATGTCCTTAATGGCTACCCAAGCGACAGCAACTGATTATCCCACGGAGATCTATCTTCCTGACTTTCATTTCCCGGATGGACAAACAGTCATCGCTGTGAGCGGAGGAAAGTGGGAGATTGACTTTCAGAAGATCCAGGGTATCAAGCTCCAACGGCTTCGGTGGTGGCATGCGGAAGGGAAACAGGATATCCAAATTGAAGGGCTGAAGCGTCAGCCTGGGGAATTTTCAAACCCTTCTGGTGAAGATGTGACTTATTTGGAACAATGTCAGCGTGGTGATTGTCTTATTATGTGATTACGATTTAGTCTGCCGCTCTATATTTTCCAATTTCATAATGAAATATCTACAATTAAGCTTCAACTTGAATAGAGTTCCCACTGGTACCTATGAATACTAGTACTAGGCACTACTAATGACTCCTAGCGCTACTTGTACTATGTACCTGGAGTATATTACTAGTACTATGATAGTTCAAATTAGTAGGTACTATGTAGTATACGGGTATTTGTTCTCCCCCACGCAATTCTCCTACTTCGAGTTGCTCTGCCGTTGGGCCATGCATATCTTCTCCGGGTCCTACTGGGTTTATATTTTGCGATAGAATTAAGCATGTATAATACCGAATTGGATTTCACATGGGTGATAGTTTTCAACCTTGGAGGTTTCAATGACTTTACAAACATTGCAGAGTATAGTAAACCGCGTCTATTGGCGCTAAAACACCTCTGAAGCGTATGGTAGATAAGATAAAGATAAACAATGACGATTGAGGGGCAGCAATCTGACAAGTCAAACAGCCAAACTAAGAATATGCATATCTATAGAAATTTTTAAAAAACATGAGCCCAATACTTAACAGACTTAGAATCTTGTGTCAAATTGCTTAAGCCCTTACGGTGTTAGGGGAGCGGTGTAGTATAGAAGAAGTATTTGAGTTGGTTAAATTCTCAGCCCGGCAAATCCCAAACTTCCGGCTTCCTTCCCGCATTGCCTGAGTCTCCATCCGTAAAAACAACTTGCCCCCACTCCTCTCTCTCCGATCTCACTTCTCAAAACGCCTTCGAACCCCCTCACAACGAGCCAATTCTCCCATTTCTCCACTGGATCCTCATACTCGAATGGCCGTTGCTGCTGTGTCCGACTGCTAAATCCCACCACGGACCCGGGTCAACGGCCATACCAGAGACCAGCCTCCCCTCAACCTCATTCCTCTAATTTATGAAAACTCGAAGTCTGGAGTCTCATCTGGATCGAAGAAATCGGAATATTTTACTCTATAACAACCATCTTCCAGTTCACCGTGATTGGAAATAAACGTCGCGCGACACCGCCCATCCATACCGTATCGATCGTGTTTACAGTCCAGTGACCCGACAAAATGGCTGCTGAGGAGTTGTCAGAGGCCGGCATGGCCGACATAATTCGAGCTCTTGAAGCTATCCATAGTCCCACCTCGTCAAACGAGCTTCGGAAAGAGGCACTCACCTTCGTGGAATCCCTTAAAGACAGCGACGCCGCAGCCCGAAACGGTTTCCTGCTCGCCTCACGCGCCGACCACGCCTATGTAGTGCGATACTTTGGCCTAACCCTGCTAGATCACGTCCTCCGCCATCTTTCCTTCTCCAATGCCGAAGCATCCGCGAACGTACGCTCCATGGTCCTACAACTAGCCGAGAACATTCGACCCGAAGATCCTAGTTACTTCCGCAACAAAATTCCACAGTTATGGTCGGAGGCTGCGAAAAAGAGCTGGGGACTGGATTGGATGGACATGGATGCGGCCCTGGTAAAATTCTGGGGTTCCTCATTGGTACACAATGAGCTGGTTCTTGCTGTCCTTGAGACTTTGTCTGAGGACGTCTTCTTCCGCGAGGATACCGTTTCTTCACTTCGAGGAAATGAACTCAATCGCGCGTTAGTGGAGATTTTTACCCCTGCTGGAATTGTTGAACAAGTGAAGTCGGAGAAAAACGCGGATCCAGTGCTGCACTCTGGCGAGGAAGGATGGCTTGTGCGGATCTGCGAGTTCCTGGATAGCTGTATCCAGAATGCTGCCAGCTCTCCGCAGGCCCGCGATTCTGCGGTGAAAGCGCTGACGACCCTTCGCTCGGCACTTTCCTGGTCAATCTACAAGGCAGTTGTGGCGTCACAAGTTGTCTCTGCAGTTTTCAGATCACTGACCTGCCAGGACGAACAGGTTCTGCTGGTGAGGAAACTTCTAAATCCAAATACCCCGAAGAGAGTCTATTTACTAAACAGATGATTTCTAGGCCGCGGTCGAGGCATTGCATGCACTTTATGGCAGGACAAATATGGGCAACGAGGAGTCCCAGGCTCTTGTCTGCCTTATTTTTGAGCCCGATTATCTCAGTACTCTCCAGAACTTGTATCAGTGGTCAGTCGTTGGGCCGGATGATGTTGACGAGCCCAAGTATTTGATTTCTAAAAAGCTTTCCGAGGTAATATTTTTTTAACACAACTACCTATTTGAATTTGTATGATAACTGACAGGTTTGCTAGATGGTCTCTTATGTTGCAGGCTGCCTCGAAGATGATCGATTGTTAAGGGACACCATGCATCGATTAGATCTCCCGACCTTTTTCAGTTTTATGGTCAAAATTATGCAACACGAGAGCTTGACCGTTTCAATCCCTGTATTGCATCTGTGGTCCAGATTACTACCAATCAATAAGATTGCTCGCTCAGAATTTGTGCTGGCGCAAACTCCGGATCTATTGAACATCTGCACCCAGAGACTGATTCGCTGGGAATCTCTGCCTGCGGATTCCGATAACCCGACTGTGCAGTTCCTCGTGGATGATATCGACACAATTCCCGAGCGCCATGCTTTTGTTGGGAACTACCGCCGCTACTGTTCATCGATTATCGAATCCATTACCACGAAACGACCCCAGGAGGCAGTAAGTGAGATTCTGAGCAGGGTCGATAATAACTTGGACAACCTTTACAACGGCTGTGAACCGTTCAGCATGCAGTCTTTCAACAAATCATCAATTCCCCTCATGCGTGCCGATGCTCAATTCGCTGTAGTAGAGGCGGTCATCAAGGGTTACCATAAATGGATTGGGGCCCACGGGAAGGCGCCACAAGAGGATGAGCAAGAGCGGAGTGCCTTAGAATATGGTGTCGAGAACTGGGCCACAAACTTGATGCAAAGGTCCTTCGACGATCCGGTTTTGAAACAGCGAGTCATAAAGCTTGTGGTTGATGTCTCTTCTCGAGCTCTTGATAACCACCCAGCCTTTGCCCTGAAGGTGCTCGAGCATATTCTCATGACGAGACTCCAGGATCATCCAGAATACCCCGCTTATTCCGAGGCTGTCAAAGAATTGCATGGCCTGGCTAGTCACGAGCTACGCCGCTTAGCCATGCGCTATGCCGACTACTTCTCCACCTTCTACGATCTGCTTGAACCAAAGATCAGAGAGATCACACAGGCTAATAAAGTTGATGATAAACTTCAGATGGAACTCATATCAATTTTGCTTATTATCATGCAGCGAGCGAACAACATAGACCCGGAGTTGCGTCATGGTCGATTGGTTTCATTCCTTCAACCAATTAGAGAAGCGTGGCAAGATGATCAGTTTTGCGCTATGGGTTCATCCTTTGCAGGATTTTGCTCTATGCTTGGATTAGAAAATGTTGGATCATACATGCAGAACAAACAGGCACATAAGATGTCTGATTGGTCTACAGTTCCTCTAGATAATGAGGGCAAACTTGTCCAAGAGGAAATGACTAAAAAATTTCAGATGCTGCCGCTCCGTGGCACCAAAACTATGCTGGCTGTATCTACAGATAAGCTGAAGAAGTCCGCACCGGCTTACGGTGTTGCCTGTAATATGTGGCATGAAATTGTTCCCCAGATCCTGCGGACTTTACTTCCTCTTCTGAGCCATGCTCATGCTTTCCACAACCCTATCAATTGGGCGGTAAGCAATGAAATGAGGGCGGTTGTTGAGCGCATCTTGACAGATCGATTTTGGCAAGCCGGCATCTCAAGTGGCAGCCGGGATGAATTCTACGCTAAAATCACTGCCTCTAAGGCAACACTGGAGGGCTTTGCGTCCTCCGTTCGTGGAAAAATCAGAGCTGTGCGCGAATCGTGTTACTCAATGCTGTTTAGTATGAGCAGAATGCGCGACCAGTTTTACGGATACCCTGAACTTCCCGGGCCTCTAGCCGAGGCACTGTTTAAAGATGCAGAGCATCTCTCTTCACATCAGTACTCGGTCTTGCTCAACATTTCCCGTTGCCTGATTGACGACTGTCCAGTGCAGTATAGAAGCCAGTTCCTTCCTCCCATGCTTTCAACTCTATTCCAAAGTATCGACCGTAAGATTACAACAGAGTGGGAAATTATCGAGCAAAGAAAGAGTGGTGGTTCAGATGGCTCCGAGGGAGATCTTACAGATGAGATGAAATCCGAGAGTGTGCTCCGCCAGCTGACCTATTCCGCTGTCATTATGGTGGCTAGCCTGTTCGACCCACAGAGAGGAGGTAAGAACACAGGCCCTTCCCGCTTGTACTCTGCATAATTTGGCTTTGCTTTCTGCTTCTCCTTTCTTTCAAAGCCGCTTCTTTGGACTTGATAAGCTAACATGCTGATTTCCTTTTAGATCCTGATAGAACAGAAACGGATCCAACTGCGCCTCCAGGTACTCCGGAGCTTTCAGAATCGATCCGCCATTTTGTAATCTCTTCAGCAGAGATATTTGAACCAGTCATGCTATTCTGCACCCACGCTCTCCGTATGCGAGACACCCGGTGCTGCAGCATCATCACTCGGGTTGTTCGATCCATCCTCCCAGACTTTGCTCCCCCTCGCGAAAATCAAACCACCCAGACTATTCGCGAATTTATTTCCTCAGATGTCCTCAAAGCATGTATCACATCGGTCCATGAACCATACTTTGTCGATATGCAAAAAGACCTGGCACAGCTCATCGCATCGATTTGGGTGTTATATGGCCCAGCAACAAACACCCCAAGGTCTATATTTCTCACGTTACCAGGCCTGACTGAAGAGAAGGTCATGCAAACGGAATCTCAGCTGCATCGTTGCCCCTCCCCACGCCAACAACGTGCATTAGTGCTTGAGCTTCTTGAATCTCTCCGGGGTGTTAGCATTGCAGAACAAGGGAAGATTCTGGGTTCTCGCGAAGAGCGCCGCAAAATCCGCTCTGCACTTCAGGAACGGTATATGACAAACGAGATGGAGGCGCAGCAGTCAAACCCTCGCGTCGATATCAACGATGGACCTGATCTTTCTGGCGTGGCTGATATGTTTGGGTAAACTCCTGGCATCATAGCTGCATCCATACCGCAATTCTTAGGCCCTCGTCAGAGATTTGCTCATGCCATCACCGAACGGCCCTCATTCATTTAGACAAGAATGTGATCATATCTTGGATACATAAGCGCCAATCCACAGCCTGCCTCTGACCTATTCAATCAGTATCAGCTTCCTACGCATGCCTTACTCTCGATACCACGCATCGCCAGTCCTACACATCTGGCTAGCAACATTCCTTCAATTTCACCTCTCATCCAACCCATAACCCACATTATTCCCCAAATAATGCAATGCTTTGGCGCTGCACCGAGTTCTGTCCCATTTATCTTTCGCTCATATGTCGCCATGCTAATCTGTTGGGTCGAGGCCATACTATTAATCTTGGCGCGTTGCAATTCTTTCTCTTGGCAGTCTGGATGTGTTGAACTTGCATCTTGAGCGCACATTTCTTGACGATTTCTCTCGCATTTACTTTGCTCGCTTGCAATCTCACGGACTACCCCGGCGGTGGCGCTTTGAGTACATTTCAATAGACTGCCTCTATACTATTAGACGGCTTCAAAACAATATGAACGTGCTCGGCACATTACATATAAAGTTCCCTGCCAGTAATTTCAACTTAGGTATCATTTCAAGAATGAAAACTGATACTACATTATGCCGTCATTTGACGACTAATAGTTGTTAGTCTTCTAAGACTTTGAACGCGTAAAAAATGATATTGCAAAACCAGACTAAACCATTCTCAAAAATGTATATCTACAGTGTTATACTCGAACACCTCGAGTTAAGTAAGACCTTCATCACTATCAAACCCCACAAATGCAGACCTTGTAGACAGAAGCAGAGACTCAATTCATCCACACACCCAACAGATAAAAGTAACAAATCATGCCAAAGTCACAGTAGACTCCGCTTATTGGGTGAGTTTACCGGGGGTATAGGCGAAAGTAGGGCGAACGAAGCTATAAACAAAATAATCAGTAAACGAACGATAAGACGAACACGAACACGCATTGGCGGTAGTTTCCAAGGGTGGAATATTGGTATCGATAGGATGGTATTTATCGATGGGAAACGAGGTGTAACGTACCGGTCAGAGTTGTAGACCTTCTGGTCGTCACCGAAGAGCTCGTTGGCACGCGCCTTGTCGGCGTAGTAGCGACGGACCTGGTCACGGTCCTCCTCAGCCTGGAGGAGGGGGGTGAGGTACAGACGGGCCCACATCTTCTCACGGGCAAGCTCACTATAGAAAACAATATCAGCGTATGTTCATTCCAAGTCAAAAGGAATTCCGTCGTAAGGAACCGATTCTCCAATTGCAATAATCGGTTCCTCTGTTCGCCGGAATGAAGGGACAGCTTAGCTCAACACGTACCGCTGCTCACGAACACCACCGAAGTATCTGTAGAAACCGTACGCCATGATCGCATGCATACCAACCATGTACACCCATGGCTTGAAGCCTCGGGCAGGGAGATTCCGCTAAATATAGAACGTTAGTCGTTGCTTGTTGCTGTAGCTGGTGCAGGTGCTGCTAGGGTGGGTGGGAGTGCTCGGCTGACGCTCGGTGGCCGTGAAATCGTATCAATTGCGTACCTTGTACTGGACTTGGGCGTAGCCCCCTGTAGGGGGCATATCCTGAGGCATAATGGCGGTTGGTGGGGGGATTGGGGTTTCTGGAGATTGTAAAGTCGAGAAACGGAGAAGTTGATCGAGTGACGGATGTCACGTGAGAGGGAACAGTAATGAGGGCTACGGGTAATTTGATTGGTTGATGTTGAGGGATGGGCTTTTTTATCCGCTTCTCGGGATCTACAGTGACAGCCCACTCTCTGAATATTTTGCTTGGATCGTGTGGTGTCAGGTCCGCTACGAATTATGGACAACGACAACGAGGAAAGACCTAGGAAATTGGCTAAGCGGGATCACGACGAGGGAGAGGATTCTGCGCATTCTGAGCTTGTGCCCGCTATGACTGGTGCTGTGAGCGCTGAACCGCAAGTTGCGGCCGTTTCGTCGATTGAAGATGCGAACAAAGAACTCGCCGAAAAACCCAATATTAATACCGATACCAATACTATTCCTGGGACGGATGGTAATGGACCTACAAACATCGAAGCGACAGACGATGGCGAGCCGAAAATGTCTAAAAACCAGCTTAAGAAGCTCCGCCGACGAGAACAATGGGAACAAGGTCGCGACAACCGGAGAGAGATACGGAAACAAAAGATGGCCGAGAAGAAAGATCGTCGAAGACAAGCGGTCGCCGAAGCCCGAGAGAAGGGTGGTGAAGAAGCCGTGAAAGCACTTCTGAAAAGCTGGGAGAAGACCAAACACGAAGACTCTCAATTACTCCCGATGTCAATCGTCATTGACTGCGGCTACGACGAATTGATGCATTACAAAGAACGAATCTCGCTAGCCAGTCAAATGACACGCTCATACTCAGACAACAGCCGCGCACGTTTCCGAACCAACCTGATGTTCAGCTCTTTCGATAAACTACTCAAAGAGCGATTCGACACTGTCCTTGTTGCTCATAAGAATTGGAAGGGGGTCAAGATTATCCAGGAAGATTTCGTACATGCTGCTGAGATCGCGAAGGAGACTATGGCTTCGCCGCGTGGTGGAAAGCTTGTTGGTCATTTTGCTGAGATGGATCGCAAGCCTGAGGATGGTGAGGTTATCTACCTTAGCAGTGATAGCGAGAATACGTTGACGGAACTTAAGCCGTACGACACCTATATTATTGGTGGTCTTGTGGATAAGAATCGACACAAGGCTATCTGCTACAAGAGCGCGTTGGAGAAGGGTGTTAAGACCGCGAAGTTGCCTATTGGTGATTATATTCAGATGGCATCTCGTCAGGTCTTGACTACCAACCATGTTGTGGAAATAATGCTTAAGTGGTTGGAGTTACGTGATTGGGGTGAGGCGTTTTTGAAGGTTCTGCCTCAGAGAAAGGGTGGGAAGTTACTAGCCAAGTCTCTTGAGGCTGGAGATGGTGGTGAGGTGGAAGACGACGACGACGATGAAGAAAATGAAGAAGATCAGATTGCGGCTGTCGAGGCCGCATTGGATGCTGAACCTGCTGCGGAAAACCTTTGAAGTGGCCAGAGAGCGAGATTATGTACAGTATGCTCTCACATCAACGAAGTAAACGGCATATCCGCATATTATTTCCTTCAGTAACTGGATTACATTCCTTGGGATCTTGTTCACCGTCTTCTTCCAAACATTCGCTTTCTAAGCTCTGATATGCTACTCATTCGCGTCCTCCGTTCATCTTCCTCGCGATTCATTTCGATCTCTTTGTTTGAATCTGGAAGGGTTCTCCTTACTATACTGTCAATGCTAGAGCCATCAGGATTCGTAAACTTGAATTCAATGACGGAAACTCGCCCCGTCAGATGTGCCTTGATGAGAGTGTTGTTCACAACTAGCGCATCACAAACTGGTCGATATTCAGAGGGAATCCAGAGAGTTCTTTCCCCCTGTAGGCTTACCCATTCGCTGTCTTGATCTATGTAAATGTCGCTATTCACAGAACATGTGTGAGGTGTAGGAATGACGGGCGAGGATTGAGCTCTGGGTGCCCCTAAATGGGAAATAAGATATGAAGAGTCGGTAGAAAATCTTATTCTATGAACCAGTCGTACCTCTTTGAAGGTTTATGGCCTAACTTGGTGATCCGCGAGTATCTGATAAAAGGCCAAGCAGCCAACGACTGTTTTTGAAAGTTTTGGAAGCTCTGGATGTATGGTTACCTATTGAACATGCTGATAGATAGTTATAGACGAGTCCCTTACATCTTTTTTATTTTTCAAACGTACGAGAGGGAGTGCAGCTGAGAGAACAATTGAACAAACTTGGGGGGGACTAAAGTGTGGACACTTAGATCTTAGATGCCACCAACAAACAACCGACGTCCAAGCGCAGTCATTAGGTAGCGGTCGAGCCTATAGACATGCAGTGATGCTAAGGCTTTTTCAAAAGCTGCCTTGACTACTACTAGTAGGACTTTTAGCCCCCGTCTATCCCGTCTTTCGCAACACTCTCGCCCAACCTCGCTCAGCCTCACCCCATCCATTTTCAATTGCTTGAATCCATGGGACTAACTAGATCATGAGACTAACTAGGGAAACATTAAATGGAAAACTCAAGGAACTGCTTGGAAGGCCGCGTATTGGCGTCCCCATCAGACTCCGTCAGTTTGCCTTGCTTGCAAGATCAACATTCTAGAAGTCGTAGAGATTGTACATACCCAACACGGCAGCTATTCTTTGAGATGGGCTACCTACAATCTACAATGTTAAAAAGAGGAAAAGGTGCAAAATACAAAGAACAGCAGCCTTAGAGAACTCAAGGAAAGGCGTACGCTGAGGCTCCTATCTAGGTGAAGCCAGCCCCTCTCGAACTAATCTAATTAGTCTGATATGAGAGCTATAAACTAAATAAATGTGCCCTAATATAGTATCTCCATATAATAGTTATACTATATCACCCCTAGCTAAGATATGGGTTGTTCATTAAATATATGGATATTAAATATTATAAACAGAAAGATACTTGAAAAGATCACTACTAGTAGTATGGACACCTGGGCAGAGAAATCTAAAGAAAGATGAATATGATGTTCAAATGTTTCAAGGGTTTACGTGCACAAGATTACAGAGAAAGACCTCAACTGAATGTATAGAATATAGAGTTATGATGACTTAACTAGATTCGTTATTCTTTCAACTCGAACCTTGGAGATAGTAGTAGTACCCTCAATCAAATTTCCTTGTTCTGGCACAATACCCACTCATACTAGTTCCATTGGGCTTCTATAATATCACTCACTAAATATGTTTCGGCAGGGGCCTGATGTGATTTGGCCAATGAGACACCATCTTGATGCGCCCGGCGCGTACATCGTTTTCTCAGTCCATGCAGCAAACATGCACGCAATAACGCCTAGATAACGCAGAATATGAAGGATTTCACCCGCAGCGCCCCAGAATTGCAAGCACATCCAACTCAGTAAGACCTTTCGGATGCTACGGATGAAAGGGATTCGCACTGGAGAACGCATCCTTCTCTCCCCGATCACACGGGGATGAGTGCTGTAAAGAAGCAATGATCTGCAGGGAACGGGCAAGCCTTCCTTCTTTCGTAACGATAAGCGGTCGGACCACGAACCTTCAATGCTTCATCGTGATGGGCTACTTGGGAAATTACCTTAGAGGGTTCAGAATTAATCTGCCCCTGAAGAATCCCTTAGCCGCAATATGCTAGAAAGATGGTCGATAAGAGCGGGGGTGGCTTGAAGGGTCGCATCAAATGTGGATCTTTCCTCACCCAAAGCTCCATATTTTGCCCATGAATACTCCGAGTACGTGCCCCCGGAGTGCCCCCGGAGGGCTTGTCTCCTGACGAGAGGACCTGCAGCCACCCCATGCAGGGTTCAGCCGAGCATATAGGGGTCCTAAATTGGGCGCGGAATTCCGTCGGGCGGCTTGTGTTGATGATGCTATCCATCTCACTTATCTGTGACTATTCCTTGTTTCTGATATGCAATTAGTGCATCTGTTTATAAGTTATCTTAGTATGATCTTCCAGAAAGGAATGTTGCGTGCAGATCATGTCGATTCGGCCTTTTCCGACACCTGCATCCAATGACAAGTTCATTTTCGATGCCGCTTGCTTCCCATCCCCACCGGCAAGGCTGTTGATAATCCTTCTTACCCTGGTGATTTTCTCGGTAGTGGAATGCCGACTGCGTTAAGGTTTTCTAGGGTTCATCTCGGTAGTCTCATGTTGATATAGAATATGGGTGATCAAATATGTGAATGTTTACGTTTAGAAGTTGAAATTACGTTGCATCTTTTTCGTATTAGTGGCCTGCAAATAAGAAGCACTGAAGGCGCAACGCCATAATTGTCTTGGTGCGCTAATCATGTCTTAGCACTAATCTTAGGGACCTAAGATGTTAGCGTCGCTCCTAGTATTGCGCCACCAATGCTGTCTTTGGCCCTCTCTCCGCACTTCTACTTGGTATCTGCCTAGTGGATAAAACATAGTCCCAAGATGACCGATGGACTCCGTGATTATGTCCTAGTTTAGAGTTCGAAGTGTGCGCTTGCGAGGTCCGGAAAATGAGAAGTTACATCGTCTTAAATCGTGCGATATTGAGTATAGTTGATACCATTGGCCATATGTGCTTATTGCGAAATAGCAGGTCGATAATAGCGAGTTGAAGAGGTATACAGAATGCTATAAATTGATTCATATTCCGCGCCAGAGATTCGATTTTCATTCCATTCAGCATCAATCTTCCCTCCAGTTATCTAAGCTGTCATCATGGTTGTCATCAACAAGGTTCTCCCCGCCCTGGCTGGCCTCGCTGCCCTTGCCTCTGCTGCGCCCACCACTGGCAAATACTCTATTAAGCAGGTCGCTCGTCCGGCTACCAAGACCACCAGCTTCGCCGCTCAGTATGCTCGTGCTCTTTCTAAGTTCGGCGCTACCGTTCCTTCTCACGTCCGAGAGGCTGTAGCAAGTGGCGTCGCTACCAACGAGCCTACAACCGATGACGAGGAGTATCTCACTCCCGTTGATGTTGGTGGCACTACTTTGCAACTTGACTTCGACACTGGCTCATCCGATCTGTAAGTCAAACATTCTCTCGAGCTCGGGTTGAACAACGTCGAATCGATGGCTAATTTATTCAAAGTTGGGTGTTCTCCACTGAGCTTCCTTCATCTGAGCAGTCAGGTCACGATGTCTATAACCCCAGCAAGAGTGGCAAGGTCCTCTCCGGCGCCACTTGGGATATCTCATACGGTGACGGCAGCTCTGCCAGCGGTAACGTCTACACAGACGACGTCACTGTCGGAGGAGTCACTGTGAGTGGCCAAGCCGTTGAGGCTGCTAAGAAGATTAGCTCCGAGTTTGTCCAAGACACCAACGATGGACTGCTTGGTCTGGCCTTTGACTCCATCAACACGGTCTCTCCCACTCCCCAGAAGACTTGGTTCTCCAACGCCCAGTCCCAGCTGGCTAAGCCCATCTTCGGTGTTGCACTGAAGCACAACGCCCCCGGTGTCTATGACTTCGGCTTTGCCGACTCCTCCAAGTACACTGGTGATCTCACCTACACTGATGTCGACAACTCTCAGGGTTTCTGGAGTTTCTCCGTTGATGGCTGGAGCGCTGGTAGCGCCTCCGGCGAGGGCTTCGATGGCATTGCTGACACTGGCACCACTCTTCTCCTTCTCGATGACTCCCTTGTTGACGACTACTACAAGGAGGTTGATGGTGCTTCCTACAGCAACACCCAGGGTGGTTATGTCTTTGACTGCTCTGCTGACCTCCCTGACTTCAGTGTTACCATCGGCAGCTACACTGCTACTGTTTCCGGAGACTTGATCAACTACGCTAGCGTTAGTAGCAGCCAGTGCATTGGTGGTATTCAGTCCAACTCAGGTATTGGTTTCTCCATCTTCGGTGATATCTTCCTCAAGAGTCAGTATGTCGTGTTCGATGCCAGTGGACCTCAGCTTGGCTTCGCTCCCCAGGCGTAAATAAACACCTCTCATGGTAATGATTGACGGAATATTATTGGTGATATGAAGAAACTTCCGCATTGAAGGGATTGAAGCTGTTTCCCCGCGGCCAAATTATGCCTTAGATTTTGAATACTATGAACACTCAAGTACAGATGAACATCAATGGAACTTGCTGCTTTCCCGGGCAAAATCTACTCTCATTCCGATCTATAAACAACAGGAAATAGATATCAACGTTAACGGCTTAATGTGCCTTATCATGGATCTATTATTGCCTAATTTTGTACATAAATGAGGCCAAAAGCCCTTAGGAAAGTGTCGTGATCACACGCAAGCTTTTCTTCTTCTTGTAAAGTTTTTGCCTGACTGTTTATGTTACTTGCACATGTGGTTCCTCTCTTCGCTTCTTCAACTTGGTTATTTCAGCTACTATTAAAACCATGCTTGGGAATAATATATTTATAAATAAATATATAAGTCAAGAGAACGATTTATGATTCAAGTTTGAGCGGAAGAAATTCCAAGTTCTTCTGTTTGAAAAGAACCAGATTTCAAGGTTCTTGCCTCAGAACAGTTACTAGTGACGCGCGTAATGCGGCTTACTAGTACTATGCTGATGCTGTCCACGCTAAAGCTTGTGACGACTTGGCTACTGCTCGTGGACGACGCACTCCAAGATCATGGTCGAAGGCCTTGACAAGGCTATTGCCAGTTGACTTCGCTGATACGAGGAAGGTCCTTCTTGATAGTGTTGCCCGTCTTATGGAGTTACTTACTGATGACGCTCTCCATCCTAATATTAAGGCTGCGTGCGTCAAGAAGAGGGGTGATGACTACGCAAAGTACAAAACCCTGCTTACTCCAGACGAGGATGAGGACCAGTGATGCGCTCTCCCGACTTTTTCGAACATTTGTGATGTTTTTCTGGCGCGTAGTATCATCGCCCAGGTCAGATGTTTGGCTGTCTGAAGCCATTACCTATTACGGAAAGAGGTTTTCAAGTGAGGTGAGGCAAGACACTTTCAATTTTTCTTCTTCTCCTTGTCAACTTCCCAGCCATTTTCAGACGGCCAATTTGTAAGTTCTGATATGGCAGGCGTGATGGGTAAGTCGTGTCTGATTATTGTCTCACTATGTACACCTGATTGCAGCGGTTCTGATATATGTATAAACATTTGGTTCTCCCACTCGCAGGGCTCAAGTTTCCCGCGCTACATGGCACCACAGAGAGATGGTTATTACAGAAGAACGGGCAAAGAGCTGCGAGGACTCTCAAAGTAGCGTGAGTCTGGTTTTTCAATGGAAATACAAAGTCTTTCTACCACATAGTCAAAGAATCGTAATTTCCATCTCCTTCAAGAGGACAAAAAACAAGTCTTTGCAGGCTCAGTGGTGTGTATTGAGTTCTGAAGGAAGACTGTAGATGGCGGCGTGCTTCATATTGAACAGTGTTGCTTGGCGAGTGTTGATTGCTACACAAGTGAAAGGCTAGGATACCTGAGGCCAGAACCCGGGTCATATGACTGTAAATATAGGGGTAAATAGCTTGGCTGTATGTAAAGCATCTGTTTATTACGTGAACACTACATGCTAGATATAGTATCTAGGGGGGCTCCACAAAGAATGCTAGGCGAGAGTGCATAAGTGTAGCTGAAACCTAGTAGTAGTTTAAGGGAACTAACTAGTCAAAAACTATTTTCACCATGGAAATCCTAGACTACAAATCGACGTAGTAGAAGCATAGAGATCGGAAGACCAAGTCTCTTATTGAGGATACGCCGCGTGATATTAATTAGTAGTTTCGATTATAGGGAGATAAAGAGTTATATATAGACATTGAAGAATATCTTTTGTATAAGCGATATACTATACAGGTAGATATACATTTCTGCGACTTTCTTTACCCCGAGATACGAATCTCCGGGTTGGGGAGTGTCTTTTTTTAACTAGTAAAAAGAGTGTTTTTACTAATAAAAATATTCAAAGAACCTTGTAATAGTACCTAATATCAATAATAAGTCTATTGCCCTTACAGCTGCCAGCAATGATCCAACACATACAGCAAAGGTTTACTATATACCTACACTTCTAGAGTATTCTGATACAGATCCTAGAGGAGTAGCGTATATCGTCAATCTTCGTTATCTAAGTAAAGGGGGGAGGTTGGGTGTGTGTATGGGCGGCGTAACATATTAGATGTAAACAAAGAATCTGGTCATGTGACCCTCACTGGGAGCTCAGTGGGGGTCCACTGACATGTGTTCACGCCCGAGGCAAGAACACATACCTTCTGCCATATATCTCAGGCATCAAGGGGAGGGAATGACATAATCAACAGCCACGACGCCACAATTCGATGACGGAGATTATTTCTATGGTGATGGCTCTTTATCTTCCTTTTCTTTTTTTTCTTTAATCTTGCCAAAGCCTCTTTTGTGACAGTGGCCCTACTTCCGTTTCTTTGACCTGGGAAGCCTCTCTTCTTATTTTATTTCCCACTCCCTCCCCTACTTCCATCGCTGTCACTTCATCTGGCCCCCATTTGTTGTTGCTTGGTAGCTGCCCCTCGCAACTATGTTTATGCTCCGAAACGGTAAGCAACTCGCGCCTACCCCGCCAAACCCCCTCCATGCCAACAAGCGTATCTCGCCACTTTCACTGATAAAACACTTGCTAACCACGTTCACTCCCTCCAGTGAGCAAATTTGTCTTCGGAGATACTTCCAAAGAGTCGATCATCGAAATCCCACAAGGCCAGCTGTATTTGGTTCGGCCTTTGTCACCCAAAGGGTACTCAGAACTGATCTTCAAAGACGCCGCGGCCACTATCCGACGAACCGGTCAAGAGTTTCAATACCAGCTCGTGATCCAGAGAGCCTATGAAGAAGGAGAGGAAGAGCTTGCCGACGACGAGGACGAACAAGGTGCAGCGGATGGTTTAGACAAAGACGAAAAGGTGTTCCTTTTGGATCAAAGTCTTCATTTTCGTTCCGAAGTTCGCGACGGATCTGTTAAGATTCTTGCCTGGGACGATCTGAGCGGAGACGAAGGTGACCTTTTCGAGTTCATTTGTGATCCTTCGGTTCCATCCGACAAAGTTGCCACCTTTGAAATTGCTGCCGTGGAGTGTCAATACGAGCGCAAGTACCGTCGCAGTGCCCAGAAAGCCACCCAACAGGAGCTTGAAGAGTTTTCCTTCCAAGAGGAGAAGCCCATCCCCTCTGCGAGCCCGATCACCTCCCCCATCTCACACTCCCGCAACCAATCTTTGACTGCTGAAGAAACAGCCGCCGAAATGGCAAAGGACGTGAAATATGCCCAGTCCAAGGGACACATCAAGTCAGTTGCATTCGATGACCAGCCCACGACCGCTCCGGCCGCTGCTGCTCAACCCGAGGCCAAAGAAGTTCTCACAAAGGAGAAGGCCGAGCTTCACCTGTTTGACTTTGCAACTGGAACTTTCGTGCTCCAGGACTCTGACATTCTTGCTACTGTTTCGGAAATTGGGAACTGGCAGTACTGGCTACAGATTACCGGTAACGAGAAGGAGTGGTTGGGTCAGGCTGTCGTGGGAGATATCAACCCTGTTTTCAACTTTGAATACCTTTCTTTCATTTTCAACCACTACGCCGAAGATGGGTCCGCGTACTCATGGCTACTACGATTCAAGGATCAGCCTTCAGAGGAACGATTCCAAGAAGGTCTGATGCAAGCTCTGTGGGAGCAGCTCAATGAAATGAAGTGGACCAAGGTCAAGGAGAACGAGCGTGAATACGTTCTGGATGCCTTCCAAGATCTGACTATGGAAGATGCCGATGACAAACCAGAGGAGGAAGAGGAAGAGGAGGAAGAGCCTGACGAGACTGACGAAGACGATGGTCAGCGCAGCGAACACTACGACAGTGACGAGGAGGAGGATGATGTCGTCACTCGCGACGAGGATGGAAACATCAACTCGCAACTGGCTGTCGGCTACAAGCATGACCGCTCATTTGTGGTTCGTGGCTCAAAGATCGGTGTCTTCAAGCACACTCCCAACAACAACCTGGAGTTCTCAACTACCATCTCGAAGGTGGAGACTCCTGGCGGCAAGCTATTTAGCCCAAAGAAGGTGATGCTGCACGCGGAGGATCAAAACTTGATTCTTCAAAACGGCGAAGATCCCAACTCTCTGTTCCGAATGGATCTGGAGTATGGTAAGGTTGTCGATGAGTGGAAGGTCCATGATGATATTTCTGTTGATACCTTCGCTCCTGAGAACGTGAGTCACCCAGGAAAGTCCAGAATTTTCCATTTCAGCCTGCTAACAACTTTCACAGAAATTCTCCCAGATGACCGGTGCCCAGCCCTTCGTCGGTGCATCCAAGAATGCACTGTACCGCATTGATCCTCGTCTTGCCGGTACTAAGCTTGTCGATTCCGATCTGAAGCAGTACGCCAGCAAGAACGATTTCTCTGCCATGGCCACCACTGAGAAGGGTTATCTCGCCGTTGCATCCAATAAGGGTGATATTCGCATGTTTGATCGTTTGGGTATCAACGCCAAGACTCATATCCCAGCTCTTGGTGAAGCTATTATTGGTCTTGACGTGTCGGCGGATGGACGCTGGGTGCTCGCAACATGCCGCACTTACCTCCTGTTGATCGACTCTATGCAGAAGGATGGCAAGAATGAAGGCAAACTTGGCTTCGAGAAGTCCTTCGCTAAGGATTCGAAGCCCCAGCCCCGTCGCCTTGGATTGCAACCTGCGCACGTCGCACAATTCCAGCACGAAACTAAGAAGCCCTTGGCATTTACCCCTGCCCGCTTCAACACTGGAGTTGACAAGGACGAGACTTCCATCATTACCGCCACCGGTCCCTTCATTATCACCTGGTCGATGAAGAAGCTTTTGGCTGGTCGTAAAGACCCCTACACCATTAAGCGCTATGGCGAAGATGTCATGGCCGATAACTTCCGTTTCGGCTCCGACAAGAACGTTATTGTTGCACTTCCTAACGAGGTCAACATGGTCGCTAAGCGCAGCTTCCAGAAACCTACCAGAGAGAGTATTGCAGGCCCTGTCACACCTAGCCGTGCACGCAGTGGCAGATTCAGCAGTCACTTGGGCCGCAATGATATCGTCAACTCTCCTTATTAATTCACTGGCTCTATGTCTGATTGCCTGCCCCTCATTTTCTCTTTTCTTATCTCACGCTTACGTTTACGGTCTATCTTCTGTATCTTCTTCTGATCTTTGTACTATTACCCATACCCCCTGTTGTTAATTTACTTCCTTTACGTCGACTTTGGCTATAGTGTAACCTTCTTTGGGCTCTCGTTGAGGTTAATCTTACACTGCTATTTTCTTTTATTCATAGCGGTTCAAGTAGGTAGCCTAGCTAAATTATAAATAACCCACAAGCAATACATGACAAGAACAACACATTAACACATTAACACATAAATATCCTATCAATTGATGTAGAGGTTGTATATGATACCTGTCAAAGCCATGATAGTTCCATGTTATGATCCATGTCTAGGACTTGGAAATAACGATCGAAAAGCGCGGTACTCCACTGACACTCTGTTCCTGTCGTTGGTACTGGGACATCCAAGGCGTCAGCATTAGGATTTGGCTCCAGTATGTTTGAAACTAGTACAGTACTAGGCAAGCCCTGTTCATTTGGCTGGACGGTGTCCGGTCTTTCTTCGCAGCTAGACCTAGGCCAAGGTGGAAATGAAGCTGGGTTTTCTTGATACATCTGCTTCCCTAACAAAGCCTGCGACCGCAAATTCTCAATCTGTCTCCACCTATTATCAAGGACGACCTCACCATGACCTTTCCAGTATTGGTAGATATCTTCCGCTGCTATCCATGCACAGTTAACCGTATCACCTGATGGAACCAGAGATAAATTGATAAAGAGATATGCCAACGCGTCCCATTCCAAATACGTCTGAAACAGCCAAAGCCATTGCTTTCCATTCTCGTAAAGACGAAGCTCCCGCGTACTCTTCAAAATATCAACGCAGGTGCGTCGAAAGCTTTCTTGGGTAATTACATGTTGATTTTCTCTTGTCGTCGGCTTCGTCACGCTCAGCTTGAGCTTCGCGAAAACTAGTCGACTAGACGTTGCCGTGATATAATCTATTGGGATGTCTAGATTGCAGAGCGACAAGATCTGGTCCTCTATTTTTGTTCGGAATCTCTCGATTTCGTCACATTTCTCCGCAACAGATAGGATAGGGTAGAAATTTTGTTGACAAAATTCGTCAGAGAATAGTATCCGGCGTACTAGAGTGCTGATTTCGTGTCGGTCAAGTGTGAATAGCATCTCTGTTCTCTCTAGGCTTGATTGGGGTATTCTTCTCATTTCTGGATGGAGACTTATGTCGTTGATGCTGCGTGGAAGTCGCGGAAGTGTGTTGGCCCAGTGCTCCTGTATATAGGGGTCTAGGCCGTTGTCCTCTGCGTTTCGGACGTCAAGAGTATACAGCTGCCACCAAATTCGACGACGCATTTCAGTCTCAAAGGGCGGGAGTATACTGTCCGAGTCCGAGTAACTATCGATTTTATGCAGACCGTTTTTACGGGCAGTGTTGATAGCGACGGAGAGTAGGTCCATTACATCCGTGCCCTTCAAGCTTTTGTCGGATCTTCCACAAATCTATGTATCCTTCATTAGCTTTCTGATTGAACCTTCAAATTGGAAGCAACCTTGATGAGACCATACGATGCATAATACGAACGCCTGTAGAGGTATCATGTCTGTCGATGTGAGGTGCATTGCTGATGCCAGGGACTTCCCCACTGTGTCTCGATATCTAGCAAGCTTAGCAGGAGTTCTTTGCGGTACGTAGACGAGAGTAGGCTGTTACCCGCTAAGAAATTCTTCTCTTTCCTTGTTATGGAATCGTTGGCATTCCTCAACCGACATGGTAATCACCGCAGAGTAGCAGATAGCATCAATAAGAGTTTTAAATTCAACACTGGCAGAGACTCGACCTGTCACAACATCCATTATTTTTTGCTGGATAGTTGGGACATGTATTATCTTCAGAACAGGATCTACTCGCTCCAGAAATGTCTGCCATAGAGAGATTATAGTTGTACTAGTTGCACAGCTAGTATGTTTAGTATTGAAAGACATATCAATGCTTGTTGGCGGGTTGATCGGATTTGTCGAGGATGTCCTGTTGAGTGGGGAAGTCGGCACATCACATTGTGTAGAGCGATCAGTTCCCTAATAGTTATGTTACTATTCAACCCTTCTGTTGAAGAAAATCTACAACATAACCTTACCTGATCATGTTGCTGCCTTTGGACGTCAGCTCCGCCATGGTTTATGAGCTGTGATGGCTCACTCAGAATTGGTAGTACTAATTGGCTGATCTGAGACAAAGTCCTCTCAAACGACTCTAAGGTACATTCAATCTTGTTAATGCGAGAGATGACATCAACGTTTAAGTTGATAGTATCTCCTCGAGCAAAACCTTTCTCCGGGGGTCTTTTAGGCGGGGGATAGCGACATTCTATTCTGACCTTCACGCAGTATGAACAGGAGGGAAAAGACTTGTCACATTTGATCTTACGTCGATGACACTCGGTACAGGATCTTCTAGATGATTCGTCTGTCTGAGCCATTTTTTGTAAGGGTCATCAAAATCAGGAATGTAATCATTTGAACTGAGCGGGGGTGCGGACGTCTGGAGGGTGGAGACCGCATTGTGGATCTCGTTTTGTCATATATCATTGGTCATAGCGGACAAGATGGATAAAATGCCCGCGGGCCGCCGTTTCCTCATTATACTAGTCAATTATAGTTCCAAATATGAATTACGCAATGATGAAATTGAAGCTTTGTAATCCCATTTTGAGAACATTTGAAGCTTCCTATTAGTTATACTATCGGGGGACCTTTTATATGGATGTCTCTGATGGTCATGTGAGCCCCTATGATCGGGTCTCTTCTATATAAGAGACCCCAGTGTCTGGCATTGGCCATCATCTCAAATAACCAACTTGAAGCAGCACCACCGCCAGCCTGCTTTTCTTCTACCTGCCAGTTATTTGCGCATATCTTTCTCTCATTCTTTCTCTCATCCTCTCCATCCGTCATTTATCCATCCTCTTTTCCAAATACACAGACAGCAAACAACAATGTCCTTCATTCTCAACAACGTTGCAATCATCGGTGTAAGTCCAACTTGAGCTTTGATATTAAAAACCGTGTATCTCTCAGTATTGACGAGATTCCAGGGTGGCGGAAACGTTGGCAAGATAGTCTTGAATGCTCTTGTTTCATCGGGGAAATTTAACATCACTGCCATCCAGCGACTCGAAAGTGAGGCAACCTTCCCACCGGGTGTCACGGCAATCAAGTCGGACTTTTCCGACTCAAGCCTCGAGCAAGCCTTCAAAGGCCAAGATGCTGTCATCTCCACCGTGGGGGCCACTGGCCTCACTGAGCAGCAAAAGTTTGTTGACGCCGCTCTGCGTGCTGGGGTCAAGCGATTCATTCCATCTGAGCTGTCAGCCAGCAGCACAGACGAGGCTGTGATCAGCCTGCTGCCGCTTTTCGGAGTGAAGAAGAACCTCATCGACTACCTCAAGAGCAAGGAGTCTGAAGGACTTTCATGGACAGGGATTGCCACGTCAGGCTTACTTGACTGGGTAAGGGAGAAAGAGATGCCTAAATATTTAACAATACTAATGCGTTGTCTAGGGCCTTTCGAATGGCTTCTTGGAGTATGATCTTCAAAACCACACTGCTGTTATCTGGGATGGTGGAGACAAGATATTCTCCGCCACTAATGAGAAGGCTCTTGGACAGTCCGTCGTTTCCGTACTGCTGGGCCCACAGGTCACCGCAAACAAGTACCTACACGTCGCGTCAGTTGAGACCTCCCAGAACGAAATCCTGTCTGCCTTGAAGAAAGAGACTGGTGCCAAGTGGACGGTCTCTCATGTGGAGACCGATGAAGTGGTTAGCGCGGCCCAAAAGAAACTTGCTGCTGGTGATTTCACAGGGGCATTTACCCTGGTCCGTGCCATGATGGTTGGAGATATTCCTGGTCTCAAGGCAAACTATATTCAGGAGACGGATCTTGCAAATGATTTGCTAGGATTGAAGTTCGAGACAGTGAAGGAAACCGTCAAGAGAGTTGTCTCACAGTAGACTCGTTTCATTAATCCATGCAATAGTCTAGCTATCATTTGAAATTGACACTCTCTAGTACTCACGCACCAAGTTAACTTGAATGATATTGGCGGCGGCTATGCTACTGGATAGGGCAGGAAGGGGTGGATGTACCTTTCCACCCAACTTGAAGCCACCATAAACCTCAATAGAAAAAAGTATGTATGTACGTGGCCAGCCACGGGTGACACTAAAACTAGCTAGTAATGGTCATTACCGTTAATTATTGGGGGGGTGGGGATAGATGTAAGGCGCCGGGTTCATGGTGGTCCTGCGCCCCAATATCTGGAGGTCATATAGTCCCAACTGAAACTGATCGCGGAAAGGTTTGTTGCCCTAGTATGAACCTTGGAAATTGATATGTCTCAGGTACCTGTCAGGCGATATGCTTCCTAACAAAGAATGATTGACTCTTTATTCTGCTGTATATCTACCTAAGTGGCTATGCATGTTTGATACTAGGCACAACTTGAATGCCTCCCTACACGGCGTTGCAATTGGAACATGTTTTTGAACTTCTTAAAATTAGCACCCAATATAGATATTAATAGGCTCGGAATAGTTCCAGAATTTGTTAATACGCGCCGCAGGCAATTTCTGATGTTCTCGGTGTTTTGATCCAATAGTTTGTCCCTGACTCACCAGTGTAGAAACACACTAGTATTGATACCATACAGTAATCCAATTCAATTCGATCAACAATCATCGCCACTTCCCCAAATTCTTGTAACATACGAATATGGAGCTGTGTTATCCCATTACCGATCCAAGCCATGGAGGCTCAGCCCCACTCTCACAAGCAGTTGTATCGATTTAGTGGTATCTGTATCGATTGACAGCCGTTGGGTCCCAAGTCCAGGACTCGCTCTGCCAGGATATAAACAAAAGGTCAGTTACTCCACTTTTTGAGCCTTCTACAGCAACATCAGATCTGAATTCACTCCAATGCCTTCAAAGATGGAACTATACGACCTCCTCATCGTTGTAGACGACACGGCTTCAATGAGCATCACAGTGGAATCTCTCAAAAAGGTTCTTCCACAAATTATTCGTCTATCTGCTCTTACAGGAGCGTTCTCTCGAGTTGGACTCTTATCATATCGAGGCTTTGACTAGCCAAAGTTTGAAAAACCTGAGGTATCTAATCCGATACACTGGTGTGGTTGGATGGACGTGCACTCCGATGATGGAGATGCGGAAGTGGATTCGGTCGACTTTGTCGAGTTTCTTAGTCCAATGTAAGGTGACACAGAGAGGGTTTTCTCAGGTGAAGCTGCAAAGACCGCTTTTGCTTTCGCATACAATCAGATGCGAGCTGATGCCAAAACGCTCATTCTCTTGTACACGGACGCTGAGCCCCACAACAATACCAAAGACTTGACATCTTCAGACGCCTTATATATCGAGCACCCCAGCGGGAGAAGAATTATTTGAAGAAGATGGAAGTTGGCGGATCTACTCAGGACTGGGCCTCGGCAGCTAATCTGCTCCATTTCGGTGAAAAGAAAGCCCAAGTCATGAGCATTCTCCGTCCTACTTCGACGCGCTCATCTTTAGGATACTACGCTTTCATGTCTCTACTTACTGAAGGTTTTTGTGTCTACCTAAAAGATGATGATCCTCGAGAAGTTGGACTCATGACGATTAACATTCTCTTGGAATGGATGGGCGCTGATGAAGACTTGCTCGTTGTTATAGGCGCTGACATGGGAAAACGATCAACAGAGCTTTCTGCAAGACTTGTGAGATTCCAATGCACTCATGGAATCGAGAAATTCACAACCGAATATGATGGAGAAGTTAGGCTAATCTTTATTGACAATCGGAGCCATCAAAAGACAAATGCCAATGTAAGACTTCTGGGTCCAACTCTCACGCCGGGATTATCAAGCAATCGTTGCAGACGCGAGATCCTGCAGTCCAAGAATTCTCAAAGCAGTGGAATTGTGACGAAGGCTATCAGAATCTAGTTATAGAGTACCTTCTGAAGATCATTCGTTCTGATATTCAAGCTCTGACAAATGGGACTATCGTGCTGAGTCTTAGCTGCAGGGCTTGGTGGTTATTATCGCTATAATGATGATCATCATGATATTGAAGTTCTTCGGTTTGCGTATGATGTATTTACTCGTGTTAAGTGATCTGCTTGCTGAGGTTGGAAATTCTATCATCTTGTTCAAGTTCTTTGTCAATGATTCAACCTAAAGTTCTCGACAACTTCAATGTCTCCCGCTACTACTAATACCTCTAAATCATTCTTCTATGGGCATGCGCAGAACTCTAGTACTACTATAGTAATAGTGATAATAGTACCTGTTTGTTTACACGTTGAAATTATTTGAGACGAAACTTTGGGTTTATATCCGAGTCTGTCTCAATATATATATTCGACGTTTCATCTATGAATAATTCAGCCAAGGTGGTAGTACATGTATTAGGTCCTATTGTTCGAGTTTGAAAAGTTCTCACCACTCCACCCGTGCCTTCACATCAATCTGAATCATATCGTTCCAACATGAGCTAGAACTGCCACAAAATTCGATCTGGGCGGCATCAGCAGTGTCAGTTCGCGCCAGAGGTTGCAGCTGTAGCCCGAATTCGCGTATGAATGAATTATGACGCCGTGGTGGGTCCTGGTTAGGTTCAGCCGCTAGAGAACGCTAAGAAGAGAATAGCGCCACGCAATCACAATTCTCTTGCTCTCAATGTTTCGAACTTTGCATTCTCGAGATCTCTCAACGCCTAGTATTTTCATAATTTGTGATTCTGAATTTGAATGTATCCGATTGCTTGATGAACAGTGAAGGGGAGCTCCCATTGTGCACTGGCGAAATCCACCCAAGTTCTCCACATCCGAGCAGAGCCCCGCCCCTGATTTCAAGGGCCACGTTCCCAACAAGAGACAAGCTACCGAACTCTCTCGGGCGCTGATCAATGTTGGCGCTTTGATGCTGGTGCCGCCACTATGTCATCAAATGAATCTTCCCAAGAAGAACGACCCCAACAAGGAGGTTCCGCTAAGAGTTCTCGCTGGCGAGGATCCCTAGGACGCAGATGGATCCAGCGGTCGGTAATAGCGGGCTTGGCCGGCTTGTCCACAAGCTTGTACATGAGCAATGTGACCGTTGCCTCGGTCCTGGACTATTCAGATTTGAATAGTATAACCCTTGACTCAACTTTGGATCATTTTCGGCCTGTTGGCAAGGATTCATATTGGAATGATGCTCGAGAGGAGGTCAAAGATGCCTTCGTTGTCAGTTGGGATGCATATGCCGAACATGCATGGGGTAAGTGATCAATTTCAGTATTAAAAGCGTAGAAGCTCTTGAAAATTGATCAATGGTACGAATGAAATCGCTAAAAGCTCGAAATGGATTTTAGGACAGGATATCTATCATCCGATTTCTATGACGGGCGAACAAATGAGTCCTACCGGCTTGGGCTGGATGATCGTTGATAGTCTGGACACATTGATGATCATGAACTTGACAGATCAACTATCGGATGCCCGCAAGTGGTTAAATCGGGGCCTCTCCTACGACCAAGATCAAGATGTGAATACATTTGAAACGACGATTCGAATGCTCGGCGGGCTTTTGTCAGCTCACTACCTCTCAACTCAACTTCCAGACGTATCATCTCGGCGGGATTATGTTTATTTGCAAAAGGCGATAGATCTTGCCGATAGACTTCTCGTTGCATATGAAACTCCCTCGGGAATTCCCTATGCCAGTGTTAACATTGGCAAGCGAGAAGGTCTGCCCTCGCATGCAGACGATGGAGCTTCGTCAACTGCAGAAGCGACCACTCTGCAGATCGAGATGAAATATTTAGCCCAGCTCACTGGCAATGAAGACTACTGGCGCAGGGCTGAAAATGTCATGAAGGTGATAGACGATCAGGCTATGCAGGATGGCTTGCTGCCTATTTTTGTGCACCCTGATTCGGGCAGATTCCAGTATCCGGAGATCCGACTTGGCAGTCGTGGAGATTCCTACTACGGTACGCCCGGAATGAATTACTTTCAAATCTAACATGCGATTGCTAAACTTTCACAGAATATCTAGTGAAGCAGTACTTGCACACGGATGGCAATGAACCGATTTACAGTGAAATGTGGGAGGAGGCACTGCAGGGTATTCAACGAAACCTTGTCACTACCACCAAACATTCAAATCTCCAAATAATCGCAGAATTGCCTCAAGGTATCGGGGGCAGACTCTCACCGAAAATGGATCATCTTGTCTGCTACCTGCCGGGCTCGATAGCGATCGGTGTTACGGAAGGAAAAACAGAAAAGGAGGCGCGCAAGTTACCGACCTGGAACGCGCAAAAGGAAGAGCAGATGAAACTTGCGAGAGAGCTCATGAAGACCTGCTGGGCAATGTATGCCGTGACAAATTCCGGGCTCTCGCCCGAAATTGCGTGGTTCGAGGCAGATGAAGCGGACCTTGTCCCATTTGCTGGGCTTAAGCCTCGACCTCGCAGCAGCAACAATGTTAAGAATTGGAAGAAAGACATTAAAATTAAGCCTCTCGACGCGCATAACTTACAGCGCCCGGAAACGGTTGAAAGTCTCTTTTTGATGTTCCGAGTAACTGAAGATCCGATTTATCGCAAATGGGGATTGGAGATTTTCAAGGCGTTCCAAAATCACACGAAGCTTGAAGGTGGAAAGGGGTATACGTCCTTAGATGATGTCACGAAGAATCCGCCAACGCAGCGGGATAACATGGAAAGTTTCTGGCTGGTAAGAATTGCTCCATCTTTAGGCAAGTCTTTCACTTCTTCTAATTGCTGATGAATTTACTCAGGCCGAGACTTTGAAATATTTCTATTTGCTCTTCTCACCCAGAGACCTTCTTCCATTGACTGAAGTGGTCTTCAATACGGAAGCCCACCCGTTCCCACGTTTAAAGCATCCAAAATTCCAAACGGGCTGGACAAGAAAAGAGCGTCCCTCATTTCCTTTCTAGTGTTATGATATACGATAGTCATAGATTCTCAAGACTGGACAAAAATTTCCATTGGCGGGAAATGAATACCTACTTTGGAGGACGACCCTCATTTTGGAGAAATATACTCCCCATCTCTGTAAATGTCTATTCGACAGGTTCATTCAGCAATAAAACGCAGAAAGCTATCCACAGCTCCAAGCAATCGATCAATCGAGGCCTCGTTGTGCATCAAATTCAAAGACATAAATCCTCTTCGCCCAATGATGATCCCATTCGCAATCAACGAGAAATAAAAGGAATTCATCAAGTCTTCCGAATTTCCCCCAGAGAAATGTACCCCGATCGCACTCCCAAACCCAGTAAACCTCAACTTATGGAAAGCGGCTTTTTGAATAAGGAGCGCCGCCTGCTCGCGAAACCTATCACCCAATGCATTCAAACGCTTCAGCTCATCTGCAGTGATTAAGTTTGCGGCAGCAACGGCAGCAGTCATTGTAAATGTATTATTATTGAAAGTTCCTGAATGCTGAAGCGCGATTGACTTGTCCGTCGAATCAAACCTGTCCATGATTGCAGCCGAACCTCCAAACGCACCAAATGGAAATCCACCACCAAGATACTTGCCAACAGTTGTCATGTCAGGTATGATATTCCAGTAACCCTGGAGTCCATGATAATGCAGACGAGATGTGACAACCTCATCGAAAATCAACACAGCGCCCGTTTCACTAGCTGCTTGGCGGAGGAAAGCGAGAAATTCTGGAGTTGCGGGATGCATACCCCCGGCACCTTGAAGAGGCTCCACTAGGATTGCCGCGAGATCCTTTATCAAAGGCTTTGTAGCGGAAATGTTGTTGTATTCTCCGATTATGAATTCATGAGGAAGGTTCATCGGATTGTCTTTCATGCCGAAGTTTATAGTTCCACCATGGTACCCGTTTTCGAAGACGAGGATCTAGCTCCAAGGGCCATTCGTCAGTGTTTATTCATATTGTCGTTTGAGAACTGGGTGAATGTTCGCTCACTTTCTTCCGCTTTGTATGCGCCAAAGCAGTTGCTAGAGCAAATGTATTTGCCTCCGTACCAGAGTTACAGAATCGGACCTTCTCCAATGATGGAATCCGGGTAGTCAATATTCGTGCCAATTCCGCTTCCTTTTCAGTGATACCACCAAGGCTGAATCCGGTGGCCAAAGCTTTTTGAACTGCGTTGTTGATAACTGGGTGTGAGTGCCCATATATGCCCGCCGAAAAGTCTGATACAAAATCTTCGAATGTCAAGTCGTCGACTGTTGTGACTGTAGCACCCTGTCCTGACTTAATCACCAATGGAAAGGGCTCAGAGACGAGAACAGAGCGCGTACTTCCGGCCGGAAGTAACTTTTTAGCCTTTTCATGGGCTTGTTTAGACAATGGGTGAATTTCTTCATATTGACTAACAAGAGTCTTGAGCTTCTGGTTGATTGAAACATCATTAATAGTTTTCGTTGCCATTATGAGTTTCAGAACGTCCCGAGGAATAGCCAGCTGGCAATTGTGCTTTTGAGAATTGGATGTTTAGGCCAAATCTTGTTGCATGAAATAGAACGCCTCTGGTTCTAACCTGCGCTTGATATATATCAGGGAGGCACGCAGAGAGACACTGAAACGAGAAGAGAAGGAATGAAAAGAATCAAGCAACGCACAGCACTGGAGATGACTTAGAGTTAAGCTAGAGTAGTGCATTGGAGGAAGATATCTTTTCTCCAATAGATCTACCCATTATGACTTGAACTGATAAGTTGAGGGGTATCGGGCGATTGCCCGCACACCCCGCACACGCACGTCCTCCAAGTTTGAAGTATGCATTCCACAATTTCTGGATGCAACTATATTGTGATTTATTAGAAAAAGAAAGACCGAATCGTACGGGTATCTCGGTTCTTAAATTTGAAATTCCCTGCAAGGATCTTCCACAAAGCAAGTTCAATCTCGCTACATATAGCACACTGCTAAGGCAGGCAATAACCGCTCCGGGGCCGCTTTCACGTGATGCCTAAAATATAAGGCCACGTAGAGACACCCATCAAGTCCTCTTAATTCAGCAATTGACCAGATTATAAAAGCTCGTCAAATCACTATGCAATCAACTGCTTTTTTTAGCAAGGGAGAATGAGCAATTACTCGCTAGAATGGAGAAGAAAAAGCAAAAAAGGACTCGGTCAAGGCAGCAGATACCCCGTGAAAGAAGTCACCTGATTTGATGCCTGTCAACATCTCTATTTCCTGTCTCCATACCTCTTCTTTCCCTCTATCTCCTCCGTTGTTTTGGTCTCGAATACATCATATGGCCCTCATCTCACATTATTCCTCTGATACCCGCAATATTATTTGAGACTAACGAATATTATATTGAATAGATGCAGACGCCTTCCCGTCTATTAAGGTATTGCTTTTCAGGATCACATATCTGATGTGCCCGTGTGTTTGTGATCAGTCCTGTCCACAAATTTGGATTTGTCACAGGGAGGTTGTCGGTTCACTCTTTTTTTTTGCCAGCCACGGATCTCTCTGTGCATGTTCATGACCATGCAACAGGTCCATGCTAATAGTCTCACGCCGAGAGACTTTGCGAGCTATTGTCTTTATGCTTTGGAACATAGCGACTTCTGGCGCGTAGCGTGGGTCCATATTTCTGGAGGACCACGGGGACAGGTGCCAGAGCTAAGAGGACAAATGCACAAAGTGAGATGGTCCAGTTGAACCCAATCCGGTTGACCATTTGAACAGTGAAAAGAGGAAAGACAGACGAAAACGTGTATCGCATAGCGACATCGACTGCAAATGAAGAGGCTCCCAATTCGGCTCCATAAACCTCATTTTTGTACAGCGGGTAGACCAGCTATGCTTTGTTAGCAACTAATACGACAGAAGTAGATAGATCAAGGACGTACCTGTGATAGCGCAAATGCTAGTCCATAGAATGCCCCAGCAATGAGCGGACAGATCCAATGAATACCTTCTCGAGCTGTCCAAGCAAGCCTATCGATTTGTATTAGTATCCTCATCCAACGTTCATGGCATTTCCCTGGAAATTTGACATACCAAAACAAGCTGATCGGCAACAGAATGCCTGCGATAGTTGCTGCGGGCAGTGAATCTTCGGGCTGTGGGTTCGAATTCTTGTCTCTTCTTTTCATAACCATTGATATGATAGGCAGTGCAAACAGACTACCAATCAGCAAAGGAGTGAATGCCAACCCGACTTGGTAAGATGAAAACCCATACACTTCCTCAAGGACGACAGGATAGGCCGCATAAAACACAAATACCACAACCTGACCCATGGTCACAATAGCCGCCGTGGGAAAGATAATTGGCTCCATGATAAGCAGCTGGAAAGGACGCGAAAAGGCAGGACCGATGCAGTGCAACAGATTACGTCTAGGCAGGTTCAACTTCTTTCTCCGAATCTCAGGTCCATATGTCTCCGGCACCGTCACCAAGGCCAGGAAACATGCACCCACCAGCATGGCTGTGAGCCAAAAGGTCCAGCGCCAGTCACGGTCTCGGACAATTGCCTCTCCCGCGGTAGGACCGACTTCACTAGCAACTGCGCCAAATATGCCGTACACAGCGAAAAGGAGACCGCCAATTCTGTCTTCGGGCATTTTCCATAGATCGTTCAACAGGCCGGAGAAAACGGTCACGGAAGGGGACCCAACTATACCGCAGATACCACGGGCGACTGCGATTGTCCGAAATTCTTGGGCTGACCCAGCGACGCATGTGAAGACCACATGAAGAAGCAGGGAGATTTTGTAGATATATTGTCTGCCAAATTCCTCTGAGAGCGCAGCGGTGCACATTGGTCCAATGACGAATCCTATCGCGTAAAACGTTATAGGGGTGAGGGCCAATGTCTCTGAAATTCGAAATTCCATCATAATACCAGGAACACTCGCGATGTAGACTGAGGTTGCGAATGTACTAATTCATCATGTTACTCAAGCCCAACTTGACTATGGCCTCATCTTGGATATATTCAAGTTGACTCACATGAAGAAATAAGAAAAGATAGCACAGAATGAAACAAACAGTTTGTATTTCTTGCTCCACTGGCGTGCGTCGGGTACCTTAATGTCCTGGTCATCGGAACCATCTTCACTGCTATTCAAAACTCCCTTTTCATTCTTTTTTCTCGCCGTTGGAAGCGACATCTCCACCAACAGTGGACGCACCATCTTCAGTACCAACAGCTGGAGTCCCAGGCATTGATTCATTGACTCCGGGCGTCCGATGCTCTTGCTCAAGATCTGCCATGTTATGTGAGGAGTTGGTCTCCGAATACCCTTGAGATTTTCCCTGTGATAAAGAGCGAATGGATAGTATAAGGAATAAAACCCGTAGGGATAATGAAGAACAGTTTAAAAAGACATGTGGGCGGTCCTACATCAGAAAAACTCTTCCAAGACCAGGGAGTATTAACTAATAATATACGTATAATACCTGGCCATGCGATTTACACACTGCAATGAACAGCTGGACTACACCCTTGTTTGTATTTAAGTATTGTATACAGTATTGATACAAGGCTATTGAATGAGTACGTGGGTTCGATTAGCGGGAAAACCGAAGATCTTTGCGAAGTTTAGATTGATCGCTTGCCTGCACAGACCCGCCGTCGGAAATGAGACAGCTCCACACGCGGCTTATGTTCAGATCCCAGATCTGCTTCGCGACTCAGATTCATCCATAAACTCGGTAAATTAAACGTAGTTGTTAACAAAAACCCCATTTATATTTCCAAAACCCATTAAGCAACCCCTTAAGAATTATGTTTTTAGGTCAAAGATGGACCTGGTGTACGTCGGGAAGGGTGGTAATTTTGCAGCTTCAAGTTGGTTCTAGAGATATCTACATAAGGTAAGTTAATATTTTATAAGCTTCGGCATAGCTCTCTCTGTTCTATTAGCCTCAACGCATAGAAAATCCGGTAATGCGGCTGAATTTTCAGATGGTGTTGCCCCGCTGATCTGGATGGAAACCATGGAACAATCCAGGAAAAATTTGCCGGTGGGGAAAGAACCGTGTGTATTGATGCGAATTTGGTTTGATATCCTTAGTTTCGATTGCCGATCTACTTCCTCTGTTCGTCAATAGCCAAGCACATTCGATTAAGGAGGCTTTGAACCTTGGGACGTTCGACCCGTTTGATTTCGGTAATCGGGTCTGCCGAAAGAGAAACGTATGCAAGATCTATCAAGTGGAGTCTCGCGAACGAGAGATGGTTCACGAGCGGGATACATCTGATTCCACAACAATCGCTACTTATTCAGCCCTTACTTTGTTTTCCACAAATAATCCAATCAATTGTGAATACAGATAGATCTGTATGGCGGTGAGACAGGTTTCATATCGTGATCTACAAGGAAGATGATATAAACTTTAATCCTTGGAAAGGGTCAAATCTGGCAGAGGGTGACATTATTCTGATACCAGAAACAACCTTGGTAAAAACAAGTCAAAATAAATATGGCGTTGAGCCACGAGTACCAAGATAATCACGTACCTTCTTGAAGAGTGAAAATTCATCTTCATTAGGGGGTTCCATGAGAGCATTGAATCATGGTACAATGCCACAGCTGAGCTCAGCCCGAATTGTGGATCTTCTGGAAAGCTCCGACCCGCAAAGACGAATCTTGGGACACGGACTTGTTCGGACTGGAAACGCGGCTCCAAACAGAAAAAAAAAAAATTTAAGAAGAGGACTAAATACAAGGATGGAAATCATCAGAAAAGGCTTTTTCCTTTTTTCTGTACGAAAGATTTCGAGTAAGAGGCCTCAATAGATACGCTGCTTGCCTGTCTTAAACAATACTATGTCTCTCCCTTTGACGCTCATAATGTGAACATTAATGAAACTTAATTTGCTCACCTTGCATATTACGCCGTTTCCTGTTTTCTAGGTTTTTCTCTCTGCAACGTTCAATCCAGCGCTCAGTCCACCTGGGTGTTGTCTAACGGGTGATTGGCAGCTTCAGGGGTATAATCGCAGCTACGTAACAGACCTGTCACTATTCACTTTGTCGATATACATATATCGGCTAATGCAAGGGCTTGGGCGATCTGCAAAATAGTTCCACCTGTAATTACGTATAATATTATGGGTGGCAAGGCCTTATACTGGATCGCGGAATTTTATATCCACATATTCTGCCCGCCTTGTTCCTAACATCGTGTTCCACCTGCTCAGATCCAAGGATTCCAGAGGTCAACAACATCTTAGCTGTATCCATATTGTCGATCTATATCTCGTCTCCATAAAATATCTTCGTAAAATCGTGTGGATTTGGTGAACAATTCTGGAACTTCGGACTTTGACCGCAGCTGTGATCCTCGATCTCACCCGAACGACGGGGTCGAATTACAAATGATACTATTGTAAGTGATTGTATTAACCACAGTGCTGGGACGAGCTAAGCTCAAGCGACGTAATGCTGACAAAATAAATGTGCGATAGCTCGATGCAATAAATTTCCTTCCAGATATTGCAAAAAGAAGATAGAGTGGTACCAACATATTCCTTCTATGCGAAGCCTGCAGAATTCAACACCACGATGTCTAAATTGATTCTAGCTGTGGCTATTGCGTCGGTCGCATGGGTAAGTTTATCAATGCATAGATCCAGAAAAAGGAAAATCTTCATATTAACCCAATCTACTATAGGCAATCGGACTCGTTATTTACCGATTATTCCTCCACCCGTTGGCGAAGTACCCAGGTCCTCGTTTGGCAGCCATCTCCAATTGGTATTCAGCTTATCATGCATGGAAAGGGGACCTGCATGTTAAAAACCGTGAATTGCATGAGAAATATGGTATACAATGCTGCTTCTCGTTATCTTCAATCAATACTGACCTGCTTTACAGGAGATATCATCCGATATGGACCAAACAGTATCGACTTTAATACGCACTCGGGGATGAACACGATCTACAGTACCCGAGCCAATGTACGGAAGACAGAGACTTATGTTGCCATGAGCGCCAGTCGAAGGACTCCTAATACCATTTCGTCCACTGATAAGACTGTTCATGGGTTCAAGCGTCGCATCATGTCCCAAGTCTTCTCCGACCAGGGGCTCAGATCTGTCGAAGACCGCTTCTTGCCAAGAATCCATGATTTTGTTGAGTTGCTTTGGGACGGCAATGGAAAGGGTACCACCACAGAGAAAGAGGATGCATGGGGAACCCCAAGAGATATGGCATTGATGTGCGGCTGGTTGGCATTTGATATTATTAGCGATCTTAGTTTCGGCGAGCATTTTAATATGTTGAAGTCGCCAGAACTACGATGGTTCCCATCGGTCATCCAGAAGCTTGCCCAAAGAGTGACAATCGTATGTTATCCTATTACTACCACGTGAGCTCTACTAATCATCCATGCAGGGCATGATCCAGCCAAAATTCTTCAATTTGAAGCTTGATCGACTGTTCATGGCATCTCAAGTCAAGGATATCTTGAATGCCGGGACATGGATTCGCGAGCGCTCGGAAGCACGAGCCTGTCTCGGCAACGACATCAAACAGAAGGATCTGCTCTACAACATGATGAATGCTACTGATCCAAAAACAGGGATGAGCTTCAATCGAAAAGACCTTTGGTTAGAATCTATCATGTTGCTCACCGCTGGTAAGCATACTTCCCATACAAAGCTTACATCAACAATGAAAGCTAAATCGTGTGAATCTTAGGCTCAGATACAACCTCTGCCGCAATGGCCAGTACATTTTTTCTTCTAGCTCACGATCCCGAAGCGCTTGCGCATTTAACAGAAGAGATTCGTGTGACATTTTCAAACGAAGATGAAATCCGTATTGGTCAGAAGCTCAACTCTTGCAAATATCTTCAAGCCTGCATCAACGAGTCTTTACGTCTCCTACCATCTGTTCCCAACTCCCCTCCTCGATTAGTCCAAGAAGGCGGGATTCAGATTGATGGTGAGTTCATTCCTCCGGGAATCACTGTCGGTACATCCATCTACACACTTCAACGGAACCCAAGATATTTCACCTCTCCTAATGAGTTCCGCCCACAACGATGGCTATCCAACCTTAAGGACGGAGAAAGTATTATGAATTCCAATAGGGAAGGATTTGTTCCTTTCAGTTACGGACCTCGGTCCTGTGTCGCATGGAGGCTCGCATGGACAGAAATGAATGTGACCCTTGCACGGACGTTTTTCCGATATGACATGAGATTGGCACCAGAAATTTCTTGCTGTGGTGGGACACGGAGAGATTGTGATTACCCGTTGAAGGGCTTTATTACGGCGGCGGTCGATGGTCCTTGGTTACAGTTCCGACCTTCTCGAAGCTAACTCACGATTGGTGAAATGCCATTAAATCATTTTGAACATAGACAAATTCAGTGATATCACATTTGTATATACCGTTGTCGCGTGGATTTTTGATAGTAATCTAGGTGATCGATTTTCTCCCTTCTTCTAACATCAGACAAAGGAAATTTAAAATAGTGTCGATGATAACACAAATGAAGACTTTTTGGAACCTCAAGCCGATACCGTACGCAAATGGAGGATTTATGACCAGTTCTTAATTAGCTCTGTAGGTCAAAATGAGATCTTGGTATAAGCGCACCTAGAGTTGAGCTGTCGCGGAACGAACTTGCTTTTAGGGTTCCGCCTTTCGATGAAGTTGAGGTGACTAGATGAAAAGACTTGTAATGCATGCTACTAGTAGTATCAAGGTCCTCAATCCTGCTATATCAATATATCAATAGTGAAAGAATTTATTGAACTGCGCAGTGTCTTGATGTTTTGAATGCTAAATTCCGGCCATGTATCTTCTGGAAAGCGAGTTCAATATCTATAAACATAGCACACGGCGTCCTCAATTGTGCTAGTGGCTCGTGGCCAAGAATCTCGAGATATAGCAACATGGCGAACGTAGTCAACATCGTATATTGCCTCATTCATATAAATATGTCTAAAGTCGGTCGGGAGGTATAGTAGGTCCTGACCACGGAAGCTTATCCAAGCCAGAACAGGCATTGAATTGAAAGTAAAGCCTCGAGGATCCATAGTATGAGGTATGCGTTGTTGCTTAGTGCTTCTGCCTTCAAGATTCTGTCTCGGACGTCGGGTGGGTGGCATCAAGCCACAAGTTAAATCAAATTCGCAATTGACATCTGAATAGGCTCCGATTTGACGAATGTTGAATAGTGGCTGAGATTAGTCGTATCAATTTTCCATATTCGAGTTGAAGCACTATCCAAGTTCTGACAGTCTCTTTCAAGTGCTTTTCAACCTTGGAACGCGGCTATACATTCCCCTTCTGATTTGTCTTATAATCGACGGGAAATCTATCTGTAAATAAAAAAGCAATAAAACTGAATTCGAAGGTAACTTTCAATCATTCAGTTCTTTTCATATCAGTTGAATATTCATTCAATTATGATTAGACCCTAGAGGGATTATAAAGGAGTGAAGGGGATACGATACAAAGATAGTGAATGAATCTTAGATTAGTAAAGCCTAGCTAAGCCTGAGAAGTCGAAATTGCGCTACCGTTGATTATCCAGTTATCCAATCGTGGAGGAAAAGAGGATTCAATGATCTACTGGGCAAAGAGACATGCAGTTTTATGCCCGGTTAATTTATCCAGCCAGTCTGGAATTGACACTTGATGCAATTTGTAGATAGTATGGAGGCCGCATTACTGTAATAAGTTATTTGGCCCGCCCGGCCCCTTCTTGCTCCTGGCTAGGGGTGGATTCCTTTCTCCGTTGTTCACGGCCAATAAAGTGGCAATGATGTCGCAAGAATGGGCTTGAAATCCTGGCCCAATAAGGTTGACGTCTACGCCCAATGCGGAATAGGTACTCTGAACACTACAATTGATTGTCTCGTCATCTCCACTGCTCGCTACTTCCTCGCTCTGGAGTGGCCTGCGGCTCCAGGGATGGGATCCGTGCTCTATTCGGCATAGCCAACCAGATCACAATGGACTGCAAATGTGGATCTCGAAATATCCGTGTCTGTGGGGCGAAGGGTCGGATGTGTCGGTCCATCAAGGCAGTGCCATCGCGCTAGCCCAAAACCACGATGAGTGCGCCGGGTGTGGAGCTCGCAAGCTGTGTGCCGTGGAGCGAAAGATCTAATTTCCTTTCTAGTTGCGCGCGGCCATTGAACAATGGTGAAGAGTGTCTACGTTAGCCGATAAGTCTGTTTAACAAAATGTTGCTTAAAGATTCCGGGGCCGCCAAAATTCAATAATAGGTCGCAGGGGTGTCTGTATAATCATGATGTTCTATCCTCTACTTGGGGTTTTATCCGCAGCAAATCTGGGACTTGCGGCCATATGGTCAAGGTCAGCCTCTCTGCCAACGGCAACGATCGACTCGGGACCTATCATTGGGACAACGACTTCGTTCCCATCTTCGACGAGGACTGTGAAGAAATTTCTGGGAATTCCCTTTGCCAAAAAGCCAGTTCGGTTTACTCCTTCAGTGGCAGTGGATGGTTGGTCCAAGCCTTACAATGCCACAACATGGGGGGTTGCATGCAACCAGGAAATCAGCCAAGCCGCGGAATTGTTCTATGAAGCGATACACCTCGGTAATCCCTTGGGAGGAGAGGGTGAAGACTGCCTCAACCTCAATGTGTTCACACCTAAATCAGCCTCACGTGGATCTTTAGCGGTGCTGGTTTGGTTTTATGGTGGCGGCAACGCGAATGGTGCCACATCTTTGCATCAATACGATGGCTCGTACTTTTCTGCAATGCAAAACGTCGTGGTGGTTTCAGTCAACTATCGGACGAATGTCTTTGGGTTTCCAGGAGGTGATGTTCCTCTGGAGCATAGAAATCTCGGGTAAGTTATCCTAACATGTTGAGCTTTCTGGAAACTAACACATGTTGTTAAACGATAGACTATTGGATCAACGACTGGCCTTACGATGGATTCAACGTAATATTGCGACTCTAGGAGGAGACCCAGACAAAGTGACTATATTTGGCGAGAGTTCTGGAGCTGCAAGTGTTGATGCATTGCTCACCTCTCCTCCCGATCCTATGTTATTTCGAGCAGCTATCATGCAGTCAGGACAGAGTTCTGTTAAGCTTGACAACGCCCCCGACGATATCGGTTACTCTGAATCATGGAAACAGCTCCTGTCGGCCACGAACTGTACTTCTAATCCTATCCGCTGTCTTCGATCAATCCCTGCTGCCAAACTGGAAGACATAGCGACGAAGAATAACTACTCTGGAGGACCCGTTGCCGACAATGGTCAGACATGGGCAACCTCTCCTCGCTATGAACGCATTATATCCAAAGAGGGAAACTCTTCCATTGCACGGGTACCCATTCTGATCGGAAATAATGCTGATGAGGACAAGCCTTTCATCATTGGAATGAATGATACATTGTCAGCTTTGTTTGAAGCTGGACTAGGCGCATATGCACCCATAATTCTCGCTGCGTACCCGATAGGCGCATCTGGTGTACACACGGAGAATGACCGAATATCATTGATTGTCAATGACTTCGAAATGAACTGTCCAATCGGCACATTTGCAAATGATTCTACCAGAGTCGGTATTCCCACTTGGCGATACTTTTTCAACGCCAGCTTTCCCAACAACGAGCTATTCCGGGGAAGTGGAGCTTACCATTCTGCAGAAATTCCTTTGATTTTTGGCACCTACCAAAGAGAGAATGTCACTTTCTTTGAGAAGGAGGTCAGCCAGGCTATGCAAAAGGCATGGGGTGACTTTGCTAAAGACCCATATTGTGGTCCAGGTTGGGATACGGTCCCTACTGTTGGTGTCTTTGGTGATGGTGTGAAAGCTGGTATGAGTGCAATTGAGAAGAAAGCCTTGAGAAATGCCTCGGCTGGGGAAATTGATTCGAGATGTCACCTATATAAGTCTATATATGCAAAGACCTTGCATGATACCTACTGATAACGGTCAGTGATGACTAGTATCATCGACGTCGCGTCCGTATTATACCATACCTATTCAAATAAACACTTTCTCTACATGTTAACACCCTCTGAGTATATTAATAAATTCCGAGATTTAAGTGAGAATAGCTTTCATTGCCATCATGATGCCTGTGAATGATAGGAAAGCATATAGTGTTTCTGAACATGAATCCTGCCAAGTTAATTTAGAGTGTAGTGAAGTATGGAACGAGTGTATGTACTTCTCATTATGCTAGAGCGGCAAGAAGTATGGCAGTTGAGACTGAGCAGAGAAAACGTTTGACCTGAACCTTTTCGTATGAGGCTATAATGACTGACGACTTCTGTTCACAGACGCATAGTTACATGGGTATTGGAAAGCAAATGCAAATAGGGAGCGATGCGTCGAGCTAGAAAATTGAAGGTCTTCCATGATAAACTGCTTCCAATTTTCCATGGGAATCATTACCCAACTACCATCGATGGCTGGCTTTTCGTTTTTTCATTTGAAATTCTCAAGGGATATCAACTTCTTGATTTTGACTGTCTTCTTTTGATAAATCACGCCCTGTTGGTGGATAGGATTTGAGTGCAGAGTACGTTGGTAGTTTATGAACCAACATACCACACCTCGACCCCCAGAATGTCAAATTTAACACCTTCATCAGACAACGGCTCATTACCAAATGTCTGACTTGGCGCACTCACGCCCTTTTCAAGGCCAGAGTCTACCCATAGGCCATAATGTCCATCACTGTATTGAGTGTTAGCAACCAGCTTCTTTTCTTAGACACATTCATATAGCCAGTCAACTTACCCGCCACCAAGACTCAAGAATCCCGTCTCACAAAACATCATATAATCATTGACACCACTGTAAGGGAACGCCTTGAAGCGAATGCGCTCGGGAGTACTCGCCCCACTCCGAGATGTGTTGATCGATGATGGCGAGGGAGGTGCCAGAGCACCCCCGCTAGCAGCAGCAAGGTTGGTCTTGATATTCAGGTTGAGATTGTGCGCAGGGTTTTCGGCCTTGGACTTAGACTTCGGATCATTGCGTATGGTACTCCAGCGACCGGCGTGAGTTGTATCCGCAGACGGAGGAGGAGGAAGACCAGCGCGTTCCAATGCCTCCTCAGATTGAAGTCCGTCACCGGGAAACGCGAGACCGAGATTAATAGGTGGAGGAAGGACGCTAGCGCGCCAAAGGAAGCATTCGCCCGTGCCGAAGAACGAGGTATCAGGGTGCGGCGCATCGGTCATATAAGCGCCAAACACGGCGCCGGTAGACGAAGCATCTCGAATAACAAGAACATAGCCCGCCCGCGGGCTACGGTGAGAGAATTCTTGGCAATTATCGTAGAGGGTAGATAGGGATGCGCCGTCGCGGTCGAGACTATAAGCTAGACGCCAGTTTTCAACGAGTTGGAGGCGGGGAGGAACGAGGAGGCGGATTTCCTCAGCTAGGGCGCGAGTGAGAAGTTGTTGTTGGAGCAGATCTGCACCTTTGGGTATTGTGAGGCTAAGAGGTGTGAGGGGTGGAGGTTGGAAGGGGGAGGCTGTTCGGCGTGGGGTGAAGACTTCTGGGGATGACCAGGAGGTGGAGGAGGGCATTTCGGAGGCGATATTAGGATCTGTTAGGCGTCTGTATAGTCCTGAGACGACGTGGCTAACAGGGTAAGAGAAGTAAGAAGCGGCGGACTGGTAGCTGTTTGTGTTGGCTGGTTTTTGCTGGGGCGTGTGAGATCCGGACTTGGTGGAGCTGGAGGTGGATGGGGTGTCGGAGGGGGTTACCCCCTGAGGTGAGGACGACATACGGACAATTCGATCTAATTGGAGATGGAAGATCTGGGGTGAAACTGCGGGGAAGATGTATGGTACATGCAGGACCGAGGACAGGGTAGATGCAATGGAGACATGGGGTGAGGATGATACAAAGTTATCGCTTATCATGTGGGGGAAGCGGCTCATAGGTGCTAACCATAAATTTGCTCCGTAGACTAGACAGTCAACATTTCAACCTTTTTGTAGGAAGAAATATGGTCCTGATTGCTTTACCATCCATCTCCTTTTAATGACCGCGGCCAAAAGTCTATCATACGTAGGAAAATACTAGTCTTTATTCAATTCTCTGTAAGTCGCGGAGGAACTGTACGTTGGGCCTTAGATCGATTTGAATTGACTTTCCAGATCATACGACAAATTGAAGTACAGCAAAGGCATACTACTAAACTGGAGGCAAATTGGAATTACTAGTATTCCGATGGATAATTTGTGAGGCTCATCGTAATACAATACTACGTTGAAAAAAGACCTTAAGAAATAAATAAACGAGCGGTAAAAGTGGATCTCAAGCTAGGTGCACATAATGCCTATTAGTGCTGCTCAAGCTACTAGTAAGTGGTCAATTCAAACTTTACCTAGAGTCTCTATTAAGTGGCAAAATTAAATATGATATTGGTTCCAAGACACCGTATACATTTAGACGGGGAGGAACAAAGCCCCGGTTTGCCTCCCACTATTAGTGACGGCACAGTGGCGGGGAGGAGTTGTATAAATTAAGATCAAGTCTACTAGCACTAGATACATGCAACATTTTCCAAATATTGATGTTCTGATAAACACATTCAATTCCTAGTATTGGAATAACTTAATCCAGGTGGTATCATCGAATTGCACAACCATGTCTACCCGGTTCTCCCAAGACGATAAGTACCGCGACGAAATCATCCAGATGGAGGATGAAAAGTACGGCGCTGGTCACCACCGCCATGTCAATCATGATTTCGACTCGAGGAGTGAGGTATGAACACAATAGCATGGAGCTCAAATTTTAAATTTTGACCAGGAAGCTGACATGGGACAGGGTCCCTACCGAGTTGCTCACCGCCAGCCCCAAGGTCGTCGTTCTCCTACAACATCAAATAAAGCGAAGGGGAGCTCGGGCTCAGCGGCGAAAAGACATGACCAGTCAAAGAATACCCGAACAACTCACCATCATCCGCAGTCCGATGTGCCCGACGTGCCTGGAGAGTGAGAAGCTTGGAAATTTATGTGGCGATTAGATGAGAGGCGCAATGTGAGGTTGTACATAGAACTAAGTCTATGGAAGCACATTGGAGTTTTAAAGAACCCTTCCACGCCATTTAAAAACTAAAATTGAAATGGAATCAAGGGTGAATAACCGTGGACTTTCTGAGAAATGTAAAATAAATTGAGGGTATCATGTTCATTTGATTGACAAAAACGATGTATCAGATATCAACGTGCATCCTTGGGTCGTAAATCGACAGTCTCATATTCTAGGCCATTAACCTCAAAGACATGCCCTGGCCGTAAAGCGCCTGTATATATATTTTGTTCGGCATGGGGATGAAACAGTCCCGTCTGTCTGCAGTTGAGAACCGTCTTCAGGCCAGGAGGATCAGTCAAGCGGAAGACACCCCAGTCCGGGTCCTTACTTGGTGCACAGACAATAGCAATACTCTCTGGGAGCATCACTTGGTACCCGGAATGGGTGTGCAAGTCTCGAGAACTCATGAAACAGGTCTGCGATGGGTGTGTGTGAATCCATCCCAGCATGATCAGATCTTCAGAGTCGCAATAGTCAAATATCGCTGATTCATTGGTAGTTTCGCAGGTGTCTGATGTAGATATTTGCTCTGGAATAATAAGCCTAGATATGAATAAGGCGTTGGAGACTAGTGTACCGCAAAGAATACCACATGTCTCTAGGTTTTGGCGGGTGTTAGAGGATGCCAGAGACAAGAAACGACCTCGGAGACTAGATGGAAGAAACACGGAGCGCAGTGGACTTCCATTCTCAAGGTAAGCTGAGGGCTTGAAAGTGTAGCTTGAGGGGTCGAGGTCGGAGGAAGTTGATGTTTCTCCATCGTTGGATGCTGGTATTTTTGCAGATGCCGACGGTGCTGGTGACACCTTGGATGGAAGCGGAGGGGGCGAACCATCGACTAATGATGCTCTCTGCGGCTCAGTACGTTCCTTTGGCGGCAAGACCGGGGGTGGTTGTCGTTGAACATTCTTGTCCAGGATCGCGATTTGGCCTGGTAGAACAGATGGCTCAAACGTTTTCTGGCGTGGGACGCTTGGATAGTTGTAAGTGGCTGATACGGCAGGAGATTCGCGTATGACAGGGTTCTGTGCATAGCGTTGGGTCTGAGGCAAAGGCTGTGTGTGATCAATGTTGGATCTTATGTTCTGAATTCGCCGGCTGAGATCATCATCGGCGGGCGGCTTATCAGTCTTGAGCGCAGTTTCCCAACCGCCCCATACACCCGCCGCTCGGCGATTATCGTCTTCATTCTTTCGTACAGTAGCTCTGCGACTGAGTTCGGATTGAGCTAAACGAACGGCTAGGTCACGGTTTTCGCCAGCTTCCAATGGTTCCGCCACGCCACTCAGAGCAGGGTCCGCTGGTCTTTGTTGTCCAAGCACTGGTGTAGGTTCCGAAGGTAACTTTCGAGAATCTCGCTCGCGCATTAATTGGGTGTGCCGTTCATATCGCTTGTTGATTCTCGGTCGCAGAACTTCTAATTTGGCGAGGTTTTTCTCGACTTCTTTCTCGGCAGCCACCAAGGCCTGTCGCGTATCGTCTTTATTGGCATCGGGATGTTTTGACAGGTTTACCAGGACCAGCTGGGCGTGTCGGAAGAGTAAGAGATAGGCTTGCTCGTCGTGGCCTTCGCGCTCGTAGATTCGGGCCTAGAGGGATTGAAATGTCAGCGGAGTTTCCAGGCAGCAAGGTCGGAAATCGACTTACCTCGCGGATCAGAGTGGCCGCAGTCCGGAGCCAATATTTGAGTGGAACACCAGGGTTGTACTCATACTCCTGGGCGGTCTTGGTAATCTGGTTCACACTTTGTGGAGGGCTCCCGCCAGTACTTGGAGCCATGATGTGAGAGGCTATGGCGGTGCGTGTTAAAGGGAAAAGTTGAAGGCAGACAGTTTAGGATTAAGAGCCCCTCTTCAAGCAGTGCGGATCAGAATGGGCATGGTTGACGCAGATTGAGTGGGGCAATCCCCGATGGCTCATACAAAGACCAGAGACAGTTGACACGAAGGCAACCGCATTCAGGCGGCCAATCTCAATGGTAAAATCAACAATGAGAAGAACCGAGCACGAGACACGGAGAGTAAGAAAGCAATGTTGCCTGGTGGGGGGAGACAATGCGGAACCAGATACGGATGATGTGAGTCTGTAAATACGGTACGGGTTTCTACCTTGTTGAACGCGGGTAGGGGACTAAAATACGCGAAATGTCATAACCCGACTCGCTCTCATCTGTAGTATATCTCAGTTTTCGAGAACTAATCTAATGTTTACATAGACAAGGACGTTAAAAATAAGCCAGGAGTGGTGGGATGAGTTCTTACAGCTTATATATCTACGCAAATGAAAAAAAATAATCCAACAGCGTTGCAAACAAAGCTCTCCACTCAACTGGCACATCTATACAGTAGATTACATCGCATGCCGACGCCGCAAAGCTCTCCGCCTCAAAACGAAGGCAGAATAACTTTCTTCACAACCGAGCTACTCTCTGTCTTTCTACCTCAAATAGCCCCATATTCGATTTGAAATGACGAGAAGTTCATGAGAAAAAGTGCCATGGCGCCCAAACTGAAGCCACACAACCTCAACCCTCTTCAACATGCCGCCAGTCAGCAAATGGACGCCGATTGCGCGATTCCCGGTCACCAAACTTATCAGCCAACATGTTAAGAAGTTTGCGGGCAAGAAGATCAATGCGCAATCAGGATATGTGAGCGAGCAGCTATGCTGTAGGTTGCTAACTTCATATACATGCTTTCTACACGATTTGTTAAAGAGACTAATATGTGAATCTGTTCTATTTAGCGCACTCACTCCAACGCCTATCTCCGTACCTCCTCCGCAACAAACCACTGGATATCATTGATCTATGGCCAGGAGATGGAGTTTGGTCCTCCCAGGTCAACGAATACCTCCAGCCCCGTCGGCATATTATGATTGAACCAGACTTAGACGCATACGGACCCTTACTCAAACCATTGGCCAAAACAAAATCATCTTTTAAGCTCGCATCTGGAAACATCTACACTACAAATTGGACCGATGTATTCAGCAAATACCTACCAGAACAATCTCCACCAGAAAAGACCTCGGGAGGCAGCTTACCCAAAAACGACACTCTATTAGTCCTCGCCAAACCACCCATCCCCAATTCGCCCAAGGACCATTACACCCCGGCACGATGGTGGGCCGCAGTCATGGAAAGCTGCATGTTACAAACAGGACTAAATGCGTACGGCAGTGTACGAATCCTGGCTACCTTCCCCCTTCTCGAAATACAATCAATCCTCCCCCGGACCGTCTTCGATCGCAAGCGCCCTGCTCTCCTAACAGAAAATGTGGCATTACATGCCTTCGAAGTGGCCAGTAGCTACGAACCTGAGCCCTGGTATAGTCTTAAAACATGGGACTCCATTCAACACAACTTCCGGCGTGTAGCCGAGAGAGCTACAACCCAAGGCGTGGAAACTCCTCTTGGTCGCGAAGGACCTGCACTAGAATTAGCGCCCGATAGCCCGAAACCCCAAAAGGGAATCCCGTATCACCCCCGGGCTCGCACAGAAGGTCACGATCATTTCATGCAAATCATTGAAAAGCACGCGAAAATGGAGGCCAAAAGTACCCCTGATGATCCTAAATTGGTTAAATCCAAACGCGACGCGAGCAGAGCTATGACGTCACTAAAATTTGACAATCACACTGCGTTGATCCGAGAAAGCTTGACTTCCGACCAGATGGCGATTGACGGGCGAATGCGAGATCTGTCTATTGCCGCTGCAGATCCCAATGTTACCGCTACCAAGCTACAGGAGCTTGATAAGGAGGTTGGGGATATGCAAAGCGCCTTGACGGAGCGGATCTCTCAAATTCACTTCCGTTTACATCGTAGCTGGGATCGGAATTTGGATGATGCTCGAATTGAAGCTCGGTCTAAGAATTTGGATGACTCCGTTCTCCTCTGGGATAAGCGACCTTTTCAGCCTCTGCATATCAAGTCCGACGAAGTGTTCCCCGGCGCGGCGCGAACATTGGTGTATTTCGAAGCTGAAGAGAAACCCGCTTCAATTTACGGACTACGCAATGTCCCTGTTGAAAAGCGCCAACAATTGATGCAGCTCTTTGAGGCATTGTCCGGTGCTTTCGGCACCCGTCACCATATGACCATTGCCGAACTGACAGATGCCATTTTCCCCGGGCGCACGGCAAATGAGCTCGTCCAGTCCATGCCCGGCCTCATTAAATACGCAGCGAAGCGACTCAAACCAAACTGTGGACCCAAGCCACTGCCCGACGGCCACACCAACCCCGAAGAGTGTTACCAAGAAAACATCGATTACGATCTAAGTGACTGCCGACTACGATGCCTCCCAGCGCAAACATTATGGGAAATCGTGCTGGAATACCAGAAGGATGCGCTGGATCTCTCATCGCTTCAATTCCTTCGACTTCTTGGGGGAACTCTGACGTCCTTTCGGGCCGGGGACTACTCCGTATACGAGGCTAAAAGTATGCGCTAGATCCACTCCAGCTCAAAGTGGCTTAGATTTACATTCGCATTCGAATTGACCTGTATCACTACGTCACCCCTGTAATCATCTTAATCCTGACTGCATCTGTTGAGCTGCAGAGAGGATCCCCCAAGATCCTTCAGCGCGTCTTTGTCGGGATGTTTCGAAACCGCCCCAGGGACATCGGGACATCTGCATTGATGTTTACGTTCGCCCGGGAAGCAAATCAAACGGTGGAGCAGAGCACGGGTCACAGGGATTGGCCCCTGGTTCCTTTAATTGGAGACCCCGATTGGCTCGGGATGAGAGATTTGTATAGACTTTGTACCAATAGATGTATAATCACACTACTAGACTAGACAAGAAAGACTACATTAAGTAGTAATCAGCTAAATGAGGTTTATTGTACTATTGTAATTCATATTACTCCTTCAAGTATAAATCTTATCTATATTTATCTCCAATCCCACCTTGACTCATCTTCATAGCTGCATATCCCACCTTTACTACCGTAGTAGCGCCGCCCCGCATCCGCCCTCAAGCCTCCTCAACCCGTTTCCTTCACTTTCCGCCCCAATGTGCATGTCTATCAATCATGTCTATGAACTAATTTCCCCAATCTTCCCGTCCTATCTCCCTATCAGATAAACCCAATCCGCCCGAATGATACAGTACCGTGCACTGGGTTCGGCCCTTTGCAGGTGACCCTTCAAAGATTACCGGCGAACCTTCCGAGTTTCTCCATGTGGTTGGATCGTTTTTTTTTCTTTAATGAGGAGCCATCCACGGTTACTACGGTCGTATTGCACGTCTGTTGAACTGGTTTGCCGATCAACTAGTTTTTCCACTGTTTTTCCCTGTCACTTGCTGGTCGAGACTGATCTATCGCCCCGTTAGTGTGGAACTGGGGCCCTTTTTTCCCTTTCTTTTTCGTCTTTTTCGTGTTTCTTCCCGCTTTTTTTCTTCTTTAATCTTCCGGCTTTTTTACGGGACCACCCCCAACTCAATTATGGAGGACTTTTTATGATTTTTTGCTCTCTAGTTGTTTTGTTTTCTTTTATTCTCCGTCAATCATATTTACTTTTCTGTTTGATTTCGCTTTGGAGAACGCGAACGTTCATATTTTCCATCCTCGCTGCATTCGTCGCCTTTTCGCCGCTTCCACGTCATACCCGTTGCCCTAATCCGTGGATTATGAGACTGGATTGACCGCGACGCGCCTAGAGTCCTTTTATCCGGTGGCGCTGCTGAAATCCAGCGATAAAACTATCACTTTCGCAAATTTGGTCTTGCATTGTGAACGACTCGATTTCTCCCATCAACATCCACCGATTATTATCCTCCGCGGCTAGCTATACACTCGGAGTGTATACCGAGGATTCCCCGACACAATCCAATCCAACATTCCATAGACCACAATGGCGACCACCTCATCACCAATGCATTTGTCGCTAGAAACAAACCACAAGACACAGCCAATCGCGATCCAAACCCCAACTTCCGGCTCAAGTCTCACGCCCCCAGTAACGCCCATCGGAAAAGAAAATGATCCAAAAAACACCCTTCCAGACCTATTAATCGGCGCAAACCCCGCAGAGACATCTGCGCTGGTCAAACGGAACAATTGCACCCCGCTCCGCTTCACAGATGAACTAGAAGTTTGTTCTGATGCGGAGGAGCGCCCTATTGAATTCGGTCGCGGCGCATGGAGTATCGTCTACAAGGCGCGCTCAAGACCTAACGCCACAGTCGCAATCGCAATCAATACGCCTCCTAGTTCGCCTACCGCCACCACCCGCGTGTACGCCATGAAATCTCCAGTGCGCCGGGATGCGCGCCCAGTTTTACAGGCCGAGGCACTCACTTTAACACGTCTGAATCTAATTCCGGGCTACGAGCGATATGTTGTTCCATTCCATGGCTATCACACTCCCACTGAGTCTTTGGTTATGTCCGCTGTTCCTTTGGCACTTTCAACATATATCGAGGACCAAGCGGATCTTATGCGGAAAAGAGGCCCTTCCACCGCTACAATGTTCGATCCTGTTCAAGGTTCAGAGCCTTGGAAGAATCTAGCATTGAAGTTGATTAGTGGTCTGGAATGGTTACACAAGACAGCAGGTATTATCCACGGTGATATTAAGCCTCATAATCTGCTCTTGCGTCCTATGTCTCCAGATGATGAACTAAGCGCTAGTATCGATGCGTTTCCGTATGAGCCGCTATTCGCAGACTTTTCCTCTGCGCTTGATATCTCCCCTGAGAACGGGCGAGATGGTAACCAGAGTTCCATGTCTGCGTTTACGCCTCCGTTTACCGCGCCGGAACTTCTATCCCTTGCTTCTTTGAAGTCAGGTGATGTAGATCCTACTCCAGCTTCGGATGTGTTTTCGCTCGCTGCCACACTTGTTGCAGCTGCCACTGGTGATCTACTGCTATATCCTGGCTCAAGCAATATGCAGCGGCTAGCGATGGCGCGGGACGGACAACGAATTTTGGAATTCACACGATGTGGTTCTAATGGGAGTCGCGTGCCGAGAAATGGGTTCGTGGAAAAATTGATTCAGCCTGCTATTTCTAAGGATCCCGCGCAACGCATTGATATTTCGGAGTGGGTGACTTTGGCGAGTGTCTGATTTGGTCGTATTGCGATTTTCATGCAGATCTATTTTTTTCATTTTTGCATTTTCTTTTACTTTTTACTTTGACTTTGCATTTTGTTTGCGATACTTTGCATCTGGGAGCATTTTTGTTTTTACTTTGTATCATTACACTCGCTTGGCATATGAGATACCCTATTAGAAAGAGCTGACAAAAAAATCACAATAAGTTGGATTTTAGAAACACGTCATATCCTGTTTCATTCTGTATACTGCATCAAGACCCGAGCTTTACACTTACCACAAGGTATTCTCAATCTTCAACCCAGAATTTGGTTTAATATTCCAGCTTGTTGGAACTACGGCCGGTACAACAATCGGAACAGCACCATATAACGACTCCCTTATTCGTCGAAGAAAAGGAGCAGCATCAGCTTTGAATCGGCCCTCAGTAGAAACTTACATTCCTCATCTGGATCTCGAGGTAAAACCATTTATCAAGGAAATCCTCGAATATGGTCACGCGGGCACAGTTGCAGTTAATCCCGTCCCGCTCGTTCAACGAAATAAATAATTGATGGTGAATCACTGTAAATGCATGATAATCATCAAATTGCGCTTTGAAATGAATGGCCACGCTTCATAAACCAACTCAACTCCAAGGCCGAAAAATCAAATCACTGAACAGATCCACTAGACCGAATAAAAGCCTCAAATTCCTAAATCTCACCATCATGACCCTCATCACCCTCAGCAAACCTCTTCAATCCCTCAATCCACAACCCAAAATTAAAATCCAATTGACTCCCATACATCCACTTCACAACATAAGCAAGATACCCAATCTGATTCTCCCAATTCCTAACCTCCGATCCCCCCTCCACAGCTCGAATCTCATGCTCCCTCTCAGCAGTCAAAAGCCACGGCGAAAAAGTATCCTTAGCCTCAAAGTCAGAGCTCCACACGATTCTACCCGGCGATCCAGCCTCTGAATTTGGAGGCTCGAATTTCGTAACGACGAGGGATGTATCTGTGAATTTCTCCTTGGGGGAGGTAGGATCCATGAGCACGTGGAAAATCATTCTTGTGCCGTTTTGGAGGATGGGCGAGAGGGTTGTTGGTGTTTCAGATAAGTCGTCACTTGTGGTTGTGATTGAGGTTATGTTTGGTTGCGCGACTATGGTCACGCGGGGGATGAACTTGTTCCATGTAGGCCATGTTGAGGTGTTTATGAGCGCGTCCCAGATTTTGGTTGGGGGTGCGGTGATGAAGGTTGAGCTGCCGATTTGGCAGATTGCGTCTTCGGCTTTGATGTTAGGCGTTGCGCGGGTTGGGTTTTTGGGGTCTGATAGGGCGTGTTCAGCCATTGTTTCTGAAGTAATGAGGTTGAGTTTATAGCTTTGCAGGGGTGTAGGATGAGTGATGTCGGCTGATAATTTATATCCGTGCGGAGTGATAACCTTGACTGATAAGGACTGGGCCCCACTAGGACGCCTAATCGCAGGGGGCCTTAGGTATTGTGCATAAAGTTTATACTTTTCTTCACAATCGATATTTATGATTGTATCAATCGTTTGATAAGGGCAAAAGATAAACACAAACTACTGCGCTTGGAATGTCATTCTAAGATAAGAAGATACCGGTGGTGAACATAATTTATTATCGTGTATATTTGCAGTGTAAGAATGGAAGAGATGAACAATCCATCTGACCAGATTACAAAATATCAACCAGAAACCCTATGACATACATCGGGCATTTTCAGGACAAATACCAAGGACGATATGAAGGTATATACCACAGCACACGTTAGGCGATTAGAACAGAGCAATAACAAAACAAGCCACACCAAGAGCCCATAGGCTACCTGCAAACGCTCTGGATCCAGAGTTAGAGTTGATTACAGAGCTAGTTGGCTGGGCGCCAGTAGCGGTAGCAGAGGTGGACGCATCGCAAGCACAGCCCGTCGATGTCATGGTGATGACTGTTGTGAAGGAAGATTTGCATGTAGGCGATGAAGCGGGAACAGCGATGACAGATGTCACAGTAGAAACGGACGTGGCACTTGTCCAGCCACCAGGTGTTCCGGCACCAGTTACCAAGCCAACCACAGTGGTAGAGGGGCCAGTGCTCGTGCTGAAACCGACACGGGGAACGGTCGCTGTGATGGAAGACCAGGTAACGGTTGTGCATGGAGGCTCAGGAACTGAGGTGGTCGGGGCAATGGTCTCGACTGGGCCGGATACATATGGCTTAGTTGGATGAAGTGGAGTGCTAGCAGGGGTGCTGGTTGGGACGAGACTGATGATATCTGGGTTCTTTGGGATATATGATGCACAGATACCGGCAAAGTATGAGAGCGCAGAGTCGGTTTCCTCTTGAGAGGAGCTCCAAGCGTGGACACAAGACTTGAACTTGGCCGTGAACTCATTTGAAGGGCAGAAGCACGCGGCATCACTGTTCGAAGTGCAATGGGGAATGTCGAGCCAAGTGTTCAAGCACTTAGGAACGATGGCAGGGCAGGGGGGAGTCTCAGGTGGCCCGGGAATGGTGGGAATTGTCACTGTTGAGGTTGTCTCCGCTGGTGGAGCAATGGTCTGAGGAGAAGACTTGACAGGTTCGGTTACCGTGGGCTCAACAGGGCACACGGTAGTTGAGGAAGTGGTGAAAGTTGTAAGTACAGTCGAATGGGCAGGGCAGTCGGTGACGGTTGAATGGCACTTCGTCACGGTAGATACGACAGTAGACCACACAGTAGAAGTTGTCATAACCGGAGGGTTGGTTGTAGGGGTTGAAATATGCACTGGAATGGATGAGGTCGGTGTCCACTCGGCGGCAGGAGTTGACATGGTGTTACCTGGGTGAGAGTGTGATGGCGAGGCGACGAGAGGGCCAGGAGGCTTTGGACCGGCACCACAGTCAAAGCCGATTTGATTCAGCTCTAGATCAACATCACCATATTGATCGAACGCGGCCAGCTGGAATTGGACTGACACCGCACCACCACACTGGTCATTGGTAACATCAGAACCACCTGGAGAAACGGACGCTACCTGGTGACAGGAGCTACCATCTGCCAGGCCATAGGTAATGATGACATCGGCCTTCCTGGAGGTTGAGAGATGGAAATTGCGAACTGAGAATGGAGCTTGCTCAGCATCGATCTGGATGGCCCAGTTGTCATCTTGTGATAGTTTTCCCTCGATACATTTGCCCTTTGTTTTGGTTAGCTCAAGAATATCTAGTTTTTGAGGGACCGGGATAAATTTCTTACCCCCGAAGCACGGCACCCTTCTTTAGCTGAAAAGCCATTGAAATTGAAGCCTTCAAAGCTCCAGTTATCTCCGTTGGCCAGCTCCGACCAGTCGAAACCCGTGTGCTGGGAGGGAGAACACGAGTTATCGGTGTTGTCCGGGCTAGGATAACAGTAGTCGGTACCCCACCACTGTAATGTCTTGGTCAGGAATGTACCATAAATCAATAGATTAGAATGATACTTACAAGGCCCTTTGGGTGGGCGAGCGCAGTAGCGCTAAAAAGCAAAATAGAACTGATAATCTTCATTTTTCAATGATTGATCAAATGAATGACTTTGGAATGAGAATTGCAAAGTTTAATGACAGACGGCAATTGAAAATCCGTATTAAAATAAATAAAAGGTAAAAATTGAGTCTCAGCGAGACGAAAGAGAGACAAGAATTCGAAATTGGCGGGCGAGGTTGTCGACTGGTTGTTGGTTGGCGAATGATTTGCAAAGATGACTGGGTTAAACAGCCCTTTTAACCTTTGTCATTCAGTTGATGCATCCCCGAAGCTACAGTGTATACGTTTGTTTATTATTGCCTTGTCAATATGGAATGAAGACAAAAGCCCCGTTGGTTAGACTACCTACCTATCATTCCCTACGCCTCATGGCAGCTCCAGGTGTTCCTCGCTAGAAATTACCTCTAAACTATACAAGATCGTGGAGGCTTTAAGAAGAATGTAACTAATTAAGTCAAATCTTGCTTCGGATGCACAAGCTCACGCCAAGTAGGGACAGGAAGACCCCCTTGGCACAACGTGCATGTGTTGGTCTCAGTCCCATTATTTAGGAACTAGAACAGATCGGGAAGTCATGAAGATGGATAGAAGAAACATTTGTAGTTCAGGAACCAATCATGGGTCTTCGGAACTTTGAGCCCATTATATTGGCAGCAGGTCCCGATCATTCCCCCCTTGACGCCCGATCATTGTATATTCTACTATATCCACATTCCAGTTTAACCCTCAAATGTGGCACTTTCTAGCTTCTATTTTGGCCGAGAGAGGTTTTAGTTCCATATCAATTTTGACGCGAGTGGGCATTTGAGATATTGCACCCGATGTTGTGTTATCATTTTATCAAGTTTGGTTCATTCGGTTCGTCCCCCTCTCCTGCTCTTTTTCATCCTTACCTACTCGAAAGGGATTCCTAATCTTAATTTACATTCTGCATCTACCTGCAATATCCTGAGATATTATTGTTTATTATTTTTATCAATAAACTTGACCCAAAGCATATTCATTATGCACTCGGTTGATAAATATCCATGTGTTATGGATAACAATAATGATAGTGTACTACAATTAGTAGATTATTATACAAATGTGCTCTCTACCTAGGTAAATCCTATCCTAAATTCATAAATGCAAGATAGACCACATTGTGAGTTGTAGTTGCTCTCGATTTCGAGATTTCGAAAGGCCGTCTTTAGTCTCTTCCGAGGTTTAAAATATCTCCGCAGGCACCTCACTAGTATACTTCTACTACTATTTACCTCCACATGAAGATACGTCGTAGGACTAGTACTAGCTAACCTTGAGTGCACGGTGCCCTGGACTCGTAATATTCAAGCTTTGGAACCCCCTTCTTGGCGGGCCTTCCAAGTTCACGGTTTTCTGGGCACCATTATGGCTGTAATTATTTGATTAGGATGATCATCTAATTTCACAATCTTGGCTCTATGTTTCAATATCCATATGCCGTTGTAAGTCATCAGTAGGTACCTAGTAATCACTTGGAGCCTTTCCTTGATTCAGCTTCTCTTGCACTATTATGACGAATAGGCACGAAGAATGTTACAGCCAAGGATATAGTTGAATTTAAAGAATTTTGGAGAATAAAGTTCAAAAACACTAGCGTCGGGCCTGCCCAGTACCCACTAGTTTGTCTGACGTACACATGTGCATGAGCCAACCCGTAGAAAACAATTATAGAATAAACATATTTTGGCGACTGGTTGATGCAATTGTTAACTTCAAGCTGCTTTTCTCCAGGAACTATGTTAGATGGACAGATGAACATTGACTAACTTTTAATTTTGCACATCTTATTTTACAATATTCATATCCGAAGTGTAAAATTGTTGTCTGTCTTACCATATTCTGCTCTTTCTTTTCAATTTTACCTATCTAATTCATTAAAAATAAGATAAATCTTTCAGATATTCCAAACTGTTTCTCAAATATGATTCCCATTCAACATTGAATCCACTGACAATTTTCCGTCCACCTTGCATCAAGATCAAAGATTGAGCCATCCTACTCGTCACCTAGAGCAGCAGCCTCTTCTTCGCGCTTAATCTGCTCTTCCAAATCATTCAATTGTCTGCGTCGCAGCTTACTAGTGTCGTGTCCATTTTTCTCAGCGTCCGCATACTCCTCTTCGTGACGTTCCAGAAGCGCATTGGTCTGGCCAATAGCATTGGCATGGCGTTTGCTGATAAGACCTTCCTCGTAATTTCGCTTTCCGTCATTACGGCAGCAGCTTTCAGGGGCGAGGTTCGCAATTTGATTACCAGTGGAGCCACAAGTGCCGGCACCGGAATCAGCCCGGCAGTAATACCATAAGCCATTAACTAAGACATTGTCGACGGAGTGAGCAGGGGAACAGCCCCAATATGTACACTCGCAAATATTGTCGCAGTAGCCCGTTGCAACGATTTTACACGAATCGTCCGCGGTGTAGACCCAGCCGTTTACGTGGAAAAAGGCATAGTTATAGCCTGGGCAGATTGCTGAAGCAAGTGGGAGGATGAATGAAAGAGACAGGATGAGCTTTGAATACATTGCGGCGAAGAAAATTTGATAGCGTGTTGTGTGAAACGACTTTCGAAGATAGTTTAAAGTGATAGTTTGGAGAGACTTAATGAGGTTGAATTATACTCGATGGATTGGTTATTGATATCGTTTATATAGTATTTCAGGGCTGCCGTGTTTGCTATATGAAGCTCGCCCGTGCAGATGGCCCCTCAGGCGTCCCACTACATATGCAGGTATACGGCATCTATCAGCAAAACAACTGGGGAAGATGCACATAATCCGACTAGGCGTGCCAGAGAATCTAATTAGGCGTACCAGAGATGCAGATGCAGGGCAATCCATGTCAGCCACATACACTATATAAGAAATTCTGATTGTAACATGCAACTATTTTGATGCATTGTGGTACCTGCCAGCAAATCGCATCCCTGTCGCAACACGCATGACCACATATGAGCTTCAGAACACTGGAATATTTCTCTTGGCGTGTACGAATGGAGAACATCATTTTCATGAAGTCGCAGCCTAGTATTCAGACCCCACGCAAGCCTTCCGAGTATCCCGTCCACAAATTATCCCAGTCGGACTGGACACATGCATTCCATCCCGCCAGATGAGTTGCTGTCGTTGAAGCCGCTTTCTAAGAATTCTCATGTATCTCCCTTGACAACCAAATGGCATATCTTGCATGTGCTGATAGTACTTAGAACATTTTGCGGATACTGATGTGATTTCAGAAGTTCAAGTGGGCATGACATTGAATTGAGTGGTGCATAAAATCACATTTCCCAATCCACAGGTGGCTGCAATATTTGCAGCAAGGCGCAATTTCCAAATCATTATTCAAGTAACTATTCCCGAGGTCATAAAGCCACCGGATGCAAGGTCACAAATGATTGCCATTTCCCTCGGCAGGTGATGAGAATATCTCCACAATCATCCCGTAGCAAGCCATTGGAATGTTCTTGGGTCTTTGTTAGACGAACGTCTGCCATTGGGTGTCTGAAACTCTTTATTGGAAACTTTGAATCATGTCAAACAATATATATTGTAAGTTCTGTACAAGATATCGCGATATTTGATAAGGGTTCCCCTGAAGGGCCATCAGCAGAGCTTTAAGGAGAAAGTGTAGGAGTCTCTCAATGAGAGCAGTGTATGGTAGGGTGGAATACTTCGGTCACTTGTAAGCAGGCCATGGACTAACTTTTGACTAGCCCCAACTGCCAAAGAGTCTCTCCCGTAGCGACCACAGCATCGACATTGGAACGCGGCGTCCATCCGAGCAGATTTTTCGCCTTATCCACAGATGCTACGACACATTGGCCCAGCATAGGGACAACCAATGCGACCGATGGATCGAAGAGTGCCATGAGTTTGATCACGAAATCGGGAATACTCCGTGTCGGACATCTCTTGGCCTTATCTCCCAAATGCTCTCGCAGGGCGAGAGAAATCTCCTTCATTTTCAATTGCGGTGGCGCCATGCAGAGAAATCTTTCTCCATTCGCCTTGGGGCTTGTCATCGCTAGCAGATGTAATCCAACTACATCTCGAACGTCCACAAATCCAAAAGGTAAGTTTGGACAACCCGGCACAGCACCATTCATCAAACGCGATATCACCTCAATCGACAACGAGGTATCTGCTGCCAGCACAGGTCCCACAACCATACAAGGATTGATAACAGCCATCTCAAGCTCACCACCTTCGTTCTTGATGAATTCCCACGCTGCGCGCTCAGCTAATGTCTTGCTTTTGGAATACGCGCTAATCCCAGGAAGTTCAAGATTCGTCCAATCTTCCTCAGTAAGCGGCTTGTTTGGATCTTGCTTGCGAGTATCTCCATGGACAGCTGCGAAAGACGAAGTTACCACGACGCGTTTGACGTGCGCGTCTCTGGCGGCGCGCAAAACGCGCAATGTACCCTCTCGAGCGGGAATAATCAGTTCGTTCTCATCCTTAGGCTCAGAGGGAGGATATGGTGACGCGACATGGAGAACGTATTTGCAGTCTTGAACAGCTTCTTTCCAGCCGTCATCTTTGGTGAGATCAGCCTCGACGAAGGAGACATCCTCTAGGTTCGTGGCTTCACCGGTACGAAGCATTTCTCGAACCTCTCCTTCGCGTTTCAGTGACCGAATGGTCGTTCGGACGCGATAACCTGCTGCAAGGCATTGGATAATGCTGTGGCTTCCGATGAAGCCTGATCCGCCAGTGACGAGAACGAGTTCCTTGCTGGTCATCGTGACGTGGCAATGGCTTCAGTGAGGCTTGATCGAATTTGTTGACGTGAGAATATAATTATTCGTCCACCAAGAAGGCTTTTACCCGAACTTAAATGAACAGGAGCTCAGACCTAGTGGAGGGACCATAACACCGGCGGGTGAAAGATCGCGCTGTATTGGTGAAGACATTGGACAAGCTCAGGGTAAAAGTGGGGGCCTTGGCATCCTTGCTCTTTAACTAGTCAGCACTATGCCCGACACGGCAACAGAATCGTTCGCACGATTGGCCGTAGGAAAATTGATTGGGCTGTGGGGGTCATGGCGCTTTATCAAGCAATTGAGATCATTTATTACTATTATTAGTGTTGATAATGCTTGAAATAATTCCCACGTCTTGATAGTAATCGATTCGTCTAATCTTACGTTGACTGGCATTTTCGCGATGTCGAGATCCACTTTCGACGCATTCCCACCCATACTTAAACCTAGGAGTGTGCTCTTCGATGAAAGGTATATTCGGTGAATTATGTAAATACATATTAAAGACCTCTTCACGCTGACGTCCATATCATTAAGGAAATTTGTTGCGTCTCATGTGCCGTGCCGTTACAACTCAACTCGTCCCAAGGCCTAAGAGCAAGTATAAATAGATGACTTGATGTCGTAAACATTGAAAGCCAATCAGTTGGCCTCTTTAAGCGGGAAAACAATGCCATATCATTTAGATAGCACTATTCAAGGAGTATGAAACTATTGAATTACTTCAAGGTAGTTGACTTCTTAGGTACCTGAGCTTGATGTCAAATAACCGACTTCCCTTAGGAAGGGCAAGTAGTGACACTTGATGTCGGCATCCATGTTAATTGGCTTCTTTTTATAAACATTTGAAGCCCATAGAATATGTTAAGAATATTCAAAACGACCTTGGAAGGAGATACATACCCATGTGTAGTGACTATAGCTTTTTCAAGATTCAACGACCCTCGCAGCAAGTTTCTTTTTCAAGGCTTTCCGATTTATAGTTTTCACATCAATTTTCGAATACCTGGATTCATTGGATCTAGACTAAGTGCTTGTTCAATCTTTTTTCCGAAATGGGCATATTCCAGAAATCTGTGGATACCAAAAAGTGGCTGGTGATCCAAGTATGCGAACTTAGTCAGGTTGTGGGGGCATTCTAAGTGCTCAGAGCACACATTAGTATTCAAGACGGAACAAATCCCATCAGCCTTATTTTTTCAGTGTCATAACATCGGCATCAATCAATTATGTGTCTTGGGGTATAGGCACAATTGCGTTCATAGATATAGCCGATCTCGGCCTGGATGCCGATCTCTTTATTCTTCCACCAATCAATGCCGGAACTCCATCCGCCAAAATGAAAGTCCGTCCATACAACGCCTTATACGAGAGCTTTCTCCACGTTTGTGGGGAATGTATTGCTCATTTACCTGGGGTTGGGGAGATGTACTTGATAATAGTCCGGGGATGTGACATGGACTGAGCGCAAGGAACTGGTTATAAAAAGGTAGGTAATGGCAGATAAGTCTGTTTGATTTCTCTTTATCTGTATATAGACATCAATACAATCTTACTGGCACAATTATGTTGCTAACAAGAGCGGTTGTTTGGACTTTTCTGTCCTCGCTTGCGTTGGGCGCCCCTGGCTCCATCAGACGATCTTCCACAAGCCGTCCACATCGTTGCGTAATCCCGTCATCGAACGGAACAGCCGACGATTCCCCGGCTGTTCAGAGAGCTTTTGCCAAATGCTCCTCCGATTCTATCATTGTGTTCCAAGAAAGCTCGAATTACAACATTTTCACACCCATAAGTGCTACCAACCTCAGTAACGTTGAGATCCAAGTGAATGGCAATCTTCATTTGCCACAGAACATAACTACTGTCCAACGCATCGTCAATGGAACAGGCGGAGACCTTTATTCCAATGGACAATATTGGTTCGAGTTCAAGGGCCCTCGAATTGACTATACTGGCTCTTCAAGGGTCAACAATGGCTGGATCAACTCCTATGGTCAAGCTTGGTGGGATGCAAACCCTGTGAATGGCACTGGTATCGACTACCGTCCCCATCTGATCAGCTTCCACACTACCGATGGCTCTTTCAATTACTTCAAGTCTCGCAAGCCCATTGCTTGGAACGTACAGTTGCAAGGTGACAATATCACTGTAGCACATGCCTTCATCGATGCCGAGTCTACTGGATCATTTCCCTTCAACACGGATGGATTCGACGTGACCGCGACCAACGTTCACATTTCGGACAGTGTGATCTATAATGGTGATGATGCCATTGCAGTTCAATCGGGATCTCACAATGTTGTTTTTGAACGGAATACTATCGGATATCAAAGCCACGGAATGAGCATTGGTTCACTCGGTGAAGACCAGACAGACTTTGCTAATGTTTCTAATATCCACTTCGAGGATGTTACGGTTATTGATGCTGTATATGGTTCTCGATTCAAGTCATGGTCTGGAGGCCAGGGTATTGCGAAGAATATCACTTGGAAGAACATCCGCGTGTACAATGTTACTTTCCCGATCTTTGTCACTCAGAGCTATACCAATCAAGGATCTTCACAGACACAGCTGGGCAATGGAGTGACTACTGGGCGCCCTAATAATGCCTCTGTCATGATGGAGAATTTTGTCTGGTCTGATTTCACAGGAACTGTCAATACATGGCGCCCGGGCGATGGCTCTTGTGTCACTGATCCTTGCTGGTATGATGATGGACTGCCGGATCTTAAGCATACCGAAGCTGTGATCATTGAGTGCAATACCAACTCTTCCTGTAAGGACTTTACACTCAGTAACATTGCTATTATCCCACAGAACCTGTCCCCTCCCACAGTGGTCTGCATGAATGCGACAGCGGAACTGAACCCACAGCTTGGATTCAGCTGCCGAAATGGGACGTTCCTTCCAAACTGAAATGTCTATAGAGAAGCTAAACAAAGTACTTAATTGGGCAATTGCTGTCGCTCTTTCTGTTTAACTGTGTTTGTTGTTGTCAACAACGGAGCACATGAGGAAGGAACATTGTACACGGAACACAACAATACAAATAGAAACCCACCACCACTTGACTTCTTCTTCCTTCTTTCTCCCCCTCTGTAGTCCATTATATTCTCTCATTTTCCGAACTGTGATCCACAATCATTGTCGAAGTCATACTTTCATTAATTCAAACTCACTGTATCTTCAACCCATTTATTGTTTTATTGTCATCATGCAGTTCCAGCCAGTCTACCCTCTTCCATTCGTTCACGCTCAGCCCCGTCCGCGTTTTTGCGTCTTTCGCCCCGGTGGTCTTTTGGCCCCGCTGATACCGGTTGACGAGCTTCCTTCTTGGCTTCAAGTTTGCAACTGGTCCCCAGATATGTTCATGGGATTACAACCTGTTTCATTGAGCTATATCCCACGAGAGGGCGAATACGACGTGATATGCCATCATTGCTCGAGCAGTGTTGACTCGCTTCATCAAAGCATCTCGGAGCGAAACGAAGAGTCCGAGTCTCCCCCGTCCTCTGCAAGTCAACCAAAGAGTTGCCCTGGTGCTTTCTTCAATTCAGCCCCAGCTGGTGGCGGCGGATCTTCTGTTGCAAAGATTCCCATGGGCTTTCCCTTCCCAGTGCTTGGTCAACCACCATTCAGCGCAACGTTGCAAAGTCCTTTACTAGGCGTTTACGGGGCCAACTTTCCGGCTATGGCATCTCAGATGCCTTCACCTTCTTCTGCACCTCCCAAGTCCCCGAACATTCCGAGATCCAGCTCCTCCAGCTCTGAGGGCCATCTTCCCGAACTCAGGGGATCCTTAGAACAAGCCTCAGCAAAGATACCAGATACACCAGCAACATCTGTGCATTCCATCTCGAATTCGCATTCGCAGAAGGGGTTTGTTGAGTCCCACTCGGGAGATATCGTGACTGATATTTCAGGCGAGATTGGTGAAATAGAGGGTAATATGACGCCTTCAACTGATGATTTGGATATCAAGATAGCTACATCGATCTCAACAACTTCGTGCTCGGTGGAAGAAACAAGCGAGAACGGTGAAGCAATGGCGGGGCTGATGAGGCCTTCAACCGATGAGGTGGGTATCAATATAGCTGAATCGATCGCAAAAACTCTGTGCTCGGTGGACGAAACAAGTGCGGCATCTGTCATATCCCTCACGGCAGCTGCTGAGCGACTCAGAGAAAGAATGAGGCCAAAGTTTCCTACGGGACAAAAGTCAAGCGACAGTTACATGCAGCGTGGGGTGAAGCCCATTGATCCACCACCTTGGCTTAAATCCAGGAACAGATCAAAATCCCTCACCTCCAGCTGCTCAAAGGGTCGGAAGGTTCCTTCTCCAGCTCACCGACGAGCGAACTTTCGTCGACGTCGTCGGGCAGACAAGACGGGTCCGAAACGGACACTTTCTAATCACTCTAAAGTGTCGAAGCGCAGTGCAACAAAGCTGGAACAGCCAAACTCATGTACAAAGCGACGCGATCGACGCGAACGCTTGGCTCAACGTCTTGTTCATGGGGGAAAGGACATGGATACAAAGAGTCGTTATTGGCATATGAAGATGATTTCAAATTGGCGACCCACGAATTCCCGGCCTTGAAATGCAATACTTGAGTTTTGCGATTGCTGCGAATTGTCTTACGTTTTATCACTGGCGTATCTCGCTTAAATACTTTTTCTCACTCGGTGTATTGCGTGAATGATTTCTTTCGTTCCACAGTATCTTGCCGGAATGATTTCTCTCACTTGGCGTCTTGATTGAGTCTTTTTTCTCGTTCGATGTCGTGTTGAATACTTTCTTTCGATCGGTGCCTTACTTGTATATTTTTTTTTCTCTTTTTGGCAGTGTCTTGTTGTTTTAACTTCGGCGTTCTCCGGCCCAGATAATTCTGTTGTTTAGTCGCTCTTTTGATCTTCCGCACGCAACGCTCATTGCCTGTTTCAAAGTTATCACGCAGTTGTGCTACAGCTGTCTTTTTAATCAACACTCGTTGACTTTTATTATCAATTTTTCCTATCAAGTTACCTTTTTCGTCAATGGTAGATAATTCCAAAGAACGCGTCGTCATCACTTCCTGGCTAGGACCAAACAGGCAACTCGTCCTCCCCGCACGCTTATCTCCCGGCGGTCCTGCTCCGAGTCCCAAATCACTCATGCAATCAAGAAAATGGCCAGCATCAAGAAGGCCCGGGGAATTCGGCATGACCGTCATTGTCATCCATGCAGAGCCGAGGGAATTAAATGCGACTTGAATCGCCCTCGCTGTCACGCCTGTCAACAAACGGGAGCAACATGCAGCTATCCGCAACGGGTGGTCTGGATGGGCGACAAGAAAGATGGCCCAACGAAAAAGACATCTCCATCCCCCACACTAAGCACCGACCAATATTTATCAGCATCTAATACAACACAGGAAAAAGTCAACGACACGCCAGTAAATCTATACGGCTTTATAGACTTACTCTCGCATTTTTACCAGGAAATTGAATCAAAGAATAAAGATCTACCAGATGAAGCTGTTAAACTGATTTCTCGTACCTTGAGCTTTGCGCACTCGCGCCTCCAGGGATCAGACAACAAGCAATCGATCCAAACGCATCTCGGCGCGTTAACAAATCTGAGCAAAGTGATCGACTCTGGACACCCCATCGCATTATTTGGGATCGCTACATTCGCCATATTTGAAGTATGTTGCGGCTCCTTCGGCCAATGGCATCGACACTTGCAAGGCGCGCGTTCGCTCTTGGATCTCCATTGTCGAAATAAAACCGAACTTGATACCCTAGTTTCCGAAATTCCGGGACTAGCAGATGTGCTGGCTTATTTAGTCTGGTTTGACTTAACGGGCGCTCTAGTCGGAGACCGAGCATTGATCTTCGATGCTTTGCATCGCCAGGTCTTGAGTCCTGCTTTCTTCGATTCGGTAGGATGCCCATCGGATACTTTTGATCTTTTAGTGGATCTAGCCAGTCGCGATATCGGAAACAACAGTTTGGATCTTAGTAGCAGAGCTATGGAACAAATATTACAACTTGATACGAGTGACTCGACAGATCGTGGGCTTTCAGCTGCTGTATACAGATGCACGGGGGCGATTGTGGCATTTGATCTTGCGGGGATCCAAAATGAAACGTTTTTGAAAACCTATACTGCGGTGTTATCAAAAATGGTTGATCGAGCATGTGATGGCATATCAAGAGTTGTTCCATCCTCGCGGTTCTACGTGCATCTAGCCTCACCAGCCTATTTGACCGGGATGCATGCAACGAAAGCACAACAATGTGACAGTCTACGAGATTATTGGCGTAACTGCCAACTGTGTGACTTCCCACGATATCCAGATGCACAGGATCAATGTGAGCGGAGATGGAGAGATAAGATGATCGTTTAATGTGCCGTTAGTAGCGCTAATTAGATTGCCTTCCTAATCCGGAAGCCTATCTATTCTTCTCCGCACTTCATATCTATGCAACCTTCTACATCGTCAACATAAATATTAGCTTCGGCCGCTTCATTCTGGATTATATCTTTTACTATTATTTATACTCGCATCATGGCAACTGCTTCTCCCGCCCCCTCTTACTTAGACCTCGCTGCTCAAAAGCGCGATCGCCAGCTTGAGCTCATCCCGCCGGAGTGGCGCTTATCTTCGGTTCCCTCGGCAGAGTCAGCCCCCAACGCTCTAGAGTATATACGAAAGTTCCTTACGGCAGAGGAGCTCATACTGACAGAAGAAACGGATATCACTGTTTTAATACGCAAACTGTCATCCGGGGAACTCTCCTCATTAACGTTGACAAAGGCTTTCGCGAAACGCGCCGCACTAGCCCACCAATTAACAACATGCTGTACCGAGATCATGTTCGAAGATGCCTTCGCTACAGCGAAAGGAATGGACGAATACCTTTCCAAAACAGGACAAGTCACTGGGCCTTTACATGGCCTCCCAGTATCCATTAAAGACTTATTCTCCGTCAAGGGTGTAGATACATCTATTGGTAAGACACCCCCTCTGATCAATTACATTACGACCCATCGCTCACTTTTACAGGATGGGTTGGCCTTACCAATAATCCGGCTCAAGCCGATAAATCTGTTGCCAGGACCCTGCGTCGTTTGGGCGCCGTGCTCTATGTGAAAACCAACCTGCCACAATCAATGATGATGTCGGATTCATATAACCATGTCTTCGGACAATGTGTTAACCCTCTCAATCGCAATTTGATTTCAGGCGGTAGTTCCGGTGGCGAGGGGTCGATTCTCGCTGCGAAAGCTAGTCCTATCGGTATTGGAACTGATCTTGGTGGATCAATTCGTATTCCTGCTGGTTTGTGTGGGTTATATGGACTTTCGCCTAGCCCCGGACGACACCCGTACGAGCGGGGAAAGTAAGTCTCCATTTATCATATGTGTTTTCTTTTTCAAAGCTGACCTATTGGCTTTTAGTCCGGGACAGGATATCATTCGTTCGGTGGCGGGGCCTATGAGCTGTAGCCTTGCCAGTATTGAGCGGTATATGGAAGTTCTTCCTTCAGCGGCATCTTGGGAACTAGACCCGCAAGTTGCTCCTGTGGCTTGGAGGGGTAGTCTGGCTTCTTTCCGGGGTAAGAGGTTGAGAATTGGATATTTGATTGATGACGGTGTTGTGAGATGTCAGCCTCCAGCTGAGCGTGCTGTGAGAGATGTTATTGATGCATTGAAAGCTGCTGGCCATGAAGGTGAGTAATAAGTTAATTCAAATCCAGACTAAGCTAACTCCTGCTACAGTATTTGAATGGGATACATCCTCGCATAAATACGCTTATGAGCTGTGGGAGAAGGCTATCTTGTCTGACGGTGGCGAGGGATGCCAGAAGAAGATTGGAATGACTGGCGAACCTTTAATCGAGGGTATGCTGGTGGGAAAGCCGGAGCATATCCTTACAACCTCGGAAACACACCAGGTATGTTAACTGAATCTTATATTATGAAGAGAAACTAACGAGTCTTGGATAGTTGAATGCCGATAAGTACACGTATGAGAGCTCGTACCTCGATCGCTGGACATCCTCTGGAATCGACGCTCTTATCATGCCTAATACCCCATGGGTCGGATATAAGCCGTGGACCTGGGTGAAGTCTAACAACTATGTTGGATACACTAGTATCTGGAACTTGGTTGGATATGCATCCTTGACTATTCCCGCCATCACTGCCTCAAAAGACAAAGATATGCCGTCTCAGGACTGGATCAGTCATGTGCCTCGTGGCCCCGGTGATAAGTTCAATAAGGAACAATGTGAGTTTGATGATATTTCAGGGACGACAACATGTCTTCAGATGTCATGCTAACATTTTCCAGATGACGTTAATTTAGTTGATGGTATGCCAGTAGGCTTACAAGTTGTTGGTGGAAGATTCGGAGAAGAGAAATGCGTTTCTGTCGCGAAAGCAATTGAGCAAGCCATGAGATGGAAAGACGGAGTTCGATCCCATCTCTGAATATTTGATGCCCATATTAGCCTCAAGATCTCTAACAGAAACTTGAATTTAAATTACAGATTTAGATAAGATATCTAGTCATGAATCGTGTCGTGTATTTGCCCCTCGAATGATATCCAGAGTGAGCAGCTAAAGTATATACAAATAGAAATAAAAATAAAATAGTAATACAGAACCCATGCTAAATAGGTGCATTCATCCTCTCCTTGTAATCAGGAAACTCAAAATCATCAAGATCCCACTCAATACTCGGATTCGTCCCTTTAGCACTAGACCCAGATCCCTCCCCCATTTCACCAAGCTCAACATCCTCCTCTTTAGAATAATCATGAGCCCAAAGCTTCGGACTAGGAACAGTAGGAACAGCAGAGTCGGACTCCATCCTCAACTCCCTAACAACTCTAATACCCGCCTCATGTCCATCTTCCTTCTCCTCATTCTCATGGTCATTCATGTCCATCTTCGCAATGCTAGCCGTATAGCTTCCAGGCCCGGAATAAAACACGCCATTGAAAAATACACCTCCGTCTGGCCCGTGTGGCGGATGATCGTATACAGATGGTTTCCTCGATCCGGTGAGAACCGTCGTGTTAGACTGGAATTTTGGAGCTGGTGAAGAATGGAGTGGCACGGGTCGGAAACATAGTGTGAAGACCCGAGATATTAGGGGATAAAGAGGTAGTAGGCAGGCGCATATGATCGAGATGTTAGTTTCGAGAGAAGACCAGACTGCTGCTTCGGAATTTGTCTTTGTGAGATCGTGTCCGTCAATCATGTGACTTAGTTGATATACACGAGCAGAGCTGGTGGCAATGACACTTAATTCTTTTGTTAGAATAGATCATAATATTAATATGATGTTTCAGGAAGGAAGGCTTACAATATTCCAACGCAGAAGACGAGGATGATCCCCACTTTTTGCTTGCGGGGAAGCTGCAGCTTCAAAACGGGTGGTAAGGGAAGAACCATTATCACGATATCACTTAGGATCTGCATGGCTGCGTTCGAATACCAAACTGGTCCTTCGGGTAGACAGTTTTTCTTGTGGATTGATCGATCGAGTGTCCAGAAATCATGGATTGGGATACAGAAGACAAAGCCGCTGATTACCATCCATAGTCCTGCGATGATAAGACATCCCATTGTGATGTATGTTGCTAACAGAAAGCGTCTCCCGGGGAAAATGCGGATGTAGAGGAATAGAGCGGAGAGTTTGGAAAGAATGAGAGAGAGGTTGTAGAATGGGACGGAAAGCCATAGGTACTGGTTTGAATGAGTATTTGGTACCTAGACCGTAATATGCATGGTGAGATATACGTACATGTAGCTGGTTGATGATAACATCATCTGGTAGGTCTTTTCTAGGGATACCGAGACCATAATTTCGTTCTGATGAGGATGATATTAGGATTTATCTTGTTTGAAGTTGAATGGGTGATCATACCGACTAGAAGGAATGCGTAGAAGAGAAGTGAGGATAACTGGGACCGTCTATTAGTGATTGGATTCTTCGACATAACATGGAAACAAGATTCATAGGTAAAGAACATACCAAAGCGCAACAGATCAATAAATCATCCTTTCCAGGACTATGCACCAGCTTAAATCGAGTCCATATTCGAAGCGCCACGAACAACGTCGCCAAGATCGTAAAGATAGTACTGATGACAACAGCACGCATATTCAACTGGTTGAACACGAGATCCCGGTGCCATCAACTGAAAAAGCTAGTAGATGATCTTCAAGATTGAAAAATAAAAAATGTGAGACGGCTGTCAGGCCATGTGCTTCAATGTGAATGTCTCTACCAATTGCATCCGTAGTATGCCCAGGTAGTATCGTCAGTCCAAATCGGTATAACCAAAGGGTGTAGGCTTAAAACTTCAATTTCAACGAATGAATTTGAAAAGAATGCTGAATTAATTTGATTTGATTTGTTTCTTTCAATCAAACTGAAGGTGTAGACAAGTGGGAGTTGAGTCCAAGTTATAAAATGCCAAGGTTAAGTTGTTAAGGCAAGACCAAACCGTCAACCCCATACATTATGTACCCACCACTCTTCAGAGCACCTTATCTTCCAAAATCCAGTTTTGCCCTCACCAATCACTCTACAATAATTCTCGCCTCAGGCCTAGACATACCCATGGGTAGAAGGACAGAATCTTCAACAATTGGTGCGTCTATCTCCCAAATCGCCGGAATAGGCTAAAGCCTAGCCCCGATTGCGTCGACGACATCATCTACTCGTTACATGTAGTCTAGACGCCGCGAAACCACAAAAGATGATTGGAGGAAGTGTCTGAGGTGGGGAATACTTTCAAAGTCATCTCTCCCCGGAAAGCCCAGGCTCTTATTCTTTCTTTTCATGTTTGACTTTCGTTTTAAGGTGCGGTCTTTGCCATTGTCGGGTCGGTAAACCCCCTTGCTTCTCGGGGATCGACGTCGGCGCCGAGGAGGTGGGTAACGGGATTACTGCTTGATCCGGTGATGGGGCTCTGAACTCGCCAATGATGCGATATTAGTTGAGATTGGGTCTTTCAATCGCTTGTGTGTGTGGAGATATAAAATTGGTGATCGTCTGGGTGGCGGGTTGAAGCTGGGCATTAGGTTTCGGGGAGGCCGATGAACTCATATCCTGATATTGGGTTTGGCGGGTTCACCCGATCTTGCGTATCTAGCATGCTCTTAATCGTTCTAGAGATGCTAAAATATGAGAGGGAAATGTCGGGAAAGAGGTTACGCGGTTCAAGTTGGGTCTGTTGGATGACGATGATGCCCAAGCGTTGCTCATTCGTTGTACTTTGAACGAATACATGACGAATATGTGCGCTCGAGGTAGTGATCTTGGTATCGGGTCCCCACTTGTATACTGTATCAATGGGAGTTACGAATTCAATTAAATATAAAACGATGTTGTAAAAGATTTTTCATGTAAAGCGATCAATTTTTATTTGTCTGACAACTGTACATGTCAACAGGTTAAACCTGGAACCCCTGGAATCTAAATCGGGGAAAAGATATCATATCAAAATGGTGCGCGTTTAAAAAGAGACATCACAAAATGGGGGAATAAATCTAAAGGTTGGCCTTGAGGTTGGCCTTCAGGCGACGCTCAACGGCGGCCATGTACTCCTTGGTGGTAACCCAGGCCTCGCGGTTCTTGCGGCCAGCAGCCAGAGCAAGATCCTTGGTCATGATACCCTCATCGTTGACGACCTGAACACAGGCACGCTCAAGCTCCTCAGCGAAGGCAACAACGTCGGGGGTGTTGTCGAGCTGACCACGCTGGACGAGACCACGGGTCCAGGCGAAGATGGAAGCAATGGGGTTGGTGGAGGTCTCGTTACCCTTCTGGTGCTCGCGGTAGTGACGGGTGACAGTGCCGTGGGCGGCCTCGGACTCGAAAGCAGAGCCATCGGGGGTGACGAGGGTGGAGGTCATAAGACCGAGAGAGCCGAAGCCCTGGGCGACGATGTCGGACTGGACATCACCGTCGTAGTTCTTAAGAGCCATAACGAAGCCACCCTCAGACTTGATCATCTGGGCGACCATGTCGTCGATGAGACGGTGCTCGTACCAGATGTTCTTGGCATCGAACTCCTTCTTGTACTCCTTGTCGAAGATCTCCTGGAAGATATCCTTGAAGCGGCCGTCGTAGCGCTTCAGGATGGTGTTCTTGGTGCTCATGTACAGAGGCAGCTCCTTGAGGAGGGCCATCTTGAAGGAAGCGTGGGCGAAGCCACGGATGGACTCATCAGTGTTGTACTGGACCTGGGTGATACCACCACCCTGGAAGTCGTAGACCTGGACCTTCTCGGGCTCACCGCCAACGGGGGTGTAGACCAGCTCGAGCTTACCGGGACCGGGGATAACACGGTCGGTAGCACGGTACTGGTCACCGAAAGCGTGACGACCAATGACAATTGGCTTGTTCCAGCCAGGGACCAGACGAGGAATGGCGGGGATGATAATGGGCTCACGGAAGACGGTACCGCCAAGGATGTTACGGATAGTTCCGTTGGGTGAGAGCCACACTGGATTGAGGGACAAAAAATTAGTTCTCTAGTACAAGTTACACAACAGGACGCACGGTAAAAAATTAAGGACTTACTCTTCTTCAGCTTGAACTCCTCAACACGGGCCTCATCGGGGGTGATGGTGGCACACTTGACACCAACACCGTACTTCTTGATGGCCTCAGCGGCATCAACGGTAACCTGGTCATCGGTCTGATCACGGTACTCAAGACCCTATTGAAGTAATTTGCGTCAGTGGAGATCTTATTCAAGGCCATTGGTTCAGTTTCGAACTTACAAGATCGTAGTACTTCAGGTCAACATCGAGGAAACTAAGAGATGTCGAGTTTAGTAAACGAACAAAGCCAAGTATGGGTCAATTGAGGGGTCCTGGCTACGCAGCACTTACGGCAGAATCAACTATAGAGAGTATTGTTAGCTTCAAATCTAGACTCTTCGAAGTGATATGATGCATCAAGTATATGCAGCTAGCTGCAGCCGGGATCCCGGTCATGCAGGTCAACGCCGCATGAGGGGTATATGTGATTGGGTTGGACGATTAAGATTCCAAAACGTACCTTTTCCCTGATTTCTTGCCAAATAATACGGGTCATCTATTCAAGATCAACACGTTAGCATATGCCAATTCCCTCCATAGGACAGCCATTGAACCATCTCCATTGGTGCTCGGCGCAGCCTCGGGTCCCCTGTGACACATTCTCATGTGTTGATAGAAGTTGCCCCGTATTTCCCCGCGTTCGAGAACACACAAGACGAAAACCGAATTGCGCCGAACGAAAAAGGCAAAGCAGGCTTGTGATACGTGCCCCGCACCAAGGAGAGTTCGGGCTATAATATATATAAAGGAAGGACAAAAGAATTGTCAACTTTGGAAGTTTTTCCACATACCTCATCACCATCCAGCTCCACCACCGGGTTCTGAACCTTGATCTTGCTTTCGATAGCCATGGTGCGGGTTTGAGTGAAGTACAACGAAGGAGTCGATCCGGACCAGCGGGTAGACGCAGAGATTCTGTTTGTGCGAGGAAGTGAGGCAGAAGAAAGAGATCTCTGGGAAGAAGAGAAGGAAGTAAAAGAGGAAGAGAGAAGACGAGTAGAAGAGAGAGGGGCAACGGGCGGAGGGGTTGCCAGGGACCGGCGCGCGAAAGCGGAACCAGACCGAAGAGCGTTCATGGTGGGAAATCGCTCGCAATTCCTTGGGTGTAGGCTATACTCGGGGAAAGGAAAAGATGTCAGCAAGAGATTCGCAAGCTCTGTTTGGTTGAGAGCACCAGGGTCGGGCAGTAGTATTGCGGCGCCGAACAGAACAGCCGAAGGGACGATATTCGGCAGAAGGGAAATGCGCGGTGGAGACGGGGTTGACCTATGCCCGCGATCGCAACGTCACCGAGTGGTAGGGAATTCCTGGGGGAGGCCGGGGGAATACGGGACAACCGGGTAGCGGGATGGGCAAAGGGTAAGTGGAATGGGGGGATTTACCGAACGAAAAAGAGGACCTCAAGGTTGAAGGGAAGAAAGGAAAAAGCCTTGTCCGGATGGGCTGCTAGGAACAAGAGATTCGCGGATGAGCAAATCAGCTAAATGAGCCAAATGCGATCTTTCCTGTTTTAACCGTTTGCCGCTAATAAGAAGCGCCGAAGCCGGAGGGAAAGGTCACGAGAAAGTCACGAGGAGGTCACGAGACTGTGGGGAACCTGAAGAAGCCGATATGGCTGTAAGTTCTAAAGATTAATAGAACAGTTTTAAAGAAAGGGAAGAGAGTTTTAGAGTAGGAAATTAATCTAGATATATCCGAAATCTTTTTCCTTCAAATCCCCCTTGGTCTTCTGACCCCTTTTATGTCACATTCACAGGTTCATAGCTTCTATACCCACAGACCCGCTAACAATACACGGTTGGGGGAGGAAGTCAAAAAAACACAAAAAAAAAGCAGCGGTTCCCGGAGTCTCGGAGGGCAACTCCGTGCTCACCGAGGCATGTCCTTGTCCAGAATATTTAGCTTGACCCCCACTTTGAATCGCCGGGAAACGTTCACCCGAATAACACGATCTACATGGTATACGCATGACGCAGCTAATTGTACGAAATGGCTGGCTTAAACGAGCAGGAATCATTAATCTTATTTTACAATTACCAAACTTCAAGGCCTCAAGAATCTGAATTAAACATAGATTCATCAATATTCCATTGAAAACTACCTTGGTAGATCCTCTCAGTCGAGTCTGGCAGTGTTGAATAATTCTCCGCTCTAAATACTATACCCGCTTGCCCGTCGGACGCCAAATTATCCTCATGTTGCTATGTGTTGAAAAATACCCCAAACCCCATGCTCGATCATGGTTATATACATCATGTATCCATTCTATCCATCCAAATAAAATAACGATGAAAGAAAATAGATTTGAAAAAAAAAGTTGAAGAAATCAAGATCTAAAACAGACCGTCGATTTCGCCGGTCTCGGTGTCAATGTCTACATTAATGTAGCCTGGGGCAGTAGGCAAGCCAGGGATCGTCTGGATGTCGGCAGCCAAAGCGTAGCTATGAGTCAAATTAGTATCCGCAGCAATAAAGTAAGGAACAAAGCATTGATGAAAAAAAAATTAAAGAGGTGGATCCTCATGGGAAAGGGAAGGTCAGATAAGATAGGAAAACTTACAGGTATCCACCACCCACAGCCAATCTGACATCCCGAATAGGCACAGTGAATCCAGTGGGTGCGCCCTTCAGAGCTGGGTCATGACTGAGCGAGTATTGTGTCTTGGCGATACAGATGGGCAGGTTGTCAAAGCCTTGCTGTGTGTAGGTGTCGACCTTCTTTTGGGCGAGCTCGCTGAACTCGACCTTGTCCGCACCGTACATGGCCTGGCCAATGCGCTCGATACGCTCCTGGATGGTACCATTCAGATCATACAGCAGCTTGAAGTCCTTGGGCTTGGAGCTGGCGGCTAGAACAGACTTAGCGAGGTCAAGAGCACCTGCTCCACCCTCGGCCCAGTGGTTGGCGGGAACGGCGTCTTCAGCACCCGCTGCGATCGCCTCCTCCCTGATGACAGCGATCTCAGCCTCAGTGTCGGTCTCGAACTTGTTAATAGCAACAACAACCGGCACACCGTACTGGCGGGCATTAGAAATGTGCTTGCGCAGGTTGACACAACCCTTGCGGAGGATGTCCACATTCTCGGTGCGGTAAATCTCATGCAGAGCCCCGCCGGGGCTGATCTCGGGACCACCACCGTGCACCTTAAGAGCGCGGACAGTAGCCACAATAACCACGGTGTCGGGAGACAGTCCCGATGATCGGCACTTGATGTTGAAGAATCGCTCACCGCCCATGGTGAAGTCGAAGCCAGCCTCAGTGACCACAAAGCCAGTCTTCGCATCGTGATCCTCATCGGGCTCGGTTCCGGCCAGCTTCAAGGCAAGCTTGTCAGCAATGACTGAGCTAGCACCGATACTAATGTTGGCGAAGGGACCGGCGTGGACCAGAACAGGAGTTCCCTCCAAACTCTGCATAAGGTTAGGCTTAATAGCATCCTTCATCAGAGCTGCCAGGGCACCACCAGCACCAATGTCGTCACAAGTGACTGGGTCACCGTTTCTGGAGGTAGCAACGACCATACGGCCCAGGCGTTCACGCATGTCATCCAGGTTGTTGGCCAGTGCAAGAATAGCCATACACTCACTAGCAACGGAGATGTCGAAGCCAGTCTCGCGAGAAAGACCCTTTTCAGTAGGTGCAGTGCCAACAGTAACACCACGCAGGTGACGGTCGTTGACGTCCAGCACACGACGCCAGGTGATGGTAGTAGGATCAATATCCAGACGGGCAAATCGGTGGATCTCATCTTCAGTGAGCTCATCGGGGTTGGTCTTATTGATACCAAGCTTTTTCAGACGACGGAACATGATAGGCTGGAACTCGCGCTTGCCCTTCTTTGCTGGTACCAGACGCTTGTAGAGAGGACCGTCCTTCTGTGTGGTTTCGTGGAACATGCGGGTTTCAATAGCAGCAGCAAGAAGGTTGTTTGCCGCGGTGATAGCGTGAATGTCACCTGTCAAGTGCAAGTTGAACTCATCCATGGGAATAACCTGACTGTAACCACCGCCGGCAGCACCACCCTTGATTCCAAAGGTTGGACCTTGACTTGGCTGACGGACATTGGCAAATGTAATGCGGTTAAGGTGAGCACCAAGAGCTTGAGTAAGACCCAGAGTAGTGGTAGATTTACCCTCGCCCAGAGGAGTAGGAGTAATACCACAAACCAGAACGTATCTTCCGTTGCGACGGTGAGACAGGCGTTCAATAACATCAAGGCTAACCTTAGCTTTAGTGTGGCCGTATGGCTCCAGCTCGTGGTGGGCAATTCCAACCTCGGAAGCGACCTGGGAGATAGGCTTGGGGTACTGGGCACGAGAGATGGCAATATCCGAGGGGACGGGGTTCTGCAAGCGGATGGGCAGAGGAGTGATACGTCTGTCCCTCTGCTTCTCAAAGTATGACTTGGTAGCGTGGACCACATTCTTCAGAAGCATAGCGACGGTCATAGGACCGACACCACCAGGGACTGGGGTAATCTGCGATGCCACCTGGAAGGCAGCATCAAAGTCGACATCACCCACCAGACGCTCGCCAGATTTCTTAGTAGCGTCAGGCTTGTAGTTGATACCAACGTCAATCACAACAGCGCCGGGCTTCAGCCACTCTCCCTTAACATACTCGGTCTTTCCAATTGCGGCAACAACGATGTCGGCGGTCTTGACAATTTCGGGGACATTGGGACTTTGAGAGTGGCAGACAGTGACAGTTGCATGGGCATTCCGAAGCAGAAAGCTAACAGGGCTGCCAACGATGTCGCTGCGGCCCAGGACAACTGCCTGCTTACCTGCTGGATCCACTCCACTGGCCTTCAGCAGCTCCATCACAGCGAGCGGGGTACAGGGGGTGAACGATGGACGGCCACCACGCTTGGCTAACTCTCCAATGTTGACAGCGCCAAATCCATCCACATCCTTCTCATCAGCGACGGCTGAGGTGATAGCATGCTCGGACATATGGCCGGGGAGGGGCAGCTGGACTAGAATACCATGGACGGCGGGGTCATTGTTGGCTCTGGTGATTTCTTGGAGAAGCTCCAGCTCAGTGCTAGTCTCGGGGACATTGATCAGAGTACAGATAATATTGGCCTAATGATTGGTCAGTCTCAATGGTAGCTCAATTGGTTATCTATTGGATCACAAGTACCTCCTGGGCGGCCTTCAGCTTCATGCGCACATAGGTACCTGGTTGTGATTAGCTATATACAGTATACTTATTGAAGTCGTAGGTATCTTCTCGGGGCGTAGTGACTCACTGGAATCCGATCGGTTGCCAACTGTATATCAAACGCATGTGTTAGCTTTTCTGACAATCCCAATTATTGCCCCTCTATCTCTTCCATTCGCCAATGATAGCTCAAGACAGTACTAACCTTGGAAAATGACCAAGTTCGGCTTGAATCTTGGGTTGGTAACTTGAATCTGCTCAATCTCAGTCTTCAAGCCCTGGCGAATGCTTTTGGCAATCGCTGTGCCGTCAATCTTAGAAGCCATGATGGTGGAACTGGAGAAGGAGCGATAAGAAGCGGCCACCGGGTTTTTAAAAGCAACGGACACGGGAGACGGAGCCGAAGCCGATAAGGAGCAAGACTTGACAGAACGGTGAGCCCCTCGTGCGGAGGAAACGGTATGGTATAAAGAAAAGCACGAAGAGGTGCGGAGACGAAAATTGGACACTCGCGCCTGAAGAGAAGGAGGACCGCGGGGTACGGCGGGGAACGCCATGAATATTATTGCTGCTTTAGGGGCAGGAACCCTCGGAGCCGATTGTCTCTTCGGAAGCCCAAAAACTTAACATATGCAGCGCAAAGAGAATATTTCGGAATAAGCAGTAGAGACTGGACTCTTTTCCTCCTCGGGTCTCTTATAGATCCCTTCACACGGTTTATTTTGCAATCCCCCCCTTTTTTCTTCTCATCCCGTTCGTGATACTTCGGGATCCGAAAGGGAGCGAGTCGTACGGGTATTGATGGCCTGAGGCATCAATTGAGTAACAATGCCAAGAAAATTGAATTTAGAGTGTATGAGTCATCACGGTCACATGATGAGGCGAGGCTCGTTCTGGTCTGATCGACCCAAATAGGCAAATCAGGGCTCAGGGCTGAGGGGCAGCGAGTCACGTGTAGATACCGGAGAAACAGATTGTGCGGAAAAGCGCGATTCGATACGGTTTGTCAGTCTTGGCGCTTGGAGGAGTGTGCGATGAAATTCACTAGTCAAAGAAAGTAACGGTTGACGAGATTGACCCCCCTCCTCCGACAATAAACACCGCCACTTTCTACTACCATCTGCGACGATTGTAGTCGACTCCATCATCTCCGGTCTTTTCGTGTCTCTCCGTTCAAAATGAGACCTATTCTGCTGTCGGGTCATGTGCGTGCGATTCTTCCCAGCAGCTCGGGTCCACAGTGAAAACTAACATACAACCCGCTACGTATAGGAACGTTCCCTCAACCAAATTCGTTTCAACAAGGATGGCGACCTCCTCTTCTCAGTTTCCAAGGATAAGAATGTGTGCGCGTGGTGGACCGCCAACGGCGAGCGTCTCGGAACGTATGCTGGCCACCAGGGTGCTATCTGGACTGTCGACGTCAGCCCCAACACTGTGATTCTTGCGACCGGTTCTGCCGACAACACCGTACGACTTTGGAACATTAAGACTGGCGAGTGTGTGAAGACTTGGGAGTTCCCAACAGCCGTGAAGCGCGTCGCCTTTTCCCCGGATGGAAGCCAGCTGTTGGCTGTGACAGAGAAGCGTATGGGTTTCTTGGGTGCGATCGCTGTTTTGGATATCGCCTACGGTGACGGCGAGGGCAACAACTTGAATGTCCAGGCCGAAGAGCCAACCTTGCGCATTACTTGCACTGAGAGTAAGGCGACTGTTGCCGGGTGGAGTTTCTTGGGCCGTTTCATTATTGCTGGACACGAAGATGGTAGCGTCAGCCAATACGACCCCAAGGTATGACTGCCATCTATATCTCATAAAGATATCACCAGCGAATATTAACATCTGTTACTAGAGCGGTGAGCAACTGGAGACCGCACAGGTCCACGAATTCGACCACCAGATCAACGACATCCAATTCTCTCCGGACCGCACCCACTTCATCACCGCCTCCAAGGATAAGTCCGCCAAGGTAAGCATCCTTACGCAGGTTCAATGCGAAACTCTCCAGCTAACAGTTGTTAGCTCCTCTCTGCCCGTAACCTCGCCATCCTCAAAACCTACATCGCCGATACTCCTCTTAACTCCGCCTCCATCACCAGCAAGAAGGACTACGTGATTCTGGGTGGTGGTCAGGCCGCTATGGATGTCACAACTACCTCTGCCCGTCAAGGTAAATTCGAGGCCCGTTTCTACCACAAGGTTTTTGAAGACGAGGTCGGCCGTGTCCGTGGTCACTTCGGTCCCCTCAACACCATCGACGTTCACCCCAACGGTACCGCATACGCCTCCGGTGGTGAGGACGGTTACGTCCGTATCCACCACTTCGATAAGGGCTACTTCGACTTCATGTACGAGGTCGAGCGGGAGCAGCTGCGCAAGTAAAGGATGAAACGCCACGAATGAACAAAAGTATAGGAGAAATAAGATGAAGAGAGAGTTGTGTGTATGTGTTTATGATGCGAATTAGACTCGAGACGTTTGCTGTTTTTATTTTTTGGCCTCTCGAGTCCGGCATACGAGATGAGATGATGACCTTTCGAGGCACGGCTTTCTCATTTCTTGATTACTACATGATCAACCGGAGTTGGTACCCCCCTTTTTTATTGTTTTGATTTAATAAAAGATGGCTTGCTTCACATTTTGAGCTCTCGAGTCATATGTTCGCTTTTATGCTTGTGAGATATTTAGGTACTTGCAAGTAGCGGATGATGTGCATATAACGAAATAGACAATACGAAGCATCGCAAATTTCAACCAGTTCAGATAAAGATGTCCAAGTCTGCCTAGTCTGCCTAGGTAATTTTACTTATTCGATACAGTACACGTTTCATGGGATTCTAGAAACTCCATGGAAGGCCAGCTATGACGCATGAGGAATAGTGATATGTCCATCATATTGGGCATCATATTTCAAGGGTAGGGAAACCTTAACGCCCATACAGTTGTTAATATACTACCGGGGTGAGTATCAATAGGCACGTCATATTTAAGCTTAAAGACAAGTACTATTTTTTATGGATGGTGTCTACTGTGGTAGTGCAAAATTTGAGCCTCATCGGATGTCGTCTTCAGTGGTTCATTGCACATACGTAAGGTCCGTGGACTACGCTGAAGAATTATCTTCAAAATCAGGGTGACTAGGTAACAATATGCGTATCTCATTCGTACATTCTTATCCAAATTCTCCCTAAGCACATTCCATGCAAGGCCAGCGCTAATCCGACCAGCAGAAAAAAATATATTCACTCTCTAGAGGAAGTAACGTATCAGGAGGAAAGGACAACAAGTTCATCACATGGCGCAACTGAAAGGCCAGGTTGAACCTCAGAAATGGATTAAAAGACGGAGCTTTTTGTCGTCCAAAGTTCATTCCGAAAACGCAGCAGTGGCGCGTTCACTTCCGATCAGAGCTTATTTTTTGGCGGGGTTGTTGTTCCTCTTGAATTGTTTCTTCTCCATTACTCCACCGATGTCATTGCCTGAGAGTTTGACTTGTAGTGTTGATTGCAGCTTGTTCAAAAGAGGACTGAATTCCGTCTTCATGAGATTCCCTGACTCGAGCAGCCCGATAATTTCCGACTTAATATTGGTCTTTGTGGCGAGCTCTCTCTGTGTCTTGAAGCCCATTTCGACGCGGCGTCTCCTAACAATATCTGCAACTTTAGGGCCGACAGTATCGATTTTGCCGGTATCGTCGGTTCGATCAACCTTGGTGAGGTGCTGGCCCTCAACTCCCTTGCCGATCTGTGGGTTGTGAGTTAGTCATTGTTCGTGAATTATATCTTAAGTTGCGGAGTAACGTACAGCGTTGCCAGTTGCGTACTTCTTCTCGGTGGAAAGGACGGCGCCAGATCGCTGGGCGGCGTTCAGGGCGGACTTGCCCTTAATTGTGGACTCGCGAGGGGCAGCACCAGCGCCGCTGTACTTGCTGCCAATCTTGGTGGTGGTTTCCCAGTCAGACATTTTGGTGGTATAAGGGGTTGTTTTGAGGTTTTGAGGGTTGGTGCGTTATTGGGTGGGGATAGAAGAAAGGGTGAATGTGAGAAAGGCTCGCGTGAGTGATGAGGTAGAAGAGTGGGATTTATACTGCACAGAAGCTTCTGGAGAGTGGGAGCGAGGGGAGTCATGCGCTAAACCCTTTACGGTTCAACGGGGCTCCTAATATTGTGGACATCGTGGTACACTTCAACTTCGCCATGGTGGTATTTCAGATCTATATTTCTCAGCAATGGAGTATTTCAACATTCTTACATGATCAATGAGTTGATCTATGGATTCACTTGGTGTTATGATGCTCATAATGAAGCGAGCTGAAGATGTCCGTATTGAAAACTTGTGATGCTCTCGCCACACCGCGAATCTCTCCACGTACATAATCAATTCTTTATATGGCTATAAATTGAGATCCTTATGTATAGGTGACCAAATTTAATATCATCTGTAGACCTCCGTGTCTTTCTTCCTTTTTGATTAACTGTTCAGATCTACTGTATGAACCGCGTGTCGAAAGGCTATGATGTCTTCGACCCACTTGATGTCATAGGTAGTCGAAGGACTATTGATATCATCGTAAAATTCAACACGGTGTTAGGAGACCCATGTAACAAAGACCCCCAAATATTGACTCAGGTGCAGGTAATACTTGGTCATTTCTATGTGACCAGAGGAGTCAGCCATCCCTACTCGACCTACTTGGGACCCCGACTTGTACCCCACCACGAGGCTGAGTGTATCGAAATATGCATGATCTTCACGAATGCCCGGGGCTGTCATAAAGTGGTGCAATCGCCCACCACTAATTTCTAGCATATATTGGCCTTGGGCTCGATTTCTCTCGCCGTGACGGTCGCCGACCTAAGTGCCAAGGTCTGTGATATATGGAATAATAACAGACATACAATCCATAATCCCATGGATTAGCAACTCAAAGGCAACCTGCTGCCTAGAATTTGAAGTTTCCCTTTTTTGTAACATTATCTAGGCTGCAGGCGATGGATCTAGCAGATATGTAGCACATACATGTACTTTTGCTCGGTGCTTGGAAGGCAGAGCCTCTGTCCACCTCGGAGATGAGAATCAATCCGCCGCCAGGATTTCCGATACGCCCGACCGGCTCGGGTATTTCCTTGCTAGGCTATGTTGCTTAACTCCCCACACCCATAAACCCCATACCTCCGAGGCCGACTATATCCATAATTTCGTAGTAAAGAATGAACTATAAAACGGCTTTCAGATAACATTCTAATCTATAGAATTCTCAGGAACAACTCTCGATTGATCACTCAGCTCTCAAAGCAAAGACAATTCAATCTTTCGCTAACATCTCATATCCAACGAAACACGATGTCGAATAAGCAGCACGGACCCGCCCCTACCAAATGGGCTCTTGTAAGTCGGATTACAACCTTGAAACCTCATAAGGGTGGTTATGAAACCCATGGTCTAACATGAACAGGACGGACGCGAGCAAGACCTGCTCCATTACGTCTACGGGCGTCCTGATATCAAGGACATTAAGGGCCAACCCAGCAAAGTTCTCTCGGCTATAGATGATTACCACAGCAAATTCAACAAGCTCATGAATATTGGCTCTGCAAAGGGTCAGCACATCGTCGATGTGATCAATGAGCGCAAGCCATCAACTATGATCGAGCTTGGCGTATATGTCGGCTACAGTGCCATCTTGTTTGGAAACGCTGTCCGATCGCAAGGTGGAAAACAATACTTCGGTATTGAGAAGAACCCCGAGATGGCAGCTGTCGCCAACCAGCTTGTCGAACTAGCAGGACTGCAAGATATAGTGCGCATTCTAGTTGGATCTAGTGACCAGGTTCTCGAGGAACTCGTTCAGGACAAAGTAGTCAGCCAGATCGAGCTGATCTTCCTCGATCACTGGCAGGACCGCTACTTGCCTGATCTATGGCTTCTTGAAGAATGGAATGTGCTGAAGCCTAATTTTTCCGTGGTTATTGCGGATAATATCATCATGCCTGGTGCGCCTGAGTACCGGAGGTGGGTCGAGGCGACTACGGCGCAGAAGAGACAGATTGTGAGTAGCGATGGAAGTGGAGCTCTTAGTCCCAACCCAGACCTGGTATATGAGACCGTTCTCAGTAAATTTGACACTGATTTTGGTCCGGTGAGTCATAGTGGCCTTATAGTATTTTCAAGGAAAAATAGCTAATAACTGTATAGGATGCTGTTACAGTCACTCGTGTTGTCGGAGAGGATAAAGCATGATCATGATTGCCTTGTGCCATAGCGGCTTAAGCCTAGCCTTGCAAGCCCTGTTTTTCAAGTAAATCACTGAATAGTAAGACTTTGTTATTGTTTTGCCTTTTCAAATGTGCCGAGGTTAAGCATCATTCAAGTTTTGTCCAGTAGTATCAGATGTAGTAGAAGGCTCTTCAATACTATGTAGCTACCCAAAGCTGCGATTTGGAGAAGGCGGTACATATATTAGTAGTAATAGAGTTATAGGCATTCAGCATCCATATAAATATCCATTCAAGTTCAAGTTAGTAGTACTAAACTAGTAATGAAATTTAAATTATAGCGTACTAGTATATATATGGGTCGTACTACTAGTAGCACTAATTATAGTACCTCAACTTTAGGGTGGCCACCTGGGCACTGCACAAAGCATTCAACTCACAAAGCCTTTTTTAAACAATTATTCATTAACAGAAGCAGTTTTGTTTCCTACCAAGGATACCACTTCAAAAAGAAAGATTGCAGAAAGGCGAAAGGAAGGCATATAAACAATCGTAGAAGTTGGGTGTTACCCCTGGGGTGCTTGGAGTCTTGGCCAACCAGGCAGATGAGACACTCTCTCCACATAGCAACCTCACATAACAGTCCGTCTTCCATTACTTCAACTTTCCCATTCGCGACCCATCTCCCCCCCAATTCCCGACACTTAACCGTCCGAAGTCACATTATCTTCACACAAACAATAAAAATTACGAACCCGAATCTCGTTCATCCATCATGGCGAGCGACTTCTCTTCTGCCATGACCACCCGGTCGCTCCGCATGGTCCGAACCGTATGCCTCCCCCACAGCACCTCAAATGAAGTCTTAGATATGGCGAGGGTCGCTAATACCAATGAATAAGGAACTGGAATTTCTCGCCGATTCCTCTGTCATCACACGCCGTCAGCTGAACTCCATACTCTCACAACTGCCCGATGAATCTGAGGCTCGTCCAATCTCCAGGAACCAGCAGGCCACGCCAGTGTCACCAGCGCCCGTGCCCCTGCCAGAACCTGTCCAGGCACAGCCTCCCCCAGCTCCATACTCGCCTCCCGTGTCGCAGATGCACAATATCTCATTCAATGAGAAAGCCCCAGTGCACAACCAATATGCCTCTCCACCCCCTCAGATGCCACCGCCAGCCTACCCTCAAGTCCCTCCCATCCTATCTGTCGCCTCAGCCCTCTACGCATACACACCGACGGACGCTGGAGATCTTGCGTTGCAGCCGAATGACCGCATTCAAGTGACCGAGCACATGAACGACGATTGTACGTTGGTTTCACTTTAGTTGGTGTTATTTACATGCTAATGATTATGCTATAGGGTGGCGCGGTCGCAACGAACGCACCGGCCTAGAGGGTATTTTCCCTCGGAGCTATGTGAATCTTATTAATGAAAAGGGCTCTGTCGTGTCTCCTCCACCAACCAACTACGGAAATATGCCCCTCGAGGTCAGCCAGGGTGGACCGTCAGCACCAGATTCAAATGATCCGAACCAGAAGAACAAGCTCGAGCAGGGTGGTAAGAAGTTCGGCAAGAAGTTAGGAAATGCTGGTATGTGTTCTCTCTTGCTTGTGCCCTAGTTTCAATGACTAATTATGAGTAGCAATCTTCGGTGCTGGTGCAACGGTTGGTTCCAATATCGTGAACAGTATTTTCTAAGTTTGCCCTTGGAATGTATCGGAGCTACTCGCGTGATAATGGTTCTTTACTGTCGCAGAAGATATTTATGCCCACATATTTCTTTTCTTTAATCATGGAAACGGCGTCAATGTATTTGCTTTTTGCTTTTGAGGGGTCAATTACGGATTATTGATCTCGTCTATGGTGATTCGAGCATCTTTGCTGATATCAAATGTACACATTGCGACAGTCGAAACACCACCTTGCTTTTAGGTAGCTGTTTCAGCAAATGACAACTTTGATATACCTCAACTCGCTCATGACAAGCTGAGAATCAATAGTCGTAGACTTCCCTGAGTCTGGTCTGTGGAACCGGAATCCTGAAAGCAATAGCTGCTTGGCAATAATGCCAATGCCCTTCAAGATCATAATGCAGGGTAGGTGTCATGCCTTCTACGATAGGAACAGCCTGGATATTTCTTTTACCAAAAAAGCTTGAGCATAGGTCTGTTACATTATACCGGAAAAGAACTGAAGATTATGAATGGGATAGAATCATTTACCCTCATAGCTATGGATTGAAATCGATGAAGGAAACCAATCCAGATGAATGGCCTAGAGCTACCAATTTTCCATTCGCGGCTATTGTTGAGAAACGAAGCTCGGGGGGAGCCACAGTGCCCTTTGGTCGTTTACCGTAATCCATTGCGTTTGCTCAGTAGAGACTTCCCGACTCGTGCAGCTTGATTTAGAAACAGACTTTTCAGTTCCGGACTGAATATCGAGAACGCCATATGTGGTGATTAGACACGAACCGTCCCGAGAAAACTCGAGATCCATGCCTTCATCAGACTCAGAAACGAAGGCCTCTTCCAGTTCAATGATCTGTTGGAGTATCCCTGTTGCGGTGTTATAAAGACGTATTGCGACATCCCCACAATCACACGCCAGTAGTCGACCGTCAGGTGAAAATGCAAGCGAATCAATGCAATATACATTTGGCTCAATTACATGCCGCAGTAAGCCTGTACCTGTTGATAGGTCCCAAACACGCACTGTGTAATCCACGGAGCCAGAGGCTAATAGCTGACCATCGGCTGAAAATGCTACTGAGATAACGTCATCTGAATGGCCTTCAAGTGTCTGCTGCAGCTTGTTTGTCGGTAAATCCCACAGGCTCACTTTGTGGCCATATGAGCCAGTCGCTATCAATTGAGTGCTAGGTGAGATGGCTATTGACCAAACTGATTCTACAAGGTAATGCGAGTGACGCTCGAGAGGCACAGTGTCTATCGATAAGTCCCAGAGCCGAATGGCGGCATCACTGCAGCAAGACGCTAGAAGTCGACCACTAGGTGAGAAGGCCAAATATGTAGAGGAATGTGTCTTGCTCTCGAGCATCTGTCGCAGAGTGCCCGTCGATACGTCCCAGATCCTTATTTTCAGATCAGAAGAAGCAGATGCTAATAACTGACCACAGGGTGAGAACGCCACATATCCCACATCAAGAATATGACCTTTGAGAACCCTCTGGAGCACAGTTGGATTTTTCGATACATCCCAGATATATATAGTGTCGCCCGAAGAAGACGCTAGTAGCTGGCTATCGGGTGAGAAGCTTATCGATGTAACTTCTGTTTCTCCATGATCAAGGATTTGCACATATTCTGTCATCCCCGTCGAGAGATCCCAAAGGCGTACTGTTTTATCGCGGGAGCCGGAGGCTAGGAATCGGCTATTCGGCGAAAAGGCTACTGAGGAAACTTCATTCGAGTGGCCTTCAAGGAGGAAGAGTTCCCCAGTTGATATGTTCCAAACCCTCACTGTATTATCCGCGCCAGACGCCAATAGCTCGTTATCGGGTGAGAAGGCCACAGCAGAAGAATAGCTTTCAACTGATTGATCTTCGACATGGTCCTCAAGTATCTTTTCTAGTGTGCCTGTGAGAACATCCCATAGCCGCACTTTGTGCTCTATAGAGCCAGACGCGAGCAGCCGGCCATCGGGTGAGAATGCCACTGACAGAAAGGTCTCCGAAGGGCATTCGAATGTTTGTCGGAGCTTTCCCGTCGATGCATCCCAAACACGGACTGCGTAGTCCCATCCAGATGCCAATAGTCGACCATCAGGCGAAAATTCCACCGACCCAACTCCAGTTGCTGGATTTTGCGGGGCTTCAAGTGTCTGTAATTCCGCACCCCACCCTTCACTTTCAGGTAGACGGTACTTCCAATCAGGAAGATCTGCATCGAACTGCTTCCGGACAATTGAGTTTCGAGGCGCAAATATAAGCCCTGAATAGTAAATCTGGAGAGGCGCTCTATCAGCTATCTGGCTGTTCTTGAAAATAAAGCGTTTCGCGTCTTGCAGAAAGTGAGATAGGGTAGAATATGCGGTGTCCTATGCTCGTTAGCCGAGAAGATGTAGAAGAAACTTTTTAGAACGCACTTTGAAAATCAATTGCAGAAGATTGACCATCTCTATCATATCTGGTGCAAGCCCTTGTAGACTCATTGCTTCCATCCAGTGTAGAAAGTGGTCCTGCAGGAAGGACAATATGAGATCCATTACAGAATCTGCGGTCATTATTTCACTCTGTTCAAGATGGTATACCCAGTGCTGGCAGGCGTAATTCAACTCCGGTGGAAAAATTTGATGTAGGAACTGGGAATCAATGTCTGTTCTTTCTGTGCCTGCTTCCAAGTCGCACATGTTTCTTTTCAAATGATTTCGCATAACTTGGAGGCAACGAAGAGCAATCTCTCTATGCTTTTCTGGCTCATTCACTCGGAACTCGCTCTTCGATTGAACCAAGAAGTCTCGGAAAGAGAGATGAAGAGTTCTGACAGGTAGATCCGGGTCTTTGGGTACATTGAGCACAGACTGAAAGGAATCTAAATGATTGATAATGACATCAGGCTCAATATTAAGGAAACGTGAAAGTGTATTCACTGAGAATGGAGTATCCAAAAGAATAATGGTTCCAATGATCCCATAGAATTCCTGTAACAGTTCTTGTTTATCTTCATCGTCTTGGTCATCGACCAATTGCCTCAGAATTGGGAGATAAGTTTTGTCCATTTTAGTGACATAGTGAGTTTGGTCTTGGAGGAGCTCTTTTAGCCGCCTCATAGGTTCACGCTTTGAGTTTTCAATGTAGCGGCACATAGTAGCGGCAGAGATAAACAATGGAATCGATATTGAAACCATGCTCTGTATGACTTCGTAGTCAGGCCATTCCATGGCAACATTCCTGTCGGCTCTAATTTTCGCGAATTGGTCAATCAGGAATAAACGTATGTCGTGTTCTGTCACCTCTTCGGATATCTCATGGAGTGCTATATCTTGGTAGATATGGTCTCCAAGATCTGAGAATCCAAGGCGAGTAGGTAGCTCCGGTCTGCTTGTCATGAACACTTTGACACAGACCTTATGTGCGTCTTGTAGGAGCGAAAACAGACGAACTATGGTGCGGATATCGTTATTATGGTCACACTCGTCTAAAGCATCGACTACAACCACAACCAATTGGGATGATTGGCAAGTCTTGTCAAACTCGAGTAATGGCTGAAGAATCAGTTTGTCAAATTGATCGCCAAGCGACTTTGAACCAATCTCCGGGTCTTTGCGAATTGCCTTCTGCACGCCTGGGCCTAACCCAGGAATTTGAAGAACAAGTTGCTTGATGAGCGTTGGAAAGAGTTTCTTGGCGTTTCCCCTGTCCTTTTCTCCTCTTTTGAAGAAGAAACTTGCACCCAAGCGGTTATTGTCTTTGAGTGCCTTTGCTATTGTCCGGGATACGGTGGACTTTCCTGTCCCAGCCATGCCACTCAACAAGAAGATGATTTTTTGCTTCCGGCACGGTAGCATTGTCCATTCCATGATATCCTTGAGAAGCTCAGTCCTTGTGCCTTGAAGGCATTCTTCTTCCTCTCGATCGGAGAAGGAGCCATACTCAGCCTCGGCTGCAACCTCTAGCTTGCTAAGATCCGTATTTTGAGCATTATCAAGGATCAAGGATCTGTTCACCGATGAGCCAAAGATAAAAAACAAGGCAAGTTAAAGGGGATGACCTACGTCTGATCAACCTGCAATGATAGCACAAATGATGTTTTATATCCCTCAAGTCGCTGAATGAGTCCCTCTACCTCTAGACGCTTTAAGGGCCACTTCAAGGATCGCAGCCCAAATTTCCTCATCAGGCTCTTTCCTTTCCCTGCACCTAGCTTTTTCTCCAAATCCTGAAGATCACAGAGACACTTTTTAATGCTGTCAGCCAGGCGCGAAGAGGTTTGAAGAGCATTCTTGCCATCTTGAAGAAATTTCTGAAGATCTTGAACTATACTTTGAAGATCGGTGACTGCATAGTGTAAAGCAAGAATATCGTCTCGAGCATTGTGGACTTCTATGATGTAGCCTCCAACCACCTTTGCCACAGCCCCAGCAATTTGAACGATTGCGACCGCATTGGCTATACTACCAATTACTTCCATTCGGAGCAACAAGAGAACGTCAATACATCAATATTGTCTCTCCTGAAATGGAAGGAGGGTCACCAAATCCAAAGCAATGACTCAACCTTGTCGACCAGATCACCTTCGATAAGAAGCAAAGGAGGGGAAATGGGGTATGATCTGGTATGCACAATTCGTACTAATTTCTAAGCTAGCCTCCTGGTGGTGGGGGCCAGAACGAGGAGGGGAGTATGAAAATCCGAAGGTGATCTGCACTGTGTAGGACTCGCCTCCTCCACACCCCCCCCCTCAAGCAAAAGAGGGATTTAAATCTAAGCGGCTATTCCGGAGTATCGCATCAAACTACTTTGGTGAAGACCAATCCTGCTACCGAATATCTGGTATTTCGAAAGCGGCGACAAGGCAAAGTGCAGGCCTGCATCGCCCAATCGATCAAGCCACACAATACGCTAGCAAACAGTCCTTTCCTGAAAATGACCTTGTGCACGGCAATCATAAGCAAACCACAGAAGCACTTTGGCATTCGACGCATATGATTTATGGAAAGAGCAAATCTAGACCCACCAAGTGTGCCGCTGGAGCATGCGGGCCGAAACTACTGGCGTAGTGACAAGATTAGTACTTCCCGCAGTGCGGCGCTTACACGCTGCACGAAGTACTCTAGTGGTTTCAAGATTGCACAAGAATAGGACCGTGCTGTGACTGTGACTAGCCGGCGAACAAACCATTTTGGACCAAATTTGGGAAGCGTTAGCACCGTCTCCACTTTGAGGCTGACAAGCGCTTAGTGAAGAATTATAAGAAGAGCCTTAGAGGCCGTGCTATGATAACAAACGAACTATAGTGTTTAAACTAACGATTATTATGTGATACTGATATGCTATTATGAATCTTACGTTACTGTTAATATTGGGTCTTGTTCCTTTTGTTTTGGCTGATGATTGGGAGGATTTTACGAATAACCTTGCGACGGACTTGGTAAGTAAAAATTTTGAGACTTGAGAAAAAAACAAACTCTGTTTGAAGACGAAGAAGATTTAGTTTCTTAGAGGCCGAACTGGAGGATGTTGTTAAATATAGGCTAATACTTGACCCCAAAGGCCCCCTTAATTACCTTGTTCGGCGAACGTCTTACAAAACAATTCCTCTCCGAATCGATTAGCATATTAGACAATGTCATTTTCGCTCTTTCGCCACTCGGAGTATTGACTGCGGTTGTCTCCGTTATTCGAATATGCGGTAGTTCATCCCTTCGAGCATTTGTCGGTCGGGCGCAAGAAGGGCCCGCTGAAGCCGAAGGTGAACTTTTACCATGCGTTTCAGAATCGACAGCCGAATTATTCAACGATGGAGGAATTTCTCGAGTATTCGGACGCCCTCGTATCGTGGAGGTTGTCGCATGGGAAGAGGGGTCGACAACCAAGATTGGAACTCTGCGCGACGCGATTCGAGAAGGCGCGTGGTCTGTCAAAGGATCCGAGTCTCGCTCTGAGAAGACCGATGAGGTTGTTTCGATGCTAGAGCTGGACATTCCGAATTTGTCCTTGAATAAAGGGATCAAGCAAGTAGACCAGCTCTGGTTCTACGCGGCTGCTATACTGGGCGCCCTGCTGCAGATAGGTACGTTTGGCGACTGAAAGTTTGGGGATTCAAGAGACTGACAAAACAATAGGTGTCTTGATATATGCTGCCTTGACAGTTTTTGTGTTCCCCGATTCGTTCAAAGTGGATGACGGCGCTGTTGACAGTTATGCATTCCCATTGTATGTAATCGGGACCACATTCTTATTCATGGGGATGTTTTATTGCGCTGTGATTATCGAGCGGTCATCGAAAGAATATTACATCAAGCCAAACAAACCAAGCAAGTTGTACTGGCTTCAACCAGGAGAACAGACTGTTGGAGATCAGGTCTTCAATTCATTTCTCGCAGTCAAGGAAGAAGGCCAGTCATCCATGACATACATCAAGTCCAAGAGAGTTCAAAAATATGATGGCCGATTTGTCGAGGTCTATTCAACTATATTTCTCACGCTAATGGGATTCATATTTCAATTTATTGGCGAAAGAGGCCTTCATGCATCTGTCATCTTAGCCCAGCTGGGGTCCACTTTCATCATGTCGGTGTTGCGAACTTGTCTCCGAACAGAGAGGATGAAGCCAGAAGAAAATAAGTTGAGAGAAGAAAGAGACCTAGTATCGTACAAGCAACAAGAGCTTGACGCTTTTGCCTTTTACCTTGAAGGAATTGATTCTTTTAGCCTGGTCACTTCCCCAATTCTTTCCAACGTCAACTCAAATGGATATGTCAGTCAATCAAATGATTCTATGGTACAGCGAGTGCTTCGAACAAGAGCACGACTGGCAGAACTTACGAGTAAGTCGGATGATACTAGTTGGGACGATATTCCAATACGCAAAATGGCACAATCCCTTGCCCGGACAATTGAAACGACAATGGACATCATGTCCAGCTGGGGAATGGAGTTCAAAGATCACTTTGAATTTCCTCTCGCATTTGAGGCTACTCCCTCGTCAACGAAGACGTCTCCTGCTGACCTCGGATCATGGTCTATTGAGCTCACGAGAGGCAATGACGTGCTTAGATGGCGAGTGGATACAAACAAACTGGAAGCGATCATCGGTCTCTGGGCCTGGTCATTATACAGATCAAAAAATGAATGGCGCGAACCGCTTTATAGGATGGTTGGCATCAATCAAGCGCAGGCGGGCCAAGCAGAAAACTACCTCGACTTTCAAAAATGGATATTCCGGCAAACCGAGGCGAAGCTCGTGCCGGCAAAATTAGTGGATGAACCGAAGCGTTTATTTGGGTTTAATCCAAACATATTCCCGAGCGACAGTGAAGTTCTGGCTGTGAAGACTGAAAACAATCTCGAAAAGATGATAGCTCAAGATATTTATATCAGATTCTTGAAAAGTGTCTTCTCAACCATGAACAGTCTTGGGGGAGATGTTGATGTTATTCCAGGTCTCCAAAACCCCTGGGTAGCTCAAAGTACCCGAATTAATGATTTGGTTCAGTGCTTTGAGAACTGTCATATGGGGTCAAGAGAGGATGCGCTGGTTTGCATTATTCCTTCTCTAAAGCAAAGCAACATATTACCAGACCTCGCAGCAGACTGCCCTCACATAAGGAAGAGAATTGAAAATCATAGACGAAGTGGAGATTGGGCCAGCGCCTTTTCCATCCTGAATTGGATGTGCTGTCGGTCAGAAGGATCTGAATTTGAAAGATCTGTTTACGTTCTCGGTTATCTCTGCCGGCGGGCGATGCTCAGCAACAATAAAGCAGTCCGCGAGGAGGGATTCAATCAAGTATGTGTCCTGCTGGGGCCAGATGTGAGATATTCATTCTTCCAAACTCAGAACCAATCAAATTTTTTGAACTGGGTTATCTCACCATCACGAGATTTGTGGTGGCAGGTGTTTGGTTGGCAGCTTGGTTGGATCTCTTGGCAAATTTCGGTCGAGAATGGAGGTATGCATTGGATTCAAGCGAAGCTTGGATCTTTTGGTATATCTGAATGTCTAAAGACTCTAGAGGCTTCTCCTTTGGACCTGGAAGATACAGTTAAGGGTATCACTGCTATGAAAGACTGGCTTGCAACAAAACAAGTGGAATCCAAGCGCCAAATCATGGATAATGACGAGGAAATAGGATTTGAGTGGGCAGTGAAAACAAAGCAATTTGCTCTTGTGCATTGGTTCCTGCTTTATTATATCGAACTCGGAGACGATTCCCCATCCTTGATCGCTGTTGTATGGTTCTGGGCAGCGAAATACCAAGTCGATTGGGCCATTCAGATGTTGCATCGCCATGGAGCAGATATAAATTCAACCAACCCAGATGGCCATACCGCATTGTCAATTTGTATTGACTTTGCGGGATTTGAAGCCATAGAGCTTTTGCTTATCAATGGAGCGAACCCGGATGGCAATGACAAAGCCCCTGATGGTCGGCCCATTCTCATAGCAGCCTACAGTGGCAATATACGGCTTTTGGATACTTTGATTCGCCATGGTGCAGATATTGAGATAACCGATCGTATGGGGCTCACAGCATTGCGTTATGCCTGCGACAATAACCAGCCGATTGCAGCTCGTTTCCTTTTGTCGAATGGCGCAGAAATTGATACTACAGATGCACGAACACATACTACGCCCTTGGGATTTGCAATTACCAATGAGAGATTTGAATTGATTAAAGTACTCCTAGAATTTGGGCCAAACTTGAATATACAAGATTCCCACGGTCACACTCCCCTAATGCGTGCGGTAGCCGGTCAGTCAGCTAGAATCATGGGCCTGCTGTTAGAAAAGGGTACAGACATCACAGCCATGGATCACAGAGGACAAGATGCGCTGGCTATGGCGAGAGAAAACCAGTTTGTGGAGGGAGTCCAAATTCTGGAGTTGTGGATGAATCATTCCTAATTGACGAATAAGTGACAATTACTGAATTCTGTTGAAGGTAGAGACCATAATGAAATTTGACATCTCCTGATCCTTAAACTAATGAACTGTACTGCGTAAGGACTTAAACAAAGCAAACAGCGTCTGGCAGTGTCAAGCAAACTTGAACCATGCAGCCGTGGGCATCGATAATAATACACGGGGCATATAGTTGAGGCCAATCAGGGAAAGCATGTGGGCCAAGCAGTACCCCGCCAATGAACGGCTTGGCTGCAGGAATGCCATCGGATCAGCAGAAGTTATGAATGGCCCTGGAGGAGTTGATATATTTTTGATCTTCCTATTATAGATCGATTGCGGCAGATCTTTAGTGAGAAGGCTTTGTGGGCGGCAAAACATTCAACTGTCGCTTCGTATAGGTTTGTTTCTGTTCATGTCGGTTTGTCTTATCCCACTTTTGGCTTCCGTATCCTGCTTGGCTGCATGTCGAGCGGCCAATCACATTCGTGGGCCCACATGATGGAGCATTGGCCAGCCGGCCCATCATGTCGCTCAGATGGAGCCTGTAAGCGCCCGGCTGGGATGATCATGCAGTAGTCAAGTGTGATTGAGGAACTACCAATCCAATTCGTTCGAGCAAGCAGTCACGTTCCTCACAACTAATAATCCTAAGGTTCCTAATAATAGGCTTGGAGCTCCCTGTGCGGAGTTGCGAGCTTTTTTTTCTTTTCCTTCTCTTCTTCTAAGTAACTCGCTTCTTCTTTTCTTCTCTCTTCGCAGATCCGTGATAATTCATTGCAATTTTGAGCTGGTCCTCAACTGTCGATCGATTCATCAACGAAATTTTGTTTTATCTCATTGCTCATTGTTGCTAACAGCAAAGCGGCATTTATCAATACGTTTTTTACCCCACAATCCTTTTTAAGGAAATTGTACGCTTCTTCTTGCGATGGTTTGGGTACATTCACATTCTAACGACTGATTAGGAGATACTTTTCTTAATCGCTGCAAAGAGATTACATCTCACACCGTCAAAATGCCCTTTTGGGAACGAAAACCATCCCAATCAAATATCGTTGCCCCCGCTCCGACAAATGGTAAGCCGAGCTTTCCAGCTTCTCAGTCTATCTTTAATGCTAATAAGTTTCTTATGACAACAGCCCAGACGAGTATGTTCCGTTGCAATTTAGAGCCAGGAGAATGTTTTAACTCATAATATACAGTATTTGCTCCACCTCCAAAGGCATCTTTTGCGCAGTCGCCTCCTCCACAGGCAGCCCCTGCTCCGGCATATTCTCCACCTCCTCCACAGGCAATACCTCAACGGCCCTACACTCCACCAGAACAAGCATCTCCACCCTCTAATACCAACACATCACCGCCGAACTTTAGCCGAGGCGCTCCCCTAGCCCAACCAAGTGCCATCAATACTGTATTTCAAGCACCTCCCACGTCAGCTAGTCCACCTGCAGTCAGCCCGCCACCAGGCAATGGCTTTCCCCAGGAAAAGGCACCATACTACCAGCAAAATGCTGCCGCATTTCAGCAGAATGCTGCTATCTCAATTCAGAGACCAGTCTCCAAATCTCCTCCACCGTCAATGAATCCAATGGCCAGAATGCCGGGAGGAGCCCCGTCATACGGAGAATTCAAGGGTGCCACCTCAACATCCACCGACAACGTGGGTACATTCAACGGGGGAAGCTACAGAATAAGTCACCGCGATTCAAACTCTCTATTGACAGTTCAATTGGCCATGGGTGCCCCGCTCGTGGCTAAGCCAGGTATGACAATAATTTTATATATGGTTCTTTGCCGCAAGAAAGCTTTACTGATGTATATCTTCAGGTGCCATGCTTGGAATGTCCCCAACTATGACACTTCGCGGTGTGACGCACTTGACTTGGAAAAAGCTTGCGGCTAGAGGAGGAATAGGCATGTCTCATTACACTGGACCCGGGGAACTTCTCCTTGCACCATCTGTACTGGGTGACCTCATGGTCCTTCCAATACAAGAGGGGAAGGCGTGGACAATTGGAAGAGATGCTTTCTTAGCCCATACAGCTGCCGTGGAGCATGAGTACACCTTCCAGAGTCTCACAAAGGCGATGTTCTCCGGCGAAGGCCTCTTCGTATACCAAATAACTGGAAATGGACTGCTCTGGATGCAAAGTTTTGGGTCCATCATTAAGAAAGATGTCAGTTATGCTTCAAAGGAAACCCGATTTTATGTGCTAACTCGTTCGAAATCTACAGCTAGCTGATGGAGAGAAATATTATGTTGACAATGGCTATCTCGTTGCTTGGAATTGCGACTATAAGCTTGAACGCATTGCATCTGGTGGCCTGTTGTCATCGTACTCCTCAGGTGAAGGCCTCGCCTGTAAGTTCGAAGGACCTGGAACAGTCTATTTCCAGACACGAAACGTCAACACCTTTGCTATGCAAATGAAGATTAGCACAGCTAGTGGTTAAGAGATTTATGATGCTTTTTATCTGCAAGGGGCAAGATTCGTTAGGGCTCTGAAAATCATATCACCATTTTGGGTTGGGTCAAGTTATTGCACTTCCTTGTTTTTGATGCTGGCGTTTTCCGATTATACGATACGAATGGGTCTACTCTTCTATAGCCCTGGTATTTGAAATATTACTGGGATATGATCTTGCGCGGTGTGTACTTAGTTCAAACTGCAATTTCCCGGCTCGGATGAGGCCACTTTTGTTTTCTTGACAGGTTGATCAACGATTATATTTATATAAATTGATATTTCTACTTCTAAATGGTACCTGGGTCCCCTTTTACCCGAGAAATTACGTGAGAATTTTGAATCCCTATAGAAATTCACAGAATACTGTACCGCGATTGCGTTGAACACGGAAGCGATGCACCTTATTTTACTATCTGTATCTATGTTAGATCGGCTCGTTTTGCCTCAGCTTATTTTTGCTTGGGCTGGATTAATTTGGTAATACAGGACCGCCAAAAACGCGTGGAAAGCCTTCCATCAGCCCTACTGCGGCTGGACAAGAGACTTTTTACGTGTAAAATTGAATAAGGTATACCTTTCTAAATTTTCTTTTAGTGGATTTCCTTGTATTAAGTCTCAGGGTAGTATTAGGAGGAGGGTCTCTTCAGAAATAGTATAAATCATCAAGCTTCCAATAGTAGTTCAGGCGACCAAAACATGGGGCACAGTTTACTACTAGATCATGAATGTACATCCTTGCTTAAACAAGGAGAATTACTAGTATCCTTGAATGTACACAGGATTTCATTTAAGAACGCCTAGAATAGTTGAATCCATACTCCCTAGATCGTGGTAAGTGGCGGGTGATTGATCCCACGAACACACGATCGAACGCCCCGTCAGGAATGGTTCATGCTGGTCAAGCAAAGCAATGCTCATCAAACACAGGTCTCAGCGTGTTGGGTAACCTTTCTTACAATGTAAACGTGACTGCGCCAACCGTTTCATTTGGATCAGAGTTCAAGCTCAGAGCTGTGGAATGACGAGCCTATGGCCAAATTATCTCCATGCCACGCGATGGAAGTCCCATCACCAGCCGGCTTATTTTGGGATAAACAAATAAATGGTACCTTGACCAGAGACAATAATACAAACAACTTTTATCGCTGGTGCTTGAATCATACGTCGATCGAGGTTCGATGGGAGAATCCTGCATTGATGCAGATCTATGAGAATCAAAGCTTCACTGACACTATAGGAGCTTCTAACAACACGTCCACCAACATAGTTGGCACAAACTTGATCGACCTTCCAAACAAAGACGAGTAGGTTTATATTTACATCGTTATTGATGAAAAGTCGCCAGGAGGACATCCAATTCACCTACACGGTCACGATTTCTATATCATCGCCCAGGGTGATCAAGGGGCAAGCTTCAACGGGACTTTGTCACTCAAGAACCCCCCTCGACGAGATGCAGCCTTTATAAGATGGTTTCATATTTGGTTGTTGCATTCAAGACTGATAATCCGGGTATTTGGTTGATGTATTGTCATATTAGGTGGCACTCTCGAGGAGGGATTCGCACTTCAGTTCCTCGAGCAAAAGAGCGAAATTCCCAAGCTTATTGATTACGACATCTTAAGTAATACTTGTGCTGAGTGGATTGATACTCTAAGAAGAACAATGTAACTGAGTACTACGAGTCGGGTGTCTGAGCACTTCATCTATGTTGGCGCGAGTTTTTGTTTTTACCATGTCACTGGCTTTCCTTCAATACGATCTAGATCGCATGAGTATGAGTTGATCGAAAGTTCTTTTTGGGTCAGCTCCCGATCATTTGTCCATGGGTATGCGTTTCCTTTTATCTAGAGAACCCGGGGCATTACATGTAGAAATTGAGGCCACCTGCAACTTCATATAACAAAGAGTTAGTGGTCATATCAGTCCGATTCATGACAAACTATTTCTATCCTTCAAATCGTTTCCTCATCTCGGCCCCAACGGTAGAAAGATACAATGCCGGGGTCTAATTTTTCACCGACCACAATCCCATTTCGTGACACGCCATAAAGAAGAGAAAATAAAATAACTCCCTCCTCCACAATATGCCAAATCCAGTTGCTAACTCGCTTAACCAGTACGCTTGCGGCGACCGACTTGTCCACGGAAACCAGTCTTGATAGCCGCGACGGAACGGCGGGATCCGCAAGAGTTGCAAGTGATGAAGTACAGACGGTTCTCACCCTTGTTGAGCTCGGTGTCGGGGCTGCGGCAGGTCTTGCATGTAACGTACTCGACTAAAAATGTGTTAGAATAGTTAAGCTATTTCAATGCTTACTGCAGATGTAAAATAACATACCGATATATGACCTAAGGACGGACTCGATTTGTCGCTGGACGAAACGACCCTTAATAACCAGACGACGGCTGCCGTCGACACTGCCGCTAGTACCCAACTCAGCGAAGAGGAACTGCGTAACGTGGTCTTCGGAACGCTTCATGCGCTTGCAGATATCGGCAATGTTGGCGAAGACGGTACGACGGTTACCCTCACGCAAACACTGGGGAGGGGGAATCTTGTAGGACTTGGTTCCGCTGGACAAGAGGTCGGGGTGGTGGCTCTGGATGAGGGAGAAGAATCGAGAGACGAGAAGAGAGTAGGGGATGGTTTGGGTGGCATCGTGGGCCCAGATACCGGTGCCGGCCTCTGGGTCACCCTCAGGAATAACTTCTTCAGCGGCTTCCTCGCCAGCCTCCTCGGAAACACCAGCCTCAGCGAGCTTAGCCTCGAAGTCGCCGGCGTCGACCTTCCTGGCCTTAGAAGGCTTCTTCTTCTTTTTCAGGGCGGAGGGATCGAACTCGCCGTCGGCTGCGGGGGCTTCCTCGCCATCGGCCTCGGCATCCTTGGAAGACTTCTTAGTCTTCTTCTTCTTAGATAGACCCTTGAACATGTCGGTGACCTCGTCGACTTCCTTGTCTAGATTTTGATTCTATGTTAGCGGGTCCGGGATCAAAGACGAGTGGAACCGAAATTGAGCGAATGGAATCGTTGCGTACCGGCAGGCTGGTCGGCTGGGGGGGCCTCTGTGACTTGACCGTTGGTGTCCATGATGACTGAACCTTCGCTGAAGGCAACGGATTTGCGCTGCTTTTGTTCCTAGTGGAAATCCACCGCAAATTAGTGACCGGCGAAAAAATATATAATTAGGCGTAAAGAAGCTGTCGGGGAGAGTTTTCCAACGGGGGAATGGTCTTGGGCCCAACTGAATAAGTAGTGGCGTGCACGACTATCGTTGGTGTTGACCGAGGGGTATTGTGCAGGCTTAAAAGAAAATGTGGGTGCGGTAAAAACGAAATCAGGTGTGACATACGGCTTCCGCCATGTTGGGTGGTTTTAAGAGTCGCTTCGGTCAACCGCCGGCGTATTTTGGACGAGAATGAGGAGTTTCGGGGATCTCGGAGTGTCGAACAGGTGGATAATATCCAATTTGACGCTGAATCTGATATCTCAATATTCAAGAGGCGAGAGTCTGTTATCGCGGGACAACCACGTGACCTTCTCTAGTGAGTCACAGTCACGTGTGATACCATACTGAAGAGTGCTGCATCAATTGATCAACAATATACCTTTGTGAAAGGATGTAGGAGAATTTTGAGTGTGGAGAATTATCGAAGATTTGCCTTTACTCCCTCAATTCAAATATGCAACATTGATTCTCTCAACTTGAGAACATGCATGTCAGTATCCTGTTTCAGACACCACTATGTAGATAGATAGTGTGGTAGGGCGAACCCATAAAAGCCGGCATAAGATTAGATTTATAAAACTCCATGTATGTTTTGAGCAGCGTTGATTTGCATTCAAGTTCATGATCACCGACAATAGACCATTATCACACTCAATTGAACATGTACATGAGTCAGTCGTGGATTTTATACATAGATCATGAAGCCCCACATGATGGCTTAGCCGAATCAGAGGACGCTTACGTAAATCTTGCACGACCGCGGCGTTGACCCGCAACGCTCAACACTCGGTATCAACATCATCTACCGACAGCAAGCAAATGCTTTGATCACCAGCAGGGCAGCAGGCAGGCAACTGCTCCTTGAATCTATATTCCGCCATACCCATCATATCAAAGTCTCAAAATACCCGCAACCATGTCCTCCGCCTCACCTCCGCCGTCAAATCCCTCCTTCTCCATGTCCGCATACATGGTTCCCTCCAACAACCACTCATACGATTCTGACGATGAGATCGAGTCTCTTCCCTCCGAATCTACCACAGACTCCGATCTCGAAACTCTCTCAGATGACTCCTCCGATGCCGAGGCGGAATGGAGGGAAAGCATTGAACAATTGGAGTTGCTGTTGACCATGGTGCTTGTGCCTTTCATTGGCAAGTATATGGGGCGAAAATGCGCATATTGGAGTATGTTGATCTGCTGTTGAGATGGGTGGACTTTGCTAATGAGTATTTTTAGGTTGGACGCGATTCATGCAGTGGAATTACCCTGTTGAGGTTGTGGTGCGGAGCCCGGGGATCTTCAAAGGCATCGGTGCTATCGAGGCGGCTGCGAGCCTTTAATACCATACATCGTTCTTTTTCTCTGTCTTTTTGTCCTTTCTGTGTTTCGCATACATGGCGTTAAAAGAATGGCTGTTGTTGACTCGATCGGATAAAAGCGCAGCTCGGGTTTTCATTTATCTGAAATGCCTCTATCAAGGCATTGGATACATGTCACTGTTTCTATCTGGTCTTTTATGTTAATAGTGCTTTACTATCTAGATCGTTCTATACCCGAATAACTCATTTCACAATACTCTTCCCAGGGCGACTAGCTATTGATGTATTTGTGCTCAAATCTCAAGTCCACTTTCCTCGCATGTTTCCTCTACAAACACCTTGATCGAAAAGTGCACAGTTATTTATGGGTTCAATTAATCTTACATATAAGCGACCCAACTGTCATTATTGATGTAATAATGTACATGGAGGAGCAAGCGTAAATTTATACATGGAGTATGATGAAGAAAGGCGATGAAGCGGTTCGAAGATTTCGATCAGCCATCAATACAACCTATTCTGGCGCCAGAATCCAGGCGGAAGGGTGTTGGGAGCCGGACCATGGGTGGCCGCTGATTGTACGTCGGAATGTCTCGGAATTGATAGGAGACTGAATACATCCTCCCCTAGAAGTTGAGGTAGAAATTCCAGATTCTCAGCTTTCTCGCACATTTTGGATTGCCCTTCAGCGCCCCCACGGTCCCTCTCGCCTAGTAGTAGAGCGTGTTCAGCCGACACGGCTCCAGGTGGCTCGTTCACGGGAAATGCAGCAAGCAAATCTTCAGTAGTCCACTCGAACTCCTTCCAGGCGTCATCATCTTGAAACGCGAGCGGATAATTTTCCATGTCGTGGCTTATTTCCACCAGAAGGTCGGCATCTATGGAGGCGGAAGCAGTATATTCATGCCTATTTCCTAGGCTCACGTCAGGCTCCAACCCATGCTGCATAAACCGTTTGGTAGACTCTGGAAAGGACGAGGTGTCTCTTTGGTCATGAACTGTCTGAATAAATTCCGCTGTATTCTCCACGGCGCCGTCTGAGACGTGGAAGGATTTTACGTGCCCAACGGGATGTGGTTTCAGATCTGTCGAGTAGTTGGGAGCAGTTCCTTCTTCTGGACTTCTTTGGGTCTCCGTAAAACGTCTGTTTCCAATCCTTTGGGGTATTTCTTTTAGCAATTGATCATCAACTTGAAAATTCTGGTTTGTTTCACATTGCCAAAATGACTTGCGCTCTCGCAACAACTTTTGCAGCTCGTCAAGATCACAATAAGGTGTGGCCGGAACTCGTTCGACAGAGCAATCAGCGATCTCAGTTGATAGGAGACCCTTTAAAAGCAGCACTTCCAATTCATGACCGGTTTCCGATTTGTCATGGTGTGTATCAGACCATGTGTAGGGGATTGATGATTGGGCATCGTCGACGGGATCTTGCACCTGTCGCTTCGATTGTGGGAGTGTGTCTTTTGGGTTTTTGCAGGTAGCCGGGGCTAGTAATTCGACTCCAATTCGGGAAGACGGCATTGCTTTGTATGCATCGTTCGACGTCTCTCTCGCCCTGGATTCTGGATCATTTTCCTTTGGGGGCAGAACGGTTTCCACCTCGACTTCCTTAAGGGGCTCTGCAAATGTATATTTCTGACTCTTCTCCTGTCGAATGTGACCTTTCTTCCTTCGTTTCACTGTTTTTCTGTCTGCATCGTTAACCGTCGGCATATGGATGTGTCTTGTCACAGGCACTCCTTGATTCATAGAAAGCTCATTTGCCAAACCCCCGGAACCAGATAATTCTAAAGTGTGTCAGACGTTCTTCATCTAACACTAGTATAAATCGAACCAAACTCACTGCCATCTCGTAGTATGACCGGACTTGAAGCCTTCCCCTTGTTGAATATCCCCACATTCATATTGCTGCGCAGCTTTGAAGGGCATTAGACAGCCGAAAGCTATATCGTGAGCTGGTACTCACGGTCAATCTTTCCCGAGCAACATTCGATGCGTGGAATTCATCATTCATGTTATGCCACCTACTTGGCCGTTTCCGCTTTCTTGTGCGGAATTTCGAAGACGACTGCTGCTGATTTCCAACAGTAGAGCCCTTATACTCATAGAAATCCTCTCGTGTCTTGTGGCGAGGTCTGCGCTGGAAGGTGTCTTCTCTCTTGCGTTTTTTGCCCTTCGGTAGTAGATCTAGGCCTTCCTCAACCCCCATGAGCCCTTCTTGTGTCCTTCTGTCGTCAACCGCAGTAGTGCCATGGCCGGGGTCCTTGGTCGTAGCTTGATAAATCTTCGCAGCGATCGTGAAGTCTTCAACGAGGCCGGGTGCGTCGAGTGCGACTCTGTCGTCTATGCGGCGAGGGCCGGAGGTTTGTTGTTCGTTGAATTTTGTGTTTTGAACAAGCAAATCTTGCGGGAAATTCAAATCATTCGTAACATTCGCAAGCCATTCATGGATTAAATCATTACCAGGATCCATCGGGTATCAGTTCCGGCAAACAAGCCGACTTGCTGAACTTGTAGCGAAAAGCATGAAAGTTGGCTCAGAGAAGCTCAGGTGACTTGTGAGGTATGGGTGTACGCTTTGCTGCTAGTAAGGGAAGTCACGACCCTGAACCACCAAGTTTCTCGTCCTCCATATGTACCGGCCATCTCCTTCACAACTTCAACCTAACATCTCTTCATCACTGTCACCGCGATGCATATAGTATATACGGCCAAGCCACTTTTGAGACAACCACGATGTTTATCACAATTCCATCGCGTGAAATGGTATTTACTTATTTTCTCCGCTAACTGAATTCCTCCCCGGCCTTTCTTCCCCCCGTCAGCTGTTAACCTTTTTATCAGACTTCGAAGCCGGGTGTCCATTCGATCCATGCGCTGATCGTCTCTTCCAGTCTCCGGAGTCCTTCCGGCGGACGGCCCAAGCGGTATGTGGGTCCAGCCGCCCCTCTACCTCGCATAGCGTGGATTGGATGTGGATGATCAATGCGGTCGGACTGGAGCCCAAATTAGTTTGACAAAGGCCAAGCCCCTCGAGGGACTTTCTGCAGGCTGCATATTTTTGGGGCCAGACCACATCTTCAGCCAAGTATGGTCACGGGTTGACAATGCATATACGCACATCTCGCAAGTGCATGAAGACTGTGAGGTACAATCTGTACCTAAATTCAGTGAGACGGGTGCGCGTTCCACGGATACAAGTGCGTGGAGAACCCCGCCCAAGCCGCGAATCGCACCCAGGGTTCTTCGCAGTCGACCACGCGCTCCTTCGTGCCTTCGAAACCAGTCCAAATATAGAGAACTGCGATTCCTGCGTAACTATGCCTCTGCAACCGTTGTAGATCCAGCCCTGATTTCATTCTCTTTCACCGCATGAAACCAGGGCAGAAATAGACCAAAAAACCGGCTCTGGCCGTTTCCCGATACTAGGCTAGCGTGTCCCCTCCTTCTTCAATCTTCCTAGGTCCAGCCTCGGGTGACATCTGATTGACGGAGCGGAAAAAAGGAAGAGTGTCCGCTAGTCCCGAGAATCAAATGATTTACAAGGTTTAGTCTGGTGGGACTTTGTCTCTTTGAAGGAGGGAGGGGAATTAGCCCCCCACCTTGTCCTTGCATTATTCTCCTCTCTGTTTGCCCAACCTCTCTTTCTTACTGGTCCTTGCCCTCCAGAGAGTGCTAGATAAAAGACAAAAACTCCACCAAAAACAGAATAACCAGTCAGCAATATAACCTAATCTGTGACTGCTATTGGCGCCAGTCCAACTGGGAATTTTCCCAAGGATGTGGAAGCCCTAAAGCAGTGTGATTGTTACACGGATTTGACGGCTGACTCGTTTCGCAACCACTAGGATCTCCCTGCCCCGTTGCACTCGGCACAACCTTTCATCGTTTTCTTCTCTGCCTTCCGTTGAGTTGCCTCTAGTCGACTTTTCCTTCCAAGCAAACCAATCTAGTTGCAGTTGCGGTTTCTTTGACCCCTTTCCGACGTTTCGCAAACTGAGATCATAATGTCTAAGCTCTTCGTTCAGTACGTCTGTTTTTACGCTTTCTGTGCGCTGTTTTTCATTCCCGCTTTTTCATTTCACTTTCTGTCTCCGTGTGTCAAATTATCTGCTGTTATACATAGTAGGCTAACTATAATTGAAATGATTTAAAGCGGCCTGTCCTGGCATACTAATGATGATACTCTCCGTGAGGGATTCCAACAGTTCGGCGAGATTCAGGAAGCTGTTAGTATTCGTCACTTTCCCGGCAAATCAATACTCTGCTATGCGCGATGTAATCTCACTAAAGACCTCTCAGACCGTTGTCAAGGATCGTGCAACTTTGCGCAGTCGTGGATTTGGATTTGTTCGCTTCGCTACCGATGCCGAGGCTGACGCTGCGATGAATGCAATGAATAACGTGGAGTATGATTGTTTGAGGGATCTTCCCTCGTTACTTCATGTTTGAAAACACTTGGACTTACCCTTTTGAATAGATTCGACGGCCGAGTTATCCGTGTCGACAAGGCATTTGACCGTCCAGACCGCCAGAACCGACCCGACGGCGGCTTCCAGGGTCGTGGTGGATACAACCAACAGCCCGGTAGTGGATACCAGGGTGGCGGCTTTGGAGGCGGCGGCGGTGGTGGTTACAACCGCGGCGGTTATGGCGGCGGTTATAACAACTATGGAAATGGTGGTGGAGGTGGTGGTGCTGGCTACGGTGGTGGATACGGCGGCGGCTATGGTAAAGATCTCTCTCGTTTACAATTCTGATTCAACAACAACTTTAGGTAATAACATTTTATATAGGTGGCGGTCCTAATGCAGGATATGGGGGTGGCGCCGGTAAGCTTGGAGATACCTCTCCAACGGAAAATCTACGCGAACAGCATATTAATTTTCTATTTACAGGCTTCCGCAACAACCAACCCCCAGCTCCAGAGGGAAACTAAGGCTGCAAAATTTCCCATATACCCCCATTGACGTCTTTCTCTGCACACGCAAAATGTTCTTCGACTGCTCTTTCTTTTGGACAAAAAAGGATTTGACGAAATACGTCGGAATGAGATTTCATGCAATGTGGACCGGCCCTTAGAGGCTGCTGAATTATGCAATGACTGACAGCTTTAATCATTTGTGTTAATGGAGAATTTGTTGAAGGTAGAAGAGATTTGTTTCTGGACATTAATTTGCTTTTTCTTATTTCCTATCTATGATTGTTTCGTCTTTTCTACATCCGTCATGGGGCGTGCTGTCTGTATCAGGGTAGGATTTAGGATGTAGGATAGCCTTTTGATATGACACCAAAACAGCGCTTTCAATGAACACAACAGATTTGCGATTTGATTCAAGATGCTTTGATGCCAATTTGGACCTTAAAGCTTAAACTTCAAGTTCAATAGTTGGGTATTTCGTATTTCTCCTCTTCAATTTATCAGCAACCATACATCTCCCAACTTTATGTACTCTAATCTTCGAACTCTATGTCCCCCAACCAGTAAAAGAGCCCACATGGAACTCAACCCCCAGGTCTAAGGCCCACTGAAACCTTCAAACCTTCTACTCAATAGACCCCCTTCTCTCCCCCTCAGGCTCCCCAGCCAAATTCCTCTCAACCTCCCTCTCCGCCTCCTCCTCCTCCCTCTCAGCTAAACTCCTAGCCTCAATCCCCTTGACCCTCCTCACAAGATCCGTAACATGCACATCCGCACTCCCAAGCCCAATCCCCTCAAGCGCCTTCTCCAATAAGAAAAGATACTCCGTGTTCTTCCCGCTAGCTCCATGCCCCGCACTGATTACCTGCGCCACATCCTGCGGCTCGCGACGAGCATATTCACGCAGGAATTGCGGATTGCTAGGCTGTCCAATATACACCATGCAAGTTGATGATTGAGCAGAGACAGAAAGGTCTGTGATGGTTTCTGGTCCAGATTCAGATCCAGATGCTGAGACGGGGTAAAAGGGTGTGAAATGGGCACTGTATCCGTCTACTTCTCGCTCGTCGAGGTAATCATGTACTTCTTCTGCATGCGAAGCGGGGATATGATATGCTGCGCCCCATACCTTTGTGGATGCTGATTCGGATTCGGTTTTTGCGAGCTGCTGCGTGTTAGTGTCGGAAATAGAACAGAACAGAACAGAACAGAACAGCTTCGTTACAAAAGACTGGACTGTGAGTGTATGTGTAAATACCGGATCATCTAGCGTTTTCCAAAACTCCCGCTCAATAACCGTGACTACTCGACCTGGTTGCTCGGGAGTTCCGCGGTGATCGGTACTAAAATAGATCCAGTATTAGCTGATTCCTATAAGGATCTAGTAACGCAATGCAAATTAAATACAAAGACAGACTATTTAGGCTAGTCTGCTCCGAGGCATGGTGCATACCTAGCCTGATTAAAAACGCCACGGCTATTGTCAGCTGGCTTGTTCCGGGTGGTGATTGCTGTTTTTGGGTTCCCGGGGAAATTCAAGTTGCTTTCCGGTTTATTCTTGGGATTCAACCCCGATTCAAGTGTAGAGATCATGATCTTACCTGCCAGAAACGTCGGACGTAGCCACTAATGTAGCCGGGGACTCGTTGGTCTATGTGGCATTATTAACATGTACGTTTATGATCTGGAGCTGTCTCCAGGGCTGATCTGGTATGGGGTATTCCAGAATTCCAACTTGTCTCAGTATTAGTAGGTGTTGTCACATACCGTAGTGTGGGGGTGGCTTCCAAATTAAGCTCCTGTCATTTATTTAGCGAGTTGTTTTTAACAAGAGACAGAGTGTATAAATGAAATCGAACTATATCTCCCGACACTTGGTACCTAGTGGTAGTGGTTGTGAAGGGCCTGGTGGTATGTACTTACCCGTATCCAAATACCCAGAGATCCCCTTTAGGAAAATGAGTCTTCCACGTTCGTCCATTAGGATGGACCTGGTGTCCCTGCAAGCTTGCTGCCATCTTCAAGTTGATCTTGTTCAATCCGGTACGTATTTCTAAGTGGGGTTGATTGAATCAGACGGTGTGTTCAAGTTTTAGAGAACGTAATTTCCAGCTTTGAAACCCAATCAAGCCGGATGTGGGAGTATTCTGTATTCACTGGTACCAGGATACAGTTCAGTGAATGAAAATGGAGATAGCAGGTTTTATGTACTTTAGTTGGCGTATACAACTTGGCGATCTGTGGGCATCTCGCTGAGAAATCGAAGGTGTGTTTGCAGTGTTTGCTCGCGGCTCGCCATTTCTCTGTGGATGAGATCTTAGCTGTCACCTCGGGAGACATGGGGTCGGGGGGGGTATTATTAATGAGCTTGATTTGGTATTCCGGTAAATACCTAATTTGGATGATGGACTGAATAACTCATTATTAATTGAGTTGAATAGATATGCTGATTCAAGTCATTAGATGTTTGATGCACTGAATACAAAGCTTATAGATCGAGCATCGACACCTGATTTTTGAAATGCTGAGCCCATTGAAACTGAAAACGGAACTATAGTGGAATTCAATGAGTTATAGTGTCTCATTTGTGCGAATTAGGTCTGTCAAGACATTTAGTATTTCGTCAGGCACATTGAATTGTCCTGATGTCGCTCAAGATATAGAACATTGTCCTTGATTGGCCAATTCTGACAGCTTACATGACTCAGCATGCTGACATAATATTTCAATCCGTCTCCACATGCAATATCGCTCGAAACAAACAGGAGAATTGATATCTACATCCAACATCAAACATATCCAATCAACTGTCTCTTACCGGGATATCCTGGTAACCATCCACCATGGCAGGCCTATTCCGACTTCTGAAAATGCAATACACCCCTCCCACAGATCCCCGTGGAATCTCCCTCGCCGGCAAAACCGTCCTATTAACAGGCGCAACATCCGGTCTAGGCTACGAAGCAGCAATCAAATACATGAATCTCGGCGTGGACTCCCTAATAATCGGAAGCCGAAGTCTAGAGAGGGGAAATAGCACAAAAATCAAACTTGAACAGCTCACCAATCGACCCGGCGTCGTGCAAATATGGGAACTGGAAATGAACAGTTTTCAGAGCGTGAAGAATTTCGCAGCTCGCGCGAATGAGTTACCCAGATTAGATATTGCGTTGCTAAATGCTGGTCTTTGGAATCGGGATTATACGATTTCACCTCAGTCTGATGGGGAAGGGTGGGAGGAAGTTCTTCAAGTTAATGTTCTTTCGACTTCTTTGTTGGCGCTGCTGCTTTTGCCGAAATTGAGGGCGTCTGGTGCTCATTATGATTCTGAACCGGGGCATTTAAGTGTTGTTTCGAGTCAGCAGTTTGTGAGAGTTAAGGCTGAGAGTCTACGTACGGACTCGGAAGAATCACTGTTGGAACATCTCAATTCTCCGGAGAGGTTTCAGGGCCCGAAACAATACGGTATCTCGAAGTTACTAGTCGAGTATGTGATGAAGACTATTGCCAATGGGGTTCGAAGAGAAGATGGTTCATTGCCTGTTATTGTCAATACTATTAGTCCCGGGTTGTGTCAGACTTCTCTCGGTCGGCAGTATGATCGGTTCTATGAGCGATGGATTGTTTGGTTGTTGCATCGGTTATTTGCGAGGACTTCCGAGGCTGGCAGTCGGTCTTTGGTTAGTGGGACGCTTCAGGGCGCGGAGTCGCAGGGTAAATGCTGGCGAAGTGATGGGTATCTTGAGTATGTATCACTATGTCCATTTCCATGTCTACGTTTATGCTGAGATCAGTTTCCGCCTGCGTTTTATGCTGACCAATTCTATCTAGTGAGTCTAAAGCGCTTACCAACGGATCAGAAGGGAAGGAGTTTCAAGCCAAGGCTTGGAAGGAGATTGTGGGGTTATTAGAGAGCCAAGCGAAGGAAGTGCGTGATATTCTTGTATTTGAGGATTAGCCTTGTTTAGCTCGTATTCGTGTATAAGTACGGGATTGTACACCTGGGCATGGGTGTGGAGTTAATTTGATTGGACCACCTGTTATGGATATGGCTATGGGGATAGGGAGTGTGGAGCCAGCATAATATGCGAGTCAATAGGACCAGGGTTAAGGTGGAAGCAAGAACTAAATGGTGCTATTAAACTATGCTAAACCATGCAGAGATTAGGCGTCAGGTTATAGCACCAACCTAACTGGAAATGGACCGTAAGGCTGAGCTATTACATCCAATGGGGAACAGGGAACACAGCTTCATAGCTTCATAGCTCGTATTTTCTACTTGTTTAGTGGCTTTTTAGTGGTTTCTGGTGGGGATCAGGCAAGTGTTGCGACGCTGACTTTTTCTCTCTGGGCAAAGAACAACCACCGCCCCACGGCTCCGCTTTGACAAGAACACAACCCTCCTGGTATTTCTTGAGCATAAACTCTTTTCCCTCGCTTCTCCTTTTTTCACTCTCTGGATTTTGCACCTCTTTCGTTGGGATTATATCCCCTTTTACTATACACATCTCCCCTCAATCTCTTGTCAGGGCGAGATATCCTCGCCCTTTGACACGCGTCCTCACTTCGTGCCTCATTGCGTCACCAAAATGGCTTACAATAAAAGTTACAACCCGGACGCGCTGCCAGCGTAAGTCCAAGCTCGAAGACAAGATCAACGATGCCAATCGCTAATTTTCTACTTAAACAGCCATGCCGAACCAGAGCAGGTAAGAACAATGAATATGGACTTGGATCCAAATCAGAATCCGAATCCGAATCCTAGGCATTAACATAACTCAATGTAATGAATGCGCCGACTAACCATCAATCCCAGGTTGCGCAAATGATTGGATCAATGCAGGTTGGAAAACCACCAGGTCCATCCCCAAGTCCACTTCCATCTCAAAATCCAAATCAACGACCTCTTCCATCCCAAAAACAAAAACCATTACCTTCTCGCCCGCCCGTTCAACCTCAACCGGGCCCTCCAACCAGTGGCGTCCCCCCTCGCGTTCCTGTTGCTAGTGCTCCCCCGCAGCACAACCCATACGTCGCTCCTACCCCGCGACCAGAACCTCTCGCCTCCCAGTCTTATAACGGTCGCTCGTCCACTCAGCCTCATCCCACACCTACTCCAAACCAATACCCACCAAACCAATATCCCCCGCAAAACCAGCGGCCGCACCCTTTACACCCCTCCCCTCCACCCCAAAACTACGGTTACGGTCCACCACCACAACAGCCTCGCAATCGACCACCGCCTCAATCTCGACCTCCCCAATCACCCAACCCCCCACCACTACCAATCCCCAGCGATGATCCCCAACAACTATTTCCGCTATTCCGCGCCGCGAACTCATCTCACTCCGGCGCATTAACCGAACACGAACTCGGTTCTGCACTAGTAAACGGGGACTATACATCTTTCCATCCTCGAACAGTGAAGATGATGATTCGCATGTTTGATCGCGACGGAAATGGCATAATCAACTTTGATGAGTTTGTGTCATTGTGGAAATATCTAGCTGCATGGCGCGAGCTATTTGATCGATTTGACGAAGATCGCAGCGGGCGCATCAGTCTGAATGAGTTTGAAAATGCGCTGGTCGCATTTGGATATCGGTTAAGTCCGAAATTTGTCTCGGTGCTTTTCTCTATCTTTGAGAGTAAGACTAGACAGTTGAATGCGCCGCCGCGGAGTCCGAGTGGGATGAGCTTTGATCTATTTGTGCAGGCTTGTATTACGTTGAAGAGGATGACGGATGTGTTTAAGCGATATGATGATGATCGGGATGGGTATATTACTGTGAGCTTTGAGGAGTTCTTGACCGGTACGTTTCAATACTTAACATATAGCCTTGGGGGCACTATATGTACTTCAAGACAACAGACTGACTGACATGGTTTTATAGAAATTCTTCAACTCCAGGATTAGAGGAATACGAGATATCTGATGATATCCATATGCTCTGTATTTATTGCATTTGAGGGCTCTTTTATACATGGACTGGTCTTGGATTGTTTTCTTTTGTCTCTTCTCTTTTCTTGTTTTCGCTTGATTGCCCTTTCATTATACCCCTTTCCCCAACTGTTTCCACGATAGAATCACTTGAATTTTGAAACTGGGTTTATTTCATGCATGATGGGATCTATGTTTCACCCGCAAAAAGAAAATATGTTTACATGCGTCTGGTGAATATAGGTAGATCATTCCCAATTGATATCCGTTTTCGGCGTTTACTGCCCATAGAGTGCTCAAGTTTGCATTGCGTCATTGTCATAGCTTAACCTGTAATTGAGCGGTTCAGAGCTTAACGATCTGATATTCTGTTTCGTTTCAGGTTTAGATTTGCTTTTTCTAATTTCTTGTGATTGTCTACTATGAATTTAAGTTTCTGTGGGCGGACTTATGAGGCTGCCGCCCACAGCGCCATCGCATCAGGAATTAAATTCAATATTTCGGAGATTTATGTATAACATACTAACTTTATTATCTAGGGATAACTTAGAAATATCTAAGAATGTGGAGTCAAAGTCTGTTCTGATACAGCATAGTATAGCAGTAGTATTCATATGATCTTACTAGTATATACTAGGTTCTAGTGATTAGACTGTCCAGTCTGTCATACAGAACACACTGGTAGTAAGAACCGCATCTTGGCTGTGAGTCCACGGCAGACGCGCCAATCTCTATGCTGTAATACCCGGACCTGTGAATTAGTACATCCGGTTAGTCTTGCCTAGTTTGGGTTAGCGCCCCAATACTATATTTTGTAAGCTCTCTTGTTGCGCCGGTATAAAAACCTCGCCCTGCCCTTTCGACCTTTTGTCCCTCTCTTTCCTTTCCTTCCACTCCTCTATCTTGCACTCGTCGCCACCCCCTTCTTTCCCCTCTCGCCCCCACCGACCATTGCACGCACTGCCCCTTTCATTCACCGGATATGCTGCTCGATCTGACCCCAAGCCTTGTTCTCGCTCCTTGACCTGAAGTGGCAGCTGCGCAGGGTTAGAACTACCGGATGATTCAGCCCGCAGCAGCATAGTGTCACTATCTCCCCATGGAATGGCTGCGGCATGCTACGAAGCTATCTAGGTCAACCTTGAGCCTTGTGCGCCTCTGATTCCGCAGGCCTCCTGCAAATTGCTATCCTAGCATCGACGGCGCCTGCCCCGCTACATCCACCCCATCTCAGGTTACATTGGCGGGTGACAGCAAAGAGAAATCTCCACTGATTATGACAGGTTGGCGCGAATATTGTCCGCTACGATCGAAGGCCAGAAAAAAAAGGGTTGAGGACATCTGGGTGTTGTTGAACAAATCTAACTTATTCACATGCAGTGAAGTACATAGCCTAGAGCCTGACCTCTTCAATGCCACACGGCATATAACAATGGACACATCCACTACTAAGCTAGAGTTGTGTCGCTCGAGCCAGCCTCAGCTTTTCTTCCTTGGCCCTTTTCTCTTCCCGCTCACTGAACCGATCACCAAAAAGTTCTAAGTGAGGCCGCATGAGGAAGGTGTATTTTACAAACTCCTCCATGCAATCCACCAGTCGGTCCCGGTTACCACTAGGCATCATCCTCTGATCTCCCGGTTGACCCTCGTCGGGGAAATGTGTATACGCTTTCGGGATCGAAGATTGATTCGCAATAGTGAACATGCGCATCCACCGACCGAGAAGACGCAGAGAGTTGACGGCATTGAACGATTGCGAGCCGCCGCACACCTGCGCAATGGCGAGGGTCCGGCCTTGCGTCGGACGCACACTCCCGGTAGTCAGCGGGATCCAGTCGATCTGATTTTTGAAGACGGCGGTCTGTGGATGGTCAGTAATAAGCTACCAGGCATTTTTGGGGCGGGGGGAGGGGAAGAAATGCTCACTAGGTTCCCATGTTGTTCGGGGGATACCCAAACATGCCCGTCGCTCCAACTGCTAAGCTCTCGGAGCTCCTGCACCTTGGGATGGCCGTACTCGGTATCATTCTTCACTGGTAACCCCTCGGGATTAAACACACGCACGTCACACCCCAGATGGAAGAGAATCCTGCTGGCTTCCAGAGCCACCAGGCGAGAGTAGGATCTCCGACGTAGGCTGCCGTATAATACCAGCATCTTTAGACGGTTGTTTGGTTTTTGCAGTTCCTGCGCTGCCAAGCCCATGGCGGTTGTTAACTCCAAGGTACTGACCCAGTCCTCGGCCGCGTCGTCGAGAATGAAGGGGCGGTATTTTTGACGGATCTCGTGGTCATCCTCGCTCTGTGGTATAGCCAGAGATGGGTGTTCCGGGTATTGTATGCTCTCATGCCCAGTGACGAAGTCGGGAACAGTTGGCCCCGGCTGGGCAACCGCGGGATGCGCCATGGTGGTGTATCTGTAGGGCGACAGACTAGCCACTGAGTTGATGACCGGGGTAATTTTGCGTGCTAAGGGAATTCGAAAAGGAGCAATCATCAGGGGATTTTATATATTTTTTATGCGGATCTGGCGATAGCAGTTCTGATTGACAAATGCCTTATTTATAGATTCGAACAAATTCTAGATGGCCAGATCGGGGCGACTGAAACGCGGCGAGTAGATGTCATCCGCAGGTGTTGATTGGCTGGTGAACACGGAAAATTCTCAAACGGGTTAAGTGGATTTGGTTCTCGGCACTAAGCCTTGCTTAATGGCAGAGAGTTCAAGAATACTTAAGAGCACAAACAGCGGATATTTATCTTCCTACGTCGAGCTCGGAAGCTGTGTTAGTGGCACGATCGCACTCGAGGCAATCTCCCTGACTAAATACAGTGGACCCCGGGGGATAGAGTCCATCAAACTACGAGCACAACGATTCGTCACCTGAGAGAACGGCTACGGATCCTACTTCGTCGACTTCGATTTCGATTCCAGTTACTTATCAACAGATGGCTATATCCGACAGCCAAATTTCCGACGGGGACTCGGAGTTGGGTGTTCTGTTTGACTCTCCTACTCCTGATACTTCAACGTTACAACCACCCAGCAGGCACCAGGACTCCAGGCAATCAGGACAATGTACCCCGTGTGAAACTGCAGCCAGTATCATTTCATATATACGAAGTTACCCCGACACGCAGGATGTGCGATCAGAACTAGGGTGTCAGTCGAGCGCTAGCTGCATGGTAAAAAACATGGACATCTTCCGGCTGCTAAATGAATGATCACGCGATGAAATATTTAATTGATATTGAACTGGGCTAAATCTCACGGTCACCCCTTTGTACATACTCATCGTGAACCTATGGGGACTGCGCTTGTCCGAGCCATGCAATGCAAGGGCGTTCTCACCAAATTGGATTCTAGCCTCTCCATGACAGTTTTTAAGCAAAGTTATCTAAACCTTGATAGCATAGATCTGAAACGAGCCTGGAAAAATTGTCAATAGCGCAATCAAGCTTGAGTCAGGATGGAGGGTAATAACTGACCAACCCACTCATTAAAGTCTAACTCTGCAACATCACTCGTAGTCTCTTTCTTCGGACCCACACTGCTGCAGCAGGAGCTCTGAGACAAATACGATGACTGCTTGTAAAGATTCAGGTCCGACTTCGCATCAACGATGAGCACACCTACCGGCAGGTTAGTACAAAAAACTCAGGTGCCTTTGATAGCTGTATATTTACTGTCGAATCCGGCCTGCTCAAGATACTCCTCATACCTCGCAATCTCACTCGCACCGGCAACACACCCAACATACAGCGCCATGTTCTTAGTAATGTGGCCCGGGAGCGGCTTTCGGGCCAGAATATCACTGATGGCAACCCTTCCGCCCGGCTTTAGTAAGCGAGCAATCTCTTTAAAGACGGCCGGTTTATCGGTCGCTGGGACGAGGTTAACGACACAATTACTAATGATGCAGTCGACGCTGGAGTCGGGCAGTGGCACGGAATTGATAGTTGCTTCAATAAACTTGGCGTTGGAGACTCCCGCCTTCTGCGTATTTTTCTCGGCGAGTTCGATCATGCTCTGTGTCTACTATCAATCCTGGTCTCTATAGAGGAAAGAACTCGAGCTCGAATCACTTACCTTTGTCATGTCAACACCGATTGCCTGCCCATTGACCCCGACTTTACGGGCCGCCAGGAGGACATCAATGCCACTGCCGCTGCCAAGGTCCAGAATTGTCTCACCCTATATACTCGAAGGTTAGTATTTTCCATTCGTCACCGTCGTGCGAAGATACCAGTTAAGCACAACAGACTTCTTTCATATTGGCAAACCCCACTGGATTTCCACAGCTTAATCCGAGGTTGGTCCTCTCTGGCAGCGAACTGAGATCTTCCGCACTGTAACCAAAGGCCCTGGCGATCTGCTCTTCTTTCTCGTGCTGCTGAGTAGTGTAACTCTGCTTGGCGATGTCACCATAGCGGGACTGGACAAGATTGTAGGTATCGTTGGACATGTTGTAGATATTTCCAACTAGATAACACCAAAAAGCCTCAAGGGGATATTGTTGATTGATTTAGACTGAATGGGTCTCTCGTGGCTGAGACTGGCAGGATGATAAGTTTTTCGAGTGCAGACGGGAGATATCCGTGCTTTATCTTCACATACGGAGGAATGATCGGCCGTTTTTATTATCGATTGAATGTAAGCCTTGAGCTCTACAGTACGCTCGTTACTGGGTGAATTGTTTATCGTTGGTATGTCACCCACTTGGGCACGGACTATGGAGGGGAGAAAGTGTCCGGGGTAGTATGTCATCACATTTGGAGTGGATCCCGCCAATCCAAGTGGTTTTACCAATACAACGTAACGTGAGATCTGGAGATGCTTGTGGTATTCATATCTAGCACCAGCAGGTAAGGGTGTAAAATAGTAAGGGAAAACCGAAAAACATCCTACGAATCTCAACAGACAAACGTACTCGTTTGTACCTGATATTCTGTTTTGAGGTTAAATTGATGTGCTACTGTGCTACTCTACAGTATCGTACAGTCATGCTAAGGCGCTGTAGTTCTGATATCGTCAAGGTGGGCAATTTTGTATGACGACCAATCACATCAGATGAGTGACAGTTTGCTGGTATTGACCAATAATAACGAAGCCATGACTTACTGCCATTGCTCTAGATTTGTGATTTGTCAGTATGAAAATGGAGCAATTCTTCACCGAAATTTCGACCAGTCACAGTGTTAAAGTGACATACAGATTGCTGTCAATCTTATAGGCCCAGAAATATGTCAGTGTCAAAGCAATCTTCAAAGACGATAGCCTATCATCCTGTCGGTCTTATAATAAAGCAGGCCGCCAGCTGCCAGTCTAGATTTGCCAAGTGCTAAAAACCTCAACGCATCATTGATATAACGAGACGATGATGTCGACTCTAAAAGCATTGTAGGCTCTATTCTAGGTGTGATATCGTATGCACTGCGACTATACCTTACGAAAAACCCCCGTCAAATGGTCTTATATTGTGGGCCAAGTCCGAGTCATTCATAAGAATGTTCTAGATTAACGTTGAAGATGTTCCTTTGTAAAGCCAACACGTGATATATAAACTTCGACAACAGCCTCCTTTTGCCTCTTGCTTATAGAAAGGCATCCCTAATATTTCTCCATAGCATATCCTAGGGGCATTCACTCTTCACACCCACCAAGTTCTGCGATCGTGATAATCTCACCCCTCTCGAGGTCACTGGCACAATCAAGAAGCTATTCCACAACGAGCTCACCATCGATCACTCAAGACATATACGATGGCCAATAAACCCAGCGTCTTATTCGTCTGCGTCCACAATGCCGGTCGCTCCCAAATGGCCGCCGGCTACCTGAGCCACCTTGCCGGCGACACCATTGAGGTCCGTTCCGCCGGATCGGTCCCAGTCTACTCCATCAACCCTGTCGTCCTCGAGGCCATGCTCGAAGAAGGTGGGTATGCCCATTAGCAAACCCGCGTAATATCCGTCTCCATAGATTACTTTACTGTACATCCCTAATATGAGATTCTCACAAGCTACTATAGCTCTTAAATTAGATCGTTACGCGCGGTAACTGCATCTGGCTCTATTTGATCTGATGCTGATCTCCTTTTCTCGGACCGATTATAGCGCCACTCCCGCTACCAGGTGACACTCGTACGACATATATCTGCGCGGCAACTGTAAATTCGTTGCTTTGTAACCTGCCTGGTACATCATATGAAACGAGTAGAATTATGATCTACATCTTCTATTCTAGCATACTCTGCTTGAGTTCACTCTTTGAATAGTAGATACAATACCACTGTAAAAAGCCATGTTCTATCACGGAGATAAAAGTCGAAGCCGAGTGGAGTTTGCACCCGTTATCGCTGGACCCACCAGACCCCCTTACTTCAACACGAGGTATGACTCTATACCGCACACGCATGCCGAACAGCCTGAATAGCCGAATGCATCTATGGGAGCCTAATGACAATCAGATCCGAAAACAAACAAACACACACATCACAAAACAGAATTAAATCGACCCCAATAGTGGAGTCTTGCTTACTGTAGGATCTACCCTGTACACATAGATCGAGTGTATGTAAGTCTAGCTCGGTCTCGGTCTTTCGGCGCTCCCAAACTCCCGGAAACTCAGAGACCCACTTCTTGCTCTGGTTAACTCCGATCGTTTTTTCTTCACCTCTTTCTTCTTTTCTTTTAAAGGAGTCCAGAGCCCGATCATGCTGAGTTCGAGTTCTTTGTGAAATTATTCTGCGAGCAGTGAGTCGAGTCAAAGAACGGATCGGTGAGCTGAGTTGCGACCGCGCGTGCTATATACGAATCTCCGAATCGTCGACGTAATCTTGGAGAATTCCCCGATAGCTGCGATCGTCTGACTGCGCCGTTATTCAAATACGGACACTTTGACCTGAAAGCTCACTGCTATATTCTGATAATATCGTACAAAAATGTCGACAGAACATCATCAGAATGCCTCAAGTGGCACAAGTGTTATCTCAAAGGAGTTCTCTGAAAAGGCTCCCGTGGAGACCCCGCAGGACCATGAGCATGCATTCGAGGCACAGACCCCTCACGATACTACCGAACCGGAACCTGAAGCTGGCGCGGATATAGATGCCGAAGCTGAGAACAATGCTATAGAGAGGAAAGAGTCCGGCGCACCGCTGGATAGAACACCGTCTCAGGCACAGAAAATGGGCAAGAAGAAGATCATCCTGGTTATGACTGCTCTTTGTGTAAGCTATACGCTCTCGTTCCTTTCTTATACTACCCCATTCTCGACCTAGGTCTTGGCTTGGAAATGCGCATTTCATTTCGTCCATTCCAGAACTATACTCATTGTCTTCTTAGATGGCCCTATTCCTAGCAGCCCTAGACATGACAATCATCTCCACAGCCCTCCCCACAATCGCCGATAAATTCCACGCCTCAGAAAGTGGCTACTCGTGGATCGCCTCTTCATACCTTCTCGCCAATGCCGCCTGTATCCCGCTCTGGGGCAAGGTTTCCGATATCTGGGGCCGCAAATACATCATCTTGCTAGCGAACACGATCTTCCTGATTGGCAGTTTGATCTGTGCCCTGGCTCAGAATCTTCCTATGATTATTGCTGGACGTGCAGTTCAGGGTGTTGGCGGTGGTGGCATTATTATTCTTGCGAATATTAGTGTTTCGGATTTGTTTAGTATGAGGGAGCGTCCGATGTATTATGGGCTTTTTGGAGCTACGTGGGCTGTTGCGGGTGGGTTGGGACCGATTATTGGGGGTGCTTTTACGACGGATGTTACATGGAGGTGGTGCTTTTATTTGAATTGTGAGTTTGTTATCTATCGATCCCTCTTGTGGTTGAGGTTGAGTTTGGCTAATCTTTATATAGTGCCCATCGGTGGTATTTCATTGGTGATCCTCGTTCTTTTCTTGAATATTGAATCGCCCAAGACTCCTCTCCTCGCTGGTCTGCGCACAATCGACTGGCTCGGTACCCTGACTATCATCGGAGGAACTCTAATGTTCCTCTTTGGTCTCGAGTTCGGCGGTGTCAACTACCCCTGGGCCTCAGCTACAGTCGTCTGTCTGATCGTCTTCGGCGTCGTAGTCTGGGTCCTCGCCGGGATAGCAGAGTGGAAGATCGCAAAATACCCCATCATCCCATCCCGAATCTTCGGCCAATGGAACAACATCCTCTGCTTTATCGTCTGCTTCTGTCACGGCTTCGTCTTCATCTCCGGAACATACTACCTCCCCCTCTACTTCCAGACTGTGCTTCTCGCCTCCCCCATCCTCAGTGGCGTCTACGTTCTCCCCATGGTCCTGGGACTATCATTCGTCTCCGCGATTGTCGGTGTCCTGATGAAGAAAACGGGCCGTTATCGCGAATTTATCTCCGCTGGTCTTCTCTTCATGACGCTAGGATGGGGTCTACTCATCGATCTCAAGCCATATGCCTCCTGGTCCCGCATTATCATTTATCAGCTTATCGGTGGTATTGGAGTTGGTCCTAACTTCCAAGCGCCACTGGTAGCTTTACAATCTAATATTCGTCCTGCTGATATGGCTACCGCAACTGCTACTTTCGGTTTCGTTCGCCAATTGTCTACTTCTATCTCTGTTGTGCTTGGCACAGTCGTCTACCAGAATATTATGAGCCAGCAGGCTGGCAAATTGACAGCTTCCATTGGAGCAGAGCTTACGAAGGAGATCTCCACTTCGTTCGCGGGCTCTTCAAAGGCTCTTATCCAGAGCCTTAGTGAGTCTCAGCGTAAGGTTGTGTTGGAGTCTTTTACCTTCGCGCTGAGCAGAATGTGGATCCTTTATACTGTTGTCGCCGGTGTGGGATTCATTGCTTCTTTGTTCATTCGCCACACTGAGCTGAGCAAGACGCATACTGTTCAGAAGACAGGTCTTGCTGAACAAGAACGCGCCCGTCAAGAACTAATTGATTCTCAACGGAAGGCGGAAGGTAAGCCTGAAACTGAGGTTTAGGCTTGGCTTTCTTTCTTTGTTCGGATTTAAACATACATTTACTTGCTATATGTGAATACTTAATCTTCTTGTACTTAATTATTAGTTATCTCTACGAATCGTCTCTACGGAAACGTGCTACGAAGAAAAGTTATGCAGTCTAATTGAAAGATGCCGAATACATTAATCACAAAACTTCAAGTTCCACTTCAGCCATAACCCCCAAATGATCCGTAACCCACGGCTTCTCAAATCCCAACTCCACTAATTCATTTCCTTTCTCCTCCGGACCCTCAAGAAGAACATCATACCCAAACCTCCCAAACCTAGATACCCCAACACAACCGCAAAAATAAACCTTATCCATTCTAGAACACCCGAATTTCGCTCTCAACTCCGTAGCAGCCTGTTGTCCCCACGTAAATCCATCGTCTGTATCTTCCTCCCCACCTAGCTCAAGAAATGCATCTTTCAAATTATTATCACCATGTACATGTAACGTTCTATCAAAGTGCTGAATAGCATTGAAGTCTCCAGCAACTATACCTGCATCAACAGATGTATCATGCAAATGGCGTGCTATTATATTCATCTGCTCCGGTCGAAAAGGAGGTTCAAAAGCCATAGACTCAAGATGAGAAGTGCAGAGTCGGATCTTGATCTTTTTATTCAGAGCCAACGAGACATCGATATCCACGAAGAGAGCATCGCGATCCATACGCGTCTTCAAATAATGGACCCGGAATACATTCCTTATCACCAGACATAAGTCGATAAGCATGATAGTTCCGTAGTGTGTCGTAGCCCAGTTTGTGGTGTCGAGATCGGTTATATGGAACCGTTCCTGGATCCAGGGTGTATTTTTAATTATCTCTAGATCAGACGGAAGGCATTCTTGGAGATATATAACTGTTGCTGCGTTTGAGGTGTCTGGGTTGGAACTTATCAGGGTGTTTAGGTGGGATAAGGCTGTTTTCATCCGGGCTTCTGGGAAGGGAAGCATGAAGTCGATGTTCCAGGAGTAGAGAGCGATTTTGGTAATGTTGGTATTTTGCTCATTTTTATTTTTATTGTACATGCTTGTGTCCGTGGATGTAGATGGAGATGGAGATTTGATGATCCAGGATGAGCTCTTAGGATCAAAGGCGTGATAGGACTGGTTATATGGTTCATCGGGTATCCAGGGAACTGAGGACTTTCTTAACGCCGCGCTGTCTGCGATAGCCTTGGAGATGATGGCATCCATGATAAATGTACGGAATTCCTTCTTGAAAAAAATCCAAGTTGGTCGAGAAGTCTAGAGTGCAGTTGAACCGGTTTGAAGGGCGTGGATGATGATGGTAAACCGGAGCTCGGGATATGGTGGGGTTTACCCGATTATCAGCCCAGAACTATCACAACTTTTTGCGCAATAGACCCACCATTACGCAGATCCGGTAAAATGGCTCCGCTTATCCGTTCAACACAATGGAATGGATTTTTCAGTATCCACAGCTCCTATCTTTTCAATTGCCAAGTCTGCGTCTGCTTTTCTTCTCCTTGCCATCGCCTCCCTCGTGTTCAAATGAGCTGGTATACCCTCTAAAATCTGAAAATTGCGTCAATTATCGCGGCATAAGTCCGTTAGACAGCAGGGGGAAGGTTTTTGTCTTGTCTTGACAGGATCCACACAGCAGGTGCGAAAATGCAGTCATATCTGCAGTATCGGCGATTGGGAAGTGCCGTTAGTAAACAGCTGGCGGATTTTTCGGTGGATGATTATGAGAAGGAACAAGCACAGTACCATTATCAACAACAGCAACAGCAAGATGGTACTTCGGCTCCAAGCCAAGAACTTAAAGCTCAGAATGAAACTTCGGGGTCCTCGAGCGATTCAGAATCCGGTGATGAGTCTGCGACGAAGGATTTGAGGTCTAGCCAGGAGCAAGATATAGCTGGATCCAACGGGTTTTTGGCGAAGAGTCATACGCGAAAATCCGAGAAAACAGCGATTGCATACTCGCTTCCTGGTGTTACTGTTCGTGATATTGATGATGCGACGGATTTGCCTCGTCGAGTCTTTATTGTGGCTTGGGATGGTGTGAATGATCCTCAGCATCCGCGGAACTGGAGTATGGCCGCTCGCTTGTGGGCGACGTTCAACGTTTCTCTACTCGCCTTCATTGTTACGGCTGCTTCGTCTATTAATTCGGGCATTCTACCTCAGAATAATGCTGCTTATGGTGTCGGTGATGTTGTTGGATCTCTAGTGGATGGTAATTACTTATCCCTTTCTATTTTCTCATCTCAAATGTACAAAACTAACCTCTACAACAGGTCTCTACCTTATTGGCTTCGCACTCGGCTCTCTATTCAGTGGTCCACTCTCCGAAATCATGGGTCGCAATCTAGTCTACGCAGGTTCTCTAATCATCTTCATGATCTTCGTCATGGGCGCAGCTCTAGCTCCCAACATCGGCGCCCAGCTCGCATTCCGCTTTCTATCCGGTTTCTTCGGCTGTCCACCCCTAACCTGCGCAGGCGGCACAATCGCCGACCTATGGAATCCACTTGAAAAAACCTTCGCCTTCCCATTTTACGCCTTCATCTCCTTCGGAGGCCCTGTTCTCGGACCCGTAATAGCATCCTACATGGGCCAAACAGGTGTTCTATCCTGGCGCTGGAGCGCATGGATCATACTCATCGGTTCCGGCGCTGTCTTCTTCCTAATAGTCCTCTTTCAACCGGAGACATACGCCCCACTCCTACTCCAATGGAAAGGAAAACAGCTCCGCAAAATAACAGGAGACAAGCGATTCCGATCAGAGATGGATCTTCAGAAAATCGCCCTTTTCACTCGCATCGGCGGAGCCATGAAGCGACAATTCCTAATCACCATCCATGAACCTATCATCCTCCTTATATCCCTCTACATGACAGTATTGTACATTGTTCTCTTCACTTTCTTCGACGGATACACCTACATCTTCACAGATACCTATAATCTCTCCCAAGGAATGACAAACATAATCTGGGTAGCGATGTACATCGGTATCTCTATCTCAGCTCTCCTCGTCTTACCCATCTACTCCAAAACCAAGAAAGATTTCACTTCCGCCGCGAAAGCAGTCAATAGGCCCGACCCATCAGTTGACAGCCACGCATTAGATAACGTGCCCACTGAACCTGAAATCAGACTCTGGTTCGCTATCGTCGGCGCACCATTTATTCCTATCTCGTTATTCTGGATGGGATGGACAGATTACTCTTCTGTCTCGATGTGGTCGCCTATTATTGCGTCGGCGGCTTTTGGGTTCGGAACTATTTGCGTCTTTATCAGTTCGTATATGTATGTCATTGATTCTTATGATATTTATGCGGCGTCGGCGCTGGGATTTATGACTGTTTCGAGGTATTTGGCTGCGGGGGGGATGACGGTTGTGGGAATGCCGTTTTATAAGAATTTGGGGGTTCATTGGACTTTGACTGTCTTGGGGTGCATTAGTGCTGTGATGGTTCCCGTGCCTTATGTTTTTTATAAGTTTGGGCCTGTTATTAGACGGTGGAGTAAGTATGCTGTTACGAATGAGGTTGCTGTTTAGGGTTTGCTTGGCCCTGCTTCCATTTGAAGTTGGGGAAATGGTTGAGAATGGGAATGATATCATATTATACATAGACTGTAAACTGCGCTTTATAGATAGACTGCTCTTTTACTAATAGAAATTTCATATAATAATGCCATGTCATTTCATTCCGGACGCTGCATTTTTCTTCTCTTATTAATTCAATCGTAGTGTAAACATCTTGATTCAGATAGTGAGGGTGAAACTAATGCATGGAAGTAAGCATTATGTACTAAAAGCGATCCATGCAGAATGTATATATTAAGAGACAAGGCATCGATTGATGCAAAATGACTATTTAAGCAAGGTACAACGACAAAATGCGAACCATAACATGATCCCATGTATTCAGGGCCAATCTAGAGACCAGATGGCAAACCGCTGTTGGACCAGGTAATATCCTGAGTGGTACCAACAGTATTGATGTCAATGATAGTCCAAGCCGAATCATTATCTGCCGGATCAACGACGAAAGTGCCAGTACCCGCGCCTCCATATGGGGAATAGTACAAGAAGATGCCTGGGGGCATGTTTGATGCGCCTGCGGGTCCAGCAACAGCCACGGGGTAAGCGCTTGAGGAAGTGTCGGTGCCTAAAACAATTATATAGGTATCAGTATTGCTGATCTGCGCTTTCATGCTACTTAATTAATGTTTATTACTCACCGATGTCTGAGCAGGAGTTGGTGTCGGCGTGGTATATGCCGATTGGGCTCGAGGTACCTGACCACCCGGCGAAGTTTTCCACAGTGACAACGCAGTTTGTGCCGTCTAGACTATGGAGGAGAACGGTGCTGGCAAAGGCGGAGCTAGCGAAGAGGGCCGCGAGGGAAGCTTGGAAACGCATTTTGAAAGAGTGACGGAGTTGGTTGTTAAAGAGCGAATGAATGTTTCCGAGAATTAGGTATTACTTGGAAGTAGAGGTGTTTACAGAGCATTGAGGAATGGTTGGGTCGATATTTGTAGACCTTTTCTCATGACCCCTATACTCCTGACTTTAATGAAGCCTGAATCCTTGCAGGTCAATAAATATCTTGATTGGACTTTGATCCTTTTTGGGGCCATCGGACTTTGCAGCGGTTTGGTTTTGTTGTGGGCTCGGGCAATTTCCTCTGTTCGGTAGATTTGAACGCTGATCGAAATTATGGTGCTTAGAAATCTGGCCTGGGTAATGAGGCCAATGTTTTATGCAGCGGAATGAACTTTTGTAGAGTCGTGTATAACATTGAGATTAGGCGACCGCTAAGTGTGAATTAAGGTTTCAAGTGCGAGGAGCTCGGCAGACTTGTATACTTACATTGGGGCCAAAAGATCCCGAACTCAGGAGAAGATTAAGGAGTATGCAGTAATTCGTATGTATATTTTCGATTGATTTCAACACGTTCAAATCGAAATTCAAGGTTTAATGGGTCAGCTGCAGGTGCAAGAAACGTGGAGAATCTATGTCTAGCGTGCTTATGAGGCTGGATGGTGTCACTATCCACCCCACATCAATCCACCGTCAACTTCGACGTCAAACTTTATTCTTGAACATACGTTGACCTATTCTGTGCTCTTCATCCATTCATATGTGTATGATGTACTATATTCTGTTGAACATTATACACATATCTACCTGGCTCGTCTAAACAATCTCGTCCTGCAAAGCCGCGACAATCCTCTCAAGCGCTAGAACCAGATACTCCTTCGACTGGGTGAACACAATTCTGAACCATCCATCCTTCTCTGATCCAAACAACGCACCACTAGCCAAGAAAACTTTGTGCTTCAACAAGAGATCCATCACCTTATCTCCGACACTATCATTGTCGGAGACACTAGGATGAAGTTCACGATATCTCTTCCCTAGGTCAACCCACACGAAGAATGCCGCATTAGCCCCGGGCGCATATGTAATGCCGTGCTCTCTGAGGAAATCAACAGTAAAAGCATACGACTGAGATAGCCTTCTCTGGCTCTCCTGGATATATGCATCCATGAAAGTCGAGTCATCGAAAAGCGTTGCCATCAGATGATCAGCCAGTCCAGATGGAGTTGTGTAGAGTGATGCACCCCTCAGCGCGGAGTGCAAATCCTCATTCACCTGAGAGATAATAACACCCATTCGAAGACCATTCGCTCCAAAATCCTTACTCACGCCCCAAAGAACATGGACGAGGCGAGGATCAATAATCCCATTCAAATCGATGGAGAGTGCAGACTCAAACTTCACTGGTGGCGGGTACTCATCAACAGTATTCTCCCACACAGATAAGGCATAGATCTCATCGCTGATCAAATGAATCTGGTACTTCTGGCAAAAGCGCATCAACTCGATGAGCACTTCTCGTGAATAACACCGGCCAAGTGGATTATGTGGATGACACAGCATCAGCGATCGAACTTTCTTCCCGGTTTCTTCCTGGAAGTTCAACAGAGCTGTTTCATATTTGGCGACTCCTTCCAGACTTAAGGGATCACATTCCTCAAAGCTAACAGGGACAACTGTCGCTCTCGGTCGTGTCATCATATCAGGTATAAAGGTGCCGTAGTACGGTCTTCCAAGCAAGATTCCCTCACCGGGATCAGTGAAGGCCCACGACACATGCTCGATAGCAGGTGAAACGCCATTTGTGACGACCAGATGATCAGCATTCAGCGGAGTGAACGGCTTCAATTGTCGATTAAGAAAGCCAGCCATGGAAGCTCGGAGTCGATTGGATCCGCTATTTCCATCATTGTATGTGAGGTATTGGGCTGGGAGCTCTAATTTGTTATTCAGGAATGTGAGGAGCTCATTATGCATGAGCGAGTTTTCCGCGACCCCAACGTTGACAAAGCCGTTGGGATTTGTGGAGGCGCACCATGCGTCGCTTAATACATCCCATATTGGGGTTTGTGAAGCTTCTTCTGCGGCATCTTGTGCCCTGCGGGATATTAGATGCTGCATCCTGATGCTGGATGGGTTAATATTCAAGTTCCTTGTCGCTTCTTTTCTTGGTGGTGCTGAGCTTGAGTGGGTGGGTATTTCCGTTTTCGGATTTTCAACTCGTTTTAAGGAGCTTCCCAAGGTTAGAGATGGAGTATATCTCGATTTCCAAGGTTCCTTTCCTTATCGTCTTGGGAATGTTCACGGATAGCAATGGTTAGTAATCCAGCACGATGATCATGGAGCTCTGGAACTTTATACTGAAATAGGTGCGGAGTAAGGCGGGGGATTTTACATGAGTCTCTGTACCTGTCCATATTACGGCTACCGTCGGTTTTCTCTCTCTTTATTTTCCGAGTCCAAGCTATTGTTCAAATCGAGATGAAATCGGCCATACTGAGTACCAAGAATAGACTATAATATTGCCTTGCCAAAACAACATCCACCGGAATACGTGCGGCCGAGCGGAAGTTAGTCATCTTCAAGCTGGACATAACCTATTTTGGATCTAGCCTTATCTTTATGTTCACGTTCACCTATAGTATCTCCGGTGATTTTTGCGAATTTCCATTCCGTTCGCTTTTTCACTCTCGATTTCATGCACCTCACAGCATGGCTTATCACGCACTGACTTACTTTCGTGCCGATCTTGCGGTTACAACCGGTTTCATCAAAGGCCGAACTGTGGGTCACGCCTTTTACTGATATCTCGGTATGAGTTTTTGTACAAACACCGTTTAGGAGGTATCGGGCGCAGAGATAACCATTGCAGGACTTTAGCATATCTGTAGAACTATATGATGATCGCCAGTCCTATCTAATATGCGGCTGCATGTCATCGGCCCACTACAACCCACACCTCTACTAGAAGCTCACACACGTATGACAGACATGTCGCACATGTTCTGCGTATCAGCGCATCAACCACGCGGTTTTAGGATCATTTAACATAGCACTACAGAAAAAAAAGGTTATCGTCTTATTTTCTCTGTTTCCAATGATCTTACTACTCGATAATCACAAATTCATAACTCGTATAGCTTACTTACCTTGGCAGTAAGCACTAGCAATAAAATAAGCCCCATCCAAATTTAAGGCTCTCAAAAATTTTCTTCTATCTCATTTTCTAAAAAAAAAACCTCATACCTCCCTCAAAATTGCATATCCAATTCACATCCCAACACATCAACATGACTCAACCCGAACCTGCACAAGTTGAGCCCCCAGGCCTAAAAATAATAAACGCCTCTCTCTTCCGCAGCGGCACAAAATCAATGGCCCGCGCGTACAAAATTCTAGGATTCAACGCACACCATGGCCTCTTAGAATCAGTAACCGACACTCCATGGTCCTACCTGCTCTCCGCAGCAGAAGCAGCATGGCACTCCCCCAACTCTCCAATACCAACACCCCTAACACGCTCCGACTGGGACAAAATCTGGGCCCAACACAACGTTTCAACAGACCTTGGCTCCCCGTTCAGCCTAGAACTAATAAAGATCTACCCATCCGCAAAGGTAGTAATTGTGCAACGTGACTTCGAAACATGGTGGCCAAGTTACCGTCGCGAAGTCCTAGACCGCGTGATGATTGAGCCCTGGGCAACTATCAATTCTTTCATTGGAGATATGATCCGTCTACCTGCTGTGCGGGCTATGAGAAAGATTCATCTTGGATTCTTTGGTGCGAATGATAGAGACCAAATTCTTCTTAATGCGCGGAGAAGATACGAGGCATTTTATGACGAAATTAGGGATGTTGTTCCAGCTGAGAGGAAACTAGAGTATAAACTCGGTGAAGGGTGGGAGCCTTTGTGTGAGTTTCTGGGTGTACCTGTACCTGATGTGCCTTTTCCGAGGGAAAATGATGCTTCGGATCATGGGGATGAGGTGAAAAAGAGATATAAGCTTATATATGGGGCTCTGGGGAAGATACTTGTTCCTGTTTTGGCGGGTGTGGGTGTTTGGTGGTATTTAAGTTGATTGAAACTTGAATGTTTTTTGGGAGGAGGAAAGAGCCGGTGTGTCTGAGTGTGAGTGATCCCGGTGATATGAAATATCCGGCTTGATGAAAAGATCTCCAGGTACCTACCTATTCGAGTACCGTTACTCCCAATCTATATGCCCGAGAACAGTACAAATAAGTTTTAGAGCACTAATAAAGTGAAGAAAAGAAACTTTACTGAACTAAAGCCCATTTTTACTTTACTGGGAAAAAACTAAAACTCAAGCTCCAAGGAACTTTATTGGAGGTAAACTCTCAGCATAGGTAAATCTGAGAGTATACAGGATATAAGTGAACCAGACGATAGAGTAGTACTATAGCAACCCAATACCGAGGTCGTCACAGTTGTCATCGAGTTTACAATACAGATAGGCCAGTTAGCCCTATCAGGATAAAGAAGAACTTGAACAAGGTATTAAATGAATACAGTATAGTACTACTATTCATGCAATCGAATATCATATAATACGTATAGTCAACAGCCTGAGCCTGAGTGCAGCGCACTCAACCTTGGGGCTCCATGTGACCTAAGGTTGTGAGACTTGGAAGCCTAAGAACTAAATGAATAAATACAAAAATGACAAAATAAATAAGAAGAAGCAACAGAATGGGTTCATCTGGGTTACTAAAGCCAGGAGTTCACTGTGACCTCAGTCTTTTTCTGGTTCAAATGCACATGTTCAGTACCAAATTCACTCAATTCACTCGTGCTAGTTTGTTGTCTTGAGGCTTTGTGTCGCTTGTAGAAGTAGAACAGAGAACCGGCAATAAGAATTTGAAGTACTCGGAGATCAGACCATCGGCAAGCCACACTTCACCTGTCTTTATAAGTTCATGCCATCATCAAGATGATGAACAAGACTGAACTTTTAAGCTTTGTTATGAGAGCCTCAGGTATTGCCAATTCAACTGCTACTGACATTGAGTTCACTACATTTAACCGAACATAGGCTCCTGCTTAGCACCCTCCACAGAAGCAAGATAAGTAGGTCTGTCCTTGACGTAGAACTCAATATCGACCTTGCCGTTCATGTTGGTTTCTTTGTTATCCAAACCTCCAGCCTTGAGGCAGGTCATATCGGGCATGACCTCTAGCTCAGTGTAAAGGCTTGAACCGCAGTTAGAGCAGAAGAAATGCTTGTTGATCTTTCCGCTGTTGCCGACTGCGTCGTAGGACGATGGGGTTCCTGAAAGCATCAGTATTGATGATATTGAGTGGGTATAAGATACATAAATGCAATTTGTATCTGCCAGGGTAGGAAAAGAAACTCACCCTTTGTCACCTTGACGCTAGAGCGAGGGACAACGGCATTGGACGTGAAGGCACTGCCGGACCACTGGGAATGTTAGTTCCAAGATTGTTTCATTCAACTACTGTCTCGGGTACATGGATGATTTACCTTCTGACAATCAGTGCAGTGGCACAGAGCGGCGAGGTACTTATCCACTGTGTGAAGTTAGTAAATATATTTCATAATCGCAATTCAAATAATTGAAAGTCCTACCATCAGCAGAGTAGTGGACACCTCCACACATGCAGCTACCAGTAATTGCCATTGTTATAGATGGGTGCAGGTAGGAATGGGAAATAAAGTTGATCCTGGTGTACCTTGTGGGAATCGATTGAATTGAAAATATGCAAAGAATGCGGGGGGTCACCCCGCTTATCATGACGTTTTATAGTTTCGGTGATAGAAATTTCGGCGTCTGAGACATGCCGTGTTGTTCGGTCTCTGGCGTTTTCACCCCACTTCAAGTTGTTTTTCAAGAGGTTAGTGTTACTGTAGCGCTCATAGTGCCAGTTACAGCGGGGCTAAGAATGGTAAAAAACAATAAATTTATCTTGTGGGCCTCCGTTAACCATGCAACACGTCCGACTTCGCATCGTGGAAGTTGAAATTTGAGTCATTAGGGGGTAAGGTCCCTTAACTAACAAGTAGAATATAGACCACTATCCAGAACGGCATACTCAATGGTTATGACTTTTAATAGGAGTTTCAATTTTGCTAGCTATAATTACAGAGGCCTACCCAATCAGCTCGTACAACAACTCTTCGCATGTGCTTCGTACCATGTCCGTGCTCAACCAACAATTAAGCGGAGGACGGAGAGCTTTTTTTTTTGCTCGAGTCTACCGCGTCCCATATTGTTTGAAGTTGGAATTTCGGGCAATTTTCAATTGTTTCAATTGGAATATATCTGGCCTTTCTAGACGGACTCTGTGGTTTTAATAAAAAAAAAATGTTAGATCTCATTGACTGCGGGCCGCTGTTTCCTCCACCTCCACCTTCCAAACTTGGGGTAGCAAGGGGCTTAGCTGGTGAGCCCCACCAATACTGCATACAGTACTGTCTGCCCCTCCTACCCCGTCACACTCACCATGTCAACTGGCAAGATACAGGTGGAAGCTGCAAGGAGGTCGATGACAGGCCTCATGCACTAACAGCCGACCTAGTCATGGAACATTTAACTAGTCGTTACATTCCAAACAAGCATCATTAGCCGGCAGGCAAGTTGAAAGCTGGACGGGGTTTGATCGACGATTTTACAGGATTCAGCTTGATGAGAAACGTCAGGTGACTTTGGATAAAGAGTAACCTAAGTAGGATAGAGGGCTTACATCTAAATATTTTAAGATTATATTATGAATTCAGAATTGTTACAAATCACTTTTATCACCTAATTTCATTTAGATAAAGGGAGGTAATATAAGTAGAAGTTAACTATATGTTACCTATTAGTATTAACTATCTCGTTGGTAAGCACAAAATACTAAATGTGGTAAAATATTAGCCTAGTGTCTTTATTAGAGACTTTTTTAGCTCTTATCCTCCTCTTTTTATCTTGTTATCTATATCTTATAATATACAGCTATTACTCGGGCTTCTAGTCCAGTATTTGGATTAACGGTCACCTAAGATCTATTCCTCTAAGCCGTGGATTCGTAAACCTCCCCTGTGCGAGCTGAATTAAAGCAATATAATAGTATGGAGGCACTGGTTTGAACTCTTGCTCGATCAGGTAAGTTCTCCTAATATTCATAATAGCCTCGACACTATAACTAGGTCATTAAGATAGTAAGATCGTTTGGGGATAGGCTATCTTTGTCTGTTTCCTTCTCTGAAAGTCTGATCTTCCTCTTTAACTCTCCTAGAATGAACTGCGGGTATGTCAGACACTATAGTTTTTTTTAAGCTAAATATAAGCGGTTTAAACCTCTCTAAGCGTTGTGGATATATCCTCGGGGAATTCAAAATCCTTTTCATTCTTTATAGTGGCTTCGAAATCCCTACGGAATCCCTGAAGTGTTTCAAATGTGGGTATCGTGTTTACTTGACTATGTATTTCGTGGGAAATTTATTGATAAAAGCCTTGTATGTCTGAACATCGGGAGGGTTTACTGCCTGTGGGTGCTGAGTGAGGAACCTATATAGGCCGATCAATGACTCGCCTTTCTGCTGCCGCCGTGGCTGTGACTTGCGCATTAAAAAGTTTTAAGGGGTTGCTGTACTTCTTTGCTGTTCGCGGCAAGATCTCCTGTTTTATTTTGGTGTTATTATGTTCTGAAAAGTCTACTGTATAGCCTATACAGTTTAATGTTGGATTATGTGTCGAACTCCGCAGGAGAAGATTACCACCTTTCCTATTACAGATTGATGATTCAGCGCGTGTTTAGATCCTATATTACTGTTTTTGTATGTAAAGCACACGTAAGCGTACATATGGGCTAACTATACAACTAGCCTGTACGAATCAGGCAGGATCGCTCAACTCGATCCAGCACTCAGAGAAAACAACCCTCTTGCGATGGGATCCATGTTATACTAGTCCATACACGATTCGTTCCGATCCGACATTATGGTCTGTGTATATTTGCTGTCTGCTACACTAGATTGTGGGTATGTGAAAAGAAAAAAGCCTAATCTGTCTGCGGCGATTCCACCCATGACCATTCTGTCCAAAATGTTAAAAGATACAGTTTTCTGTCTAGGGTGAATATTCAGGTGAAGAAAATTTAGGTGGGTGAAGGTCCGCCCGGCTTGCCCTGAAGAGGGCTGAATAGAGTAGCGAGCCGCCCACGCCCGAACCGTGGGCGCTAGGTGACCACAGTCATACAAATACTGCTCTAAGATTATGCTCACCTAGCGCTGACGGATCAGGCGTGGGCGGCTCGCCACTCTATCCCGTCCCCTCCAGGGTGCTTCGAGCCCATATTGACCTACCTGAATATTCCACGCCTGAATACTGTGTGGAAAAATCGGTACGTTTTCCCACTGGCGCTCTTTAAAAGTTCATAGTTCTATAAGTGAGTTCTCCCTTCTTTATCCTCCGGGATACATATAGTTACAGTATATACCATATATAAATGGTAATTAGCTGAAAGTGCAACAGTTAGTACAGGGCTCATACAACAAAATAGAGATTATGCTGATCGAGGCATTAGTTAAAATTGGCTAAACAACTAGAATCACTAAAGCGGTAAGGGTTATTAAAGAGGGAAGAAATAGTCTTACAAAACCTAAGGGGGGCTCCTTCAAAAATAAAGGACAGCTATTAACTACTATGTTTAGTAGGCTGATAGAAGTTAGATAAGTAGTAAATTGATGATGAGGGGATGAACATCTCAGCCAACTAAGCTATCTAATGGAAATAGGCCGGCCTCCGATCAAAGGTAACAAGTTTAGAATTTTATTCGATTGAGAGAGGAACATTGAATGGACAGTCTATTCCTATCATCCCAGAGGAGATGAACATTTTGAATGCGTAGATAGAGCTGCCAGTGCTAGAGGTGTCTTGGGTACTTCTTATCATTCTAAATTCTGACCTCCGAGCTCCGCCCTTCCTCATACCCATTTTGTTTTATTCCCGATATATTCATGTACCTCCGTTCGCTATCTACACAGAGGCTACATATTCGACCACGTAGCTTCTTTTGGCCAATCTACCAACATTGGAGGAGGTTGGTGTGCATTTGGAAATGTTTCTTCCCAAGCACTCATCACTTCCAAAATGCGATCTTCCTCCTGATCTAGCCCAATAATATTAAGGCCAAACGCACGGCCGTTGAAATCCGCATATCCAAGGGGTATCGTCGCGACCGGGTACCCTGCGATAGACGCGACAGTTGCAATACGAGCATCTGCCGGTCCCATGATCACATTGATCCCATTTTCATTGATAGACTTCTTAATAGCCGCCCTTGTTAAATCTCTGGTTTTTTTCAAGCTTACTTCATAGTGCTCATCAGTCATATTGTTATCCAGAGACGCGATGAGGACATCTTGATTCGAGTGATCTTTATCAAAGTTAGATATGGTGCTGTTTACCATGTTTCATGAAAGCGAAACCCCTCAACCTACCAGGTGGGAGCTCAAGAGCAGGATTCTTCGCATTGAAGTCAACTAAATCTTTCAGGGATTTGACTCTGTGCGGATTGTCTAAGGCAGAGAGAAATTCGCTAATCTCACTCTGAAAATCATGGCCTAGGCATGTGTTAGTGACATAGTCCACAATTTTAGGGGATCTTCCTCTGACTCTGCCTCTCTTACCTATGAAATCATCAATATTAGTTCCGCCCTGTTCAAGAATCTCCGCAAGGGAAATGAGATGCGCGTTTTTGACCACTTGGGCACCTTGCTCTTCCACCATTTCAACGGCTTGATTGATCTCTTTCAACTAGCGTGGAGTTAATGGAAGCTAGAGTCTTTCAAGGTAGAACAGCTTACAGTCTGCTGGAGAAAGCCATCATTCGGTTCCACGACGAAATCCGCAGGTTGCCACAACATTGGATCCACAAGCCCAACTTTGATGTTTTTCCAGGACTTCGTGAGAGAAGACTTGAAATCTCGTCCAGGGACAAGAGTGTCGAGAAGGTTAGCAAGATCCTCCGTTGTTTTAGCCGCGCCACCAATAGAATCGAACGGCTTGGACAAAGGTTGTACCCCATATGTACTTATTGTTCCCACTGTCAGCTTGAGTCCGTAGAGAGCTGCCCTTGTACTTGGCTGTACTAATGATCCATCAGTCTCTGTGCCTACCATGAGAGGGGCGAATCCTGCTGCGACGCCGACAGCTGGACCAGAGGTTGAGCCACATGGTGTCTACGATCATATCAGATATATTGGTGACCTCGTTGATAGAAGAGATTCTTACACTGTGTCCCAAAAATGTCGCATTGGGAAGAACCCCTCCTCGAACATAGGGTGACTGAGTCTACGCCTCTTGTCAGTCCAAAAACTTAAACTTGGTGCAATGTATCGTGGTTCGTGATACCTGGCCACCTAACGCAGACCAGCCAGCAGTGATCAAACTCCCTTTATTTCCACCCCATTCCTTGTCCATGTTAGCGTTTGTCGTATTGAAATCATTGTCACACTCACAGACATGTTCCCTTTCCCAATGATAACCGCTCCAGCGGCCAGTAAAATGTCGATAACTTCGGCATTTCGGGGTGCTTTTGCCCCCCTTAAAGCAAACGAGCCGCAGGTAGTGTCCATATTGAGGCTCGGTGTCCAAAACACGTCCTAGATTCTTTCAGAAAATGCAGCTGAGTGGGGGCAGTTTTTACTCAGCCAACCTTAACCAGTACGGGAATCCCATGAAGCGGACCACGCAAGCCCTTTTCTGCTCTTTCCACATCAAGCTGTTCCGCGAGGTGAAGGAGCTCAGCCCGCGGTGCGGTCGTAATCACTGCATTTAGCTTAAGTCCATTTGTATTGTGGGCTTCAATTTGCTCCAAGTACAGCTTGACCAGATCCGTACTGCTGTACTCTCCAGCGACTAGCAGCTTCTGAAGATCAGCGGCACTTGCTGTCAATATGTTAATATCGTTCATCTTTTGTGTTGTGGTGCACTTCGGGCTTCCGCGCGACAGTCCAAAAAACGAATATAACACTGAAAATGGTCTCGTCCACATAAAAGACCTGAGGATGCTAAAGGTTTGTTGAATGTTAGGGCAAGATAGGTTCAAGTGTACCGTCACAAGTAACGCGATGATAAAAAAAATCGATATCTTCCATTTAAACCTCAACATTTCCCTAGAATGGTTGCGGCCTTAAGAGCGGGGTATAATCGTGTTGGAAAGCGGGTGACCTAATTTATTACTAGTGAAGGATGCGGCCAAGCTGGTTAAGGGCCACCTTTGGCAGAGCAGGATTTTGATTGCACCTAGATGAATGGTTCTGTCACACGCCTGAAATTACGTGACGAAACACGTTATCATCAGCGTAATCTCTGATTTTGTGTTCATTTTTCTGTGCAGCGCTCTACCATGCCAATCAAGATTTTGAATCTCACCCCTTTCTCAATATTCTTTATTAGTAGAATCTTCCTTTTCATCCCATTTCACCTAGATGAATCTAGCTTACAAATTTCATTGCAACTGCGAAATGGTTTGTTTTTCAACGTACTTGGATTTTATTGCAGACTCACCAATTTTCGAAGTTGAAAAGCCCTACACCGTGATTCGAGATACAAACCATGCAGGCAAAAGCAGAAAACTTTCCAACATCGCTTGGAGTGCCGTCGATGTCACTATAAATGACGTACGAGACCACACACAAGAATTCTCCCTCGAGAAGTCGGGATTTCAGATCGTAAATCATGCCTCTCAGGCTCTTCCGATCACTGATATCTCCAAGATGGAAGATTATTTGACAGAGACCAAAACCTATCTGAAAAGCCTTTTGGGGGCGGAGCATGTGGTGTCTTACGACTGTAAGGTATGTTTAGTTGATAGTGATCAACTCATGCTATTATAAAATTAAAATACATTAACATGAATATGAGACAGATAAGGAAGAATCAAGCATATGAAACACCCACAGTCGATATCGGCGATCCATTGCTTCCCAACCTTCCACCAGTAGGGCTGCACGGTATGTAAACATGGCTTCAGGTCCTTTGTCCCACTGTTATGATCCGCTGACCTTTTTTGTAGTTGGTATGTTTTGTTTGAACTTGAAAGGCTCAAAAAACTAAGTTTCAAACCTCCCAGACAGCTCTTTCGATTTCGCGCCCAGAATCATCCAGAATAGACTCAACGACGAAGAGCGGGCACGATACCTCACTTCTCAGTATCGATTCCGTATTATCAAGTAAGGATTAGCACCATACTGGAAGAACTTCTTGCTCATTATTTCCAGTACTTGGAGACCCCTTATTCCCAAAATTGAGGATCGGCCTCTGGCATTCTGTGATTTTCGATCAGTGAGCCCAAGTGATTTGATTCCAACTGATCGAGTGTTTCCCGATCAAGTCACTGAGAATTACTACATACGTCATAATCCAAAGCAGCGATACTACTGGCTCTCCAGTCAAACTATGAATGAACTTGTTTTGATGGTTCAATTCGATTCTCTTTCTGGTTCTCATGCCCGATGTATGATCAAGTCCCGAACCACCCAGCTCCAACATTTTGAATATAGATTTATCTAACATGCCAAGTTTTTAATCAGACTGTCCACATGTTTCATTTCATAATCCTTTGGCCAGACCAAATTCGTTGCCAAGACAAAGTGTTGAGACAAGGTCAATAATAATAAGCAAGAAATGACCACTACTTATTTGTACAAACCAGTTAGCCGTGTGAGGGTTTGGGACATTGGAAAGGTATCTGTGGATATTTCCTACTTTGGGAGTTGATTTATTATCATGAATTGGGACATGAAGATATTCAAACGTTCTGGCTCCCAAGAGAAATCACCCTAAGATACCAAAGCTTGTCTCTTTCTAAGTTCTTTGAATAGTGAACTTTTGTCTCAGCTTTTTTGACCGCTCTAAATTCTACGTGAAGCTTTTATCAAATGGTTTCCTAGGATGCATCGTTATTCACGCCTACATGTTTCTTCCTGTAGTTCCTCGACAGCAACATTGTTTAGAACTCAAAGTTTGAATATAACCAGAGCTTCTATCCCCCATAGGAATTTGCACGTCTCACCTGCTCTTTCTCTCTCTCTTTCTCTCTCCCTTCGTCTTAGATGAACAGATCCAGATACCTTATCAGTCCAGTCATTCTTGGATTTTGGCGAGAAAGCTTGCCAATAACGGGGGAAAAAAGAAAGACAAAACCTCAATACAAACCTGCTTAGTAGCTATCAAACACACCAAAACTATGAAAAATGAACAGAAACTTGGTAGGTGGTGGTGGGTAGGAGAGAGAGCGTGAGGGTGGTTGGTGATATCACACCGCTGGAATGCCAGAGGCACCTCGCTAAATTTCACTTACAACACTCTCTGCTCCAACAGTGACGCTCCGGCGTAGAGTCCTACATTTTACGCCATGAATACACCAGAAAATCGACCCAGTAGTCTAAGGACTTCCAATATCGAATTCCTCCTACCCTAGGTAATCACATCAATAATCAAGGGCTTTAGGCCGCGAGTATTTTTGGAGAATGGAATTGTGTTGGAATTCATTTTATGTATTGTTTTGACTGTACCATTGTAATAAGAATCCTACTATGTGTTAATTCGAGCATTACAATTAGTCTGTTTGAGGCTGAGGTCCACGCTAGGACGAAGCCAACTGACCATTAATGGCATCACGCTGCATGCAGCTGAAGTTACACCGCATTCCTTTATGACGGCATTAGCTATGCAAGCGCACTCACATCAGCTTACTGAAGTTGACTCATGCGATACACGATAGTATTCCGGATGGTTCGTGTAAGTTTATAATTGGTTACCCACCCCAGAAAAAGCAAACAACCCAGCCACCACATGTATATAGCTTTGTTTAATACGAGCATTTGATTGCTATATCGCTCTTGAGATATTCCATGTATATGTCATATGCCTTCACAACTATAGTTGATAAGCCATCAAAATTGGACGGTAGCTGCGGTTAAGAGTCCTCTATGGAGGTAGACGCATTATGGAGAGAGGCGGCCATCTAGGACTGGATGTACCCATGACTCGGCCTAACAAGTACGAAGCAACCCAACTTGGACTTATGCTCATATCGAATGAGGGATTACGTGACAAGATAATCATTATAATCATTACCAAGCCTTTCTTCTAGATTTGGTTTGGGAGACTGTATCTTATACAAAATTGGTGTTTGGTAGACAAGAAAATCCAGTATCCTACTACTATTGCCCTATGTTCACTTATTCTGCTTCTTCCTATCCCAGCACTTGAGATATTCCAGGATTCAATGATCTCGCTTTGCTCGCATTACTCCACGTCATGTATATGCACCTGCTCTGAGCTCTGAAATCGGTTGGCTGGTGGTCAACTGATCATCCTATTTGCGTGAGCACCTGATATCATCAAGTCAAGGGCCGAAATCTGGAGAATCAAACAAAGTGCGGGGTAAATAGCTCACCCAATGAATGCGACCTCTAACTAAATGGATGAGGCTACAACTACGAAGCGCATATCCGAGGCTGGAAAGCCTGGCCGAGAGTTGATCGGCGGGGTCAGACGTCGGACGCGCCATTTAGTGAAGTGACATTAGATGACGAACGAACAAATATAATTCCTACGAGAAAAAAGTGGCAATTTGAAAAGAAAAGAAAAACAATATTTCGATTTGTCTCTGGGACACAACCAGATGTTAAGGAGTTGCCCCTCTGGGCACGGCACGTTGAGACAACCAAAAACAACCAGAAGCCCAATTTCCAACAAAAAACCAGCAGAAAAATCAAGCCCGCGTTGCGCGGATTCTGTTGCTTCGTACTAATCATGTACCTCGAGCATTCCTGGGGATAAGGGTTTAGCAGCCGAATGTATCAGGGGCTTTTGTTTTCACGAACCTACCCATTAAGTGGAGCCGGTACCATTGTCAATCAGCTCTTCCACAAAAACGGTTACCCGCTTCCAGGCACGGCCGACAATATTCCACTTGGCTGGCTCATATTCTTCGGTAGGCCCGAGGCCATCCTCGACCCAAGGTTGTCGTTTGTTGGATGAAGGAGGATATCCTTCGCGATCCATATCACCCCAATCCATTGAGCTTGACGCGGAGTCAGAATTATCAACTCCAGTATTTTCCGTAGTCAGCACAGGATGGGAGGAAGTGGGAGATGCCATGTTGTTTGAAGTTGGAGGATAATAAGCGTAGTAGGTGTAGGTGATAGTTCGGTAGTTTTCAGGTCTTAGGGGAGAATGAGCACTATCTTTACCATGTCCTGCTTCTCTAAGATATTCATCGACAGGACGCAAAGTGGTCATCCTTTTATATTTGCATCTCCAGACTGTCGGTCTCATGCCTCACTTTACATTCGTATATATGATAGGTGGGCGAGTCATTGTCTACATTCAATTTGCCGAGCGGCATTAAAAGAAAAGGGGAAAAATGGAAAGAAAAAACAAAAAGGAGGAACGTGATCAAAATGAAGCAAACAAACAAAGAAATTAATATGCAGCAGGATTTCAAATGGTTGGTCTCAACTTGAACTGCTGCATGGAGGTGCATCCAGTTAGCCAATCACACGGGGTATGTGTGGGAGGCCTTAGCACTTGAGCAAACCCTTGTTTTTTTCACCCGGGTGAAATTCGAGCCCCTCTTCTCTCACCTGGGCATTCGCCAAGGCACCCAACCATATTCCACCATATTTTGTCTGCCGAGAGGTCCACTGTAAATCGAACACGTTCAGCCTCGCTTTTTGACTTGACGAAGTGGCATATTTCCATGTTACTTCCGTTGAGTATGGGGAACGGGGAGCGAGCCCCTTCAGTTCGTGCCAGTGGGCACTCAAGCATAGAGACACCTGGAACATCGGCAGGTGTCAGCGATTTAGGAGTAGCAGGTTCAAGCGTTGGGGAGTGAGTTGTTTAATTCAACTTCTCTGGCGCTGGTTATACTGATGTTTGAACCTTACTAGCGAGAGCTCATTGTTGATCCAATGGCGTGAAGCGCAACAGAGATGCTATGCCAATCTCGCACTGAGAGATAGAGAGAAGAAAAGAATCCTGTCATTTGCAAGACCTAAAGATTTATTGGACGATATTGAATGCGATGAACGGTTCCGCAACCATGCTGTGCTGCGAAGTCATCTAGCAGCTTCTATAACGCCTTTCTTACATAAACTGGCTGATCACTTTGGAATTCTGGTAGCGATGTTACCTTCGCGATCCATCACAATGAACCTTTTGCTCGGTTGCATATATTTTGCGCTGAAGGTATGGTCGTCAGATCTTCTCTTTCGCTAAATAGAATGTTAATGAGTTTACAGGGCGCTTCAGAGGAAGTCAAGATTTTTGAAAAAATGGCGGAGATCACCAGATTAATGAAAGAAAAACTTCAAGCTTTCTCAAGTTCCATACCCCCAGGTATTTCCTGCCAGTCGGAACTGGAAGAGGTCATTGGTGAGGCATTGTTGGATATGTTTATTGCCCTGATAGAATTCTGGGCTGATGCGATGGAGTTTCTTAGAGGTATGTCATGACCATGAGATAGTGTGAAGGCATACGGATTATTGGTGTCATTCGACTAGACCAAATTCAACAGAAGGATTGTAGCTGAGCATTTTCAATAGGCCCCTACTTGATGGCAAATCTATCTCGAAGGTGGCCTCCCCTGCAGCGAAAGTTCAATATAACTATGAGGCGACTACATGACTCGGTCGACAGAATGCAAAGCTTCGTGCAAAACTCGTGGCGGCACAACTCGGATGCAGTCAGGCATCAGAATGAAAGTTTTCTGACTATGATGAATCTAGAAGAAGAAAGCCAGACATCATTTCCGTGCTATATTCTCGATGCTTGTAACCAGCTCTTCGGTGGGCGAGAACAAGAGCTTGGTGGAATCATGAAGCATTTGACGGCAGAGGATGCAGCCCAAAATCTCAACATATATGTCATCCATGGCTTAGGGGGAACGGGCAAAAGTTCCTTGGCACTCGCATATGCACATGAAAGTCAAAAGGCAAGAACCTACGATGCGATATTTTGGGTCCATGCGTACTCAGCTCCCGCCTTTCGAGAGTCGTTTGATGAGATAGCAGTTCGCTTGGACTTTCCTCGTGCGTCAAAAAAGGGCGAAAACATAAATAACAATGTCAACCTGGTCAAAAATTGGCTCGCTAAGACAAGTAAGCCATTCCTCACCTGGGCAATGACTTGCTCATCATGGCGACTAATGAGAACTATACAGAAAAGCGTTGGCTACTTATTTATGATAACGTTGAACAGGCTAGCGAGCTTAATGAATTCTTCCCCCCTCTCATGGGTCTATGATAATAACAACTAGATATCCAACTATCGCACCCCGGTCTCGCGGCAGAACAGCGCGATGTTTGTTGGGAGGACTGGGCGAACAAGAAGCACAGGCCCTTTTTGATCGAGTGCGTAGTTTCGAGCACCCAAGCGCCAATCCCCAGGCCGAAAACGAAGAAAAAAAAGTGGTCCTGGATCAACTTGGGGGACTCGCTCTTGGAATCGTTCAGATGGCGTCTTACATTGGGAGAAGACGACTGACAATCAAAGCATTCTTAGCTGATTACAATAAGATGTCAGCCCGGATTGACGATAAGAGAGACGATCTCACGGACTATCCACATAGCCTGTCAACCGTTTGGGAGATGCACTTTGTGGAAATGAGGGAAAATCATCCGCGGGCCAGTCTGTTACTAAGTATTTTTGCCATTCTCAGTCCATCCGCAATCCCCATAAAGATTCTTGTCCCAGAAGAGGCATGTGCAGGGGGATACGTGCCTTTCTGCAGTGAGGAAGATAGAGACGAGTTAGTATAGCATAGCGTGCCTATTTGAAATTTACTTATATGATTAACCTCATCTCCAGGGTCGAAGAAGCCATCGATCGTCTAATGGAACGCTCCTTGGTTCAGAGGGAAGGTGAAAATATTTCTCTGCACCGGCTGGTACAACAGGCTTTCAGACGAAGCAACTTTAAATACAGACCTGAGGCCAGACAGGAGGCTTACAATGCTGCTGTCACATTACTCAACTACTATTTCCCCAAGATGGGGGGTGCTAGCTCTCTTTATGACCAATGGGCTACTTGCGAGGAGCTGTTGAATCATTCTCTTGCATTAGCTGATCTTGTTCTAAATGACCGAACGCACAAAAAATCATTCGAATCATCCCCAGAGTTGGAGGAGCTACTTAAAAACTCAGCTTGGTATCAGTATGAGATTGGGGCGCTTCGAGAGAGTCAGCAACTGCTAAAGATCGCCATGAATATATGCAGGGATAAATCGAGTCTTCTATATGCACAGCTGTGCAACAATCTAGGTGTGATTTATTTTGACTGGAACGACCTGTTTGAGTGCAAAAAGCATCTCCAAGAGTGCCTCAGCATCCGCGTGTCTCTTCTGGAGCCGAATCATATCGAGCTTGCTAATATTTACAGCAACCTGGCGGGAATGCATGCCGCAGATGGAAACTTGGATGAAGCTTTGCGCCTCTACACCATGTGCGACGACATCAGGTCCCAGACTCCGACTGAGGGGTATTACTACCGTGGGTTAACTCTCATGTGTATTGGCAGGGTTCACCTTCTCCAAAGAAGGTTTGAGCTTGCAGAGAGTTTCTTTCATAGATCCGAGAAATTCATTGTTGACGGGCCAAAAATTTTGATGACCCTGTAAGTTTTGTCACGTCTTGAGCTGTCATGAGGACTAGAGCTGATGCGAAAATATGAAGTCTGCTTTTTGCGATAGGGAATTTGGAACTAGCGCGAGACAACACGACTCGGGCAACGCAAAAGTTCGAGGATGCTGATACCCAGAAACTGGACAGCGCCCCAAAAGCTCAGCTTCTCAAATGTGCCATTCAGTACAAGATTGGGTTCTGCAAAGCAAAACTCGGACAGTTTCACGAAGCAATGTATGTTCATTTTGACGGGGCACTAGTTTTCAACCCCGCTCACATACTACTTGTATTATTGTCACAGAGAAAACTTTGATTGCGCCCTTATTATTGCGAAATATCGACAGGCACCAGGTCATATTGCTCGTATCCTTCATCAAAAATCCTTGGCAATACAAAAGTGTGAAAATACTACATCCGAAGAGCTTCAAAGGGCAAGGGAAATGGCTATTCAAGCAAGCTTACATAAGGCAAATCTTTCACAATGTCCTACCATTGAATCAGAGGTGGCAGAAAGCGATTCCAGCTTCGATAGGTTGGTTTCCCTCTATCACTGGTAGCTATGAGGGCACCATTCATAAGGTTTGTTTTCTATTCATTCTGTTGTTTTCCATTCATTCTATTTTCCATTCATTCTTTTGAAGAAGCGTGTAAGGCTGACGGAGCTGCAGCCAGTGTCATGTTAATAAATATGATAGCTTTTATCAAAAATCGACTAAATCGCATTTTTACATGTGTGTCGTGCGGTAATAGTAATACTGGACGCCCCCTAGTAGTAGTATCTCCAAGCAGAATAGTCTGGTGACCACATGGTCCTCAACATGGTATATCCACTCCAAGGATATAAAATTCCATTTCCGCCGTCTCCACTCAAATAATAGCTTGTACAGCCACCTACTCTAGTATGCCACACTCGCTTTTCGAGTTCTGTTTGAGCCGCAGTATCATAGTCTCTTTCATAGCGTTTTCTCACTTCAACTGCCTGAATTGCACCTTTGAAAATCCTGTCCATCATCAACAATACTAAGGCCACCGAATTCTCGATAGAAAAGAGTGCCGATGTGTGGGCAAAAGAGGAATTCGGTCCGTAGATGAAGAACAGGTTGGGAAAACCGGATACAGCTATTGATTGATACGCTGACATTCTTCCGGCCGACATATGTTCCCAATGTTCTTGAATCGTAAATCCGCCCTTTCCGATGATATCAATCGCAAAGTTTCCTGTTGCGAACCCCGTGGCTAGTACCTTTCATCGGCCTGAGTTAGAAGAGAAGGTTTTCCAGATACTACGTTCGATCGTATTACACTTACAATTACGTCGGCAAGATACTCACTACCATTTTCAGTGATGACGGAATTCTCAGTGATGCTGCAAATCCTTTCATTGGAAAGATGCACATTCTCGTCTCCAAGCACTTTCAGGTATCCCGAATCTAGCACAATGCGCTTGCACCCCATCTCATACCGTGGTGTAAGAAGATGCCAATACTGTTTGGGAGCAGTTTGTCGAACGTGGATTTTGGATCTTCTCTGGGCACGTCGTCGTCGAGAGATTGCGTTATTAGAGTCCGTTTTGTATGTTAAAAATCTATATTCCGACATAAGGAAAACCATCCAGCGAAATATCCAGTACAAGAAAGGGAGACAAGACCAAGTCCACTTCAAGAAATGGGGAATACTGGGATTGGCCGATCGAACATATGTCTGTGGCGTACGGATGAACTGATATACGTTGGCTGATTCCTTGGCGATTTCTGGAATGAGTTGTGAGGCGGAGCCTATCTTTCTATTAGCCTGGCATCGGAGCGTATGTACTAGGGCACAGTACAGCCATTTCCAATCACGACGATGTTCTTGTCTTTGAGATCAACTGTCTCATCCCATCTGGCTGTGTGCATAACAGGTCCGGTAAACAAATCCCTCCCCTCTATTTCATCTGCCATGGAAGGTGTGGAAAAAATGCCAGTAGCGGATATCAGAACCTGGCATTGTACTTGATGAAAAGCCCCGGTCCTCCTATTATTGCAGTTGACTTGCCAAGTCAGAGAATCTTCAACCCATCGAGAGGAAGTTACTTCAGTATCAAACTGAATGTTGGGGAGAATGTCAAATTCTTTCGCTATCTCACGCATATACTGCAGTATCTCATGTTGACGGGGGTACCACTTGGTATACCGTTTATTGGGGGCGAATGACAGGCTATACAAGGCGCCTGGTACATCCACACCACACCCTGGATCTAGAAACCCTTAGAAGAAATTACAAAATGGCGCGGAAGAGTTCTGGAGGACTGTACAGGTATTATCCCTCCAGGTACCCCCAAGTGAACTAGATTTCTCAATAATTGTGAATCTCTTGAATGAATGCTGTCGCTTCAGCTGAATCGCCATTGTTAGCCCAGAGAATCCGGAGCCAATGATAACGACATCTTGGAAAACCATGTGCTCCATAGTCAGCGTCTAAATTTCAACGCCTAACTCAAAGTGAGGAAATGGAGAGTGGCCGTTATGGCAGAGAATGAAGACGATTGCAAAAGGAGACGAAGGAAATCTGCAGTGCCTGCGCCATCGCCCGGGTTATGAAAGCGAAACGGTACGCTTACCTACGCCAACAACATCAGTTAGGCAAGATCCAATCATGCCATGCCACAAACCGAGGCGCCGTGGCTTATGCATGGTTCGCCACTGGGACATGCATTAGCGCCCAGCCCCGCTGGAGGACTGTCCCCGACCTCGAGCCTTGTCAGCAAACAAGCCGAGCATTTTGCACACCCCTTATCCCAAGACGCCCCGGCGGGAACTTAAGAAGAGTTTCATTCAACTGCCATATCCGGTCCTGGATAATACTAATAGGGCCTACTGAAGATGAAAAAAACAGCCATTCGATCTTCCGCTGGAAATCAACCCGTGCCACCACAATTTGGTTTTGAGCGTATAAAAGATGGGCTTAGAAAGTGTATGGAGGTATTCAGGGTAAGCCATATTGGGATCACTGTGAGAAAATTAAATTCCTGATCATATTTTTCAAAGATTCCTGGCCCCGGAAATTCGATATCAGACCTCGAAAAAGGCATACAACATCCTCGGGACCTCCAAGAAAATACTAAAACCAACTTGAATCCTCTTCAAAAAGCCAGGGAGAATTACCTGTTGACTGTCGCGGCCGATAGCAGTATTTTTGTGGCGTCTGAAGATGAAGGTCTTTTTAGTTGGCCCCTGAAGCAACTAGAAGCTGATTTCTTAAAAATACCCCAGAAATTTGCGCAACTTGTTGATAAATCCAACAATCCGCCAGTGGGAGTGGAAAATTTGACAAGGTTTTATGCTATTTCCACCTGTATCGCCGGTATGCTTTTCTCTAAGCAACATGTTCAACTTGATCAAATTCTAGATGAACTTCGAGTACAAGACCTGATTTGGTTCGAAGATGACAGTCAGAACCAAGCGCGCCAGTTGATTTTTATTCTCCTTGGAATCATCACAAAACTCTTTGAGCCGGACTTCCAACCAAAAGAGGATCATTTTGCCATGAGCTTGCCAATGTCTGTCGGTTATCGTTCAACGCAACTGCGATCATTTCTTTGGAAAACACCCCTCGTCCCACTGGAAGCAGATGTAGGCTCTGTAGCAGACCTGCTCAGGCATTTTAGCCGAGGGGATTCCCCCATCTCGAGAATGCATATACCAAAAAGTCCTTCAGAGCAACCATCATTTCGTGTGGCTGATTCAACAACATTGAAGGGGCCCAATCTCACGTATCATACTCTACATCAGCTCGTTGGAATCACCATAACCTGGGTTGACTCTCTCTGTATGCACTTAACATTCGACCGAAAGACAAAATCACTGCGGCTCTTTCGCTATCCATCCTTCTGTGCCATGTTACTCTCCGGATCTGACTCCAATCAGACGTTTCTCTGTCGGTATGTATTCTCATTTTGTCGATTCAAGCACTCCTGTTTGAGACCCGGGCGCTAAAACCGAACAGAACTTTTCAGAGCTACCTTGACGAGCAAATAAGGCTTACGCGTACCGATTCCGAGCTTTCTCCGCCCATGAAACTTGAATCGGGCGACTATTTCCGGGAGCTGATTTTCTCTTATCGGCTTATATTCGGTCAAGATTCTAAATCTTGGAACAAAGCTCAATCTACAATTCCGGATACTTTATCAGATATAAAGCAAGAAGACTTCAAGGATACGTGTCCAGAAGCGCGAAAATGGTCATGGCAAGAGAGCTGGAATCTGAGGAGACTATTTCCAAGGCAGCACGTTCCCGCTGGAAATGCGCAAGGCAGCCAAGTTGCAGACCCTTTGATAGCTCGTCTTTGCTTCCGAGATTGGCGTGAAGAGCCGTTGTACGATCAACTTGACGCTCCTAATCTCCGGATATCGTATTCGGCTGCCACCGACTTTCCCTACTTTGGAAGTAGACTTATTGAGTTACAGGAATACGTATTGACGGAATGCCCTGATGGTTGGAAGATGTTATGGTATGACAGGCGAGATAAATATCGTTTTTGGGTGTTGTGGGTTGCACTAATTCTTGGACTGGTGACCATTTTACTCGCTGTGATCCAAGTCATCCTCGCATGCCTTCAGGTATGGACCCCTGGCTGATAATATGAAAGACTTTATACATATGTAGCTTTCCTTCTTTCATCTAAACTTCTTATAATTTTTCATCTTCTCACAAATTTGTACAAGTACTAGTAGTAGTATGTAGTCGAGGACTTCGAATACCTTGACTCAATGCCACATATGTATCCTTTACCACTATTATCTTTATGCAATAAGGGTGATTCAACCCTATAAAGGTCATTTATGTATTTCTTATTTCTTATGTATAACTTGTATGAGCACATACGGTCCTAGGTTCTTTATATTGATATTTGTATAATATGCTTCCTCTGAGCTTTGTCTGTTCAAGTTCACCTTAACTTAAGTCTATATCAAGCCTTAATACATTCCTATTCAGTATATGATTGTCTACATCAAACGTAATTGAGCCAGAAATACATCGTTCCATTGCCAGGTTTTACTGATGGGGCTAAATACAAATCCTATATCTCAATATAGCCTATATCTATTTGATAAGATATGACCTATAGTTTACATGAAATTGAATACCATCTGCTGAAATTCCAAATAAGAATCTAAGTCTTTTGAGATGTTCTCCATTTTGTCGGGATTCGGATCAAACTTACATGTATGGTGTAGCAGTGTTCAAATCCGCGAGTAAGATAGTAGCCTTGAATAGAGGTGGTTTCCAGGTATACTGATGCCTGATATGTATCACAGTAACAGTAAATAAAGTGACCGTCAACACTATAAGAGCAAGAAGCAAGATCATTCACAGCCACCACACATGAACATAGGATTGTACGTCCAAGCCATCTCATCAAAAGTTCCACCCTTGTGAGCTTGTCTGACTTGTTCGCCGCTTTTGCTGCCGGACTTGTGCATATATTCTTCACCGCATATCCGAAGAAAAGCAGAACTGTATTTCCGCAGGAAAGAAAATGGTTGTGTCTGATGATTGATAATCACGTAGGTTCTTACCACCCACCAGATCTGTATCTCTCACACCTACTTAGCTTCTCTCCTTAATCAAGCCTTGCCTATAATTCACTTCTAGTACATTAAAAGCCCTACACCCTGTTCTTGAACAGGTATCTATACCTTAGTTCCCTTTTATCCTTTTCCAAGGCTTCTGAGATCAATCCCCCGGGCGCGATAAGCGGGTTATCAAAAGGTGAGGCATGAGGTCTCAGACTAACCTGCCTGTTGCTCATGTCGTAGATAACCTCACCTCTCCTCTCCCCTTTTCCAGTTTTCTACGCGCCCTATGTCTTAGCGTGATAATTCTCTGGCAAAATAGTCCAAAAGAGATAAAGAATACATGACGGTCGGTAAACATCTGAGCGTAAAGACCAAAAACCTGTAAAAGAAATTATACAGCAGCATGTCTAAGGTCGTGGTCACCTCGCGCCCACAGTTCGGGCATGGGCGGCTCGCAGCTTTATTTAGGGCACTCAAGGCAGATATTCAGCCAATATAGCAAAAGGTACATTCCTATCATGACCAAAAAAGCTACAACAACGATGGCTTAGGTAGTTGAAGATATCTGAGATATGGGGCAATGTTCTCTCCTCGAAGTCCTTAGGCCTTGTCATCAACTTCGTTGATACAAGCATCTATTGAAGATGCTTGTTGTTGTTTTTTCCTTCCTCGTCAAGGTCACGGCACTGGGTCGAGCTACGCAATGGTTTTCTTCTCATTCTACCTGATATACATTTTATCTTAGTGCAGAAAATGAAGACCGAAGACAACCTAGTAAGCACTGGACATAATAAATGGCCATATATGCAGTAGATGCAGTAGATGCAGTATCGTGCGTATTTTATTGGGTTGATAACCCATTTCAATGTCGTTTTGTTATGAATATGGTGCTCCGATGGCCCTGCGAAGCTACTAAAGCCTGGCCCTGGGCAGCCTTATTAACTCAACCCGGCCATCGTTTAAATGGGAAATTAAGCTGACACATTTTCGCATCTGTATAGGGCTATAGGTATAAATTGGAACCCACGATATTCTATCCTACTAGAACACAAAATTAATGACATACAACATCTTTACCTTCTACCTTGCAACATGTCGGAGTCGGATTAGAATCACTGCTGAAACCATTTTGTTCCATGGCATGGTTCTAATGTGCCTGGTTTCGCCTTTCCTCCAGGGACAACTTCAGTTCCTCTTTATCGGCAATTTCGTTTCTTTGGGCCGCTTGAATCAAATTGTCCGTGACTGGGATCCTCTGGTACTTCAAAAACCCCACAATGGTATTTATGCTGCACCGTTCCACAACGATCTCTATCACCCGTCGAGTTTCAGGAATGTCAGGGTACTCAACTAACAGGCAGCAGTGTGTTATGAATCTGTCAAATTCATAATTCTTCTGGTTTTCCCCATCAAATGGATAATCTTCCAGCATCGAATCCGTCATCTTTGAGCCCGTCTTTTTGAGATGGGCCTTCAAAATGAAGGCTCTGCATTCGAAACATACATCAGTATCTCCCCAAGCCTCCTGCCAAAACTTAGCAACAAATGCTTCCGACTTTTGCTCAAGAAGCCACATTGTGAGTTTTGGTTTCTTATTTTTTGACCGCGGCTCGAATAATCCTCTCGGTAATCTCAACTGGTCCCCAACGGTGGATGATAACTTCAATTGCTCCCCGACCTCCTTCTGACCTTGTTGCGCCTACCAATATATCCTCGGTAATTTGCAGAGTATTTCCCTTGACACCCATCATTAGACGAATCGAAGAAGGATCCGCCGCAGCCAAAGTGAGGGCTTTCTCTATAACAGGTACGTCAGGCTTCCGCGATAGCAAGATTTCCAAGCAGTCAAAAATTGCCTGCCATTGCTTCAACCAGCTTTTTATCAACTTCCAAGAAATCCCGTTCAAGTAGAGTCTGAACCACATTTCCTGAGTCATATCGTTCTTCAGAAATCCGCCTAACCATTTTTTCAATTGGCAGATGCTTGTCCTGACGATCTAAAAGCCATATCATGACATCTTTATTTGCGCAAGCTTCTTCAAATACTGTGTCTGTCAGTTGGACGTCAGGTGTACTGCGAGTAAGGATTTTAAGCATCTCAAGTCTGGTCCTTTGATTTTGAGCAGCTGCGATGAGAATTTTCCCTGTGACCGGAAGCGGATCCTGGCTGATTTGGGCTAGATAGCTGATTAAGGAAGATCCTGACACCATGTTTGCGGCGGCGGAGCGGACCAAGGTCTCCGTAATAGGGATATCAAAACCTCCATCATCCATCAAAATTTTCAGTACCGTCTCATCTTTCATAGAGACAATAGTTCGTAACAACTTGTCACCCAAGGGTAGAAAAATCCGGTAGCCTCAGTAGGATCTTCATGATAGGCCCTCCTTCAAGAGGATTGTAAAACATCCAGGCTATGAGATCTTCACTCAGTAGCAAATATGAAGTTGCTGCAGAAAAAAGTCAAGGAATTCTAGCCCTGTGACTCCGTTTTTTGTTGCAGAGAGAAGTATTTCCTCGCTGACCTCTACTCCAGGTTCTCTGTAGGGCCAAAGCAATCGTAACATCCTAGAATCTCTACTAAGGCAAGCGCCTCCTATAATATCCTCCGTCACTTGGATATCCTCTTTCCTATACTGCAGTAGAAGCTTCATTGTCTTTTCGTCTCCCTTCCTCGCAAGTTGGCAAATGACATCGTTGGGGATTGGCAATTCCTTGGGTCGTTCCGCAGCCAAGAACTCGATTTATTTCAATATTGGGCTGACCATATCTTGAGTGAGTGAGAGACTTTTGCTCAAAAGCAAAATTAAAACATCTAATTGGCCATGCTGAGCAGCTTCAGTCAATGAATTTTTTTCCCATGGCCAATTGGGTGGCTGGAAAGATAGTAAAGCATCCGCGCCTTGCGTAAACAATATGTTCACTGTCTTAATCAGACTCATACGAGATGCCCTATAAATGGGAGGATCGCATTCTTGAAGTACTCTCACCCAGAGGCTCTCGTCTTGGTACTCATTAATGTCGGCAGCTCGCACCCGATTCAAGTAGATGTTTGGTTCAGTAAAGAGATGATCAATCTTCGCTTGTAAGCCTGGAATAGCTTGATCGACGTCTCCCAATGCAGCCAGGTGGGTATCCCAGTAACTGGCCGCGTACATAAACGAGGCCTGATTCACTGCTTCTTCTCGCGTCAGAAATTCAGTCTGCTCAAGAATACAATCTACTGTTCTTTCCGCGAGATATATCTGTCCATCGATGGCCGAGAATTGGCATGGATGATGCGAGCCATTTTCATCTGAAATGACAAGTAATTCCTGCACCGAGAAATGGGCCGTCTGCACCTTATCACCAGACCTGCTAACAAGAGATATTGTGCAGATTTTGATGATTGACTCAGGATATCCTAATCCCACCATATCGGCAACCGTCTTCAGATCAAGACGCACAGGTGAGAGACAAATAGTAGTGAATGTTCGCCGCGCTAGTGACACATCTCTATCCTTGATACGATCAAATATCCTTCGATAAGTTTTCTCCAGATGAGGTGGGACCTTCTTAAGAGCGTCTTTGATATGTTCCTCCGTGTAGCACTCTTCGACTTCAATCATTTGCAACTCCGCCCAGCAGAAACGCCTGGTCAATAATAAATCAGTAAGCCATCATCTAGTTAGCTAAGACAAATCACCTACCGCTCTTCGAAGCTCAGCAATTTATCAATGATCATTTTACGGGTGTTGGGCTTTCATTTGCTCAGAGGGCCCTCCGCAATGGACCTGTGAAACAAATGTCTTAACATCCTCCGCCAGGTGGGCTTCCAGATCAAGCTTAGAGGACTTTGCCAATTTCTGCTCAATGTCGTATTCGCGCCGGCGAGTTGCTAGGATATGTACTTTATCCTTATGTCGCTCAAGCAGACCCATAAGAAGTGCTAGAAGCGATCTTCGTTCTTTGGTGTGGGTAGCTTCCGGGCACTCATCCAGGGCATCAAAAACCAGGTAAACACTACCCTCAATGTTGCATATTATATCATGCACTACACCGGTAAGTACTTTAGAATCTGGTTGGTCTCCTGAAAGCTCATAATCTTCCCAAAGCTTTGTTATTGGTGAAGCAGCGGTGATCGGCATAGCTGTCTGATTAGCGATCTGGTCATCGCATCCACGCTTTGGGTTTCCTTGGTGCCAAACTCAAAGTACCAGTAGGCAAGACGCTTGGAAGGATCTAGTCTGCAATCCTCCTGGATATCGGATATGGCCGTAGAGCTAAATCGGGTTAGAATTCATTATCATTTCCGGGGAGGTCGATGAACATACCAAAGAACGGATTTACCACAGCCGGCTATTACACTGGCTAACCGTCTACTGGTATCAAGCAAGGAGGAAAATGTTCACTCACTAGTTTCTGGTAGCCAGAATACATTACCAGGGGCTGTTCTCCAGCCATTGTACTCAGGCGATTCAAGAAGCCAATCACCAGTGTCTCCCGTTCGTTTATCCTGCAAATATAATTGACGAGCGAAGTAAGGAGCTGTCGATAGCCAGGCCATTGTTGTCTTCTCTTCCCTGGCTGTAACATTATTGTCAAGAAAATCCACTGGGAACATATAAAAGAAAGAATTCTTACAGAAGAATTTGAAGGCCATAGACTTCACAGATTCTAATATTTCATCCGTCTTCGCGAGATGGGCCGCATCCTTTCGGTCCTCTATAAGCCACCATTAGTTATCACTATCTTTCGGAATGAGAGCCGAATGAAACCTCACTGAATTTTGCGGCCAAATCGGTCCACTGCGCCACGTTTTGCTTTTCGGCCTCGACAACTTGCTTCAGCTGGTCTAGCGGTGTATCAGTAAGTGCCACGAGGCTGTTCAGGATGCTCACTTAGGTGAAATTAGCCAGGCTCATTTTGGGATTGGGAACGGATTCGTGGAATTCATAAGCTTACTTGCTTCGTTTTCCTTCCGCGCCTTTGCTACCTCAGCTGTAAAGTTAAGGATCGCTGAATAGATCTTAAGAAGGGCCTCGTCGACATATTGATCACTTCCGACGCCCTGGTTTCGATAGTTTGTATCGATCAATGCGTAATAGGCGATTGTTTCTGCCAGATAGGCCGATGCACCGAAAATGGCATCGCGACGGTCTAACCTGTTTTGGACAATCTGGGGTTTGTAGGAGAATCAGTCCGGACCGCAAGTCAAATTCTGGGAGAAAGTCTTACACCCATTCCAAAGGAAATGATCATCCAGGCAGATGATGCTATTATTTTCATTAATATCACATCTTGCAATGGATTATGCGAAAGACCTTCCGTGGCCCGTCGGATCAAAAGACACGGCTGTCGAGATCACGTTGCCAGCCTTCTTTCCTGCGCCGATGATTTTCTCCATCGAATCACGCACGTTGATATCATCACCATCCTTGCGAGGAATTCTGAGTCCTCCTTTCTTCCACTCCTTGTATTTGGCCGTTGTGTCTTCGATGACAGTCGATTGCAGCCGTAGGTGAAATGTCACCTGAAGATATGTACTTCTGGCAGGTTGGAGGTAATTTGTTGAATGCTTCGTCCCACAGATCACGTTGGGACAATTCCTCATGAGCTATATCTGGTTTCTCCTGAGCCACGTCTAATTTTTCCCGAGCTACATCTGTTGATGAAGTCTCTTTTTTTGTACTTACCGGTACATTTTGTGTGGTCTTTACAGAGCGTAAATGAGCGGGTCTGACTGGACTGTCTTGAGTATCGTCAGTCTTATCACCTTTTCTGCAGCAGAGTGAGCGCAAATTTCCCATATAATAGTGCACTGCTTCTGATCAATTCAAAGTCAACGCGTGTTGGGCTTTGAGGCTCAATGGGTGATAGAATCAGGAAGAACTGCAAAAGTCTGCGAAAGTCTGAGTAAAATCATTGTACGAAGTAGAGCTGGTAATAATGACATTGTCAAAGAAGTACTATACCCCACCATTTTTCTTCGACTTTTCAACCCTTTTGCTTTCATTTCTTCGTCCACCAGATTCTGCCCCAAGGAAGAGAGTTAAATAGAGCGAAAGTGAAAATGAATGCTCTAGGGTGGTTGATGAAGGAATGCATTGTTTGGCTTGCTTGCAAGTTCTAAACAACTAATAGTTAGCCCATACAATATCATATTACAACAGATACTTTTATTTTTTTATTTACGATTGTACGGAGTATTACAACTCACCCTGTCAATTGCACATTCATCCATCTCACCCTATTCTCACCGGGGCAGCAGCCAGCGTACTGTTAGAAGTACTAATGCATCTCTGATGTACTTCCGTTTTAAAATAACCTATATTTTCTACTCTCCGGCCGCTAGCGGGTACATACGAGCATAGGGTGTAGAGTAGTATGGCGGGTGACCACATGCGAATCCTGACTGTTGTATGCTTTTGTCTTTCTAATGTACTCGTGTTTTTTGAATTGGTGAAGGGAAATTCCCTTACAGTTCTTGCCTTTCAAGCGCTAATATAATTGGCTTCCTTACTAGGCGCGATCCGATCTTTAAGAGCCCCCGAGGTCATTTTATCTTGAGACTCATCTATTATAATTGAAGAAATAGTCACCTTAGGCCAGTATCTGGTGCTTTTTGGGCGCCCGCAAATGTGTACCGGGATGAATATGGCGAACGCGGAGATCTATCCAAACGTCTGCATTACCAGCTCCTTATTTGACACCAAGAACTCCTTAAACTTGGTCAACTTGATCCCAAACTCACCTTACAGATCCAACGGGTTGAACTTATCCACATGTGCATAAATTCCAGATTGGGTTAATTGAAATTTACCTACATACGCCCTCCAGGGATCTATGTCTTTTAGCTACCCCTCTCCTATTATTTGACCAATAGCAGGTAAATCTTGTCAGCGTAATGGCGTTATTAGAAATCACCTACTACCATTAGAAATCAAACTTCATAGTTCCAAGGTTTTTATCAATCATCTATCACCTACTTTGGGCGAATTTAAGTGGCCCCTAATGGAGTTCCAACTTCGCCATCTCTATCGCAAACAAGTTGACCAATAACCACCATAGCTACTATGACCAACACTGTCTATCTAATTACGGGTGCTAGCCGTGGAATTGGCCGTGGCCTCGTCGAAAAATTCCTCGCCCGTCCAAATATCACCGTTATCGCGGCTGTTCGTGACCCCGCTGGTGCTTCATCCCAATCGCTGCAGTCTCTCTCCAAGGGCGAGTCTTCGCATCTCATCACTGTAAAGGTTGAATCCACCTCTCCAACCGACCCAGAAGCTGCTATGGAGACCCTGATCAATAAACATGGCATTGATCACCTGGATGTGGTCATTGCCAACGCCTGTATCAGCGAGGACTTCTCGACTGTGCATGAAGTGCCCATTCCTGTGTTACGCAAACACATCGAGGTAAACGGTTTTGGCCCCATATATCTCTACCAAGCCATCTATCCGCTGCTTAAGAAAAGCGAGAAGCCCACTTTTGTCGGAATTGGTAGTCCGCTGGGTAGCATCGGTGGCATGGAACAGCGCCCATACTCATGTGCGGCGTACGGCCCCAGCAAAGCAATACTTCACTGGATCGTGCGTAAGATTCATTTTGAGAACGAGGAGTTTGTGAGTTTTATTGCGGATCCTGGGTATGTGACTGCTTTCCCTCCTCATTTCAACTCTTCCGTTTATTAAACAATCGGTCTTACATATAATAACATATTTGCAGCTTCCCCCAGACTGACATGGGCAATGCTGGCGCCAAAGCTGTCGGCCTTGAGAAGGCCTTTCAGACGGTTGAGGAGAGCGTCAGCGGTATTGTGAAGGCGATTGACGAAGGAACTCGAGAGTCAGTTGGTGCCCAGCTGCGCATTTGGGATGGCTCCCAGTTCCCTTGGTGAAAACATATTGGAGCTTTTGGTTTTGTATTCCCATCCAGGATCTAAACATTAGAATATCTCTCTTGCTTCTGGCTAGTTTCCTCGGACTTTCAGCAGTCCTGATGTCTTGATCACGTAATATTGGTGCCAATATTAGCAAATATCGCGTTGCTGGGTGATCAGGGATGCTACTCTCACCCACAAGGTTCCCCGAAGACCCTCCTTGCCAAAGACATCAAGATTATTTAGTAAATGCTTCTCAAGGCCTATCGGTAAGGCTGCGCGAGAATCTATTCCTAGCATAGGATTCTTGACCGACACTTGGGAGCCCGATATAAGCTTCTTGTTCGTCATATTCTTCAACTCCTCACCTTCATTCTGATCGACAGTGATTTCGGAGAGGGGTAGCAAGGTTACGGAGGTAGTAGACGGAAAACATATAAGGAGCGTGAGGAAGGGAATCCCTAGTAGGGCGACTGGCATTACTGTAAAAAATTGCCGGCAGAAGACGGTTTTGTGCCTATCTATATATCTGGATGTAGTCTTTTCAGAGAGGGCTTCCCTTTCTCTTCCTTTCCTAACTTCGATTTCATTCATTCTTGATACTTTTTTTTTCCTAGTAAGAAATAGATCCATTCTTACAATAATAGTCGCCAAATCCCTTAAATTCTTAGTCAGCGGCTTTTTTGGCCTGATTCCTGCAAAGATTGTAACCGCCTGTCACCGCCCTTACACCGTCATGTAAACCACCTAGTTAATTAACTTAATGAGTGTAAGTTTACATCACCGTGCAGTAAACGGGTACACAAGTCCAACAAGATTGGAATTCGCGACAACCTGTGAAGAAATAAAAGTTCTATATCATGGCGATCCATTTTGTCTATAATTGAAGGAGAATGTGGGATCAGTCTGTGTAACTTGCATACTCCACAACTAGGTATAGACGCGGGTGAGGAAGAGGAGAACGAGCCCAGTATTCACGATGACCACGATGGTTATAATATTGAGCAAACATGAACTGAAGATGAGGATGAATATAAAAGTAAATTATTGGTCTGGTTTAAGGCAATTTGTGGAGTTAACTTCCACAAATAATGTATCGACTAATGGCTAGAAATAGCCTATGCTCCTGCTTGCCTAGTATGTAGAAGTAGTTGGAAACACTGAATGTATACGTAGGACAAAGTCTATTTCTTTGATTATTTACTTACCAACTCAAGAACTTGATGTTATTTAGTCCAATTATTTGAGCATTGTAATAACCCGAGGGGAAAGCCGCAGATCTCCGGGCTAAAGATGCGACAAGTCCCGCAAGATGTACATCTCCTTCTGATCTGATATTCAATGAAAGATCTTTTGGCAATGTTGCGATGAGAGATTTAAATCAGTCTATATATAAGTGGCCATGACAATTCGAGACAAAAGGCGGTCTATACCACTCTTCCTAGCTTTCCTCTCACAAAGCACTTTAAAGCGAATGTCGAGGGCGAGGGCGAGGGCGAGAGCGCTTCTTTTCTTTGACAGCAGGCAAGCATGGAATTGAACAATATATCCCTGTGCGACACAGCTTATCTATATTTTTCTTTTCCTCACTTCTCAGAATCCACTGCTCGTTGCCATCTTTCATCTGCTTCTCATATGGCAGTGTATTAATCCAAGCGGACCACTTGCGGACAACCCCTATTGCAATATCCTTGGGGACCTCAAACCACTCCCGGTGTGATTTAGAACAACCAGGGCATTTTTTCTCGATTTTTCTGAAACGAATCAATTCCAGATGTACCAGAGCTTCAACGCGCGATACGTGTGGAACCTGTTGTAAATCGGATATCTTCTCGTCGCTGTTCTTCACCGGTTCCGGAAAAAAAACTTCCATAGTTTTTTTGCACTGTTTATTCCATTGCTTTAGACGGCAGGGTACGTTTCCGGACCGCCCAATTTTCAAATGGCCGAAGTTTCCGCGTTGCCAGAAAATGTACATCGAGCCCTGATATTTGAGATCGCTTGGTCCGAGAGGCCTGGTTAGCAGTATTGCAAGCTCTTCAGATGTTGTTCCCGAAAAGCTTTTACTGATGTAAGGGTCGAATTCTTGGATGGGGTTGATCATAAGCGGTTCTACTTGTACAACTTTGCTCGCTGTGGGTTGCAGGAAGGAGGACAGTGATGGTTGAGACAGTGTCGCCCGCTCTAACAGACGAACCCAGCGAATAAGAGCCCATAAACGTTCATTTTTCACTAGGAAAATAGATTCATAATCATGGATGCTTGAGAGCTCTTGGAACTCTTCTTTCCAGACTTGAATCTCTTTAAATGCGACCTTTCGATGTGAATCACAGAAAACTACTTCTATCAGATCTTGAGTTGCATGTAGAAGTTCGTTTGGTTTCAAGGCGGCCAGGCTTTGGAGTTGCGCTGAAATAGATCTAATAGGAAGATGACGTTTGCATCTCTTGCCCTGAATTGTCCAAGCTGGGCATCTCCTGCTATCCTCCCCTAAGTGCTGGATCAATTCAAGCGGTATAATTTTGCGGAGCGACTTTGTAACCGCGCCCACCTCTTTCAGACCTTGACGAGAAAGGGCCGGTTCAAGCACAGCCAATGAAACAGCATCTTGATTGGCTTCTCGCTTCATTTCGTTGTGTGGCGAAGAATTCTTTTTGTGTCCATGATACAATTTCTCGCCAGCTCCGTTTGCCACAGCTTGCAACTGTTCGTTATATTTAGCGACAGTTCTTTGTGTGCTTGAAGCCTGCTCCGACCTGAGATCCTGCTTGGGAGCAGAAATTTGCCGTGCTTCAGGATCATGATAAATTCTTTTGGGATCAGAGAACTCTGCGTTGATCTCATTACTGGTTGGCAATTTCCATAACGTAGAAGTCGTCTGCCGAAAGCGCTTAGTTTTACTTGATCTGAAGCAAACAGAAAGCAAGCTAATATCCATCGGTGATGAAGCCGTCAGAGCAATAAATTGGCTGGTTTCATCAGGGGGTTTGCCGAAATGGGATCTTTTATTTTGTTTCCCCTTGATTTTCGAAGAAAAGATATCCACATGAGGTGGGTCGAAGCGTGTTTGAATTTTGGTAATATTGACGCCAGCTTCATTTCTGCGTCTAGAAATCGAGTTGGCTGAGGCCTTGCTAGAATTTGTGAGAAGGAGGGCGGCGTATTTCGTATCGGCTGGTTTTATTTTCATCGTGTCCAGCTGAACGAGGGCATTCTCTTGTAATGTGACCGGCTTCTGCTTTTCAAACGCTATCTCGCAATTACCGTGCTTTTTGCAATCGCCGGTACTCGAGAAGAGTATCCCGGCGGGGTGGGTTGCTTGGCTGTGTGGAGTAGGCATTATTCAAACACTATACCACATACAGGAGCGAGCAAATTTTCGAGACTCTGATCTGTGCCACTTTGGAGACTGCTTTGTGTTTCTTGCAAGCTAATGTAAGGGAAAAGCGTGGTCATCAATTCATCATGGACGAAGCTCGGGGACTCGGGCAGTATTTCTAATTTCGGTTCGAAGGAGCGGCATCCATGTTGGCTCCTAGTTCGCGTCGTGGCGCTCCAAAGGGTGGTGGAGACTGGCTGCCTCCATTCTTTGGGGCGCAGTTGATTGCTCAGGAATGTTTCGGTTCGCACCGCACCGTACCGTAACTGCCCCCTCTCACAAACCGGTTCGACACACGATCTTCTCTCGAGGGCTCCGGAATTAGGTCACAAGAAGATGCATATGAATTCGCGATACATTGATACTCTCCAAATGAATGGGCCCTTCCTAAATAGTAGTTACCACACATGTATTGGCTCCAGCTGGCCGGAGGCACCTTTACTTCATGCCTGTAACGGTTTGCGGATTCCAAGATGCCTAGTGCGTTAGCTCGGAGGGTCAATGCAACCATCTCGCGAATCACTCTGTTCAGTCTATTCAAGCAACCATAAAGTATGGCTGAATCACTATCACATATTTCATGATGGTACACTAGTGCAATGATATTAAGAAACCGAAGACACGAAATCCAAATGCTCTTCAATTTCAGGTGCACCAAATTTCAAATGTGTCTGAAATCTTGAGCGTTGAATATTGAACAAACCTGAGAATTGAAAGAGTCAAGATTTATAAATCAATACTATTCAAAGAGGAAGATAAATAGATGACGAAAAAGAACTCAGGATCTCAGAATATTCTTCTCCGCCTGATAGTGCGCTCTGTTAACCTTGGAATTTTAGATACCGCCGTACCCCTCAGCCTCGCTAGGAGAATACCCCGCCGACAGATAAAAAAAGATCCGCTAGCAGCAGCCAGTTTTGCAAGGATACGTGCCTAGCGGAGATGTGTTGACAATCACAAATGACTGACATAAATGTCCCTTTTCATTGACTTATATTTAAAGATTTATCGACAATAGTTATGTATATACTGTTGCTTTTCAACCAATTATAAAGCCAGACATGGATTTAAGAAGATTAGCTTTGAATGAGACTTGTGGTTCACCAATTTATCGGGCATCTGTTTTGAACAATTGATGAACTTCTTAGCTATACTTTTCTATTAGTCACACGCTATCACAATAAGTACTATGACTCGCTTACGGCGAGGACTCACTTTGAAAGCCCGTTAACAATCTTCATTCTGGTAAAGTCTGACATGTTAAAATGTCAGTTATTCACATAAAGGATTGTGTGCTACTTGCCCGCTACCAGTTTCTCTCTTTCATCATTCCAAAATTCTATAGGGATCAAATATTCAACACCAATACCGCAGAAAGCTTTGAATGCTCTGCCGTGGTTACTATTCCAAGCTTCATGAAGCCCCCGCATAACGAAAAAATGGTGAGGTGTCTCAGTATCCAGATTGCTCTGGACAGAGAGACTTATACAGGATAGGACTGACACAATCCCAATTCAAGTATAACTTTTCAATGACTATGGATTACCATAGGACCCACCTGTCAATGTAAGAAAGTCATCATTTGAATGAGCCATTAATATTGCTGTGGGCCCCTTTACTCTTCAGACGAGACGTGTGATGTTACTAGCATGGCCCGCAATGTCATTTTCCCATCAGCAAATTGGTAGTCTAAATATTTGAATTTCTGACCGAATACCAGCACCGGGAATTTAAACAGATATGACATTCCAACTTGAACCCGGAATGGGCGGTTGATCGGGGTCATTATTCGCATAGTCAGTATTCTCCATGCGAAAAGTCGTCGTATGACATGCAATTTCAGTTATTTTATGTTTCGAAAAAAGAATAAAGGAACCGCATTATCATTGGAATAGCGGTTATCAAGCCAAATACTAGAAAACATGGGTCCCAGAAACCAGATGAGTGTCTCAAGGGACAGAAAACAGCAATTCCGATGCAGACTATTATGGCCATAATGCCATGCAGTAGTGAAACTACCCACTTATTACATACAAACACAACAAGAAAGGTGGGACGCATCTGGGCCCATCACATGTCACTGTAAAGAACAACCCCACTTCTCCTCGGATTCATTTCTAATAATACTCGGCTACAGCTAGGATAGAAAAAACCTTCGCGATTGTGACTTGTGATCGTCAAGGAAAACTCCAGACTCAATAATTTGAGTAAGTTCTTTCACACAGTGAGGATTTGATGTTGAAAGAAATGAAGCCATGTGAGTCTGCCATGGTCCTGCTATGTAGCTCGGAAGTTGCAAGCCATGCACATTCGATTCTTCGAGAAATTGTGTCAATAGCCTCTCGAGATCCGATATCAACAATTTCTCTTCATCTTGGATCTCTTCTATTTCTTCTGATTCAATCTTTCTATACTCATGAAAGCAAGTATGTGTGATATCCAAGCTTTTGAATGTGATGAAACGAAGTATACCAACACTCAAATAACTCTTGAAGCGTTCATCATGCTCAGGCTTGAATTTTGAGTGCGAGAGAACAACTCTCAAAAACTCGGCAAAGAGCTGGATAAGCTTGGCTTCAGTCTCATGGTCAATTCGTGTGGGCAAAAGTCCGCTTAAAAGAGTCGTTAGTGGAGAGCATCCGTTCAGAGAACAGGCACATTCGCAATCATCTCGACTATTGTCGGATAGAACTGTATTCAATAAGGCCTTTGAAGGTTCACTCAAAGAATTAATCTTCGAGTGTTCCTCGTCTTTCATGCAGTATAAAATTGTGCCCACACTATTTGCTATGTCATGCAAGGCCGATCCAAATGGCTTTTGGTGATAGATATCAGCACCTTTGCTGATCAACCAGTTAGTCTTTTGTAGAAAAACTTCCAAATCACAGGGTGGTGTGTTTCTCCAGATATTTGTCAGACACGTCTGGTTGTCATCATCGATATCATCAACGCCTCGGAAGCCGGCACTCCATAATCGGTCCGCCAAATCAAGATTGACACCGACACAGTCAAAGACTGACCACTTAAAACGCTCCAGGAGACCTTCCAAATCCACAGATGTGACTGCAAGTAGTGTATACGCTTCATAAGCATAGGTATTGAGCAGACTTTGGGATTCGATGCGTAATTGATCTTGGGCACTTCTCGTCAAGTTTGCCTCCGCAAGTGCCTGTAACCGCTTTCTACGATCAATGAACTCGCTAACAATTAGATCAACAATGACCTGGTTGGGATGAAAACTTGCGATTGCAAGCTCTTTGTTTCCAATAAAGCACTTGTGGTCATTCACCAGTATCTTTACGCTCTCCTCGCAATTCGCTTCGCATGCGGCTTTAAGAGCGTCTTCGGTTGGTGCATGACCAGATTCAAGAATCAGGGCTAAACCCTCCCCCCAACGAGTGTACGATTCAATCAATCGATGGAAATCGATCCCTTTTCTTAATTGTGCTGCCAAAAGTTTCTTCGATTTGTACACAAGAGGCTGTAATTCTTCTGGGAGATCGATGTCTTGATTCAGTTTAGCATCACATTCTTTCGGGTCGCTTTTTTTGGGTGCAATTACCTTGGATCCCTTTCTCATCGGCAATTCTCCAAATAAGGCGGAAGCTAAAGTCTTCGAACAAATTATCAGTCCTACGTCCATCTACTCTCCAACCCATGTACAAAGGGTTGAAAGTGTTCTCTCGATGCCTCCAATCAAGGGCTTCTCGGGTCATGTATCCCCCAGCTTCCAGTAAGTCTGAACAGATATCAATCGTTATCTGCTGCTTTTCCAGATTGCTGCTTTCATGCCCAAAACAATCGATCATGCTATCGGCAGGAGTTTCACCGCGGTAATTCGCACGGTCCGGAGAGAGACCCGCTTGTAAAAGGCTTTTGATAAATGAACGCCACATAAGCCGTGAACGTGTATCCCAGTTAGAACTGTAAGTTTGCCAGCCAGTGACTACCTGTTGTAGTGGTGGTTAATACAAGACATTCAATTAAAAGACTTAGATGTTCCAGCGCCAGAGTAATTCTATGGGTGGAAGCTTAAGGCATCCATGGCAAATTGATACTCACATGTAGAATAGTATCGCCGCTTTGAAGAGCATCCGACTTTGATGCTTTGCCTGCACGAAAGGCTTCAAATAGAGCCTTCCAAGTAGTTTGGATTACAGTAGAGACATCTTGCGACTTGAACCTCTCCTTTGCACCGTGAAGGGCGCTGAATATCTCTGAATTTATAGGCACAATTGCACGGAATTCAAGTTTAGGGCTGATCGAGAATCCTCCTGCTCCGATTGTGCTTGAAAACGATGTTTCAAGGAAAATCCGCAGAACCCATCTGCAAAATATTTGGCGATGGAGCAAAGTCATGACGGTTTTGCTTTCTTTGTGAAGCTCACATCCGCCAGTACGAGCTGTACCAGCGTTGCGCGCTCTTTCGCAGAATTTCGTGCCACATGAGCATTTTGTTCGGCGCCGATTCCACTGAGAAACAATGACGGTCCCCTGACTATGCGAATCTTCATCCACAAGTCGTTGATGCTCCATTGCCGATTGGAGTAGGTCTGGTGTGAGAGCTAGGCCAGCTTTATTGCCGGACTTATCACTTTGCTAAGTTTAAGTAAAATAGTAAGTAGCAGCTCAAGGATGGAATTCTTGGAGATCTAGATCAGGGGGTATAGCTATACCATTCGTTTAAGATGATTTTCAAGTATTTCTAGTCTATGCTCAATACTAATGCCGCGCTGATCAGACCTTTGAGCCACAAGTAACATTTGACTGGTATCGAGGGCGCTCGATGCTGAGTATGTGAGGACCATGTCTGTTTGCTTCTGAGAGATAGCCAACATAGCCCTTGGAATTTCCAATTAGTAATGAAATGATTCATTTCTCTTCTAGTTTAAACTCACATATTCAGTATTTGCAGTGAGGTATTGAGATGAGCTTGCAGCCAGCTCACCGTTTCCAAAAGTGTTATCAGTGTATCGCGTTTGAAAGGATACAGTATCCTATTGATCCGGACTTTGGACCCCAAAAAGCCTGTGCTTGTGCTTTTGCACTCATTCAGCATTTTATATAATCTTTCTAGTCCTTCTTGACAATTAAAGATGGAATCGAGTGCGACTGTTGCTGATTGAGCCGTCAGAGGAGATGAAAAAACTTGCGCGTTAGCGAGTACAGATTTTAACGCCTTCAACATGCCGTCAAAACTTGTTATATGGTTGGAGACATCGTAAATTTGTTCATCATACGCTTTGAATGGCCCGTAATAAGCCAGTAGGCCCTGGCAGACTGAGAGGCCAAGCGAGATAACGCCTACCGCGCTCCCAGCGACAGAAAATGGATCACCCATGTATAATGATAATTAGTGTCTTCGAAGAAATTCCATTAGATAGACAAAGTTAAGAATCTGGAGGCTACCATATGGTCTATGTTGAAATTTGTGGAGTAAAGAGCAGGCGGCTCAAGGTGGAAGGAAGCCTAATCGCCGATGACCAGCCTACGAGGGGTAACTAGGCAATACATGTATAGGCGGTGTGTGATGGGGACGCTATTGGGCATTAATTTTGGCTATTCATTCTTAATAGCCACGGTAGCTACCTTATACTTTAATTCGACCGAATCTATGCAGAAAATAGTATTATACCGCTTTTTATGCCAGCGTATTCCTTGTATCTACTATAGCCGCTTGATATTGGGTGTTTTGCTTCGTTCAAACGCACATATGGTCGCTTTGTGGGCGACCTTGCCCGATCTGGCTATAACATTAGGAAAGCTTGACTTTCTTGTAGTTAGTTAGTTAACTAGTTAAGTAAATGAGCGCAAGTTTACATCATCGTGGAGTAAACGGGTACCCAAGTCCAAGAAGATTGGAATTCGTGATTTTTCCTTTGGCAAAGGAAAGTTTTACCCGACAACTTGTGAAGAAATTAAAGTTCTATATCATGGCGATCCATTTTGTCTATAATGGACTAGGAAACTTTTTAAATGTCTTAAGGGACCAAAAGCTTTGCGCCGAGCAGGCCGGATCCGATTTATTGGTATTTTCAAAAGTCGAGCATGACTTCCTACGTCGCCACGAAGCTATGATAGAACGAGAAAAGATTCGAATACTTGAGTATGCGCCAGATAAACAACAACTCATCCTCAAGATGCCAATACGTGCTATCTTTGTTGCCCAGGGAGTGACCTTCAGATATTTGACACAGCAAATGATGAAGATCGGAATGAAAGATGACGACTGGATGCTTCTTAACGGAGGCGATTTTAAACTTGAAAACGGGTGTACTGTCGAGCCAGACCTGGCCCTCTATCCAATGGCAGGTAAAAAAAGGCAGTCATTGTTTCCGCATATCGTCTTTGAGATTGGAATTTCGCAATCAGTCGAAGAGTTAAGAAGCCGTGCAGACGATTATATCCGGTATTCTAAAGGAAAGATCAATGCAGTAATTTGTTTATATGCGCCACAAAACCAAAGTTACATCAGCTGGGTAGTGTATAAGGCCTTTAGACAACCTGATCAGGACCAGGCTTTTGAGTCAGTAATTTGGGGTCGTGGTTTAATCACGTTCTATAAAGATGATCACAGTGGGCAGTACGGTCTACCAGCCACTATTACCACTACGGGGCCAATAATCATTCCTATCGGAAAGGTTCCTCCAGGCACCCCAGATGAACTCGAGTTGATTGAAGAAGGCCTCGTCGAAATCACTGAAAAGTTTATTTTGAGGCGCTGGCGGGGGTAACTAAAGATTAGACCCTCTCTTCTTTGGAATGGCTGCGAGGTGGGGGAATAAAAAAGGACGATAGACTGGATGTGCGCCCTGGGGCTGATATTTACATATTCCCCTGGGCTCTGTCGAGTGAGAGTGGGAATGGAGTGTCTGTCCACCTTGGGATGAGAATTCTCACCCGCTCTCCCCCCGTTCTCTATTTTCCACACCCTGTGGTCGTATATACTAGGAGAGTGTTACATGTTAAAGTCTAACTCTACCTAGGCATATCAGATTCAGGATTATTTCATCCCGATTCTTGCGTAAAATATCTGAACCGGTAAGGAGAAGATAAAACTGCGAATAGGATTTCTATAGATAGTCCACTACACCTTTTCTTGAATGTATGACATAAATTGATTAGCGCGGTGATCCAGATGTATAGAGAATCCTTACTGCGCCCGACGGAAAAGAGTACCCGAGCCCAGAGTATTTTGTAGTGATTGGATCTGTAGGGTAGAAATGAGTATAGAAAGAGTAAGGCCACGTCAGCGCTTCAGGCATGTGCAGGAGGGTTCAGGTGTAAAATAGTGGCGTTCATGGCATTCAGGTGAAGGGGCTTAATTGACTGAAGAGTAGGGCGGCAAGGGCACTAAACCCAACGAATCCAAAAAAACGGGTGAACAAAAAACATACAACAGTCAGGATTCGCATGTGGTCACCCACCATACTACTAACTGACCGGCGTGTGGCTTGAGTACGGCTGAGCGGACGGGAAGCCCTATTTTCCACACCCTGTGGTCGTATGTGCTAGGAGAGTGTTACAAGTGAACCATACTAGTAGTCCTAATTTGACATAAATATTCCCAGATTATTGTGAAAGGCAGCGAGGCAGTTATATACACATACGCTACAACTCGTATTGAGCTACATGGAATTTTCATGTTATATTCCACCTGGGCAAGGTTGATCCGAATTGTAGATTTTCGATTTTAGGATTGTGATATTCCTTTTATGTTTATGAACACCATGAATACCCTACAGTGAAACTGAATTATGTCAAATGAATATTCATCAAATGTTGTCAGTATATACGCCGTATATCATCGCAAAAAACAAACGCCATGTAACCAAATCAAACCATAGATAGAAAATTCAATGTAAAGTAAAAGAAAGTAAAAGAAAGGAAGGAACATAATATATCAGTCGTATGACATACGAGTATCAATATCCAGTATCCAATTCAATATCCAAACAAGAAAGAAATATCGTAGAGAATGAGAAAGTAGCAAAAGGAAAAAGAGAATGGAAAAGAAGAGGTATAAAACTGGGGTATCAGAGCAGAAGAATCCTAGACTCAAACCGATCGTGGAGGAAATATGAGGATTGGGGTTAGGAAAGGGATCAGGGTAGAAGGGAAGGAAAGTATAGACAAGTGGTAGAGTAAGAGATATGAAGATAGGAATGACGGGTATAAACTAGGATATCAAAAGCGGATGTGACAGGATATGTAATGAAATGAACAATCAAGGCTTATGCTTTTTATTCACCGTCTCCTCATCCGGCGACCCATCATCAGGATAATCCCTCTTCTTATCCTGCTCATCCTCTCTCCCGAAACCCGGTCCATTCCCAACCGCCGGCGTAGGAAACGTCAACGGACTAGGAAGCAGACTCGAGTCAGGGCCCGAACGACCGAAACCCCACTCTGGAAAAAAGCTAGAAGGTGAAGGTAGTAAAGCATCAGAGACAAATCGGCTCGGTAGCGCAGAGATAGGCGTTTCAATATTATTGTTTCCGTTTCCAGCTCCGGCCCCGGTTCCATTCGTTGCGGATGTTGAGCCGTTATATCCACCACCTTGTGATTGGGGAGGTGGTGGGCGCGCGAATGGATTCGGTGGTCCTTGTGCGCCGGCGGAAAGGATTGCTCCTGCTGATGGGGAGGGTGGGGGGAGAACGACTCCGCTTCCATTAGGTGGGTGGTCTGCTTTTGCTGGGGTGGATTTGTTGGCTGAGTCGCGGGATGAATCTCCTTCTGCGGTGTCGCCTGTTACACTTCCGACTTCGGAGCTTTCAGATGGGATTTGAACTTTCAGTTGGGGTCTTTTGGAGGGGAGTTGGCCGCTGTTTGTACGTTGGAGGGGTTGGATATCTGGACCTGGACCCGTTCCCGTTCCCGTTCCTGAGTGTATAGAGAGAGGTTGAATGTCCGGGGCTGAGGAAATAGATTGTGTCCGGTTTAGATTGAGGGCGTTCATTTGAGCCATTCTTGCTGCGGATTCTTCGTGGGACATTTGGTTTTGGTTCATCCGATGCTGGTCGTACATTGAGCCTCCTCTGAAATGTTGAGCTAAGACTGAACCACGGTCGTCGATTGGGGTGAAGATACTCCGGGACTTGGACATGGATTTTGGTTGAGGTGGGGATTGGCTGTGTTCTGGCTTTAGGTGACCACCTGACGTATTATCGTTGTTTTCGCGTTCTTGATTTTCCGGAGGGTATGCTGGGGGCATTGAGCCTCGGTTTCCTCCTTGATCGGACATGTATGCTTGGGAGACTTGTTGGACTGGTGCGTGAGAGCCTGGAGGCATACCCATTTGCTGTGAGGCCACGGCGTGTGCATGTTGGAAGTGCTGATGCTGCGGGTGTTGCTGTTGATGCTGCTGCGGATGCTGTTGAGGCATCTGTTGAGGCGGGAGACCGTGCGGGTGAGCGATTCCTTGTGGTGGTGTTCCTTGGGGAACGGGTGGAGGGTGAGCGAATTGTCCGAATTGACCGGGACGAGGCTGATTCATGGCACCGTGAACGTTTGGATTGTACATTGATGGGTTGGGCATGTAGAATCCATTCGGGGGACCGGGAGGCGGTGGCGTGGCGTGTTGATGGGGACCGAGATTTGAGCTGACGCGACGAATATGATTTCTAGATGAAGGACGAGAAGCCTGAGACTGTGGGGTACCATGTCGTGTTGGGAGATTGTTCGGGACGGGAGGAGATGCAGATGGAGCGTGGTTTATATGCTGGAAACCGGGTTGCTGATGCAGAAGAGGGGGCGCGCCGGGATGGTTTTGGGTAATTTGCATATCCTCGGGCGCAGGTGTATGATCTTCATCGTCGTCGTCTTCTTCATTTTTGTTAAAATCTTCTAGGCCTTTGTGTTCACGGACACCATTGAACTAGAGGAAGAGAAATAATGTTAGCGAGGTTCGAATTTTCTTGTCACGGGCGATTAGAAAGAATGAAATCACGGTCGCTACTTACATATTGGAAGCGATGAATACACTCGGGCATATCGCATGACGAGTAATCATAGAGTTTTTTATTTTGACCAAAGATAATAACTGCGACGTCGACGGAACAAAGAACGGCCAGCTCGTGCGCCTTCTTGAAGAGACCGGCCTTTCGCTTTAGGAATGTACTGTCGTGAGGATGAATGTTAGCGGAGATTCTAGATTAACAAGGAACTTGAACTTGAAAGACTGCAGTGAAATGTATCTGTAACTTACACAGAGCGATTGCGATCATCCTTGATAGGTTTAATCTCGATCTTCCGGCGACCCATTTTGAAGAGATTATATTTGACTCCGGCGCGTAAGCCTATGTAAGACAAAAAGGAGTCGCCACGTCAGAATGCCGCAGACGACAATCCACGGCGACTTCAAGGTCGCGATGCGACAACAAGAATCTGAATCAAGTCGGCGATGTAGCTATCGCGAGTCGGAGTTCACGGTAAGTCACACCGATGCTAAATCCAGGCTGGTATGTGCGGTCGCGCTCAGCGGGTCGCGACGATTTAAGGTGTCGAGGTCAAGGTCTCAAGTGGACTCGACGCTCGACCAGCTTGGAAGGAATAGGGCGATACCAATAATGGTAAGTGGGAGGGGGGAGGGTTTAGATATAAGCAGTCGAAATAGTAGGATGGGATGGAGCCCTCGATAAATAGAGGGGGCTGATAGTTCGATGCAGAAAAGGTTGATTCTAAAGATAGAACACGAACAAAAGGAAAAAAGGGCGCAAGAATAGCTGAGTCAGGCACAAAGGTGGCCTGAGGCAAACAGGCAAAACCGGATTAGGGCTATTAATAGTCATCACAGTGGAGTCGGGCTGCAGGATTGATTGGATGTCACATCGGGAATGATCAGGGTCGCGGCTAGAGAGAGTACTAGAGTACGTCTAGATCAGTTCAGCTGGGGATAGTGGGATAGTGGGATATGTCATTGCTGGATGGACCCATATGGCCTAAGCTTGATCCTGATGTCTTAATCAACTTAATGTATCGAAGGACATAAGCATAAATCTAGGAGGCATAAATGGCCTGTATACATCTGGGGTACACTCTCGAGTCTACAGTCACTTCTTTGTCCATTGTCTGAAACTGCCACCTCCTGAGTGTATTGAATGGGTGAATGGGAAGTATAAATCATATATTATTATCCATATATTATATATAGCGCGTGATAACTCTCCCTTGAACACTTTGATGCTGAACTCTTTGATGCTATTCGCAGTGAAACAAATGAAACAACAGAGACAAACCGGACAAAGCGTCTATGCTGGATTCTGATTGGTTCCTGGTTCTGCCACATCTGACCTCCTTCTGGCCCAATAGGGAAGGCTCGACCGTACTAGGCTAGACCTGGGGGACCTGGGGGCACCTGCCTAACACTCTCACTATGTAACTACAGTGTATGTACTGTATAGATCGATAGCTCCAATTCCAAATCATTAATCTTATACATCTCATGTCTCTCGCCTGTCATCTGTCATCTGTCATCTGTCACTGTCACTGTCACTGTCACTACTTAAGACCTGTTAACCTCGGATTCCACAAAGTCAATTCTGGAGATGATGATCGCCATCGGTATCATCCACTCTCCGCACCACAATTTTGTATAGACCCTATCAATTCAGTTCAATTCAATTCTTCGAGCTATGACTATTTGCTTAGAGTCCCTGTCTATAGTCTAAAGGAATCATTAGCCATCTGATCATATTAAAAGATACACGAAACATCTCCGAAACAAGACCAACCCAGGTTCAGTTCAGGACAACAAAGAGGGGCCCGGTCTCGACCCAAGACCCAACGGTTAGTGTGATCCCGTTTTTTTTTCCTCGCCCACTGGCACTTTTTACCCCTGAGATCGGATCTTGAACGCTGCCAGTGCTCCATTCTACCGTTTCTCTCTTTTCCTTCTTTTTGTCCTTGTTGCTCTGATCTTGTTCGATCTGATCTGATCTGATCTCTTTGTATTGATCTGTATCTGTACAGTGCTTCTCGATCCGAGCACGCTAGCTGCAGCTACAATTACACATACAATCAGATACATCAGACCCAGAGCACAGACTACGACCTAGCATATCCTTTCCTTTACTTTCATCTTCTCTCTTTTTATTTTTTCCCTATCTTTTTTCTTCTCTTCTATTCAATCTCTCACCAGCCTATCCCGGCGCTGCAGGACATCCCGGGCTCATCTAACATTTGAACCTTTGCTAAATATTCGTCGCTCTTCACCGTTCGTCCTGTCCCGTCTTCTACCGCCCGCTCAATTCCAAAACCTCCGCTAATCTAATGCGACTCGGCAGACGCAGATCTTCAACCAAAAAAAATAAAAAATACACAACCGAATCCACCCCCTCTCGGACACGCGTGCCTAGCACACCCGCCCTGCCATTCCCCGCGGTCGCGTGAATCCATCCAATCCCTCCAGGGCTCCTTCATCTACCGTGAATATGTCGTTCTTTTCTCGAGTCTTCCGGAGTAAAGACTCCACCGCGACCAAAAAACAATCAAAACCCGTTGTCGCGACTGACCCCGTCCCCGCAAAGCCCAAATGGACAGATGCCTGGACACGAACAGAGGTGGCCCCCGAAGAAGTCCAGGATTTGATTCGAGGTTGTGCGCAGGAGTTAAAAGCTAGAGGTACGTATCAAGAGGGGAACCAATTTCAATTCAATTCTATTCTATTCAATCAAATCCCAGTCCCAACCATGTGGTGGCACAGATCCCACGCGCATTCTTTCGGATTGCTAATCATTCATCTAATTTAGCTCTCGACACTCCATTCTTGCTCCTGCCTTTCCGTCCTAGCTCCGATCCGAGTGCCGCCCGTACTTTTGTGAGGAATTATTTCAACCAATCCTTTGATCAGGGGCGCCCTGTTAGTGGTGATGGATTGATACAGGAGTTGCGACTCAATGAGCCTATGGTAAGACTGAGAACTGCCAGGAAATATAATATATAATATATAATCTGGATTTATGGGAGAGTTTAAACTAATTTTGTCTTTTTTTCTCCTTGCAGGTTCTGTGCAGTGTGTTAAAATGGTGTTGGAGTCGATTGCCCGGCGGTGTGGTTACATGGGAAGCATATGAATTATTCAAGGTTGGCGAACAAGGTATGTTTATTCGGCTCTAAACTCAATGGCACATGCTTACTTTAGAAAAGATTCGGATTTGGCCCGCGATGCTTTCTCAACTTTTATTCCTATCAGTGTCGACTCCGATGCTCGCACGAAGATCATTTTTGATTTCTTCGACCTTTTGGCTGCCATTGCCGCGCATGGTAAATCAAATGGTCTCGGTGGTCGCAAGCTTTCTCGCTATGCAGGTTGGTGGGCATTTGACCACCACGACACCGGTAATGGCTTTGAAGCCTCGTATAAAAATTGGGCCGCGTAAGAAAATCTATCTGGGCTATAACTTGTTTGAAGATGCTTTTTTTTCTGACTCTTGATTTGATCTTATAGTGCCGCCGATGCGACAAGCCACTTATTCTTTGCTTACCTTCGTTCGTTAACCCCCGATGTATCCCGCGGTGTCACCGGTATTTCGTCTCTGCCTATTTCGCTCCAAACACTCGTCGAAGCAACCGAGTACCCACCGGAAACTCCAACGCTTCTTCAAGTTACCACCACTAAAGTTGTTATGATTGTTGATACTGTCTCGCCTACACCTTTCTCTCTGCTGCGTCGCGCAAAGAACTTTGAATACCGAGACGACCACTGGCATCTTCAGGAATTCGCCAACTACGAAGACCCTATTAAAGCCCTGACGGACGAGTGCTTGCGTGTGTTGAAGTGTATCTCCTCCACTAATGAGTCTAGCGTATCGAGCTCGAAACAGTCAACTAGCTTGCGGGATGCTTCATGGTCCCGATTTGAGGACATTGGATTTGGTGGTGCCATTGAATCTGACCAGGAGGATGAGGAGAAGAGACAACCCCCGTCTACTGCGAAGGAAGCTACCCCGAGCATGTATAATGCGCCGCAATCGCAAAATGGAGATCTGGGACGTCCTACCACCCCATCCTGGGCGGACTTCATGTCCTCTGGTTTCTCAGAGGAAGCCACCCTAAAGCACCATGTTGGCCCCTTGCTCTTGCCCCCAGACAAGGTTTTGCCCCCTATTGCTGCCACTCGTGGACAGAGCTCTCAGTCGCACAAACGTACCTTGGATGCTGAGCCTTCGCTTGAGCCAGCTGAGCTTGCTAGCATTAACTCCTTGGACTTGGATGACTCCTTCTGGTGGGTTTGGATTACCAGTTTGTCAGGCGATGAGCCTTCAACCCGCAAGGCTGTGTTCGGACGATGCGCCCTCGTTGAGACCGTTATCCGCAATACCAAATGGTTGGTTCTTGAAGAGCAGGTTAAGGGAGCTGCTCCCGAGCCAGAGGCCGGTGCACAAATCGTTGAGAAGAAGCGCTTTTTCAGCTTCGGTAGTCGTAAGGGAACAACTAAGCTTGGTCGCCGAAAGTCATCTGCTAGAAAGGTGAACTCGGTCGAAGATTCCTACAAGCGACCTAACAACCAAGCTCCACAGAGCAAGACCAGTATTGGGCCTGATCAACATAAGCGAATCCAGGCTGCGGCAGCTGCCCTTCAGAAGAGACAACGCGAACAGGAGGCCGAGGCGAATTACCCCGGGCCCAACGCACGCGCTGATGCCCGCTCGACTAAGACTAACTCGGTCATGACTCTTCAGCCTGCTATTGTGAATGAGGCTTCCTCGGCTATGAAGTGGGCTAGCAACTATGATAAGAATGCTTTCCGCTCTGCTTATCTGAGGGATACCCGTGCTGGAACTGGTGCTGTTTCTGAGGATGGTACCGCTACCGAGCCCGCTTCTGAGTCTGTGGCAGAAAAGAAGACAGAGGCTCCTCTTGCTCCTCTTCCTCCTAGTACGACAAAGAATGCGCCCCCTCCACCTCCTAAGGATACCGCTGCGGATGTAACTCCCCTGCCACCATCGCCTGAGCCTGCTAAGAAGACTTTGGAGAAGATTGATCTTGAGGAGGACAAGGAGAATGTCAAGCTTCCCGAGGCCATCCTTGTTGAGCAGCCCACTGGGCTTGAGGTTCCACAACAGCTAGCCGAGGAAAGCAACAAGAAGCCCAAGAAGAAGGCCGGTAACACCGGCTTCAAGAGCATGTTTGGAACTAGCAAGAAGAACAAGGATCAGCAGGCCCAGGCACAAGCTCCTATCAAGACTCCTACTAAGGAAACCTCCTCCAACTCAGCAGTTGCAGCTGCCCGTGCTGCCCTCGAAGCAAAGGCAAAGGCAGCCAATGAAATTCCTCCTAAGAGCTCACCTCCCAAGGCAGCACTGAAGAAGAAGCCCGTCCCAGGAACACAGACACCCGTGTCCAAGCCTTCCACTCCAGCTCAAGAGCCCGAGAAGTCAGCTACACCCCAGACACAGCAGACCGAAGAGCAGCAGGAGCAGGAGCAGGAGCAGGAGCAGGAGCAGGAGCAGGAGCAAGAAGCTCCCCGGCAACCCACTCAGATTGTCGGAAGCGGCAGCCCACCCCAGACCCGCCGTGGCGTTGAATACGACGCCCTGTCGCGCGTGGACACAAACGAACGTGATGCCGCAGACCAAGAGTTCTCCAAATTCGACCAAGGTCCCTTGATGGACCAGCCTGCCTTTGTCCCCGAGGAAGATGGTCCAGTTACTCCCAATCCTGCGACAGAGCCTGAAATTGAAGTCGAAGTTCCTCGCACCCCGACAAACGGCCACGAGGAGAAGGTCGAGAATATCAGCCCTGTAAATGAGACTAGTCCTCAAAACTCTTCTACGGATCGATGGGCGCAGATCCGCGAGAACGCAGCTAAGCGTGTTGCTGAGGAACCCGAGACTCGCACTAGCCAGTCAGAGCGTACTGATGAGGGAGACACCAGCGGTGAAGAAAGTAAGTCATTGCTATATTAAACACCATTTATCCAATCCAATTGATCACATTGCTAATCCCATTCTTTTTCTAGCTATCGAAGCTCGTGTCGCTCGTATCAAGGCTCGCGTCGCAGAACTCACCGGTAACACCGAGGGTGCTCGCTAATCTGATCTGACAACACCCACTCAACAACAATTACTATTTCATATGTGTCAACCTTAACCTTCACCATATTATCACTTTAATTGTATCTTCGAGCCCAATCTCAAGATCCGATTCGATTTGATTCATTGGCTCTCTGCATCCTGCTAGCCTAGCCTTTCTGCTCCGTGTTTGCTCGACCGCGAATGCTGCACATGCCATACGAATAACGGAATCTTTGGCTGTGAAATATCTATTTATTGTTCATTTCTTTCTATCTGTTTCTGATCTCAGTCCCACCTTGTTTCCTTCTCGTCTCTTCTTCTTCTTTCTTTCTCTTCCTTTCTATTCCTATTCCGGCTTTGAGTCAAGCCGGCTGGACTGGACAGATATCCCATTTCATTTGATACTCTTTTATTTTCTCTTTTCTTTTGATCTGATCTAATCTGATTCGATTCGATTCGATCTGTTGATATTTATTCCCAAATTTGGTTCCGTTGATCTCGATCTATCTCTGTTGTCTTGTTCAACCTCTGCTGTCTTGTTCTGTTTTGCTCTATTCCCCTTTCGCTACTGAATTCCCCAAGCCGATTCAGCTTCAGCTCAGCTTGCTAAATACGAATCGCTTTGTTATCTACCATATTATTACTGTGGTAGTTTAGTCTTAAAATCTAGTTCCAGTTTCAAGCATATTATTGAACTTGTTCAATTACTCAACTCAACTAAATCGTTCCAAGATAGTCTCAACCAAGTAAAAAAACTAATCCATGTATCTCGGTGTTTATTACATTAAACCAACCCAACACCACACCACACCACATATCAAATCCCACCTCATTACAACCTCCCTCATACATCCATCCACCCCAAAAAACCACAAAAAACCAACAAAAACCCTAAGCCCCCAGAACTTTCAATATCTCCTCCGCAGTAGCCCCCGCACTCCCCGGATTCTGCCCCATAACAATCCAACCCCCATATGAACTCTTCTCCCTAACAACCTTAACCCCCCAATCCTCAGCTGCCTTGACATAGTTTCCTCCCGAGACTCTTCCAAGTTCATCCTCCAACATAAAAGGCATCGCAGCTGATAATCCCACGGCATCTTCTTCTGCATTTGAAAAGCCTGTTACTTCTTTTCCGGAAATGAGTGGGACCCCGGTGTTGTCTTGTGTATATAGGAATACGCATGGTGCGTGGCAGACTGCTGATATGAGCTTCTTTTTGGAGGCGAAGGATTCTATCAGAGATATTGAGGTTGGGTTTTTGGTTAGGTCGAACATTGCTAGTTTTAAATGATGGGATTGTTAGTTTGTTTGTTTTATTCGGTCTTTGTGGATTGATGTACTATAAAGGGTAGGGTAAGCATACGACCATGACCCCCAACATAAAAGATAGCATCGAAATCCTTCTCATTCATATCTGAAAGTTTCTTCGTATCACTCCAAATAAATTCTTTCGATAGAAAGTCCTTGCAGACGGGATCTTCGGAGAACATCTTCACTGAGCCCGGATCTAGGGGTGCTTTTCCGCCTTTTGGAGAGGCGACTGTTATGGTTGTTTTTTTGTGTAGTTTTTCGTAGGGATGAGCTAGTTCGGGCTGTTCGGTTTTTTCAAGGATTAGGATTTATGGTGCCAGTGGATTTGAGTAGTTTTTTTCTCTGGGTGTTTGCGTAAGCTTGCAAGGTAAGGAAGATTCAAAGCTTACTAGGTACCAGCCTGTTGGACCGACGCCGGGGATTTCGTCGTGGGATGTTAGGACTACGAGGATTTTTGGGGGCATTTTGATAATTCCGAGTGGGATGGAAGGCAATATTGATTTTTGATTATTGTAATTGTAATGGATGGAATTGAATTGGAATTGAAATGTATGAAAGGATTGAAGTGGTGGGAATTAAGCTATAGAGTTTATGTAGATCATGCTTGCGTCACTGGATGACCCACTTGTTGTGGTCTTGTCATTGTGATTTATCCCATACTTTAGATAGATGTAGTCTCAAGGAATAAAACCAGCTGCTTAGGTATTATGTTTTACACGATATGCCTCAATAAAGAAAGTCGGGTCATTAGAATTAATATATGAGTCGTCAGTATATGCACGCATCGCCAACATGCCAATGAAAGCACGATGCATCCAGTAAAATACAAGTAGTCAATATAAACACGCTCAAGGTCTATAATAGATACAGCTTTCTGAACTGCTTGCTTCCCTTCTTTCATTTTCATTTTCACCTTCTGCTTCCAAGGTTCCAGGTTCCAGTTTTCAAGGTTCTACCCGCTTCAAGCTCTCAGGTCAAGTCAACCTATAACACGTATCGTAAACGTCTCGTCGCCTCAGCAGCAACAAGTGCACTCAACGCTCCAATAAAAAGACAAATGGCAATAGCGTTCGGCCGATCTTTATCAAGATTCATCCACTGTGTATCGGGTTCACGATCCTTATCCGGTTCCGCACCAGGCTCAAGAAGAGTAAATACAATCCAACTGATGAATGTCCCAACGAATTGCGGCAGAGTGGTGTAAACATTCAAAACGCCGAGATAGATCCCTGCCAGCTCACCAGTAGAAGGGATATTAGAATTCAGAGAAGACTGATCCTCCTCGTCTGAATCGTAATCATTATCTGAATCCCGATGGTTCAGACGTAGAACTTCTAGCTCAGTATCTACGGCAGGTGTATTGCGCAAACTGGCTGATGTTATCATCGTCACGCCGGAACGGGTTGATGAAGCTGCTATTCCTGGTGCAGCGGCCGCATTCATGGTTAACTTGTTGATTTCCACGCCCATGAATGCGAAGGGAGCCCAGCTGCTAATAGCCCAGGGGATACCGCAGATAGCGACGAGATAGGTTGCGAATGCGCGGGAGTGTGCGAGCGGGGCGAAGATCATTGTTGCGGCGAACATGATTTGGGAGATGAACCAGGCTGTTTGGAGATCGGGGCGGACTTTTGTGAGGGATTTTAAGAAGCTGGCTATTCCTGGTGGGGGGCGGGGGGTGAAGCGGGAGCGTTTCATTTCGGGGGATGTTACGCAGAAGGGGAGGAGGACGGAGGAGAAGAAGGTGATTGATGAGAAGACCACGAGGGATAGACTGCCTACTCGACCGACTTCGCCGAGCATGTCGGTTGACTTAGCTAGGTCGTCTTTTGGTACTTCGTATCGGAAGTAGGTCTCGCCTACCCATGTTGTGCTGTAGAAGAGGAATGGGAACCAGCCTGTTCTGGGTTAGTTACGTTTTGTTATTGGATTGGTTTGGTGTTGTTCATACCGATCCAGGCCCAGAATTGAGCCCAGCAGATAGCCTGGATGCGCGGTGGGAGTTCCATGGTAGTTTTGAATAGTTGGGAAATCACTTGGATTGCTCCAACATTTCCTTCAGAGTCCCTGTAATTCATGTTAGTGCTCTGTCTAGATTTGGGATATACCAGCGCGGACTAGAATATTATTTACCTCGGCGAGATAAGGACACGCTCTTTCACAGAGTACGAGGTCACTGCAACAGCCGCAACCAAAGAAAATGCCGCAATAACAGTCATCTGCTTAAACTGTGTATCTCCAAGAAGACTCCCAAAGATACTCACGGTATCAATAGAACCCACCACATAACTAATCAATTGGCCAATAGCAGACATTCGACCCGCTAGAAACTGTCAGCATTGTTCAAGCCCTCGGCTGAAAGGACATTTGAAGAATTAACCCACCCCAAGCAGATCCACCTTGTTGCAACGGAATCGGTAATGTATCCACAATCAAACTGCGACAACACGCTTGCACAACATTAATCGAGAAATCCACCGCATATATACTCGAAACGGCCAATGCAATAGTAACATTTTTAGCCTGTAAAGGTTAGTCAAGCCAGCACAAAGCAATAACTTTCTTCCTCCAATCTGATCTGATCTTACCTTCTCAGGATCCTTAACAAACATATTCACAATCTCAGCCGTCCACCCAAGAATAACAAGACAAAACGCCACAACAAAAGATCCGACAATCATGAACGGTCTTCGTCGGCCCCATTTCGATCGTGATCGATCTGCAATAACACCAATAAGAGGCTGGATAATCAATCCAGAGAGCGGTCCAGCAATCCACACCAATGATGTTTTCGACTTTGTTAGTCCGAGTTGGAGCAGGTAGGGTGTACAATCTGAAATGAGTACTAGTTAGTTTCTTATTTTCATAACCTTATTATAGTCCCTGGTAAATTCCAAAACTCACATGTCATCTCAGTACCCCATGTAAATCTAGAAAAAGAAACATGTCAGTCAGAACCATACTAGCATACAGACTAGCTAGCTAGTATAACCCTCATCGAATACCAGCAGCAGGAATAGGGGTTTCAAACGCACTGTAGTCCCACCAAACTAAACGTCAGAAGCATCATGCGCATCGACTCCGACTTCCCCTTGATAGAGGGGGTACCCGCCCATCGAGCAGTCTGCGGCATCCTTACGCGCGCACTAGCATACGTTCAGCTCAGCTAGCTCAGCTCCCCGCGCAAAAGTCAGCCGAGCTATACTATTCTGCTCAGAGGTCCAATCGGCTATATCGTATGCGTATGGGTCGGCGAAATAATCCGGGGTCAGGGTCTTCTGATCGTCGGCTTCTCCGACTAGGGTCGGGATGGAGTATCGCGGCAGGATGAGCTTGGCTCTACCTGTTTACTGGGTTGGGTCGCTCGGGTATAGATTCGAATAGGAGGTTTGAATTTGTTGGCTTTGTGTTTAAGCCGATTTTGTGGAGACGGACGGAGGCACGAGGCACGAGTACGAGGTAGAGGTACGCCGATCAGGGTCGAGGGGTCCAGTCCGTGATGGTGAGGGTGAGGGTGAAGTGTGAAGTTGACGTGAGTTGTGTATGCCTTCAGCCTTGTGAGGTTGTATGTGATCCAGTCAATGGCGAGTGTGGTGTTGGTGTTAGTGATCAAGACTATTGTCTGTCTTGTCCGTGCTTGTGTTTCTGGGGCGCGGGCGCGGAGCGGCAGGAGAGAAAAAAGGACTTGGTCGGAGCGTTCTGCGGGCCCCCGGCCGCCTTATCTGGATAGGGATCGGGGTTTCATGACAGCTGGATAATGTTGAATATTGTTTGATTTATCATTTCTCGCAGATGGGATTAGTCAATCTAGTGAATTGATTTTCACTGTAGTAAATGCTTAAGTTGTGTTCTTTCAAGATTTACATTCTCTGGCCTTCACCGTGACTGTTAAGACCTCAGCTTAATGCAAGGGGAGTAGTATGTGTGGAGCTGGTTGGTGCATCCGCTGAGTAATGTGTAGTTCCATTTATAGAACGAAATGAAATTGGGCGTACGTGGACTTAGGGACTGAGCTATAATTAAGCGAATTAGTAGTATACTACGGATAGCGACGGAGTCAGTCGAGATGACCACGAGGCACACTACCGCATCGTGCAATTCGTCAGACTACATGGGGAGTGCACTAGAGTCCACAATTACGTATAACGTAATTCACCACTGAGCGAGCCGTCCCGGTCGGGCGAGCCGACCCAACCAAAACGCGTCAATTAATTAGACCTATCTTCTTCAACCAACCACTATGCCACCAATTCGCTCTCAAAATCGTTCAAAATTGATTGAACAAGAAGGTCGTATCTTGCTTGCTATCCAAGCTATTAAAAAGCAGGAAAAGTTGTCAATTACCGAAGCAGCACGCATATACAATATCCCTAGAACAACGCTCCAGCACCGGCTCAGCGGACGAGAAAACCGCGTCGAATTTCGCGCAACCTCCTTTAAATTGACTGAACTTGAGGAGAATTCGCTTAAAGAATGGGTGATATCTATGGATACACGCGGAGCAGCACCACGACCTTCTATAGTCCAAGAAATGGCTAATCTCTTACTCGCCACACGTGGAACTACCCCGATCCAAACTGTCGGCAAAAATTGGGTCGCAAAATACGTTAAACGACACCCAGAGCTCGATACAAGGTTCTCAAGACGCTATAATTATAAGCGCGTAAAGTGTGAAGACCCAAAGATCATTATGGAATGGTTTAACCTGGTTCAAAAGACGATCTTAAAGTATGGGATCCATAAAGATGACATCTATAACTTTGATGAGACGGGGTTCGCGATGGGCTTAACTGCAACCGCAAAAGTCGTTACGAGAGCAGAATATTATGGTCGACGCTCTCTTTTACAGCCTGGAAATCGTGAATGGGTTACTGCGATTGAGTGTACAGGCGCGTCTGGATATAGCCTTCCTCCAATGGTTATCTTTAAGGCAAAATTATTTACGAAAGGCTGGGCTCAAGAGTTAAAGCTTCCGGGCGACTGGCAATTCCAGGTTAGTCCGAATGGATGGACCTCGGACGAGATCGGGCTTCACTGGCTTAAAAAGGTCTTTATCCCATCAACTTCCTCGAGGTTAAAGGGGATATATCGACTCCTAGTTCTAGATGGTCATGGAAGCCATCTAACCCCAAAATTCGACGAAATTTGCTCTGAAAATCGAATTATTCCGATCTGCATGCCACCGCACTCATCACATCTTTTACAACCTCTAGATGTAGGTTGTTTTGCTGTCTTAAAGCGTGCATACGGAAAGTGTGTCGAGAATGTGATGCGGTCGGGTCAGAACCATATCGATAAATTAGACTTCTTAGACGCCTTTCCGGACGCTCGAATCGAAGCTTATAAAGCAGAAACGATCAAAAATAGCTTCTCAGCAACCGGTTTAGTTCCATATGATCCAAATCGGGTTATTTCAAAGCTCAATATTCAGCTCCGGACGCCTACACCACCACCATCTCGAGGTAGCCAAAGTGGCCAAAGCAGCATATATCAGACACCTTCGAATCATAAGCAGCTCCAGAAGCATGAAATTTCAATCAAAAAGCTCTTAAAAGCACGCTCTAAGAGCCCACCAAGCCCGCTGCTTTCTCATATAGATCGGGTGCTTAAATCGGCTCAAATCTATATGCATAATCACGCTCTTATGACTCAAGATATAAAGCTTTTACGGGCTAGAGTGGAGAAAAAAGAGTCAAAAAAGGCACGTTCTAAGCTCCGGATAGCAGCTCCAGAAGGCATATCTGTCGCTGAGCTTCGAGAATTAGCTCAAAATGATGAAAATGGTCAAATTGTAGCTCCATCTGACCAGCCAACCGGTCAAGCAGAAGCACAAGAACGACGACCTAGGGCGCCACCAAGATGCTCTGAGTGCAATATCCAGGGTCATAAGAGAACGCATTGTCCAAAATTGATTAAATAGCTTAAATATTTAATATTACGTTTTTCGGGTGAATTATGCTGGTTTGAATTAATTGAAGTTGATGGGGCGGCTCGCCCGACCGGGACGGCTCGCTCAGTGGTGAATTACGTTACTCAGTCACCTGCTATTACAAAAACTACAAAGAACATACTCCATGCACTCAATGCAATTACAGACAGAATCATGCATGCAAGAAACTCAAGATTATCTTGATCCCGAAAATACACACAAACTCCATGAGAACGACAAAACGACCCAGGTAAAAAGTAAAAACTAGAAATAAATGGAAAGAAAAGAAAAGCTTGAAATGTTTGCATGACGTCTTTCATTGTTCAACTTCAGCCTCCATAATAGCGTCAGGAGTCGAGTCCGAAACAGATCGCGACGCGACTCCTGCCAGCCCGGCTGGCTAGCTGCGCCAACAGAAGTTAAGTTGGGAAATCAAATAATGGATTTTGTTCGTTTTCATCTTCATAGTCCACCCGTATCGTCGTAAACAGTATCAGTATCAGCATCATCCCTCCGTTTACAGACGGTTAGGGGTTGTGTTGGTCACTGGCCACTGGTAACCAGCGGCATCACTGAACTTGTAACCGTATGAAGCGGTGAAATCATCGAGGACGGCAGGGCCACGGGAGCCTTAGTAAGATAGACAGTTAGCAGGTTTATTCGGATTATATCGGTGGTGGTTCAGACGGGTGAAACATACCGTAGGGGTACTCCATGGGGATGATCTCCTTGTTGTCATCCAGGTAGTGCAGGAGTGGGGTAAAGATGCGCCAACTGGCGTCCAGTTCGTCATCACGGACAAAGTTGGAGTGGTCGCCCTTGAAGGCGTCGAGGATCAGAGACTCATAGGCCTCGGGGATCTTAAGGTCGGAGAAGCGGCGACGGTAGGTCAAGTCCAGCTCGGTCACAACCGTCTGCATGGACAGACCGGGCAGCTTGGAGTTCATCTTAATGTAGACGGACTCGTTGGGCTGAACACGGATGACAAGCTCGTTACGGGGGATATCCTTGAAGATACCGGAAGTGACATCGCGGAATTGAATGCGAACCTCGGTCTTCTGCTCGTTAAGGGCTGAATAAAACTGGTCAGTATCGTGATAAGAGATCGGGGATATTCTAGAGTGATAATACCTTTACCGGCCTTCAGGATGAAGGGGACACCATCCCAACGCTCGTTCTTAATGTAGGCAACCAGGGCTGTGAAGGTAGGGCAGCGGGAGTCCTTGGGAACAGTGTCGTCCTCCAGGTATCCGGGCTTGCTGCCATCGAGAGATCGGCCGTACTGGCCAATGATGACGTTCTTGGGCTCAATCGCATCCATCGCACGCAGAACACGGACCTTCTCGTCACGGATATCCTCGGAGGAGAAAGAGATAGGGCGCTCCATAGCAAGCAGAGTAAGAACCTGCAGAAGATCTGGGAATTGTCAGTATGGTCCGCTTTAATTTTCTTCTCAATTGAATGGAACATACGGTTCTGCATAACATCGCGGATGATACCGAACTCATCGAAGTAACCTCCACGGCCCTCGGTACCGAAAGGCTCCTTAAATGTGATCTGCGAGAAATAGTTAAAATCAATTGGTCGCAAAGATTATTATGTTCAATCAATCGCATACCTGTACGTTGTCGATGTGGTGACGGTTCCATGTAGCGTTGAAGAACTCATTGCCGAATCGCAGGATAAGGATATTCTTAACCATCTCCTTACCCAGGTAGTGGTCGATGCGGAAGATCTCCTCCTCCTTCCAGTTAGGGTCCAGAGCCTTCTGGAGGTCGCGCGAGCTCTGCAGATCCTTGCCGAAGGGCTTCTCGACCTATAGTGGGGAAGCGGGGTGTTAGCAAGGGGATCAAGAGTGGAAATCTTGGCTATTGCCTCGGCAAAACATGGTTTCCTGTGAACACTTACGATAATACGGGCCAAGCCAGACTTAGGGTAGCAGTTGCGCTTCAATTGCTCGGAGACAGTGATGAAGACACTAGGAGGCAGGGCCATGTAGAAAACACGGTTCTGCTCCTTTGATTGGCGACCCTTCTCAACCTCCTCGAGGTGCTTGTTAAGGTTGATGAACGAGTCATCCTGGTCGTATTGGCCAGAGATGTAGGTGCATAGGCTGCAGAACTGGTCTAATTGCTCCTCGATCTCCTTTGTGGGAATCTTGATGTAGGAACGCACACGCTTCAAGTATTCGTCGTGGTCCATTT